ACTGATAGAGAGGTAGCGGTAAACGGTGCATATCGTACCAAGAATTCGATAACATGTCTTTGCCCGCCGGAGGACAGATATTGCCTCCATCATCCGCTTGTACAATGGCCCAAGCTCAGCAGGGAATTCTTTTGCAATGTCGACGGCGTCGTAGTTCGCCACACCACTCTTAGTCAGTTCGGTGCAGACCAATCCTACCCAGAGAAAGGTCCCATTAGCGTTGTTAATGAGATGAGGCCTGATGATATCGACATTCTTTTGCGATATTGTCTTCTTCAGCTGTTGAATTTTGTGCTCAATATAAAATTCGATAGCCTGGGACAGATCGTCATCGTGATCCCTGAGGTCCAGCGTAGTCTTGTCGACTGATGCGAACTTGTCCTCGATGTCTTTCCAGGGTCGACTTGAGACAACCCATGTAGCCTTAGTAGCGGACGACAAGGTTACGATGATATCCAAAAGCTCGTCCCTATTTGTCCTGCACTCATCCAAGGCGTCAATAACCACTATCGCTCCCTCTGCGCTCTCATCTTGCAGCATGTTGGTGAGAATTTTTGCCAGAGTAACCGAGGCGTTCTTCTCAGAGAAAGCTACAGCTCCTGAGTTATCCCACGTTTTCCGAGCGTGTTTAATGAGAGAAGGTCTTTGAGAGGCAAGCATCCAGGTCAAACCTCTTAAGATCGCCGTGGCATTATTCTGGTTCGCCTCGGGTTCTTGACAAAAGAAGTAGGTTAGGCAAGGGTCGCCATGATCAACATCACTCTTGAGGTGATTAATGAGCCCGCACATCATCATTGTCTTTCCTTTACCCGGCTCGCCTTTGATCCAAAACAATTTCTGCTGGCCGCTTTGACGAAAGTCAGAGAACGGCTTCAGAATCCAGGCATACGAACCCTCCAGCAGTCCTCCTTTCTTCTTTTCAATCGAACCCTTCTCAACTTGAGGGTCTAAGACTCGCAGGTCTTGAAGACACTTCAAATCTTTCTCGTCTTGATAGCGCTGCTCCTCCCTCTCCGTCTGATCCTGAATCGCTCTGTTGATATCCTGGAGTTGCAGCACCTGGGCTTTCGAAACTTCCAACAGACCACTGAGCTGAGATTTTATGTGCTCGGTGTTGTACGTCTTAGAATCCTCAAGAACCGCCTTTTCGGCTTTCTCAATCGCGGTGACCTGACCGGCCCAGTCATCGAGCTTGAATAGGTCTCGTAAAATGACCTTGGCCCAGTGGAGATGGTAAATGTATATACTCTTCATTTGATAAGAGAGCAATGACTGGTACAACTTGACGATGTGCTTCTCAAGTTGGGTTCTAAGGTCCTTCGTAGATGTTTCCTTGTTCCGGTTCTCGTCCAAAAGCAGATCTGCCAACTTCCAGTACCATTCCATCCGCGCGAGGACCCAGGAGAGTCCCTTGCGGTTCAACCCTGGCTGCGTGATTGGGTTTGCGATAATCTACAACAAGACTTAGAATTGTTTCCAAAACAAAGAGTGGGAAGGAAATGAACTGACCTCAAGCCCAAAACTAACACCAGCCCAAGCAACAGACGCTTCGGGCGATGCTTTGACCGCCTGATCAATCAAGCCCTTGACGTTCGCGATAGCCTCGGCCCCTTCACTGATCTTGCCCTTGAAACTTGCAAACTTTTCGGAAGATTTCAGACCAACATCAATTGCCTTTTTCATCTGGTCTTGTCGCGTCTCAGGCGTCTCCCCGATTGTGTTACCGCCTGTCCAAGCTTCATCAGACTCGATGCTCTTGGTGCTCAGCCTGGCAGATAGAATGGTCTCGTAGGCCTTGACAAGATCTCCTTCTGAATTCTTCAACCCCTCGTAGGCTGCATCCCACAGTTTTTCGGGCGTGGTTTTCGTCTCTCCGACTGGCACATCTGGTTCTTGTGCCTCTGTGGAAGGGACAAGATCAGCTGCTGGCGCGGCATCTTTTTTGGGCGTAGGCTGTTTGCTATCCAGGGACTCATTGCCGGACACAGTGGGTTCTCTCAATTCTGGAGCAGCATTGGGCGGCGTTGTCTTTGGTTGCAGGGTCAAGGTCTTTGCCGCAAGTGCCTTGGAGTCAGCCGGATGTGAGCCTGGCTTCCCTGACTCTGCGCCACGTAACTTCTTTTTGAAGTCTGACCAGCCCATTTTGCATTCCTCGTGAATGTAGGGAGAGTGATGACGATGAGAGAAGGTTGTGGCAAGCGCAGAGGCATATCCCAGCCTGTCCGCTCCATGCATATCTCTGGGATTATGGAGCTAGCTCTGTAACACGTCTTACCCCTCTCTGCTTACTCCAATCAGCTTCCTAGTTAAGCACCAAGCTGCATGAAAAGTGTTCAGCTTCGAGCCACCGGAATTTTGGCGCGCCTGTACCCAATCCCATCCTCCGGTTTGTGCGAGTTTTTGGCGGGATCCCAGCAATCAACTCCAGTTGTCCCCAGCTGCGTCAGCTTACTGCACAAGCGCAAAATGCATGGTATGTCTCAAAAAGCCTGCTTCCTCTAGGCTGACGAGAATAAATTCGAAACTATCATTGTATCAGTTTCACTGTTTCGAGTTTCGAGTTTCTTCCTCATTGGAGCGCACCCCACAATTTCAAGTGCTTCCAACGGCTGCATTCGACGGTGACAGCTGTAAACTCGCGATCACTGTGAGACATCAAATAATTCGATTATAGTTCCATGATGGATTCAGCTTGTAGGATTGTTTCATGATGAGTACGGAGAAAGAAATACTCTTGACCATGCATGTATGTTAAAATTCCACTGAAAAGGGAGCCATTAGACCCAAGAAGCCCAAGCTATGACGAGCGGAACAATATCCAAGCAACATCCCCGAATAACATGATCGAGTGCTTCACATCATCCAATCAATTTCTTGGCTTCAGTAATCAAAGCAATAGACAAGCTCTCAATTATAACAATAAATATTGTATTTAGCCTAATTCGATCTCGGGCATCGACTAACTGTATTCATTGAAAGTGATGGACAGCTTCTAACCCACACCTACTGAACACCCTCGATCATGACCTTAAAAACATCTTGTCGAGCCTGCCTAACCAACTCGAATGCCTCTTCGGCTTGTTCGAATTTGTACCGGTTTGTGATCAATCTCTTGACATCAATCTTTCCACTCGATATCAAGTCAATAGCAGCTGGATAACATCCATTGAGGTATCTGATGGAACCCTTGATCACCAAAGCCTGAGTTCAAACGTACGTGATGGGGAAGAGTATGTTTTCTTTTCCCATACCGGCTTGTGTGAATGTACCGCCGGGCTTTGTAGCGAATATGCCCATCTGGATGCATGCCTCAGCACCAGAGCATTCCAAGACAACATCAGCCCCGTCACCAAGATTGAATTTCTCTTTGATCAACCCAGCGACCTTTTCCGCGTGCACGATTGGCTCAACGCCAGGTTCAGGGCGGGGAGGCATGAATGTTTCATCAGCGCCGTATTGCGCGGCCAGATCCAAGCGTGACTGCACAATATCGACGCCTATGACCTTCCTAGCACCGGAGTGCTTCGCAACAGCTTGAGAGAGGATGCCGATGGGGCCACATCCCATAACAATGACTGTTTGCTGAGCTCGAACATCTGCTGTCTTGTTGATAGCGCAAGCAACAGCGGCAGGCTCCACCATGGCAGATTCCTCCATGTCCATGGAATCAGGGACTTTGTAGCAAAAGTCCGAGGCGTTGACGTAGTACTTGGCTAGAGTGCCGTCCCAAGGCGGCGTGGCAGCGAAAATCATCTCTCCGCAGTTATGGTAGCGGCCCCCCTTGCAATGGCTGCATCGCCGACAAGGCACACCGGGTTCCATGGCGACTCGGTCCCCAACCTTGAGGTGTTTGACGAAAGAAGCCAATTCAGCAACTACGCCAGAGGACTCGTGTCCAAGCACCATGGGGCCTGTGAGTATGTAGTTGCCAATCCGCCCCCTTTGCCAGCTGTGGCGATATGTTAGGACACAGATTATTATGCGTTGTGAAGAAGGAACTGTCTTACTAATGGACCTACATAGAATTAGCTCATAACTCAACATAAGGCGACGAAAAACTCACATCGCTACCACAGATGCCTGTCTGAGAAACATGAACCAGAACATCATGCTGGTCCCTCAGCCTGGGTTTGGGCCTATCCTCGAAAGCCACATCTTTGACCGCCCGAAGAACAAATGATAGATTTTTCTGTAAAACATCGATGAGGTCTACTCCCAAATACCTATGTATAGCTTCGTACTTACAGCCATTGTGGTGATGTGTTGCTAAGCCGGGGAGCATTGGTAGGCGGCATGTCTCCAAGAAGCAGCCCCCTTTAACAACCAGGCTTATGATAGACTTGTAATCATCGACTCAAATTTTATGCGTGTTCAACAACCCGTTTACGGAGGCCGCCCCCATGATGGTAGCGAAGGGAGCGGGTGGAATATGTCCTCATTGGGAAATTTTGGCGTACTTCGACAAGCAGAGTCATTGATAGCCTCATGGATAAATTTTCCAGGCCGCTAATGCTTTGGGAGAGTGCGGGGGGATGGAGGAACATGTTCGAGGGTCAGTTGCCCCTCGTGCCATCTGATTGCGTGGGAAACTGAGGATATCAATATCCAAACCCTCGCGTGAATTCCCTTATGGAGTTCGTCCAGTCGCAGCGCTGCAATGACGAAAAGTTCTAAACATTAGACATTCGATAAACATGTTTTCTTCACAAGAAGTCTAGAGTAATTAATTCTTATGGTGCTTGTTGGGTAATAAACCGCCTATTTAGCGGGTTCCCATTCGTACCGAATTTCGAAGGAACAGGGAGCCTAACCAGGAGAAGGAAATTTTGCGACCAAGTTCTCCATTGGGAGGCTTAATAAGAAAACACCATGACGGCTGGCGATGGCTGAGAGATTCCGATCTGCGGGGCATGACCGCATTCCTCTGTCCCGTCATCAAAGACTCGCTACGTTGGGGAAATTACCCGCACTATCGAGCTGCAAACTTGACTTTTTGAGACATGCGGCGTTCGAATGCGGACGGACAAAAAAGAGAGGGGAGAATGACTCCAGGGCGGGGCGAGGCAGAGCCGCAAAACGTTCAAGGAAAGGATGGTGAACACTAACAAATGAGTTCCTGCATGGTCGATCCCTTGCTAACAGTGGCAATAGCCCCGAATGTCGCAGGCGAAAAGTAAAGTGTGATGAAAAGCAACCTCGATGCGGCCAGTGTGAAAGAAGAGATGGGAATTTCCACTTGAAGGATTCTATCTTCAAACAGCACGTTTTCTCCCCAGTTGAAGTCTCTCACGCTGCTGCTGCTCAATCACCGAACGTCGAGTTGAACATTCAGCCAGACGATCCAGTATTTGATCTTCCAACGAGCCTAGAGCAACGGAGTATAGCTACTGAAAGTTGTCCCCAGTCATAGCTTGTATCGCTAATATGTTGCACAGGTAATATTACCGCGTCGGATGAGCTTCCGCCGTTTCAGCCTCACAACACGTCCAATACACCCTGCCCACACACACTTCCACCGCCCAGTGCATTACCAGGCAGCCTCTTCTCTACAGTTCCTATTGCTGGTCTCCGTCACTCGGGTGATTTGCTCTTTGAACATCAATATGGAAACATATCAAGTACAAGCCCTAGTGAAGCACCACTCTCGGAACAAGGCCCGTGGCAGCAGCATGGTAAGTCCCCATCCTACTCATCTCCCGAGTGTTCACTAATATATGCAGTTGCCAACACGTTTCCAAGCCCACGAACGATCACGTATGATGATTCTCAAGAGCCTACAGTTGAGTCATTGAAGGATACCCAACAAGAGTTGTTTCTCCTCCGACATTATTCGGAATGCATAGCACCATGGTAACACCGATATTCTCCTTATCTCACGAGTTAGAAACGTACCAACATGCCCATAGGATGGACCTACTTTACCGATATGACGTATTCAGCCGTGAAGTTCTAACCTTAACTCGCGAGCATTCAATACTTCGATATGCAGCTTGTGCAGTAGCCGCAAAACAGCTAGGTCAGATGAAACATCCGATTCCAGCTCTTTGCGGCAAATTTCAACAAGATATAGCCACTCAGTGTTTCCGTAGAAGGTCTGGATTTATTTAGTACGGCATCAAATACTACGAAAAGGCCATTCGGACACTTGTGAAATCCATTACCCCCAAATATCAGCAAGCAACAGACATCGCTCAAACACAAACCAGTGATGATCATGCTTCCCCCGCTGTTTCTTTATCGCAGGGGGATTTAATGGTACGCGCCGAAAGGCGAGGACCCAATCGTCAGGCTTCTAGGTACCTGTATTCTTATCCAGTACGAAGCTTTGTGTGGAACTTTGTCGCCAACGACTTGGAGCAGTCTTGTAAGCTATGACAATGGGACCAAGTGTTGTTATCCTCTGAGGCTTTTACTGACTTTAGTCACAGTCGTTGCTCACCGCCAGACTCGTGTAGATACGGAGAACCTTGCATTATGGAGAAATATGGGACTCCTTATTGAAGACGATGGGTCACTCAGTCTGTTTGATGGCCAATACAGCCTATCAACAACGCCCGAGCATGCAAGGGGTAAAGTCCTCTCATACACCTTGATCCGCTTGCTATGCAAGTCGATTGATTACGTGGCGCCTGTCCCACCTCTGAGTCAGCTTCCAACGCAAGGCTCTCCCAACAGCGTAAATCCTACCAGAGACAGATTCGTATATCTCGAGAGCCAGTTTGACAACTGGTACCGAATCCTCTCTCCGTCTTTCCATCCAGATGGGAAGTTCTCAGCTCTGAGGGAGGATCCCAAAGCGTCCGGAGGTCCTGGACTCTTCAATAGCGCTCTCTGGTTCAGTAATGATCTCTGTTCGACAACAATGATGTATTACCATATGGCTCGAATGTTGCTCATTACCCATCAGCCAGTAGGGCTACTGTCAGGTGATCATAACCAGGACGATACGTTACCCGTTGATCTATTATCTACCTTCAGGGAGATGGAGAAAGGACTCAAAGCCCATAGTTCAGAAGTGATCGCAATCGTTCGCGGAAATCCCTGTGATGCCGTCAAACTAAGATCTATCCAGCCGCTATATTTAGCTGGCCGAAGTTGCACAACAAGGAGTGATCGGAGGATTCTTCTGAGCATGTTCAGGGATATCCAAGATGGGCTGGGTGTTGCAACTAGATACAGGGTGAAGGCTTTACTACAAGAATGGGGAACATCGTACGAGGAACTAGAAGCCCAACCATTGCCAGCTTCCGAGGATCATCATGTGCCACAGCACTAGTCTACGATCTACAAAAGTCCATACTTTATTCGATTAGCAAAGCCCTATTATCAGGGGAAATAATTCAGCGTGTTTCGCACCACCTAGCCAAGAACCATGAAAACAGCAGGAGTGATCAAATCAGTCGGACCGGCTTCAGAGATTAAAAACAGGGTCTCCAATCTCTACGCTCGACTCAGTGGCCACAGTCAACGTGACGGCAAGGGGGTCAAGCAAGGCGCCCTCACCATAAGATCGACTAATGATTTCATTACATTAAGTCTCACAGGGTTCAAATATTTACATACGCATATCACTAAGAGGGTGGCATGGACTAGAAGAATAGTAAGTGAGAGAGCTATGCAGCTGCTGAAAAAAAAAAGGGGAAATTCCCAAACACCAAGAATTAAGACACCATACCCAGTATCACAACACATTAGGACTAGAAGAATAGACGCTTGTGCTAGTTGTGATGACCTATGAGACATGGTTCACACTCCACGTACGGCTCCTGTTGCAAAACTGTCCCCTACAAGAAGATTTTCAACGGTTAAAAGGGAAGTGACGATAACACCAACCGGTTCGTAATCGACGATGTAAGGGGATATTAGTCGTATCGATGTTAATCAGGTGACAGGAGGCCAAGGCCGATTCGCGGAGAGATGCATAACTTCCCTGTATAGGTGGATACTGCGGAATACAGAGCCCGAGACCGCCACTGAAAAGCACCTAGCCCAATCGCATATCTTACACGCTGTGATTGCACATGATCATGTTCTGTTGAAATCATGAATCGTATAGAGTAATACTTTTAAAGAGAAAAAGAGAAGGGGGGGAAAGAGACATAAGAATGGAGTAATCAAACAATGTCGTAACTTGAGGTAATGTGGAACAACATAATTTCAAACGTGAGATTTAATGACTTGGGCCGATCAATGTCTCAGCGGACCTCCCTCGACGGCAACCTGCACCACATCAGAATCTCCATGAGTCTGAAACCATGCCACATTTTAAGTGGTGTACCAATTCCACTCGATCGACTCTGCATCTAATCCTGCGACATGAGGTTCCAAGAAATCTGTCAACAGAAGAGGAAGGCTTTTACGTCACTTAGCCAAACAATCGCCTGACCAGCACGCAAGGTACGAACAATACATCGCATACTTTTCCAAGCTTAGTTAGTATCATTATCGAACTCCAAACGTGTGGAGAACTTTTGAGAAATCACGCACATCCTCCTGGTCTGTTTGCCGCCCCATTCTTTTCCCCGTGGGGAGAAGCCGCTATCTGATATTTGGAGGGAGCCATCTGACGGAAGGATAAATAGGCTACATTGAAACCTAAGCAAGTTCCGGTTTTGCTTTAAAAGAAAGCTTGACAGGAAGTTCTGATACGAATGTCACTCTAGCATTACCTCTATTTTGTCATACAACGTTTTCCGCAATGGCCAAACCATCGGAGCGGCAACCGTATCTTGGTCTGACTGGGAAACGGTTGCTTTTCTGGATCACTTTTGCCTGCAGTGTTGATATGCTCATGTTCGGCTACGATCAGGCCGTCTTCAGCGGAGTCATCGTGACTGATAACTTCCTCGAGCTTCATGATCTGGTAGGACCTGAAAAGACAACGGTTCTCTCCACCCTCACTGCTATCTATGATATCGGTTGCTTCCTCGGTGCCATCATTGCATTTACCGTAGGAGAGCGTCTGGGACGGAAGAGATCTATCATTTCAGGCACAGCCATCATGGCCATTGGCGCCGTTATCAAAACTTCCTCCTTCTCCCTTGAGCAAATGTTTGTCGGTCGCATCATCCTTGGGTCGGTAATCTCATTCGTGTTACTGTTTATCAGCTCCAGCTAATTTGCTGAAAGCATCGGAAACGGTATCAATACCGCCACTGCCCCGATATGGCAAACGGAAACCTCTCCACCTCACTTGCGAGGGAAACTTGTCATGTTCGAAATGATGATGAATATAGCCGGTTTTTCTCTTTGCAACTGGATCAATTATGGGCTATCATACGCCGGTGGTGCAGTTGCCTGGAGATTCCCTCTCGCATTCCAGTTTGTGTTCATAATCGCTCTCTTCACTACTGTTCCGTGGCTTCCAGAGTCCCCCAGATGGCTGTACCATCATGGTAAAGACAGTGAAGCCATAGACGTTTTAGCTCGCCTCCAGGATAAGGGCATCAGCGACCCCTTTGTCGTTGCTCAGCAAGAGGAAATCAAGTATGGCATTAAATACGAGAAAGAGCACCAAATTCGGTGGAGAGATCTCTTCAAAAACAAGACAACCGAGGACACAAAGCCACTCCGCCGCCTTCTTCTGGGTGCCGGCACACAGTTCATTCAGCAATTTGAAGGTACGCTCCCATGAATTTCCACATTCTGATCCTCCATTAACTAGAAATTAGGTATCAATATCATGTCTTACTATCTTCCAACTGTACTCATCACGGCCGTTGGTTTGTCCAATGAGCTAGCTCGATTATTGACGGCCGTCAACTCTGTGACCTATCTAATCTTTTCGTGTGTATCCATTCCTCTCGTGGAGAAATGGGGCCGCCGTGGGCTGATGCTCGTCTCAACTGCCGGACAAGGTTTTGCCTTTCTTGTTATCACTGTGCTCCTCCGCTACGGAAGTCCACCCTCTGGCAATACTAAGGCAGCCGAGGCATCTATCTTCTTCTTCTTTTTCTACTACATTGCCTTTGGTGTTGGTATGCTTGGAATTCCCTGGCTGTATCCTACCGAGATCAACTCCATCTCTATGCGAACCAAGGGCGCTGCTGTGGCGACGGCGACCAACTGGTAGTCAATTCCACTCATTCGAGTCGTAGATGAGGTTGCTGACAGCTCTCCTAGGCTTACCAATTTCGTCATCGTTGAAATCACTCCCATAGGCATCCAAAATCTTGGATGGAAATTCTGGATTGTTTTCACCGTCTTCAACACCGCTTTCATGCCCGTCATATACTTCTTCTATCCGGAGACTGGTAAGAAACATTCTCCTCGCTTAGACTAAATAAAGTCGCTGACATTCGTGAAGCAAACCGTACCCTCGAGGATCTGGACGAATACTACCGAAGTAACCCTCCTCTCATTATTGTGGGCGACAAGGATGCCACGTCCAGCAAGCGCCCCCTCAAGTATATAGAGAGAGAAGAGTCTCATGTTCGTGATGCCGCATCGACTGCTGTTGATGCAACCGCCGGGCCAAAGGACATTATTCTTGGGAGCGAGCACCATGAGTGAGCATATATTTTCGGGTGAAGGACATCCTCTTAGGAATATCTCAAAATATTCCACATCGATTGCACAAGCTTTTAAACCAATCGGCTAAACCAGTGGATCTATGCTTCTCCTATAACGCAATATGTTCCAAATAAAGTAACAATATGACACTTCATCTATTTCTAAAATTATTGATAGTCTCATGCCGTTCCTGAGGTGACTTACTTCACTATCTACGCTCACGTACTACTGAACCAAGTTCTAATGGGCTATGTATCTCTCACAAATAGTATATTAAATGTGTACCCGTCCCAAGGTTAAACAAACAGCCAATTGAACTCGATTTTTGCTATGCATGGTCTCTCTACTGGCTTGAGTAGCCTGGAAACCACTCCATGTCAAATCACATAGATGAATAGAAATCTAAAAGTGCAACTCCACACTCTCGGATAATCTTCCAATCTGGACCTAATCACAAAACATACTATGGATCACGTCGCAAGAAATGACAAATTGGGGTCGCAGCACAAGCCGCTCCGAGCGTCATTGCGTTTGTTTTAATTCTCTAGAATAAGAATCTATTGCAAATCCATTGCTAAATGAGATCGACTAGTTTCAATGTCTCCGCTGGCCTCGTCAAACTTGGTCTTGAAATACGATGCTCATTCCAACAATCCCAACTCCTGACCCGCCCTCTAAGCACCAAACTCCCTCTGCATTGAACCGAAATCCAAGATGCCTTTATTTCAGCCCGCCGACGTCAACACACACATGCTTTCTCAATTCTCACTCAAAGGCAAGATTGCTGCCGTGACTGGCGGTGCCAAGGGCATCGGTCTGGAAGTCGTGCGCGGCTTGGCCGAGGCCGGAGCCGATGTCGCGAGAATTTACGCCACCAGTAATAATGCTGCAGAAGTTGGTGAAAAGATCGCAGCAGAGAATAAAGTCAAGGTCGGGGCGTACCAAAGCGATGTACGCTCAGATCGTTGCTGATTTTGGCCGACTCGATATCATGGTTGCCAACTCTGGCGTTTGTGCAGATATCCCAAATCTTGAGTACACGGAGGAGACATGGCAGGCCAACAATAGTGTCAATTTCGACGGCGTGATATGGACGGCACAGGCCGCAGGGAAAGCGTTCAAGGAACAGGGCAGAGGGAACCTGATCATCACAGCAAGCGTCAGCGCCACTCTCGTCAATGTCCCTCAAAGACAAGCCGCATATAACTCATCCAAGGCTGCTGCTGTGCATCTGGCTAAGAGCCTGGCAGTTGAATGGGTAGACTTTGCGCGAGTCAACTGTGTCTCCCCAGGGTTCATCGAGACGGAAAGTAGGGATGCCCGTGTTCTCACGATTAAAGCGAGGCGATGGGCTAACAGAACACCTACCTAGTGCTTTTCATTCAGCCAAAGGAGCGTTTCGACAAATGGATGGATATGATTCCTGGAAAGCGCATGGCAAAGGCTGCCGAGCTCAAGAGTGCAAGTTTCTTCCCATCACGAATAATGAGTCTTTGTAATCTACATACTAACGGACGTGAAACAGATCTACGTTTTCCTTGCCAGCGACGCGTGCTGCTATATGACAGGAGCAGACATTATCGTAGACGGCGGGTATACTTTGACTTAGTTAATATTTACAAATCCCTCATGAGCATCGGCTTACTTCAGATGCAATAACAAACAATTGCACTGTCATCCAAAACTCGCAATTGCCACTAGACGTGTTCACCCCGGACGGAGTGAGATCAGCCAATATTATGCACAGTAATACACGCGTGTCGCTGCAACTGTGGAGCGTCTCCGGGGGTAGATCTCACACCGTGAATCAATCCAACCAGTGCGGAGCAACTTCAGGTCTCAATGACAACATTGAAGACAGAAAGAACAGCACGTGCATGACTTGTAGCGGAGGCCTCGCGTCTCTTTGACTCAGCCAGCATGAACGAGGATCACTGCTTCCAGCCAGGGTGGCCGCGTAGAACCGGCTGCAACAGCCAATCCGTGTGGGTACGGTCATAACATCCCAAAGTCCCTTGACAGTGGATACTCATGCGAGGCTTGAGCTGAGGACGCTGTAAGATTACGGTGCCTGTGGGCTTCTAATAATACATGGCCGTCCCGTTGGTATAAGGATGCTGGCTCCCGCTTCAACCAACACGTTTGTCTTTTCGTTAGATTCATCTCATTTTTCGTTTTGCTATAGTTTCTGTTGACCAGATTCTATTTGTGTTTTTTTCCCGCTTTTTTTTCTTCTTGTTTCTCCTTTTGTGTCCCCCGAATCCTACTATTGTGAGAAAAGAGTGTTTCGCCTCCCGCATCGAAAATGAAGTCGTCCGTCTTAGCCCTCCTGCCTGCTCTCGCCGCGGCAAAGCCCGTTCCTGATGTTGGCATTTCCACGGTCAATGTCGTTGGTGGGCAGGAAGCCAGTGCTACTGAATTTCCCTTTATTGTCAGTCTCGAGAGCAAGACGGAGGGCGAAGAAGGACACTACTGTGGCGGAACACTCTTGAATTCGCTTACTGTCCTGACTGCCGCCCACTGCCTCGCTTCCGAGGACGCAGAAAATGTTCAAATCCGTGCTGGTCACAGGGTATGTATTGTCTCTAGCTTTCTCCTCGCGGGTCACTTGTTTCTATGCCTAGATTCTTTCTGTCTTGGTCCTCCATGGATCAACAGGTTCATCCCGTCCCGAGCCGGAGAAGAAGCTTACACTGCAAGTAGATTCGCAACGAAGGCGGCGTCACAGTCAATGCGGCCTCCATCTGGTTACACCCCGACTACAACGCAACCTCAGCCGAAAACGACCTTGCTCTCGTGCAGCTCGAGGAACCGATCGAGAAGACCAACAACATCACCTACGCCACACTATCCCCTCCGAAGAGCGACCCCAAAGCCGGGACCCAAGTCACTGTAGCGGGCTGGTAAGTACAGCAAGCTGAAAAGAAGATTCCCACCTTGACGATTCTAACAAAATAAATAGGGGCCACACTTCGGAAGGTGGTGAATTAGCGGACACCCTGCAGAAGGCCTCGTTCCCCGTCATCGACCGCGCCGAGTGCAAGAAGACGCTCGACGCCAACATCACCGAAGGCATGTTCTGTGCCGGAGACCTCAAGGGCGGCATCGACTCATGCCAGGGCGACAGCGGCGGTCCTCTACTCAACGACGAGAACGGCAACGTCATCGGCGTCGTATCCTTCGGCTTCGGATGCGCTCGCGAGAACTCACCCGGCGTCTACGCTCGCGTCGGATACTACCGCGAGCTCATCAACAGCAAGATGTGGAAGCCTGCCGTGGCAAGACGGTTCTTCGCATGAGCGGACCTGGAGTCTGCCCGAGTAGCCGGTCTGCTTGCGCATGTCATAATGATAATCAAGCCCAGATTAATGGATCTTTATTAGGGTATAATAGCAGTGCGGAAGGGACACATTAGCGATTTTTTACTTATGATTTGGTTGTGCCAGCTGGATTTGGCCGAAATAGAAACATAGCATTACGAAATTTGACGATTATTGAACACACCAAGGCTCCGTGATTTCGATCAATGCTTACAGTGGCTCTACACAATCTTAGCTCTGGGGAGACAAGTAAAACGATTCAATTCACGTCCTGAGGGCCCTAGTATCTGTGTTCGATGTGCATTTCATTAATTCGGTTTCGGGGGAGAAATAAGCATAACTGCATCGGCCCATTCCGACTCCCGTGTTGAGGCGGATGTACACGTAGCTGATCCGTCCATGACCGGTCGATCCGGTTTCCGTGCATAGAGGCCTCCAGCGCCTCAAACCTGCAGTGAATATCTCTTGCCAACCTTTCTCTAGGCACGTTTCTTCCATAACTGCATTCGGGATTAATTTCCGGTGGTTGTTTTAGGCACTCACGCGGTGGGTCAACGCGGTCTGAAGTTTTCCAAGATATCGCAACCGAGTCTCTCAAAATCAATCCACACGATGCAAATGTCGGACGGCACGTCCCTTAGATATTTCTTTATTGGATAATGGTCAATTACATATTATGCCATAATTCTCTTTGTTGTCTGATCAAGACTATATTTTAGTTTGATAAGAGCTTCATAGCAGGGGACAGATCCTGTATTCAAAATTCGTCAATTGACAACATCTCACCAAGAGCAGAGTTCTTCATAGCAGGACAACTTGCAGTATAGACTTCCATAAAGCTGATCAAAGGCTGTGAGGTGGAGGCAGAAGCAACATCAAGCTTGAGATGGGTAGCGAATGGAGAATCGAGAGTCTTCCCGTTGCGAAAGGTCATGAAAAGACTGCCGATGATCACTATTTCTGGAGATTCTCCCTGGCCAAAGAAGGCCCGGTCAATGGTGTGCTTCCGCGACTCAACGACCTTCCAAGCATTTTCACGACTGGCTGTGATATCTAGGATCTCCCTTATTAGCAACCAAGTTGATCGCATCCAGAGCGAGGTTTACAGAACCAGCTGAGCCAGTGAAGCTTCCCTGAGGTGATTTAACGCAGGCGTCGCTAGAGAAGACTTTGGAGGCTAGGATCTCTCCAGCATCTGCCTGGGGTGAATCCGACAGCTCGTAGTACCTCGAGATGAGATCCTTGATGGGCTGGCGGAAGGCATCTGATTGCCAGAGAGTAGATTCCGTAGCATAGCCCATTATGTATATCTCCAAGTATATTCAGGGATGTTGCTGTTGAGGGTGATTTAGAAAGGCAATCCCAAGCGTATCTAGGTGATGCATAGGAACATTTATAACAGCGTAAATGTCTTAGCCAAGATATTGGTGAAATAGTCTTTACTAATCTATAGTTGTCTAGGCTCCAATTGAGGTGTTCAATGGACGATTCAACGGTTCTTTCGGATATTTCAACTACCCGAACACTTATCTGAGGCCATGCGAATAGCCCATTAAAGTGCAAACAGCAGAGCCTTGAGCAAGTGCTTTCGGCATTTGAACTCCCCGAAGAAACTTGTCCGAGATCCACTGAAGCAGGAAGTATTATTAAGCAGTATCTTATGGATTTTAGATTTCGGACCACCCGAATCTCCTTCGTTGAGAGCCATCGTACGAGCGCTCTCTGCAGTCCAAGGTGGAGCTTTTCAACCAGGTGACCAACTGGTTTACAAGGACTTGGTGTCCTTGGAATGAGGATAACTGGCAGGCCTTCTCTCATAAATGTAAATGAAGATTGCCTCACCGCAAGTCGCTCATTTCCCTGAGAACCTGTAATTAGGTCGCAAGCTGTTGACAGAAAGGACTCTTCTTCCGTAGCTTTTCTCCGTACTTGATGAATGCAAATGGGATAATGGCTAATATGAGCGTGATGAAACCCAGGAGTGAACAAGCCCACTGGATCCCCAAGTTGCCATACATTTGGGGAGCCGCTAGAGGAAGGCAAACAGCCGTTATAGACCGCATGGTGCTCATTGACGCCTGGGCAGAAGCCGAAAATTCCCTGTAAGCATCAGTCACGTAATTTAGGAGCGACATGAAAATGATGATGTATCCAGCACCAAACAGGAGTCCCGACATAGCAGGGACTGCAGGATGAATCCATGGAAAGGAAGTCCATCCCAGCCAGAATAGGGAAATAATGATTCTACCAAAGTCAGCAAAGGGGTCATCTGATATGATAGCAACGGAAAAACCTCACAATGGGCCTCCAAAGCAGGCAAGGGGAAGGCGGCGGTATTCAATTTTCATGGCCCATTCAGCCCCTGATAACATACACCTGCGATGGTAAGACGTGTACCAGAGAGATATGAACAATGCAGAAAGGGAACCGCCAGACACTATCAATGGTGAGATTCCGGGGAGCAAGAAGGGAGCCGATTGATGTGATTACCTGGTAAGAATGTCAAGCCAACCTCTCCTGCTGAAAGGCCATAAACGCCTACTGGAATCTTAGTTTCTCCGGTATGAAATCTTGGAAGTAGGAATACTACAAACCTTGGTAGATGATAAAATAGGACTGGAAAAATAGATAGAGAGTCGCATAGATCAACGACAAGTATAGCCCAGTGAAAAGCACAACCGGTTCCTTGACGATCATGATAAATGGCCTGGAGAAGACGATTTTTAGTTCTTCTCGCAGACTGGGCTGCTCTTTCCCATACGGATCATTGACGACGGCCAATTCAATGTTATTGCGCTTCATGTGCTGTCGTCTGATGAAGTGGATGTAGGTTTCAGGTAACCAAAGGATCAGTGGCAAAAATACACCAGAAATGCCCAATGCGATCCAGAAGCTAAGTCTCCAGGAATATTTTTCCACAACATAGCCTGATATGATGGGTCCAAATGGCGGTAGCATGGCAGTAACACATCCATAGATGGACACGGCGTTGCCCCTCTCTTCAGGAATGTCGAAAATATCCGCATAAATAGGTCCAACAACAACATTAGGAGACGAGGCGGCAACTCCACAAAGGAAGCGAAAAAATATCAAAGCAGAGTAGGAGGGGCTTACGGCACAGCAGATGGTGAAGATCATGTACCCAACGTAGGTGCCAATGATGACGAGTCGTCGTCCGATGTGCTCACTGAGGGGCCCAAAAACAAGAGGACCAAAAGCAAATCCGATCATAAACACGGAATTCAGCAGCACAGGATACAGTGGATTGGTGATTTTGAAGTCCTTCACAATCTCACTGGCTGCTCCCGACGGGAGAGATGAGGCCAAAGCGCTGTTCGAGATAGAGACGAGACCTGCCGCTGCCACTAGTAGTTTTTTCGTCTTCCAGAAACATTGTCGTCAGCATTCTTCTTATGTCTGAATGGCAGTTTGGTCTCGAGGAATTGAGCATACACGAGAGAATTTAACAGGAATCTTCTCATCTGGGAGCAGCACGGCGGCATCCAGCCAGATACTGTTCTCGGTTCCGGTAGTCATCATGCAACATCTGAGATGACAACAGGCAACTCCTTCCACAACTCAAGCCGTCTTTGAAAGGACACAGTCCGTCGAAATTTCTCACACACCGAGGAAAGAGAGGGAATATTTAAATCCCCGCGTCTGCCACCGAAACGAAATGGGAAGGCCGATCACCGCTCTCCGGTTTTGCTCCGGATTACCCCACACTTCACGCCCTACCACCAGAACACACCTTATCTCCGCCATATCCCCTTTTAACCATGATTATTTGGACGACCATGCATCTCTTCCACTGCTAAATACTTTTCTCTTTCAGTTAATGCGGTTGATACGAGGCACCCTACATAACGAGATGTATTCAGTAATCACTGCCTCAGTGCTTAAACCTTGCGGTACTATCTTACACTTGGCGAAGGTCTCGCAACAAAGCATAGAATATTATCTATTTAACCAGTAGCCGTTCAAGCATCCATGGATTGGTGGCATAATACACTATTTAAATCATCCTGACTGGGTTTGCACAACCACATATATCATTACATAGCTTGCTAGCAGTGAGCATAGATATTATCGACGTAACGCGCTCTAGATGAGTTTGAACTACTTCGTGACACATCCATACTTTCCGGGTTCATCGTAGGTTCGTCGAGGGCACTCCTACAAGCAAACCATCTATGCTTTTCCAGACCCTTCTATTCAAAAATGCGTCACATTGACAGGCGTAGCAACCATATTAACCCCGGGCGACAGATTCACTCGGGGCACACTTAACACCAGCGTCAGTGCGTAAGCCGTAGCAAATTGGGTTGCGGGGGAGATATCTGAGTTCCTATTGACGTCAATGTGCCCGACAACAATTTGACTCATACGCTGATGAAAATGTCGCACGACTCGTAAGTTCAATCTTAAATACTTGACCAGACGCCCGAATAATGAGACAGAATCAAAACATTGCCACCGCTAACTACCTATGTTCGCTTCTGGTGGCCAAAGCACCGTCTAGCTTCCAAACAAAGCTTGTTCCTTTATTACCTTTCAACTTTCTTTTACCCTTTGATCGAAACCCAATAATGCGTTTTTCGAGTCACAAAGCTTCTCTTCGGTGATGTAATTGGGTTCCAGATGTTCTTGCGGGGTTAGGGGCTGTGAAAATAGAATGACGCTTTCGTCCATTGGAAAAAAAAATATAGCATCAATTAAAAATCAGCATAACACAAGGCATCAAAATTGTGTGTATTGTCAGGTAAACGGGTTCGAAGATGGCCGTTAGCAATATAGTATCACGGAGACGTTTCCGCCCTCGGCTTTTGTCTTTCTTACCTTATATTTGCGCGCAATCCCTTGTATCAATGGACTTGGTGCTGGGCCAATGAGAATTCAAAGAAAATGAAAATGACCGAGGAAAAAATGGCTGGACCAATTGCATGTATGTTGATTAAAGCCCAAAGACGAGTTCAAAATGCAGTATATATCCCATTTTTTCATTGGTCTATATGCTGGGGAACTCAAATCATATTTCAATCCAATTTCCCCATGGGGTAGTGTATTAGTGTAGAATTCTACCAACGGGGGGGTTCGAAGACCATATTAGGAACTGGTAAACAACATTCATCAGAGGTCAGTTGAACAAAATATACTTTTCAGAAATAAACACAGACGCTTGCATGTGATATTTACAAAGTCAAGTCGGTTCACATGAGTATTTGGTTATGTGGGAGAGTTTGAGTACAAGGTAAAAAACAGCAATCGAAGATGCCAGAACCAACATCTCAACCCAATGAATGAGTCAAGGGCCAATTGAGTCAGATTTACTCTTCCAGACAAACTCAGTCAGTCGTCAGCTGTGATAATTGCAAAGTTAAGTTGGCTCACATGAACAAGATGCGTAGAAGGCTCTGGAAAAATTGATTTTCTTGGAAGATTATTCGTCAAATATGGGGAGTCTTAACCATATCTAGATCCTGGGGTAACTTTTGTTTCCCCACGGGGGCGTTAGCAAGTGAAACACAAACCTTGACTTGATCACAAGTCATGTCTATTACTCACTTTGGGGGAAATTCAGAAAGCATAAGCTGGATGAGTGGTAAACAACAGATCAGTCCCAGCTCAAGCTGGTCCCTGAAAAAACTACTTAAACCCCTCATTCCTCCTGCTTTCCTTTTGTTTTCTTCTTCCTTTCATCATCAGTTCGATAACGCACACTCCCATACGATTACCAACGATTACCAACGATTTCACCGATAACGCACACGAACGACGACGAATACCGACACTTCCTTCATCGCTTGTAAGTATTGAACACATTTATCCTTGACGCGTTTACTAACCATGGCTTTCAATCGTAATCAGACGTACTTCGACTTCACTCCGCCGCCGCAACGAAGATTTTCTCGACGACCGACCAAGATGTAAGTTGAAACCATCCCCAACACCACCTTTTCATCCCCCTTCCTTACCCATATCATCATCCCCCTTCCTTACCTATATCTTCATCACCCTTCCTTACCCATATCATCATCAACCTTCCTTACCAATATTAACATCCACCTTCCTTGCCCATATCGTCCTTTGTCATCTTCAACTGTTATGTACATCAATACTAACTAGATTAGGTCCGCGATGCTCGCCGAGTCGGACCTGTCGGAGCGGTGCCCTTGCGGGCACTGTGATGATGACGCCGGGAAGACAGAGCCCGAACGCCGACCGAATCGACGCGGTTTCCGAGCGCTGGTTCGAAGGGTCAAAGAAAAGATCAAGACGTGGTGGTTGAGAGACGAAGACGCCGAAGAGTGGAACAAGTTTGTGGACGAAGTAATCTCGACGCGAAAGCAGACAGAGCGCCCAATCCGCACCTCGCCGATGACGATACGATTCGAGCGACACACACGATTCGACCGCCGTCCGACGGACCGGTACGTGAACGATGTAGCGAAGGGGATCGACCGGAAGAAAAGACGAGGGGTTCTATAAGGAAAGGTACGTATCTAAGAATTCCCTTCTATAGAAGAACAGGCTAACCTTTAACTTCCAGGGGAGGAGCGGAGGACCGATCATATACATCACATCATACATCAGGGACAGGTTTGGTATAGGGTTTTCGCTAAAATTCGATAGAGGAGGAATACGGGGGCAAGGTTTGGTAGCAGGGATTTCGCTGACTTTCGATAGAGGAGGAATATAGGGGGACAGGTTTGGTAGAGGGTTTTTCGCTAACATTCGATAGGTTTTGTGCGGGGAGTGCAAGGTACGTCCATTTTTTCCCTTTTCTTGAGTCACTTCATGTTGTTTTATCCCATCATCATCTGGTTATGCTTTTCATTTCCCCCAGCGTGTTTTCATCAGCGTGTTTTTATGAGCGTGTCTTTTTCTCCCCAGCGTGTCCCCCTTATCACTTCACGTCTTTATCTGTATAGCTGTCACTGCACATTCCCCAGCGCATCAGCATCATTACTTGTATTATTCTACCCCCTTCCTTCTTTCTCCCCAGCGGCCACTGCCCGCCGAAGAAGCTTTGGTTCAAGTGAATCATATGTGGAGGCGCCAGTCAGAAGTCTGTCCGGTCCAGAACGATTGGCTGGCACCTTCTCGCGGTGTTCTGGGTCAGTAACCAGGGGTCATCCCCTTGGTGAAGCTAAGACCAGCCAGATGTAGATATCAAGTAAATAGAATAATAATAATTTCAATATCATCAATGCAATTCACGCCCAAAAATTTCGTCGTGGGAGCAAGATAATCGCTTTAACTCTGCATAGACTTGAAGGCCTTGGACGTAGCTAGCCCTTCCAAACAATGTTATTTGCATGGTATCTGCCAGCCTCAATCGAAAGAATCATCCTCAATTGTCAATAAAGGTCAAATATGAGAGTTCAAATTGATTGAGTGCTAAGTAGTGCCCCGAAGCCTACAGTCGCGATTGAGTATACTAGGAAGGGTGATGTTGGTTGGAACCAGCCCACCAGTCGGATGATGAAGTCTAGCCAAATCACGGGCTTTAGGTTGGATCAACGTCAAGGTTATTTATCCCTTTAAGCTAAGGTCAGGGAAGAAGGCAGCCTCTCAATATTTACCTCTTATGAGTAGCTATAGAATCTGCTTTGAGTGTTATGAAGCTGATGGGATATTGTCAGACGCTGTGAGACGTAGGCAATAGGGTAGTGGTCAGAAGAAGACTGATCCCATTAAACCGTGTTTGTGGCGGTTCCAGTGTTTTACGTCATAACATTGGTAGCTGAGCAACAGAAACGGACTCGTATCTGCGTGTAGGTGGAGCAAGAGAAGTGTCTTAATTGCTCATGCCGCTATTGGGAGCCTAGAACGCCACCTTTTCAGCTGAATATTGGCCAAGATATCAGCTAGCCGCTGGTTGGGCTCCGGAGAAAAACCGGGAGCTAGCTCATCGTTCTTCAGGCAAAGAAAGGGGCTGCTCCAATCTTGCCGTTGCCTGCATCGACTTTGACCCTTTGATGTTGTTTCCCTCATTGGAACATCTCAGAGACAATATCCGTGGTTAGGGCGACTGCATTAATCTACGACACCTTTGTATGCCTCACAAGGTCTGCATAATTTGATTCCCAAGCCGCGCGGCACGCGTCCACACGCAAACTCAAACCGCCCAAAATCACAACACACAGCTCACTTAAGATGAAGGTCTCAATAGCCATGAGTGTTGCTCTTTTCGGGCTTGCCATGGCCTGTGGAAATCATGGGCGAACCCACGCGGAAATAGAAGCCGAGAACAATGCAGCCTGTGAAGGTCCGAATCCACCGATATGGTGCCCCATGAAGTGTCAGAATTGCGGCGGGCATTACTGCATCGATGGGTTCAAAGCCTGGCAGTGCAATGTCAACCCAAGACAGGGCGACTTGTGCCCGGGCGGGTGCGACGATTGCTCACCACGACGCCAATATGAGGCAGCCAGAGGATGTGTTGGCGGGCCGACAGGGGCAGATGGCGCAGTACGTATAACTCTCTATCCTTCTGGTTCAATCCATGTTCTAATAAAGTTTAAATCTACTGTAGGCTTGCGTGAGTGTTTACCAATTATCTCCTTTAATATTCTAACTTCCGGGCAATACTAACAAAGATCGTTCGCTCTACAGGCCCCATGTTGAGAAGGCTCAAGTTTTCCCCTCCTGCTTGCCTAGACCAGACTTTGCCAGGAGAAAATCGTCAGCTATTTGTAACTCAGTATGCGATGTTCGCTATGCAGATTTCTGAGGAGGGCATCATTGGATTTGAAACTATTAATGGATTAATGACTCTGGGCGGAACACAAAATTAGAGTAAAATTAAATGGATGAGTTTGGTTTGGCCTTTGCCGCCTGATGCTGAAATGACGTGATGTGATATTTACTTTCAAGTGTTGTCAGTCTTGATGATACTATTTAGGCTTTCACTGAGTTGAGCCTCCAATCCAAGCAGGATCTAGCATGCCTTGTCATTCTTTCATCTTCTACACTTACTGTCGAATCGAGCCTAGCTACACAATACCCTTCCACGTAAACTGCAACCATAATCTTACCATGCAACTAACCCAGGGCGAGCACATCGGGCAATCTAGGTCGCGCTCAGTTTCTCAACATGTTTGGATGGAGGAGAGTCAATTGCGCAGACAGAATCGCTATACTCTGACATCGGCCAGGTCGAGCTGGTTAGCATACATGATTTGTTAACAAAGAGCACATTCAATCAATGATGCCATTGGCTTTCGATTTCTGCTAACGTGAATTGACAGAATGCTACATATCTATATGCTTTACTCTCGCTTTTCTTGCGCGGTAAATCCAAGATTCTCTAAGCATGCCATATTTGATCCATCAAATCTACATCACAAAATAAACAAACATCATGGAAGATTCTTCTTCCCGGTATCAACCTTTTTCTGCGCGCGGCCACCGAAACCCCATCCAATCTGGTGTGCCACATTAATGTGGGTGTTCAAATCATCAGCCCAGTACCAGACCAGCCCTGGATTCTTCTGGAACATGCGCCCTGCCGCCACCAGGTCCAGGGGAACATCGTCGTCGGACTTGCCGCCCGAGATGAGTTCCTCCGCGAGCGTCCCCGTCTTGATGCTGCCGACGGTGCTGACCAGCATCTTGTCGCCAACGACCTTCTTGATGTGCTTCGCGAGGGGAGCTTGGTATCCGGGACCGCCTTTGACTTTCTGCTGGGGGTGGTTGCCTCCACTGGAGACGTCGAGCACGTCAACACCTCGCTCGGCGAAAAGAAGAGCAAGCTTGGCGGCGTCGTCAACAGTCCAGCTCTCCCCATTGTAGTCGGGGTTGGTGTCGAGCCAATCGGTGGCGCTGATGCGCACGAAGAGGGGCATGGTATCAGGCATGGCTGCTCTGGTCTGCTCAACGAGTTCCAAAGCAAGACGAGCGCGGTTCTCGAAGCTTCCGCCGTACTGGTCGGTTCGCTTGTTGACGGCGGGTGTCAGGAAGCTTGAAACCAGATATCCGTGGGCAAAGTGAAGTTCGATGACATCGAAGCCAGTGTCAATAGCGCGATTGACGGCGAGGGCAAAGTCGTGCTTGAGCTCAGCTATCTCATCCAATGTCAAGGCCCGCGGCGTGGGATATCCCGCATCAAAAGGCTCGTTGCTGGGACCAACGACATCGCTGGGCCATCCACGCGCGGCTTCAGTCGCGGCAGGGCCAGCCTTGATCCATGGTGCCACGGTGGAAGCCTTACGTCCAGCGTGGGCGATCTGGATGGCAATCAGTGTGTTCTGGCTGTGGGCGAAATCAACGTGCTGTCGAAGAGTTTCCGTGTGTGCATCGAGCCAGATGCCTGAGTCTTGGGGCGTGATCCGCCCACGCGGCTGGACAGCGGTGGCCTCGATCATCATCAAACCCGGCTATTGTCCATGTTAGTCTTCCAATGGGCCTTCTTGTAGTTAAAGATGGTCGGAATAAGGTAGACATACGCCACGCTGGGCCATGCCACCGTAGTGAGTGATATGCCAGGGAGTGTGGAATCCATCAACGGCACTGTACTGGCACATTGGGCTGACCCAGATACGGTTGGCCAATGTGACACCGCGGATTTTGAGCGGAGTAAAGAGTTTTGGTATGACTTCATCTTCGCTATCCTTTATCGCGGTCCCAGATGGAGGATCTTGCTCGGGACTATAGAACGGCACTCCTTTGGCGGGGGCGGGGAATTCTGGGTGAGATGGGGGGAGGCTCGAGTGAGCAATGGTTTTCGTCCGGTATGCAGACATTGCGGCAGATATAGATGGTTCTACGGGTGATTCCAGGCTATTGAAAAACGATCTAGCTCATCGGCAGTCAACGGGGGCCATCCGCTTTATACACACGAATTTCGAGATGGGAGAACCTCCTCCGTCTACCCCTGTATCGGATCTTCACAGCAAGTTTCATAGTAGCGTGTTCAAGCGTGACGGAGTTGCGGACCGCGCCGTAGAGCGCTGCCAATCAGCAGGTGTGGAATGACGGAAAACTGCTCAAGCAACACATCATGTCACTACGTATTATTAATCAACTCGTGGGTAGCATTAGAAATCAGGCAATGTGACAGAGGGGGGAAAAGAAAAATTTCTCATAGTTTCAAGACCAAGATCATTATCATGTGGGCTGCCGGGATCCTGTCTACCTGTTCACCATAATAGTATCAAACAAAAACAATTTGAAAAAAGGAAGTTTAAGTTTGAGTGCTGAGCTTACTCCTCAAACTCCTGCCTGAGTGATACCCACATCTCTCCGGTCATCGGAAAAGGCTTTGTCCGACCAAATCCTTGAAAACAAATAAAGACGCGTTCTGAAGCAGCGCGTTGGCTACCCTAAACCCTGAAGAATGAAGACATGATGCAGTTTTGAGGGATCTCTTGCAGCATTGGTCGTGGTTTATTGATTTCTCATGTGGAGAGCTATAGACATACTGCTAATCTAGGCTGAAGATCCTATCAAGGCGCTTTCCCGGTCATCTACAAAACTTGGGTGGAATGGTCGTCGGAGTTGAAAATACAACACAATATCATTCACGGTTTGGGTCAGGTCCTGAGGCTTTCCCCACCTATTTCTAGCATGCCGTGCATAACAAGCAATTGATAAATATTTTAGGTACCTGGTACTGAAAAAGCCGTTACTAAGGGCAATCATGAGCCTACTATACGTGCAAGAGTACTGCCACTGATTTAGCCATTATCAATGTCTACGGTCCTCACGCATCAATAGGGTAGCTGAGAAAAGTTGGAGATGTGTCTTTCGATCAAAACTCTTACGTAATCATTCCAACTAACTCAAAGGCTCCACCCATCAAAGCTTTGTCAGCGATTCTAGAACCGCTTATCCCAATTTGGAGATCAATGTGGTACCCCTGTCGGAAGCCATGACAACAACTTCTTCTAGTTTTTTGCTTTGGCTGGTTGTAATTTTGCTCCTTGCCATTCCTTCAACCGATGGCAAGTTCGCAGAAGGAAGAACCCGGCGGAGATCAATTTGTAACTGACTAGGTATATACAACTCTGAAATATTTGCCGCCATTGGACTAGTTACTCCTAATAAGCGTTGTCTCTAGGTTTAAGACAAGCGACTGTAGTTTTTTAATGTGCTCTTTTAAATCAAGTGGCAAATGGAGAAAGTAGTATTTGAGAACTAGAGTAGCGATGACGAACGATGTTAAGTGGAGTCGTCATATTCACTCGTTTTGGCGGAGTGTATGAAATCGATTGCTGACGAAACTCCGCAGAAATTGACTTCGGGGCGGAAAGGACAATGAGGCATCTGCGTATTGATCAATGCTCCGTCGAAGGCTATTAGTCTTGATGAAACTTGAGCTCTAAAGACAAGACAGGGGTGCCACATTGATGGCCAGATTGAGTGGTGGATCTCCGACGTGCTACAGCCTACTCTTCTACCTAGACTAGCAAATGCAAATGCGACGTTCAGTCACGCGAAAATATATAACGTGTTGCCCAGAAGGATAATCTCTTTCTTGAATTTGTTTGATAGCTTCTATATCGCATTGCCACATTTTGTCTCATTGTCTGTTGTAATCATGGCTTCCTCCATGTCCCTCCCTCCTCGAAAGGATACCTTTTTCACGGTATTCAGCAAGCACCAACTGCGCCCAAACCCCAAGCCGCCCATGGATCACGTCTCCGTCGCTGGTAAAACCGTCGTTATCACAGGCGGTAATGTCGGAATTGGCCTAGAATGCGGAAAGCTTTTGCTTTCACGCGGTCTCTCACGCCTCATCCTCGGCGTGCGGTCCCCCCAAAAGGGCGAGGACGCCGTTCTATCTTTGCGAAAGGCTTACTCAAAGGCAACCATTGATATTTGGCACTTGGACTTGAATTCATACGACTCTATTCGGTCATTTTCTCGAAAGTGCAATGAGTTGAGCCGCTTAGACGTTGCTATAATGAGCGCGGGAATCATGAATTCGGAATTTAAGGCAACTCCATCGACGGGCCACGAGGAGCAGTTCCAGGTCAACTATCTATCGGCAGCGCTTCTGGGCTTGCTTTTGCTGCCCGCTTTGAAGAGGAATAACCCAGAAGGGTCTCCTGGCCGGCTTACATTTGTAGCTTCTGGAGCAGCTCTGATTGCTGAGTTTGCGGAGCGCAACGAAGATCCTCTTATCCCGGCATTTGACAGACCAGAGGGGTGGAACTCTTCTTCGGCTAAGAAGAGATACGATACAAGTAAAGGATTGGTTCTCATGTTGACACACAAGCTCAGCCAGATCACCAAAGCAGAAGACACGATTGTCAATGTGGTTGACCCTAGTTTCACACCGGGCACCAGCTTCTTCCGCAGTATGCCATGGATAGTGAGGCTACTTGCCTGGCCTCTCACGGCGCTTCTCGGGACCTCCGTAAACAACGCAGCATGGAGGTATATCGATACTGCCGTAGCCAGGGGACCGTCAAGCCACGACAGCTTTATAAGCGACTGGGAAGTGAGCCCGTAAGTCCAGAATCCATTCAGTCGCCCTGGGCAGGGATTAAAATATTTTGCGTTATCAATGCTGACTTGGTCCAGGTACAATGCCTTCATGTATACGGAAGAAGGTAAAGCCTTCATGGAAAAGCTTTGGAAAGAGACAGTGGCAGAGCTCGATTTCCCCGAGGTGCGCGAGGTCTTGAGGTCGTTGGAGATGAAGTCTGCGGCGTAGTGTTTTGGAATGGTCTTCAGCAAACAGAACATGATGCCACCATCATTCCAATACGGGGATCTGTTTCCGACTTGCTATTAATTTGAAGCTGTCTTTGATACGAATCCATATCTTTTCTATATCGGGGAAGAATCCGATTGATCTGTTTGTGTAGAGCGGGTGGTGGCAAGTATTCTTAGATGTGGTAAAACGGTTGTTAATAGTTGTGTGTTCTTATTTATCTACCTAGGTTTTTGATGCGAGAGCTTGATACCTCTTTTTTATCGAATTGTACGATTAGCGTTCCATAGTTCATGTATCTAGGCAACGCTTGCTTAACTAGATAGATTGCTTCAACAATTGGACTATGGTAGCATTTAATTTTACAGCTTTGGGGTGCTTTCCTCACGGCCTTTAAGGTTAGGGTGACCGTCATTCATTGGCCGAGTGACAGCATAGAAAGCGACACCCTCAGATTTGGTTGAGAACTACAAATAGATTAGCCAAGGTGTTGATAAATTGATTATTGTAGAGAAAGCTAACCTGGGCTTTTGATCCGACGTGAAAGAAGGCCCAATCTCCGGCAACGAGATGGTGGGTAATACCGGTGGCTTCATCCTGTATGTTATCAGTTTTGTCTGTGACTAAGACTTCAGAAACCAGGACCCTTACGGTAACATCAATTTGGCCTCGTAGGACATATTTAGTCTCCTCATAATCATATGATCCATATCGTGTAGGACCAGGAACAACCCTGTAGAACCCAGTGGTCAAATAAGGAGTAGAGTCGGCTCTTTGTGACTTGATTGAATGAAAGTCGGCGACAATGGCACAGTCGCCCTCAGGGATAGGGATATGCTCATGACCAGCGCCCTTAATGATGGTAAGAGGAACAATCTTGCCAGACACTAAGAAGAAGTTAGAAGAGGTTGTTCTTGAGTAAGTGATAAAGCATGTCTTACTTTTTGCAGATATAAATAGAGATCGAAGGCAAAGGAAGATAGATAGAATTTACTAATACTAATGAAAACACTTGTCGGCCGCTTGCTTATATACTAAGGTGGTATGGAGTATTCTCGGTATGTATGAGATCAAAAGATGACAGTTGTGCGGAGGGAACACGGGGGACGGCTCCGGGGCCGTTGCTCCGTCCCTCGGACGTGGTGGCGCCTTGGGATGATCCAGCTACTACTAGCTTCAAAAGGAGTTAGTGTTGATTAGTAAAGGTGGACTGAGACATAACATGATCGGTCTTACGGCCGTTAGCCGGATCGTCCCAGATTAGCATGCTCAAGGGAATGTACCACCAGGTAAAGTAAAGGCCTGTGCCGAGCTTCTCAAGAGGTAGTGAACTTCTGGGCGCAGGAAAGTGGCCAGCTCCGTTCCTTACCAATAATTCATTAAATAACGGAAAGGTTATCATATCATGTATCTCCACCGCATCACAATTCCGCCTGGTTAGATCCTAGAATACTCCCATTGGCCATACCAACTTCTTCTCCATATATCTTACCCACTATGTACAGATATGGAAAGAGCAAAGCTTGGCAACAAGTGTTGAAATGCTGACAAATTCTCTGCTTGCAACAATCCCCGAGCCTTTTACATGGTTTAAATAAATTTTGGGACAGTATCAACCTGTAGCCCAAGTAACATTCTACCTTTTGTTCAAGATACTTCCGAGTACTGTAACATGTCCCGCAGCAATCATGCCGAATTGCAGTTCATACCCTCGTCACATCCGGGGACTGCGCCCTCCCGCGAATCACAACGCCGAGCCAACGCACACGCCGCCCGTGTAGCCCATGGGAGGGTAAGGCGATTTCGTGTGATAGAATACCAGGCTTCACAGAATAGCAGAAAGCCAAAGGAGAAAACAGACGCTCCTGGGTCGAGACCCAAAAGGTCAAGGCCCCAGAGGTCTAGTGGGGCTGCGGCTACTGCATCTCCTTTGCCGATTGCTGATGCCGGAGGTTTTGTTTTGGTAAATCCCGTTACCACGTTAGTATCAGCAAGTAAAGAGTCGTTTGCCTTATTTGCAAGGTCGTTCAGCCAGATCGAGTCTTATCTCGTTGACTACTGTAAGGATATAACCTTGGTGGGTGATAACCCGATTACTAAGTTTAAATTAGATGTACAGGTCGTAGTACCATATCAGAGCGTATTTTGCAACCGTTTATGGGACAAAGCAGAGTATAGAGAACTCATGAGAGGAGATTGGATGAGACTCGTCCTCGCCCGAGGTTATTCGTTGGACGCTCTACTGCTTATTGCATGTCGCCACTTAGCCGCGAACAAGTCACTGGAACGTGACGGACACCAACGCTACATGGAACTAGCGGTTAAATACAAGCTTTCATGTGTGAAGGGCCTGAATGAAACTATATCCGACGAGGTCGTTAGCATAATAAGCGATGCGACAGTTGCGACAGTTGTAATGCTGGCTTGTGATGAGGTGAGTATCACCACACTGCGTCCTCTTGAAGACTACTGACTGTGATGTGTGAACTCTAGTTTTGGATTAAAGAACCTTCCACAGCCAGGAGACATTTAGATGGTGCATTACAAATGGTCAATCATAACGGTGGCCCGCAAACACTTGGGTTAAATGGCTTTTTAGAACATGTACTGTACAAATTTTGGGGGGATGTCCAGCATGGTAACCAGGTCTTACATTGAATCTGGTTGCCCGATGATTGAAAGCGGAAGAGTCTTGGCAATTCTTTAATATCATGCATCACGAGCGCTGGATCGATCAACGATGGGGACGGACTAAGACTTTTGGATGATTGCGAGGTTTGCCCTTTTCAGTAATTTGCTCCTTCTTCTTTGGATTTGGGGCAGTTTCTGCACAGTGTGCTAATATCTCAGTGGAATTTAGCACATGAAAATTAAAAAAATCGATTTGTAATTTGATTGGTAATTCTTCATTCGATGTTCTTGTCTTCTCGCTTGGGGCGACACCTTTCGGTAGAGTGGAGGCTTGACTACATGCATTTCCCATTGCGGTAATCTGCTCTTTCTCGTTTCTGCCTAGGGTGGTATTGTAAAATCCGTAGTGGGAGGGAATGGATGGCTGGAAGTGGACTTGTAAGCTGAGCGAGACTCGTTCAACATTGCTGATCTTTGTAGGAGGAACCCAAGTGGTACCGCAGTCGCCCCAGGTATAAATTCCGTGTTGTCCAACACGAAAGTTGAGAGGCGATACAAACCATCATTCCCTATTCGCATCGATACAATACTCAATACTTTCAACATACATTACAATGGCTGACTCCGTTGCTGTCACTCCTGGGTCCTGGATTCTTGTGACAGGTGCCAACGGGTTCGTAGCTTCCCACACTGTCAAGCAGTTTCTTGAGCGCGGATACAAGGTTCGAGGGACAGTCAGAGACCTAGAGAAATCCTCATGGCTTGTTCAGGGCATCTTCAAGTCGTATGCCGATAAAGGTGACCTTGAGCTTGTCGAAGTCAAGGATCTTGCAGTCGAACATGCTTTTGATAGCGCTATCAAAGGAGTATCTGCAGTTGCTCATATTGCCACGATCCTACCCCCTGATAGCGATCCCAACAACTCGATCCCACTGGTTGTTTCGGGTGTGACATCGATTCTGGAATCCGCCATCAAGGAGCCATCTGTCAAGTCCTTCGTTTACACATCATCCGTGGTGGCTCAATCTTTTTGCTCCCCTGGTGACCATACTAGAATCGACCAGGACACATGGAACGACAAAGCAATCGAACTGGCTTGGGCTCCGCCGCCTTACACCCCTGACAGGGGTTTTATCGTCTACATGGCCAGCAAAGCAGCTGCCGAAAAGGCCCTATGGAAGTTTGTCGACGAAAGAAAGCCACACTTCAAAGTCAACGCCGTACTCCCCTTCACCATTATTGGTGAGCCTCTGAACCAAAAACACGCCGAAACGCCCTACTACTTTGTCAAGGATGTTTATGAGGGTAATCCTGGACCGTTAATGCACCCGGCGAGTAAGTCTGCCTCCTCTAGTAGAATCCGGGAGACACATTCAACTGACTCTATAACGCAGTTGTTCATAATGATGTGAAAGACTGTGCTCTTCTCCACGTCGCTTCAGTGCTTGACCCTGAAGTCAATAACGCTCGCTTGCCTGCATGGGGGGAGTACTGTAATTGGAACGACATGCTAGCCATCATGCGCAGACTCTTTCCGGAGCGGAAGTTCATGGACGATCTACCTGGTTTGTCGAGGGTGGACGTTACAACAGACTACACCCAGGCCTTTGCACTTTTGGAGAAATGGGGTGGGCAGAAAGGCTGGAAAAAATTGGAGGAGACAATTGTCGACAGCCTGCCTAACATCCAGAAATGGTATTCTTAGGATATCGGCTCCCTGATCTTTGAATCGGATATGGCCTCAATATGTGGTGTGCCAATAGTGGGTGTGAAGAAAATCGCTGTCAGATGGCGCGTGCTGGCGGATATCTTTAACACTATTTCGCGGATGAGACAACTCCACATATTTATATAGCCTGAGAATGGAAATTGTTATATTCAAATTTTACTGTCTTATGATTGTGTTCGTGTATCATATTTCAATGGCTCCGAAAAGAAATGGTCCTTAAATACGCCCTATATTTTGCAAGGTCTTTCTTAGTCTTGAACAAGTATGAGATGAATATATATCTCTGGTAATGAATCGTTAGGAATAAGGTACACTTAGGAAGTGCAGATTGATTGGTAGATGTCTCCGGCTCACAACTCTTCTCGCCACTTTCCAAGCCAACTTTACTCAATCTCATCAGGATACAATGCCGAAATATCTGGTGATAACCCACCCATGAAAATTCCCAATGAGTCCCAGTTCCAATGAATATATCTCAATGCCGAATAGCTGGCCAAAACCTCCCCAAGTAATACTTGCGGTGCCTCCACATAAAACTCAAACCTCACCACCAGTAACTTGTTCGGTTTGCCATCCACAACCGTTGTCATCCCTTCCGACTTGTCTAAAACGGCTACCAGGCGATTATAGGCGTCAAGCAGAACTGGACGTCGGCTAGGACTCTTCATATTGCCAGTCTGAACTTGCCGTACTACCCATATTAGAGGGCCAAAAGTGCTATTCCACAAGAGGAATGCGGGCCGTTTCGTTGGTGAATGGCCGATTCCTGATCGACGGGATGAATAAGTAGGCGTCTTACTCTCGAAATTGCCGTCATATTCTGGGGTGTGAAGTACGAAATCAGCATTGTTGGTGAATAACTGAACAGTGGCGATGGCTTTCCTGGTGGTCGTATCCGAGACGCAAATATGTGGCTTCGAACGAGTAGGGTCCCAGAAAGACCCTTGGCGAAGGCTAGGTCCCAGTTTGGTCTCATCTACTGAGCTTACCATGCGTTCGTCTGCAGAGTATTCTTCAGTAACAATACGACCATCGCCTGACATACCCGGTCGAGTAATGTTGAACAATTCGGCAGTACGCTCCTTGTTCAGCACAACCGTTGGAAACTTGGACCAAGAACTATGTTGCACTTCCAAGGTTGTGACCGGATAAGTGCTAGTATAGCGAGAATTAAAGTATCTAATTGAGGCATCGCTGACAAGTGATGGTGGTGGTCCAGCTGGAGAGAGAGCAAAGAAAGTCCCAGCACTCTTGTCACCCGAGTTCTCAGTTGGTACAAGACAATCTTTGTCTACTTGCACAAGAGATTCATCTTGCCATGGTAGAATTGCGAGGCGTATACCACAGTGGGAGCAAAAGTGCTCCAAGAAATAGTACGTTGGTGCCACGAGGAAATCACATCGGCATATAAGGATGCCGAGGAGACTCAAACAACTGAAGCCGTGAGCTCTGAGATCAAAGCAATTAGAATTTTATGTCTTTTGGTCGAGAGGTGCGAGAGTATTCTCAGTGCATTGCTACTCACGCCGCTTGGGAGATCATCTCCATTGGTCGGACAGTGTTTCCCGTTTTCTGGCACGCAGGACATTTGACAAATGCAGGCTCTGTTCCAAGCCGAGCTAGGCTTACTGGTTGGGACGCCATTTCTGAAATTCAAGTGATTACTTGATAATATCTGTTAGTTGGTATTAGTTGTATGCTGTCTCTTTGATGTGTAGGGGAAGAGGAAATGATGCAGGAGGAAAGTTCCTCAGAACATACAATAATTGCTTACGGGCTTAAGTTTATTATTATGCATAAAACTTTTGGTCCTGCCCTTGACCACACTCGGATGGCCACGGAACGAATGTCTTCTGACTCCAGAGAAAGAAGGCTCTTGGCACTATTGAGGCTGAGCCCACGTTCTGCTGACTGAAAAGCTCGTTGGCTGCCATTCGGAACCGCCAAGACTAGCTGAGCTGCAAGGAGTCTTGGCAGCCTCCCTGGTCTACAAAAGGCTTGTTTTCTTTATATTTACGGCCTTTACGGCCATAGATGTAATTTATTGCACTGTCATGCGATTGGGCTTCCCTTCTTCATATTTCAAGGCACTGCTAATACCACGTGTACGTGATTGACGTTGGCACACCGATTGCTATTATAGAGAAGGGCACTTCCTCGAGCCGACTTTTAGGCATATCGAAGTTTTAGTTCACAGTATATATCTTCTCTTCTTGAATTGTTTCAAGAATAGAAAGAATCGCACTGTTGTCTGGTGTGCCCTTTGCTTCTCCATTAATCCGCCCATGTTTTTTCTTATACCACAAGTGTCCATTTTCACTCCATCGCAGTCCATTGCCCAATCAGCCCCATACATCCTCGTGCCAGCTTGCTGTCTTTCTCTTGTTTTGCCTCCACTTGTCTGCAGCTTCTTTGGACCAAGAGTTACGTTGCATGACAACCTCTAATATGACATCTCCGACAGCTTTGGCCATTGTTGTGGCTCCGCATATGTAAATAGCCCCATCATTATCCACCAGGTGCTGAACAACCTCGCGAGAATGTACAAGCACCTGGTCCTGCACGTAGGTCTTCTTTGCAAGATTTACATCACCTCCTCTCGGACGGGAGAACGCGGCAATGAATTTCAAGGGCAGAGCTCTGTCCCCGTCCATAGCGGCCAGAGCAGAGAACTCGTCATGATATAGAGAATCAGAAAGATTCTGACTGCCCGAGAAGAGAATCATAGGCCCGACCTTGTGGCCAATAGATGCCAGACGGGCACGCTCTTGTACAAAAGCACGGAATGGCGCGATGCCTGTGCCGGCAGCCACCATTATGACTGGGATGCTTAGATTGATGGGAAGCTTGAAAGAAGACCTGCGGATTTCGGCACGAACCAAAGAGGCATCATTAGAAATGCTAGGGAGATCCGTTGTGGAGAGGTATGTGCTTGTGACGCCGCAAATAAGGGCCGCTGGGTTCTTGAGAACCGGAGTGGGCTTGACGGAAACAACGACGCCGACCCGACGAGGGTCTACGGTGCTAGAGGTTGCAATAGAATAAAGGCGAGGTTGCATTGGCGGTATAAAGTCAATTATGAATGCAAGGGGGAGTCCCATCCACGAGTTGCTCAAGTCATGGCTATTCATAAGCTCAAGAAGTCTCCCTAAATTGAGGTGATGATGGTCGAGGAACGTTGCGTATGTTTCCCTATCCCGACCAATATTTTCAAGCTCAGTTCTCACAATGACACTGGATGTCAGTCGAGCCAAGGCAAGAACCGTCTCTCTGGGAACTGGCGCACAGATGTCGAGGTGCTGGGACACAAGCGCTTGGATAGTTGTCAATGACGGAACCTTCAGTTCATCCATGTCATCTTTGACAGTTATGCGAAGAGCATCCGTTTTCTGGGATTCCAGTCCAAGAACACCAAGTAAGCGATCAACTTCTTCCAGGGGGTTGCAAGGCCAAATGGCAATGTGGTCTCCGGTTCGGTATTTGATCTGGCTGTGGCTGGAAAGGTCTAACTTGAGATCTATGCATGAACGATCCTGTCCGTCATAGGTGGCGACGATATCCCTGGAGGCAATGGGAATATCTATCGTATGCTGTTTTCTGGGCAGTGATTTGTTATCCAGAAGTTCAGAATTGGCGGCTGTGGGCTCTTCCTTTGTGATGCTCACAGAAGGTTGATACTCGGCTTTGTGGTCTGGCATGCCATACTCTGACACAAGGTAAGAAAAGAAGCCTTCCTTCCATTCTAGGAAGTCCTCCTGGGTCGATCGGCTTGCTTCGTCACCTTTTCCCGTAGAAACAAGACATTTGGCACCACATCGATCCATAGACGATGCTATATCATCGATGGCTTTGTTAAAGTACCGATAGTTGCTGTTTCCGCAACCAAAGGCAGCATAACGCAAGTGTGAGAGTGGTGAACTGCGAAGTGTCGTGACGTGGGACACAAATTCTATCGCATTGTGACTTGGATCGCCTTCTCCATAGGTAGACACAATAAACACAACAATGACAGATTCTGCAACTTCTGCGATTGTAGCAGGGTCATAGTCGGCCAAGTCGCAGACAACCGTGACAGACTTCAGTCTCTGCTGAGCATCCCGAGCTAGACGATGAGCGAGGCTCTCTGCTGTCCCGGACTGAGAACCCCAGAGAATGATGATCTTGGCATCGCTCTCCCGAGCCTTTTCGCCAATGTTCCTGGTCGCAGCAGCGGCACAGGATCTTGCCCCATTCACTGCTTGGGGCTGTTGAAAGAATAGATGCTTATGAGGATCTGATCTGGGCAAGACACTTCCTCTATTATAAATGTAGGAGGAGCTGAGAATAACTGCTAGAAGAAGAGCATACTCTCCATAGGTGGCATCCAACAAGCTGTGCTTGAGGTCACTGACCATTCGGTAATCGAGTGTCTTGATTAAATCCATGGTGAAGTGTATTGCAAAAAGTGCTTTTTGAAGGAGGTTAAAGCATATAACGATGAGATATGCGAGACCCCAAATACGATTTATCCTGCCATAGTTTGCGCGGATGCTTGAACAGAGTGTTCACCATATAGGTGATAAGGGCGAGATTTCTCCACGCCCAGATGCTGTTCCCCGATCCTAGTTTTCCGACTGAACTCCGATCTGATCTGGATTAGTCGCCATGGGGTAAATATTGGCCGATCTCGTCATCTGAGGCAACGATCTTATTCCGCAGAACTCGCTAGTGAATCTTCGCGGAATTCAATTCCCTATTATGGTAAAATACCCCGTTGATGACGGCAGGGGCACTAGCTAAATGTGAGTTTCGAATGTCTCCCATGAGTTGGAGTTGAAAGGCTGCCGGCGGAGAAGGGGAAATCCTATAATAGCACCCAGAAGCGACCTGGTTTGAATTGAGCAGAAGTCATAGAGAAACGCATTGGTCTGCTTGCTTCATTCTGCTCTGCGAGCGATTCTCTTCTGAGAAGTGCCTTGCCATGTATACATTCATCTTGCCATATGCTGCGCTCGCAGTTGTTCTCTTCGCCACGTTCGTTCGCATTGTTATTTATCCCATCGTCAAATACTTCCTCGATGCAAAGGGACTCCGAAAATATCCCAACTATTCGTGGTTTTCCCCGTTCACCGACTTTGCCCATTGTTACTTGAGTTCGACGGGATCCCGCTCAGTCAATCTCTTCCTTGAACATGAGCGCAGAAATGAGCCCGTTCTGAGAATCGGCCCCAACGCTATCGCTTTCAACCACCCAGATGCCATCAAAGACATCTACGGCCATCGTACCAAGTGCACGAAGGATAGGAAGGAAAGCATTCTCGCCGGCACGCATCGGAATCTGTTTGATGTCGTGGATAAAGCCGAGCACGGTAGAAAGCGAAAGCTACTATCTGCAGCGTTTGCTATCAAAAACCTCGAGAAGTGGGAGTTTAAGGTGCACTACACAGCGAAGCGTCTTGTCAAAGCATTTGACGATCGCTGTACATCGCCCTTGAAACCTGGTCAGAGCCCAGAGCCAGAAGATCTCACAGTTGATTTTAATCACTGGATTAATCTATGGACAATCGAAGCGATCAACTATATTGCTTTGTCCTCAAAGTTGACGTTTCTTGATACTGGTACCGACGAGTGGACAGCAGAGAGACCTGATGGTACACAGTACAAAGCTCGGTATCGGTTCGCCCAGAATAACGCTGCCATTGTCAAATCAGTGTGGTGCTGGGATTATGATCTGTGGCCCTGGACTGCCTGGCTCACCAAGGTCATCCCAAGCAAGTGGAACCAACACTGGAAAAACAGCTCTGCCTGGGGAGACGTTTGCTACCACCAAGCCAGCGAGAGGCTTCGACGATACAAAGCCGGAGAAGAGCTGGATGACTTCTTCACATGTCTAATGGAGGACAAGGGAGGTGCGCCGAACTTCCTTGAGTGGGGAGAAATTGTTGCTGAGTCGTCTGCTATTATCGACGCAGGCGCGGAGACTACGGCCATTGCTCTCACCAACATCCTTGAGCTTTTGATCCGTCATCCCCAACACCTAGCCACACTAAGAGAGGAGCTAGCATCTGTTTTTGACGATGACGAAGTTGTCGCTTCTTACGACAAGGTGAAAGACCTCCCTTTCCTCAGGGCGTGTCTCGACGAAGGTCTCCGCATCACCCCTCCCACTTCTTCTGGGCTTCCACGAAGAACCCCTCCTGAAGGCACGTCTATCATGGGCCAATGGATCCCAGGCGATACCAGTGTCTCGATGACGATATACGGGGCCCATCATGATGCCAGGATCTATCCTGAGCCAAATGTATTCAATCCTCATCGGTGGATGGATGTTGAGGAGCGAAAGAGGATGGAGCCGTACTTCATGCCATTCTCTGCAGGCGCCCGCGGTTGCATCGGCCGGAACATCTCGTACCTGGAACAAATTGTTATTCTCGCAACTGTTGTCCACCGGTATGACTTTGCTCTTCCCAATGCAGCATTTAAGGGCTGGAGATTTGAGGCTTTCAATCTAATTTGTGGTCCTTTGCCGATAAAGATCTGGATGAGAGACCAGGCTAGACCTGCTATCAACAGCGAGGTTAGTACGCATTGATCAACAAAATACCAAAATGATAGATACGAGAGAGAGAGAGAGAAAGTAGCTTGCAAGTGTGGAAGAATTAGTATGCGCATTGTGTTAAATTGAGGCACATGAGGACGAGAATGGGAAGGCCGGAACTGATCATTGAGAGTATCATTGTATATCATAGTCCACGAATAGAAATTGTCTACATTTTTGTCCAAGTGTAGTATCCTTGTTTGAGGATTATAACTTTGCTCGTTTAGAAGACTAGAGTCTGTGTTTTGTATCATAAATTCATCCAGACACGTTACTTTATCCAGATGAGGGTGAATACGATGAGAGGCGGACGAAAGAAAATGAACATGCCAATTAATTGCTTGAAACACAATCTTCAATCATGTTACATTGCTTCTTTCAAAAGTTTTATGTAACAGCGTCTTTTGGCTAGCTTCCTTAGTCTAAACGAGACGTAAGCTTTGCTTGAGACGAGGAGAATGGCTTCGGATTTTGTTTTTATTTGACAGTATTTGAATTAAATTAAATCTTATTATCTTCCCAATCCATCAAGCTCGGCCCATTCCTTTTGTAGTGTTTGGATCAATTTATAACTCTCCCGGGGCACACGGTCTGCCATATCACCCAAGAATTGAACACACTGGTCTCTCTCAGTAGGATCACGTATTAAATGCCCGCCTTCGTAGTGTGAGCTGAGTATTTCGCAAAAGCAGTAAGGGGGGCTCTTACAGAGGAAAAGGACGTAGCTTGGCATGTAATATGCGCCGGGGAAATACTCATTTCCTCGCGCAAGCCCGATCGATCGTCGAAGATAGTAGAGAATAGATTCCTTTGCCGGTTAGTTCATCCATGCGTCGTGCAAATGTGCAGGTTCAATCAGAGATGGGCGCGGATCCCAGTACCTCGTTTGATTTTCGGGCCTTCATGGCGTCAAATCCGAAAGCCTGGCCTCCGCCCGAGTTGCACCGATACAGACATATTATCGCTCTCGATGCATAGTAGTACTCCAGGGCCATGACTGTTACTGAGTTAGATGTTTTGGTAGACGTGTAGTGGATTGATACAGGGAACGTTACCTTGGAGACTTGAGAGCATCCAGATTGATGGGAAAGTCCGGCCAGCTGTGATATTTATAGGTGCCTCGTAGAGGACTTGGAATGATCGCGGAATCCCCCTATACCAGTCGTCCAATTCCGTTTCTAGCTGAGTCCAAACCTGAGATATATCAGAAGAACCGGAGAAGAATTCGCGAAGCACTCTCGCCAGCAGATAGACTGCACGGTTCACATGAGATCTATCGCTACTTCCATCGTAAGACTGAAACGTCTTGAAGATTTCCAAATATAGATCTGGCTTTTGTTTATGGACCATTGATATGTAAATGACCTGGTGCAAGTGAAGCCAGCAAACAGCTTCGGCGAGACCACCGTTCTGTGCAGACTTTGTAATGGCATTGAATCCCAGAAGGTTCCGTGTTCCCTTCAAATGATAGAACTGGGTGTCTTTTCCGACATCGAACTCTTCGTACAGCCTCGAGAGCACTACAGCAGTAAGGAGCGGCACCCCGTATGTCTCCGGAGGCTTGGATAGGGCGTCGATCAATAGTTCGAGACATTGATTGTGATATTGGGTGCTTTCGACATCGCTCTGAGTTTTGGTCTGGATCTCATCAAATCGGCTGGCGAGTGCGAAAATGCCGTATAACACAATTGGCTCCTCTAACGCCAGCTTGGGTACCGTGGTTGCAAAATGTCGCTCTTCATCACATGAATCAGGCTACATAACAGTGTCAGCAAAAGCATTAGCACGCAAGACTATATGAGTCAACCTTGTCCATGGGAACCTACAGATAATGAAACTTGATGTATGTATACCCCCATCAAGTATGCCTCCCTTTCTGTGAAAGTCAATGGTAGAGAGGATGGAGGAGGGATTCCAAGAGAGACTGGAGAGGTAGAGGCCGAAGAGTGAGTGAAGTCTATGGCACTCTGATTTGGAAAATCACTCTGCGTAGTGACGTGGAAAATGGTCTCTGGACTGGGAATTTGGGGATCATGCAACGATAGTGGGTCAGCCATTGGCGACGGCCAGGGATGGTGAGCAAGGTCATCATAGCTGACCCGTCTTTGTCTACCGGAGGCGGACTTGTTTGTGCTATTTCGCTCAGTTCCAACATTCGGAGACTGATGGGGTAATGAGTCCCGAAAGTCGATTATTTGGTTCGGACTTGATGAGGAATTTCTCCCTTGCGCTGGCGATGGCGATGCTTCCTTGCTCTGAGGCTTTGAGCGCCTCCGCCGGAATGAAGATCGGTGGAAGAAGCGGAATTGGGGTTTTACTTCGTAGTAGCACAGTTCCCCGGCCTGCTCACATTCGTTGCATTGTGGGGATCCAGGGTGCGTCAAGCATCGTTTATGCCGCTGGCGACACCGCCGGCAGCTGCTCCTGTGCCTCATGTCGGAAATGGTGAATGGGACGGAGGAAAAAGAGGACTGAAAGGGGCTATTAAAGGCCGTTCGCTTTCTGGGTCATCCTGTGCAGTGAGGGGTTTTGGAGGAGAAAGACTTCCAAAACAGGAACTGAGCTCCGCGGAGAATCCAACTTGGGTTAGAAGCCATGACTCGCTAATCATGTCTGGACTCTCCCCCATGGGGTTTTGCGTGCGGGGAGTGTGAAAGCTGGAGATTGAGATCATGATCGCTAATACGACTGGGCTGGGCAATGGCCAATAGAACGAATCCCATTTCAAGTGCTAGCCCGGTTGAAGAAACTAACCTTTGAGCCGAGCTGCGTCCGTGACAGTCTCAATGGAACGGCCGGGTTTGTTTCATTCCATCTAGCGTGGACGGGGGCTGGGACCTGGTCCATATAGCTTTCTCGCTTTGCCCATCGTTGACGTATAAATAACATAGGCACACCACTTCAGTTTCTTATAACTTCATTCATCACAATATCAAGCGACCCCTTGTCCTTCCCTTCTCCTTTATAAAGACTGCTCAAATTGTCACTGAGCCTCGACGGCCCATTCAGTCATGGACCCTGCCAAAAAGTCATCAGACGACACCAGGGGCTCAATGGCCAAGGAGGGCCAGATCGAGCAGGTCGAGAATTTCGATCTCAAAACCTCCTTTGCTACCGTCCACCTTGCCGACAGCATTGAGGAGACAAACACTGGAAAGTTCGTTTGGCTGATAGGCCTTACGGCTTCCATTGGCGGCATGCTATTCGGCTACGATACAGGAATTATTTCAGGTGCACTCGTCTATATCCATGACGATCTCGGTCATAACCTTTCTTCAAACGAAAAGGAGCTCATCACTGCTCTCTGTTCCGGTGGTGGCTTTTTTGGGGCTATTTTTGCAGGTCTTTCGGCAGATAACTACGGACGGAAGACGGCACTGTATGGCGCCTGCTTCCTCTTCACGGTCGGTGCTATCATTCAAGGTGCTGCGTACTCGATTCCGCAAATGGCCGTGGGAAGAGTCATTGTTGGCTTCGGTGTCGGATCAGCAGCCATGATTGTGCCGCTCTACCTTGCAGAGATTGCCCCTGCCAAGTTCCGTGGCCGAATGATCGGGTTCAACAACACAAGCATTACTGGGGGACAAGTCATCTCTTATGCCATCGGTGCCGCCTTTGCCTACGTTCCACATGGCTGGAGGTACATGGTTGGCATCGGCGGCCTTCCAAGTGTGATTCTTGCTTGCCTTCTTCCTTTTTGCCCTGAATCGCCTCGACAGCTTGCTGCCCACGGCAAATTCGACGAAGCCCGGGCGGTTATTGCTCGAATTTACAAAAACGCTACCGAAGAGATGGTAGATGCTAAACTGGAAACGATTAAAGCAGCTGTAGACCAGGACAACGAAATCTCCAAAGGGAAGCGATGGAAGGCAATCAAAAAGATGCACACTCACGGGCCTAGTTTTCGAGCTCTTGTTTGCGCATGTGGCCTCAGTAAGTCTACCTCAAGCCCGGACCGAAGTTTAGTGAATGTAAGAATGCTAACACCATTTGTTTCCTACTAGTGGTTCTCAGTCAGATGAGCGGTTTTAATACGCTGATGTATTATTCCGGTACACTGTTCAACCTCGTCGGGTTTTCAAATCCAGTGGCTGTTGGTCTTGTTGTCTCTGGAACTAACTTGGTCATGACATGGATCAATGCCTTCCTTGTCGACCCATTTGGCCGTCGCCGACTTCTTATTTACACCGTCTGGGGCATGTCAGCTGGGCTCGTCGCCGTTGCGGTGGCTTTCTCATATATTCCTGTGGATCTTGAATCTTTGGAGCTGAAGGAGACAGGCGGAGGACCATCCACTCCCGCCATCGTAATGCTGGTGTTTATTCTCTGGTTCTGCGTCTTCTACGGATTGTCAGTTGGAAACATTGCCTGGATGAGCGTCGACTTCTTCCAAATGGACATTCGCGCAATGGGGTCGATGTGGATGACCTGCTGCAATTGGGGACCCAACGTTATTGTTTCATCCACCTTTCTGACGATGATGAAGCGCCTGACTCCGTCGGGAGCATTTGGATTCTACGCCTGCATTGTCTTCATTGGATGGTTGCTGATCATCTTCTTTTACCCCGATGTATCTGGAATGACTTTGGAGGAGGTCAGTCATGTGTTTGAACATGGTTTCGGAGTGAAGCATTCCAGGGAGCTTCAGAAGGCACGGAAACAGGCCAAAGCCGGCATTCGTGATTAGAAATGTATGAGGGCGTGTGCTTTTGCCTGTATCAAAGTAGACAATCTCATGCAGGTATTGGATGTGCGTCTATCGTTGGTCTTTGGGAGATGGATGATACTCTTCCATAGTACTCAAAGAACATGGACAGGCAAGAATAGACCAGTAGCATTATTAGAGATGTATACAAATTCTGTTCCATTCTTATGACTGATTGAATTTTTATCGTTATAGTCTTAATGAGATTAGAAAAATAAAATGACGAGCTATGACATTGAGGAGCGTATTGGCTTGAGCGGCTATTTTCTTCGACATGCTCTTATAATATATTTAGATTGAGATTTTAGAAGTATTCTTTTGATAAATATCTGATAGTATGTGAAATGGCACGGAAGATAGACTTTGGACTCACAGAATTGCTCTCCTGGAGATGCAATGATGCATATTCTGCTTCCTGGTATGGTCTCGGGTAACACGTGACATGTTGGCTGACAAATATTGGCTCACATTGAGGTTTTTCCTCGCTGAGACTGTCGACTAAAACCTATTGAAATTTCCAGACTCAGCTTCCCGCGAACCATTCAATTGAGCCCTTGAACCAGACTTATCTTCGTCTAATGTATATACAGATAATTGATCTTCCGACTAAGGAATTCCGAGCACCGGAAAATGACGAATCCGGATGAATTGGCGACCCAGCCTCAGTCAGGGGTTATATTGCTGAAAACGTGCCAGACTTGCTTCAATGCGAAGATTCGCTGTGTAAAGTCCCAAGAATCTGGACTATGCGATCGATGCTTACGGCTGGATAAAACTTGCATTTTTAAGCCTGCTCGACGCAGCAGGATTCGCCAAGGGTGGGTTACTGAACTGTAGAGCAGGAAATCATTCTATTGCCACTAACTGGTGATAGCCGAACCGCGACACTGGAAGTGAGGGCACGAACCGATTCACGGTCACCTTCGGGTATTCCTACGATGGCAGAAATAGAGACTCGTGTCTCAACCTCCAACCGAGTACTTGATGACCACTCATCCGATCCATTCGACTCAGGGCTGTTGTCTTATGAAGTTGCGGGAAACCTCATTGAATACTACAACACTAAGATGGTTACACATTACCCTTTCGTGATTGTTCCAAAGGGGCAATCTGTCAAAGAGATGGCGCAGAACCGACCAGGCCTGTGCCTCGCCGCCTTTGCAGCAGCTTCCCATGATAACGTGCAACTTCAGCGATCACTCAACACACTTTTTAATAAGCTTATCTCTGCACGACTTCTGAAAGGGTGTTTCGCAAGTCTGGATATACTACAGGGCCTTCTTGTCCATGTTGCATGGTAAGGTAGTCCACAAACCCTCAAGTTGAAACATCACTCAAAGTAAAGTACAGGGGACATTATCAAACTCGTCCAAGACGCTACACACAGTACCTCCATCTGGCTACTAGCATCATAAGTGATTTGAGAATTGACCAGCCTAGAAAGCCTAGATTATGGAGTGTAGATGGGGGCAAGGAGAGGGATTCTGCCGACTGGGGGACAGAAGAAATGAGAGCTCTCGCCGGTGCCTACTATTTGTCATCGAAGTAAGTATCCTGCAGAGCTATAGGATTTTGGACCGACTGACAAAGGAGATAGCACCTCAATCTTGCTGCACAAGTCGCGCCATTTCACTCATAGTTCCTACATATCACGTTGCGTCGAGTATATTTCTGCGAACGCACAAGTCTCAACAGATACTCATCTACAGTATTTGATTCAGCTTCAAAGGTTGACAGAAGAGATCGACGATGTCTGGAATGCTGATTTAGATGACTTGGGAAAGCAGCGTGCTGGCGAAACCATACGACACGTCGCCACCCAATGTGAAACGATCAAGTCCAGTTTACCTTTCCCCATCAACGAAAGCCGTGAGTCCCCTAAGACCGCAAATTAATAACAATGACTTCTAACCCGTAAAAAGTTCCCATTCTCTTTCAGTTCAACTTGTTGGAACTTTTTTTAAGTCAATCCTCTCCGGGAGGAAGCCATTACGGGGTTGACAAATTCGAAAAGCCGGTTCTGGCCCAACACAGCCAAAACTCCAATTTAATCGATTGGCTATCGGCAAGCATTTCTGCTGCGCAATCGATAATTCGCATTATCATTGTTCTCCCGTCTGGAGAAGAGGCAATCCTGTCAAACATCTCATGGATCATCATATACTGTGCTCTCTCGCTAGCTGTGCGCTTGGATCTCACAGCCGCTAAGACCGCATCAACTCAATTTCTCAGGCGCTTTCTCGATATGTCACAGACTCTACGACAAATCTGCATCCGTCTCGAAGCAGCATCAGGGGAGGATGTTGATGAAACTGGTGATCACAATGCCTTTTATCACCTGGCTCTTCGAGCTCGCCGTCTTGAGAAGTGGTACCAGAAACAGAGCGCCGAGGAACAGGGCAACAGTAGTCATGATCACGGTGCTACGGACCATGACCCATCGCTTTCTGACATAGCACCAAGCTCTGTGGCTGTGTCTGATGATAGCCTAGACTTTGGAATGTCCTCAGTTTTATTTTCAGACACATTAGGCTTCCCGATGCATCTAGATATTGAGAACGAGGGTATGTGGAGCGATTTCACTCCGGCGGGCTGAAACACACGGACGGACACGGACACGGACACGGACAAGGAGAAAGTAAGCTGAGAAGACAACCACCGAGCAATCCGACACGGACACGGGCACAGCCGCGCGGATCCAAGATGAGGCAAGCTACCGTAGGGGCATCTCATTTCATTCCATTTTCAAGATGACCTCATAGTATTTCAATGCAAAGCAAAATTTCGGGGCGAAGTATCTATTTATGGAGTCATCGACTCCTGTCTCCCGTATAAAGGTCGAGCCACGCATGCTTCGAAATCATCGGACACTACATCCATCACCTCTTCATAGTCTTATCTGCTTGCCTCTCGTTTCCAATGTTCAAACTCACCACCATCTGCGCCAGCGTGGCGCTCCTTGCTACAACCGTCGTAGCGGCAGAAGATGACATCTCCTTCTCAGCGTGCGGGCTAATTGGTTCATACTACCCTCCTCCGCACATTCTGAAGCCATCCAAGACTTTCTCAAGTATCAATACCACATTCACTCAAGTATTTGACAATTTGATCCAAGATGGAGGGAGTGAGAAGTATGGCAACATCTCAACCAACAGCACATCCTTTTCAGTGATGATTTTCAGTGGAGCAGCTGATCTTCGTGACGATCCTACACTGTTTGAGTACCACTACACTTCACCAATGGACTTTCAGGAGACTGGAGGCAATCTCACCTCCAACTCTGTATTCCCTGTGGGCGACTTGACCATGGTGTTCACCGTTTATGCATGGCTTGTAAAGATGGGCGAGACTTGGGATACTCCCATCACCAAATTTCTCCCTGAGCTGAAGACGTTCAATTCGTCTTCCATTGCCTCGTGGGATGACATAACCATCGGATCTCTGGCTGGCCAAGTTTCAGGACTGACTCGAACGTGTATGTTGATCAGTCTGTCACCATTCAAAACGAATGAAAACTGACATTTAATAGTAAACGCTTGCGAAATTGGCCAAAGCTGCGGTTGGAATGGTAAATCATCCCTTATATCAAGTAATACTGGCTTGGATTGAGCTGACTAAGTTAATCATACCTATAGACTTTGTGCTTGGGCTAAGCAAAGAGCCATTTTTGTTCCGCAGTGACACAACCCCGATCGTATCATACACTGCTTACCAACTCCTAGCATTTGCCATGGAAAAGAGATCTCAAGGCCATAGCTTCTCAAGTGTCTTGAGAGAAGCCGTCTTTGAACCCCTCGGCATGACATACAGCGGTCTTCTCGGCGATAAGTCTAACAACCAAGACATCTTCGCCATCGGAGGGCTTAACATGTCACAAACAGGCGAACCTGGGTATGTATATCACAGCGACTAGCAAACGTCCTATCAAATTTAGCTAACCTTCACCATTAGCGCCATTTCACTCGTCAGCTCCATCTCTGATCTCGTCCGTGCCGGCTACGCCATGCTGGACTCAACGCTGCTCAACAAGGCTGTAAGTCGACGTTGGCTCCACGGCACATATTCGACCTCGAATCTTCGAAACGGCGTCGGCCGCCCGTGGGAAGTCTACCACTCTAGCTCCACGGCCATATCTCCCGTGCTCGATGCTCTCACAAAGAGCGGCACCATCGGACAATACGCCAGCTATTTCGGTCTTGTTCCGGAGCTTGAGGCTGGGTTTGCTATCCTGGCGCACGACGGTACCGTTGCGGATCGGAAACTCGATCTCAATGTGCACGCCGACATTGTTAGTGAAGCCTTGGGATATTTCCTCAAGGCGGCTGCCCAAGAGACAGTTGCGCGGTACGGTGGCTCATACGGGGCGAAGGATGGCAACGGCGTATTTGGGCATTTTAATATTACAGGCAACGGATATGGGTTGGAAGTTCAGGAGCTTCGAAATCAGAATGGTGCGGATCTCAGAAAGGAGTACGCAAACGTTCTGGAGATTGAAGAGGCAGACTTGGACTTCCGGCTGTACCCCACGAATGTGCAAGACAAGTCTCGACATCAGTTTGTGGCTGTGTACCAAGACAAGAGTGCGCCCATTGATATGGGTACGCCGACATGTATTACTTGGCAAGAGGTCGGCGCGGTGTCTGGTGTTGCACATCGGTTCTGGTTCGAGTTGAATGACAGCGGTGCTGCCACTCGGGTTCTGGTTGATCAGGGAGACGTCGTGTTGGAAAGAAGCGGATAATTCGTTTTCGCGGCAGCCTCGACAAGTGTATTGAGCGGACTAGTAGTTTGGAAGATCGCATAGGAGGAAATATAGACTTAGAATTTCAAGAGAATATCTCAATAGAATCGAACTATACATTCAGCTTTTTTCTTAGCCACATGGGTGAGGTGCATCCTCTTCAACCACGCTCTCAACAACACGTCATAACACTCCACTCATGTTTTTCTGATCACCTCCATATATAACAGTCATTGAAAAATCTCGCGGTTATTGCTTTGACTTATTGCGCCAAAACAGACACATATCCAACATGTCTCTCCAGAATCCAGTCGGAGGCTCAGTGAAGGTTGCTTCATAGGCATCGATCGCAGGCGCCTCCCAAACGAGATCGACCTCGTGAGGCTTCACAATCTGGGTCTTTTTGAAAATCTTCCACCCAAAGTAGAGGATCGGCGCCAGAACCTGCATGGTGTAGTTTTGAAAGAACCCTTGTACCGTCGGGGGACCAAAAGCAGAGTATCCGTAAAAGATGAGAACAATGCAGATGAAAAAGATACCAATGTAAGCCGAGTAAGGCTGAAAGTAGGCATAGTAGGGAAGTGTTTTCCGATCAAGTCCCTGGACCTTGCATGCCCTGTAGAAGTTGACATATGTGATGCAGACCACGAGATAGTCGATAAGCGTGCCAGCAGTGATGAGAGAAACCAACCAATTGATTATCTGAGCAGAATCATTCGATAGCTGCAGAAATGACAAGAACGGAAAGCACATGACGATTCCGTAAGCATAGATTGGCACTCCTCGGACAGTCTTTTTCAACAAGGCGGGTGCCCTGCCCTCGAGAGCGAGGCCATAGAGAGATCGAGTAGCGCAGTAAGTCAGCGTGTTTCCAGCCGAGAAGATCGACGTGAGCAGTAGAGCATTCACGACATGAGGCAGGCCCTCGACTTTGAGATTGGACATGGCGATGACATAGGGAGACGCGGCGGCACCAGACGCGCTGCTGTTGCCCTTGAGAATGGCCTGCAAAGCCGGGTCGTCCCAGGGTACAACAATGCCGACGCACAAGGATCCAAGGATGAAAAACAACAAGAATCGCCAGTAGATTGTCTTGTAGGCATTTTTGATGACATGCCGAGGTCGGCAAGCCTCTGCAGAATACATGGAGATATACTCCGGGCCAACAATGCAAAAGGATGCGGACCAGAGAGCAGCACAGAACCCTTCGAAACGACCTAGATCACCAGTGCTCCGGTGTTCAGCAAAGGCTCCAGGGGTCTTCCAATAGCGAAACCCATATGGATCGTGCTGAGGGTTGCCGCGGACTATCGTCACAAATGTGAAGAAGAATAGAATGAAGATGAGAAGGACTTTGCCGATGGAGAGCCAAAACTCGGCTTCACCAAAGATACCAACCGCAAGGGCATTGATCAAGCTATGGCCATTTGTGTTAGTCATCGACAAAGATTTCTTTCAGCATCTGATGGGGGGACCCGATAGAAGGTTGACAATTCACCAGGGCGAGGGAGCAGAGAGATTTACGCATAGAGCACGATGCAAGCAACACACACAGCAGCAACGGGAATATCATCACGCCAGTACTTCAGCACAAGATTGATAGCTGTGATTTCGAATGGGATGAGGAGCGCTTCATAGAGGAAGAAGTTCCAGCCCACCATGAACCCCATCGCATCGTCATACCACTTGCCAGTGAGGCGGATGAAACCGCCGGCAACGGGCTGATGGACAGTCATTTCGGCGAGGCAGTTATTGATGCACGCAAGAAGGAGGGAGTATAAGGTGTATGCGATGAACAGATTGGCAGGGCCGCTGGCTGCAAGGCCGTTTCCGATGCTAACGAAAAGCGCAGTGCCGATGGAGCCACCAATGGCAAGAAGCTGGACTTGACGGTTATTGAGCCGCCGGTGGAGGCCCTGGGAGTTAGGGCAAGAATCTATCTGCAAACTCCCTCGATCGTCATCGGAGACGGCTTTCTTCTCGGCCTTCTCCATTTCAATGAGGGACCAGATTCGCCGAGTAGGTTTCTGGAAAAGACTGAGAAGAGAAGGCCCTATAGAACCAAAATGTGCCGAAGAAGGGAAAGTAATGAAACGCCAACTACGCGTTGCGATAAGACGTCAGCATGTATGGATGCCTCATATATGGTGGTGCGTGAGCGTAGGTGTTTTTTGTTTGATCAGGAGTGAAAATGTGAGTGAGACACAAACACATCGGAGAGACACGAAAATATTGGGGAGACGAGACAACGGAGCATTATTCAGTGATCCACATGAATCGAAGAGCAAAACTTTAGAATGCCCATAAAGGCAGCGTAAATGAGACCCCCCTACCAAAGCTGGATCAAAGGATGACTTCTTGGCTACACCAACAGCTAGCAACCAATGAATTCATATCGAAGGGATCCGGGAATTAGGAAAATAAAGGCCAAGGGGGACCGATGTCGTTCATGTGGAACCTGCCTGCCAGCATCCTCCACGAGGCCATAATGAGTTGTGGGGTTATGTGCTGACTCTGGCCCACAAGCGCTCAATGCAAACCCGAAGTTGCAGCAATAGACACAGAAGATCAACGTAAAGCTCCGAGTGAACTGATTATGGGACTATTGTACTCTTCGGTGGGGAGTTGGGAAGGACTGCCTCCATGAAAACCCAGGACCTGGAACATGCTCACATGAGTTTGCCATCATGCCAGTGATGCTGCGGGGAAGCTCCTCATTCATGGATTACCGGCTAAATCATCCATGGACTCCACTACCCATGGCTCTCATTAACAGGCACTGGAGCGAGTGAAGGTATTCCTAGACATGTTAGATCATTACTTTGGGAGGCAGCCTTCTTCCCAGTTTCTAATCAAGGGATAAAAGCCCTTGTGATCATCGTAGCCTTCAAGGCGCGTGCCTTACATTGTGTGAGAAACAAGCACTGAGTCTACCTGGTTTTAGATGGTACATTAATAGTCTGTCGCAAAAAAAAACATCGTAGGCTTCATTGACCAAGGCAAAGTCTGCCATTTTTTGTGAATGAATGTTCATCTTTATGGCATTCTTCAGCTCTGTCCCAGATGACTCGAGAATGGCAGAAAGGTTATAATCTAGCACAGTAATCTATCATAGGAACCCTTAGGCGGAGTGCAGGGGATTACTCACGGTGCGGCCCCTAACACTGCCCTTTACCTGCTCAAGGTCGGTGCCTGGAATAACTACGATAATTCTGGAGTAAAATACAAGGTTTTGATGTTGAGGGTGGTGATTCGTGTTCTAAGCCAATTAGCTTAGGATATTGAGAATGAAAGCATGTAGGTTTCAGCTAATCTTTTGAAACATGGCAGATAAAAGTACGAAGGTAAACAGTGTTTTGAATCACAAAATCAGCCATCACCCTGTGAAGAACGCTTGAAGCCCCTTTCCTCGGCTCAACGCGATTAGGCCCGTCAGGTCGATGAAAAGCGATGAAGATTGGCGTAAATAAATCACATTACGGCTGCAAATGCATTTACAATACAAGTTCAACGTTAGCTTCAACGAGACTCCGTCCCCTTGCCCACAACTTGAAACGATGGCCTTGGAAGGCGGGTCGGGAAATTACTGCTGCAGCGGTTTTGATGACCCGAAGAAGTAATTAATGAGTCCGCTCTTGCGCACCGGATTAGGCAATCCGAACACTCTGACCGTCTTCGACTTTTTATTCGCGTCGTTGAGCATACGCGTAGTCGTATGATTTCAAGTATGGGTGCGATTGTTGAGAGTGAAACTATCATAGGCACAAATATGGCCAATGGGAGTTAATATTCACCGATTTCCCTTTATCAACGCTGTTATCAACGAAGGCCTGCCCTAGAGTCGCTCTGTATTTCCCTAACTTGGATATCTTGAGTTTCACTGGCCAAGTTTATCAATAGCACTGCGTATGCGCCTGATTGCAATTTCAACTACACTCCTGTCGCGAGTAAACACGAGTCGGAATTGTCCTGGCTTCTCAGACCCCGCGAACTGTAAATCATCGCGTTAGTCATAAGTCCATGAGCAGTTAAAGTCTTTGCACCAGACTCACCTCGCCTGCATTAAGGAACACACCATGCTCTATAAGCCAATTGGAAAGCTGCTGTTCAGCAGTGGTTGCCTGATCTGAGCCGTCAAAGTATACAATCCATTGACTCAGGTCGATGAAAACGAACAAGCCTGCATTTGCCCGTGTGAATGGAATTTGACACTGCTCCAGGGCGCGTGTCGCACTCTTGTAAGCCTCACGGAGGCCATGGCGGTATTGAACCAAGTAATCTTGAACAAGTTGTGGTTGCTGAAGAATTCTCGTAGCGACATGATCTGAGAGGGTTGGAGCCCAGGTAAACCGGCTTTGCCAACATACAAGTCAGTAAATAACGGGTTAAAATACTGAGAGAAGGGTCATTGGCGCCTTACCAAACTCAAGGCAGCATCCCGGACTGCAGAATTTCTCGTCACAAAGAAGCCCATCCGTAGACCAACCATGTTGAAGTCTTTGCTTAGACTGTAGAGAACATGGACGCTCTTCTCGGCTCTTTCGTCACACTGTAAATTAAGAGCAGAGGTAAACGGTGGCATACTAGGGGAGGTGTTGTCGTCATCTCCGAAGTTTGAAAGAGCGTATATCTCATCAGAGATGAGGTGTACGCCACGAGCAGCAGACCAAAGAGCGAGTGCACGGAGTGTTTGAGCACTATAGCAGCAACCTTGGGGGGATTGGCAGGGTTGCATACAAATAGCGCAGAACATCGGATTCCTCGATTGTGGGTGTCTTGCAAGGCCAAATCCAAACGGTCGGCAAGGAATGGTATTGCAGAATCACCAAAGGGATCATCTATGCCTGCCGTGGAGATAGGGACAGGGAGCACAGCAGCTCGAGCCGTGAGGTCGAAGTCCAGCATGTAAAAGTTCGGGGTGAAATACAGAACCGCGTCGCCTTGATCACAGAGGGTCCAAGCCACCATGTCGACCCATCCAGTCATCAAGGTATTAAGCGCACCGGACAGATCAATGAGACCGAGTGGCCGATTCACAGTATCATATTTGGGCTCCTGCTTGACTTTCTGCATGAGGTCCCAGGCCGGCCCCTGGTTCAAGGTGGAAAGTGCACGCTCCGAGGGCTTGAACCTCACCTCGAGTTCCATGATAACTTGATTGCGGTGTGGTAGGTAGGGATTCGCTGGACAGGTAAGCCGGCTTATGGTTTGTGCCAACAGAGGTGCGGGGTGAGGGGCAAAAAGCGCTTCTGAATGCTCGAAAGGGGTTCATGTGCCTTGCCTCATTATCTTACCCATCATTGAACTAGCCATGGGCAAGTCGTGGGTCTAACTCAATGGTCGAATTTTCAGACCACCGAGAGATAATGGAATGCGCAGATCTAGTTCTCGCACACCTTGTGTACAACGCAGAGCTTCTTGGGACTGTCATACGGATCCCACCCGCCCGGTTTCACGTCATCCCAAAAAGGCTTACCAACTGTCTCATCGCAGTGAACTGAAGTGGCACGGCATTGAACCGGATCATAGGACTATTGGAATACCTTAGAACATATTGAAAGCTAGTTGGCATCGCCTTAGAATGGGCGAGAGGAGAGCAGTATTCGACGTTGATAGGGATGATGATGTAATATGAACAAAAGCAAATTCTAGCCACAGCAAGAAACAAAGGCCAAAACTCAGTATGATTATGTCTCGATCTAGGTGTTTCTTTTTTGGGCTGGTGTGAGTAGCGCGTGTGGTGACCCCTGGACCGCTGGTGTGGTATGATTGTGAGATAAGAAAGGCTGATGAATTGGATTGTATTATGGCGAGGGCAGTATAAACCTATCTTAAATTTGATCCAATGCTGAGATATTGGCGTGTTTCAGAGTAAGTCAACGGCCAGGAACGCAAATTACCTGCTCCTTTACCAGCTGCATTTATGCACGATGATCACCTACCCTGTACCAACAAACTTACGGGTTACGGTGCGAATATCCGATTATGAAACGGAAAAGAGCCAAAGAAGAAGTGACATTATCCGTCAACCATGCCGATCGGTATCCATAAGTTCCCCATTTGCTTCCGCGTCTTGCAATTGCGTATCTTTTAAATGCATTCGCTCATGACACAAGTGTAATGTCAAATGATTCAAGTCCCATCACTAGCCTCAATGAAATTGCCAACCTTCTATTATTGAGTCTAGAAATATAAGAAGGCTTAGGAAATTTGGAGCAGAGAACCGATATTAATCTACATTTAATATTATCTTTAACTCCCTTCCCCTCTCACCGCCATCAAGGAAAGAAATTATGTTGTGAAGTGCAAGCCGTAATCGGAGGAAACGTATCCCTGTTGAAGCCGTTCAATTTGTGCAATGCCTTATCATCCAACCAATTCCCCACTGGCGAGTGAAAGATAAGCGATTCGCCATTTTAATGCTTGGTCAGCATCTTTATCTCGCCGATTATCCGCCGGCCAGATTGATGAATGCTGCCCAAAGACATCTCCTTATCATCATATTACCATCACACTCACTATGAGAAATCATGCCTACCAACGAGACGACACCGCTCCTTGGCGACAACGGCATTTCGCCTGCCTCGGATAGACAGATTGATGAAGATGAGGTTCTCAAGGTTTCGCCGGAAGCTTGGGCCGAGCGCTTCATCGAGAAGGGCGAGAGCTGGCGACGCGACTATGAGCGAAAGCTCATCCGCAAGGTCGACCTTCGTTTAATGCCTACCCTCATCATCATGTACCTCCTCAATTTCCTCGATCGTTCGAACCTCACCCAAGCTCGACAGGGCACATTGGAACAGGATCTGGGGATGCAAGGCACGGACTACAATGCCGCTACCAGCATCTTCTTCGTGGGCTACTTGTTGATGCAGCTGCCATCTAATCTGCTTCTCACGCGGGTTAGGCCATCTTGGTACCTGGCCTCTTCTTGCTTGCTATGGGGCATCATGTCAACGTCCAATGCCGCGTCTCAGAACTTCACTCACCTCATCATCATTCGGTTCTTCTTGGGGTTTGTGGAAGCTCCTTTCTTCCCAGGCGCAGTCTTTCTGATGAGCTCTTGGTATACGCGCGCCGAGCTCACCCAGCGTATCGCATGGTTATACACCGGCAATGCCCTTGCAAACATGTTTGGTGGCCTTCTCGGCGCTACTATCCTAGGCAGTCTCGAGGGTACTTTGGGCATTTCCGGCTGGAGATGGCTATTCCTTATCGTACGTAGAAAACACTGCCACCTAGGTTGTTCGGCTAAGTGATGGTGAGACGCGACTAACAAATGTGAATAGGAAGGCGGTCTCGCCGTTTGTTTTGCGTTGCTGTCAGCATTCCTCCTGCCTGATTACCCGCATACTACTACATGGCTTGATTCCGAAGGAAAAGCCTTCGCCGCATGGCGTTTGCTCGGTGATTACCGTGAAGCAGATTCATACAGTAATGTCTCTGTCTGGAAGGGTGTTCTGATGGCGATCAAGGATTATCGTCTGTACGCTTTCATTGTCTTCCAGCATACCAGCCTTCTTTCTCAGAGCTTCCAATATTTCTTCCCTGTTCTGGTGGGCACATTAGGCTACGACAAAATCACGACATTGTGGCTCACGGTGCCTTGTTGGGTGAGTTGATCTGTCACCATTATGGCCATTCCTTCCTATTAGTGATCAAGTCACTAATGAACCTCTGATACAGTTTGCCACTTTTCTCATTTCCATTGCCGTAACGTTTACTTCAGCAAAGACTCAAGACCGATCGATACATATTATTGGGCTTATGCTGGTGGCAACCATAGGTAACGCCATCGCAGCCACCTCCACCGTGAATGCTGTGCGCTACTTTGCTATGTTTTTGATGCCTATGGGTTCCATCTCTGCTTGTAAGTTCCCTAAACGTACACGCGACATATCAAAGCAGACGAGTTTCTCACATTCGACCTGTAGATCAAATTCTGGTGGCATGGGTTGCCAACTCCTTCCCACGGCCGCTGGTCAAGCGTTCAGCTGTCATCGCCATCTCTAACATGATTGGCAACACCGCAACCATCTACGGATCATACATGTACCCATCTTCCACAGGTCCTCGCTATATACTGGGAAGTACTATCAATACCATTGTCTGCCTTTTAGTCGTGGCGCTAGCTATTGCTCTACGATTTATGCATGTACGAGAGAACAAACTGCTTGCGCGAGCTGAGGAGGGGCAGGCTGAAACATCCGAGGACAGTGATGTATCTACGGAGACAAGGAACCCAGGGTTTAGATACATCTACTAGATAATGCGTTTTCGGGAGGAGCATCATAGAGGTTCTTTAGAGGGGTTATTACAAGTAGACCGGACTAGACTGGGGGGGTTAGAACGAAGGATATGTTGGAATATAAGACTCAATAGTCCTCTCTGTCACAACATTTTTCGCTTTATAACAGGATAAGTCAATAAATCGACGACGGTGATTTGTTCACCATAACGCCAGAGACCAGATGGTGATGCAACGGCTCGACAACCAAAGTTCGAGTACATCACTACCAGCACGGAAGTTTGATAATTTCATGGGCACTGAGGTTAACGGCTTGGAACTTTCTTCCCTCTTCCTATTGCTTCTTTTTTAAAGAGTACATCTTGAAAGAGGAACTGGCGAGACTCGGGTTGTAGCACGTGATGCGCGTCACTTTTTAGCACGCTGATGCTTTGTGGGGCAGCCCGAATTGTTCCTCAATTGTTCATCATTTGCAGCAATGTCGCATCGAAGTCGAGGCTGCTTACGATGTCGCCAGCGTAGGGTGAAGGTATCCTATTATCCCTTCCAAAAATTCACGGTGGCACACTCTGCTGACTTCACGCGCCGGGCAGTGCGACCAGGGCCGCCCTTCATGCCAAAGATGCGTCACTCGAAGCGAGCCCTGTGTGGGCTACAGAGATGAGCTTGATCTTTGTTTTCAAGACCAAACTCAAAAAACCGTTGAAAAGATTGGATTGGTATCACAGCAACTCCACGGGAAGGCTTGTCCAATCCCATTGCGGAATTATCGTGCCCGGAGCAGGTCTCTCGACAGGATCAAGGCTCCTCCGTTACAACATCCCACAGCGTCAGCTTCACCACAGCTTAATGGTATTACTGATATTGAAGAGCTGAAAGACGAAGCCGTTTCGAGCTTTCTCGACAGCTATGTAATCTATCCGTGCAATGAATCCTCGTGTCCCGGCTTCCTTGAGCACTTACCGGGCCTCTTCAAGGAAGTCAATGTAAGTGGCCGGTTTGCCTTGCGATGGGCTGTGGAGGCCGCTTCACTGGCAGATCATTCTTGTAGGAAAAATGACGCGAGTTCCGCGCGCAAGGCTCTTCAACAATACAGCCAGAGCCTTAATGCGTTGGGCAAGTCTCTATCCAAGAATGGCAAAGAGCCAGACGACTATGATTTGATGACAGTCGTGGTTCTTGACATATTTGAGGCAAGTTTATTTTTATTTGAGAGTTTACTCCCCACGTTTCTGTAAAGTCTTCTAATCCTGGTGTATTAGACCTTATTTATCCATGACGACAACAGTTTTGGGGCCCATACCCAAGGAATGGCACATATCTTACGTCTCCGAGGTCATAAAGGATTCCATGACCCTCGGGGATGGGGACTGTTTCGCCTGGCTCACCACCGACTCGTATGTTTCAACTTGAGAATCAGCTTGGAAATCGATGGTATGCTAACTGCGAATGACGTGAAGCAAAAGGAAAGACTTGCAAAACAGTTAAGCCCACTGCAAGATTCGGGCCAATGGCTTGATTCACTGAGTAGTGAGACATCCTTCGTTGAACTGGAAAAGGGAGCATTCAATGTTACTGCAGTCTGTGACAGAGCTAGATCCCTTCTTTCTAGGTTGAAGTCTGGCGCAAATTCGTGGGAAGAAATGATTCAACTTGTGCGGGAAATGATTAGCGTTGATTTGAAAGTCTCTCGATGGCGCGATCGACCTGAATGGACTTTCCAATCTCTCCCTCGGAGTGCCTTGACTGGTGACCCAGAATGTATCAGTCGCCTCCCTGCTCGAGTTGAGGTACACCGCGATATATGGATGGCGTATGAATGGAACTACCACCGCACAGGGCGGATTATCCTACATCAGACACTTCTCGAATGCCTCTTGCAGCCATCTGTCGACCTCCCCACCGCTGTTTCTGTTTATGAGATATCGAATTACATCGATGCATCGACGTCCATCATTCACGATCTTGCGGACGGTATCTTGTCTACAGTTCCTCAGTCTCTTGGGGATATTGACAATACTGGACAATGTGTTTCACTAATCTCCGACATGCCTGGATGGCAGGCTATTGGGGCATACCTTCTGCTATGGCCGATTAAAATCATCAAATCTAGTAATAGCATGGCGACAGAAGCGCAAAGGCACGACGCCGAATTTTGCTTTGAAAGAATTCGGGAACGGACTGGAATGAAAGCTAAGTTAGGCTCTTTGTCTTCTATTTGATAACTAAATGAACACGAATAAACTTGCAATCTACCACAATGAGTCCTATCTGCTATGTTCAGTTGCTCTCGATGCCAAGTTCTTTCTCTTTTTGAAAAAGATCCGGCATAAGAGGCTGGCCATCCTTTGACAGGATGGGATTTGCCGCCAAGGAAACAAAGAATATACGGCAGACACGGTTTGAGTTATTGAACCATTGATGGTTTGCGCCCTCCTGGATTATGTATTCGCCAGCCTTGACGACCCTCTCTTCTCCGCTATCCAGGCGAAGAAGTATCTCGCCAGTGACGACAATGCAGTAGTCTATACTGAGCGTCCTGTGCATTGGGGAGCTGCTGCCAGGTTGAAAGTCAACTGTGCAGACCATAGCTCCCTGGGGAGGTGTTCGAGGAATGGCTTCAGGGAATGACGGGGTTGGGTCGGTGTTGGTCACGGGAATGGCATCGCGTGAGTCGAAGACGGCGAATCCAGTGTTATGAGGACCAAATTTGAAAGGAGTAACGTCATGGTCGGCGGAGAAGACGGAGTTCTCAGTCTCGGGAGAGTGGCTTGCCCGGATGACTCGTGGGTAGCCGAGGGTTACGTCTTGGGTGGTGGTTGTGTGGGACATTTTGGTCTTAGTTGATGTGTCGTAGTTCAAGTATGTTATTCTAGGATTGCAGAAAATATATTGAGATAATTTTGTGATTGTGTGGTAGTTCTACTGCTTCGTCTCGGGTTCCTGACTGCTTTATATACTTGCTTTTCTATTATTGACATAGTAAAGCCTGAAGCTATTGGATCGTCGGTTGAAGCGTTGGATGACGAAGCTGGAGATAATGACAGGGATGTTCGCAGCGCTTGCCCAGTTGGGAAACACCCACGAGGCTCCAGCTTCAAGATCTTACGCGGGACCAAGTTCGACCCAAGGGATCCTTGTCAACTGGGTCATAATAAGAAACACTGACTAGTAATATTAATAATGGGCTGAAAGCCATTGAAACTCCTCGCTGCGTTTATCAGTGGTCGGGAAACTCTAATATCCGTCCAATTCATGATCAAATCCGTCCCTCAATCAACACACCAGGAATGGCTATACTGTGATCATGAATAGCTACAGAGATGGAAGAACGCATACGGTAGAGAAGCTAGTCTGAACTAGCCATATCATGAATGATTTTGGCACTAAATGACCTATTGTTAATACTGCTGCTCTATTTATTGTATCTGGACATAAGGGAGTGGCATTTCTATGCCTCTGCCGGAGATATAAAACCGACGATACTGACAAAACTTATATTCGTGTATTCCCCGCCTACAGCTGGCTTCACCCATAAGAAATATACCTATACTACCTTATTTGAGCAATTGTCCGAAATGTGCACTGCTTTTGACCAATCCGTTGCCGTTACTGGCCAACCCATTTCCACCAACAACCATCCCGTTCCCGATGGGAGTTACAACATTTCCATTGCCGTTCAACGTACGATTTTCTTTCAACCTCCACTGCGCCATGGGCGATTTCGAAGCCCGGTAGTGCCTATCTAGCGCCTTGCAGATTGCTCTTGCCACCGGCTCCACGTCGTTGGGATCGAGCCCGACCGAGATTCTAATGTACGGATCCTCATCCCGGATAAAAGGGCAAGATGGCCATATACGAGTGGCGGAAAATCCCAGCCCACCACCTTTAGTCATTCCAACATCCTCCTCCTCTCCTGCCCTGAGAACTAACTCAGTAAATCTATCCAAACTGGGCCGTTTGTTCATTTGGTCATCTCCAAAGAGCTTGATGGTGACAACGTTGCCACCGTGACCCCAACCCATCTTTCGCCAATGAAGTGGGTAGTTGAACCCAGCAATGGAAGCGCATTGCTTGTCCAAGATGTGATATAATCTTTCCGCATTCGACGTCAGCCAGTACATTCGTGATTGATGAACCTTGGCGTCAATAGCGGGCAACACATTCGCTTGACGCGAATACAACGTCGTTCCAGTGATCTGGCGGATAAGGCCAATGCTTTCATGGAAAGCCTCAGGATAGACAAGCAAGCCACACATGACAATGTCCATGCCCATCTGAATGTACTTATGGGCACTCTCATAGTAGAGAATCTTGGGGTGGCTGTCATCATTGAACCAATCATATAGTGGCAATCCACCTGAGAGGAGTGTTCCGTCCATGATGAGATACCGGTCAGACCAGCCAGGTCTCCCTTTCAGGAGCTGAGCAAAGCGTCGAAGGTCTGTGGTCTCTAGTCCGAGAGTGTTGGCCATCGGGTCGAGATAGACAACCTTGGCATTGTGTCTCTCTGTCGTTGCAATGATATCTTCGGCATCAAAAGTTTCCGAGTTGACGACCTTGACATGTGAGACTGGTCGGAGATGATCAAATGACTCAAAGTACAAGTATGGAGACAGAACTATTGTGTCACCTGCGACGAGAACCTTGCTCATGACGAACTGGTTGAGGACCGTGAATGCTGCGACGCCGCTGGACGTCAAAAGTAGTTTGAGTGGCCACTTGGAGTCACCCATGCCCAGGGCCTTGAGCAGGGTGTCTTCGACAGTGTGCACGTCAGATGCACCATAGCGGTCGTAATTGAGGCCGTTAGCACGGTGGTACGCTGGGTCAAACCACCATAGCGTTCGAGACTGGTCGTAGCCTGGACTAGCCCGCTCAAAGAACGACCCAACAAAGGACTGTAGCTGAACAAGGGCGCGGAAGCGCTCCTCCATCTGCCAGGGAGCAAGAGCAAAGCATGACAAAGCTGAAGAGGGGGCCTGCCCATCGCCTTGGCTGAGGTTCTGAGTAACAGCCAGCTGTATCTCTAGCTCAGCGGTTAGATGCTCTAGACGGTTGAACTGCTCCTGAAAGATGCTGTTGCACCAGTCATCAGAACGTGCAGAGATCTCTTTCTCGATCTGAGCACGTCTTTCAGCTCGTTCCTTGATCACATATGTCCCCTGTTTGAGGCGGGACAACAAAACAGACCACATCTCAACGATTGATAGCTTGGGGGTTTCATATGACTTGGTGTCTGTTCGACGCACCAACGGACCGTAGGTGCTAGGGACCGGAGTGAGAGCTGAGGGGGCCATTATGAATTCCAATTAAGCAAACAAGCCAGGAATATTGATTGAAGTGGATGAAACTGTTTGATCCAGTGTGCCATGACGCTGTAGTTTTATATCCCGCTAGTGATCTACCTTGACACCTTAGAGAAGCCCTACGTCACGAGGTCGTTGCCAAGAAACCTGCCTATTTGCATTCCGCGCTACTCCTATATGCCAGGGTTCGTTTACTATTGCATATGGACGCAGAAATTGATGAGTTGTCTTCTTCCCCTCGCTCCTTCTCGGCCTTGACCGTCAAAGGATGCAACATTCAGGACGACAGCTGTCAAAGATCCATGACCTACTACTAGCTTCTTGGCCAGAGAGCCCACCAGACCAAATGATCTGATAATATTGTTCACTTTATGACTCAAACCCGTATGTACTAACAGAACTGCGGGCTCAGATCCTGAAATATTCGTTGAATGCTCTAGTGTGTGTGTGGGTTGGGTATTCACGTGATGCCTCATGAGGGCACGTTAATCTATAAATACCTATTCAGATAACTCTCATGTAGAATGGAAACAAGTTCAGCTAATCTTTTTCATAAAATGCTCAGGGCTTAGGCCATTATCACAGCTTGTCGTATATATTTCCAAGCAAATTCTCTTTTCCCCTACAGTACAAAATGACGTACTCCAAGGACCACACTAACGGCAACACCAACGGCACCACCAATGGATATGGGCTGCACAAAGGCCCTCGACGAGCTCCCCGAGTCCTTAATGTTCTCGAACGACGTTATGATCCTCAATTCTACCAGGCTATCTTCTCCATCATGGCTCTCCGAGAGAAGTACTTGAGAGACGGTTATATCTTCGTCCGAGGAGAGGATATGATTCCCATCCTCAAAGGACTCGGTGCTTTAGATGAAGATTTTGAGCCGTTTGGAAACCTCGGTGATCTCACTTCACCCGACCCGACCGTAAATTACCGCGCTATAACATCCGGGAGATATTGCGTTGATACGGAGACGCGGACTATCCAGCGGCTTGAGTCACAGGACTACGTCCTTACGTTGGAAGAAGATTACAAGCGTCATGATTCCGGGGTACCAAGGATGTTCGATGACACCCCACCAGACATGCAGAGCAATACTGTGATACACACCCTTATGCTTTTCAAGACCCTCGTGTACCAGGGAGTCCCTATCACTCCTCGGGATAACTTGAACTACTACACTCCCAAGTGGATTTGCACACTCTTCAACATCCGAGTGACTACAGCTCCAGAGCTAGGCATCTTCGGCGAGCCGGCACTAGAAGGAGTTCACACTGATGGATCCGACCACACTATGACTGTCTTCTTGAACTGCTCCAACATGCACCCTGAGAGTGGAATCACCTTCATGCATGACAACAAGGAGACCACGGGGGTGCAGCTCCAGGACACCAATCCTGCGCTGATCCGGGGGCGTGTGCACCACCAGAAGCTTCTTGATACTCTAATGTTTGTGGACCACCATACGAAGCACTCTGTCACGCCCGTGCACCAGCTAGACCCGGCGCACCCTGCGACTAGGGATATGCTCATCGTCTTCACCCGCAAACCAAAGCTCGAGGGGCATGTCTCTGGATTTTTGGACAGCCTGAAGCTTAACGCCACGTCACCGTTCCATTTGCCGATGTGGCTTCCTTGATAGAGACCTTGGGGAGTCATCGGCTGGAGGAGTCGTCACTTCGGTAGTTAGTTGATCTATCACATATGCAGAAACTTATTATGTTACCATGTGAATCCACCGTCTGTGATGTATAGTTAAGCCGTCATGTAGGCAAGACGCTAAAGTACCTAGCAAAAGATTAACATATCTACCGAGATTTTCTTACACCGCCTTTTGCCAGCTCAACTATTTTCCGGGTCTTTTGTAGCCAATCATGAAAGTGTCATTCTTGTCTGACATTCAACTTAAGTACCATTCGGTTCTTACCATGACGTTGACCACTATGCAATGAATATCGAAAGTAGCGAATAATGAGCATCAAAATAAATTACAGACAGGGATTTAATGCAATGAAGAGATCATAATTTTTAAGTCGATGATATATGGACACGCAATCTTGTGGTACTAGTTCTTTTGCAATTAGGTGTGGACTTAACCATCCTGAATACCAGAGAAACCATCCTTATGCATGTGAATCCTTCTGTAACCGCGGTATGTCCGTCTATTGGGCCCATTATCAAACATGAACTCGCATAGACACGTCAGTTCATTGCCACTATATCCGAGCTGTAGTGACAAGATTCCAACTTGGTCAGCCTTGGCTTTCGAAGGCACAAGTCCTTGGCATCAAAGAAGAACACCATTAATTGGCTCGTTAACGAAATGGGCATGTCCAGAGCTAGGACCAGTTACCAGGGACAAGATATGGGGAAAAAAAGGAAGAGATAACCAAAGATAAAAATCTATATTTTGACGCCAAGATATTCATTGATTTGTGTGAGGTTCCCAATTAAGGGTCATATGCGCTGCCACGTGAATCTCGCTTGGGCTGTAAACAGGGGGAAGTGACTGTGACATGGTGCTCCGGATTCCCTCCCACGCACTTACCGTCGACATCGACTACGGCACTTCTGTTGATGCCTAAGTGCCAGATATTAGCTTACTTCCATAGAGATGCATATAACGCGGCCTAATGCAAAGAAACCGGCGTACACTCCTTTATTAGGAAGTTCGGGAAGCGCTCAGATTCTGTCCCCGAAAGCACTGCCGTATGATAACGGTCGATATGTACATGGCTACCCCGCCTCTCGTTTTCATAGGACAAAGATGGAGGCATCATGACAACGCAGAGTTTGAGCAGGGGGGCCACCGTGTTCTCAAAATTCATTTGTTCGAGAATGCCAAGACGGGGTATCGGTAGAGAGTTATCCGTAGGATTCTCCCCGTCAGAGCGTCGATAACCCCCACTTGCTACGATGAGGCAACAGGATCCGAATGCCAGGATTTTAATTCCTCTAATCTCAATTTATCTTGACCTCGACAACAGCCCTGGGGCGTGTGTTCGTCACAGCATCGCTCTACCGACCTTTTGGCGTTCGTTACCCCATACGTCAACGCCCCTGAACTCCATGTACTTGCTCCACTCCGGATCCTCGAGCAACTGTTTCACCAACTCTGCCTCGAACGTAATCTGCAGTTCGACCCCCTCGTCATCCCCGGCGCCCCCCGGACCCCTTTGTGGTGGGTAGAGGATTGATTGGCCCCGTTGCACCTCAGTGAACAGGTGCCGATGCGCAGCAGGCCCACCAAATCCAAAGTCCATGGCAGAAAGGTTTGCAGGCCTCCAGTCGGTAATATAAAAGGCCATTAGAGGGAAGGAGTGGACACTGATGGACAGATCCTCGATCGGCACATGAGATAGCTTCTCCAGCTTGTCGGTCAGCATTTCGAGACTCACGCTTTCTGTCAGCTGGCGCACGTAACTGGCCAGCATCGAGAGCGGTACCTCCGAGATGACCTCGGCGAGGGTAAGCTGTGGGAGGTGGGAACTGGCGGAGGTGATGTCAAATTGCATGTTCATCTGCAGGCGCTCGGGCATCCCCGTATCTTTGAAATACTTCTGTATGCTCACCCCCGCCCCAAACAAAGGCTTCATATCTGGATCCGCCTTATACAAATGTTGGCGGATCCTGGAAAAAACGCGCCACGTAAGAGCGCAAAGGGCATTAAAACTAGAGATCCAGGTCCCATCATTTGGCGAAGCAGCTTTCTTCAGCTCCGCCCCCTTGCTCTTGGGGAGGTGGAAGATTAGCGAATGAACGGGCCGGTTTCGCGATTGGGCGTGTGGCAAAGACGGTGCCTCAGCTGGGGCCCCATGCTTATAGGTCGAAGAGGACGAGTTAGATGAGGGTCTCTCGAATCCCAGAGGGAGACCATAACAGGTGCGATCCATGCACCGTGGGTCCCATGAAGGGAACTTTGTCTTGTTCAGGATAGCATAGCAGTTCTCCGCCAGCTGGAGCATAAGTGAGTTCAAACCATCAATTCCATTGGTAAAATGATGGTGATGGATGACGAAAATGAGACCGCCAGGAATGTAGGTGGCCTTGAAGGATCCCAAGGCAGGTCTATTAGCAGCGCGCGCTTCGGGTGTTCTACCAAATACATGGGAGGCATTGCATAGGACTTTGACATCGCCAAGCACAGCAGTAGCGAAGTGGGCTTTTGCTATCGTTGAGTAAGAGGGGAAATTGTCCTCTGGGGAGTCGAGGTACTGAACGGCAAACTTGACCGTGTCATCTTTTCGTTTGATGATAGAATACCCCCCGACATTGTTGGGCTCAACATGGCCATTCATCTGCCGGGTCTGGCTGAGAGTCCTCTCTAGGCCTTCCTTGAGGATAACTTCGACCTTTCTGCCGGGCGCGGTCAGTATGTTAGCTTCTCCATGTACTACACCGGCAGCCAAAATGATCTTGAAGCTCTTACGCCTTCTCCTCTTCCTTCACCTCGAAGAACAAAGCATGGTTCAAGTAGGTCATAGTCGTTAGGTAATCCAGAGTGCAAAGCTTGATTTCCTCCCTCTCTGGATCATTTTCCCAGCCCGTAGGGTGAAGCTGATACTCCTTGATTCGAGGCATAGCGACTTTTGCGAGGCAAACAGCCAGTCTCTCAATCGAGCCCAAGGCAACAAGCAGGACGAATGGATTGGCCGTGGCGTAAGGGCGTTGGCTGTACGTGGGAGAGTTTGGAGGCGTGCAGGAAAGCTAATGCGGGCCAGGTGCCTTCTTGTGGCTCTCGAGTGTCCACCCTGGCCTACTGTGCCGCCCTAGATGCATGGTTAACACAAACGGTCCGAAGCAGCCAGCGGCGGGGAAGAGATACGAAGCGAACTAAGCTGGGGCTGCTGCAATCCTGATCCTACGGATATGTACTGACCAATCTCCGCCTGCTAGACCCCTCTTGTATATTGAGCTTCCGAATGAAGATGATAAGGAAGACCATTGTAGAGTAGCCAAGGCCGTCTACATTGCACAAGTTCTTTCAGACAATAAGCCACCATCAGGGACCCCCGTAAGCATTGACACGTCAGTTGTGGGGAAATACAACCTCAATCAAGAGCACAGTCACAAGCGCTCGTTCGGGCTATCTCGCCTGATGAGAATCCTACCCAGAAGCCGTCTCGAGGAATTTTCCATGGACAGAAGCGGCCTTCCACAGCTATGATGTATTTAATCAAGATGTGTATCGATTGAGATTAGTCGAAGAGCCAAAATCAGTACCAAGTTGTACGGCCTCAATAGAACGTCAGAGCTGAACAGAAGTACATTTACTTAGAATAGTAGTCATGCTCATCATGTGTATCCTTTTTAATTTTCAACAATCTATTGTCGTGGGACTTTTACCAGAGCATCCACAAACATAGCTTGGAAAATCCGGCCTCTTCGAATGGAGCATCTTCAAGCTCTGGCCGAAGAGCCGCTCGGATAGAGGTGGCCGGTTCCTTGCAAGCGACTGACTCTACAAGCATACCACGCTCATTTTTCACCTCTGCAAGCTTAAACAGAGCTCGGGCTTGTTGGCCTTGTCCCTCTGTGAATGTCTTTGAGATGCCCACTATCTCCTCAAGCATTTGTCTGCGTGTGCATGTTAGCATAGATCAATGATCGAGGAGAATATAAATTTCCTTACATAGCTGAGCTTACATGTCCTTGTTTCAGCAATATTGAAGCAACGTCATACTGAGAGTCGCAAGTTTTCAGCCTGTTCCCAAGAAGATTCCTTCGAAAAGCCAAGGCTTTTGATGCTAGTCTTATTGCATCGCTGGATCTCCCTTGCGCAAGACGGATACGCGATAGAAGTACCATATCCCCAGAGAAACGAGGATTGCCTGTCTTAAGAAATGTCTCGTCTGTGAAGTCTTTGAGGGATGGACATCTTGCAAGCATCTCTTCAGCTTCATCCGGCCGATTCATACGAAGAAGTAAACTCGACATGTTGCTGTATGAATTCCCAATTCTATCACTGTTTGCCTTGAGTCGTAGGCGAATTGCCTCTTCATGTGCTGCACAGGCGAGGTCCAATTCGCCCATCTCGGTGTAAGCTAGAGCTACATTGTTGAGACTATAGGCAATGAAAGGATCTTCTGGCCCAAGGGTAGCTTTGCGGATCTCGAGAGCTCGTTTAAAAGACTCTATTGCTACCGAAGGTTGAGCGAGGTCTAGATCGATGAGGCCGCCAAGATCAATGGCGCTTGCATATTCGAGACTCATTTTATCCTCAAATATCGAATTGGCTTGTTCAACCATCGGTTTGGCAATCAGATATAATTCTCTTTCGTATAGGTACCTGGGATTCAGTTATTAGTAGGGATGGCAACAGTGTAGGAGGGCCTGCTTACCAACCACATCTCAGCAGGAGATCAGCGTATTTCTGCTGATTACCGGGCTTCTTTCCCATGACTTTGGCTAACTGAACGAGGTGATTTACATGGGTGACTGCCTTTTCGCATCGTTCCCAGACCGTTATCTGATGTCCAATATCAGTCTTCGAGTGATCTGGAAACCCCCAACAGAGTAGGTGAACAGCGGCATCAAAATATTTGGTAATCTCCAGCTCGGTAAGCCTCTTCTGAGCCGCTGATTGAGCTAGGCGATGGATTGAAAGAATTGCTAGATCAGATGTGCGATTTACCAAGGCAGCTCGAAGTAGATCCTCGGTTGCATCACCAAAGCTGTTGTCAAACATTAGCAAAACCACTACAGAGGTTTCACAGTCACAGGTGTGGCCACACATACTCCATCTCGTCGGATAAAAATGAAAATTCATCTTGAATATCCACAGAACCACGTAAAAGGATTTCCTCAGAGATAGCATCCGGGTCAAAAAATGAGAGCAAGTTCAAAAGACAGGCCGTGTGTCAGCCATTTTTTCAAACGAGATGTTCCACACAGTACTCAACGTGTGTTCGTAGTCACTGCCAGGGGCCTTCCGAGAATCAATTTTCGATAAACTCCTTCGGCTTGATATGCCTGGTTTTTATGCACTTTGTTCTCTTCTTGACTAAATGAACTAGCATCGAGCATGGTAGTGAATTCTCTTACAAGAAAACATGGCAGGCCCTCCCAAACACGACAGTGGTATGAACCCTTGGTGATCCACGATACGTAACCAATTCACTAACTTTAAGCATGCAGAACCCCATTCCGAGGTTGTGCAAGATTATGTCTTCAATGGCTTCCCATGACCTCCCATGGTATAGATTTTGGGTACTTCAGCAAATCCACAGCCTCCCTGATCGACTATTTCTGTCCTTGCCGAACATCAACTGCCACACAAACATCACTGGCTCAATTTGGAGTGCACAGATTATTCCTTTGTGAAATAAGGTAAGGGGTCTGGCCAGGGCCCAGGGCCGAGAACAATCGACAGCATTACAGAAGCGTTACTGCAGGCCCACTACATTGTTGTGAACGAAAACTACGAGGCATATCAATCTGCGAAGGAGCTGGTATTTAACATCGTTGGTTGGCAAACCATGCTCTATCGGGCCAACAACCTGACCCGCACGACCGACGGCTTATCTATTCTTGATGAAATGTTAGGGCGCCTCGGCAAGACAAGGCTATGCCTTCACCAATCGAGTCTGGCTGGGAAATATGACTTGCCTAGCTTCATTCTGGGATTTGGCATGATGCTACCACAGAAGAATTACTATTCATTTGACGACACCGAGGACCGAAAGCTGTTTAATGCAATGAAACTGGTCAATGTGAAAGAGATAAATGCTCACGTGCTGTACAAGGTTTGTGGCGTGAAGATCCAGTGGGTTGATTCCCTTTCATGCCATTTAGAACTGGATAGGCAGACCGGGACTTTGTTTCTTTATCGATATGCTTCATTCTGCGTTGCGAGCCTCCAGAGCAAGAACCAATGTGGAAACTCATACCAAAGCCCGTTATCCAGTGCTGCGGGGTAGACGCTTCAAGTTCGTTGCCTTGGGCTAACGAGGCCGATATTAACGATTTACTGCGTGAAGTCTTACTATCGTACCGGTTACTTTTCGGTCAGAGCAGACGCTCGAGGAAGCTTTTCCGACGGCTACGACCTTTTGCGCAGACATCACAAGAACTGCATGATCGATTCCTATTTGATATGTGTACCAAGAAGGAACCAAAATGTTCAATTAATCTTATCGAACACGAGCAATACGATCTGGTTGGCGACTTCCCTCACCTCCGCAGCCGGCTCATGCGTCTCAACAACTATGCCACAGCCAAAAAGCCGCGTTCTGTTCGGCAGCTATGGAAGGATAAACGCGACTCTACAGCCTGCCTGGCATTTTGGAGCGTCATTATCATCGGGTCGATTGGTATTTTGTTGGGGTTGATTCAGACAGTGCTCCAAATTATGCAATACACCCTGACTATTCAACAAGGAAAATGAGTCATGTTTTGATCTACACTACCACACCTATAGCGCTGCTTTTCTAATTTGATTTTTTTTCCTTCTTTTTTAATCACAAATGAGAATCCTCGCTGCTTTGGGCAGGCACTCTCTCTATATCCCATTGCTTAACCCAACTTTCGTCTCGGTATGTTGTTTTGTAGTAGTAGAGTAAAAGAGAGGTCCAAGAGGTAGATATGCTTCATTTTAGGAATGACATAACTACTTGACAGAGGTCACACTGATAATTTTGATCTAACGTACAAATCCAGGCATCATTGAGATAAAGTACACCCACTTGTTCATTATCAGGCTTGTGTTGTTGGCTCGGCTTTCATATTGTTGGTTATCAGCACCCCGAAGTAACCCCGACCTGACAAGCGAGCGCAGCTTCAATTTTGTGCGGGGAACTTGGAAGTTGCCGCACCATTATTTCTCCCTCAGATTGAGGCTTTTGCGAGGCCCTTACTCACCCACTCACCCGATCGAAGTACGCCGATGGCTGTCAACGAGGTTCAAGTCTTCAAATTAGCCGTCGGGGACCAGTTTGGTCGCCTAACGGATCGCGAGAAGCGATATGCGCATCATATGGCCCGGTAAGCACAGGATGGGCGTAGGTCGGTGGCGTTTATATTGACTTATTATTACAACAGTGCTTCTTGGTCGGGAGCAAGAATCATCTTCCAGCAGGTTTCTCCCGAGTCCGTCCTAATTTTTGATTTCATCATGGAGCTTCATCGTATTTGCTCTGGGGACTGGGAATCTTTGATCTGTCCCGGGGTGACAGGAGAAGATCTCCAAAATTTCAAGATTTACGCTGCTACGTTTTTGTCAAATGTCGGAAACTACTATGTAAGTGGCGTTTTTAAGTACATGAGCCTATGTCCGAATCTATCGCTAACAGTTCACTACCATACCTAGGGTTCTGGCGATCAGAAATTCGTCCCTCAAGTGGAAAGCGCTGTCCTCCAGAAACTATCGGACAAGTCCTCTACTTTAACTCGTCTATACGAAAGCCTCTCCGATAAGATCCTCACATTGCCGCCATATAGTCTTGGATATTCAAGTGAAACCGCTCAGACGGCTTATTATCCAGGAGGTGATCTGAAGGAGTCCGACATCACCATGTTATCAAAATTTCTTGAGCAAAATCACATCCACCCCGAAAATACCAGACTCCAGAAAGTTGGTGAAGGAGACTATGAGATTCTTCTTGCCTCTGTTGAATCCGGTAGACAAAAACACCCATCTCTATCCAACGGTACAGGATCAGTGCAGGTCGTACAGGGGGACCATTCTTCTGACCTTCAACATGTGTGTCATGAACTCGCTGAGGCGGCCAAATACACCGCAAATGACCTTCAAAAGCGATTTCTCGAAAAGTATATCGAAAGCTTCCAAACCGGGAGTCTGGACGCGTATCGAGAATCCCTACGAATTTGGGTCAAAGATAAAGGGCCTCGCGTAGAAAATATTTTTGGATTTGTTGAACCGTACCGAGATCCACACGGTATCCGAGCAGAATTTGAAGGACTAGTTGCTATTGCTGACGATGAAGAAACTACACTTCTTGCAAAGTTGGTTGAGAACTCGGCCACCTTTATCCGTCGGCTCCCATGGGCAACGTCTGAGAACAATGGAAAGGGGCCTTTCGAGAAGAGTCTTTTTGCTCCTCCAGGCTTTTCTAGCATCCATTGTAAGCGCAATTTTTTATTTGGCCTCATGTTAAAATCTGGGTTGACCCTTGTGCAGCGCTGGCATATTGCTCGAGCATAATTTTCCCAGGAATCAATGTTCCCAACGTAAGCAAAGTCATCAATTATATATCCATCTTCATTGTACACAAACTCATTCGGCACACTAGTACAACGACATCCGTCAGGAGGATGGGTTTAAAAATGTTATTATTTCTAACCGAATGGTCACTGAGAGCCAGGCGAAACAGTACCCTTTTATCCAGGCCTCGGAAACAGTAATCTTTCAGAAGCATAAGTTCCCAGCTTATTACTGGTGGGTTGTTCTCCACGAGCTTCTCGGGCATGGTACAGGTCAAATGATGGTAGAGCATACAGAGGGAAAGTTCAACTTTGACATCAACAACCCGCCAATCAATCCGCTCACAAACCAACCCATCTCGACCTGGTATAAACCAGGGCAGACTTGGACAGGCGAATTTGGAGATTTAGCAACCACGGTGGACGAGTGTAGAGCTGAACTCGTAGGCGCGTACTTGATGGACGACGTCGAGCTCCTTGAGTTGTTTGGCTTCTCGGAGACCTCCGAAATTCGCGCAGATGATTGTGAGCGTTAATTACTCAGTCCCTTCATTTTCTTTATTTGGTGTTGAAACTAACACAAGAAACTCTCTTTAAGTGACATATAATATATACCAACAGCTAGGTGTTGACGGTTTGCGAGGACTATCCAACTTCAACGTAACCAATGGCGTATGTTTGTCTACATCCATGAACACTGTTTGGGAATCGCACTAATACTCTTTTGCAGAAATGGGGTCAGGCGCATAGTCGAGTGAGTGCTGATAGCAAATAAGATGAAATCGATTTCGCTAACCAAATTCCAACTCTCAGGCGCACTTCGCGATGCTGAAGTGTTTAATTCGCGATGGAGGCGGCGTTATTACCATTGTTCATGATAAGCCGGGCAACAACCTTACAGTCCACGTAGACCGCTCCAAAATTCGCACTCATGGAAAGGCAGCTCTCGGGAAAATGCTTCTACATTTGCACATGTTCCGATGTACGGCTGACGCGGAGAATTGTCGGGCCTACTATGAGGAGCTCTCTAGGGTGGAGGGGGAACACTTGTCCTGGCGCGAGACGGTCCTCTTGAAGAAGCCTCCTCCAATGATTTTTGTCCATGCTAATACGTTTCTTGACGGGGACAAGGTCATTCTGAAGGAGTATAACCCTACTGTCGAGGGTATCATCCAAAGCTGGGCTGAGAGACTTATCTGAACTAATACTTAAAGATCCCCGGGGCCTTTACAAAGTAAAGTTCTTCATTAGTTCATACAACCTTCAGGGATAAAAGCTATTTTATTAAGCTCTTGAATTCGAATGTATATTCAGACCGAAATAATAATATTAATTGGCTTTTTCTATCTGGTTTTTGAGCTTCAGAATGAGATTAAGTTTTGATCCATTTATTACACCGGATGCATGACCCTTACCGGGTTCAGCCGGCTCTCTTTTGCCATAAACCAAAGCAAAACCCATTGACTTTGAGGGCAATGTAGTCACTAGATACGAGACACGGGGAGAGCATCTTGTCCAGTCCCCCTCAATTACACTTGGCTATCTCAACGACGAAGGAAAAATCTCCGAACCTTCTCACTTTGTAGTGGTAGACAGAGTTATAGAGATGATCAAAAGTCAAGGCGAGTGACAGCAAAAGTCTTCTTTGCCAAACTGCATGATTCGGAAGCTAACCCCGTCATCCAAGGCTCATCGAGTATCCCCTGCTGAGCTGGAAGGACATATCTTGGATCATCCATATGTGTCTGATTGCGCCATCGTTAGCGTTCGGGACGAAGAGACCGGTGAAGTACCGAAGGCTTTTACCTTGAAGTCCGCAGATCTACGTATGTAAGAGAAATTGAGTGTAAAGTTAAACAGCAATGGAAGTTGCCAGAGCCCGACATCTCAACACAACGAATACGGATTAAAGTAGTATCAGTCTCACTAAATATGTTGTACTAGTTTTTTAGTTCAGGCATATTTATTCGAGATTCCCCCAGCCTGCTACTACCAGACGACAAGTATATAAACAGATAAACAAATCAGACGAAGCCACCTTCCTCTACACCATGCTTTCTTGGCATGCTGGTATTAAGAAAGGAGTAGCTTAAGCCTAATCTGCGCGCGCTATGCAGCGTTCGGCGGCCGGAACACTCCTAGCCTCCGAATCGTCCGCGTTGGATTTCAGCCAGCATGTCACCACCCCTCGAAGGGCCAACGCAGCACCCATGCCAGTCTTTTCGATACAGTTACCTGCTTAGCTCACTCGGAGTTACCAATGTGATAGCGGAGCGGATATTTGGACTCGGATCAACTCCACTAAGAATTTATAAGCAAGAACGAAATGTCATCCCTCATGGAAAGGCTCGGGCTAAACTAACACCCCGAAATGGATCACCACGAGTAGTTGACGAACAGAGAGAGTTTGAATAAATACAGCTTGAAGTCATTGCTAAGTCTTCACTTAATCGCTCTATACAATCCACCGCCTCTAGCACTAACTATTGTTCACTGCTTAAGCTCTCAGCCTCCTTCAACATGAGTTCTATCAAGAAAGTCGCGATTATTGGTGTAGGCGATGGTCTTATACGTATTATTCCGTGCACTCCACTGACAGGCGTGAAAATAAAGGTAATGTCGGCTCTGCTGTCCTAGCTGAATTTCTCAAGAACGGCCTCGACGTCACCGTCATTAGTCGCTCCAGCCAGGAAGTACCTGCTGGAGCTAGGGCTGCTCAGGCAGATTACAATTCCATCACCAGCCTTTCCTCGGCCTTGAAAGGCCATGACGCTGTCGTCAGTGCTGTGGGGGCTGCCGGTATTGTCGGCCAGGAAGTCATTATGATGCCGCCATTCTTGCTGGCGTCAAACGTTTCATCCTAGCGACTACGGATCGGTGAGCGCGGACCCGGAGGCAAGGGACGAGCCTACGTTCCTACCCTTCATTACGATTCAAGACTATCTGAAGTAGAAGGCCGCAGCTGGAGAGATCGAATACACAATCTTGTCTACCGGGGCCTTCCTAGACTTTGTCTTTGGTACTCCACTCTTTGTCGACTTCCAAAATCGCTCGGTAGAATTCTACGGCGATGACAAACTTCGACTGAGTTCAACCAGCATAGCAGGCATTGGAAAGGCAGTGGCTGGTACCCTAGTCAATGCGGACAAGACCAAGAACCGCGTCCTCCACATTCAGGAGACTGTAGTCAGCCAGGTCAAAGTCCTCGATTTGGCAAAGACAGCCGCACCCGAAGGAGCTGGGTGGAAGGAGATGTCTGTCGACCCGGAGGAGACCCTCGGGGCAGCCAGGGTCAATGCTGCTAAGAATCCAGGTGATACTTTTGCGCTATATGCACTAATCAAGGCGATCATTCTGAGCGGAAAGTATGAAACCGAATACCGCGAGGTAGACAATGATTTGATCGGTCTTGTGCAACTGACGGATGGAGATCTTAAGGCACAGTTCGTGCCCCTTCTAGCAAGGGCACCATAGACGACTATCTTAGAATATAGCATTAGACTACCGAATGGTATCTCAGACGCCATGGAATCGCTGACAATATGCATTATGTATTCTAAAGGCCCGTATACATGTACAAGCAGTAGCGAAATATAACACGGCATGCGATGAATATACAATATAGACGGATGAACTAGTCTAAAGTCACGCCTGAAAGATGTCTATTTTGAGCTGATGAACGAAATCGAAATTCGCTCCATCCAGTCAAAGGTTGATTTTCTTGACCATGACTGTCGTCGAATTTCCTTCCACACCCGTTCGAGTTTTTGATTCCCAATGAAAACCCATTTGTCCGCAACTCATTAGAATAATGCCTCCTGAAAGAAACCAAGCTTGCATGGCCGAGCGCCAAAGTTCGGGGCGCCTCGCTCATACCGCCCGGACACCGATTCAATAGCAAGCGGCTTACTCACCACCCACAGCCTAATTATGCTCAACTATGTTTTTTTTTTGGCAGGGAAAAGGTCACTCTGAAAGAGTATGAACCTAGTATCGAGGTTGTCATCCAGAGTTAGGCTAAGAGAAGCATTTAAATCAGTACTTGATACTCTCCGATTCCTGTATGAGGCAAAGTTTATCGTCATTTACCAGGGTCTTTGAGTTGGATGTTATTTTCATGAAGTTTTCAAGTTGAAGATGTGTTCAGATCTAGATAGCCCTGTCGACTAATTTTCCTATCTGATTTTCGAGCTTCAGAAGATGAACAGCTAATAATCCATCAGAACACCAGAGGTCAGGGGTAGTTCCTCTCCCAGCCCACTTCTCAGATTTAGGACTGGCTCTGGCGTGCCTCTTTAACCCATTCGTCAACTTTCATAACATTCTCCACGATCAGCGGCCAGATGAGGTCTGTCGCCGCATCTTTCTGCGGACCTGTAAACCCCGCTGTACCGTCAGACCTAAACGATGCAAATTTAGTAGGTGCGCTTATAGTATTGTGTTAAAGAATAAGGAAAAGTTCTTACAGCAATGTCACGTGGAAGCCGCTGTACACCCCAACGCAGTCAGTACCAAGTACCATATTGGTTGACAAGTCACGCATAAAACTTACAGCTCCCTGGCGTCACGGGCAGTTGACTCTAGACAGGTGTTGGCAACCATACCAGCCATGACGAGGTGAGTGATTCCCCGTTGACGCAGTTGATAGTTCAAGTCTGTGTTGACAAATCCACTAAAAGTGGTTGTCAAAAACGGGTAGTCCATCGTAGAACGGTGATGACATGACTTACCTGCTGTTCCAATGCTTGCTGGCGACTACATCCCCATTGCCAAGCACATCTGGCTCAAGACCTTCCAGAAACTCTGCCCCCCACGTTCCTTTCTCAAAGGCCTTGGCCATGTTGAGTCTCGAGTTGGACGTGGATAAGTGGCTCCACCCTTGGTAGTTGCCCTCCTTCCACTCCTGGTGCATAGCATAGAAGATTGGAATGTGCAGTTCTCGAGCGGCATCGACAAGCGTCTTCAGATGCTTGTTCGTATCAGTCGTCGTAAGAGACTCCCTAACGGCAGGGTTTAGCTTGCCATCGTGGTGAAGAAAGTCATTGTACGGGTCAATAAGGACAATGCCAGTTTGTGAAGATAGTTGGGTAGCCATTTTGCTTAGTTCTTTGGACAAGACGCACTGCTCAGCTTATTGTTCTATCTCGGGGAACGGGGAATGAGTCAGCTATAAGTAGGTGGCATGGACGTGGAATTCTAGACCAAATATGCCCGCTCACTTGAAGCTGACAAATTAAGGAGACTTCTGAGTGGAGGTATCAATCAAACAACCAGGCATACCCAGAGTAGCATTTACGCTACTTTGGCAGTTCACTCAGGACAATGACCGTCAGCAGGACTAGTGGCACCCATTCCAGCCAATCGTCGAACAAACTTCATGACCGACCACGGACCAGAAAAACCTTTCGCTCTACCGGATCGATGAGGACCACTTCTTCTACACGAATGATTGGCATACAGGTACAAGCAATCCCAGCATGTGCCTGATTGGACTTGTGATGGGCGGACTGCTGACCAATTTAGGCCCCACAACATCCATCCCCAACACCGCTCGTTCCGTTGGAGCTTCCACAAGCGTCTCATGTTGGGAACCCTCCCTGTAATGCAGTAAGCGCCATGGTAGGAATACCCGCTCTCAGCTGACATATTATCTCTCTCACGGCCCGGCTTTTACAGAGGTTTATCTGTTGACATGGGTGGAGAGGCGTCACCCTCTTACATGAAGCCACCAATAAGAGATACACGGATAAGGAAATCAGCTACGATATTAAGAGGTAGTAATTACTATGTATAAAAGGCTCATACTACATGTAAAATCTATGCTCGCTCTTTGTACAGTTGGCCTAGGCGTCACCACGGTCATTGAATTGTCCCCTCGGATGTAACCAATGCCCTCACACCACACTTCTTCACTCAATCAGCAAGCAATGACGATAGCTTTTGCTTCCACTGCTGCAACGTTTTTGACATTTCATCCATCTGCGTCCGGGTGGTCCTGAGTTCCTCTTCGAGCTGCTGCTTCTCGGCGCGCAGAGTTGCTGCCTGTTCCATAGACCCTTGCCGCAGGGAAGCCTCGAGGCGCAATTGTGCAAGTTCGCTCTGCGACGCTCGAGCTGACTGTAGGGCTTTTTGAGTCATTTGTAATTCCCGATCTCTGAGACTTAGATCTTGGCGAAGCTGGTTAACTTGGCCCTCCAACCCGCCAATCTGTTGCCGAAGCTCAGCAGCCGTTTCCAGCTCCGAGTATAACACGCGAAGCGCAGAGTCCACTTCTGTAGGTAGCGTTGTGTAACGAGATCGCCGTGTGGCGACCGGCCGGTAACTCGTGTATGTATCTATGTCTATAGAACGGGCCTGCGGAACAGGTACGGTCCTTGGCCCAGGATGGGTGGGTGTTGCAACTAGACGAGCTATCACAGTCTCACTAGCCTGTGACGTGTCCTGTGAAGCAGTGGGATGACTTGTAGGAGTAGAGTGATCCAAGCTTGGATCCGGGGGTAGGACTTGGGGTCCACGAGAGGACTGCACTGCCTCGGGCTGGGGTAGCGAATTGGGAGGATGAGCATGCCGCCGCCCACTTTCGACTTCTTCCACCGCTCTAGAAGTCTCTGGTGGTGGCGAGGCGGGCGGCGTGAGAGTGGGCGGCTCAATGTGCCAATTTCTCACCACACATATGTCGCAATACCAGCCTTTTGCTGGCCCGTGGTCAACAGTAACGGAGCTTTTTGGTCTGCACGACTCGTGGTACTGTCTTCTACAGGTTATGCATGGATGGATATCATCTGACTTCTTACATGCAAAACAGAAATCATCATAAACCGCACCAGATCCTAGAGGAGAACCCGTTTTTAGTAGGTGGCTTGGAAGACATGGATGAAAAGGGTAGATTACGTTTCCAATTTTTGTACATTGCCGAGGATAAAGACAAAAACTCCTCCGACACGCCCCGCCCATCCATTGCGGCTTCAAGTAGTTCCTTGAATCTCTCCAAGCCTTCATGGCTGGTTGGCGCGTGGCTCACCAATCGCGTCCGGCGTGGGGGATGTTGATTCTCCTTTTCATGGCGCTGGGAGGTTCGCAAGCGCTTCCTTCTTGGTTCTGGAGGCGACTGATCGGTATCGTTCATTTTTGGCGGTTGTCGAGATGCCCAGCAGGGATTCAAGAGAACGGGCGGTAACGGGCGTCATTCCCGCATCATCAATTAAAGGGAGAAAAGAAGAAACCGATTACAAATCGCATTTTCGGGTTCGCTTTCCGTCATTTGACGCCAGACGGATGGATATTTGTGGGACTAAATTTGTCAGCAGATTCAGCCTCTTCCATTGGGTGAGCTGCATTGGCCCTTGTCAAAGTCGGTGTTTGATCTTCTCCGCTCATCGTTCAAGCGTTACTGACTAATTTATCAGGGTCAATCCAGTCCCCCCAGCATGCCCGCCCTCGTCCACACCTGTTTCCACGGATTCTACTCCCTTTCAATTCCCCATTCGCCCATTGAAACTGCTGCACTTTTCATGTGGAATACCAAACCGAAAATAGCTTAGTGGTATGGGTCTGTTTGATATATCAGCTTCAACCGATAATCTGTTCAAGCCTACCCTGTACCACAGAACAGATATTCATTGTTCTACTGTAGGGCACCGCTATATCTACTATTTCCCTCCTTCTATCGGATTATCACTAAACGTTAATTTAATTATTCTACTCATAAGTCTGTCAACATCTTCAAAGAGACATTCTCCCTTCAAAGAACCCAAGAATTCCATAGAAGGTTGAGAAATACATGTAAACCAGAAAGTTTGAGTACAAAGATATGCACAGCAATGAAGATGCCAAGCCCAACATCTCAACTCAATGGAATGACACCATTCAAATGGCCTAGCAGCTCCAAGACGGCTCATATACACGACGCGGCCTGGTGAGGTAGCATACATTCAACCATGGGAATACTGCCACCCCCACGCTAGGTATGTGCCCGATTCTGGAGCGTTATCCTCCGAGACAAATAAAACCATCACACTCGGTCTTTTGGTGATTGATGGTTACATCGAATGGCTCAACAGTGGTGTGTTTGTTGGGTCCCCATGGCCCACACTGGAGCCTCGGCTCTGACGAATGTGTGGTGGGCCCAACTCATCACAACTCTTTCCACAACTTAGGGGGTATGGACTCGCTTTTTGGGTAGATATGTTCATGGTGTTGGGTTGTCTACTCAGGCACCTATATATAGAGGGCATCACCACTGAAACAAACTGCGACTTCTTGAGTTGAATTCTCACCACAACGCCAAGATGAATCTGCCCTTGCACGACATGGCAGCAATATGGGCCAGCATTCACACTTGCCTATCTTTTATCCTGCCTTTAACATTTGTGGCCTATCTGATACTCGTGAAATCCTACCGCTACGCTCGAAGAGATGAGATAGAAGCAAAGTTTATGTCTGGGGGACGGGAGTTGTCAACAATGACTGGCAAAGAAGCTTTTGAGATTCTCGCTCAGCTGCAGGAACTCGAGTTTCCCTATGCTTTCGCCAAGGCACGTCAGATGGCTTTGCTCAAGGTTCGTCCCAGTCTTCAATGAGTACTCAATACTATATATAGCTTTCATACTAAACCCGTGTTTCATCCATTTCAGGCCGGCGGTATTCCTTCCATGTCGAAGCTATTCGCTGTGACGGGACAAAACAACCGGAGGAATGCTGGTAGGCGTGCCGTTGATACAGAGATCCTCCTTCGAGAGTCACAGACAATGCCTCGGGATTCAGAACGCTATGCCATGGCTGTTGCTCGTGTGAACTACTTGTATGTGGCGGCAGAACGAGACCCCTGGCTAGAGTTCAGCTGACAAGTTTAGCCACGAGCGGTACCGACGTGCTGGGAAGATCACAGACCCCGATCTACTCCATACACTAGGCGACGGCCTCGCAGAAATACTGACTGTTATCGAAAGAGATGAATGGCGCAAGCTGACAGATGTGGAAAAGTGCGCCTTGGGCGTGTTCCACAAGAATCTCGGTGAAGACTTGGACATCCCGTTCGACGCTCTACCATCTAGCGAAGGGGGGTGGAGAGACGGGGTTCATTTTGCGATGGATCTACGCGACTGGACCATCAAATATGAGGAGGAGGTGGCTGTTCCTAACGGCCCCAGTGTCCAATACGTCGACGCTTATGTAGATTCCGCATTTCTTTCCATGCCAAAATGGGTTGGTGTGACCATGCGGAAAACTTTGGGTGCCGACTTGGATGATACCATGAGGTCGAGTCTTGGGTGTGTATTCTCGTTCTAGCTATGGGTGGAGTGAATTAGCTGACCATGAGATTTCCTTGAATTGCAGGCTTGAGGCTCCTGGGCCCCTTCAGTCCCTGCTCATTCGAACCATGCGAAACCTCCGAATCCTATACCTCAGGCATTTATCGCTTCCTCGACACACAGCCAAGAAAGCCTTGTCGGTATCACCCAATCCGAAAACAGGCAAGTATAACTTCGAGCGTAAAGGTTTACAACCCTGGTACATGGAACCCACATTTTGGTCCAGTTGGGGCCCCAGTGCTCTCTTGATCAGGGCGGCGGGAGGAAGGGTGCCTGGTTCCAAAGGTGACCGCTACTACCCACAAGGCTATGACCTGATGACTATCGGCCCAGAGCCGCAGAAAGGTAAAGGCATTGATGAGATGAAAGGCGACATCGAAGCTATTCGCGCCAGAGGCGTGGCCACTTGCCCTTTCTCCATGGCCAAGTTGGGGGAAATCTAGAAGAAGGGAAGGGGGTAGACTTCTTGCGCCTTGACAAGTCTAGGCTCAAGATGTCAGCCATCCTCCAAGAGAACACGCGACAAAGGCACGGCGGTCAAACTTGCGCGTTCTGCACGTTTCACATAGAGCTCGGGTGATCGATCTGAGATCTTCGGATTTGATGAAGCCACATTCAACGGGTTTTTGAAAGGGGTTGAAATCATGAATCAAACAGTTAGCACCGCAGGCTTTGAGAGCTCTTGATGGAGCAATTTCCAAATTTAAAATCTTACGGTCTCTTTCTTTTCAACGTCCGCTCAAAGTATTTGTAAATTTTATCCTCGACCCTTTGGGTTGTTACTTCTGTCAAAAAAAGCTCACCATGAAAATATAAACCGCCCATAGAAAAGCTACATATACCTCAACTTATCAAAGGGAATATCTCACTTCGATAAATCTCGTATTCCGAAATACCATTTCCCAGCATACGCCAGACCTACAGCGTATCGTTCAACCCATATCTAAGTGTCTCCATCTTTATTGCATCAAAAGCAATCGAACTCCTACGACAGACCTGAACCGGACACGGATGAACTAACACACGCGGAACTAAAACAGACTCGGATTTAATATCCCCGTCTTGTTACCCCCGGTGGCGTGGGGGAATGTTCAGGGGTTAGTTGCGAAAGTCGGCGATGCAAATACGTATCTCCATATGACCCTGGCAGTGCTTAAGGGCTCTCACATGCAAATGAACTCAGCCCGAACTTGTATATGGCTAGTTACCAAATAAACTATATTACTTTCACGGATGATAGAATATGATTGCTGACCGCCGAACGGATCTCAACGAAGGAGGAATTGTCTAACGGGCACCAAACACCGCAAATACTGCAGTACCATCTAAAGGTAGGGCTCTCATGTACAAGAGAATCAAGCGCGGTGGATACAAATCCGGAATGTTTCAATAAGTACAATACAATCCCCTGCTCCGAGAATTGTTGAGGAACAACCAGTGTAATCAGGATCGGGATGATGTTCCAGAACATTTTTGTTTAGGTTCGATCGTGGGAGCCGAAATCCGCACTCCGGAGTAACAGACGCCGAATGGAGGTAATCTCAGGTGCTTTACTTATTAGAAATCCCGATACAGTACTCCAAAGCACGTGAAAATTCTCATGTTCTCTTCTGATAGCCCCAACTTGCAGACTTCGGCCTCCCAACATCTCTTGAAAGTGGATACAACAGTCAGTCTGCCGAGGTTGGATCCATAAAATCTTGGACTTTGCTGAGCCAACCACATCTCGCTTCGCCTAGGTCGAAAGAATTGGGAATTAAGCTTAAAATCATATTGAAGGGTCGATTTCTGAACCAATACACTTTTCTTCAAATCACTGCCATCAGATTTAGATCCGCACACAATGAACCCAACAACTCAAAAGGCTGAACAACGCTTCAGATCCATCCCATGGTGTGCAGCTCTTCTTGACCGGCCGGGCACTACCATCTTCACCCCAAGTTGCCGCTTAGTGGATGCTTCAGGGCTCCCTGCTTCGCAAGATCAGATTCTGCGGAAATCGCTCAACAACTCAGATGCAGTACCCCACTGCCTTGGGTTCTATCAAGACCCTGCGGGCAGTTCCACACCAGGATCCCCTGAACACCCAAGGTTGCTCATCAACTCATCGTCCACAATTTTTGACCTGCAGCCTGGCGTCAACGGCTACCACGGTTCAACCCACGGCGGTTTCATGGCCGTGCTCATAGATGATTCAATGGGCGGTCTGATTTATCATAACTTCGTGCTCCAAATGCAAAAGCAGCAAGAGCCCGGTTGGAACCCGCCACCAGGAACGCTGGACTTGAGCAAGATTCAGTACTTCACTGCGGGCATGAATATTCGCCTGGAGAAGCCTTTGAGAACTCCAGCTGTAGTTGTGGTGACATCTACGTTGAACAGAGTCGAAGGTCGCAAGATGTATTTGGATGTCGTGGTTGAGGATGGCAATGGCACAAAGTATGCCACCTGTGAGGGTCTCTGGATGTCGCTCCCTAACCAAAAGATTTAAGAACTCAAATGTAAGCATCGAGCAAGCGAGGAGCAATATTTTGCCTTGTAAGACAAAATAGTTATTATTTATCACTATATTCATTTATTCAAATTACGATCGATGTAATATGTTATCTATTGGTGACGGGCTATATGATACGCCTCTGTGAGGCGATCTAGGAAGATGGCAAGTGTCTCGTTCATCTTCGCATAGTCGTTTGCCCGCAAAATGTCAGGCTGTTGAACATATTTGCGTTCGATAAGACCCGGCAATTCATCCTTGCTTGCTTCTATCAAACCCTCAATCACTTCAGTAGTTAATTCCATGTGACACTGAAATCCATACACCAGATTGGTGTATTCGACAATCTGGCGGGGGCAGCCCTGGCTGGAAGCAATGATTTTAGCTTCAGGAGACAGTCCCGGCATATCGTTGTGCCAATGACCGACTTCTACCGAGAGATCAAAATGCCCGAATTTGTCATTGCTCCTCCCGGTCGTGGTCAGAGTGATGGGGAAGTTACCGATCTCCGTCTCTGGGCTTTTCTCCCAGGCTGCTCCAAGAGCCTCGCCCACGAGCTGAGAGCCTAAACAGATCCCCACGACTGCATTCCCCGCATTGATGCATTGGAGAATGAACTTCCTTTCAGCTGCGGCATCAAAGTACGGACACTCGTCTTTTGTGGTTGATGGAGTCTGGGGGCCTCCTAGGACGATAAGTATATCGAGTGAGTCCACAGTACCAGGGAGAGTGTCGCCCAGATACAGCCGGGTGAATGTGACATTGTATCCTCGCTCTAAAGCCCAGGTTTCGTAAGCACCTGGCGCCTCAAATGATTCATGAACAATGAAATGAACGAGCATATTTGAGTTGGTCCGTCGACTGTGTGTTTGGTTCATGTTGCTGTTAGCTTGCTGTGAACAACAAACAAAATCCTCTGCAACCTGTCCAGTCCATTTGAATTATTACCCTTCAAAGACAATCACTCATGAGCTTTGAAATACTTATTTGTCTGAGTCATCGGCCCGGAGGCTAGGCGATTAAGGTAGCCTTGAAGGATGTTGTGTTCTTATGACTGATCATCCGGAACTACAGGTGAGTGGTCGGATTGCGCTCCACTTCAACTCCTCTTGGGTGAACGATTTTAACCACTCTGGCCGTTCAACCACGTCAGTCCTAATTCAACGTTGGTGGAAGAAGATGTCCAAATACAATATTTACTAATGATTGCAGAATTGTTGAAGATATCTCGTGAGAGATGTGAGAATGGCCATGTACCAGTTCCATTAGCATCGGCTGAGCTGCACCAATTGTCCAAGTGTACCAGTCGATATCATCCGAGCAAGATTATCTTACCAAGCCAATCAAAACTCCTTCTGCTTGTTCCGTGCTCCGTAACCCCTCCAAACCCGCTGTGGTTGGCAAGTTTGGTAGAAGACAGACCATGCATCCCAATCGAACATTTTCATAAGCTCGCTACCATCTTCCTTGCTGCAACTGTGGCCAACGTACTGCGGTCACGGTCACTCTTCCGAGGAGTTCTAGGCCATGAGTAGGACTTCAGGCCTCAAAAGGATCCCAAAAAGTGACTTCGTTTTGCATCCCTTCGTCATGTAGTGGCAGAATAAGACTTGTAGACGCCTTCGCCTGACAAAGGGACTAATAATGGGAGTATGATATGGGAGGAGCGGTACGATAACACAGAGAACTGGAGGGGAAGACATCGTTTATGGAAGGTTTATTCTTTGAAACATCGTTTATTCTGAAGTGCCTCACTTATTTGCTACATCAGGCGAAGAACTGTCGGCTACATCGCAGGCCTTTCATGTCTTCTTGCTATTATCTTCTGTCAGGGCTGCAAAATCTTTGTTGCTAACCAAAATTCGGGAGGTCGGCCAAAGTACAATAGCTACCGACCGGCGTGACCACGGCGACCTTCTAACGAGAGAGGCCAGCGAGGTGCAGGCTCCCTAGCCCTCTTTACGTTTCGAGATGACCGTTACTTGAATTCTTCAAGGCTTGCTAGCGCCGAGCGAATCCGACCGTGTTGCGCAGCAGGTAGAGGAAGAATAGGCCGAGGGGGTGCCGTTTTGCAAAGGCCAAGCTCGTTTGCAAATGCGAAGATGACCCGGAGGTCGCCAAACTCTTGGAACAGGTCCCAGGTTGGCTGTAGGGCAGCCGAGATGCGTTTCACTTCGGGGCGGTCCCCTTTACGAATGCTGTTCATCAGAGCAACCGATGGTGCGGGAAGCACGCCCGCGATCGCACTGAACCACGCAGAGCCTCCGGCCAGTAATGGCTCGGCGACCAGCCAGTCCGCGCTGTAGCCGATATGGAAGCCAGAGGGAAGCTTTGAGCGAAGCGCTTCATGTGCTTCTTTTGGTTCGGCAGTGGGAGAGGGCTGCTTAAGCGCAACAACGTTTGGTAACGCTGCAATGCGAGCGAGGAGCTCATCGCTGAAGGTGAAGTGTGTCGTGCTCGGAGTGTTGTAGATGCAGATGGGCAGTGAGGTCGAACCAGCGACTGCCTCGAAGTGTTGGTAAACCTCCTCCTGGGTCAATGGATTGTACGAGATAGCCGCGAGCAAAAGGCCATCGGCGCCAGCCTCTTCAGCGTCCTTGGCTAGACGCTGGGCATCGTCTGTCCGGAGTGCACCAGCCGAGACAATGAGTGGTTTTCTCCCCCGCAGAGCTTGTGTGGCCGCGTCAATCGCCCGCCTGCGTTGCTCCCTCGTCAGGTAGAGGTAATTTCCTGTACTCCCCAGTAGTCCAATCGAGTCGATACCGGGTATATCTAACCTCTCGAGAATCTGAACCAAGGCGCCAGTGTCTACGGTGCCATCTGGATCAGCAGGAGTAATCGGGAACGCCGAAAGACCTTTGAAAATGTCGCTTTTGGTGCTCATATTGATGATCACGGACTGAGCGATGCGTTCCGAGGTTTGTTAGGATAGATGTTGGGCTGAACTCCACTTGTGAAAGACCTTTTGACTGTGAGTTTATGCTAAGAGATCGACTGTTTGAAGGCTGCCAACAAGACTCCGCCCTCGCAGTCGATATATATATATACATATATTTCCGGTATCCCTTCCCTCTGGCTGTTTCCGTTCATGAACTCGGAACTCCGGTCGGCCAGAATCGGACGACTCTCATGTCATCGCCCCGTACCCAAACCAGGCACGGATTGGTTAACAATTTCATTGGCTACAAAGTTTATTACTCATAGCCCATCCACAACAAGTCGCCCATATTCATGAGATGCTGCAATTGGCGGCGGGCTACAATATCGGATCGAAGGCTGATTGGGCAGAGCTCAGCACCTAAACATGACTTCGTAGCGGTAGAATGTAATCGATTAGCTAAGACCAATCACAGAAGCATCCGCTGACCCATAACTTTATTAAGAGCTGCCCAATGGAAGAGAAATCCGCATGAACCAACCATGTTGGATTCCTGGCCGCGGGGAAGAGCAGAAGGAGAGAGGATGGAGTGATAGCCCAAGGCAACGAGGCAATATACAGGCGGCAGAATTGCCGAGCCTGAGTCCCTAAGATAGCTAAATGGATGATAGGTCCTTTTTTTAAACCATTCAGTTTCTTATGTGTTGCTGATAACACCGAATCAACAACATCACAAATTTGTTAAGAGAGCCGCCCCTCTCTAATATCTTCTTTATCATGTCTTCCACAGAATCAACTACCACCGCCCCAGCTCCTAAATTGAATGGGGAGCCTTTGAGATCCAAGGACTACTTCGAGGAACGCTCAGCCCAGGAAATGCAGAAACACTTGGTGATCCCTGAACGTTCCATCACTGACACTGGCCTGCGCCTGCAGATTAATTGCCCGTAAGCAGGAAGATGCAGGCCTTGCAGGCCAGATTTCCGCTCGTTCTTCCTGCGGTGATGGGTATTATTGGACACTGCGTTTCGGCCTCGGCTGGGATGAAGCCACACCTGACGATTTTATCGAGGTCGATGGCGATTTGAATACTGTCTCGGGGTCTGGGATGCCTAATCCTGCCACCCGCTTCCATCTCTGGGTATATGCGGGCAGGCCTGATGTGAACAGTATTGTTCACGTCCACTCAGAGTGGGTTCAATCTCTTGTCGCGGCTCGGCAACCGCTGGTTGTGGCACAAATGGATATGACTCCATTTTATGATGACTGTGCCTGGCTAGGTGACTGGCCTGGTCTGCCTATTGCCAACCAAGAAGGCGTTGTTATCACCAAAGCTCTTGGACAAAATCGGTCTATCTTACTGGCTCACCATGGGCTTTTAACGGCTGGCAAGTCAGTCCAAGAATCAGCATATCTCTGTATCATGCTCGAACGGGCTGCTCGGATTCAAGTGAGAGCCCGTGTGTTTGGGCCGCTCAAGGAGGTGGATGGTGATTTGGCGCGAGAAGCGGGCAGCTATCTCCTGCGAGACAAAGTAGTTAATGCCACCTTCGAATATTGGTTTCGTCAGACCCAGACCATCAAGCCTCTCTTTCTTTAATTCCAGAAAGTCCAGCTGAATTTTTCGGATGAGGAGTAAGTTTACGGGGGAAAGAGGTGTTGAGGAGTGCGCTGGCAATTGCTCGCTTGGAGGTGGGGCATCTAGGCAACATTATTGTAATAATTGAGTTATGAAACAGGGTACAAATTCCTTCTAAATCAGCTATGAACTGTGAAAATCTTGACACGTAGTGAGATTCTAGAGGGGACCTATGTTTCGAGTCAAAGTCCATTTAAGCCCAGGCTCATTTAAACAAGACAGTGATGATCTTTCCCATAGATGTCGTCATGCTGTGAACATACACTGTAAGTTGCAACTGAATATCGATATCCGGTTCGAAACCTGGCCGAACGTGTTTAAGATGCATATGTGAGAGAGATGGTCTACCACGCAGTTATATAGCTACCGTATGGATTCCCCCAAATCTTCCCCAGCTGAGTCTAACTTATTAACTAGCAAGCCATCGTCTGGAAGTTAACTTATTGCCAAGCTAGACTTTACCACACCGAGGTGACAGGCAAGTCTTATAAATTCGTCGAAGGGCGATGGGCATCTATAAGATAAATGATGATGGGCCTGACCCTTTATCCTAAGCTATAGTGTAGCTAGAAGAGTTAAATCGGCAACGACGAGAACACTATGTTATGGCTTGCGTAGTCATTTATTTAGTTTCCCGCCGTATGTGATACTTGATAGCCAGTAATCCGCATCAGATCATCCCGATTGTACCAAGACCCCCTTCAAGGCGACTGCTTATTGTGCGATTGAAGAGAACGATCTTGGTAATAGCCATATGACCGTGGGGATGGGGTTGTTAGGGGGAGAAACAGAGGTCGGCTGGGCAATTAGAACAAAAAGTCCGTCAACGGAGCATTTAGCCAAAACATATCATCAATGTTAAAATTGAAACCCCCAAAGTCCACCAAGGCATCCGCATCTTCTCCTCTGCCCAATATCGTCGGTTCATCAAGCACCGATGCTCTATGCATCTCGTCAAGAGGAAACCTTGTTTCCATGTTTACCCCTTCGGATGACCTGTTGAGGCCAGCGTTCTGGACCTTGGCCAACAATATCTCGAGAGCGGCGATGCAGCGCTGGGCGGACTGGCTCACTCGTGAGTAGGCTTGCAACATCTGGATGGCTCTTTCCCAGGCGTCATTCTGCGTATCTGAATGGTAAGGAATATGATGTTTTCCAAGTGGCTGCAGGCGCTTCGCAAGGAGGACTGTTGCGGCGGTGTAGATGACTTGTTTTGACTGGTCAGCTCTACTTAAATGTGGAAGAGAGGGGAGAGGGGAGAGGGGAGAGGGGAAGGTGTGGTCTTGGCTCTTACATAGAACTCCAAACCACCATGCTGGAACCGGGCCAGTGACGGTCTCATGATTAAAGTTGGAGTAAAGCACGTCGATCATCTCGTGTGCCAATTGAAAACAAAGCACCGTACACTCTACCATCAAAGGCTGGCGAAGCGTTTTCTCCTTCGGAAGCTCCGAACTACCAGAACTAGCCTCTTCAAGATACAGTTCTGCAAGTATAGGTCGAAGAAGGCTGATTCGTGCATAGAGATAGCTTTAAGATTCCAAAGATCAGTATTAGGCACCTAAGAATAAGAAGCGAGTCAGACTGGAGGAGTTACCGAGCGCGAAGAACGACACGTTGTCTCCGAAAGGCTAGGCTTTCGCCCTCCTGAATGCTTTCACTGTAATGCAAGTGAACAGGCAATGTCTGGGCCCATTGAACGAGGCGATTGTCCAACCGAAATACCGAAATGAGGTGATTTACCTCCCCATCCCGGACGCCCCTCTGTTGCCGGTAGGCCTCATATTGAATATCGTTGGCAATGTTGAACAACTCAAGGCTTTTGACAAAGAACGCCATCATACTTTTACCCCCATCTGGTCGAGTGGCGGAGGGCTGGGTCTGAGTGTCTAAAAACTCATCGTCGATCATCTTTGGTAATGGAACATGATCAAAGGGGCCACTATTGATCGTGCTAGGCCGCCCAAAAGTCATGGACATGATTCTGGATTAAATCAGTCTCTTCCATGCCCCAGTTTCGTTCAACCCTACTGCACTTTGGCCACGCATACGTACTGATCTTGATACACACAGCCATGCCAGGCTTTGCGAGCCATTTCTGTCTCTCGACGATCCGAATTCTGGGCCATCGGCAGGTGGAGACCGAGGCTTTGAGCCATCCGGATGGCAGAGCCGATGGTCATCCAGGATTCATGAATCTCGCACGTACTTTGCAGATATAGCCCCATCAATAGCATGCATTGAACCCGCTCGATAGATGCACGACCATCAGAAGGGGATCCAAATAGCTTGAAACCCCGGTTCCAAAATACCTCACCTACCTGCCTTCTCTGATCCGGTTCTACGGCCTCGGAGAACTGACTACCTAAGGCGAATATCAGGTTCATCAAGCAGTATAGTGTTGGTTCAGGGATTCCCGGCTCTGTTCCCTGCCATACGGAATCATAAGCGTCTTTAAATACGGCCCAATCATGAATCGGAAATGTTGCCCAAACAAGATCATAGTAAGCTTGTAGGAGACTATTAGCAAACCTTCTGCTGGGAAGTATGTAGCTTTGAGGATCTTCTGGGTTCAGCTTCGAGGCGTTGCCAGCATGGGCAAGACTTGGTCTCGGAGCCAAGTTGTACTCCCGGCCGCCCCCCGCCAGTAGCGGTTGTCCCAGTCGAGCATCGATCGCTAGGTTAATTTGCTTCAAGAATGAACTCGCGCTGCTTCCACCGAAGAAACGTGTGTCGAGTATGGAGTCTCCGGCCAGAGGTACCGCAACATCAGTACTCTTAGAATTAGTCTTGGGACCAAGGACCTCCGTGCCCAACGGACCCTCAGTATTCCTTGGTAAACGATTCTCGTGTGATGATAACACAGACTCAGTTGAACGACAGCTCAACAATCCTGACTCGGATAGGAAGGTCTCGGCAGCTGGATGTGAAGACACAGTCGATAAGGGCCTGATTGGGGATGCCGGTTTCGTTACCCTGCTTTGCACGGCCAACGACCGTGACAATTCGGATCTGCCACTACGCCGGTCTCTCTGCCCAGTATATATACACCCAGTTTCCCTTCTCCCAAGACAAGGTCCACAGGCTTGCATAGCAGATCTGTTCAGTCGCGTAATACCACCTTGAATCTTGAAGGCTGGACTTACTGGGATGCTGGCCGTCACATTTTGCTTTCCTTCGACGGCAATTGATGCAGGCCTTAGATACCTTCAATCGAGTAGCCATTGCGATTGAGTGGGTGACTGCACCACCCCATCCGGGATATGTCCTTCGACGTTGTCTCTTTGCTCGATTATGCTGAGTGCACTGATGCAAGTCCAAGTTTCCCCGCCAAACCTTGCAAGATGGTTGGTACGTCGGCCAAGCCCCGCTAAAGAGATTGCCCTGGATAAGTAGGTAGCGTACATAGCTACCCTAGACTTCATTTCAATACAGCTAAGGCACGTTCCCTAGGTACTGTAAGCTAAGTCTGTTAATGCCACTAGACCACCGGCAAAAGTGTAAGCCTACACCACACTGTGGAATAGTTCATATTATATAGCTACTGGCACCAACAAAGTCATTTATCTAGGCAAGATTATATTATATAACATAAGTCAATATATATTTAGTATAATAAAATGAATTCTTTATACTTTAGCTTCTACGAGGAATAGTTTTGAATTTTAGTTCAGAGAGAACAAAGGCTAGCTTTTATTCGGGGTTTTCATTACTTTTCAAGCAAAGGATCGTATTTGGAATCATTGCAAATTAATACGTAGGATTGTTCAGCTGTAGTATAAAAGCCTGTACGAGTATTTTATAAACTAGTCACGTGTCGAATTAACCTCAATGTTGTAGCGTAGATCATATCAGCACAGTAGATGTCCAGGAAACAGGGTCACCACCAGGCTTTCAATCTGTATGACTGGTCTTACACTCAAGTAGCGTGGAAGTTTTTAATCACGGTCTACCTTGTATAGCTTCTCTTTGACTTATCTTAATCTGGAACTTTCCTTAGATGCTTCACCGGCTGAGATCATTGTATGAAAACGCTCATGATCCGACAACTATTCCCATTTTGTTGAAATATGGATAGAAAAAGATGGCATCATGACCAGGATGTATTACCAGTTACAATATATCACGCCTTCATAAGGATCCAGTTTCGCGCTACTTGCTCCCATTTTCGTGCCTCCATTCCCAGCAAGGAGCTGCCTCCAACCCTCGTATTTCCCCTCGCAATGGAAAGTCTGACACTCCGTCGAAAAATTCAGCAAAACAATAGCACTCTTGGCTCCGTCCCGCTGCGTCATTGTATACGCAAAGACGTCCTCCCCGCTCACGTCAACATCTATCATTTCATATCGACCATAGACGAACACATCCTTCTCATCCTTTCGCAGCTGCAGGATGTGCTTCCAGTATGAAAGAATGCTTTGATCGTCTGTCTCTTGGCTCTTGGCGTTCCATTCAACATAGTCATCATTGACTCTCATCCATGGCTTCTCGTGATTGGTAAATCCGCCATGCTTGCTGCTGTCCCATTGCATAGGCAAGCGCCCATTATCGCGAGCTTTTTTCCGCATTTCCTTCAACACGTCAGACATGTCAGAGCCTTCACCACGCTGCTTTATTATAGCCTTGTAGTAGTTCTGAGCCTCGACGTCGATGTATTCCTCGATGCCCCAGCTCTCTGGGATGTTTGCCATGCCGATTTCCTGCCCTTGGAGGAGGAATAGTGTACCACTCAAGGTTGCAAGATACGTAGCTAGCATCTTCGCCGCAGCTTTGCGATGTTGTGGGAGGTCCGAGGCATAGCGGGACAGCGACCGGCCAGAGTCATGGTTGTCCATGTACACGGCGTTCCAGCCATCGCACTTTGGCATTGCATGCTGCCACATGTTTGTTATGTCTCTCAACTTGGACAGCTGAAAATCTCCGGGCCCATACTTGTGTTGGTTTCCAAAATCCAGGTCCACGATATCGCCTGTGAACACCATATTGAGCTCGTGTCGGTCGCGGGCTACATACTGGGCCACGCTATCCTCATCCTTGGTAAAACCCAGCTCGCCGACAGTCATACAGTCGTACTTGTCAAATGCCTTGAGTCGCATCTCACGGATGTAGTCATGCATCTTTGGCCCACTTGCGTAGTACAGAGAGCCGGATTGGAATTCTGATTCCGGGTCGACAATAGGGGCATCAGGCAGTTCAGGGTGCTTTGACATGAGATTCATCGAGTCGATGCGGAAGCCATCGACCCCACGATCAAGCCAGAACTCCATGTCTGCATATGTCGCCTCGCGCATCTCTTTACTTGTCCAGTTGAGGTCTGGCTGTTCGGGGAGGAACAAGGAGAGGTAGTACTGGCTTGACACTTCGTCCCATGTCCAGGCACTACCCCCAAAGATGGAGGCCCAGTTGTTAGGCGGTTTTCGGGTTCCGTCGCTGTCGTGTTTGGCATCTCGCCAAATGTACCAGTCCCTCTTGGGGGAAGCTTTGGACGACCGCGACTCTTGAAACCATTCGTGCTCATGGCTGGTGTGGTTGACCACGAGATCAAGGAGTACTTTGATGTTTCTCTCGTGACATCCCTGGATCATCTCTTCAACATCTTTCACAGACCCATAAGGTGCATGGATGGTGCGATAATCTGAAATATCATAACCCATATCATGCTGTGGGCTTTTAAAGATGGGGGACAACCATAAGGCGTTGACTCCCAGAGACTGGATGTAGTCGAGCTTGGAAACGATGCCGGGGATGTCACCCAACCCGTCACCGTTAGAGTCGAGGAAGCTTGCCGGATAAATCTGGTAGACTATCGCCTCCTTCCACCATTCATGTGAGGGTGGTTTTCCGACTTCCATGGCGATTTATGTGTGGAAAATATTTCTGCGTGGTTTCTTTAAAACGCCGGATCACTTCGCATATGTTTGTAAAACGGGATCAGACAAGTATGCATCATCTTTATACTTGAGACTGATCCAAAGGCGGCCACGAAGCTGGGGAAGTTGACGACACAATTCAGCTCCAACCCCGCCAAGCTAAAAGAACCCCAGTCTCTCAATGGCGGGGAGCTAGAGCTAACTTAGTACTTCGTGTTGTCCGCTATATGGCCTGACTCGAGGATTTCCGAAATGGAGACCGAAAACCACTCCGAGATCAGCTCCAGGGGCCTCTTTCGAGCTCCACTCCGAGACAAATCCCGAGGTATTCACCGAAAAGTAATCCGAGAAGCCTCGTGAGAGGAAAAGAGTTTCACCTTGTTCTCCCCGTTGGTTCTCAATTTCAAACTATCTCCACACCCCACACCTGACCCCAACGGCGGATCTGGGGTTATTGAGCTCATGATTCCTTTCATCCTGTTGGAGGAAGAGTATAAAGGCTGGAGATGAAGCCGCTCTTATTCTCTCAACCACGCCGATCAAACCAATTCTCATCTCAATACATCAACTCCTTTGGTCATCACATTCACGTCTTGCTCATGCCAAAATGAACACCAAGTCAGATGATCCAGTGACAGTGGTGTCTGTGCCAACAGACCATGTCGAGAAAGCCGTCGTGACCGAGGAAGTCACTGCGCAGAAGGCCATGGCGGCCTACGACCTCACCCCCAAACAACAGTATCAACGCCTGTGGTTCAACCTCAAGAAGGACAAGCGATATGTCTTTTGGTCCCTGTACATCATGTCTCTCGTCTTCGGATGGGGGTATGACTCTGGTCTCTCAGGTGTGGCCATCGCGTTCCCCGAGTTCCGCAAAGCCTACGGGGAGTACTATCAGGCCGGTGACCAATTCGTCATCCCTGCTCTCTGGCAATCTCTCTGGAACGCTGCCAGTACAATTGGCCAGGTGTTGGGGGCCTTTCTCACGGGCCAGTTCGCAGACTACTTCGGCCGTAGACCTGTCTTGTGGGCCGCCGTGGTCTTGTCCATCTCCTCCTCCTTTGCCCTCGTGTTTGCCCCGAGTTTGCCAGTCCTCTTCGTTTCCAAGCTTCTGCTCGGTCTTTCGGTCGGCCTTTCCACCGCCACTCCTCCGCTGTACGTGACTGAGAATGCACCAGCTGCTCTACGAAGTTCTCTCAGCTCCTTGACCAATGTGATCATTGTTCTGGGCTTCTTTCTTTCGTCCATCACAGGATGGGGATCGTCAAAGATCCACGGAGAGTGGAGCTACCGGTTGGCATTTGTCATGACGTTCCTGGTGCCAACACTTTTCGCAATTGTACTTCCGTTTCTACCAGAGTCTCCTGTATGGTATGTCAAGAAAGGTAGAGACGATGATGCTAGAAAGGCCATTGTCAAGTTGTACGGTAAGAATGAGGACGTGGAGGAACGCTTGAACTTCATCAAGTCCGAGCTAGAAGTGGCAGCTGGCGAAGCCAACATGGCCAAGCAGACGAGCTGGAGAGCCATCTTCTCCAAGGAACACCGCTCTAGAACTCTTGTTGCAGTACTCGGTCTGCAGTCGCAGAACTTTTCAGGCGGCTACTTTGCAAGTATGCAATCCCTAGGTTTCGAAAGCTTCGGCCGCAATGTGCTAATCTTATTACAGACACGTACCAGACTTACTACTTTGAACTCATCGGACAGGCTGACCCCTTTGGTCTTACTGCCATCTCATCCACTCTGCAATTCCTTTCCAACTGTGTTGCCGTCTCGATTTCGGACGTCATGCCTCGTCGAAAGTCCCTCATCGGAGGCGGCACACTGCTATGCTGCTGGTCCATCATCATCGCCGGAACCTCCCTGGCCGGTACTGCGAATAAGGCTGCCAATACGGCTCTGCTGGCATTTATGATTACGTGGTCGATGCTCTACACTGCAACCGTTGGCTGCTTTGGCTGGGCCATCGCACAAGAAACTGCCTCCCAGGCAACAAGACCGAAGACCATTGCATTCACCCTGGTCTGCCAGCAGCTCACCGCACTGATGTTGTCGTCCGTGTTTCCATTCTTCATCAACCCCGACCAGCTGAACTGGGGAGGAAAGGTCATGTTCTTGTTTGTCGCCGCCGAGATTGTCGTCCTCGCGACTCTTTTCTGGTTCCAGCCTGAGACGAAGAACAGAACGTACAATGACATCGACTGCTTATACGCACAGAATGTCCCACCGAGGAAGTTTAGCGAGTACATCGTTGACGATGGAGTTGTCGTCTCTAAGGCCAGTCTCCAAGGCTAGACAGACTGACCGGGAAAGAGGAATTTTTAGTTCCTACCGCCCCGGACTATCTAGACAACCAACACGTAATCAAATACAAAAGAGAAGACTCATTGGATCCTACTAAGCTTTCTGCTAATGTAACGTATGATATAAATATTTAAATAAAATATAGCTCTGTAGTATATTCTATTATTCTAGTGGTTATATAACATGTTCTAAAATATGAAAATGCATTCTTCAATTTCCAGAATAGCAGCCACTCTGTGGATAGCCAAAGTGGCTGCAGATGGCCAACTTACCCAAGCGAGTATTCTAATGGACACTACATTACAGGCCTGACCAAGTTGTCGTCTCCTTCATCTCCAGCACACCTTCCAGGAGAATGTTTTGGCTGCTCGACCCAACCATTACTGTATACCGCCCCGTTTCGCACATCCAGACGTGTGCTTCCTGGTCCCAAAATGCAGTAGTGAATCGATCAAATGGTATGCTGATACTTCGCATCTCACCTGGCTGTAAATACACTTTTGTAAACCCTTTAAGCTCCTTTATTGGGCGTGCGATTGACGACGTTGTTGGGTCTGCAGCGATATACAGCTGGACTGCTTCTGCTCCAGCAACGTCTCCGGAGTTACGAATATTGAGCGTGGCGGACGTGGTGCCGACAATCAAGTCAGAATATTCAAAGGAAGTATATGACAAACCGTGCCTAGAGGACAAAATGAATTAGGGAAAACTTCGACAGAAAGGGGGGGAGTGGACTTACCCAAATGGATAGAGCACATCTAGAAGGACCTTTTCGTAGTATTTGTAACCAACGTAGATGCCCTCGCCATATATGACTTGACCTCTCTCGCTTCCGAAATTGAGAAATGTCGGTGTGTCTTCGATTCGTCGAGGGAAAGAAAGAGGTAGTTTTCCACTGGGGTTGACGACACCGAATAGCACGTCCGCAATGCCATTGCCTAGCTCGTTACCACCGAACCAAGCGTGTAGATGTGTCTTTACAGTATTTGCCCAAGGCAGCATGTTGAAAGGCGTGCCGCTCTGGGTTAAGAAGACAGCGTCAGGCGCCGCGTCAAGAACAGCTGTGATGAGGGAGGAAACGGCAGGGGGGAGATCCATGTGAGACCGATCGAATCCCTCTGATTCGTGGTCTCGCGTCAGTCCAACAGCTAGTATTGTGACATCTGCACGCCTCGCAACCTCGACGGCTCGGATGATGGCCAGCTCTGGTTCGACAACTTGAACCATGCCGAGGCGACCAGCGCCGCCACCGAAGTTGACAACACCAGGTTTCACGAGCTTGGATGAGGCGCCACTGGCGAATTGCACCTTGATCTTATACAGCTGTCCTTCGATAAGATCCACAGTGGCCTTTTCCTCCAGGGTACCTTTGCCGAAGAAGAAATTGCCCCCTCGCTGCACAGTTGTATTATCGATTATAAGCTGGTCATCGATGAAGAGGCTACTAGATCCATAGACAGCAACGCCGAATTCAAAAGGACCCGTAGCGGGAGCAAACAGCTCAGCTTCAATATCTGCGTAGAAGAGCCGATCCAGTTCCGGGTTTGAGAAGCCCATTAGTTGCCATGAAGACTCCTGCATGATGATTTCCTCGACCACGCGCCGTTCTTTGATCGAGGGCGGGTCGCGGTAGAAGCGCATTCGAAGCCCAGGCCGGCCTTCGGGCGTACGCACATCTGACGCCTGCAGCTCCGGGATGTAAGCAAACGAGGTGGCGCCTGTCTCATAGAGGATCTCGACGTCCGCAGGTAGCTGATCAACGATTCCCTGGTATGGCGACGCGCTGTAATAGGGCTGAAGGGACGCAGAACCTCCCCCACAGAACGCTGCAGTCTTCATGTTTGGCCCTATCAAGGCGATACTTTTGAACGTCTTCTGATTCAGAGGCAAAAGCCCCGACTCGTTCTTAAGGAGGACAACACTATCGGAAGCAAGTTTGCGATTCAACTTGCGATCCTCGGGAAAGTCTCGTGTGCTCTCGATGGCCGAAACCTCGGCCTTGCTGGCTCGCTGGACAAAATTGAGTACGGTCCTGGCGCGCTCGTCAAGCGTTGAGCGGAAGACTTTGCGGCTCGAAATCGCAAGCTCCAACAAGGGGCCTCGAAGCCTCGTGGGACCAGGCATCTCCAGGTCAAGGCCGGCATTGAGAGGCTCTGCGGTCGAGTATGTTCCAAACCTACAAGTGCCAAGTAAGCGAATGAGCTTCCAACATCAGACATGACCAGGCGAACGGACCAGTCACTCATAATGAGGCCTTTCCAGCCCCATTCCCCACGCAAGAGGCCATTTAGCATTTCCTTACTCTCCGAGACATGCTGTCCGTTAACCTTGTTGTAGCATGTCATGACTGCGCCCGGAGCAGCATCTGCGATGGCGATCTGGAAGGGCAATAGGTGAACTTCGCGTAAGGCTCGCTCGCTCATGACAGCATTGACGCTGATTCTCTCATGCTCCTGGTCATTTGCCGCGAAGTGCTTGATGGTGGATATAACGCCAGTCGACTGGGCACCTCGGATGTAGGCGGCGGCCAGTTTGCCGGTGGCATAAGGGTCCTCCGCGAAAGACTCGAAGCCTCTGCCCCCGAGAGGCGACCTTTGGATGCACACCGTCGGCCCTAGCCAGCAATGAGCCCCTTTGGCCAGGCATTCTTGGCCGATGAGAACACCGGCTTCGTAAAGCAAATCAGGGTCCCATGTGGCGGCGAGGCCGGTGCCATTGGGAAGGCAGGCCGCACGGACGCCGTCGAAGAACTTGGTCCCTCGAACACCGTTGGGGCCGTCGCTCACTCTGACTGACGGAACGTTGAACCGCGGTAGGGGAGCTGTATGCCAGAAGTCATGGCCTATTTAGAACCAGGCAAACTTCTATTAGCAGATACTCGAAACCAGGGCACGACGCATTGTCTTACCCGCAAGGAGGGAAATCTTCTCCAGCGACGAGGCGTTCTCGAGCACGTAATCGATATCGAAATCCTCCACAGGAGTTAGTAGCTCCCTCATATTTGTGAGGGTTTCTAGATACGAGACAGGCTAAAATGAGCACCAAGAGAGCGTGTGCCCCTTTTAGAATTGGTTGATGCCATAATACTTATAACCACCCAGCCTAGAGCTAAGAGACATATAGGGATAACTGGGTCATGGTTCTTGGAAGGCAAGGAGCGAACTGGGGTCATGGGCGTCAGTCATGCAGACGATGAGAAGTGGCTCCATTGATCTCCTCGTCGGGGATATCTCCCCGAAATATACGGCGGGGACGACACAAGGTTTTCATTGGATAATTGTCGGGGACAATCCCCGGTAGTCGTCGGGGAGGTGCCGATGTTGATTCCGACAACGCGCCAAGGGAAACCAGATTGAGTGTCTCCTCTGACCATCCTGCTCCGAACGAACATCAGTCAAAATTCGCTAACTCCTCAGTAACTCCAGTAACTCCAGGGGTGGATTCGTCAATTCCTCCACATTGGTCGACCTAATAAATATCAACTTAACGATGGCCACTTTCAAATCTCACCGAATCAACGCACACGACGAGGCGAACCAACTTCGCGACCACAATGAGCGAAAAGGCGTCGAATACCACCCCGACAACCCCAGCACTGCCTGACAGCGAGCTCTCGCAGTCGAACATCTCCTCGGTTCCCACCCTCGCAGAAGGCCCCGACCCCGATTCCATCGAGAAGCAAACAGTGACAAAGGCGCCGTTGACGGACCCGGCGGGCCACATCAATCACGACCCTGAGCTTGTCAAATGGGACGGAGACGATGACCCTGAGCTGCCGCTCAACTGGCCATCTTCTAAGAAATGGCGAAATGTTGTCATGGTCTCAGCGCTGACCTTTGTCACGTAAGGCGACCCTCCAATCTCCTAACGCTTTCAAAGAGTCTTGGCTAACACTGAGCAGTCCGTTCGCATCGTCCATGTTTGCCCCGGCAATCAACCAAGTAATGCAAGAGATGGGCACCACGAGTCGCGACGTTGGCTCGTTCGGCGTGTCCATCTACCTGCTCGGCTATGCATTCGGGCCTCTCGTGCTCGGGCCATGCAGTGAACTTTACGGGCGCCTGATTGTCTATCACGTCTGCGCTGTGCTGTTTATCCTCTGCAATGTCTCTTGCGCGCTCTCCATCAGCATGCCCATGCTCATCATCTTCCGTTTCTTGACCGGTCTCGTGGGCGCTGCCCCATTGACGATAGGCCCTGGTACAGTTTCGGATTGCTTCCGACAGGAGGAGCGCGGGCGTGCCATGGCTGTGTGGACAATGCCCGTGTTGCTCGGGCCTTGCCTCGGGCCAGCGGTTGGAGCCTACGTGTCTCGTGCCCTGGGATGGAGGTGGAACTTCTGGCTTCTCATCATCATGGTAGGCTGCCCTAATTACATGTACTAACTGGTTGCAAGCTAACGATGGCTTCCAGTCTGGTATAGTTTCCGTCTTCTGCCTCTTCTTCCAACGAGAGACGCATCCTCCAACGCTGCTAAAGCACAAAGCCGCCAAGCTGAGGAAATCGACGGGTAACCCTAACATCCGCCACGTCGGCCACACCGCTACATCCCGGAGACAAGTTTTCACAGCAAGCATTGTCCGGCCCGTCAAGATGCTCTTCCTCTCGCCCGTGATATTTGGGCTATCTCTATTGACCGCTGTCGCCTACGGAACCCTCTACCTTTTCTTCACCACGGTAACCGACCTCTTTGAATCACGCTACGGTATTGTCACCAACGTGGGCCTCATATACCTTGGCTGTGGCTGCGGTCAGTTTGCCGGACTCTTCGTTCTGGGGCTTGTTTCCGACGCAATCGTCAAGCGAGCAGCCAAAGGCGGAGAAATGAAGCCGGAATACCGTCTTCCACCCATGATCCCTGGCGGAGCCATGATCCCCATCGGCTTGCTCATATATGGCTGGACCGCCGAGTACAAGGTCTTCTGGTTCGTGCCTGTCATTGGCACCTTCTTCATAGGCTTTGGCATGATTTCGGTCTTCACTCCCGTCGGGACGTACCTGATCGATGCGTTCCCGGTGTACGCCGCCAGCGCCACGGCTGCCAATACAGTTTTCCGCAGTGTCGGCGGCGCGCTTCTTCCACTTGCTGGACCCCGAATGTACAGTAGCCTTGGTCAAGGCTGGGGAAACACTCTTCTGGCAGCCATCTCCTTGGTTATGATGGGCATGATTGTCATGTCCTTAAAGTATGGAGAACGATTGAGGACAAATCCAAGGTACCAGATATCCTAAGGAACCAGTGAGTGTTCTAATGGAAGACTGGGAAAGTGTAATAAAAAGCAAGGTAGTTTCACACCTCAATATAGACAGTTCCTAAAGTTTACTCTTGCATTACGCATACTGCTTAACAGTGTGGCGTTCACCACTTCAATCAAAGATTCTTCTTCAACCCATTATTTGCTTTCGTGATGCCAAAAGTGATTTTCATCTGGACAAAGACACTATATAGCACTAACCTGAGCACCAACCTGGCTCGTACAGCTCATAGCAACATATGCTGAGGTACAACCGAAGTTTGCGAGTCATGTGTAGGTTGGGCTTATATTCTCTATTCCACCGTCTGCCCGAAATCCTCAAGAGCCAAGCGAATGAGTTTATAGCAATCTGTCATACCTCCTCTCGTTTCCTCCGAAACTGGTTCTATGGTGTCCAAGTACATTTGCACGGAGCTACGCCAGTCTTCCGGCATCAACAGACGCAAAGCTCCATTTAGTGATGGGAAGCGATTGCTTCGAGCGGCCCCAACCAAGATCAACGCGTTTGCGGTATTACTTCGAATCCCCGACCACATGCCATGATCAAGCCTCGTCAGTTTTATCGCAGATTGCAGTCTCAACGCACAGTATTGGAGCCCAAGTGATGCGATTGAAGATATCTCTGCGATGAGTTCTTCGGGAAGATGCAACGGATAATTCAGGCAGATGCGCAGAAATGGTCGACACAGGAGCACCCGGATGAACAAATACCGCGCCCGGATGATGTACTTAAATGAGTTCGGCTCAGGCGCAACCGTATACTTGGGCAGCTCGAACGAAATCACCTGAGGAAGGGACTCATACCAATCCTCAAGTTGCGAGCCGAATATCTTATAGTCTCGGAGCAATGACCGGGCTTGAGCCTCGGTGGGACAACCTCCTATCTTGAAGCCCGTATTGATGATCCGATTGATAAGATGTCGGGCGGCTATGTCAGTAAGATAGTAATACCAGGTGATGGCCTCATCGTTCGGGCCTTCGAGTTGCGTCTCGCTCAGCATTGGCGGCGAAGGGAAGACAAGCTCCTCCTCGAGATGTTCCAAGACAGAGCCGGGTATTGCCAATTCATAGCGAATCTCCCTAGCACGACGAGGCCCCGCGGCCACCTTGTTAGATCTTAAGTCGTTACAACCGGCTGTTAGGTGAACGTGAAAGACTCGCACATACAGTTCTGACTTGTACGCGGTGTAGAAAATGCTATGCTCAATGGCTTGGGGGAAGAGTTGAGGAGACTGAGAGTCTGGAGACACCAGAGATTTCCTACAACAGGTAGGGTCAGTATGAATTGGCGTAAGCATATATGAGTCTTCGAATGGCGCTTACCGGGCCAGTATAGCTGAATAATAACAGTTGCCTGCCATGGTGAAGTGTTTCCATGCGTCGAGCGGCTGTAGATTGCACATGAACCAAATTCTATTGAAGAAAAGTAAATGATTAACGCTTAGGAACATCCGCACCAGGGGCCCAGCTGTAGGCAATGCTTACCCTGTCAGGCATAAACATTGAGCAGACTCGAGCGTGTTGTGGCTCATGGCACGCCCGAGTCTCCTCGATGCAACGCTCCAGAATCGATACGCTATATCTAGATCGTCACTGCGCTCTGGCACGGGAAGGCGGCTTGGAATGGTGAAGGCAGACTCCTCCTGACACAGAGCACCGATGGCACATACGAGAACAACGAGGCAGGTACGAGTTGTAAAGTCGAGCCCATTCTCGGCGATGTGCGTAGTATAGCGATCAAGCGTCGCGAGGTCGAGCATGGGATTGAAGTCGTGAACTACACGGCGATAATTCATCTGGAGCCTCGTAAGCTCCATGAGCGACAGTGGGGGAAGCTCATCAGGCATTGGGATGGGAATCCCGTTATCCACGGGAATCTTGTCGATCCCGGGGGGAAACACGCGCCATTGGAGCACGCTGTCGAGGCCTTCCGAGGAGGCGAAGAGATGGGACGGAGGAGGTGGTCCAGAGAGCCGTCCAGCGCCACCACTGAGGCGGCTGTTGGTGAGCAACGCATGGGAATCTGAACTCTGTGAAAGAGGAAGAGGACTGAATTCGTCCAAGCTACACGACTGCGTAGGTCCCCGATAGTAGTTGGCCCACTCTGGCTGAGACTGCGATTGCTGTGTCTTGACCAGTTGAGTCAGCTGCTCGATGGCTTGGAGGATCTGGGGCCCCATATCCTGGTGCCCGCTGCTTCAAATCAGGTCATTTGTGAGCACGATCGAAGGCTGGGGCTGGGGCAAGGGACATACAAAGCCGAGTCTGGAGCGTATTCGACGACAGTGTCGTACTGACAGGCCGAGCTGGTTCGCTGGCAGAAGCCGCATGACGGCCGCCGCCCGTCACACTTTGTCTTCCTGGCGCGACATACGGCGCAGGCCATGGCAGCACGAGTCCGCTGACGCCGGGGCCCGCGAGCAGTGTGAGGTTCATCTGCCACGTGCTCGCTGTCGGCTTCAGCCGAGCGCATATCATCAGCTCCTCCCGCGCTCTCGGTGCGGGGTCTCTTGCTGGGCTGCCCGGCCTGGTCGCTAAAGGGACCCATGGAACGAATTGGTGTTTCGTTTGCTACCTAAGTGGTCGCTCGGTCGGGGTTAAGGGGGGAGATTGTCTCAATGTGATGGAGGGAGAGAAGTTCGGGTTTTCCCCGAAGATGGGAGGGGGGCGGCTAATGTAGGTTTTATGCCAAAGACCCGCTGGCAAGGAAGGACTAAGAACGTGGCTAACATGCGAACTCGGCTCAACTTGATATGCCAGGCCAGACATATTTCTGCCCTGTATTGGCCTGGCTGTGCGATGGATGGAATCAAGGGTCAGAGGTTGCACCTTGAGTCCTTGACAGGATGGACACTCCGACCAGAGTCTTGAAGATTGGCATCATTGGGTGCACCGAGATCACCTAGACCATCTTCATATCAACCTTGGGATTTCTCCACGACTACTACCAGATCACCTATCTCTGCGACGATGGTTCTGAAAATGCGTTACGGCACTGCTGCAGATTGGTTGCTGGCCCAGCTCCGCTATAACTCAGGATCCCGAAGAGCTCCGCGCGTCACCAGATGTGGACGTCGTCATGGTAATGAGCAACTATGAAGATCACGTCCATCACACCACGTTGGCTTTGGGGCACAACAAATATGTCATGGTCGAAAAGCCTATGGCCATGAGCCTGCAAGATGCCGACACCATCATCGCCGCCGAGCAGAGTTCCACTGGCAAAGTCTTCGTGGGTTACATTCGTAGGCATGCTCCCGCATTCCTCGCTGCTCTCGACGAGGTTGGCGGCATGGACAAGATTCAGTACGTCCGGATAAGAAGTAGCATGCCATACATATATCCGTGCAGTTCATTCTGGCCTAGCTAACCAGACACAGACATCATCGGGCCCGATCCAACCTTCGTCTCTCAGAGCTGCACATTCCCCAAGAACTTCACGAAGGCATGGGACCTTCTCGGTGGGCTGGGTCGCCATGATCTTTCCGCAATGAGAGAAGTACTGGGGGTGCCTTCGTCTGTGCTCGGCGTGTCCATAGGACACCGCATTCGTTGCATTACGAGAATACTTTGGCTGCAATTGCAGCTGGAAAGCATGTCTTATGTGAGAAACCTCTGGCTATCAATGCGAAGCAAGCAGAGTCACTCATCAAAGCGGCGACACAAAGAAATGTACAGAATGAAAGGTGATTGCATTCTAGGACATAATGGGTGATAGAAAAAGATGCTAAGTTTCTGACACGGGGGTTTGGACTCGGTTTTTCCCTATTGTTTCCGCCTTGAAGGATATCATCCACCATGAGAAGAGAATTGGCGATGTCTATCGAGTCTTCATAGACAACAGCTCATACATGCCGATCAGTTCTTTACCCGCAGATTCGCGACTAAGAGACCTCTCTAAAGGCGCGGGAGCTCTCCTCGACATCGGTATTTACACGTTAACTTGGGCTGCAATTGTTCTCGATCAGCACCCCGAGAATGGCCCTTCGGAGCCAGTAGCGGTATCAAGCGCCATGACACTGATGCATGGCGTCGACGAGGCCACTTCAACAGTTCTAAACTACCCATCTTTGAAAGCGCATGCCATTTGCACCACGACTATGTTGCGAAAATTCGAACCCATATTCGGGCGCATCGAGGGCTCCAACGGTACTGTGCTTATTGGCGGCAATGGCGCATCAAAGCCCATGTATTTGGTTGTCCAAGAAACAGGTAAGGTCGAAGAGAGGTTAGACTTTCCGGTTCCGCCAAAGAGCGGGTTCTTTCATGAACAGGATGCCATTGCCAAAGACCTCAGCGAGGGAAGAACGGAAAGCAGCGTGATGCCGCTTGCCGAATCCTTGAGGATAATGCAGTTGATGGACTCTGTTAGATACTCAAATGGGCATAGCTACCCTCAGGACGAGTAATAATAGCAAGCTTCCTTCTTGTAAGAAAGGTTAGGGAGAAGAGTACCCGCTCAAATACCGGACCTCTGGTTTGTTAACCTGCGACTTCACAGCAGCGTAGATACTCCCAACTTTAGAGGGTGCTCAGAAACTTTAGCTTTTGAAAATCTGGAATAAAAGCAGGGAAAACATCTCAAACTACGATTGTCTCCTCTTTTGTTTGACGTCTTGTAGGAGTCTTAACTTTAGGGAAACTGTTAGTGAGTAAAAAAGAGTTCGGATTAATGTTCTTGTTGCCTGGATAAAAACAGAGACGGTGGCAGGTGCTTCAACAATGTTTAGCTTAAGAAGAACAGCGAGGCAAGCTCGATAGTGACCGCTTGAGTGACGTGGCCAGAGCTGCTAGATGTCTGCGCCAGCCGAAAACGTTGTCAGAAGGAACAAGCATCCCAATATATACGCTATAGATCATGTCACGATTTTGTTTAACCTCTTTGGCACTTTGAAGACGTTTGTTTATGGTTAACAGTAACTAGTTCCATGGCACACATGTACCAGTTCTGGCACTCTCCCGCGCGAGCTCAAACAGCTTAATCACGTCCCGCCCATGGTCCGCTGTCACCTCCAGCTCCTCTTGCCCACGTAAGAATCTGGCGATATTCTGATAGTATCCTCGCCAATTCCCTCGCTCGGTAAAAATGTTGCCTATATATCGAGGCTGCCTACCGGAATTGTTTACCGCCTGGTAAGAAGGATCATACATGGTTGTGGTCGTAAGCTCGCCGAAGTGAGAAGGGTCCTCTTGACCAAACCCAGGGTCCAAAACGGACGAAAACTGACGGCCTGCTATTTGTGCTTCTTGAACGTCATGATGAAACTGGTACACACCCGGTTAGCCAGGAATGTGTTCAACTCAGGTCGTATGGTATGGAGAAGACTAACCTTGATGTATGACCCTTGACGGCCTCGCACCAAGAAGCTAAGTTGTTTGCTCATAGGACTTATCTGCGTACTCCTGATAGTAACCACCATGCCTTGATTCTCTTCTGCAGCGTACTGAAGAATCAGGGTATGCCAGTCGTCAATGGCGCTGCCACGAGATCCATCTCTATGGGCTCTTAATACTGCAAGCACGCTTTCAGGCTGCCCAAATAAGTCAAGGACCTGGTCCGCGGTATGAGATCCTAATCCAAACAGTGTACCCTTACCAGGGATATACTCTTTCACGTTTGACCAGTTGGATGGCCAACCTGGGTCATCCCAGTCGAAGTGTGTCTCGAAGTCAATAATATCACCCAAGACGCCGTCCTTGATAAGACGTTTTACAGTCAAGAAGGCACCGTCAAATCGACGATCTCAATGAATTCGTCAGCAATAGGTCAGATACTAGTGGTATGGGGTCTTACTGCGGTAAACTGTAACCATCTTGTTTACAGCTTTGGCTGTTTGGGTGAGGTCGTCCGCTTCTTTACTCGTCGTAGTAAACGCTTTCTCTACTATAACATTCTTTCCAGCTAGGAGCGCTCTCTTCCCGTACTCATAATGCATTGTATGCACGGCGACCAAGACCAGCTCGATCTCTGGATCGTCGAAGAAAGCGTAAACATCGCTATAGTGTTTTACGGTGGGAAAGTCGATTGTACAATGCTGGCCAGCTTTATGAGCGGGTGACGGTGGTGTTCGTTGAACGATGGCGTAAACTTCGATCTCAGGGACATGGACAAGGAAAGGTAGGTGGAAATTCTTGGCCGAGTGACCGTACCCAATGATACCAAGCTTGATCTTTGCGGACGACATGTTGGGATGGATTAGGGCTGTTTCTTCATCGGAATATGCCGGTATTCCAAGAACAAAGGTCAGGTATTTTTACACAATTATGTATGCAATGATTGCTTTGCCTATATTGCGTACGAAGCTCCCAGGCCAGTTTCGGTCATATCACACGACACTCATCGGCTGTGGCATCGGCAATTCCCCGATACAAGGAGTGTGGAGGCGCAACTGGGGTGGTGACAGGCCAACTCATTAGCCCAAAGCACCCATGTACATGAGTCGTTAGCTCCGAGTACTTGGAGTCAGGACCTTAGCCATCACCCCATCTTCATGATTACTCCTTCAGCTCTGTTCCAGCGCAGAGTGACCGATGGAGGGGAAACAGGGCGCCAGACCATGGATTTTGCCGGCGTCGAAGCCCAAAGAGAAGTAATCAACCTTCCCATCGGCTTCTCAGCTAGACATATCAGATTCATGACACACAACCGATGGCATGACTTCCGCAACTAGCCTGCGGCTGGGACATAACAGCCCCACGGAGTCTCAAAGAGGGGCACTTACACTTCCATGTGTCTTGTAATTCCTAGCACAAGGTTTCCGTGGCGCGAGCGAACACATCTGCACTCCCAAGATCGGCTTCCCCAGCTTTGTTTATGGGAATTTTGGGCTAAGGCTCTGATTCAAGAGGCCGGAAATCTCTTACTCTATACTTCCAACGGAATGTCCTTCTCCTATAAGACAGTCTTATAATCAGTCTTATGAAAGCACAATAAACATGCTCTATATCTAACCTAAATTAGCTAACTGATCTAAGTCCAATATGCCTTTCTTGCTCAGAGTTCGTTGGTCACATGAGCCCCACCGAACAACCAATACCTCCTCCCGACTATTTCTGAATATCCTCTAGCCTCTGCTTGCCCCTTTCGCCTACAGAAATTTCTGGTCGGCATCCATCGGCAACGTCCCCGATCATCTCAGCTCACAGTCGCCCAACCATGTGTTGAGTTCTTGTAATACCTTCTTCCTGACCTCTGTCGGTATCATCCCCGACCCCAAGCCCTAACCTCGTCTGAAATCAAGGTCTCCCCCGCAGTCTAGATTGCGGAGGAGGAAGAAACTAACAATTTCTTCATGGTGGGGTCCCCACTTCTTCTTGTGTCTGGGCTCGTGTCCAATACCCTCGCTGTCGACCAAACAAGCCTTCTCCAAATGAATTCTCGTGATACTACCAAAGCAGACTGTTGGATGCACGGCAGACGTGTTCCAGCTTCAACATACCCCCTTGGCCCGCCCGCCATGCTTTGCAGTGCCAAGCCAAGCTTCTGAGCTTAGCCGACACCCCTACCAAGACGTCGGTGAAGCGGATCATAGCTCTTCGGTTCTGATTATATATTGCGTTGGAGTTCCGTCGTCGATAACTGTTTCCAATTCCAACCATCGCTCCCACAATCACATCATCAATCTGACTTATTCTAACAGCACTTGAGATCATCTCAAGCCGTAACAGGTCCAAGACAATGGGTCTCCTTTCTTTTCTTCGATCCGGGTCAGTTGGGGACGTGTACTCGCCCGAATTGCTTGCTGTGAGTTCTCTGGCTCGCCCAGCGAAACCATCTAACATGATATTCCAGGTGCTACCGAGCAACACAAAACCCTGGTACCGTACCAAGCATCTGATGCTGCTCAACTTCTTTATCGCAATCCCCTTGCTGTCTGCGTCTGCTGTTGGCTTCGATGGTAACACTACCTGCCCCGTTCCACCCTGATAGGCGTCGCTAAAGTCATATAGGCGCTATGATGAACGGTCTACAGACTTTGCCTCAGTGGCGTAATACCTTCGGCAATCCCACTGGCGCTCTCCTCGGCTTTATGAATGCAGTTTATCCAATTTCCAAGGTCATCGGATTGTTCCCTGCAACCTGGATCGGAGACAGATACGGAAGGAAGAAGGTGATGTATATTGGCTTCATCCTTCTTCCCATCGGGGCGGCTTTGCAAGGTGCCTCGCAAAATACCGCCATGTTCATCGGCGCCCGATTTGTGATTGGTTTCGCGACGTCGTTTCTCGCCCAACCTTCACCTATCCTGGTGACAGAGTTGGCATATCCGACACACAGGGCAAAGGCGACTGCTCTGTACAACACATGCTTTGTAAGGGACCTATATCCGAGGCCTGAGCCTGAGTAATGCTAACCTGTCTCAGTACTTTGGGGCCGTTCTCGCCGCTTGGTCAACGTATGGAACTTTCAGGATCGCATCGACGTGGTCCTGGAGGATCCCATCCATACTTCAACAAGCCATCCCTCTTTTTCAAACTATCTTCGTCTTCTGGGTCCCAGAGTCTCCTCGGTTGGTTAACTCTCACCTCCCCCCAAGATGCCACTGCGCCATTACTAACCATACCAGCTGGCTAATGGCCAATAACAAGGAAGATGAAGCCCGGCGTATCTTGAGGAAATATCACGGTGGTGGCGATGAAAGCTCTCCTTTGGTGGAGTTTGAGCTAAAAGAGATCACCCAAGCTTTACAAATCGAAAGGGCGAGTGAACAATCCCGCAGCTACCTCGAGCTTATGCGCACTGGCCCCAATCGGCACCGCACCGCGCTCGCTTTTCTCATCGCGTTCTTCACGCAGTGGAACGGCTGCAGCGTCTTATCCTACTATTTGACGCTCGTTCTCAACACCATCGGGATCACTGAGCCTGCTCAACAGACACTTATCAACGGTATGCTGCAAATCTTCAACTGGGTAGTTGCTGTCTGCGGCGGTGCCCTTCTGGTAGACCGCGTTGGCCGTCGTTCGTTATTCCTCGTGGGCACTGGCGGCATGATGCTTTCCTACATTGCTTGGACTATTTTGAACGCCAAATTCGCGAAAACCCAAGATCAACGTATGGGAACCGCTGTCCTAGTTTTCATCTTCGTCTATTATTTCTTCTACGATATTTCCTGGACTCCTCTGCCGATTGCTTACACCGCCGAGATCTTCCCTTATACCCTAAGAGGTCGAGGAATGACGACCAATTATGTCGGCACATATCTCGGGCTCATCAGCGGACAGTTCATCAATCCGATCGCAATGAAGGATATCGGCTGGCGATACTACATCGTGTTTTGCGGTATACTATTCCTTATGGTTATCGCAATCTACTTTTGGGTCCCAGAAACAAAGGGTCGCACTTTGGAAGAGATCGCAGAGATCTTCGATGGTCCCCGAAGTCATTTGACTGCAGTTGCCAATAATAACAGTCCAAAAGTCTCTACAGAGATACTCGAAGTGGAAGTTGGAAAGGGCACAGAAACTCGAGTTTAAATCCTCTTGGGCGAATTCAAGGAGTGGGAGCGAGAGGATAAGTCATCGGTAACAGTGCTCAAGATCAGAGGGGCAAATGGGTGTATAAGGGTTAGGTTAATGTCAGTCTACAGTTACATTCTATCAATCTAAATCTTAATTGAAGTAAGACGTTTTGATATGGAAGACTCGTCAGCGTGAGAAGCGGTATGGCCCCGCAGTAGGTGGGATGACTTGGCTGTCGTCGTGGACCATCTCACAGATACGCATGAATTTGTTCGGTGTAGTGGCTTGGCTACTTACTCTGGAATAGAACCTCGGAGTGGATGAAAATGTGTCAGATGAAGTCCTTGTAGCTGTCGCTCATGAAGTTGCTATCACAGTGATATACTTGGAAGTTGCTAAGTTCATGTTTGTGCGTGGCTTCAAGGCATGGCAAGGCATGAAGGCTAAAGGGGATAGGGTTCTTGTCTCTTTGATGAATCTGTCATCTCTCCATCTCCCTCTTCCTTTCTCTCCGCATCTGGGCTTGCTGCACCACTCTCATCAAAAGTGAGCAACGACATTATTTGCCTTTTAGTCACGTATTCCTTTGCGGCGGTGTGCCACTGTTAATTTCAACGAAGCGTACATCAAAACAGGCAATACATACACCATGTTGTATCTGATCGGTCAAGTAGTCTGAAGCCCGATCCCTGCACGGCTATGTCGTGAATTATTCCCGCGCCAGACCAGCTAGTAACATGGTATGTAGGGAAATTTTGACCCAGCCAGCTGGTTAATTTTGATCCTTCGGCATGGGGTCCAGGCTCCGTATGTATATCCCTCAAATCTTGGATAATGAAAGTAACCTCGGTTGATTCGCTTCGTATAAACCGCTAATATAAGAACAATGACAGTACTTACTACTACTATAAGAACAATGACGTAGATTATCTTCGCCGAATGATAGCCCATGAACTATGGCAAGATATTACAAGCAGAATAGAGTTGATGGGGGCCTAGCATGTTAATCTAGCAGGCATGCTTAGGGTTTTTTTTTTTCCTTTTCAAGAGAGGCAATTGGAACATGATATATTTCATCGGAGTATGTGGTCCCGAATTGCAGGTGCCTTCTTAGTGAAACTCACAATGAACTCCTCTGAGCAGGTACACGACACATTCTTTCCCCTCAATTTCAAGAAACCTGAATCAGGTTGGACAGACAGACTCGGTGCATCCAACCAAGCACAAGGATTGGGCCGATGCGAGGCCCCAAACTCCTGAATGAGGGGTAATTAAAATGACTCCGCAAGTGCGGGATATGCCATGGGGCAATCGGAGATGATGCATCTTCGTCCGATATTCGGGGATAATCTGGGGTCGAGGTGGAGAGATGGGCGGGGAATAACGCCAATCCTTCACTGAAAGATGCCACGATCGGTGAAGAGAGATTTCATATGAAGCGGAGGTGTATATATTGAGCCGATCGCCGTCATTACCAACCGTCGCTTACTCCATATGGTTCATAACATGCCCAAACACCAGCCACAACCATGCTCTCACATAAAAGACTCGCCCTTCTGGCCTTATCCATCTTCAGCTCCTCGGCCGCAGCTACTAACTCTACAATTGGACCTCGGGTCACAGTGAAGAATGGTACATATGCTGGTGTTTATAGCTCCCAGTATGACCAAGATTTCTTTCTTGGCATGCCATATGCCCAAGTAGGTGAAACACATCATTTGACTTTCAACATGGATCGTGTTTGACAAGTACATCAGACAGCAGAACGGTTTACGGTAGCGAAGAGCCTTAACCAGAGCTGGGATGATGTTCGCTCTGCCACCCAGTACTCACCCAACTGCCTCAGTTATGTAATCGAAGAACAAGGCCATAAGCTCTCCGAGGATTGTCTGTACGTGAATGTTGTTCGGCCATCTGGAGTCAACGACACTGCAGATCTGCCCGTGGCATTCTGGATCCACGGTGGAGGTTTCACAACGGGTGGCTCGGCCTACGCCAGATACAACCTCTCCTTCATCGTGGAACAGAGTGTCAAGATTGGCACTCCCATTGTCGCTGTAAGCTTCAACTATAGACTCAGTGCCTATGGCTTTCTTTCCGGTGGAGAGGCCACTCAAGCTGGGATCAGCAACAATGGCTACCGTGATCAGCGTCTCGCCCTGCAATGGGTCAACGAGAACATTGCAGCCTTCGGTGGCTCGCCAGATAAAGTTACAATCTGGGGTGAGAGTGCGGGTGCTATGAGTGTCACTGCGCATATGTTTGCCTATAATGGTATGATCACCTCTCATTCTCTTGTGGTGGATTAATCCTCTGGTGCTAACAACTGCCAGGTCGTGATGACAAACTCTTCCGCGCGGCTGCCGGCCAATCTGGCTTCGGAGCAACTGTCACCAGCTTTACAAAGGGACTCACTTCCTCCGAGAACGCCGATATTATTTACAACAGTCTAGTGGCAAACACCACCTGTGCCCCATTGCTCGGCCAGTCTGGAAGCTTGGACTGTCTCAAGAAGCTGCCAAGAGAGGAGATGGATTATGCTCTCAACGTCACCAAAGTCAGCGGTTTCGCTCCCATCATTGATGGTGATTTCTTCCAAGACTTCTCCACCAATCAGCTGGAAGATGGAAGATTTGTGAAGGTTCCTATCCTGGTCGGGGCCAACACGGATGAGGGCTCCGATATGAACAAGGGCATTCTGCCGGGCAGTAGACTCGTGAATACTGATACTGATATGAGAGAGGCGCTCACCTCTGTTGTCTTGGGACAGAAGACGAACAAGACTGTGGATGAAGTAGTTGATGAGATTATGTATGTCTACCCCAACATTCAGGCTGTTGGGATACCTTCACTTGAGAAGTGGCCACATGTTATCGAGAAGAATGACTCCTACGCCCAGGAGCTGGGCGCGCAGTACCGACGGACCACAGCATTCTGGGGAGATCTCAGGATGCAATGGGCAAGAAGAAGAGCAAACATCGCATGGCATAAGCACGGTATTCCAAGCTGGGCGTATCGTTTTGACGTTGTCCCCAACGGTATCAAGCCCTACGTCGGTGCTTCCCACTTCAAGGAGGTACGCTAATTCGTCGATCCAACCACTACTGCTCTGGCATTATAATTCTAATATATGTGGACAGGTTGCATTTGTCTTCCACAACCTGAACTCAGACGGCATGCCCACTCCCCCATTCGGTGGTGAAGAGCCATATGTAAGCAAGGCCAAGGCCGTGTCCGATCAAATGGCGACGGCATGGATCAACTTCTTCGTTAGTCTTGATCCAAACGGCCCAAGTGCGCTCAGCATTACCAATAGTCAGACCTGGCCACAATATGACCCATCGATTGGAGGAGGTGTTGGTCAAGAGATCGTTTGGGACCTGAATGGAAATTACATAGAATTTGATGACTTCCGTGCTGAGGGAATCAATTGGATGATTGAGAACGCCGCTGGAGCTCTTGGATATTAGTCGAAAAATGAGCGCCTTGTAAATAGCTAATTGGAACATGGGTTCTATTTCAGACTATTAGTACAAGTAATACAGACTAGGCACAATAACCTCGTTTTGGTTTTGACCTAAACACCTGCCAAACCTTGGCTATCAGAGTAATTAGTGGTAGATTCATGGCTCGATGTATGACGCGGTAACATCCCTCCAACCTCGAACATCTTACATGCTATTCATCATCAGATATGTCCTCGTCATAATCATATTCCGAATCAGACTCTTCAGCCTGCGCAGAAACAAGGTCAAATATTGCTGTCATCGGGCACAATATCCGCTCTTCACAAGGTTGGTCCCAGAATACAAAGCCTGTCTTGCGGAGAGAGCGCATCTCCTCCTCATCAGGAATCCCTTGCCGATGCCTGTAAGTTTCCGCCCAATTTTCCTTTACTGCAGTGTCTCTATAGGAATAATCAGGGTTAGATCTGGGTAGCGCCGTCATTAGACTATCATTGTGGTCACTGTATTCCGATAGATCACAATCATGTCTTGGTGAAAACGGATCAAGCCAGGGCTCTTGCACCATTTTATCAAAGGCCGATTCCATTTCCTGTTCGGATAGAGAAATAGGGATTTTTTTTCTAATATGACGAATATGTCTTACACCTTGGGCAATCTGTTTGTAGGGCATTAGTGTATTCTTCTCACGAATAAACCTTGCGATGCTCAGCCAGATATCAAGCTTACCGAGAGCTGGTGGAATAGCACAGCGCCCTCGCTGCTCATAGATGATGTAGCAAACCTGCTGGAGACTGTATTTGACCCGTCAGTTATTAGAAGAACCCCAGATCATATCATTCTATGGCTTGGACGTTACCAATCATAACGGTATCATCCAAGAATTCGTAGACGGCCAAGATTTGATGGCACTCCCAGGGATTATGCTGCCCGTAGAACCAGATAGGGCCGTCTGATCGTGGAACCTCAGAGTGGGGGAGAATCTGCCCATACAACCTGAGAAACAATTCCACACGATAAAAGGCACGAGTAATCCGGACGTTCTCTGTGGCGGAAATGGATGCCTCGGGTAATGAATATCCAGGCCGGGACGGGGTTGCCAAAGCGAAGAACCAGGCAAGCTGTGAGAATTCGGTTGCAAGGGTCTTAATTGCTTCGTGTGTACGTGAGGTGGAGTAGAGCTTCTCAACTGAAAGCTCACCTAGACGATTGCATATGTCTTGTGGTTTCTCATAGATGGTCTGAATCAAGCTGGTAAGAGCGGACGAGCCAAGCGCTGGCTTCTCTACTTCCAGGGCGATGGCATATGGGAGTAAATCCTCATGGATTTGGGTTTGAAGCAAACCTCGCAATACCCGGGTCCTGTTCTCGCGGAAAGAGACATCAAAATGTCGGCAGACGAGTCTAACAGGTGAGAGAGCTCTGACATGACCAAGGTTTTCGAGAATTTGGGCGATGATCTCGCAAGGCAGATCGCTAACGACGGCCATGATGCCCACAACAGCCAGAGAAAATAAGCTTATCAAATCTGCTTTGTATCCTTCGATGAATAGGAAGGCTGAAAGCTGGTGCTGGGCCTTGTTTGCTCAGAGGTTGATGTGGTTACGAATGATGTCGGGTGGGGGGAGCTCACTAAATCCATTTATTTCAGTCAGGGTGCCTTACCTAATCCAAATTTTACCAAGATCGAAGGTTACCCTACATAGAAGTTCTCGAAGAGATCAGGTAGGCGGAATTAGGAGACACATGCACGCTCTCTTATATCCAAATTGCTTCTATTATAGCAAGACTCCAAGAGAGGCAAATTAATAATACGAATGAATTTCGTAAAGCTACTAATCGAGGGTGAGTCGGTTGCTCCATGTTCGCGTAACACCTAAATTATCCATACTTTCGCATATATTCCATTAATGATGATCAAATCAATTCACTAGAAAAATCAACGGTACTCCAGCTGAATCTCTCGACATAAGAGCAAACATGCCATTATTGGAGCTAGACTCGCAGCTCACATCCGACTCTTAGCCCACTTGAGGCCCAAAATCAGAAGAAAATAGCTAAATAGAAACAAAATGAACGTAACGGCAAAAGCAAATGCACTCAGAAGAGCAAAAATGCGTAATCTGGGAATCGAACCCAGGGCTCCCCGACGCTGCTCGGATGGCAACGGAGAATTTTACCACTAAACCAATTACGCTGTTTGATGACTAACGGTTGATTGAATTGCCCCTTGAGTTACAGCTGGCTTGCCTCTCAATATGGAAGTCTTCGCATTTGAATAGGATCTAAGCATATGTAGAGCCGGGAGTAAAAGAATGGGAGCTCGCAGTGGAGTTTCATCAAAGTAGAGCACGTATCCACTGCTTTGGAAGCTGAAAGCAAGTAAGACCGAGAACCATAGAGACACCAAGGAGAGTCAATGCGTATAGATGTCCCAACTCATTGTGCTCTTTCGAGGTGATGGCAATATGGAGATCAGTTCCGTCATGATGGGGGATAGTATGTTTTGTTGTTAGGTGTCCGAGTGGTAAAATCTGTAAAATTGGGCAGGAAGATTCTGGCCCTTACTGATGAAACCTTCTTCTATTGCTAGCTAGATACAGAATCTCGTAAGAGGATATTTACAGCGGAACAGACACATTCGCTTCAAGCTCCTACTTGATGAGAAATGTGCCTTGAGTTGCTCCATTGGCAAAGATCTAAGTGAATGGGTCATATTGAGCTCCTACCAGCAATTGACGTTGCGGTCGAGCACCATCATCAGAGCCAGAGCGAGTCATATTCACCTTGGCTTCAGCAGTCATTATGATATCATGGTGAAAGAGGGGGTGCACTGCAACCGACTGCTCTAGACCTCCGGCGATAACAAAGACCATTGCTTTGGGGTCGGCTGACCAGCCACCGATGGCCCAAGTAGCACCGGTATAGCTAGGCTAAGCTTATTTGTACGAAAGCTGAACCTAGGAGCTACACTAGCAGCCAAATGTATACGGCTGAACAGAGCGGCATCATTAGTCTCAACTTTGAAAAGTGCTAGCGTGATGAATGTGAACCTGTATATCTACCACCATTGCGCCCTACATTGTCGGTTGTTTGCCCTGTAGGTCGCAAATCAAAGCATCAAATAGTCAACTGGTATTCCACGACTGAACGACGAACCCCAGGATATCTCGGAACCCAAGCATTTCATCCTCTTCTGCTGGAACTTGGGAAACTATACTGGTCCACAATGGCCAAACAAAACTTGATACCGACCGTTTTGCTCTTATCCTGCGCATTGCTAGGAGGTTACGGGGCCATGTATACTTCATTCAGAGACGGCTTCTTCGATGCTCTAAGAGACTGTGTCTACCCCAGCCCAACAAAACCAAGTCACTGCACACTCCATGCTCCTCATGCTTCCCAAATGCCAAAATTCACCGGGGTGCCATTTCTCGACGAAAATTTCGCCCTTTTAGTCGAATTCTTCCAGCAGGGTTTGCCGAGAATGAATCCCGGCGGGATAGAGAGCTTCGAAGACATTGTAGCCACGCTCTGCTGGACTTCTCAATATGGTGCTATCTGGACTATGATCTCTCTTGAAGGATTGCGAAAGGGCAATCAAGGCACCGCTGCCGCCTAGTAAGCTCTTTTCTCCCGTTATATATCAAAGATTGCATCAACTGACACTCAACTCGAAGTACTGGCCTATGGGGAATGATGTTCCAACTTCTCACGGTCACAATCTTCTCCCCAATCTACTATATCTCTCAGTTATACTCGTCACCCGCTCAAATAAGTCAGGCTCACGCGGCAGTCGACATTGAAGACCTTGAAGCACTTCCAAAAACAATCGCCCTCACGTATCTTCTTCCAACCTTGGGCCTTATTCTCCCGCTCTTTGGTCTAATGTCGCCCAAGGCTTCTTATTACGCCATTAGCGTATGGCAGCTTTTCCCGTTACTAAAATCAGCCTTCCATCCTCTTATGCGTTCTGGAAGGACATTAAAGGTGTCTAAGGAGGGCGAGAAAAACATAGTTGTTGACCAGCGCGGCGACGGCTACAAGAGAGCGCTGAACAGGGTGTACAGGTTCGCTCTATTGCTGGCCGCGAGTACATACTTCTTGCACTTCAGCTCCGTTTTACTCAAATCACAATCAAGTCTTTCGGCTACCTTGAAGGGATTTTTCATCCCGGGGTCTCTGTCACATCCTCCCACGTTTGCTTTGTTCAACCCCCCTGTCTCAGCATCCGCCGGCCAAGACATCGTCATCACTTTCCTCAAATGGGACCTCTATTGCGCCGGTGCCGCGCTTTTGATATGGTCATCGACGCATGCATCCCGAGTTCTCGGAGGGTCTGAAATGTCCCGGACAATTGCGAAGTTCCTCCCGCTGATGGCTCTGGGTGGACCCGTCGCTACGGCTGTGGCCTTGCTGCGCCAGCGAGATATGAAACTGCTCGCCACGCCGATTGCCACGAGCTCGGGTAGAAAGAATAAATAAGTAGTGCGCTGTGCGTACCCGGTCAATCGCGCCACTGGTTTCATAAATCGTGCAGCAGGTACGCGCCGTTTTGCCAGCGCGCATCCAAGGGTGGCCCAGGTCAGTCAACTCCTCGTTTGTCGTCCCAAGTAGCAAGATAATCTTAGGCGCCAATTGATCTAACTGCTACGCGCAAGTAATAGTGTGCTATTCTTTCAAAGAATAGCCACAGGGCATTCAGCCCGGTGTTTTAGCCGGTGTCTACAGGTGCAATTCCAAGTGTGCTACGTGGTAGTATCAATGGCAAATGTTCGTTAGGTGTCACGGTAGCAGGTATCAAGGCTTTCATGTGGTTACAAATAATTCAATCAAATGCTTTTTCCATTTCCAAAATAATGTTAAAATACAACTCCATCTCAGATGAAGTCCAAGACTATGTGCTTAAGAAGAAGAAGAGGTGGGGATAGCACCGTCAGTGACGGTGGCAGTCACCCAGTGGGTCACGACAACGACCTTGACCCTGTTGGTCTCGACCAGCACTTGGCCGGGGAGAGAGGTGGTGCTTGGGGCAGCCTGGCTGGTGGTGGAAGGCCTCACGCGGGTTGAGAAGGTGGTGGGAGCAGCAATGATGGTGCTGGAAGAGCTGGAAGAAGGCACGACAACCTCGCTGGTAGAGCTGGGCACGACGACCTCACTGGTGGTAGTGGGAACGATCACCTCGCTGGTGGTGGTAGGGATGATAACCTCGCTGGTGGTGGTAGGGACGATGACCTCGCTGGTGGTAGTAGGCACGGGAGCCTCGCTTGTAGGCGCAGGAGCCTCGCTGGTTGGGGCCGGGACGACAGTGGTGGGATCGGGTGAACCACCGCCGGAGCCTTCCTCAAACTCCCAAGAGACTGTGAGACGGCCAACGGAAAGGTCTGCAATCTGGGTGAAGACGCTTGGGGAGACGTCGATGCCGCCTGATACACACTCGCCACCGGGGCACTTATCCCAGACCTGGGCGCGGACGGTCTTGCCATTTGCTGTGATCTTGATCCACTTGCCACAGACTGTTGCTTGGTTTGGGTTGGCCCATTCACCGTAATCCGCGGCAGAGAGCGCAACGACGGCGTCCGCATCGGTCTTGACCTGACCGCAAGAACCCAGACCCTGTATAAACGGTTAGATGAGAGGGATTCCCAACGTCGAGAGAGAGACGACTCACTTGGTTGAAGTAGGTCATGTCACCAGTGTAGGCGACGGCTGACGTAGCAGCGACTGTGGCGAGAAGGAGAGACTTGAAGAAAGACATCTTTGTGATATTTGATTTTGGTTCTGTTGATAAATCTGGCTTGGTTCGGAAAAGGACTGGTCGAGATTTGCTTGCAAAAAGCTGGAGATCGAAGATCGAGGGAATGGATACGTTCACTTGGAATCGTAGAAATGAATGAGATGCTTTCAAAGCAAAAAATTGAGCCGAAGGAGTGTGGCCTGCCAGGTAACCTAATCAAAGATCGTACAGCGGAAAAGAAGAGCAGCAAAGCTGATGCTTGGGCGAGAGCTTATATATCTCCTCCCGCAGTGCGCCGAGCAAGTTCTCTGCCCAACATGATGGCAGGGTTCATTGTTTCAGACTCTGCCTTAGCTTCCTGCCCGGGCTGCCGGCTCGATAGATTCGCAATGAATTGCACATGCACCAGTGGGCCTTTGCCCATCCATCGAGCAGGGTTCAGGGGCTCCTATTACTCAGAGGGAGCCAATCCTGCATCCTGATCCGTGCTGCCAGTGCGACTCCTCTTCTTGGCAAGTCACTTCCGAGCGGGAAAAGCGGAGCGTTTCACCTTTTTATGGCAAATTTCCCAGCGTAAGTTCTTTCGTAGCCACGAGTATCTCGAAATCCAGACACTCACTCGGGTCTGGGGAAAGGATGACTTGAGATCGAAACAGGAACGCAAAGCTACGTGGGGAAGGATCATCAGGCTCTTCTCGTCGACCTTCTCCCCAACGAAATCGGCTGTTCCCTGTACAACGTATTCTAGAGAAGCCAATCAGAGCTTACCCGTGCTCTGTGTGTACCTTGCAGAGCGAGGGGAGGGGTTCAAAGGGACCGAGAGCACTGGATCACGACGAAAAAAGGCCTTGGCGAATGGGAAACGACGATGATCAGCGCCAACACGAATAAAAGCACGCAAGTTGGCACCCAGCTGGCCCTGCCCCTGCATTGATGCTCCACCAGGGTGCAGCATAAGGTTTTTCACTCAGCTCGGCGGCGGCCCAGTCAGCAAGCTGCGAGAGGAGAGCGACGTGGCTCGCTCCACGCACTAATCACAGGCAGACTTCGCCTCCCATCATTGGATCCTTGAGGGCACACAAGTCATGACTGAGTAATGACCAGCCTGTGAGAGCAGAGAACGGGCAGCCAACAGGGAGCGCTAACGCAGGCACGGCAGGGGATATCCAGGCACACTTCCGTGATGTTCAGGCACAAATCCATCCGTCTTAATTTGGATCAAACAATGGCCCGAAGCGAGCTGGGTGCTGCCACGACTTCTGCAGTGAGACATTTTGTTGGTAGCTGTTGTACCACGCCGTAATCTCGAAGGTCTTCCAGCTACGCGCTCTGTTCGGCACCGTGCTAGATTCCCCTCCCCTAATGGTTCACTCACTCTGTCCCCCTTTTACTAACCCAACCTCTCGGTCCATTCGCGGGAGAAGATGGACGTGTTCCCCCTCAGCCACCCTCTATTGAATGTCAAGTGTGCTATCCGGCCTCACCGTCTCTTCAATGCAGGCCTAAACCACGAACGCCAAAGTCCGAGGCTGAGCATTGCCAGTGCACCAACAGTCACTCGCTTTACCCACTATTAATTGCGATCTTCTCACCAACAAGTCTCGGGCGCTTGGCTGGTACCACGTCACGGTTGGCCACACGTGGTAGCACATCGGGCAGCGCGCGCGGTGTGGCCTGACTTTTCTCATCTCTCCTCCCCTCATCACTCCTCAGCTCTGTTGGTACGTGCAGTACCCAAGAAGCACGTACTATGTAAGCATCACTTGCGATCGGCATGAATCGCAAGCCTCCCCGGCAAATATTCAATTTAACTCTCGACCAGCCACGGATATTCCGCAATTCCCCCATAGATTGACGGGTTGCTGCATATTAGCATCCTGACATTACATTTAAACTACTACGCAATCTACATGGGCTTCTTTTTTCCCCGGAACCAGGACGTGAGATTCCCCAGAAAGCCTAGGTAGGCTCCCTCAATGTGCACAAATACGAAAAATTGAGAACACGTGAATTATGAAGAAAAACATTGGCGATCGCACGTGATCCGATGGAGGCTACCCTAGACTATCACCAGCTCGCACACCAACTACCATGATTTGCAGGCTGGGTTCGCTTTACCTAACATAAATAATTAGTGAAACATAAGGGCGTTCATTAGAATAAGTAATTTATGTGATAATTTCTTTATAGAGCTACTAATCTGGTGTAGGAAATTGTTATAATCGAGCTGCCTGAAATAGCAGTCGTTGTTGTGGAGTAACAATGCTAATTCCATTACCAGAAGCTCCAGCCCAGCGCTCTCGGTGCGTCTTTATTCGCTCTGTCGCCGAGCGCTCCCTATAATTTCATGTCCACAGTCAGTAAGGTAGGTTTATTTTTGAATGGAGGTACAGTCGTTACTTGGTCTACTAAAAATCGTTATGATTTACGAAATGTCACCATCTATAATACAAATGAGTGCTGAGGGCAACGACCCTTCAGATTAGATTCAATATATCCATTAATCAATTCTCTATTGCCAGTAAATATTCAACGTGATCTTACTTCGACAATAACGACTTCTGTATTGTGGCAAACAGGTGCCAATGCTACCTAACTGTTCTGGATATCGGCCTTCCCGCCCCCCCTGTGGCGGTAGGGGACTGGAGCGCTATGGCGATGATTACATGCCCTGATGATGCTGATGATGCAAAAAAGATTGATTATTTCTCTCCACAAACCAATATTGGATGGGTGCTTGAGTATTCGCTGGCCCCATCAAAGGCATTACGCCAGCAATACCTACCTACCCTGGATCATGATCCTGATAATCCATTTGCATGGAAAACGACTCATCTCTAAGTAGAAGAAATAGCAATTGTTTAATGTAACTTGATCCCGAGACCTTTATCTGGGATCACCTCCGCTCCCGGTACTATTAATACAATTCATTCATAACAGAGGTATTTGAGTCAGAGGACCGTGATACTCGTCATTTGGCGCTTGCCTATACTGCCCGACAACGAAGCTCCATGACGCAAACCATAGCCACGGTTCCGAGCAAACAGAGGTAGAGGTTGCTATCATGTCTCTTTCGCCGGTGCAGTCCTTTGAAGGTCACAATGAGGATCTAATTACCGACATGTGCCGATAGAATTTTAACCATGAAAAGAGATCATCTATTTCTGGCTCATCGGCCATACACGACTCGATAGATAGCTTGTGACGGCTACTTGTAACAAGGTGTTCTCGTTTTTACTTCATTTAAGTTGCTCATTTCTCATTCTTATTATTGATACGATGCTGGACTGAACGTTAAAATGAGAAGTGGAAGTATAGGCAATGAACTGTAGATTGCTGAAGAAAAACCGCTTGGTTGAGACTAATCTTAGCTGAGTCACGTTTATCGATTACAGAAAATGAACGACTGGAAATCAAGACAACTTCAGCGGAAAGAAAGCCGGTATGGCCAATTATAATACTAAATTATGGAGGATTGGGCGTTAGAATGGTGCTGCCTCCTGCTAAACTTCACCCCGTGTCTTCCTAGATCTGGCTTCGCTGTTTCTGAAGCCTGGCTTTGGTGCCTTCAATGATGGCATCCTTGTCAAAAATATTTGTCACACTTGGGTGTGCAGAGATCGCCTCGGCCCATTTATAAAAGTTGGGGGCTTTCTCCTTCAGGCCTGAAACGATGCTGGCTGGATAGACGCCAGCTGAACTCAGCGTCAAAAGACGGATGATAAATGAGCCAGAGAGCACCTGCGGAAAATGAATCAGTAATCTAAACAAAGTACTAGCTTGATGTTAAGCGGCATGGATTGCATATGTACCTCTGCAAAGGTGAGCTTCTTGCTGCCACCAAAGAAGGGTGCTGCATCTTTGAGGAGCGGCTCGACCTCTTTGGCTGTTGCAGCGACATACTCGCCCGCCAATTTCTCAAATTCAGCTTCAGAATTCACAGAGCCTAATTTGAAGAGATGTCCCTGGGTTTTGGAGAACAGCGTGTCAACGAAAAAGCCGATTTGCGCCCGCTTCAGAGCGCCGCCGGGCGCATTCGAAGCTGGGAGCAAATCTGAAGGGTTCTCATCGGCTAGGAATTGGGAGATGATCCCCGACTCTGTGAGGATAGTCCCATTATAGTTGATTGATGGAACTAGCCCTCGAGGGTTTATTTCAAGGTACCAGGGGTCTCGAGGGCGGTCTAAGTCGATGATAACTTCCTCAAAGGGGATGTTGAGCTCAGAGAGGACGATATGAGCACGATGAGCCCCTTATTATTGTATTCTACATTAGAATTGGAATCAAGGAGAATCTTGGAATCATCAATCACATACAAGGGCACTGTTAAGATTTCTGGTCAGGCTCTCTCTTCTGCGTGATCTTCATGCTAGAGACTTACCCTGTGGTTGGTGTAGAGGATGATTTTGCTATCTGAAGCCATTTTGGAGATGTGGACAATAGACAAGTGTGTTCCTGGATAGAAGAGAATGAATAATGATATGCTCGGGAAAATGGAAATATCTCGAGGAAGACCTTGGTTTTATGTGGTGTAGGAAATGCATAGATGTCGTGCGGGGTTGAAGCACAAGATGATGCTATCCCCAACCATGAGCACGTGCGATGTGGATATTGATAGTGATTAGAAATCCAGGGCCGAGCATTCCGTCATTTATCGATGGTGGCTGACAAATACCGTCGATATACTCGGTTTCGATAGTCTCAATACGAGAAGCTACGCCCCTGCTTGGGAACCCCTCTTTTGACGCGGCATATTCCTGTCTTGGTCGAGATGAGCGGCCATTTTCAGCGGCATAAACACCAGTTCAATAAGGAAAAGAAATACATATATAATCTATTTTCCAATATAAGATCTCGATCATAATGCGGTTTTCACCTTCCACTGCATCGTGTCATGTCAGAGACCAAAGCCACTGATGGTTCAAAATGTATATTGATTGTACAATTAAAGACGATTATTTATAAATGAAAAGGTCATTCCTATCTTTATTGCATTTTACCACGAGCAGAAGTTTGAAGCAAACTTCGTTCGAGAAGAGCTTATTGCTTGAATTCTCACCTATTCAGCAACTAACAACCATCATTCTAATCCTGAAGCATTGTATGTCATTTCCTGGACACTGTTGAATCCCGAGTGCTGCAACTACCTTACTTTAGGAATAGTTGATGATTATTGAATATTATGAATTGGGTATAATATTAATGCATAGAGGAGAAGCTGTCTTCAATAGTTTATGCTTCCTTTTTCTTGATAGTCCTTAGAGCCTTAACGCCTTCTGGTTTACATCGCTAGAGCTTGTTGATATACTTGGGAAGCCTAAATTAACCGGCCCAAGTATGTCTAACAAGGCTTTATATTCCAAATAAAACCTTATAAAGCTTGTCACAAATGTTTCAGAAAACTTGAGAAACGGCGTCTCCAGCCAGTTCTTTCCCTGTAATTGCTTCTAGGCATTGAATCATCTACCCGCTCGGTGGCGTCATCTGTGGGACGTGATAAATCTGTGTGATTGATGACAGTGGTCGAGGTTGTTTCGAATATTCTTCCGCTCGTATCTCCTGAGTTGTCCTTTATGTCATCCCTGGCGCCGTCGCCATGTGAGCTTTTGTCGTCGATAATCAATTCGGTGTTGGGAAGATTCTGAAAATCATTTGTCTGTTGTCGATTTCCTTCATCAAGGTGATGGGCTAGCGCGATGAGCTTGTGGAACATTTCTTCGACATTTTCGTCATATTTGGCTGATGTCTGCACAAATTCGCAACCGAACTCTGCTGCCAAACTCCTTGCCTCCTCAACAGATATTTCCCATGATTCCGGCCTGGTATCGCTTTTGTTTCCGGCGAGTATCAAGGGGATAGGTGCGTTCTTAACTGACCGTATCTGTCGATACAGCTTCTTCGTCTTCTCAAACGACTCCCTTGATAAGAAGCTGAAGACAAGTACAAAGGCCGTACTTTCTCGGATCCATTCCTGTCTGAGAGCCAGATGTTCAGCCTGGCCACCTTTGTCGAAGATATGGATCACGCATGGCTTGTCATCAACCGCGATCTCCTTCCGGTAGCCATTATCGATGCTAGAGTCGAACTAAATCACGTCGTCGTTTGTAAGTCTAACCAGAATCATTAGCCCGTTGCAGGTGCCACCTACCGTGTCAACAAAATGACCAAGACAGAAACTGTTGCAGAGAGATGTCTTGCCAACGCCACCACTTCCCAGTAGGAGAGCTCTGTGAAGAGGAAGCCTATGACGCTTTGTATTTGCCTCCATCCGGATCCCAAGATGTTGAATATTGCCAATAGTTCGTCAGAGACGGATCTGAAAAAGAAAGTCCCTTATGGTCTGATCTTTCAATTAAGGGGAGGCCACAAGTAGGCGGGGTGACTGTGGCGACTCTGCAGGGTCGGACCCTGTCAAGCCCCTGGTTCAGGTCATCCTGCGCCAATGAAATAGCACCATGAACAGCGAAACGATTCCTACAAAAGCCGTGTAACAATGATACGACTATTTATGTCGTGTCCCAAGTCATATTGTAATTTGGGGGAGGTGGTATGAGGCAGTCCAAATCTGGTGGAAGAGTAGAGTAGGATTGTGCCCAACCCCTTGACGATCGCCATGGTTTTGATTTGAGCTGATAGCGCTGATCTGAATCTTTAAAATGAACCACCTGATTTCAATTGCAATTTGCGGGCTTGACTAAGGGATCGACTTGGACTCTGTTAACGCAGCTTGTTGCTATAGATGCGTTTTCACGGCTATGTTCTCCCCAAAACAATTTTAAGCCTTCGAAATATAAGATTCGACAAAAGCTTCCAGATTCTCGCCTGCCAAGCCAATCTTATCATTCCATAGTCCTTTGTCAACCGAGTAGTTGGCGGCACCTCCCTCACCATATATGGCACTGGAGATCTGATCCAATGTGCCCAGCGGGTTCCCGTTCTTGACCTGCTCAGTGCTTGTCTCCCAAAGGCCACGAGCAGTCCCCTCAGATAGCTCGAACTTCTCTCCTGTAGCTCTTTCGAGAGCATGAAGCACGTCGTTTTGTGTCACGGTGAAGCTATTAATGTAGACATATTGGTTACGCGTGACGTCGATATTCTTCAAACTTTTGGCAATCCCCCTCCCAACTTGGTCCAAGTTGGTGGCTTCATAAGCGATATTGCCCCCGTCAAAGAGTGTAGCGGTCCGTGCCCTAACATTGAAGCCACCGAATCCAGGAATACTCAAGCCCCAGTCAAACATAGATCCGGAGATAATAGCGATCCATGAAATTGTGTCCTGCTTACTCTTGATATAGTCGAGAGTGTCAACCTTATCCCGAAGTAAAGGAATAATCTTAGGCGCCTCGGGATTCGCTGTGTCGATGCCGAACTCCGAGGGAACGAAAACCTTTGCTCCAGCCTTGATTGCGGCATCGACAACTGTCTTTTGGAAGGCCAGTGCCTGGCCAACGGCAATACTAGAGACTGTGCTGACAACAGCATCGTGGCCTTTGAGGGCTGCAACAATCGAATCTTCAGAGTAGTCGGTCTCGACAAGTTTAACGCCCTGTGGAGTAGTGATGTTTGATAATTCTCGAGTCAAGCCTGTGACTTCGAAACCCTCCTGCAATAGGGCCTGAACAGTAGACTTGCCAACATTCCCACTGGCTCCGATCACAGCCACCTTTCGAATGGGCATGACACCGATGGTAGATGGATGAATGATGAACGGTAGTAGAAGGATGATGTGGTGCAGAAGCTCGTTTGCGAGGGTGAGGATTGATTAGTACTGCTCAAATTTTGAAGCAGGATGTGCCCGGCCAGACGATTCTCAAATACTTGTTCACTTCCACGCGACCAAGTGCCATGCAGTCCTCGATCGACACCTTTCCGTCCCTCGCTTATAGCTAATATTGGTAATCAAACTTTGAATTAATTCAAAATTTCGTGGCATTTGTCGTATCCAGCTCGGGGCATTACACAATATGCCGTGTCGGTTGCCACAACCATCAAGTCTCGGAGAGATGGAAATGGATGAATACGAAAGTGCCAATCAAACAACTGATAGAAGTTAGCTCCCTAGTAGTTTGATTACCATCTGATCCGTTCTAATATTCATATTCAGCGTGCAAGTCCAGACCCTTCCTCTCGATCACTCTGCTATACCCTGAGACGTCCGCGCTTTTGGTGGATTGCCCTGCTAGTATTAAGGGCACACATGAAGTAGCAGCACGTGTCAAGTCTCAGCTGCCCGCTAGCAGTACTTTGAACTACTTCATCTGCAAGCACGCCCATGGAGACCATTTCTTGGGTCTTCATTTCTAGCACTTTCCACTGTTCCAGGACTCAAGGCCTATGCCACTAAACGCGTGGTTGAATGAATCAACCAACAGCAGTTACCTGCCATTTTGGAACCGCTCTGGAAAAAGAACTTCCCCCCATCAGAGGATGGTATCGGCCTGCCCGAGGCCAGTCTGTTTTCAAGGCTCTGCCTGAATCAAACGAATTCATAATTGACGGCTATATGCTCAGGGTGTATGATGTTCCCCATGGTGATACCCAAAAGAGAGAATATATTAATAATATAATTCTTAAACCCGAAGAGTAAGTCGTTAAGATAAGAGTCTAAGAACTTGAGAAGTTGTATCTTGATTTTCTCATACTAGTATTATAGTAAAGCGAAAGTTAGTCACTGGAAAATCACATCCCTCTGAGGGTTCCCTGGACGCTCTGATGCCTCTACTTGGGGAATTGTGTTACTCTTACCAACCCACCCAGCTGCAGTATATGGGTTGATATAAATCATACCTAGAGTGTGCATGATTCGACATTTTGGATACCCATGCCACTCTCTTTCAGCAGCAAACCCGAACATCCTACGAATACAAGCTCAGTGAGTGCCGGTCAGCATTATAGTCCCCCATAATAGCCCTTCAGCTACTCAAAGCCAGGTTCCTCCGTCCCCAGCCCAGGCAAACTCCACAGAAAATTAAGTGAATCAACATCCAACCCCAGCGAAACCTGGTTCGACCCTCCCCCAAACGGCGCAATACTCGAATCAAACGGCGTTGAAATCCACATATCCCCTCCATTCCCATCAAACCCGAAGAATCCCAGATCACTCTCCGCCTGTTGCTGCTGTCCAGTCAAATTAGCCGTAAAGGGATCCGATGACGACCCCTCAGCCTGAGACCCCATACCAGGCCCTCGAGATTGCTCGCCCGAAGCCGGCGCTCTAGTCAGATGCGCACGAAACTGCGCTGTGTGGTTCTCAATCAACGCACCATACCTCAGCGCAAAGTCCATGTCATCAGGCGGGGAAGAGCTGAGTGTAGAGGTGCACTGGTCCAATATATATAGCGCATCATTGACGTCTGTATGCGTAGGACCAACGCTGAGCGCTTTCAGAAGGAAAACCGACGAGGAAATGACGCTGATTTTCACGCGGGCGGGGGCGTAGGGAAACTGGGCTTTGAAGTCGCTTATGGTCGCAATGTGGAGGACTCTTTTGGTGTCTGCGATTACTTCCTGGAGGAATTTTGCGTCTTTGGGCGTTATGAATGCGGAGAGGACTTCGTCTGCGTCGGTGTTTCCTGTTGTGAATCCCGCAGAGGACGCTCTTGCGACGACGGCTTGGATTGATATGGCGCTGGTGCAGGCTTTGAGGTGGTGGAATTCGATGAGGAGGGTGTCTCGGAGGGGTTTTTTGATGTCTACATTGATTAGCCAAGGCAAGATTGTTGAGGGGAGGAATATCGCTTACCCTTGCTTACAGAGTCGAATTTCTGCTGCCACTTGGCCAATGAGCTGGCAAAGTGCTCCAAAAGGTCGGCGTAATGGCCGCCAAGCACCTGACTCTGGAGATGCGAGGCAGACTGGAAGAACATGGACGAAGCTGTGCGTGATAACTGGGTGAGTTCCAGCGTCAGATCCATGTAAGCAGCCCAAGAGCGATGAGAAGGTTCACTCGTGTTCTGCATCGGCAAGTGGGAAGCTGTAACGGAGATACTCTCCGGAAAGGCAGACGGATAGCCTAGTCTCGTAGCCGTCTGCGTCACATACACATAAAGCAGCTTCTGCGCCCGTATCCTGCGCAGGGCATCCGGATCTAACGGTCGTGAGAAGTCGAGCTGCTGATTTGAGAGTATGCCCAGCTCATACGCCAGGTTGTTGGCCATGCCCAACAACATCCAAGACATTCTATTAGCTCGTTTGGCAGGTTGGAAAACATCTTCTCGCCATCTGATGAGGGGGGCTTCGTTGTTTGTGTGCTTGCGGTTGACGCGGTCGTACTCGGGGGAGATGAGCAGGCCGTCCCATCCGTCGGTTTCTGGTGGCAGGTGCAGGGCCCGGGGATGCCAGTCGGATATCAGCAACAGGCTCTCAACGGTGCCTATCGTCCTGGTTCGTGACGTCGACGTCTTTTCCTGTCCTAGGAGGATTCGTCTGATCAAGACCTCACAGTGGTTCCAAAGTCGTTGATGGACATAGTGACTCCTGGAAGTGCCACCTGCTCCAGGAAATGTGAAGAAGCGAGATGCAATCATCAACAATGTGCAGCAGAGCATGGCTTCTTCATAGACTAGGCGTGCATGGGCAGCGTGAGGGCGAAATTGGTCGAGGATGATGGGAGCCATAGGGGCTAGTTTCTCAAAGAATCTGAAAATGTCAATCCACCGCTGATGCAACAGAACCGATGGCAATGTAACTTACAGGTCAATGTAGGTGACAGCTTCTTGGGCTGTAAACCATCCCTGGCGGACAAAGCGACACTTGTCCCACATGTCGAGCGTGGCATCGTCAGCCTCGGACAGTGCAGTGATGGTGAACCCAAGCCCGCTATACTCGCCGGGCATCACCGTTGGACCAGCATTATGAAGAGCGCTCCTCGGCGGTTGGGGCTGAGATGGGGTAGACCCAGCAACACTATGCTGTTGACCAGCAGCATCAGACAAAATATCCAGTGCGTCGTTGGTGCTAGTGACAAGTGTCGATCGCACGCGATCATACAAAGTTTGGTTTGCATTATTGGGTGAGTGCCCAAGGGGCCGGACCTCCTGCGGCAGTGCTTGGTAGTTATCCAGCGCAATGTCTGGGTTCTGAGGAGAGGCATATGGTGCTGCAGGCTCGGCTTGCTTCGAAGCGGTGTCTGACGGCTGCTCAGACTGGGTCCATTTCGGCGGTTCACGGTGCTTGGGGGCCCTCGGCCGGTGGTCAAACCGGCATTCACGATGTTCTCTGGCGCATTTCGAGCAGGGCGGCTTCTCCTTGACAATGCACCGGGACTTGCGTGCTCGACACGAGACGCAGGCGACATAACCCCGTTTGAAGGAGCGCTGATTGCTCGAAGTGTCCGAGGTCTGCGTTTCCCCTCGATCCATCTTGTAATCCCAGTCCGGACATTGGACAATGGACACAAGTTCCACCTTGGTTCAGATGCAGCGGGACAGGCGGGTATTTGAGGGGAGACGATGAATACCGCAGTTATCCGCGACGGTCCGGCTGCATCCGCTGCGGTCCACTGACTGGAGAGAGCTCATTCCCTATGGCTTCGATCTAATGGCCGTGACCGGAATGTACTTGTGGTTTCTCTTCATATCTTGGGCACAGCTGGTATAGATTGGTACCTTGTCAGTCTCCATATAAAGTTGGTAGAACCATAGACACATCGGCCGCAATGTCATGATGATCACATAGACCAGTTTGAAGGATTAGACTGGAGGAGGGTTTCTTAACATGTAGCACGCATCTTCCCAATCGTTTTTCTCCATTGAATGTATCAAGGCAAGGGTTATATGACCAGCCATGAGTTGGTTGATACTGGTCTGCATGTAGGTTAATGGTATCCTCTCAAAAACGATGGATGACTTGACCCAACGCTCGGCAAATGAACTTGCCATTGCAAGTGTAGGTATGAACACACGGCAAATGTATAATGTACACTGTCCCAAGTCGCCGATCCGGCACCGGTCATCGGTCCTGAATTCGGAGCGTGATGCGAACATGCCCAGTATATAAGTGCGAAGGAGGAGCGAGTATGATGATATTCATCAGCGTTCTAGCAAAGAGCAACTCAAATACCAACAGCATCCAAAATGTCCAAGTCCATCGTCAACACCAACCCCTACCCCTTCGCCTTCGAGGCAAGCAAATACCCCGCCCTCCAGCCCAGCAATGCAGGCAAGGGCGGTGTCAAGGTCGAATTCGACAATTGCCGTGGATCGACCCCTTCCATCCAGGCCTCCCGCCTCCGCGCCATGATGCGCGAAGCCCATGAGGACCCTGCCAAGATTGTCGCCCATGTCTGCAGCTACGACGCTCTGAGCTCGCGGCTCTGCGAGGAAGCGGGCTTTCCCGTGCTTTTCCTCGCGGGTTATGCCATGGCGTCGGCGTTTAGTCTGCCGGATACTGGCTACATTGCCTACGGCGAGGTCGTCGACAAGATCCAGGAGGTGGCGAGGGCGACTACTATTCCCATCATCGCCGATGGCGATACTGGATACGGTGGGCCGATGAATGTGCGCCGGACAGTCCAAGGGTAAGTTGCTTTTGTCAGTCTGTTTACTGAGCCGTCGCTGACTGGGAGTAGATTTGCATTGGCTGGAGCTGCCGGCATCATGATTGAAGACCAAACCTGGCCAAAGCGTAAGAACATCCTACCGACACACAGACTAGTTACTATACATGCTCACACAGCAATTACAGGCTGCGGCCATACCACCGGCAAGAGCGTCGTATCCAGGAGCGAAGCCTACGCCCGCTGGCAAGCCGCCGTCGACGCCCGCAACGAAGGCCAAGACATCTGGATCCTCGCTCGCACTGACAGCCTCATCCACGGCTACGACGAGGCTCTCACCCGCGCCCGCAAGGCCGTTGAAATTGGCGTCGACGCCATCTTTGTCGAGGCCCTGCCTGACCGCGAGACTATGGCCCGCTTGCGCAAGGATCTCGACTTCCCCGTCTTTGCCAACATCATTGAAGGCGGCAAGACGCAGAATCTGTCAGCCAAGGAGCTGGGCGAGCTGGGGTACTGTGGTGTTGCGTATCCGTGGTCGCTGGTGGCGGCTAAACTAAAGAGTATTCGGGAGACGTTGGAGGGGATCAAGGGTTCGTTTCTTACGGGGGCGCCGCCTGTTGTGCTTTCGTATGCCGAGGTCTGTGATGGGGTTGGGTTTAACAAGTATTATGAGCTGGAGGAGAGGTATCAGTATGAAGGCAGGCCTAATGGTGCCAATGGCCACCAGTGGAAGGATTGAAGGTCTTAGGATAGCAAGTTACTGCTGAGAGCCATACTGTGGAAAGTTCAAACCATTGCATACATCATTGTGTTTGGAATACATATGTCCCTCTGATTGTATACTCTTGCCATCTCACCCTATCCATCCTGGTGCATCCCACATCTAAAATCTTCATGCCGGTGAAAAGAGGACATGATTCGCTCCCTCATTTCCACCACTGTACCGTGTATGCCCATCACAGGCAACGAACATCAGAGTGAATACCATGCAAACTCCTATTCTGGCTGCCCCCGGATCGGCATCCTAGCGGTCATGCCTCGTCCGTTCTCCCCACTCCGTCCAAGTGGCCCCCACGGCAAAGGCCGGATAAGGGCGGTCCGCTGTCGACATCGACTCTCATCGCTGTCAAAGGTCAGCAGCTATCATCAGCTTCACATTCCCAAACTCGTGAATCCGATGTCGGCCGTGATCCTTCGTCCTTAAACAGTAAATTCGACTCCATAGTTCCTTTCTAGAGTAGAACAAGCAATTCATCTCGTTGGTGTCCAACATGCCATCAACAATCGACAGTCACACCTTCCATGTCGCCCTACTACCAGGTGACGGGCAAGGGCCCAAGCTTGCCTCGTATGTGGAACGGACCTTGAATTTGATCCAGCACATCCGCCGAGATGTTTCATTCAACATCTCCACTCACGACTTTGGAGGGGCAGCTCTCACAGCAGGGGCTGGCACTTCACTACCACCATCGACAATAGATAGCTGCCGACAGTCCGATGCCACCATAATCTGCCAGTGCGGTGATCCTCGGTATGGCATCAAGCCAGAAGAGGGCCTGTTGACTCTGAGACAGGAGCTGGGCGCGAGCGTCAATGTCCGACCAGTCAGGTTCCCCTCATCACAGGTGGTCCAGCAGAGTGCCTTCAAGGCAGAAGTCGTCGAGCAGCTTGACATTGCCTTCTTTCGAGACCTCACTGGCGGGGTCTACTATGGACCCAAGCAAGAAGCAGGAGAGGACGGCGAGGCATACGACATGACCAAATATTCCCGCCAGACGATTCAGAGGTTGGCGCGGCTGGCTGGCACGTATGCCATGCAGTTCACTCCACCAAAGCCAGTCCACTCCATCGACAAGGCGAATGTTATGGCGACATCGCGGTTATGGCGGTCCGTGGTCACGGAAATCTTTTCACACGAGTTCCCCCAAGTGACACTCCGACATGTCTTGGTAGACACGGCAGCTATGCTGCTTGCGTCTGATCCTCTCAGCTTGAACGGCGTGGTATTGGCTGAGAACATGTTTGGCGACATTCTCTCTGACCAGGCTGGTGGGATCCTTGGATCACCAGATATTTTGGCATCAGCTGCCGTGTCCTCGATTGACCCCTCCTCAACATCACCGGGAATATTCGAGCCGTTGAATCTCAAGCCTCGGGAGAAACTAGTCAACCCACTTGGCGTGATACAGGCTATTGGCCTGATGCTAGAGCTGTCTCTGGGTCTGACTGCCGAAAGCAACGCCCTTTCCAAGGCTATTCGTCGCACCTTGGATCCCGTGGAACTGATTGGGTCAGATAGAAGGACCGCTGACCTTGGCGGCACAGCCACAGCAGACGAGTTCATGAATGTCTTGCTGCACAACCTCGACTACTATCTCGAGGCTGTCAACTCTGCCCAGTTAGCAGCCCCCTCTCCAATAACAAGTCAACCATCATCACCAGCCCTCACTGTAAAACGCCGACCGCTGAGTGTCATTGAGAAGATCCTCACTCACGCCGCCGTAGGTCTCACTAAACCCCACGTCGACACCGGCGACATGATTTGCGTCAAAGTCGACTGGACAATCACATCCGAGCTCCTCTGGGGAGGAATGGAGAAGACATACGACCAAATGGGCCGTCCTCGGCCCTTCCGCAATGACAGACTCTGGCTCGCTGTCGACCATACTGTCGACCCGCGCTCAAACCACCTGCCCCGGCAGCAAGGTCTGATGGCCAAAGCGGAGCGGTTCCGTCGGGAAGCCAAGATCATCGACTTTCTGCCCGCAAACACCAGCATCATGCATACGGATTTCACTAGAGAACGGGCTCAACCAGGCCGTATCGTCGTGGGCAGTGATTCGCATACTTGTTCAGCGGGGAGCATGGGGTCCTTTGCGGTTGGGTTTGGTGCGGCGGATGTGGTCATGCCCATGGTGACGGGCGAGACGTGGTTCCGCGTGCCTGAAGTCTGCAGGATCAACTTTGTGGGCAGCTTGCCGTTTGGCGTGGGCGGCAAGGACGTCATTCTTCATATCCTGGGTCTCTTCAAGCGCAACACCATTGCTTTCCAACGGGCTGTCGAGTACGGCGGCCCAGGCCTCAAAGAACTCTCCATGGATGCGAGATTCGCTATAGCAAACATGAACACGGAGTTTGGAGGTATGGGCGCCTGTTTCGAAGCAGATGAAGAAACAGCGGCGTGGATCGCGCGGCGCCAACATCCAGAACACCGAGAAGGAGGGCTATATTTCCGCGCAGACCCTGATGCCGTCTATGTCGAGGAGAGAACCATTGATCTGTCCACTGTCAGCGTCACCATGGCACTCTATCCTAACCCGGACAACGTAGTACCTGTGTCGGAAAAGGCAGGCATGAAGCTCGACGGATGCTTCATCGGTGCTTGCACGACCACAGAGGAAGACCTGATCATTGGCGCGTTGGTTCTCGAAGCTGGTCTTCGTGCAGGACTTCGACCGAAGCCCCAAGGAAAACGGCGCGTCACGCCAGGTAGTCTCATCATCATCAAGAACCTAGAACGTGCGGGTATGTTGGAAATCTACCGCCAAGCTGGCTTCGACATTGGTGCCCCAGGATGTTCCTACTGCGTCGGGATCAACGACGTCGATGTCGCCGGAGAGGGGGAAGTCTGGTTGTCCTCTCAGAACCGCAATTTCCGAAACCGCATGGGCAAGGGCAGTTTTGGAAACATTACCTGCGCGGCTGCCGTTGCGGCGTCGAGCTTTGACATGGTGGTGACTGATCCCAAGGAGCTGTTGGCTCAGTTGGATAGGGAGAGATTGGAGGGTTTGGTGAAGGGGTTTAGGGCGAGTGGTGAAGGAGTTACCCTGGCGATAAGCGAGCCTGAGCCGGAAGCTGCGTTGAATACAGTGCCGAAGATCTTTGATGAGCCATCAGGCGCCGACGACGCTGCGTCTCAGTTCCAGCCAAGCATGCTGGTACGATCAAAGGTGCAAAGATTTGGAGAAAATGTTGATACGTGAGTTTCACCGAATTCAAACAAACCTGGAGACGGAATTGGGGAAGTGCTAATCTATCATAGAGATGCCATCATTCCCGCCGAGTTCATGCCTGGAGTCGATAATGCCGACCTAGGCAGCCATTGCTTCCAGTACTTTCGTCCAACTTTCCGAGAAAAGGCGTCTGCAGGATCTCGTGTCATGTAAGCTGTCATCCCATAAACCTGCCACATGGAAATGTACTTATAACATATAGCGTTGCGGAGCACGGTTTCGGCAGCGGATCATCACGAGAAGACGCCGTCAGAGCATTACAAGGCGCCGGGGTAGAAGCAGTCATTGCCAAGGGCTTTGCATTCATCTGTACGTGAAACCAACTTTTCTTGTTTCCCAATCATGACTAACGTTTCACAGACGAGCGCAACCAACTGAACATGGGCCTCTTCAACATCAAGTTGCAAGACGACGAGTTTTACCAGAATGCACAAGAGGACTCGGCCATTGTTATCGACAAGGAGAGCAAAACTGTCCAGATTGAAGGCTACGACAAGGTATTTCATTATCGGCAGTCTGATATTGAAGAAACTCTTTTACAAGCTGGAGGCGTGTTGCCCTTGTATAGCAAGCTCGGGAGCAAGGTCTTCCGCAGCATCACGATGCCTAGGGTAAAGGCTGGGAAGAAGAAGGCACAGAATGGAAATGGAAAGCAGCAACCAGTGAGTTTATGCGGTAGCGGTAGTGATTCGGGTATCGACTGGTAGATAGAATAATAGACAAGTGACAAACACCAGGGCCTGTCTAAGTAGTCGCCAGCTGTGAAGATTCTCTTTACGTTGAAAGACAATAACTCCGCAAGGGAAGACTTAGGGGCTTGAGGGTTACGTGAATAATAATAGTATTAAAAACAAAAGGATAATCCCACCCAAACAAGAGACTGATGCTGGAAACGCTAGTATCTCCAAACAATAAAATGGGGGCTTGAGCATAATGATACTTTACATGACGAGAATGTTAACTCTGCCAGCACGGCTTTTCAGTTGGACATGAGTGATCTTGTTCGTCAATTTGGAAGAACATTTCGGAGAGTCCTTTGGGTCCGAGTACATACCCTAGAACGACAAGGGACCATGTCACTCGGACAAGAAGTTCTGTGAAAGGTCTTCCTGTACGGGCAGGCTGGTCTCTGCCACTCTATATCTGGATTTCTAACGTGTTTTTCAATTTAAAACTTCATGATAGTTCTGCAGCGGTTGAGAATTCTTGAGTCAGGGTGATAGTGAGTATGAGTTGAAGCCTGCCCCAAGTGACAACCTGACCTTGATGAGACGATGGCTGACTAGCCCAGCAAAACTGTACGAGGTTCATCCCCGCTTGAAGAATCAGGGTGGTGAAAGTTAGTCGATATTACCTGTCGGGTTCCTATATTGCAGACGCGCAGGCCCCCAGCTCAGGTCGGGCCATTCATATCCTCTCCGGCCCGGACAGTGCCGCCCTTATCCGACCAAACAAACAACCTTTGACGCAACCACGCTACTATGGGAAATAGCGTCATGGCTAGTTCGCTTTGGTCGAGAATGCTTCTCACATGCCAAGTTTCAGAAACCTCCCCGTGCGTTGGGTTTTCAAAATCATGGTGAGGATGCTGTCCTCGAGCAAAGGCCGAGAGAGGTTAGGTATCGCAATTGGGCAACACTGTTCTTATTCAAAGAAAGCGAGAGGGGTTTGGGTTTAGACGTGAGGTCAGAAAAGAAAAATGGCCATGCAATCAAGCTTGCAATACATTCCATCCTACTGGCTGCTGTTGGGGGGTGAGCCCACTCCAAGAGGTCTAGCTAAGACGTTCCCCCATACCGAAAAAGGATAGATGATCAGGCCAGTCCTAGCGCCAACGTGGGGTAATTCCGGGGAAATCTCGTACACGGGGTAGGAAGCAACCATCTTCGTCCTTTCTTATTTATATCAGGATGGCCTGCTGTCCCTCCAGCGGGCTTTTCTCTGCAAGATCACCACCATCTCTGAGCCCAACACAACGTCTACAACAAAGATCAACCCATCATGTCTGGGACTCAAACCCATACAGCTTCTGCGGGCCTGGCTCGCGATGTCGAAGACAAGGGCGAGTTTCACCACCTGGAGAAACACCAGACCACTGGCATGTTCTCGACGGTGGATGACACTGGAGCGCACAAGAAAACTGATCCGGCTGAGATCAAGCTCGTCCGCAAGCTTGATTGGATTATCCTTCCCATTCTCTGGATCATGTACTGGTTCAACTACCTTGACCGCAACGCAATCACCGTTGCTCGACTTGACAATCTGGAGAAGGAGCTCAAGCTCACCTCGACAGAGTACCAGACCTGCGTTTCTATCTTGTTTGTTGGATATATTCTCGGGCAGATCCCCTCCAGTCAGTAACTTACCAAGTCTCCTCTCTCAGCCTCGCTCACTCGTATCCTAGACATGTTGATGACCCGAATTCGCCCTTCGCTGTTCATGGCCGGTGCCATGGCTCTCTGGGCAGTTGTCAGCACCCTCACCGCCGTCGCCAAAGACTTCAAGGGCCTTTTACTCACCCGATTCTTCCTCGGTATCACCGAAGCCCCTTTCTATCCAGGCGCGCTCTACATGCTTTCCATCTTCTACACTCGCAAAGAAATCGCCACCCGAATCTCTATACTCTTCACCGCGAACATCTGCGGCACCGCCTTTGCCGGCCTCATCGCCATTGGAGTGTTCCAGATGGGTGGCGTCGCAGGCCTATCAGGCTGGAGATGGCTTTTCATTCTCCAGGGCATCATTACGTTTGTCCTCGCCATCGTATCGGCTTGGATCTTACCGGATGAGCCCCTGAATACTCGCTGGCTTTCAGAGGAGGAGCGTCAGCTGGCCCATGATCGGATTGCAGTCGATACCGTCGAGAAGAAGACGAACACCACGACCTGGGCTGGTCTTGTTGATGCGTGCAAGGATCCCCGGCTTTGGGTCCTTGTCTTTATGCAGCATTTCCACATGGCCGCCAGCAATTTCAAGAACTTCTTCCCTACTATTGTTGGAACGCTTGGGTTTGGACGTAATGCTACGCTGGCGTTGACCTGTCCCCCGTACATTGTGTCTGGCATCGTGTGCATTGCTTGGGCAGCAAATTCAGGTGAGCGCTTGCGAGATTTGTTGAAGGGATAGCTACTGATCATATGCAGGACGGATGAATGAGAGGACCTGGCACATCACAGTCGCCAAAATCCTCGCCATCTTTGGCTTCGTCTTGGCCTGTACAACAATGAACGTTGGAGCACGATACTTTGCCATGTGTGCCTTTACCAGTGGCGTTTACGCTTGCAACAGCGTTATCCTGGGCTGGGTTTCCAGCACCTGCGGGCAGACAAAGGAGAAGAAGGCCATTTCGTTGGCCATTACCAATACCGTCGCCACACTTGGGCCTATATACACCCCGGTAAATCTTGCAGCAACTCCCAATGTCTGAGCCTGCCGCTGACTGATCGTAGTATCTCTGGCCAAGCTCAGATGAACCACGATATGTGATTGCCATGTCTACTAGCGCTGCGTTTTCTGCTGCGTCGGCCATCCTGGCTTGGGTCATGAGGTGGATGCTGATTCGCGAGAACCGCAAGATTAGGCAGACGGACAATGAGGCTAGGCTCTTTTATGCTTACTAGAAGTGTTCATGGGTGCGAGAGTTTGCTTGGGATCGAGGGTGGTTGTTGGTGTAGATACGTTCCCTGCCTCACAGTTCGCTCGAGCAAGGCATCTAGTGTCTTTTTAGTCTGTCTTGCTGGCACACCGACATTAAGAGAGGGAGATATTTGGCAACACGAGCGAGGACTAGAAAGTGAAAATCATGCTAATGAACCAAATGGCCACTAACCAAGGCACGTTCTCCTCCATTTAACCAATCTGAGAACTCTCTACACGGTGGTGGAGCTACTGCGGCGGGCGATGAGCAGTGGTTGAATATATCATTGATGTAGTATCGTTTAGTCGTCAGTCATTGTTTGAATCTTTCTCTCAGCTGTAGGTCGGGGGTGACGAGTTTGTTTGTTTGAGGATGCGGTCTTGGACTCCGCGGGGTGGCTCGGGTTATGAAGTTGCTTTTTATGTTCTTTTTTATGCTCGAAGGTCTACGCCAGGGAAGAATTGACATAGGCTCCGGAAGTAAATAATTGTCTGAAGATTTACACATACGCGTGTCGTTTTGATATCACTTCAAAAACGCCTGAAGCTTTCTTGCAGACTTGGATTGGCTTTACACAATACCATTGCTTGTTTGCGAGCACTCATAGGTTAAGTAAGCCTGTTAGGATTGATGAATGCACCATGAGTGAGTTTCGGATTAGATTTATTCACGTTATTCTCTCGAAATTTATTCGCTAGCACTACTGTTGAACGAATATTCTTGTCAGGCTTTCGAGTTTCCCATTTGTCATAATCCGTTCCTCATCAGTGTAGACAATGAACAATCGCGTATTGGATGTCATGGTTGACGGCGATATTGGCTCTAAGCCGTGAGAAAGATTGCCATCAACATCACTTTGCTTTTGCAAGATTGATATTGATTCATGAGCAATGTATCGCCTCTTCTCTCCCAACCCCTGTGCACAAGCCCTTGTATGCCCGGTGTCGGTCATATGTACCATTAATAAGCGGCAGGTTGCCACAAAGTTCGGTACAAATTATTCGCTCACTCAAGAGTGCCTTACTCAGGATCCAGCCTGATTAAGCTCGATGACTCTCATGCCACAGGTTGAGCCATGAATACATATGTCAGCTTGTTAGCACTGAATCTAGCCTTTGCTGCATACCAGAGACGGTTGCCTAGAGTGCACATTGGCTAATCCCTGCGTGAAGAACGGGGATTGCCACTAGATTAGCGTGAATGGCGAATATGCCTCTCCATGGACGGGCTCTTATTCTTGACCGAAAACTCTGCTCACATGCTCAGCCTCCAAGTCACCGCTAATCATTGTTCTTTCAGGCCTGGTCAGAGTCACATTGGCATTTGAGGGTGGGCCGGAAGCGTGATTTCTTGCAGACGAGGCGTTCTCCCTACATAAGCGCCCTGGTCACATTGTCTCGTGCATGCAGCTGTGACTGCAGATTCGCACTTTCGGTGACCGGTTTCGGCTCAAGCGTCACGCGCCGGGCGGGGACAAGAGCAAAGGACTTATCCACCGGGGTGATCCAACCAGCTATTTGACATGGCTGTTTGTTTTGTTTCCCGCAAGCCCACTTCTTCCTCGTTGAACCGTCCCCACCGGTTCGTCGCAAGATTTTCCCCTCGCTTGCCTTCCGACTTGACGATACAGTAGGCTAAGCCAGATCGTGGTGAATCCAGCGTCGGTAGCAACAATGACGCGAGCTCAGGAGTCACTCGCGCACCGTGGCTCTACTGCCCCGTCCTCAGGCGACAACCGGCATTCACGACAGCTTGATGGTGCCCCCTCTCCAGTGGCTTCGTGTGAGGAGATATCAGTCCCAACCGAACGAACACCATTGTTGCAAAGTCATGCTGGAGATGGCGAGCTTGGCCCACCCCGTGCGTCAAACGGAAAGTCCAACACCTATGTCTCTAGTACCGCTATTGAGGCTAGTGATGATGATGATAATGATGCCTCAGGGGATCGGCAGTTCATGAGCGAGACAGATTATAAGCGCTTCATAGCTATATTCCTGGTCCTCATGCTCACGCATTTCATAGCCTGTTTTGATGGCACCATCATGGCATCTAGCCATCCTGTGATTACCTCCTATTTCAAGTCCTCAAATAGCGCATCTTGGCTGTCCACCGCATTTCTTCTTACTAGCTCAGCCTTCCAGCCTGTGGTTGGGAGACTGTCAGATGCAGTTGGTAGAAAGCCCATCTTTGTGGGAGGGTTGAGTATATTCACCTTCGCAACGATATGGTGCGCCCTGGCCCAAAGCATGTTGAGTTTTATCTTTGCGAGGGCTGCTTGCGGTCTGGGGGCTGGCAGCATGATGTCCATGGTCAGCATCATGATGAGCGATTTGGTCCCTATAGAGTTAGTAGTTCTCCTTGTAGAAAATTAGCAAAGAATCAACTACTGATCAATCGATCTAGGCGACGAGGAATATACCAAAGCTATGTCAACATCACATACGGAATAGCTTCATCTTCCGGTGCAGCCATGGGTGGGTTCATGGCGGACACCTTGGGATGGCGCTGGGAGTTTGGCATCCAGGTCTTTCCCTTGATCATATGTCTGTCTATTGCTATGTTCATTATTCCTAGCGATCTTGGGCTACAGAGCAAGGGCATTTCCGTCGCACAGGCAATGTCATCATTTGACTTTGTGGGCTCGTTTTTATTGACAACATCCACAACATTCTTGATTCTGGGATTGGTGAGTCAGACAATGCTGTTTCGACAACAAATTGGAATTAGCTGACAGTAACTGCTTAGACCGTCGGTGGCAATATATTGCCATGTAAGTTTCTGACAACCTGAATAATCCTACGTATTATTTACTGACAATAACAGGGTCACATCCCCTTACGGTGTCCTCTCTCGTCATCTTCGGCATATGCTTCCCGGTCTGTCTCTGGGTCGAGAGTAGGGCCAAGCTTCCGGTCATGCCGTTGAATCTCTTACACAGCAGGCCTCGAGCTAACATCATATTTTCCAACTTCGTGGCCGCCTTTCTCATGAACGCAATACTCTTCAACGCCCCCTTATACTTCCAAGCTGTGCTGTTGACCTCTGCGACAACATCTGGCCTGTATCTCGTGGTGCCGACTGCAGTTGCTTCCCTGACTGGGACCGCCACCGGGTTTCTCGTCACATACACTCGCCGTTTGAAATGGCCTATCATGAGCGGGACAATCTGCTATCTTCTTGGAACATCTTTGATGTGCTGTATGCACCGTGGCCTGCCCAGTGTAGTCTATCTTCTTCTTCTCTTCCCCTGCTCAGCAGGGCAAGGTTTCCAGTTTCCCGGTTCATTCATTGCCGTTCTCGCAGCCTCAGCACAAGAGGAACAGGCTGTGGTTTCCTCCACACTGATGCTTTGGAGATCCCTCGGGTCAGTTCTTGGTATTGGCGCCACATCGCTCATAGTACAAAACTCGCTTCTGAGCTTCCTTCATCAATACATTACGGTGAATCCTGCTGAAGGTAGAGACGAAGTGTGGAAAGCTGCAATCATCGAGCGTGTTCGAGGATCAATCGAATCTGTGGCCAAACTCGACAAAGAAATAGTTGGCACCGCTGGAAAGATTGTCAAGGAGCAAGTTATCCAAAGCTATGCAGACGCGATACGAATCACATTCCTGTGTTGCGTAGGGCTTGCCGTAGTGAATTTCTTTTTGATCGCCCCTATTAAACTTCCTAGACTTGGTTCGAAGAAGTAGGGAGTGGGTAGAGAGATAGCCACAGCGGTGATCCTAATGGAGGGCTTGGAAAGAGATACTACTCAAAAGAGCTCAGCCGTGGAAGATGATAAAAGTGCCCGTCTGTGGTAGGTAGCCAAGCCCTAGATTTGGGTTTGGAGTTGGTGATGAGGGATGCTAAAAGAGTTTCTTGGGATAGATGGAATATGGCATTGCTTTGTTATTACATTGGATTTCCTGTCATGACGTACTCAAATTGCAAAATTGGAAGATATAGCTACAGTTGGATTTCGTAAACTTCAACAAATAAATGGAAGGAATCATCATGAAGGCTGGCAGTGGCAATTGATACTCTGTGCTGTTCCATATGGTGGTGGGACATTGGCAAGTGTGTTGGCAGTTTCGTGGTGATGAGCAACAAGAATGATTTCTGGCAGAGCTATAGGTATCTACCGGAGGCTAGCAAATCAATATCTTTTCATTCTCTCATCTTGCAAAACGATAGCTTGATACAAGGCGCGGTTCATTTGGGAGCTGTCCGATGACGACTGCGGCGCCTGGATGCACGTGGCATGTCTATATCAGCTGCCACGAACCCAATATGAAATCAGGCTGGGATATCAAGGCTACAACCGGGGGAAATCAGGTTTGCTCCGTTGGGCGCTGCTTTCACAGAGTCCATCTCGGGCAGTGACACGACACCTGGCTAAAGCGCATTGATCGTGATGTTTTGATAGTATCTTGACGGTCGGTTGTACAGGAAAGCGCGACAGATCATACCTTCTGGACTCTCATCGGAGCCTTTCGAGAAGATGGTTATGACTTCATGCTTTGAAGCACAATGACGAGTTGGCACTTCTGTGCAGGCAGAGAGTGCTCGTGTCTCTTATCAGTCAATGCCCTTGACAAGGCCACCACTCAACTCACCATCCGGCAGTAGTCAGACTTCTACAGCTGATACCTACAGTTTCATCATCCTGTATTTAGGTCCGCCACCAGGCTAAACTCTTAACCATCGGGGCCGCTAAGAGGAAGTACACGCTGTTGGCAAGGAGTCCTGCATGAAACCAGCGGCTAAGTATCGCCTGCAGAAGTAACCGTGATGAGTGCATTTTCGCATTGACATGCATCCTGAAGAGGCAAGAGTCCCACCTACTGCTCTCTTTACAAACTCTCGAGTTCTCGATAAGCAAATGCGGCCGATGACACGACCGGAGAGCTTGACGGAGATCTGTCAATGCTAAAGCCCTGTATGTTGAAGTGTCTTAAAAGCAAGTCTTAATAGAAGAAAAGCAAGCACGTGAGATATGGATTGGCATCTGTATGGCCTTGATCAATGATGGGGGAAGCCCTAGTAGAAGCGGCATAAATGACCCACTAGAGAAGGCTTTCGCATGATAACCATCGTTCCATAGAATGTTTGACACATGGCCAAGGGCATATGTCGGTTTGGAGTGGAGATACGAGCCCCAAGGCGCACTCGGTATTGGTTAAGGGGCAACAAGGCAGCTGACCTTCGACTTGTCTTGCACATTGCATTGATGAAGTTACGTAGGAGGGCGTAATGTCTTACTTCTGCTTCAATGGCATGGCCAGCGAAAACAATTTACAGACTGCTCTACATTGAATGAGCACCTATGACGCAACGCTTCCGTTTAATTCATATAGGCACTACACTTCCATCGCTGCTCTGAATCTGCCGTCCCTGTGTGTCAGCGTCGCAATCCTTCACAGACAAGGCTGGTCCTTCACTCATTTGCTATGGAGTCTTCGACGTCAACCCATACGCGAGATCTCACCAGGCTGAGTTACGATGAGGAGTCATACCAACCGTCCCCGCCATCCTTCCGATTCCAAGCATGGAACATTTGCAAGGAATTCGGATGGGAGTCGCTCCAAGAGAATCGCCAGATGGCTAGATTCATCGAGCAACATATCTCGGTCAGGTTCAAGGCCTTTTTCACAGTCTCGCCAGTAATGCCAATCAACACGTCTCCGGCGCTCGCCATTCCACGGTCTGTAAGTCAATTACCTTACCCGCAGATACATTTCTACTCTCGAGCGTCAGACCTTGCCTTATTCTAAAACATAGCTAATGATGACACAAAGATACGTATTACATTGACTCACGCCACTGGACATGACTGGGAGAAGGATGTTCAGACCCTTGCCAAAGTTGAGCTGCCAAAAATAGTAAAAAAGTATTTTCGAGCAAAGCTCAACATCAAGCTGGACTTTTATAATGCGTATGCAGAAGGCGAGGACTTTGAAAACGTGCAGCTGGGGAGGGCGCTGGCATCGCGCTCGCTGCAGCAGAGACTTCGCGGTTTTCTTCAAAGAGTGAAGCAGAAGGCTTCTGATGACATCCCCCCTGCCTTGTAAGTATCATATGTCTGAGCAAATCATGCGTGACCTATGTGACTGATTGAGTGTCTAACTATTCTTAGGCAAGATGGAAAGCAAGGAACACGAAGAGTGATTCTTCGAACAGATGGTATGACCTAAGCATTGGCACTTGAAGTAGTGAACATCTTATCCACTGACCTCATGTTAAGCAGGATCTCGCTATGACCCCGAGCGGGTGAATTCAAAGAGATTATCATTTTCTAGCTTTGCGTCTTCATCCTTGTCATTCCGAAAGAAGGAGAAACACGGAAATGAGTCCAACGTCGGGTCACCCCGGTCCATTGAAAAGATGCCTATCCCTCCATCGACCCCAATTCCTCCATTGACCCCAACGCCTCGATTCGATTTGACAAAAGAGGCCGACGACGGATCTACATTTATCGAAAACCGGCCTCGAACTGCTGAAACCCTTCAACGGCCAGTGAAGACCCCTACTTGTACGAACACAGGCCAGACCATCCAATATGCAGTGAAAGATGGGGTTTCGAATCTTGTCAGGGCGCTTGCCTCGGGGTCGTTCATGGCAAGCGTCATGCTTCCTGCCTCACCATGTGCTCTCCTCTTTTATCAGCTTCCCGACAATATTATCCAGCTCACCATGCTATCCAGGGCAAGGGACGAGGATGGCAAAATGTCAGTGTCAATGTTTGGCAGCTCTCCCATTGCCAGAGCTACCAGACGAACACCACTTCAAGCGCACATGAAGAACGGAAATTTATCATTATTCTTTCAGAAGACGGCCTCGAGGAACGGGCAGCCCCCGGTTCTCGCCCAGTGCAAGCTGATTCCAAAGGGAAGTGAACAAATATCATGGGATGTAAACAATCTTGAGTTTCCCGACGCTGTGAAATTGCACCCACGCGCGGAATACTTCCCAAGCAACATTCTTCTCCTAGAATCTGAGGTGCGACCCGGTGACCTCATCGCGGCTCGCGCAGACAAAGACAATGGAGGCTGGCTCATGACACGCCCACCGGAGTCCATGCCAGCCAATCCTGAGGCCCATTATTTTACCACCACATGTTTTCAGCCAGACTCTTTCCGTATTCGCAGTCTAGCAAAGAACGGCATTGTTCAGTGCCAGGTGGAAGGACTCCGTACCTGGGGAGCGCTCAATCGAGCTGACATGAGTCCGGGGTCACATGAGATGCAGAGAAAAGACCTCGAATGGCATGGGAAGCCACCTAGCTCAATGCCTGTATCGTGTCGCCTTGTCGAGGGACATGGGACTGCAGGTATTATTGCCGTGCTTTCCCGCTCGGCCGATGATGGCATCTACCTTTTCCGGGGTCATCCTTGGTGGGATGAGCTGCAGGCCCCTGATTTGGTCTGCAGAGTGAAGAGGGGCTCACATTTTATATACCTCAAGGATTGGAGAAAAATTGTCTTCTTGTCTCCCCAGAATCAACTTTCTTGGGTCCCCCTTGAAGTTGAAGGCGACAACACCATCCTTGTTGGGAGCACCGCCTCGATCACCAACGGCGATCCTCTGGCAATGTTGTTGAATGTGGGCTTACATCCAGCTTGATTCCCGCACTTTTCTATACCCGTTCCTTTTTTTTCTTATCTATTTCCCTTTATGATGTAAGAAAACCCAGGTACTGTGAACCCTGGGATAGGCTGGCTCTGTGAAGGTTCAGCAACTGTCAGTGACCAAATTTGGAAGATTTCTTTGATGATTTTATAAGTAACGAATAATGAGAAGTACGAATTTTCTTAAACCGCACGGATGTCTTATGTGAAGTCCACCCCAGTATCCTACCACATTTCCCACTGCTTGCCCGACAGTTGGGGATGGTGAATCTTAGAAATATCTTGCATTTTGATGCTAACAAGGCCGTTGACAATGTTTTCTCTCCATGAAATCTCACTTGGAGCGGCCAACATCCAAGCCGCAATCGCTTTCCACCGGCAAGAGATGAATACTGGACAGTATATCGACCCAGATCGGATTGTGAGCAGCGGGTTCTGCGTTATATGGCTGCATACGCTGAATACCTGTCCACTTTTGCAATGCACTATTGTCTGCAAAACATCCCGCCCCAACGCATAAATAAGCCGCATTCCTGCGAATAAGATGGCAAGTCATGCGTATGGGTTGCATGCATGAGTGGGAAGCTGCCCACCAACATTCACTTAAACTCACCGTGGGCATCACTAATCCATAACATCCGTTTTGACTGTTCATGTTGGCAGCGGCGAGGATTAAGGGTCCTTCAGTTAGAATAAAACGTCCATAAAAGTAAAAGAAACAAGGTAAGAGCCTTCGTCTTCTGTTACATTTGGGGTAGCAATCACGACGAGTTGTCGGAAAGCGCCATTTATTGTTGCGGACACATTCAATGCAATGCACCAGGTGACGCTGCAAATGCGCCACATGATCTCCACCTCGGACAATCATCGTTACCCCTTTCTTTTTCTATTTCCGAGCTTCTCTAGCCTGTGCGGGCTATGCTACGACTGATATCGAGTACCTGTAATACGCTTTTGTATTGCGTGTGCTCAAAAAGCCCCTACTCATCAAACGTTAGGTAATCCAAGCCTCAAGTACCCAGTTCCTCGGACGTTAGTTTTCGTGCCGTTTCCATCATATTGTCGATTTGAACATTCCTCTGCCCTTGGGTGCCCTGCTGCTGGCTATTATACGGAACCTCCTTCGTTTGAATTTGTAGACGGGTCGGCATATCGGTCAACATGTTCGCGGAAGTCGCCCTCAAGCTTCTTCGATAAGGCGGGTAAAAATGGCTCCTCATTATCAGCGACTTGCACAAGAAGACACTCCTTAAAATTGAATTCCGGAAGGCTCTGAAAGAAGGCATTGTATTTTGTCTTCATTGCAGCCTCGAGGTTGGGGAAAAATATCGCCATCTGGGCAATCATGATCTTCCGTTTTGCAATAGTTCTGCAGGATGACGTGAAGAGGAGAATACCGTTAAGACGATGGATGAGACGCTTGGTCTCCTCATCGGTATCGTTGGATTCGTGGGCGAGGTTGTTGAGCTCCCACTGGTCATTCTGTACTATAATTAAGAAAAAATAGCATGTGATGCAAGGAAAGTATCCTGACCAGGATGTCATAAAGCTCGGTGTCACACGTGCACCACGTGATGTACAACTAAGATGAATTGTTTCCAATCATACGAATCGCTTTATAGCTGTTTCTTGTATTCCCACTTTGCCCTGGCAACTCGCTCTCTCCGCCGCCCCGAAATTCGATGTTGATGATATCGTGGTGATTGGGGTCAGTTTCATTTCGAGGGCTATGTCAGTTACTGAGGAGACTTCGGCCATCAAGGAATACGGTGTACTCGGATTCATCCACGCAGATGGTTTCTAAGAAAAAGTGGGCCCCAAATACAGATGTTTGCTTGGCAATGTAGAGATAACACCTCGAGGGACATCGGGGCCTCGTACGAGGAAGGGAACGTTAGTATCACTAAACTAAGGCAACGTCTTGCCAGCACCTGCACGGTGCAGGCCCATATGATAACCATTATCGGCAGAGAATACAACTAATATGCCGTCAGCGCAACATTCCAATATAAAAGCGACTTAGTTTTACTTACTGTAAGTATTGTCCAAGATGTTTTTCTCCCGTAGTAACTCAACTACGTCGTGCACAACCTCATCTACGCCTTGAAGCGTCCGAGCTCGACGGTGGTAGTGCTCATCTTTGCGATGCATGCTGCCTTGCGGCTAAGTTGCTTAACAAATGAAAGTTTCGTGTCACAGCCTAAACACCTGAAAGTCACATGCTCCCATAAACCCCATACAAATCACCCAATCCCGAAACACACCACGTGCATGTCGAATACGGTCAGTTCGGCAACACTCAACTTCACAAATGCACAAGTATATAGGTACACATTCGTTTGAACTTTCATAGACTCTGGTTATCTCAGCTTTCAATACAACCTTGTTACACTGAACACTTCCATTCAGCTTATCACTAGGTGTGATATCTTCTCTTCTTTCAGAATCACACCCTAACCCTACCTACGAACATGCACCAGGGCGCCTTTAGTTTATCACTTGGGAACCGTCACATTAAAGCCCATTTATTTAAGATGGAGACCTGCTATAATGGTGCGACAGAGCTCAACCCTCAAGTGCATATACGAGTTTCTCTCCGCTAATAGGACGCATCCAATCTTCACTTCTTCCGTGACTAGCTGATCGAGCGGAAACCTGATTTTTGCCAAGCAACTCAAACCCATCAGGGACAACTCGCTCCAATCCTCCAGGCATTAAACGAATGGGATTCGGTTGAAGTTTGAGCCGTTCATTAGAGCTCAAATCGCTGAAAAAGGCAGCCGCGAATGCGCGAGCAGCAGGATTTGCAGGCATAGTGGAACCTATCAGTAGCCCGTTCGTATTAGTATAACAAGGAGTAGGAATGATTGGCACTGTTGCTAGTGGGTAGCCTTACCATTATACTCAACCTCGACTCCGAGTCCTTCCCATACGGCCCCATACATAGGATTAACCCTCAGGCCATCAGCTCGGTACCTCCCACCGCTGGGCCCTCGGAAAACAGCGAAGTGTCCATCGCCTCTCACATTCTTGGCAAAAGTAGCATGAACCTTTGCTATTGTTTCGCCTTCAGAAATACAGTCTAAAGCATATTGAACTCCTCGTCCTCCGGTCGCATTTATCACAGCGTCAACCCAATATGAATCCTTGTAGTCGAAAAGGTCATCGTACGCATACGGAGGTTGTCTCAAGAACGCATGCTGTGAGGCTCTGGCAATACCGATCAGACGAACTTTCCTTGTCATCTGGCTGGCACAGGAATGGATGAGTTGCGCTGCGTAGAGCCCAAGTGACGTCGAGGAGCCGTATATCAGAATATGAATGGGTTCTTCGCTGTCCTTGGCGTCACTCGCAACCTCGTTCAGGTAACTGGATCGCAGACTCACGAATGGGCAAGGAAGCTTCAGTCTCGTAAATAGGGCCTGGGCAGCCGTGAGCCCACACATACTGATCGCTGAGGCTGACTCGAGCGACATCGAGGCCGGGATGAGCCAAAGCAAATCATACGGGACGACGATGTATTCGGCGAAGGCTCCTGGGCGATCATTGACTGACGCGGCTACAGTGAGACTCGAGTCAGATCCGAGGATCCATCTCGTCCAGCTTTCGCCAGGCAAAACAATCGAAGATACGCCGGAAATATCCACGTACCTCCTTGTAAAAATCCAGATACCCTTGCACCAATCGTTGTCCGACGGTCGCCGGACCCCCGTATATCTGGTGCTGTTCCAACGACAATGCCCGCGAAGTCGGTACCTATAACCCTAGACTTTTGCTTCGCAAGGGGCTGATAGGTATATAACGCATCGATAGGATTCAACGCTATGGCGTGAACACGTACAAGTACTTCGCCGTTCCCTGGGGTTGGGTTGGGGATGTCGCGAATAACAACTGTTTTAGTTGCTGGTTCAAGTAGGAGAGCTTTCATTCTGGCACTGCGACATTAATCTTTCGTGTTGGTACTGGGTAGTCTTGTTATTGGCTAAATACGGCCTTAAGTAGTCTCGGTAGGCCTGAGGTGATTAATAATACAGGTGGTGGTTTCGGGTTTGTCCGAGGTGCCGTAGCGGGGAGAAAGTCTTACTGATGCCCGCACCTGAGCAATTGCGAGATCGCCGCCGGTTCGCACGTGGGGCACAACAGTACCGAGGGTGAGATAAAATGGCTCTTCTTGCTCTTCGGTAAGGTACTTGAGCCTTACCGTCCTAAGCGTATGTTAGTAAGCATACTCAGCGTTTCTAGTAGTCGGTTTACATCTTGGCTCGCAACACGTTGTGGTTTGATGATAACCTTGGAACAACATAGGCGTTTCACCGTTAGCAGAGAAGACAGGTCGGTTGAAGTCATATACTCATGGGTCAACCTTTGCCGGAATAAGTTAATCTTTCACAAGCTTGGACATTGTGGATCTTGATCGTAGGCTCACCAAAGCATCGACATGGTCCCAACCCTTGGAGCTATATTGATATAGAGCCTTGCTGTAACCATTTATAAATTTGCCAATATCTGCAACCCATGATTAATCGAACGTCCCAGCTATTGAAGGAGGAAATCATACACTCGGTCCGATATCCAGCATTTTGTAACCAGATGGGAAGATAATTGTTATCCTCGCCCATCGAACGCCATTTCTGATAATTTCCCCTAGAGATTGTGGTCAGTCTGGGATTAGGTGTTTTAATATTTGAGATCTCATACCCTGGGTTTCGCACATGAGTAATATTGGTGTTGTAGCCGTGCTGGCCTCGAAGCAAGGATGCGCGACTGGGACAACAATTGGAAACGGTCGCGAAATGCTTGGTAAATGTAGTTCCTTCGTCCACGATGAAATTTTGCACGCTTTGCATGTAGTCCAACGAATTTAAATGAAGATCTTGATCGTCTGTAAAATTAAAGACAATATTGGGCCGTTAGAGTGTTGCAAGTTGGTAAAGCTGCAAAGCCTTGACGAACAAGAATTGCGATAAGTAGTAGATAACCGTCGTGAAACAGTCTTCATTAATATACCTAGAGCCTTTCCCTGCACATTACTGATCACGCGTTATTGGCAGAGTACAATTCAGGAAACTACTATGTTTCGCATTGATTAATTGGACATCCCAACAAATCAAGGATAATCAAAATCACCAATCGGAGCCAAATATTTTGCGAAATAACCATTCAGCTGCGGGTCGTTAGCATGCGAGGTACGTCTTTGGGATCTTTTAACGTAGGACTCGCCCACCCTCACAGCCCACTCTCTCCGCTTGTCAGTTAATGACCTCTATATATGCGGGCTTTTGGGAGGCGAAGGGCTCTCGGTTGATGCAAGAATATCTTCCCATATAGGCTACAACTAGGGAATAAGGTACTTGTGGACGAGGAGAGTACGCATAGGCTGATGTAAGACTGTCGATCGGGTACCAAAGTTGTCCACCCTTGCCTTTTCTACTAAACACTATCCTATAAGATAATCTCACCAAAGCCTACTTCCATTCTTGAAACTGATCAATAATTATATAATCTGAGCGAGGGCAAGCCTAGACTGAGCTAGAACTGAGCTGGACTGAGGCCGATTGAGGCCAGCTGGGCCGCTTCACTTACTCATGTTGTCTTCACATCGGCCCCCTTTAGTTTGATCCTTGGGTTAGTATCAAACGGTTGTTTTGTGGCTTGAGCTTCTTCTATTACTAGTGCACGATTTCTGATGGTCCAGCACAAGGGGTTGGTTGGTATACCAAGTTTATTTTTTGACACATCTACCTAAGCTACGTACTGAACAAAGGAAATCCTCCCTAAGAGAGTGACTGCCGGTCTGGCCAGGACCTTTCCATATGATAATTACCAAAAAGAAATTTCCGTCCTGATGTACTGATTCAAATCACAGTTGCAAGTGAATTCTCGCATCCGCTTGTGCCCCTTCTTGTCTCTCCATCTCTTATTCGTTTAATACTAGTGACGCGTCTTGTCCACTATAAGAGAAAATACATCCAGTGATCGGTGGCGATGCCTAATGAGGGCCATTTGCTAAGGCGCCTCCATCATTCTGAATTAAATTCTTTAAAATAGATGTTAGTCTTGGACCCGCAGGGCAGTGCTGGGCCGCGACCAACAACAAATAAGCCTTAAATCCGTTCACATTTTGCCCCCTTCCTCCTCCATCCCCTCATCATTCTTTTTCTATCAATCTTGGAGCCTCTGGATAACTAGTGAGCATGCCACCACCAACCAATTCAGAACTGAATGCGAAGCGGGAGGAACACTGCTTTGCAGTAACCTCCGATCGGAAATATTATCGAGTCGGGGGGACCTTCATTAAGCGAAGTCTGCGACCATCCGAATGGCAGAAACACAATGGCTATATGTACGTGCCGCGATTCGGAACTGAGCGCATCTTGAACGAAGGCGCCTGTCTCCAATTCCTCGCTGCAAACACCAATATCCCACTGCCGAAGCTCTACGCGTGCATTGAGGACGATGGTGCTGCCTACCTTATTACTGAGTATATTGAGGGTGTCAATATGAATGATCTGGACACTGAAAAGAAAGATATTGTTGCAAAGGAGCTTCAAGGTCATATGGAAACCTTGAAGGAATTGAAATCCAATGTCTGGGGAGGACCTGGCGGTGTGGTATACAGGCCTTTCCCAAAAAAACGTCATACTATGGATGCTAATAAGCGATAGGTCTTGCCGCCATATAGAATCATGCGACATTCAGATGGAAGGCCTTGGAGGATGCAGGATCGAGAGTCTAAGGACCTTGTCTTTTGCCACAATGACCTATCAGCGAACAATATCATTGTTGATCCAGATACACTGAAAATCAACGCCATTATTGACTGGGAATACGGTGGCTTCTATCCTGCCGAGTTTGAGTGGCATTTCTATCTGAGACAAAAGTCAGGACCGTCCGTATCACAAGATGGCGAGCTTGACGATGAAGATGTGCTGAAAGATATCATGTCCAGGGAGAGGAAGGGTTGAAAGCTGAAGGTGCAAGGTATGGTCACTTTTGGGTATGTAATCAACGGCGGTGGATTTCCTAGGGACTCAACCTTCGCTGTCACATGTAGATGAGCAATTAAAAGATCATAATGAAAATCACACACAGCCTCTTTAAATGTCATCACGATGGTATTTCAGGGAACGATCGTTGCGTTCTCAGTTCTAAGCAGGCATGACTGACTCGTCATTTCCAGTCTTGTATATTGCCATGCACCGGCTACCCCAGTTCAGCACCGGTGGTTTTCCTGACTACGAGAACTCTTCTTGATTAATTGATAGAGATTCCACAAGTTCAAGAACAGATAACAACTTGTTTCTTGGCGGACGTAAATGGTTACACGCCGTCATCAGTTATTCTTAGATCGAACGATTGCAACGACGAAAAGCTGAAAGGTACGACTAGCCGTTTGACTAGTTGATTTAGTCTGTAACTTCATCTACCAACCTATACAATGGGGTAGCCCTTTCGTAAGACATCCTTTTCGTGGGGTAGCTCTTCATGGGACAACCCTTTCTATGGGACATCCCTCTATGGAAAATCCATTTCTTTGGGGTAGTATACAATGGCTAGCCCTTTCATTAGGATAGCACGTGGCCTGGTACCCAGAAATGGGATCAGCCCTCAAACATGGGCCGTTACCCAGGCTCTGCTGTCACATGGGCTGACAGATATAGGTTGAGCCTGGCCATGCCCATCATCAGCAGGGGTAGACCGAGTGGTCCCAGTTCTTGGACTGTGCCCCAGCTCATGGACTGCGACTGAGCAACCCTGAGCACGGCTGAGTCGAAGTTGAGCTGAAACGGTTCTGCCTACCTTAGATATGTCATGAGCCAAATCATACTAACCTAAATGGAAATTAGAGATGATTGTTTTTCAGAAATGACTACAATCATTCAAGCGCGACCGACATGACCAGAATATAGTCATCATTCGATAACGGTCTCTTGCATTCAATTAGCTTGACTCTTTGGAAATTGCAACAGTGATTTAAATTACACAGTTCAATCGTTATGTTTTCTAGGTTATTGTTCATACAAGCTCAATATATCGAGTAAATTCCCAATCAGTAACAGCCTCCCGCCAGAGCTTAAGTTCATGGCGCCTGGAAATTGTGAAAAAGTCAACAAATTCATCACCTAGAAGTTCCCTCGCGACACTTTCAGGTGCCGAGAAGCGATCCAAGGCTTGCTGGAGAGTATCCGCCAGCCTCAAGGGCTTGCCATCTGTCTTCTTTCTTGCGGATTGTGGGGGTACCTTAATGTCGAGCTTCTTCTGTATGCCTCGAAGACCGGCACAGAAGATGACACTCAATGCATAGTGAGGATGTAAATCGGCTCCTGGAATACGGACCTCAATTCGTGTTGCTGATGCCTTGCATGAAGGGGGGCCGATCAAACGCAGAGAGGCGATGCGGTCCTCGAATCCCCAGGTGACAAATACTGGGGCCCAGAAATTTTCGACATACCGTTTGTATGAGTTCACCGTCGGGGCGAATAAGGGCATAATATCTGGGAGTGCATCGATGATACCAGCTAAGAAGTGGCAGCCCAAGTCGGAAAAGTGCTCCAAGTCTTTCCACTGTGGGTTGGGGTTCGGTGAGTCTCTGGCGAACAGGTTTTTACCATTGCTGTCGATTAAAGAAACGTGAATATGACCAGAACTACCGGGAAGCCCTTGGAGTGGTTTCGCCATGAAGCATGGCGTAATATTGTGGTCCACTCCCAAAGATCTTGTTAATAGTCTGCAAAGATTAGTATTGGAGACACTGGGGAGAGTAATAAAGGATAGCTTACTTAAATAAACTGACCCTATCTGCCATTTCTGCTGCATCTTGTACACCGAGGGCCTAAAACAAATGTTAGGAGGGTGGGAGACGCACAAGTCGGACTGGATCACTTACTGCTTCAAACACGCCAGGGCCACTTTCTGTGTGCCATACTTCCAAATTGCAACGGACTTTGGCGCTTGTATCAAAAATGTCGTGAAAGTATCTCTTAGATGCAACAGGTCTGGTCATACTGTATCCAAACATGCCTTGAGTAATTGGGCGAACAGCCTGTGGACCACTCTTGGATATGAAAGCCGCGAGATCGGGCCGAGCTCCTGGATTGCCATAGCCATCCTCGCTCGGTGTTTGGAAATTAACAAACTCCAATTCAACTAAAATCACGAAAATTAGCATTAATCCTACGGTCGGGTCTTTAAAATGCCTACCGCCTGCTAGGGGATGATAGCCGTCTTGCCCCAACTTCTGTTTGACTCCTTCTATAAGACCACGAGGACAGCCGGCCGCTGGCTTCTCGTCCACTTTGAAAGTCAACATGAAAAATGGGATGTTGTCTTCCCACGGCAATCTTCTGAATGAGGCCAAATCTGCCACAGCAGTCAAGTCGGAGTAACCTTCCGCCTCTGTGTTGTCCTCTGTTGCGTAAAGCTCATCATGCATGTCCCATCCAAAGATAGCCGAGCTGAAGCCAAATCCAGACTTTACAGTTGAAACAAATTTCTCCTTGGCCATGATCTTGCCACGGAGCACACCATCGGCATCCACACCAGCCACCTTGACCTTGATATCATCTTTGAGGAGCTCCCCAACGGTCTCCGTGGTAAGAACTGTCATGATGCTTAACTTGAAGTAAAGTTTAGAAAGTAACGGCTGTAACTGTGAAACGGCCAAAGATGAGTTGGCATCGACTTCATAAGAGGAGAATTATTTGAATTTAAAAATCCCATTTGCAGTAACACATACGGGAATTATCTAATAGTCCACTTTACCCCAATTTTTGAACACCGTGGTATCTAACTGTAGCCCGCGCGGTAATCCTTCAGACGAGACAAGCTACTCCATAACGACACCATGGGATAGATAGCGGCATGAGATTACTTTGAGTTTCCGTATAACCGCGTCGTGACAGGTTTCCAATCCAGTCCTAGTTCAGGAGCGGATTTAGTCAAGAGCTATCTCAGCGTGTCTGGACGACGCGCACCGCGGCTTCTCCACACCCCTTTTAGCGTAGCCGCGCTGCCATGACCATGTGGACAGGTTCAAGGGACCTTTTGGCCGCCCTCAATACCGCGGGCGGGCCTGCCTATACGCGTGACTAGGGAGCTTACGGTTTCTCACACGGCAAGTTGCTTCGCGCCAGCCGCAGCGACGAATGGTATGCCAAACAGCTATTCCAACCACGAGAAGTGAGAAGTCGAAGCTATCCGGGCCATGATAATAATGAATGAATGAGTGAATGAATGTCTTCAATTTTCTATAACGAGTAATGGATACAATGTAATAAATCTCTGGGTGTTTCTTCGGAATACCACAAGGTTGCGTAGCTATCAGTTCCATGAATTCCCATTCCTAGATACTGTCCTTCTTTCCGCTGATCTCCGTACCCATATCCGGGGTCACCCCATCCGACGTTTCGTCACCAAAAGAAGGCCCTGTGAAGTTCTTCCGTCCATGAACCGCATACCAGACGGCACTGATGGCGGCAAAACCTGCAAAAACCACCGAGGCATAGTTCATGGTTTCGGCATCAACGGGCAACGATACCGGCATACTGAAAATAACCACCGCAAAGAAGATCCAAACTGCCGAAACTCCATTGATCATATAACCGGCTCCCTTCAAAGGAAATAGTGAATCCTTGACCGCTACCCTTCCTCTTGCCATGCTCACTATAATTGGAACGCAGTAGGAGGTAGACAGGCAAATGGTGGCAACACCTGTGAAGCTATTGAAAGCGGACAGACTGCCAAAATAAATGCACCCGAGCAAGCAGATGACGGCCGAGGAAAGCAGAATAGAGTTCAAGGGAACCTCGAGTTTCTTATGAACTCGGCTCCATATCTGAGACCCCGGGATAGCACCGTCGCGAGCAAAAGCGTAGGTACAGCGTGAAGCGGCCGTCAATGACCCAATGCCGGCGAAAAGGAGGATTCCCAAGATGAGGAAAAGGAGACAGAAACCTCCGGCTTTGGAGCGAGTTACAGTTGTGAACAAAAGGCCGATAGGCTGCCCGTTCGCGACGTTCAGCAGCATCTCGATATCCGGCATGACAAATAGCAGCGGCACGAGATAGAGGAGACCTGTGATACCCGCAGCAAACACAGAGAGAACGATGGCTTTGGGGACCTCGCGTTCGGGATTTTGAACTTCGTCGCACATCGATGGCACCATTCCGTACCCGGTCAAAGTATACGCAGCTATAGATGACTAGTTAGAATAAAGATATCAAGTCAATCTGGACCGTTCATTGATACACTTACGCTGGAGTAATCCAACAAAAAAGGCCCATCCAGAGGGCCAGCCGCTGGCAGATGCATCATAATGAGTGAATACAAAGCTAGCCGAACGCTTCTCGTCGGCGGTGGCCAGGAGAGTTACCATCAAGATGACAACGCTCAAAGCCGTCCAGTATATACAGATTTTGTTGATCAAATCAAGGTAGCGAGATCCGAAAATGTTGACAAGCGCAGAAACCAGCATTACTGCCCAGAAGCAAAGAACGGTTTGCCATTGGTTAGGAACAAAGTCCTCGTTGAAAATCGAGATGGCGCTGAGGACCAACTGGGCACCCGCAAACGTGATGGATAAGCTGGGAAATTCACCGTTAGACTATCTTCAAAGTTGGCTGAAAAGGGGTATTTCGTACCAGACCGTCCAGTTCCCAACCAAACCTAGCCACCCATCGATGAAACTCACAGCCGGCGCGTATTTTGGTGTGCAGAGAAGAAATGACCAATGGTAGGTTCCACCAGCTGTAGGATACACGGCGCATATTTCCGCAAGAGAAGCGGCGATACAAAGCGATATGATAGACACAATGACCCATCCCCAGAGAACGCTGACAGACTGGCCGGTTGTGAGCGTGATGTACATAGTCGTGGACAGACCGAAGGGGACGGCCATGATGGCAAATGACATTCCCAGAATGCTCATCATGCTGAGATGTTGTGGAAGCTCGTGTTTGTATGCCACCTGCTCCATGGCTTGGTGGGTATTTCGGGGCGCCATGGTAGGAGAAGAGTTTGCAGAAAACCTTTCACTCCTCATGTGCAAACGGTTGGATACGGAAAATGGTGATAGAAGAAAGCTGGTTAAGGAAAGTATTGGTGTCGGTGATTCGGGAGGTCAGAATAAGGCAACACAGTGAGACAATGTTTTGAGCAGGACTTGGCAAGGCTATATGACACTCAGGCAGGCACAATTAGTTAAAGAGAGATAACCAGAAAAGATATGAATCATACGACGATATCTTCCCCGTGGGGAAGCAAACTTTTACGTACGAAATTCACCAAATTCCAGATCCAAGAAGGCATGAGACAGACTACGTCAAGAATCCACTGAATTCAGCCCAATCGAACCGTCTTTCCGGTGGAAAGTTCCGCTGCCGGTTCCGATACGAGTCAGCATGTACCTCGTACCGCGGCTCGCAGCGCGGTAAGACCTGTCATTGGCTGATGGCTTCGTCGGCACGATCGTTCCCTTGGCGTATCAAAAGCGGGGACAAGTGTTTCAAATTCGAGCTGATGAGTAGATCCAGATACAAAGTGGCTTCATAATAGATATAGATATACGACCTAGAGATAGTAGAGATAAGTCAGAACATATCCATAATTCTATTGGTTCTAGAATTCTAACAGTAAAAGGATTAAGATATTCGACTTGACGATGGGTCTTCATGATCTTAGTCAAAAGACATGATCAACGAAGCACTTGGTGAATGCACGTCGATATCATTCCTCAAAATAAAAGGATGACAATGGATTAAGCCGAATTATACCATTTCTATTGCTTTGTATATAGGATTTCATTCATTTTTGAGTATTGCTCTCAAGGCTTGATGTCATGGGTGGGTGCTGTAGGGTAGGTCAGCTCAGCCTCGGTCATCGGCCGATAAGATAAGAAATCCGGGGACCGGAGCTGTTGAGACTTCTCCCCTCCCGTTCGTTCACATCACCACCGATCCAAACCTGCGTGAAGTCTCTAAGAGAGACTATCGTGTCGTACTGTAAGATAAAAGTTCAGCGGGTCCCGTACTTTGTGCCGTACAAATTGGCTCGATTGACCCTCAATAACCCTCCAGCGCATCGCCACAATGTCAGAAAACGCGTCCTACGTGCCTCCCACTCGCAGCAGACGAGGTTGTTTCACCTGCCGTCGGCGCAAGAAGAAGTGTGACGAGAAGAAGCCCGTTTGCAAGGGCTGCACTCGCAATAAGCTCGAATGCAAATGGCCGGCCGAGCGGATGAGGAAACCAGGCCAGGGGGGCTCGGAGGGAATTGACGCAGACATCATTTCTCTTGCCAATTCGTCAGCAGGGCATAAAGCTCTGGCACCGCGTTCAAAGGGCGTTTTTGTACCGGGCACCGAGGCCTGCGGATCCACTATAAATGCCGATTCATCAGAGTGCGCTCTGCAAGAGACTGATGTTTCTAGAGGGTACCTAGACGCATTGTCACCAGAAACCATCCTGAGTCCTTTGATCGAAACTGAGACTCACCATGGGTCCTTCTCGGATGCCTCAAAGTCCTCAACCTCAGACTCCGTATCCCTTCTACCGGTTGAAGATGCCGGGGCCCCGCAAGATGTGCTTGATGAGCGTGGTGATGAGCATGACCTTGCGCAGGTGGATAGCTTCGACCCATACATCTCAACTGAAACCTGTATGATTGCAAGTCCTAATTTATGGGATGCCTTGATGGAGCCAATGCCTCCTTCTCCCACGGAAAACATTCCCGCCAGCCTTAGCATATTGCCACACATAGATCACGACTCCTCCGAGCTGCTTAGCTTCTACCTGCAAAAGACAGCCAACAGCATGGGGAACGGTTCAACAGACGTGAACCCATTCGTTGTTCAACTTGTACCACTCGCCTTTCAAAACAACCTGGTACTCAGACTTATTCTCGCTCAAAGTGCCGTTCATCGACAAGTATCTCAGGACCGGCAGCCAAGCAACGAACTGGCAGAGCGCCACTACACTGATTCACTACGACTCTTTAGAGCTCTGGTCGGTGTTTACTTGTCAGGAAAACATGATGGTATTCTGCCACTGGCTGTTGGTAGCCTCATTTTATCATTGACAGAGGTATGCATCATTGTTGAAACTCCTCTGCTGGTTTCCTCACGCTGGCTCGGCTGCTGACACTGAACCATTTAGGTTGCCAGCGGAGACATCCATGGATCAACGTTTAATCATATAATTGCGGCCAAGAGCTTATTGAAGAAGGTTCTTCCCCAACGTTGCACGGGAATGTCTCTAGACCTGCAAAACTTTCTTGTAGAGTACTACAGCCACATGTCTGCGCTCAGCATTATCGGCATGGCTCCTCAAATTCGGCTCAACTCTCCCATGGAACCAGAGATTGAGGCCATGGCCAACAAGATGGTGGAGGGAAAGTATGTAGGCCAACTCTGTGGCTGCTGGCTCGAGCTCTTATTGGTGATTCCTCAAATCTTTGCACTTGGAGAGAGCATGAAGGAATGCAGCCAAGATTCCACGAGACCCCCGTCGCCAGATGACATCACACAGTTTGCGCTGCTACAAGCCCGGGTACTTGCATTCCAACCTGTACCGACAGCTCACCCTGAGACAGCCTTGGCTGGACTCGTGTTCAAGCAAGCTGTGCTGCTATATCTCTGGAGCATCCTAGCTGGTCCCCACACAATATATGAGGGTAACAAAATGCATCACAATCTGATGAAGGATGCCGTCATTGAGGCTCTGGCCTTACTTGGTCAATTTCCCGCATCTGCAAGAGTCAATACTAGCCTTTGCTGGCCGCTGGCTATCATTGGATGCTGTATATCTGAAGAGGCCCAGCGAGATATTGTACGGAACAGACTTCAAACGATGCTTGGTACTATGAGCCTTGGCAACATGAGAGAAACACTTGTTTTGTTGGAACATGTGTGGACCCGGCCACTGGAGGATATCAGCCCCTGGAACTTGTCCAAGATGATGGAAGAGAAGCAGATATGGATCTCATTTGCGTGAAAGACCAAAGCATTTCATTGTTTTAGTCCTGGCTCAGAAGAGGATATAATCGGTCATTATTAAGCTACCCTAACTTAGCTTCCAAGGTTCTTTGGAGCTTCGGTAGCTGGACCCTCAGGAGTGACATATGCCTTGGTCAATCCTCCATCAACCACGAAATCTGCAGCGTTGACAAAGCTACTCTCGTCGCTAGCGAGGAAAACGACTGCCCTTGCCTGTTCGATGGCTTCGCCGAACCGACCGCTGGGGAAATGCACCTCCCTTCGGAATCTCTTTGCCTTGTCATCGCCGAGCCAATCCTGCAGAAGCGGTGTGCTGTTTAAAAGTCAGATATAAAATGCTAGCAGAGGCAGAGGATTGCAATATCTTACTTGAGAGGAGCGGGACAGAGAGAGTTGAAGCGGTAGCCTTCTCGGGCGTGAACGATGGCCAACTCTCGGGTCAGGGCGAGCACTGCGCCCTTGCTTGCCGTATACGCAAGTTGGGGAGTGGCAGCACCCACAAGAGCCACCACACTGGCTGTGTTGATGATGCTTCCCTTTGTCTTCTTGTGCTTGCGAAGGCTTCTAACAGCATGCTTGCATCCGAACAACACCCCCTTGACGTTGATGTTCTGTGTCAAGTCCCAGATGCTCTCTGGGCACTCTTCGGTATCTCCGTCCTTGGCGTGCATGATGCCTGCGTTGTTGAACATGACGTCGACGCCGCCCCAGGAGTCGAGGTGGCTGACTGCAGATTCGATATCTGATTCCTTGGATACGTCGACAACTCTTGTCTCAAGTTTGCCCTCTCTGGAGGGAACAACTTCCTTTACTTTGGCGAGCGCACGCTCCAGGGCTGGTGCGGCTACATCGGTCAGGAGGACCGATGCGCCCTCTTGGCTCATCAAAATGGCTGTCTCAAGGCCAATCCCTCTGATCGGAAATTAGCTTCATGATTCTCTGAGATGTATGGTTGGGGGTTATGAGTAGATCTTGTTGGCTGTCACTCACCCAGCAGCACCCGTGATGATGGCATTTTTACCAGCGAGTCTTCCGGGCATGATTGAAATGAAGGTGTTGAACTCTGGGATAGTCTAGGTAGTCGAGAAAGGGGAATATTTGAGGGTCTGTGTATATGTATGAATGAAGTGTTGGCGTGCTGTGTTACTGTGTATTGTTGGTACAATTTGTGGTTTGGATATGAGTATGAACCATATTTAACCTTGAGATCTGTTGCTTTATCTTCATTATGCGGACTCATGAGTCTCTTTCATCGAGTAAGCAACATTACCCCACGAGACCAGGCGCCTACGTGGGGATGGAGGAGCAGTGTTACCCACACCGCGGCAAGCGATCTGTACCTTGATACTACTGAGTGCTCACCTCTGCGGTTCGCGGCGCGCTTCGCGAAGAACCCATTTCTACATGGGACCTATTATTGAAACCAGAACCCTATCATGTGGCCCTCTCTGATAAGCAACCGTTGATATTTCGCGGATATTGATGTTGCCAATTTATCTACAGAGAGCATCGCTGGTCCACCCGCGGCTACGCTAACAGAGACACATTTCTCCGTATTTGGGGGCGGTTAAGGAGATTCCATGTTATCTAACGGTTCTAGGCCTGCTTATCTCTAACATGGTGGCTCTTTAGTGTGACGAATGCATCGAACCCGCGCGGCCCCAAGGTACTTCCCAATCCAGAGTTCTTCCACCCGATCCATGATAAGTCCTTCGCGCGGTTAGAATGATTGAGAACTTCAGGGGAGGAGGGGCATTGATCTGGACTTACTGGATTTGGACAATCGCATCTGTTGACGAAAACTGTGCCAGCCTCTATCTCGGAGATTAGCTCTGAGGCGCGCTCCAGATCTTGGGTCCAGATGCTGGCGGTAAGACCGTATTCGCTGTCATTCATGAGCGCGACCGCCTCGGCATCGTCTCTGACTTTGATCACGGGGATAAGGGGCCCGAATGTCTCCGCCTTGGCGACGGCCATGTCGTGCGTTACGTTAGTAAGTAGGCGAGGTGCAACGTAGCTGCCGGTGGTCGGGAGTGAAGCGAAACTGGGGTTCTCTGGAGTGGCATCCACGGCGCCCTTGGAGATGGCATCTTGGACTTGCTCCTCGATAGCCTTGACCGCAGCCGAGGATATGACGGGCCCGATAGATGTAGATTGCTGGTTTGGATCGCCTAGGTTGTAGCTGTGATGGTTGTGAGCAATAATCGATAGTAAAATGTGAAGAAAGATTGAACGTACCCTCGAAGCTCCTCCTGAAGCTCCCGAACGAACGCATCGTGGACGTCAGCGTGAACATATACACGCTCGACGGCGCAGCAGCTCTGGCCAGAATTGAAAATGGCACCATCGACAATGTTCGCTGCAGTCCATTTGAGATCGGAGTCAGCTCTGACATAGGCCGGATCCTTTCCGCCCAGTTCTAGATTGACAGGCACAATCCTCCCAGCGGTGGCGCGTCTGATTGCCAAACCGCCAGCCGTAGAGCCCGTGAAGCAGATTTGCTTGATGACACTAGACTGGGCAATCTCCTCGAGCTTTGAAAGGCTCGCCGTATGAAGAATCTGCAGAACATCTGTGGGTAGACCAGCAGCCTCGAAAGCTTCCTTGAACCGCTCCGCTACAAGGGGTGTCTGAGGTGAAGGCTTCAGAATGACAGAATTACCGGCGAGCAAAGCTGGCACCAGGGTGTTGATTGTAATGAGCCACGGAAACTGGTACCACTTGTTAGCAGAGGTAACCTCAGGAGAGAGTGAATCTCGGCGCTTACATTCCACGCGGAAACGATGAGGACTGGCCCGACAGGTTCTCTGCTGACCCATCTTTTGAATCCAGCTTCAGGGACACCAGGAATATTCGCCAACGCATCGGATGCAATATCCATGAGATAGTTGGCACGCTTGCGCATTGTATCGATTTCGGCGCCGGCAAACTTGATAGGTCTGCCCATCTGTGTCGTCAGTTCCTGGGCCAAATCATCCCGGATATTTGCTAAGAAATCTAAAGCTTTGGTGACAATTGTCTTGCGCTGGTCGAGAGACAATTTACGGTATGAGCGGAAGGCATTTGATGAACGGCTGAGCATGGCTTGGGCTTCCTCAATGGAGGCGCCTGGGCGCTCGAAGATGACCTCCCCGGTGGAGGGGGAAAGCGTTCGGATGATGTCCGCTGGCATGATGAATATTGATGATGACGATGAACGATGAACCGTTGAAGAGTGTAGGTATTTTGTGAGTTGAAACTGCACGAAAATCGCTGTTATTCTGGCAGAGAGACAGACAAACAGATGCGCTGTGAGAAGACCGTCCGGGCTCTTATAACCACTGCTGGTGGCACCTGGCGGCTATGGAGCCCGCTGGAGCCCGCTGGAGCGATCTCGGACGCACCACTAGAGCCCACTGAGTGATAGCAGCCGAACACGCTGGCAGCAGCCACTATAGAGGCATTACAGCACTCGAGGCGGGACTTGAATCCTGCCCTCATCAATGTAACATTTGATGTCGTGGCAGCACCTGTAGAGGTGTACGGTGCTGAGAATCCAAAGTCTGAACACATTTACAGTCTTGTGAAAGCTTTTGGAGGCTGTGCACTCGTTCTGCCATGGATTTTAATCTAGCTGTCCAAGCACAAACTTCCAAATGAGCGCGGAAACAACAACTCCATCATGCTTGTTCTTGGCCCTTGACGATCCATCTTCATACATGCTATCGTTAAAAACATTCTGACTGTGTCTCATTTTGAGAATCTCAGACATTATCTCGGAATCAAACTCTGGGTGTGCCTGAAACGAAAGAACCCGCCCAGGTTTGTACAACCCCTGGATTTCGCATTTTGGACTTCTACCTAGATTGAGAACACCCTGGGGAACTTCTAAGACGGCATCGCGATGCATTTGATGCAATTTCTGTTCGACATATGATCAGTCAACCGACTTTTCAGAGATTGGGAAAATTTGGTCAAGAAGCCTACCAGTGTCCTGGATCCAAGCAGCTTCTCGCCGTTTGATGTCAGATCGATGTTTTCAACTGAGATCTCCCATCCGCCAGGGCTGACCCCAACCTTGGCACCCAGGGCACGTCCGATGATTTGATGGCCGAAGCAGATACCGACCGCTGGCTTATTTGCGGTCTCGAGGAAACTCTTGACATATGCAACTAGTGAGACAATCCATTCATCGTCTTTGAACGCTGTATGCTCTACTCACATAGATAAGTGTCAGGCCTAAGAGATAAATGTTGCAAAAATTGCTCTGGAACTTACTGCTCCCTGAAATGAGAATCGCATCAACTTCGTGTAAGTCTGGATACTCTTGCAACGCAACGACGTCCCATTTCGTAATGACGGGAGTCACATTATGAGGAGGGTTAAGTTCCTGGAGCCCTTTCTTTAAGAGACTCTCAAAGATTTGACCATACGACCCACGGGTATCCTTGACTGCAGGCACCGGAGTGTCGCATTCCAGGACGGCAATATGAAAGTTCCGGGACATTGTGTAGAAATTTGGTCAAGTATCTGTGTCTGTTTCAACTACTATTGAGTCTCTATAACTGTATGCTGAGATGGAGCCGATATCGCGTAAGATTGACGGTCTTATCTGAACAGTGGCATCGCTGCACCACATTTCAACGGTTCCACCTGGGGAACACTTAGAAGGGCGGCTATTCCTTACCGCGATCGTGGGTGCATAACCGCGGTCATCCGCCTTCCACCAGCACGCTAAAATTGGAACTGACAACTAATTAGCTTCCCCTGTGCTGATGCGCCTAGATAGTACGAAGGAGGGATTGATAGGGAGAGACGCCTTGCAGCGACACCGACTCAGAATGCGCTACTCTCCCCGATGGTAAGAAATCGTAAAACTTCCACAGTTCGTTTATCTTACATAAGTGAGAAAACGACTCTCGTGCTTTAACTTTAAGCTTTCGTCAGTTTTTGCCGCTCCCATGGTGAAGAATAACGGCATTAGATCCGATGTGCCTGATACTGATTGCCTAGGTGTAACACCATTCTCTACTAAAGGGAACAGAAAACGGGTTGCAAAGCTATCCGCCTACGCAACAATCTTTCCAAGTGATCTCAACTATACATGAAGATTGTAGCTTACAGTGGTGCTTGAAACCAAGCGTGGTTGATGTCCCTGTGTAAACAAAAGAGGCTTTGTGGCGCGATTGATTAAGTTCGGTTGTCTTTGGGGGCTTAACTTGACACGCAGGATTTATCTCTCTTCTAAATGCTCCTTCCAAATGCTGAACTTGGACTCTGCGACGAAGAGGTGTGGCGCACAGATCTTGTAATTGTGGCTTTAGCTCGCTGATGACAGATCTGTTCAAACAACTAACCATTGTCTACGACGAGGGCCGGTTTCACCAACAAGAACCTCAGTGCCTACTTCCGGAACTCCTTATTTAATATCTACAAGCATACTTCTCGCTGGCAAATTAGCAATATTTATAGGCTTATCTGAAAATCACCTCTTTCGAGATTGCCTCTCCCTAAACGTTTCGATGTTTGCAAAGCCGCTTGGCGGCTTGTATTTGAATGTTGGTTGATTACTCACCTCCGGGAATACCAGTATCTGGCAGCATAATGCACGTTCTTCGGGGATACCTTCCGATATCTGCATTATTAATCCTTGCTGTGGGGTCATCGGGTTCAGGGGAAAGATGTGATCGTCAACTCCGATGGCGCCATGCGTCGTCACCGTAGTCATCATCGATCGGGCTGCAAATCTGCCGCGGAGTCAGTTTAGAGCGCACCGCATGCCAAGTCCACAGTTCCGTCCGCAAACCTCGCCGCAGGCCGCAATCTTTGGGATCTGACGTCTGAGTCCGCCTTGACTTGCCGTCGTCCATTCCACTGCATACGAGCCATGGATCATGGTGTCCTTGAAAGGCACTCACGTGAGCGATCGAATGCCGAGCTCACACTCGTCACGCTCCTCATCCCCAAGTGATGGCCAAAGCCCGTTGATCGGTCAGTCACCTGCCCTGTCGTCGGCCAGTGACACAGACGATGCCACCGAAGAACCAGAAGTCCCAGTCTCGTGGATGTCCATGCCCAACAAGTCGCAGCTTTGCGTCATTATCTTCGCGCGACTGGCAGAGCCTCTCAGCGAGCGGTCTCTTACCGCTTATCTGTTTTACCAACTTCGCTGGTTCGACTCTTCACTACCAGACTCCACCATTGCCCGCCAGGCTGGTATTCTGACTTCGGCATTCGCAGCTGCCCAGTGTCTGACTTCTATGGCATGGGGTTATGCAGCAGATCATCATCGCATCGGGAGAAAACAGGTCTTGATTATCGGTCTTCTTGGTACCTGCATATCTGTCCTTGGCATCGGGTTTTCGACGTCGTACAAGTCTGCAATAGGCTTTCGGCTTCTTGCTGGTGCTCTCAATGGCAACATCGGTGTGTTAAGAACCATGGTGTCGGAAGTGGTAGTTGACAAGAGGTAAGTTGTGACGCTCTCCTTTGTTGACCTCTCTACGTTTGCGAGGTTTGGAAAATTAATTTCGTAGATACCAATCTCGCGCTTTTCTCCTACTTCCGATATGCTTCAGTGTTGGTGTTATTATTGGCCCGATCATGGGAGGTTTTCTAGCTGACCCCATCAACTCTGTTCCCTGGCTCTTTGGACCCGACTCCTTTGTTGGTGGTAATAATGGTGTCGAGTGGATGAGAAGTTACCCATATGCCTTGCCTAATATCGTCTGCGCCGTTATCCTACTGTTTTCTCTTTCGGTTGTTGTGTTTGGCTTGGATGAAACTCATCCGGCCCTCAAGCACAAACGAGACTACGCCAGGAATCTGACGGGCATCGTTGCCTGCAAGTTCTTCAAGAAACAAAAAGGTGGAAGGACTTACGCCTATGAAGCTGTAACAACATCTCCGGACCTGGAGACTGAGACAACCCCTTTGATCCCTCATCGCCAGGATGCAGACGAGTCGAGCGAGGGGTCCGCCAGTCTAAAGTCTCTTCTGAAGAAATCCGTCATACTCATCTTGGCGCAACATTTTCTGCAGGCCATGCACAATTCTGCCTTCAATGCTGGGGTTTTCATCATATTCCCAGCTACTCACTCCGACAATTCCAACGCCCGCCTGCCTTTCTTTTTCAACGGAGGGTTGGGCCTCTCGACGCAGGAGATTGGTTTTGCGAATAGTTGCATCGGGCTTGTTGCGATAGCATTCCAGATTCTTGTATACCCCATCATAAGCGCCCGGTTTGGTGTTCTGCCATGTTATCGATTCGCATTGCCCTTCAGTATCATCGCCTATACTGTCATCCCTTTCCTCGTGCTTCTACCCGAGGGTTCAGCGATCACTTGGCCGTTTCTCATCGCGACCATGGCCTTGCATATCTTCTCGCGATCTTTCATAGGACCAGGGACGATTATTCTTGTCAACGACTCGGCGCCGCATTCTTCACTCTTGGGTACCGTTCACGGGCTGGCATCGAGTATCGCAAGCGTGGCCCGGATGCTCGGCCCAGTCATCAGCGGCGCCGCTCTTGCAGCAGGTCTGAGAAATAACTGCGTTGGCATTCCCTTCTGGGGCATCTCGTTTTTGGCATTTGTCAACTGGCTGTTGCTGTTGCGGGCTAAACATGAGACTGGTGTCAAGTCCAGCCGCTGATGAGCCAACGACTAAGCAAACGTGACTTCAAGAAGACTGGAGGATCCTTCGAGCGCAAAAGATGCTTCTTCCGTATCAAAGACGGACACGTCATGACCCAACGGCCACCATAGATAGACAAAAGAATTTATAGAAGAATAATATCATTAGTTCTACATCTTTAGACATACCTCCAAGCTCGCTTCGACTTAAAATGTAAATAGACTTGCTCCAAGGTAGACTGTCAAAGCCGATGGGGTATTAATTCGTGCTGTTTTGGTGCGACTTCTGGAGTTTACGCTCGCAGGCACGTCAATCATTTAATGGTCATATTACTTTTTGCAGGATTAATGATGCGTTTATTTTATTTTTCTATGTTCACGTTTGTCTCAGCAACTCATTCGTTCAAATACGACGGTATTGCCAATTAATCGGTCACAGGGATGTGGCTGGGAATCGGCTGTAAGAAATTTACACCGCCGGTGTTGCTCCGTGTTCTTCTGCCAAGCACTATATGGAAGATCTCATTCCATAATAGTTTGCTAATCTTGTTTTAGGTTAATGCATCAAGTGTATTGTCAGACGAGCGTATAGACCAGGGAGCCGGTCCAAATATAGCATCTGGCATTTTCTCGGCAGAGCCACTCGCCAACCAAGTTGAATTCTCCCCACTTCAATCAATTCGCGACAATACACGACCAGTTTAACCTCTCAGCTTCTGGTTTTTTTCAGTTTTCTAAGGAACACTCACCCACGGATCATCTCATCGGTAGCATAAGCGGACAGGTCGTTGAATAGGAGCAGACGTGCTCGATCCCTTACCATGCCTCTCCAAAACTTGCCGCCCGAGATCCAATGCCGGATATTCTCCTATCTGGTCACCAATGACGGACCGTCGCACATCTATGCAGTACTGAAAACCTGCAAACGGCTTCGGGATGTCGCTCTACCATTCTCTGTGCAAACTTTCAGGAACACGTCGACACCCTTTGACCCTGACTCCTCTGGTCAAGCCTCTAGTACGCGCAACATCCGGTTCTTGCGCTATATCTTGATGACGAAACCGGAACTTGCCAAAAATGTCAAGACCATAATTTTGGGCCAATTCGAATCACCGAGCGATGACGAGGAGGAGGAAAAGGATGCGAGTAGTCAAGACAACGAGGATATTGACCATGAAGACGAGAGCGATCAAGATGACGTGGCCAGTGGCCCAGCAAGTGAGAGCGGCGGCCAAAATGACAGACAAGGCACCGAAAGAGACGGCAGAGAGAGTGGTGACGGAGAAGAGATTTCGAAGATGGGCAAAGAATGTCTCAAAGAAGCTGAGTTGGCTTTATTTAAGCAAAGAATTGACGAAGCTCTCACCCCAGAAACGGACGACGATTACGAAGAAGGGAGAGCACTATGGTTTCGCGGTCTACAGGAGAACCACACAGATGCCTAGGTCGCATTGATTCTCCTAGCCTGCCTAAACATTGAACGGCTGTACTTTGCGGAGCCGGACAGCCCGAGAAACTTTTTGCGTGTGTTGAAACTAGCTGGTAACACTCAAAATGGTCAGACCAGGCCACTATCGAACTTGCGCGAGGCATATCACGAATCTGAAGATGATTCTTATGGGTATCTGCTGGTTTACGAACAAGCCATTCCTTTGTTTCGCATACCCTCTATCCGATCTTATGAATGCGTTCTAGCTAACGGAAGCGATGAGGCTGGTCGTGCATTTGCCGATATACCGCGAGGATCATCCTCAGTGGAAGAGATCACACTATACAAATCATTCTGCACCCCGTTATTCATTAATAATGTGTTTGGTGCCTGTAAGGCTCTCAGGTCATTCGAGTTCACTCCGGCCGTTTCTCATGTTGAGGACGATCGGATGATGCCCCGAGACATAATGGATGCCATCTTGCCGCATGCAAACACCTTCGAGAATCTTCATATCAATTTGGAAGATGACGAGGATAAGGCGTGGGCAGGCCCCGACGACAGGATATATATGGGCACTGACTTGCGCCGAATGGTTGCACTCAAGAGGCTTGTGGCCGGAATGCAGTCTCTCACAGGCTTTCTGGATGGGCTACCTGACGATATATGGGGTGACAGCCCGCCTTTGGAAGTCGAAGGAGCACCGAGACTCGTGGAATGTATCCCTGATAGCCTCGAGCATCTTGAGATCCATGGATGTGGCAAGGCGATACTGGATCAAGCCGGCGAACTGCTCGGTGTAATTGAGAGCGGCAGCCGGTTCAAGAACCTTCGGCGTGTACGATTTCTCTTCAATGGGGAAAAGATTGACCCTGCAGAGGTCCAGCTATCCTGCAACTCACCAAATGTCACCCTCGACGTCGTTTTCCAATCACGGCACAACCGTATTTACGATGTAGGCCAAAGCGTACACACTGAAGAGCGTGATGCAAGCAACATTTGTTCTCGTATCTTTGCGGAGGACCTCAGGGAACAATGGTTACAGATCCGGGGAGGAGACGTTGGTAGTGCCACGGTAAACCAAGGTGTCTATCGGGCCCCGGGGATTGATATTCCGCTTGAAGAAGACGACCAAGAAGAGGTTATCGAAGAAGAAGGTTCTGATGCTGACAACGACAATGACGACGAGGATGACGATTGAGATATATCATGGCACGCTCTCGAAAATGGTTAACCTGGAAGTTGTCTGTTGGTATCAGCAATCCCCATTAAGATTGAACTCTCGGGATACTACTATTGATAGCCCGCTCTTTCTACCAATCAATCTACCTATACGATCATAGCTTTTCCTCGTGACGATGATAGCCATAATTGTATTTAGCATAGTTAATAAACACTTTTGCCCTTCAGTAACTGTTTCTTTATCTTCAAGCGGGTAACTCGAAGTGGTCAAATGACAACCTTCGCTTGTCTTACACACCGTGGCCGCTCTTAGATGGCATCAACGAGCCGTCCACGTGCCACGATATTAGCCCCTCTGATTACACATTTCGATATTAAGATCTCGCAACTCTATTACTCTGCCACGATGGATACCCAGCTACTCAGAGGGTACTTGCGTCGTCGCAGCCGAGCAGGAACTTTGCCACTAGGATCCACCCATCCTATACTTCTATAATTTATCAACCTCATACGATAGAAATTAACAGCATAAAAAGGAATTTAGGGTAAGTATTTTTCATTAATATGAGAGATGTCATGTCTTGAGCATTTAAGTTTACAGCGGCTGACGAATACCGCAGTGAAGACTCTAAAAGCCAACAATTGAAGAAAGACATGGCCTGTGGCATAATTGGCTCAGAGTGGCCGTGACTCAACTGTTATAAGTACGTACCCCACTTTGAGCAATTAGTAATCTCAACATTGGTTCTCTTCACAAGCAGGGTCCGGTTAGCTTGGGCAAGCCTCCAATTTCATCTCATCAGGAGCTCTGAAGGCCGAACCCGATAACATGAGCAACTCATTGCGAAGCAAACATGGCTGCTGGACTTGTCGACTGCGCAAGAAGAAGTGCGACGAGCTCCGCCCTCAGTGTAAGACCTGCGCGTCTCTGTCCATCACCTGCTACGGTTTCGGGCCCAGACCTGAATGGATGGACAGCAGTGAGAAGAGGCGAGCAATGGCCAGCAGCTTGGCAGAGATAACCAGGGGCCAGGCGTCCAGCCGCAAGACCGCCTCCCGCCCTGCCCGAGAGCCTACCGCCCATCTGCCTCAGCTGGCCCCGAAGCCGAATAATGCTGGAGCACTGCCAATGGCGAGTCCACTTCCGACTCTTACAACTTCCGAACGCTCAACTGTACGCTTCTTGCCCTCTTCATTCGTACATATGATGTAATACACTGACACCCGAACAAAAGTCGTCCTCGCAGAACGCCGATAATGGGGCGGCTAGTTCCTCTAAAGTCTACCCTCGGGCGGGTGACTATGGCCTGATAATGAATTTCATCGATTCAGTATTTCCGTTGCAACTGCCTCTCTATAAGCCCGATGCTGCCGCTGGGGGGCGCGGGTGGCTGTTGTCCTTGGTGTTTCGTATCAAGGCTTTGTACCATGCCGTTCTGGCGTTGGGTGCGTATCATCGGTCCACGCTCATGTCCCCTCAAGGATCGTGCGAGTGGCAGTTGGAGGACATGAAATTTCAAGAGGAAAATCTTGCATTCTGTTTAGACCTCGTCCATGAGTCTACTAGTGGCGCATGTGGCAAAGATGGGAGTGGCGTGGGCATCGCAGCAGCTATCACTCAACTGCTTTTCTTTGAGGTGAGTTACTCTCCAAGTTCTTAGGCCTCCTGGTGACAATATCGCAACGTTCAATCGAGATTTGGAAAATTTCAGCTAATTATCTGCAGCTCTTCACCAATCACAACAGCAATGGGTGGCAAGCACACCTCCGCGTTCTGGTGAGGTTGTTCAAACATGTCTATACCAGGGACTTGATAAACATTGGCCTCTCCGATCAGTCGCGGTCCATCCTGATGGGTCGAGAAGAGCTTCAAAACCACTCCCCAGAAGTGAGGGAGGAAGTAATGGGCTTCAGAACTATTGCTGGGTCCATTATTTGGCTGGACATCATTTTCTCTGTGACCTCGGGTGATGCACCTTCTTCATGGCCAGATCCTCTGTTTTCCAATGACTCTGCCTGCCAGGTCCGCCTACAAGACATCATGGGCTGCCAAAACTGGGTAATGATTCAGATGGGTCGTATCGCAGAATTCCATAAGCAAATGACGCAGGCCTCAGAGCACAGATGCGAGGAATATATGCAGATTGTGGAAGCCATTCACAACGACATCCAAGTAGGGCTTGCAAATCTAGGTCCCCCGGAGCTGATGAACCCACTGGTTGACATTGACAGCCCCAGATCAGACCTAGTGGTCCTTATCACCTACCTGTATGCGCAGACTGCTCTGATTTATTTGCATCTGATCCTTCATGGGTTCAAGGACTTTCAGCATGTCAGGGCCCCCATCACCATAGTAACAAACTATGTCCGACGCGGGATAAAGGCGGAACTCCGTCCTGCCCTGGTCTTGCCGTTCTACATATGCGGCTCTGTCGTTGATGAAGGAGACAGAGACCTATTCCGATCAGTCTTATCTAGCCCTCCCTTGATTAGCCGGCCTCTTCAGCATCGACCGAGGGTGCTACAAGCTTTGGAGGAGATTTGGTCCCAGCGACAGAGTATGCCTGCTTACACTTGGCATGATTGTTTAATCTCAAGCTCTGATATACTCCTCCATTAGTAGAATGAAAGAGAAATTAATATGTTACGATCATATAAACTCCCTTGGGCGGTTACCTGATTTGAGCACTTTCAACCGGCAACCAGTTGAATTTCTTGAGGGAACATTAATTTGGCACGGAGTGTAGTCGTTCAGAGAGTAGCACGACGATCAGGAACAATGTAGGGGATCTTTCCAGTTTAGGGGAGTATGCACTGAACGTTGCAGTGTGAGTTAATTCAAACAAAAATAACTTCTCAACGATTGCAGATCTCCTAATACGACCGTAAAGTCAGACGCAAGGCGGAAGGCGGAAAATCCCATGACAATATGAGTAAGAATCTATGCTGATGCTCCCACGGTTTCATAGGGTCCAACTTAAAACCCTAGGGGTTGAGGCTGAGGGGTGTTGCTAAGTTGTCAGCTATTTCGTCGCGTTCGGCTCCAGGTTTCATTCTATGCACAGAAAGGGAAGCTCAAACTACTCCAGTTCTTTGGACTATTGAGACAGGGCGTTGAGTTGACGCACTCATGTAACAAGGCCCGTGCCCTTTTCATGCAAGCTTGGGTTTAACGGTCATCCCCTTACCCGTAAGGTAGAGCGCATGATATTTAAGGTATATCGCGAAAAGGTGCAGAAGCGCGACCCAAGTGACTTGCAATGGATGCAATGGTTGATATTAGCTGGTGACTGCGGTGCGATGAGCAAGTCATGAGCAGTTGGTCACTAAGACCGGCCAATACAGCGTCTCCAGAGACGAACTAATTCTTGTCATATCTTGTGGTCAGCAGGCTGCCAATTATCGTACAATGCTGGAATGAAACTCTCCAGCGGTAAGCTGCAGATCATTCACGTTGCAACACGCATCGCCCTACTGGCCAGGACGGACTGGTATTAGTTGACCGTGGTAGCCCACTATCATGCGTGAGTGGCTGGGTTCGGTTGAGATAGGCCATGTTACAAACATGATGGTAGGTGAATAAACATTAATCCGAGCGTTTCGTCGAGGCCGCATTTGGATAGTCATGAGATTGAGTGCCTGTTTTGGCAGTTCATTATCGACTGCCACCGGGGATTCAGACCCAAGGGTATCTGACAGTAGTGCCCGTGTGCGACAGGCTGAGCCACAGCCCCTCATCCTACCAGATGGATAGACTTGATCCCTCTTCAACGAGTCACACCGATGCCCGTCTTACCGATGCTTGGAGGAGAGGCATCTTTCAGTGTCAGAACTTATTTTCCTATGTATAGTATCCAACCTTCTCTTGAAAAATTATGGACGTCTTCATGTGTGGGCCCAGCTCACGAATCCTCCGTGTGTATTATTGTCACCATTGCGACTAACACGAGAACGTGTGGATGTGTCGATCTGCTGATGTTGTTTGACACCATTGCGCCAACTACTAATTTTAGAAAGCCTCCAGCTTCAATATCCTTAAATAGCTCGATGATCTTGCATGGAAATACGTATATAAGGAAGAGATTCTTGTCTTTACAGCATTGCCTTCTCATCATCACTCATCAACAAAACACAAAACAATAGCAGCAAGCTAAGCATCTAGAAGCCGGCCTTCTAGTTTCCTTGAGTTAGCTTCTTAGTCTTTTTCTTGTTCAACGATTCCCACTACTTCTTTCCATTTTCCGGATCTCCAATTCAGTTTTATAAATTTCTCTCCTGATCAAACGTTCCGCATTATCCATTTCGTCTATCACCCTCGTTTTAAATATGATTCCCACCAAGCAACTCAGTCTGACAGGTCTGGTCTGGCTCAGCCTTGCGAACCAGGGACTTGCCTTAGAGATCGACCAAAACTCTAAAGATCTCAACCTTGTACAGAGAGACCCTCTCCCCAGCGGTAATCTCAAGGTTGGTCTTGCTCCAGGCCAGAAGCTACCGAAAGTCCCCAGGGACGTGAAGGTAGCTCTCGCCCCAAACCAGAGAATGCCCAAGGCCAAGCACCACCGCCACCCAAAGCGAGATGAGGAGGAGCTCGAGATTCGCCAGCCTATTCTCCCCCATGGAAATCGCCGCTCTAGATTCGGTGGCCGGATGAGCCGCGGTGGTCATAAACTGCGGGATATTGAAGAGCGCGACCTCGACCTCGAGGTCCGCGAGCCTAAGACCTTCCACGCTGGCCGCCGTGCTGGTCATCGACATGGCCCCCGGAATGTAGACGAGCTTGATGGGCGTGACTTGGAGGAGCGCAAGATCTCCGCCAAGGGTGTCGCTAAGGGCATTGGTAAAGTTGCTAAGGGGGCCCTCGGCCTCCTCTTCCGCGATATTGATGAGCGTGACATCGACGAGCTGGAGCTTGAGACCCGATCCCCTATATTTTTGCCCGGAAAGCACTCTCATAACAAGGCTGACAACAAGCCACGAGACCTTGCAATTCGCAGACACAAGTCCGGTTATCTTCGCACACCGCGAGATCTCGAGACCCGAGCTCGCCGCCGCCGAGGAGGCCGTCGTCATGGACGACACTCAACACAGTGAGAAATGAAGCGCGCGTGTGCGCTATGACCACTAAGTGTGAGGGTTGTGGCAATGGGAAGGAAGTTTCAGCGACACTTGGCTAGAATTTGTGTCGGGTCTCTTTCTTTTTTTTACTTCCCCATTTGATGATGTTCGGTATCAGTTTGGCTCAATGGCTGGCTTTTCCCTTTCTCATTCTTCTACCACCTGTTCTTCTACTGGTTGATGTTGGCTTTTGTCCCCTTCCTCGTCTTTTCTGTCAGATTTTATTTAAGATTAAGTGAAATGCTAGTTTTTACGTTGGATTTTGTGTTAAATCAGCCCTTGATATCACGGATTTACACTTTCTCATCAAGAACCTTCGTAATGATTACACGGCAGCCAATGATCTTCGCCGCACTTCCGAAGACCCAGATGTACTTCCAAACCAATAGTAGCGGGTGGTCATTGAATGAATGCTATGGAATGATGCAGTAAATTGCAAGAGGGGACGTTGAACCCAAGTTATCGACGTCTACTAAGAAGCTCGTATAAACTCCATATTTCGCTGAAAGGCATTAATTGCTTTTAAAACAAGTGCAGTGAGTCGGAGATGCACTTGCCCCGCCAATTTGGAAAGACAGCGGCTCCAGACTGTTCGTAGGCCAAGTGATTGCGCCGATCATACGGGCTGCTGGAGGGGACATTCGCTGCGTCTATGGGGCTAATAGAAACACTCATCTACCGTGAACAACAGCAAAAAGTTCCAGAAAATGTAAGTTTTAGAACCTTACTCCTAAGTCCTCTGAGTTGCCTGTGAAGGCCCGAGGCGTCTGGATCGGGCACAGCTCAATACGAGGAGTCATCATCCGCAGCCGATTTACTTGAAACATTATATTGGCCACGGTGACGCAAAGCTGTGCACTTTCGGCTCGCCATTGTTGATCATTTACTCTTGGTGATGGCCGCCTAAATGATCCATTGGGCAGTGATGACCGTGAGGCATCGGCGAGGCGTTTTCTGATATGGTCTGGGCTCAAGCCACATTGACAAAATCTGTCAGCGTGCATATTGGGCACTATACGAATACGACAGCAGGCAAGTAAGGCTTGATTTAGCAAAGTCGGAAGCTGACAGAATCGGGAGGTCCAGAGGCTTACGACAAAATCTGGCATCTGAATCTTTTGCCCGAAGGCGGAGGTATGACATCCCAGCTCAGACGTCGGTGACACAACGTAGGTAGATGAATATATAAAGTGAATCAATTCTCTCCTCGCCAAAAGTGTCCGTTCGGATTCTCCATCTCTCTTGTTCCCCCCTTACGATTCCAGCACCTGCAGCCGAGTGAGCCAACGATTCCTCATTACGATTTCCTGCAGTGCAAGTTTTGCACAACTCAGCATGCCGACTATTCTCCAAAAGATCTCGAAGGAGAAATGGGAAGAGTACAAGCCGATTATCAAGCGCCTTCACATGGATCAGGGCCTTCCTGTGAAAAGCAGGATTGGTAGACCAAACTTGACCCAAGTGATGAAAGATGACCACAATTTTGAGGCCACGTAAGTCTAAGACATACATGTGTATGTATATCAGACGCTGTTTGGGAATATGCTAATATCCATTCATTAGCCATAGCCAGTACGAGGCCCAGCTGAAGAGGTGGGGATGGGTCAAGAACTTGAGCAAAGAGGAGTGGAACCTGGTTCTGCCTTTATACCATTGGCTGAAGGAACAGCAAATGGATGTTCGGGTCAAAGTCTCTGGGAGGCCCCTCGAAAAGGCTAGGCTTGAGAGGGGTCGTCGATATGTCAACACAAAATTCGATGGTGGTCTCGTCCCGCCACTAACCGGATGTAAGAAGCGTCTTTCTGAGACTTTGGTGGGGGGATCTAACACACCATAGGGCTTTCAATGTCGGACCACCGCCATATAACTATTGAGACGCGTGAAGCGAATAGAGAATGGTCACAGTACCCACCATGGGACGACACAGGAGACCTGCCAGGCACTGGCTTTAATTCAGATGTGAATCTCTTAATTGATGAAGCCATGTTGCAAGACATAACGCCACAAGAGAATGTCATGGGATTTGAAAACGGAACGCTTGGTCAAGCTACCCTAAATGGTTCAGAGACAGCCGGAGCAATTCCTGATTCCATGGTCAATTCATGGTTTCGTACCCGCGAAACGCCTGTCGACAACATAATCGGGCCGCAGTTTAATGACAACTGTACAATGACGCAGCCTTCCAACAATTACCAGATGTCATGTATACTGTGGGAGCCCCCACCGTTCCTTCAATTACTTCTGAAGATGCCTGTGATGACTCTGGTTGAAAGTACGACAAGAACTGGCGCGTTCTCGGTCCAACAAATAGCCCAAACTTTTTCTGCAAGGCTGTTAGGCTACTCAGCGATTATACAACGCAGAAACCAAACTCCAGCAAGAATGGACTTGATTTTGAAACCGCCTAGCATTGACTTGGTTTCACATCGCCTCGTTGAGCTTGTACAAGAGATTGAATCGCAGAGCGATCTTTTTGGAATGACTTTTGGTGCCAACAGTCTTCCCTGTGCAATTTTATACTCCATAGCCAACGGGTTTACGGGGCTCTCCGAGATTCCAGCTTCCTCGGTAGTGAAGCTGCTCAAAAACGAACCGCACGTGTACGCGACGATGCATAAACTTCTTCTGGATGCCCCGGCTATTGTTGCAAAGCCGTTCGCTGAGAATCTACTAAAAGCATCCGTGGAAGCTGCAGACGCGGAGGCTGTTCGAGTAATCGCCAGAACGATGATGCAGAGAGGGATTAAGATCAACCCAAATGAACTCATGTGCGAATGCGATGGGAGGTTTCTCACCCCGGCAGAGCTTGCGGGTAAATTTCGAAGCGTCGACCTGCTTCAAGTCCTGTTAAAATTGGGCGCAGATGCAAATAAGACCTCTGACGGTCTTCTACGTCGCATTAATGGCGCATTGAATTGGGCGTTAGATGTCAAACATCTGAACGGGGTCATTTTAGAAGGCGAAATCGAACCATCCTTTGCGCTCGTCCAAATGCTCGTCGACGCCGGTGCCATAGTTCAGCTCGATTCCCTCTTGCTTTCAGTGAAATGGTGCCGTGACTCTCGAATTTTGGCATTGGTTATACAAAAGATCACGGATGATGAAGATGGCAGACTATTGCGATTCCTGCCGGATTTGATTAAAAACATGGACAACGATCTAGGCATACAGGCGACACAGAAACTTTTCGAAGTCTGGGACAGCCGTCAACTTGATTGTCTCAATTGCGGGTACCCTAAAGACAAGGGTATTTTTCTTCAACGGTCACTCGATGAAGCAATCCTTCGCGAAAACTTAGATCTTTGCCAGCTTATCCTCAGTCGCGCCGTCCCAGGGGCCAAAGCGCTCCCTCTGGCCATCGGGAAAGGGAATTGTCGAATCGCCAGCCTTCTCATCCAACACGGAGCACGTGTGAGCGAGGGTGCCGGTGAACCAGGGGAACAATCAAGAGGCACGGGTGGATTTTTCTATCCAGACCCACTCTTCACACCCCTAGGAGAAGCCATTCGGCTGCAGGATCCGTCTATGCTACAATGGGTGGAAGAGCAAGGGGCATGGACCTTTGTATCGGACCGAAGATCTCTTGAGTCCGTAGCCGAAGCTGCCGCTGAGGTCGGGAATATAGCTGTACTGGAGAGGTTATTTGCCATGGACGTCGTCCGTGACCGTGGTCCAAGCACGGATTTCGAGCGCGCGCTAGAGGCTGCGACTCGCAAAGAGAACATCCCGACTGTGCAGCTGTTGCTGGATAACGGCGCCAGGCCAAATGAAAGAATACTGGAGCTTGCCCTTGACGTTCAAAATCGAGACCTCTTTCGAATGATTCTGTGCAGCGGGGTCGTATTTGCTTGCTGCAGCGCCAAGTGCGATCGGATAGAGTACGTATATGGAGATTACAGCTGCGCACTGGAGCTTGCAATTAAATGGGGGAATATGGAGATAGTCAAAGAGCTGATTCACGCAAAAGCCCACTACAGCATGCCGCAGCAGGGGGCGCGAGGACTTTGCGCTGCCATCAGATCAGGGAACGTCTTGCTGGTAGATCTGCTGTTATCGGCTGGTGTTAGTCCCGATGCTGCCTACAAGTATCGAAAAGCTCCAAGCACCATGATATTTCACAGCATATCGCCCCTATTCACCGCAGTGAAGAGTGGAAACGAAGGAATGGTTCGTCATTTACTTCAGAAAGGCGCAGATCCAGCAGATGCCCTCGCCATCAGTCTCGCCGTTGAACTAGATAAGACGTCTTTATTCAAGACGCTGCTTACAGCCTTTCGACAGTCATATCCCGCTGGACGTGCGGATTTTGGGGCCGACCCATTAATTAAAGCGATAGAAAAGGAGGAGTGTCCGTATTTTGAGGAGCTTCTTGAGGCCAGGATGAATGTCAACCATTTGTCCCTAAGGTGCGGGCGTACGCCACTTGGCAGCGTCGTCGAGCGTCATGGCACTATGTGTCTAGAAATTGCTGCCAAGCTGCTGAAATCTGGGGCTGATCCTAATGCTATCGCACGAATGGAGACAATAGAGGGACCTTATCGCCGTGCTGCCACAACACCACCAGAGACCGCACTGCTCATAGCGATTGAAGCCGAAAATGAAGACATGGTAGCCCTGCTCTTGAAGAATGGTGCTGATGTTAACAAGGCAGCCCGGCGAGGTATAGAGCGAACACCCCTACAAAGTGCCTGCCAAAAAAGAAGTCTGCCGATTGTTCAGCTCCTAATCGAACGCGGTGCAGACGTTAACGCCCCGCCTTCTATCCGAAACGGAGGAACTGCTCTGCAGCTTGCTTGCTTGTCTGGCAGCATAAGAATCGTCCGGCATCTATTGTCTGTCGGTGCTAATGTTTTTGGTCCAACCTCTAATGCTAATGGGCGATCGGCCCTCGAGAATGCGGCAGAGAACGGGCGTTTGGATATCATCAAGGTTCTATGGGATGCAACAGGAGGCTGCGGATTCCCAGCCAGGGAGATAGCAAAGGCCCAGCGTTTCGCAAGGGCTAGAGGCTTCCCAGGTTGTGCAGAATATGTCGCCAAACTGGCAGAAGCGTCGGCAGAAGCGTCTTTGCTTGAGTTCTTAATGACAACAAGGTCTTAATCCTGTGGGCGCCAGCATTATATATTTCTTCCTCGTAAAATTTGTGCAGTTATTTAATGCCAATCTAGAAATGAGTTTTCAGCGGCACAATTGCCTTGCATAGCCATTCAGAATGCACATGCTGACTGCCAAGTCATAGCCAATTGCGTTGAAGATGACGCATGAGTCAGCCCCCCAGTTACGTCGCATGAGTCACTGTTGCCTTGACATAATATGCCCTGTATCGCTCTTCACATATCGATCGGGCTCATTACTCCAAGAGAGTTACTAGGAAGTAACTCACTACTACTCTGCCGGGCTCAACTTTTCATCAAACAGCCTACGAGCACCCCAAGCCTTGACTGTGACCACCACGATGTCTCTACAGTCCCTTCCCTTCGAGATCTTGACACAAATAATTCAACCGCTTATCCCATCTAATCGGAGTAGTTTGAGCACGGATTCCAAAACCGGTGTTTTGAAGCTTCGCACTGTCTGCCGTCAGTCTATCTTCTCATCAATCCTTGAACACATCTTTTGACATGGCGAAAAAGACTAAATTTCACCATAGGAAGCTTTGACCATGTGGTATCGCGATGCGCGCTCCGAAAGCTGGGGGCAATTGCTATGCTAAGTCTTGATCGCAGGCCAGACAGAATTGAAACTATTCTCTGGCTTCTACTCACCAAGGCCAAAATGGAATGTTCCACCCAAGGGAGCCCTTTTGAATTTATTTATCTATGTGCCTCTTTTATGGCTCGTCAAACACGCTGGGGTTTCTTCGAGTGTCCGAAGAGACTGGGAGTGGTTGGGTACCGTTTGCGAGGCTATTGTTGCCTCTCACGACACGCAGTGGGTGCTCAACCTCCTGGTTGGGGATTCAAGTATGTTTCCGGGGCCAGAAGCTTGGGAATTCCATCATGGACTCAGCTTCAAAGAAGCGAGAGAGTCTCAAGTCGATGGAGAAACGATCACGGCTGCTCAGTCAACCGTGGCATTATCTCTCGCTTCATTCCGAGGCGACGAGGAGGGGGTGACTATGCTTCTTTCCAGCGGAGGAACCCCCGACATGTGCCATTTTTTATTTGCCAAGCCCTTGTATAACGCGGCATACAACAATCATGTTCATATTATGAAGTTGCTGGTAAAGCACGGTGGCAGCCTCCAAACAAGTGGGCAATTCGGCACTCTCATTGAAGTCGCTTGTCGGCAAGGCCACATTGAAACCCTTCGATATCTCCTGGACACTATTCCCATACGAGAGTCAAAATGTTCCCTTAGTAAAGTCTTGCTGCTTGCTTGTAGGAATGGACATGAAGAAGTCGTTCGCGTTCTTCTCCAATGGGTCGATAGCATGAATGCAGTGGACCAAACTTGGAGGGAGCTCGGCAGCCATCTCGGATTCAAAATGATTGGGGCGCGGCCCCAGATTGACTTGAACTGCTCAATCATGAATGAGGGAACACCCTTGGCAGCCGCCGTTGCAAATGGGAATGAAGCGATAGTTCGCAGGTTGGTGGCTCGTGATGACGTGCAACAGCATTTTGGAAGAAGCAGATTCTGCCCAGTCTGGCTTGCCGTTAAACAGGACAATGCATCAATTGTCGGCCATCTTTTGGATCGCTATCAACTAGAGCCTAACTTCATCATTAAGCGAGACATGACGTTGCTTTGTGCAGCAGCAGGCCTGGGAAGTGCGGCAGTTGTCCGGATGCTTCTTCAACGAAGGGACATCGATCCCAACTTCCGAGCGCAAGAAAGTCATACGACCCCGTTATCATTAGCAGTGCTTAGGGGACATAGCGAGGTCGTTGGATTACTATTGGAGCGAGAGGATATTGACCCGAATATTCCAGCACGGGACTGGAGGCCATTGGAAAGAGCTGTGCATAAGGGGCATGAAGCCATTGTAAGACTCCTCCTCATGCGGCAAGATCTCAATCCGAACCTCCATGAAACTCCCTTCACACCGTTAGGGGCTGCGGCGAGGCTAGGCATGAAAAATATCGTACGGATGCTTCTGGAGCGGCCTGACACGAATCCAAATCTTGGACACCCTGACTCTGGTCACACTCCCCTGAGACTTGCCATCATCCGCCACTGGCCACATGTTGTGAGGGAGCTCCTCCAACGAAAGGATGTCGATCCAAATCAAACAGGAATACATGCATACATTGTAATAGAACCGCCCCTACAACGTGAATTAGAACAGCCTCCATTTGCTCCTGTCATATATGCTATTTCGGTCGGATCAACGGATGGACTGCGACAACTACTATCTCATGAGAACATAAATGCCAATGAGCATCACGAAGGCCAGACTCCACTGATTATGGCAGTCCAAAGCAGACTGACCGACATGGTTCGTGTTCTTCTGGAGCATCCAAACATTGACGTAAATAAAGCAGCCACATGTGAATCGTACCATGACGAGGTTCACATTAGGACGGCTGAAAGCACGACCTGGTCGTACACGCCAACCTTAGTTCAGGCAGGCGGCCCTGGCCCAACGCCTCTGTTCATCGCCTGTAGAAAAGGCTACCTCGAGGTTGTCAGTCTTCTTATCGAACACCCAAGGATCAACTTGAAAATGAGCGATGATAGGTCTCGGACTGCGCTTTGGTGGGCGGCGTGGGGAGGGAACCCGGAAGTGTTCACGCTACTTCAAAAAAACTGTGGTGAATACATCAATACCTCCGACTTTGAAGGCTGGACGGCGCTGCATGTCGCAGTAAATTGGGGTCATGGTGTGATTTTTGATATCCTGATGGGCTGCGCGGAGCTTGACCCAAACGCCGTCAACCAAGATGGCTGGACTGCTCTTCATCTCGCCGTTGACCGTGGTAGAGAGGCCATAGTGTTGAAACTTCTCAAACATCCCAGGATTGATATAACATGTAGGAATTCAGACGGGCAGACGCCAATGGATTTGGCCCGCTGGAGAGGGTATGAGAGGCTGGCTGATCTCGTCCACAACCGAGGCCGGCGTCTTGGGCGTGCGCGTGTAACGACCAAACTATTCTTCTCGAAATATTCGAGATAGTATTTCAGTCAACCCCAGCAAGCATATCGTTCTAAAATTTATTAGCGCTCTGTTGTCGGGAAGTATATTGAAACCTCAATCCAAGTATGATAGATCTCGAGCTGTTTATCCCAAGATTATCTCCCTATGCGTGTTCCAGTTGACTATGGCATGTCACATACACTAGGTAGCTAAAGTAAGAAAGTACTTGGCTCCATGTAAACGTTACCACTCATCAAATGCGTGCTTCTTTTGGTATCATAAAGGCACCTATAGCACTTAATTTGAGCGATGCGGGGGTGAACATGTTGGATAAGGAGCTATCATCGACAGAGTGGAATACATTGCTAACTATCCGCATAACTAAATTTGAAAAGACAGGATCTTGTAATGGCATTTCCAATCAATTTTTCCCAACTACTTCTGCCTGCGACGCGTTCGTCTGAGTTGCCTCTCGCAATTACAGCCAACGCATAAGATGCAAAGGCAAGCCATTTACAAGATCCGTCACGCTGAAAGTTGCCTGAGAAGTCCCGAATTCACCGGCAAGTGCCAAGGCTGGAATTTGGGTCAGTATTCGCGCACAATCTTGGCGCGAGCTGTGAGTGCGCGATCATCAAGCCGTGTGCAGGGTTTCTGCAAATTGCTTTGCTCGGCGCTTGGAAAAGCTGCTGGAGATGGGCCAACGGCCACTTCCCAGAGGGCTTAGATTATCTAGGCTCGGAGACAACTGATCCTGGCTAGTGTCGGGCTTCCAGGTGCTATTTTGGGGCTGCAAAAAAGACTGCAACTATTTTTAGGGAGGGGGCATGATGAAACCGCCAGCCACCAGCCAATCCTGTCAGCTAGCCGTGCTAGTCGGAAGTAGGCCTTTCGCTTCAGGGAGCTGGGTTCGCGGCTGAGGAATTGTTGTTGATCATTGGCGTGTATGCTGGAGGAGGCTCTTGTGGTCCTGTCCAAGACGGAGCAGCTGGTGCCATTGAGCTTGCAGCAGGCACTTGATTGCTTGCCAGTAAGGGCACAGCAGGCGAAGAGGAGTATTTGTTCCGGTCGTAATCGAAGGTCGGGCTGCCGTTGGTGCTCCTGACCTGCTGCACGTATTTGAGGTCCTGCTTTCTGCGCATCGACATGATGGCGCCGAAGCGGAAGACGGTGAGGATGACGCCGATTGCGATGACAGAGACAACGATTCCGATGATGGCCCCCTTTGGGAATCCGCGATGGTCGGACTCGGGGTCTCTGGTTGCAATAGTGATTGGCAGGGCAATGGCCATTGCATGGGTGGGCGGAAACAGTCCTGCCATTGACAGGAGGAAGATGATAACAAAGAGCATCGTGATGGAAATGACTCGGAAAGACAAAAAAGGAAAAGGTGTGAAGTTCAACCACAGCGGTTTGCCATGAGGAACCAAGAGAGAAGATGTTGATCCATCTTATGTTAGACCTTGAACATGGCTTCAACTTCATTGTTGGCTTGGCAGAGTGGCCGTGCGATCCTCGTTCCTCCCAACAGGGGCTGTGCGATGGTCGCTAAATGGAGGCCACGATGGCTGACGGGGACTTAATTAGCCTAGCCACCCATGCATTCGAAGGGACGAAGAATGATTGTTCCCCGTTTTAGAAGGATATCGAGGCTCTTCCGTCTCATCGGGACTCTTCCACGAGGCTCCTCAATTGTCCGCCTGGTGATCACCAATGCCGCTATTCTTAGCTCTTGAGACGGCCAGCACCCGGTTGATCTACTACTTCAGTACGCCTGTCATTACCTATGTTTCGTGACTTGGTATGGACAAAATTTTTGGTTCTTTGTCATACTGCAGCCATCCCTCGGACAGCGCTGGGCCTCCTCCAAGCAGTTCTGGGGAAGCTCGCGCGTGATGCCAATAAGAATGTCCCGAGCCTGCCCTGTTTTTGACGGGGATCCCCATGACTCGCATGAAGTGGTAATTTTAGCGGTGTTCGCCCAGCATCCTCGCTGGTCACCACGCTGTACCTCATGCCAACATTCACCAAGTCCATACTTCCAGTGTGCTGTAGCTTGTATGCTATGCTTCTTTCTCGTGCCCGCCGCATTAGAATTTCTCAGATTGGCCACTCACATGCGGGGTTGCCTCCGGAACCGGAGCCGCTGCGTAATGATCGAATCCATGATCCAACCATCTGATGACTGATGATTTGCCCCTCACTGGGGAATCATACTCAACATATGTAACATACCATTTTGCGATCAATCTCTAGTGGCCCTCTATTCCCAGATCTATAACCGCTAGACCTTCGTACCTCAAAGATATTAGACATGTCGCTGTCTACCTCTAGTGGCGTCCCATACCCCTTTCCCTTGACGACAAGCAAGCAACAAGAGATCGGCAACAATGCCAATATCTCCCAACATGTCACGTTGACCCTACCTAATGTTCGCGGTAAGATTCCATTCGAGCCGACATCCAGGCTCCGATCCATGTGGCTTGAGGCCCACGGCGACCAGTCCAAAATTCTAGCCCAACCGTGCGCGTTTGATGGCTTGTCCTCACGAATGATCGAGCAAGCCGGCTTTCAGATGATATTCATTTCAGGATACGCCGTGGCGAGCACACATGGAATCCCAGATACGGGATATACTGCAATGCAAGAGATGTGTGACAAGATCCAGGAGTGCGTCCGGCAGGTTTCTATCCCCGTAATGGCTGACGGCGATACTGGGTATGGTTCTCCTCTGAATGTCAGAAGGACTGTCCAATCGTTTTCACATGCTGGAGCAGCTGGGATTATGATTGAGGACCAAACCTGGCCTAAAAGTATGAAGAGACTGCTCATTGAGGGTTTTAACACCCGATTAACTCCTCACTTGCGTTAAATGCTAACCCGAATTTCCACAGGATGTGGCCACACCAGAGGCAAGTCCGTTGTTTCTCGTGAAGAAGCCTTTGCACGGATCAAGGCCGCATGTGATGCCAGGAACGAAGGCCGGGATATCTTTATTCTAGGCCGGACCGACGCGCTCATTCTCGGGTGGGAAGAAGCCATGTACCGAGCGCAGCGATTCAAGGAGCTTGGCGTTGATGCCGTGTTTGTGGAAGCTCTTCCCGACAAAGAGGCCATGAAGAAATGTTTAGAATCGGTGGATATACCCATGATGGCCAATCGTAGGTTTCGCTCTTCAACTTCTCCCCATAATTACAACTCTGAAATTGACTGCAAAATAGTTATCGAAGGAGGTTTGACCGAGAATATCCCCGCGCAAGAGCTGGCGCTCATTGGGTTCAGTGCCGTCTGCTACCCTTTCACGCTGGTAGCCGCCAAGTTGAAAGCTATCCACGAGGCACTGGAGAATCTCAAAGCCAGTATGACAATTGGAGCACCCCCAATGATCCTCCCGGCAGATGAAGTTCACAAGGCAGTGGGATTTGAAGAGTACTGGGTAAGGTAATTTATTCTCACAGTCGTGTATGCCACTGACCCGTTCGATATAGGAACTTGAGAAGCGGTATGCCCATGACTAAAGGAGCTCAGTCACCGAGAAACACAAACAGAACCATGACAAACAAGTCGATAGTACATTGTCACTGCAGCCTTCAAGCCACTTCAGCCACATGATATGAGAAGCTATCCTTAGTGGCATAAATTGTAGGCATTGGATCTTGTTAGAATGTTTTCTCCTTGCCCTGAGATTTATGATGTGCACAACATAGGGGAAAGAGAATAAATTCAACAGCACTGAAAGCTGCCAGCGCCTGATAGCTCAACTCAATGAGTACAATAAGTGCACAACAGTCTATCTAGGGTAGGTAGATATCAAGAGTCTTGCTACTAGGACCCTTACGCCTGGGCCAGTCAACGGGCCTGAAGCTGACCGACGATTGTTTTCATCGTTCTGACTAAAGGAGGAAGGTTGAGCCGAGATTTCGGTCCAGGGAATAAAAGGTTATAATGGTAATAATTGCGAAATTCAACCCTTCAATCCTCCAACAAAACTCACCGGCGGCACAAATTCGTGCACAATTGAGTCGTGACCGGACTGATCCACCTAATGCTACCAGCCGAGATAAGGACCGAGGTGGTGTTCCATCTCCTGCGTCCTGATTTCGATGATTTCTTTAATGTCCGCAGCGATGTAGACTGGGACACGCTGAAGTACTTTGGCCCTCCCCGGGATGCCTATTCTGAAATGCGTGGCGCATGGATAAGAACCTCGTTTTACAAGCTACAGCTCGGTATCAAGTCCCTTTGCAATGTGCGGCTGGTGTCCAGGGGCTGGCTCACGGCTGTCAATGCTGTCTCGGAAAAGCATCTCTGATGGAGCGTGGAGGTTGGGTCTCGGGAGAAGCTGCAGAGAGTAGTCAGCGCATGCTCCCCAAATGCCGAGCATGTCCATGCATTCGCCGGTAATCCCGTCAAGCGACTCAGGATACCTTCGATCGAGGATGCGCTGGCTTTTGAACGCATCTTTACATACGAATGGGACCAACTAGGAGAAGAAATACTTGAAACGGCTGATAGGCGAATCCGACGAGATGAAACTAACTTGCTGTCGGAAAACCCGTTCAAGAACTCTCACCAAAGGGAGCTTATTGACCAAATATTTAGCCACTTGGGCAACATCGAAGCCTTGAGCCTCTCTTTCCCCGACGCTTTGTCTGATTAGGACAACGGCGCCGAGGGCAAAGCATACTTCTATGACATGGAGGTGATCGATTCGTGCGTGGCCTTCTTCCAAAACACGCTGGCCAGTCCTTCATTCCAGTTCCTCGCTGACCTGACGCTGGATCTGCCGTGCACATACCACGTGGGAGATGGATTCGAGATTGTGGAGCGTGATGGGGACGTTCAGAGATCGAATGACTTTCCTTTCAGCAATGTCCAAAGACAGTTCCCCAATCAAGGTTGCCAGGACGCCATGTGGGATTTTGTCGCATCTTGCCCCAATCTCTCGTGTCTCTGTATTATGGCGATTCAGTTCCTAGATGTGGGAAGGTTGGATTGGAAGAAATCACACAATTCCCGCGGTTTGAAAGTCCTATCTCTGGACCGTGTCTGGGTCAGTGTTGCCGCGATCAAGTCACTCCTACAACCGCATTCGACATCCAGTGCCCCTCCTGCGCTTCGACGTATTAACCTTTATGAGGCCAAGATGCATATCGAGGGGGGGACTGGGAGGATCTGTTTATTTATCTCAAAGACAACTGCCCAAGTCTTGAATGCGGCAGGCTGGGGCAGCTCACTTACTTCGAGGACCACCCTCGGAATGATTACATGGAACATCATGATGAGGAAGAATTTGTATGTTCGACTGATGAGACAGACAAAGAAGAGCATTCTGATCTTAACCAGATGCTAATTAGAAGGGCTGGCGGCAGAGAATTCTTTCCAGAAAGCCTTGTCGAGTATTTGGGTTAGCACCATGTCGGATCAAGAAAAGCTCATCTCCGTACTGGATAAGCAGGGTGCACTATAAGGGCCTGGATTGAACGACGTAATTTGCGATTTAAGTGCCAGCAAACCTCTCGTTCATGGTCAAGGGAACGCTGAATCCTCACCTCTTGGAATTTAGCTATCAATTGCTCAAGGTTGGACCTAACGGGAGGTTCTGAGTTGAATCCAGTGATATGGGGATACAGCAATACCACGGCGACCAGAGCTGTTACTGCCAAGTTACAACCGTAGTACATACCTAAGTCCAGGCTAAAGTAGTACACTCATCAACTTGCATAGTGGTTTCAACGGGTGAACGGGACCTCATCGCTAGCATACTGGTCGCTATCCTATTAGGTATTGTAGTAGAGCATCCTACAACCAGAGCGTACATGCCCCCGTATCCGCAGGTCATACTACTGCGGCCACTACATGATTACAAACATCCTTGCTGGCGAAATAGACTTTAGACTTCTTTACATTTGTATCTAGACCTAAGAGTAACTTGTCTAATGTCTCTAGGAGGGAAGGGCTCTTCAGTGTTCCCAGAAAAAAGCATGACCATAGCCAAGGGCTATGATAAAACCGAGGAAGTATATATTTTCCGAGGTTCCAATATTCTAGAGCGAATCAGGGGCCTGAATATGACCAACAATCACAAACGCTTCATGAACCCAAGAGATCATCAACTGTTAGTGCTTCTGTATCCGTTCAGTTGTGGCAAGATACAGCCACTACAGCCAGTGGTTCCGTAGAACCAACGCTTTCCTGATACTCTCCTACCACATTTTCTGCCGCACACCCCTCATCGCTAATCACGGGTAAGCCAAGCTGACTGTGTGCGCTTGATGGGCTTGAGACTCACGTATATGTCAAGCAGAATGCCCCTTCTGACAGCAGGACAGAGTTGACCTTGCCGCGTCTATTGTCCATCATTAGTGAAGGGAACACCTGACCACAATATAGATATCACTGGCCGGCTTGGTCGCGAAAATGGAGGCAATTAACATACAGGCGTTCGTCGAGTTTAGTACAATTATCAACTGACACGATCTGTGTATCTCCCTGGTAGTTGTTTTCTGAATAGACAACTCCCTATATTCATGTCAGTCGGCAGGTTCTAATCAACATTACTTGTAGTCCTACAATAGGGAATGCCGGTGCAGTGCCGGCCATCGCGCCAGCAGCTAACAGAAGAAATGCAAATGATCGCATGGTTGATATCAGATAGGCCAAAAAGTGTACGTAGAATCGTACATCAGGAATGGAAAGCGATACATCAAGCTATTTGTATATGAATACAGTCTACCCTGTCCGTCAGCAATGCCAATAATTGCCCCCTCTTTGAGTTCCTTTTTCCTCGGACGAGCTAGCTCTCCCTTCTTATTAGCGGGGCAAGGTCCAAGCCATTGACATGTATGACTCTAAATGTCTCAATTATTACTCACATTTTTGCTTGTTGTGCTCAAAATTGTAGCATTACGGCCCCCTACACCCAAGTAGTGCTTCGATCATTCAAATCGACCGGGAAAAGAAAATAGATTGAAGGCTTTCGCAATTGATTAGTTCCTTTCAAGTTCCTTAAGTCTAAATATAGAATCAGTTCAAATAGAAATGTAGGGTGGGATTTTCGGCGTTTTCGGCAGCGTCGCAGCGACGTCGCGATGGCCTTGGGGTAGGCGGGACTATCAGTGATTCGCCGGCTCCGACAGTCTATTCACAAGAGCCCGACCTATCTATTTTGTGTTGTGACGAACTCATTAGGGACCTGACATTTGTGTCTTTCCAAGGCGTACGAACCGACCAAGCCGGCATCCCTTACAGTATGAAAAATCAGATCGATCCGTGCTATCCTGCCCTCAAAATCTTAGTGAAACACTGTTCCATGAACAATAATAAATCTTGGAGTATCGAACGTAAGTTAGCTGGCTAAAGAGACTCTTACTTCGATTTGCGGTTATTGGTGAGATTGTAGATCTTGAACTAATTGATCGAAACCCGGGTTCCAAATCAATGAAGATGAAACTTGTTCAACCCGAAAACTAGACGATCTTTCAGCTCACTGACTCAGTAAGAGTCATGATCTCACTATCTCTCAGGTTTATGTACGTTAAAAAGTTCCAAAGATCCGAGTCAAGTCTCAGTTATGACGACATTCGAGTTACTCGAATTTCGGTTTCGGCGGCCCAATCTTTGAATCTAGAAAGTCACTAATTGATGCGTCGAGTACAAAGGTTTTAAGAATTGTGCATTCTTAACACCGAGTTTCGGTTATGCGAGAATCAGTAGATGTAGCGATTGATTTGAAGACGACCTTTTAGCTTGTCCCGCCTAATACCTAGTAGTTTCGGCCATTGTGTCCCACGCAAGATAATCGGCAGATTCTAATCATCTTCACACTCTTATAATGACTATATTATGCTTTTATGGCCTGATGTCCAATTGTTGCACCTAGAGTACACAAGTGAACCAATGCGGTGTCAAACCGCTTTTCTTACTGCCATCTTGGTACTAGGAAACCAAGAGAGACTCCGTCGCAGCGAACAAGCCTGTTCCGTTGCCCTGAGACAAGTAATCGCGATTGCCACTGCTTCCTTCAGCTACAGCCTAAGCCCAGAGTTCAACGCAAATTTGACCCAGAATTTCCCCTCCTTGCTTCGACCAAGGGTTTCGTCCATTTCAGCCTTCAGCACTGGGTTCACTCCCTTCTTCCTCATCTTTTCTCGCTCTTCAACAGGGATTTTATGGACTGGGTGATCTTTGGGCAACCAATCGTACTCGTCCTCCGGCGCTGAGCTGAGAGAAGCGGTCTCTGTCGGAGTGACTTTGGACTTGTCTGTTCTGGAGGGTTTGTTTGAATTCATTGTCGTTGCTCGTTAGGTGTGACAGTCATGTGGAGTCAGAGCGTGAGATGTTAAGTTGACACATCTAAGCCTTGAAGGTCAAGTTGCTTCATAATTTATATGTTGGTAGGTGCAGTGATCGCCGCTATGATGCAAGACGTTCCCCTAAGTCCCATCACTTCGGCGTATATAACTGGGGATGGTGGGCACATGACATCACCGCTTATGAACCACATATACACTGGCTTTGAACTCCATAGAAGGCTCATTAGGGCGATTACCTACAGGTCTCAGCTTAAGTATTCGTAGCTCGAGTAAACACGAGACGAACAGTAGATAAATTAGCGAGCTGCCTTGATTTTCCTGAGAATGATCGAATAAAATCTGAGAATCCGCTTTGAAAAATCTCCGAATTCATATCCATGGTTGCAGGTACAATCTATCGAATTATTATTGTGAATAGTTATGCAGATATCTATATGTTTTGAGGATGTTTTCAATAGCAAAGTTGGTAGTGTTCTTGAAATCCTTCACCCCTCGAATCTAAAGCTCACCGATCTTATGACCAGTTTCTACAGCCTTGTATGGACATCCTTTCCAATCGCAAGTGTTCTAGACTCATTAGCTCACGTAAAACACGGAAGAAGAGGATGGAATTGGATGTTGTCCGCTTACCTTGTAAACAGATGTTCCCCACCAATTGAAGTTGTCTGCGGCGCCCGTGTAGAAAACAGTGAAGAATATAACGATCCCAGCAATTGCAAGGGAGCAGTCGAGCGCTGAGCTGAGGACGAAGTTGTACTTCATCCACCACTTTCGAGCATGCCTCTTGACCCACCAGCCGAAAATAAGGCCTACGATGGCCCAGCTGCCGTAGTTGGTCCCAGAGGCAGGAGGAATGTAGTTCAAGCCGCCCAGAAAAACGGGAACATGGATTTTCTGAATCCAACGAGATTTTCCAAATTTCTTCTTCACTAGGAACACGACCACTGGGAGGAATGCGCCCACGAGGAAGAACCAGAGAAGCGGGCGGTACTGAGAACCAGGCTCAAAGAATCTTCGCGGACCAAGTGCGCCCCATACCATACTTGTGTTGAAATGAGTTTTAGAAAATGGGCAGGTGAAACCGTTGGCCGCCTTGTTGGTGCAAATGTTGGGTATATGCTCCAATGCCCAGTTAACGACTGAAACTTGGCTTAACGTGCTGATGACGATGCCAACAGCCTGGACTGTAAACAAATCTCGAGGGGGGATCTTGTGGCCGTCAGTAAATTACCTAAGTTCATCTTTGTATTACGATAAAAGACACTCTTACATTGCAGTAAAGACCGAGTTTTAGGTCTTGGGCAAACCACAAACCCTTGATGCCAGTAATGTAACCCAAGTCGAAAAACCAAATATTTGCGAGGACCTTGCCTTCCCAAATATATCCAGCGATGATTCGACAGAACACATCAATTGAGACATGTAGATCGGTAGCAGCACAGATCAATGCCAACTAAATGTACGAATTCATTAGCAAAAACGGCCGTGCAAATCACCCGAAGTATTGCACTTACAGGGATAAAGAAGACGGCCGAGACAACGAATGCCAGTATAGCGCCGTACCAACGAAGCTGGACTGGGTAATATTCGCTAACAAATATCCCAAGGCCAACGGAAATGGCCAATGTCACCAGATACCACCAGGTTGGCACTGACTTGTAACCGGGTTGGGACGATTCACGCTCGACGTCCCCTTCCTTGAATAGACGAAGAACATCTGAAGACTTGATTGCCTTCATCACGTCCTTTCGTTTCTCCAACAAAAGCCATACGAAGAGCGACGAAATGCATGCAAACGATAGACCAAACTTGGTCAGTGCATATGTTGTTGGGAGGTAGATCTGGTCCAATTAGCAATCCGCTCCAAAACTTTGAGCGCACCGGAGATTGCTTACATCAGAGTATGCTTTGTACTTTCCATAGTCCAAGGTAAAGTCATCAGCCTTATTAACAACCTTGGTCACATTATAGCTTTTGCCCATGTTGTCAAAGATGTCCGTGCTCTGGATCGGAAAGTATGCGAAAGACCAAGTGTTTGAGTAGTAGAGGGCCGGGGAGATGATGTAGATCCAAAAGACAAGAGAGGCTAGGATATTAAGAATTGCCCAAGTTGGAACCACCAGTGGTGAGCCAGTATAAGCAATCTGTGCCCCTACAGGAAGCACAAAGTTGTCAGATAGGAGACTCATCTAGCCGATATACACTGACTGGGAGAAGCACCTACAGTCCAAGGTGAAAGGCAACAATCCGATGCCACTCTTCATTCCAAAAACTTGGCTGACAACAGCGTTTTTGGGCGCAATCCAACACACCCATGTGAAATAACCCAGAGCTGGGAAGATGAAGTCGGGGAACCAGTACCAACCGAAAGAAATAGCGGCAGCGATGAGGAAGAACTTGTATCTAGATGCTTTCCACCGGCTCCTGGAGTTTTACTTTACCGTTAGCCTCTCATCACAACTGGAAAAATAACACACGGGCTTACCCAGTGGTCTCATCATCCTTATCATTTGTGGAATGCAGGGCAGCATTGAGAGCGGTGTTCCCAAGCACACCCGGCCAGGTCAGTGTCTTTGGGTCAGTAATGATTGAACGCGAGAGACCGGCGATCGAAAGTCCAAACAGAATCGTTACGAATGTTACGATCAGTTCGAATCCCCATCCTAGCTTGAGGCCGTAGAATACACGCTGCTCCGTCAAAACATCGGCGCTCAATCGAGTTGCAAAGCTCAGGTTGGCCATGATATAGATCAGGATATTTTCCTATTCTCCATATCAGATATCGGCCTCGTGACTAACATTGATGATTATATCAGAGGAAAATATCGAAGAATATCTTACTCACCTTATAATTGAACGGGCCAGGATTGAGACTATGCCGCCTGCCAAATAGTGTAACGCCCCAGTCTGGAACAACATACTCCCAGACCTTGCCAACTGGATAAGCAAGAAACTGAATAGCAGACTGGGACAGAGTAATGGATGGAAGGCGGAAAGTAAACAGTGTGTTGACTCCGGTTCCAATCAAGCATGCAATTATTGCGAGAACCCACATGCGCACCGTCAAGCATGGCAAACTTGGGTCGTCCTTTCGGAAGCCAACGCCAGCAGCCTGAAGGACTTCTGCAGCAGCATCTTCAGACTCCTCTGTATTAAATGGAAATTCGTTAGAGTACGGAGATACGTGGTCGAGGTCGATCAAGGAGCCGACAACTCACCAGAGGGACGCTTTGCTTCCTCGATGGAGGATACGGTGCTGTCCCTACCCTCAGCTTTGATTTCCGGTTGAGTAGAGCGCTCATTGACCGTGATGTCTGGTGCTTTAACTCCCATTTTTTTGTATTCAGTGTATGCTTCTCAATATGGCCGAAAAAATCAAGACAAAGTAGTGTCAAGACTTGATCATGGAGGGCCCTCCCCGATTATCGATTTGATCAATCGATCAGATAAGATCCTGCACGCCAGTGGTGTACTTTATATATGCCGCCCGCGTATCTAATCATATCAATCGTCTGATTCACGCAGAATCCCATTGGATTTGGCGTTTAAGCAATTTTTTTCTGTAGTCGTAAGCCTAGACCCACGAAATAATCTCAAAGCCGAGCGGGATGCTAGTGCCAGTGGGAAACCGTTTATTTGCCGCATCTCACACGACATTCGATAACGAAAGGCTCCTTTTTGGTAACTTGGATGCCTTCTACTTTCCCAGGGCAGGCTGGGCGTCCCGGCAAATGTGCCGAGAGAGTAATAGTAATGTAATTTCAAGCTTTAGAACCGGCTAATTCGGCCTGCTGGACGGCCCTGTTGTCTTGGAGTGGACTATTTTGCAGCAAGTTTGACCTCTTCTGGCTGGCGAGCGTCGTCAGCCTTTGACCCGTTAACTGCCGCCGAGTCGGATGTTCGGCCACCAATATGGAGAATCGGCCGCCAGCCCTACCACAAGCCGGAAAGCCCCAGCAAGCAGATGACTTCTTACGGGTTCTTTATTGTTTTTAGCTCTACGGAGAACACCGTAATGATTATCTATCTCCGCATCTCCGTGCATATACCGCCGCTGGAAAAAGGAGGCAGTCTGAGGTATGTGTCCAGCCGATCCAACAGGAATATCATGAGTAAATTACTATGGCTATATCTTCAACCCTCATTGGCTTAGTGTGAATTTAAGCTTGGTTTTTGTAGACCCCACAGGATAACATTTCTTAAGAAACCATTTCTCGACTGCTGGGAGGGTTCTGCGTTGAAATATCGTTTAAATAATATATTTGAAAGATTGACAGCATTCATCAAGGATGACATGTGCTCAGCCATTCAGCGTCGAAAGTTAGAGCTACCACTTTACGGATTCCAAGGGCGGCCGCCTGGTTATCAATCACTTGTACGTTTTCAGCCAGATGGTATTTCCGATGGTTCCCGACAGTGACAAAACCTTGACAGTGCAGACGAACTACTGCATGAAGAGCCCATGTGGAACCTAAGAAAAGACTACCGGGCACACCACTCACAGAGAATCTCCTAACGATCTTGCAATTATTACGAGATAGAAATTTCAGCCATATCATCGTACTTAATCATTCATTACAGCCAGTAAGTAGGGCCTAGTGACGAGCCTTGACAAGGAAGCCAAGGTACATTTCGATCTCGTGCTTCTTATTCACCGCGAGCTTCTGCCACTAAATCTCGTCCCTTGGCAGCGTTTGTAAGTTTTGGTCACCATGCCAAGCTGTGTAACTCGCCACGATGTTTAGTGTATTGTTGGTCAGCGACCATGCTGCAGATAGATAATATCAGATGCCTATTAGCACTTCTACAATGGGGGAAGAATGCTGTACCGCTCGGAACCAACAGGTCCCAGACACAACAATACTCTTGTACATAATATGATTCAGGTTTATAAAGGTATCCCAGATTTATTTCTTCAAAGTTGGAGAATCCCAATACGTCCCTTCCGGAAAATTGATGTCAGAGTTCTCCATTACAAATCCGAGTTGCCACCGACCAAGTCCCGGCCAAAAGTTCTCATTACTGCTCTCTTCGGATTGCTTGATATCAAACCAACCCAGACTTGTTTTCGGCGAGGACTGGCCCGGGTCAACAGAGGACCACTGGTCAGTTCCGGGCAGCTCAGACTGGCTACCATTTCCTTGGGGTAAAGGCGGTTGCACGAGCTTTGGATCTTGACCCAGATACTTGAGGATACTAAGAGATAGAGGAAAGGAAGGGAGGAGTGGGACCTTCTTGAAGGTCGCCTGGAAGAAAGGAGCTTCTGAAGGATTCGCTTCGGAGGGGTCATCACCGGTGTCGTGAGGATAGACCTTGACCGACACCTCGCCGTTCGATGCAGTGTTCCAGTCAAACTTGGCGAGGTGCTTTGGAATATTCCAGTCTGCAATGAGTGGTTAATCTTCCAATATTTACTGCCTTCGGGGAAAGCGCAGGGACATACTGGTTCTTCCATTCCAGCAGGTGTATTTCTGCGACACGTAAATTCGCGTAATCCGATGGTGGCTTGCCTTGACCGTCTTGCCATTTTCCTCCACCTCGTACTCATGCTTCCCGGGGCTGATGATGAATTCGTCATAGGGCCCGACTGGTGATTCAGTGTAACGTATAAGCTGGAGCATGCTGATACCCCCAAGAGGGCGACCATTATCTAGCGACGCGTAGGGGGATGCGTACTCCAGCGGGGAGTACGCCATCGAAGGCAACTTGCCTTCAGCATCGGTGGACGACCAATAAGTCAGAATATAGGCAGTACCTTTGAGATTCCAAGGTGCAGGGACATGCTCGATTTCAGCAACAGCAGTCATGATGAATATCACAACTGCTAAGACGCGCGAGGTGGCCTGTTTACCAAACATTTATCCAGCTTAAAGGTGGTGTCCAAATGAATGAGGATTGTGTACGTATGGGTGGGGTAACATCCTCAGGAAAAAGCGATGCGAGACACGCTCATAAATGAGCTGTGGTGATGGCACAACGACCCCGCATATGAAAAGGGGTAAATTCATGGAATGAATGTTTAATTACATGTGGCGAATTAACATTGATACGACGTAACATGCCGACGTTTGCCAAGGGCGGCGGCATACCAATATACAGCCAACAGACAATACTCATTACAATCTGCGCAAGCCTCGGTACTTCTCAATGTGACAGCGTCACGTGAGACATATTCAAAATGGCAATTCCTCCGCTCCTTATGCTGGGGAGAAATATACCTGGCTTTAAACAAGGCGAAAGCCGTATGAGCCATGTTACTATTCCTGGCAGTCTATGATCATCTGCAAGCTATTACCGGCAGCCCAAGTTGCCGCAGACAGGCTAAGCTAATTTGACATGCAAGAACCAATAGCCAGTTGAGTGTAGATAAACTAGAAAAGACTGTTTTTAACTTTCTTCTTGGAGGAAGACTCGTCAGTCACAGCTCATGCTCGCGGTGAACTGTTTTACAATTTGTCAGAGAATCCATCGCAAAACTTTAACCTCGAGTACCTAGGTATCATAACCTAATTTAATGCGAAGAGTAAACCAGCACGATGTCTTCAAACACGCTTCAACTAGAAGAACGTGGAGAAATACCAGTCAGACAAACCACACGCTCAAGGGGGTTGATATCGAGATATTCAGAGGATCAGGAATGGGAGAAGTGGTAAAATTCATATGTTGCGCTTATCACAAGACATCGGCGCTCGTTCTTACATGCAAAGAATAATGGTAACGGAAATCTATGTTCAAAAGGAAGAGAACCTTTCTCCGTGCAACGATTGAAAGCAATATTCTAATTGATTTCTATATAATAAATCAGGAGGAGCATCTTAGACCTTGAGTTTCTTGCTAATTTGGCAGCCAGAACGCGGTTTATATTAGGGGAACAAAGCTTCCAAACCATACAAAACACCGTGATTTCGAATATATTATGATATGTACACCAAATGAGGAACGCCGAGTCACTGTACGTATTGCGTATTGTTCGGATGTGAAATGAGCGAACGGGTTGAGGAGAGAGTGGACAACCTCCACAGTCTACGCTATCCAAAGCGAACTAAGCCGCGGAGACGCATGAATCATCCCCTGTGGCCCAGCTGGCTAAGGCGTCCGACTGTTATCTATACCGCAATCGGGAGATCGACAGTTCGATCCTGTCCGGGGGAGATTTTCTCTTTTTGCTATTGTCGTCCATGGCGGATTTCTCTAATACTACATTCATGCTGCAACCAATGTCTCACAACGTAGCTACAGCTCGGATGGTGGCTATGTAGTTGGTTCATAAGAGGCTCACTTGATGCGACTCGTCTCGTCGCCGCTGTCTCCTGGTAGCACTCGCTGTGCAAGATACGAACCAAGGATCAATCAGAACAGGCACAACTTCTGTAAAATATTACAAGGTTTTTTACCGCCTCTGCCGGAATGGTCTTTCGGTTGCCAGCATTGATGAACTTCTCTCAGAGACGGCTCTTGGCTTTGTCTAGCCGACTGTGTTAGCCTAGCTCGACATAGGAGACATAGTAGCCACAGAGGAAGGTGACGGTGAAAAAGCTCTTCTGTACCTTAGTGATTCAGTTTTTGAACCTAATTCTATCGCAATCAAGGATGCTATCAATCTGGTAATCTTCACTCAACTAATAAAGGGGAAGGCGTTATGCCAAGTCTGGCAGAGTCTACACCCTTGTATAAGGAAGAATCCATTGCTCGCCGGAGTGAGATAAATTGGGACAAACATTTTTTTTTTGGACCATTTCCTTATTAACTTGCTGTCGTGATTTGGTTTCTTGTTATAGCGGTGCGAGCAAGGACTGGCATATTCCTCGAAGTGACATGGACTTTCCAGGATAGTTATACTTTTCCAACGCGGTACCCAATGTCCACACAGGCTACTGCAATCCATTCGATGCCAAGGGTATAAACTCGCAAATACAGTTGCAAAGTTCACGACCAGGATATCCCAAATCTACATTGGAGTATAGCGCAAGGAACAATCCGAGACGCAAGGGGGAAAGAGAGTACACTTTGAAGCCTCTCAGCCTCCAGTCAATGTCGGCCTCATCAACGATAAAGAAAAGCTTCCAAAGGACTTGATCGCGTTAAGAGAAGGATCACAGCGCCTCTTGTATCACGGCGTGAGCATTTGCGTTGCTTAGTCATGGTCAATTGTGCGGTGTAAGCAAACGCGTGAACTGGCTCACTCAAGTTCACGCAAGTCCAGGATCGTCAGCACATGTCACCCTCCTTTTCATTTCCAGCCATCAGAAGTTCACGATGAGAAGAAGCAACCGCTTAGCACAAGCCAGACTGGCCGCTTCAGTAGAAACACCATGGCTATTCACGAAACCATCGCCCAAAGCGCTCCAGGTGTTTTCGACGCCCGAGCTATTTAACATGATCCTTTTGGCTGTTGACGACATGCCAACTCTCATCGCCTCGGTTCCGCTCGTTTGTCGATCCTGGAAGCAGCATGTAGACAGTTCTCTGGAGCTCAACCGCGCGCTATTCTTCGTATCTGATCGCGAAACTACCATGTCTGATGAAGACGCTGCTTCCCATTTTCGCGTCAATCCATTGTTGTGCGAACATTTTGGGCCGCTGGTTGAGTCGCCCGCTACCTTTGACCTTGGCCCTCCGGGATTTCAAAGTCCAATGGACAAATTCGATTACATTCTTCGAGATGCGGTCAATATTCATCACATTCAGATGCTGCGGCTCAGTATTGCCGGCCGCGATACGAAGGGACTCAAAGAACGCTTCGCTCACAAAGACGCGAGCTGGCGTCGCATGCTGATCTCTCAGCCGCCTGCCAGGAAAATTGGTTACAGATGCAGCCCAGGCAATTTGCCCGAAACGGACGGTATGGAGAGATTTATTGTACCAGAAGGTTTGCGGATGGGCCAGCTTTGGGATTCGATATACCACACTTTGTGGACCCCATGTCAAGGCAAGGTCATAAAACGAAGCATCCAGATGTCCTACCGGCTCGGCAGTCACGATAACCCTATTTGGTCGAGAACAGCACCTCGGTGGAGGAGGGGGCTTCTAGTGGACGTTGAGTTCGTTTTCAGTGTGATACAAACCCACCTCTCCCCGGGAGGAAAGGGTGACGAGGAGTTGAAAAAGTGGGATGAGCGACAGGCGAGCACTGCGCCAACTTATCGTAGTGGCGGCTATGATGAAAGCAACATTCTGGCATCTATTGGTGAAGATAGGGTTAGTTTTAGGGACTGGTATGAGTGGAGGAGGTGAGTCGGGCAGAAGAGGTCTGAACAAGAGCAACAGGATTCTGAAATTTTGAAAGCTGGACCGAAATCTGCTTTGCCTTGCTGTGGTTAACTAATTTATGCTCTACCACATTTTGAGACCTGATGGCAATTTAAACCCAGATGGTAAGCCTCATGAACGGAAATTATTAAGGATACCAGAAAGAACAATCTTGATCTGACCTGCTGGTGTGCAGTGCATATCCCATGAAACTTATTTGATCGGATTCCTTCCATTCTTCTACCTCAGATAGTCAATTTGTGACGGCTTGTTAAAAGCGTCCAGTAATTGAAGAAAATATCCTCCTTTCTTGCGATAAGGCATCGTTACAGAACTTCGGGGCGACAGAATCTAATATATAGTAGTGTGTTCACCACAAAGCTAAGGATATTCTTTCATCATGATGTTGTTTCAAACTATCCTTGAGACTTGATATGGTTTAGCATCACATAAATTTTATGTCTCACACTTGAGCCGGGAATCATGATAAGCAAGAAAAGGAAACACGAACTGCTTAAAAATGACAGGTAACTTCGCTCCCACTCAAAACAACGTCATGCTAGAGCTTTGAAATCGTCCCTACTACTTTGTGGGCACAGGGACCGTTACTTGAATGGGGGCCATCTACAGCCGTGCAGCGGAGATATCAAAGCTACCGCCGCTCCGAACATTGCCCCAGTGAATTGATAATTGCTTCAAAGAAATGCATATCGGTTACATCCAGCTCCCCAGACTCCACCCAGGCGGCATAACGGGCCTCAGCGGACAAGTCCCAGTGTTGCAATTAACAACCACTGGCACCTCGCTCCACCCTTCCACAGCGTCACATGTTGTCTAGGTGTAGGTACGTCCTGTTCCGGTAAACGAACCACGGACAATGTTTCGTGATGAGGCACAGACGCCCGTAGACTACCAACACGGCTCTTTCAAGACGAAACCAGGCCAGGCGGAAGCTTGCTGCTTCAGGCACCATCATGATGGACCGACTCCACCACACCTTTCCGAGCGGTTTCAGGCTCAATGCGGAAAATAAGCCTCAGTCGCTGTATCCCTGCTAAGGGCGTTTTGCCTAGTCCGATTGGGTTGGATAATGGCCTTATTTGTCTATAAGTCTTCGTCCAATATATCACCGGTACGGAATTTCATGGCCTAGCCAACAGCGCCATGACGGATAGCTACCGGCTTGGAATTGATCTAGGGAGTCAAGAATGGATATGGAGGTAATATTCATTCCCGGATTCATTGTTCACTCATGCGCACTCTTAAGCTAACTGAACTACTCCATCTTCAGAGTGAATGGAACGAAGACAATTTTGGTGGGATGGATAATGTACACCACCCAGATATGGATGATCAAGGCGTCCATATGCACATTTTACTTGCGCCTTACGGTAGGCATCCTTCTTTTGACACACTGGCTCGCATCTTGCTCATCGTACAAAGGCCGGCCTTGAAGGGTACAAAATTCGGATACTCATTGGACTTGGCATAATCGTTGCGTCTTACATCGCCGCCATATTCATCATCTTGTTCACTTGCATGCCCTTTGAGAAACACTGGCAAATCTACCCGGACCCAGGGAGTACGAATCCTCTACAGCTCATCGACCAGTACACCTGGACTAACGGTCGCATTCGTCAGATTTATGTATGCCTGCTGTTAATAGAGTCGTCATCTATACGTGCCTTGCTCTCAATATTTTCAGCGACCTCTATCTTTTCTTGATTCCCGTGCCAATGTTCTGGGCAGCAAAGCTCCCGCCAGCCAAGAAATGGGGTCTGACAGTTTTGTTTTCCGGCGGCATTATTATCATTGTCTTTGGTGTTCTCCGATGTGTATCCATCTTAAAGGTAAGCTTCCATCTGCCATCAATTAATCACGCCATGGGGCTGTTTCTAACATATCTGGTTGTTCTTTTCAATTAGGATGACTCCGAGGGACCAAGAGAAGGGACCAATTGGGCTTTGAGGGAATCATTCGTTGCGGTTGCAGTTACCAACTTGCCCATGACCTGGGGCTGGCTCAAAGTCCAGCTTCGTCCATTCCTGGGATCTTTCCTGTCGACACCTCGGACCAAAGCAACCGGCTATAGAAGGACTGGCAATGGGGGAGGAAGCGTGAAGCTGGATGACATGTCAGCCTCTGGGAGGTGGCGGGATCAACAGAAGCAAAAGGACAAGTCGCTCTCCTCGAGCCAGCAAAATATAACCCCTGGAGGACTCACATTTCTATTTGAGACGGACAGCAACGAAGAGGACAGTATAAGACCGATGAGTCATGGATCCCGTGGCATTGTGATGCAGGTTGAGTTGAAAGTGTCTTCAGAGAGGAAGCCGCAGATTGAAGGCGATATCAAAGTGAGCGAGACACCGCCAGTGCCTGACAGTTTTTCGCCACCCGACGACCCTGATTTTGTGAAACTAAAATGACGGGCGCTTATTGACAGGGAAATGGATTTAATATCATCACGGGAACTTATAGAGACGGTTCAGCAATGACTCCAGTGGTACTTGTTAGGTAGGAAGCTAGTTGATCGTTGACCGCAAGAAACTTATCATTATTACCACAATGTAGAGACTCAATATCCCCGTCGTTTCTCGCATTACGCATGACAATGGCGTTTCCAACCACCTTGTGATTCAAATACCTTCCCTACCTCCTTTGCAACAGTCAGTAGATGCCGGTCATGATATCTTCCGGCCACCAACGAAAGCCCAACTGGCATGCCATTCTCTCCCTTGAAGCCTGGGATATTGATAACCGGTGTGTGGAGGGCCTAGAAACTAAGATTAGCCAAATAGCACCATCAAAGGCAGAGGTATGTTTGTATGTTATAAAGGAGAGAAACATGCCGTCCAGATGACATTGAACGCCGCACTCCCCGTGAACTTTTGCCCCAAAGGCGCTTCATCAATGGCACTAGGAGTGATTATAGCGGTGTACTTTGATGCAATCTTGTCAAATTTCGGGCGAAGAGCTGCAACTCCGTCAAAAGCCTCCAGCTGTTCTGCCCTGGAAATCTTTGTGCTATTCTCAACATGATCGGCAATGAACGGCTGCAGTTGCTCTCTTGAAATCCGGTATTCTGGGAGAAATGCTGATCGGGCTTCAGTATCCATGATGATGCGGTGCCACCGAGGCATCTCATCGAACTCGGGCGGAAGGTCGACCACTTCTACCTCAGCCCCGTGTTCTCGAAGCAGTCTTTCCGCGGTATCCATAGCGGCGAGTGTCCCTGGGCCAGCCTCCGGCCACACCACTGTCCGCACAAATGCAAATTTTGCTCCCTGGATAGAAACAACAGCCTCTGCTTGTCTTGGAGCATCGTCTTCTAAGGCAAAGATCTTAGCAAAAAGCTCAAGGTCATCAACTGAACGAGCGAAGAAGCCTATTGTGTCCAATGTTAAAGAGTATGTTTTGTGACCTTGTTGAGTTATGGCGTTCCACGTAGGCTTCATAGCATAAATTCCATTGAATGATCCTGGCCGGACTGTGCTGCCACCCGTCTGAGTGCCTAAACCAATTGCGACTTGATAATCCGCCACGGCGGCGGCAGAACCTGAAGATGAGCCTCCAGGTGTTCTCGATAAATCATTTGGGTTACAAGTTGGAGGTCCATCTTTTGGTGAGGCAAACTGTGTTGTTGTTGACTTCCCTGTTGCATAATCAGCCATCTTGCACACGAAAATATCCTCATCTGAGTCATTTCGCCGTACCGATGAGAAGGGCGCCGGCTCTCTTAAGGATCGTGACTGAGCCAGCATCTATCTCTGGAGCATCGCCTTGATATATAGGGGAGTTATGTTGTGTTGGCATGCCTGTTCCTGTCGAATCAGCTGATGCTCAAATTGTGGCCTAGAATCTTGATATCTCTGACGTTTTGTGTGCATAATGTCTTTGACTGCTACCGAGACTCCGTGGAGGGGCCCTCGCTTCTCGGAAGGGATTTGATCCAGGGCTTTAGCCTGCTCTATGACATACTCGAAATCCAAGTGCGCCCATGCTTTGACAGCGGAGTCTCGTTGGCCTATGCGTGCAAGGAGCGAGCGTGCGTAGGCTTCGACGGTCAATGACCCATCCTTGAATCTTTCCAGACACTCGGTCGCTGTGAGCAGGTATGGTTCCATCGTAAAGGGAGCTTGACGGGCTGTGCTGATTTTTCTTGTTTGTGATGCACGTAACAAGAGGTCTCTATCCCATCGGCCACTCGAAAATGTTCAAAAGGATATATGTCCGTTCATGTGCGAGATAACTCAGTTTGTGCTAGTCATCCCCCACAGTCCGACCTCGGCCCTCTTCACAAGGTGTGGGGAAAGTGCCGAGTCACGTTCAAGACGATCACATCATCTCTTCTTTAATGGTTGGAACATCAACACTTGAGACGTGGGTCTTGATTGTAAAAAGAGTTACTTTAGTCTATGTCTATTGGCGGCCTAAGCCTTCGGTCTTCCATTGACTCAACAAGGACAGGGGCTCTCACTTTTCCAGCTATTTGACCACTTCGACCGACGTCGTCACTTTGGTCACCGCCCTTATACTAATTCCCTGATCAGGTCCATCGAAATAGCTATCGTTGAAGGGGTGGAAGGAAGGGGGGTGTCTGGAGACTTTGGTCATCACCCGTCCAAATGATCGGTCGCCCAAGTCCAGCCCCAGACTTTCCCATGTCAGGCGTCTGCTTGATTTCCTTTTCTCGGATCGTCTGGTCGAGTTCCTCTTCCGCATATGAGAAGCAGAGACTGGCTCATTCCGTCTGTACCCATTGGATGCATTAACTGCCAACGAGGGAATCCAGTGCCGCAAAAGAACACCAACGGCGGGAAGACAGGCTACCATGACGACGACAGATACCTCGATGCCAGTCCAAATAATCGCATCGACGTAGTCCCAGGTAGGGTTTCGTGATCGGCCGAAGGTGATGAGATACAGCAGGCGGATGACGGAAGTGGCCGTGATGAAAACGCCCAAGCTGAACATGCAAAGGATCCCCCATTTATCGTTGATATGCATCCGCAGCTTCAGCACCATAGGCAAGGGCAAGAGTAGAATGATCACGTCCTGGAAGATGCTGAAGCCAGCAGCGATATAGGCGATCAGCTGCTTATCGACACAAAAGTCCTGAGCCCCCGTCGTACGCCAGCCATCCCATACAAGATGTACAGGATTGCATTGAAACAAATGCAGAAACACGAGCCCCGCCGTGGGTAGTGCTACCAAGGTCATAGACGCAAAGACGGCGTATCGGAACAGCTGGTTTGGGAAGTTTCGAAGATAGACCCAGAGAACGGAGATTTTGCTGAGGCCCAGGGATAGAATATATATGCTCTCGCCAGCGTAAAACAGCTATTCAAAGATTTCAGTACGATTTATCTCACCGACAGGTCAGATTTAGTGCTCACCTTGAATGCTTGTGTAATCTGATTCTCATCCAGAGTCCAGATATCAACCCCATACCACACTTGCCCAACTAGAGAACTCTTGGTCAGTTATCTGTGGCGGTTTGAACGTCCTGCCAACAAATTGAACATACCATATTGGTCCATAGCGACGAAGCTAGTGAAGATAAACTATATTGTTGTCAGTTGACAGCTTAATAAGAACCTCCGCTTCAAGGAAGACATACTCCAACCACTAAAATGAGCCAGTCATCTGGCTTCCATCGACCTGTTGTTCGCCAGCTTGAGTACAATCGCGCCCAAATACATAGCCATGCCGGTATCTGGATAACCAAGGGAATGAGAAGCTCGTGTTTGCGGGAACGTGGTGGTATGTTGCATAGAGAGGTCCCGAACTTTTGTATTGCTGGGTAGCCCACAATGTCAGCCATGATCCGTCACCGTATGGAACCATCTTTCTCTCAGTATATATAACCCAGGGCCTTACCAATGGTGTCCTTCATCCCGCAATTCTCCATAACGCACTGCTGTGCTAACCTCTGGAACTCGATGTCATTACAGAGGCAAGCAGTATCCAAAACGTTACAAGAGGTGTTGCCAGGAACGGTCGAGAAGCATGGAATCTAATATACTATTAGTCTTCCTGGTATCATTTTGACAGCAGGTTTTTCCATACTCCGCATTGTGGGATTTCGTCTAGTCGAGAGAGCAGGTTGTTTTCGCCACGAACACTCAAAGCGAGGACAAAGAAAAGTATGATAGTAGTCGAGAGTGAGAAAAGGCGAGTCATCTTCGACTTGGCGTCTATCGGGTCTGAAATAAATATTATAGTGATTGTAATGCCGTAACTGAATCGGCGCGTATCGGTAGAGGCAGGGCAGATGGCGGCTGCCAGAGGAATCAGTGGTGCATCAAAAGAATTAAGCCAAACAATACATTAAGGGCCGAATCCAGCGGCAGTGAAAACAAGCAAACTTGGGTATCGAGAAACGAATCGCTCGGGCATTACAGGAGAATGGAAAGACCAGGCGCGCATAGCGTGAGCAGCGCCATTTGATTATATACAGACCACACTTATCGGGCTCAACCAGAAGGCCAGGCAGGTCCAAGTCTGGCTGCCCGGGGGAAACTTGGGCCTGTTTAGGCCGTCTCATTCGACTCGATCGAGACAAGACGTCCGTGTTGAGGCCCCACAAGAAGCGTAAAAGCTCCTTGTCGTGGCATGGCTTAGTCTGGCACCACCTTGATGGGGTTGCACAAGCTGCCATGGGGAACCAAGCACATTACTGTTTTCTCCGAACAAAAGGTGTTCCGGATGGCCGTTGAATCCATGACGGACTCGATTCAAGCTTCTACCCGGGATATCGCTGTCACGACGCTGCAAAGCTATACCAAAGGAGGTTTGATTCCACCCACACGCAGATCAAGCTGAGAGCCGACTCCAAAATAAGTTAGGCGTTGGACTCAAGCAAGAGATTCGAGAACGGCCACCGCTTGTTGTTTTGAATGTGGATTGGTCCATGACCTCGAACGTCAGGCTATTGGGTCGATAGCTGCCTCAGTTGGTGGACTCCTGTGAAACTACCAGCAGCCTCATGAAAGGGGTCAAGATTGATCTACGCGTTCATGCTTGTTCACTGGGGTTGGGCGGAAGCTCGCGCCCTGCCCGCATCCCGCCAATCATCATCGTACAGGGGAGGCTGCAGACTGAGCCCTGCCGCTGGCGCGTGTCATTCTCCTAATCTCCTCCATTTACACACTTTTTATTGAACACTACTAGAAGCCCGCTAAGAGCTTTCCAACAAGTCACAAGAAAATTCCAGTGGAAGGACTAGTTGTCACGACTTCTCTGGGGCCAGCCGTAACAAAAGGGGTGCTCACTCTGACACGCCGAACCAGGGCCGATTTACCAAAGCGCGTTATATGTTCCATACCACGCCATGTCGCATGAAAAAGGACAGGCCCAGGTTCAATTCTCTACCCTCGTATCCAGAGGCTCAGTCCTACCCTCTGGGGGCTCGGGGGGGGTGGGCCAGGCACTGAATCACTGGCATCCCACCCCAGCACAGCGGGAGATTTACTGGCCAGCGTCCTTCTCCCCGAGCCAGCCCAAGGTGAGACAGTAGTCACACATGCTAATCCACGCCGTCTCTAGCGGGAACTGCTGCCGCTCTGGTTGCACCGTTAAGAGCCCGGATTGCCCGGTTATCAAGGGGGTCCTCGCGGCTGGACAGTATAATAAACATGCTATTATATCGTCTACCTCGGTCTAATGGAGCATTTATCTCATCATTCGGGCGCTGCTTTTATCACTTGATGGGATGGTTATGTGACCTTGCTTGTGTAATGAGCCTGTGTGATGTGCCTCCAGGCCACTTTTCCTACCCTGCACTTCACATTTGTTTATAACAGAATCATGAAGAAATTATGCCTGCTGGTCGAGGAAAATCGGTAAATTATTGTGAAACTCCCTCGTCTACTACATGCTTCATTAGAAAGGTAGGTAGTGAGGATATTTATTTGATAGGAAGACATAGATATGACTGTCTTCTCCATTGATTGATCAGACCTTGTTGTTAAAGTCGATCTCGGCGTTTCACAATCGGCTGCGACATTTATGCAAATATCTTGTGAGCAGATTGCAGCACTTCTGTTACATAGAAGGGCGGAGAAGGAAGATGGCGATGAAAACGATGACTGCAACATCCTTTGGTCAGTACCGACCCTTGACCGTCTTGGCCAACATTGAGAATTGGTACACTGGGAGACAAATTTAATTAAACCTTCAGGTTGCGAATAAATTCTCCTAGCACGCTCATCTTTTCCAGAGCACTCTCCTCAAAGCCCAACACATTCCCGAGCAGGAAAGTATCGTGCAGAGCCGCGTCCTCTTTGTGAAAATCAATCTGGTTGCGTTCGACCTTCTGCATCTCTTTCACCCACCGCTCAATGTCACCGAAGAATATCTCCGCCGTGCCTACGTTGACGAACAGAGGCACTCCGGTCTTGAACGAATGGCCCAGCGGTGTGATGTATGGATGCGAACCAGGATCCTCCAAGTTGGCGCTGTACGATAGAGCTCCCCATCGCAAGAACGAGGTGGGAAGAAAGTCAGAATGCGCCCTCGGGCTCTGATGAACGTTGTAGCTCAATGGCGCAACCCAAGGCGAGAAGAGTGCGGCACACCGAGGAGCGGGAATGCTCAGATCGCCGCCGAACTCTTGGATGTATCGCAGGAGAGCAATGACCAGATTACCACCGGCGCTGTCGCCGCAGAGCACGATCTGACTTGAAGGAACGCCGAGTTCGCGGAGGAGGTATAAGTATGCCGCGAGCGCGTCCTGCAATGCCGCAGGGAAAGGGTCACGTCCGGCGTAACCAGAGAGTCGATATTGGAGCGACAATACTGCGTCTGCCTTGGCCGCCGTCACCAGATTCCTACCTGCGAACCCTGCAAACTCCTCTCTGCCATCGCCCATGACGAAGGCGCCGCCATGGATATAGAGCACGATTATCTTGGATCCCGGATCCTTACTTGGGGCCTCGGGGAACCAGGTCGCGCCCACCTTGCCGGGGCTGGCTCTCGTCGTCGACAGTGGCCCTTTGAAATCGTCCGCGCCGGGAGGATCAATGACCTGGAAGCGTCCGCCTTCTTTGTTTGGCTTGAGGGAGATTGGCTCTGTGATTCCGATGCGCGAGTTCATGTCCACGAGAGCATACATCAACCGGCACATCAAGGTCTGCTTCACGGTCCATTTTCGGTGTGGTCGCAGCGCCGGTACCACCGCTTGAAGCAGCCAGAGCGGAAGACGGGCCAGAATGGTGCTGCCATGGAAAAGCTGGAAGAATAGCTTCAGGGGTTGATACGAAGCGATCGGATATCCTGGAGGGCCGGCCATATTGGTTCGGGTCGATCAATCTGAGGGGATGGAGCCGTCAATATGCAAAAGGTCGGGCAACTGTTTAATTTAAAAGATGGAGATGACCCTTGCCAGCATTAGCATCTCTGGCGAGAGCAGCTTCATGCATCCTTTTCTGGTCCTCGGTGGGCCTGTCAAGGGTCGTGAGAGGTTTCATCGCGCCACAACCCATATGCATTTCCCCGCTCAGGACACTTTTGCCTCGGTAGTTGAGATAGGCCCAGCATACCATGGCTCAATTCGACGGCTGTCGTGGACTACGATGATTGCGATGTTGTTGAAAATTGTCGAATTAGGGAAGAACATCGCGACCGGCTCCAAGTAAAACCGACCACCCAACGCGAAATCTTGGAGATAATTATGCGATCAAAGGTGAGGTCTTCTACGTCCGGACACTGCTATACATGAGATGGAATCATATGGCATTTGGTTGCACGTCGAACCAGCGCCGCGATCTTTGATTTTGGGCATTCTGGTCGCGTGTCGCTACAGTTGGGACATTCAACGATGCGCCCGGTACGATATGGAGTTCTGAGGAAGGGTCAGAGGGGGGAAATGGGCGAATAGAAAAATTGATATCCCGGCGGCCGGTTTTGGCGTACAGTAGCAAGTAATACTGCATGAGTGGCATCACGGAACGGGGGATTTCCTTGCTTTGGGCTGGCCTCGTTCGTTCCCGAAGGTCCATCAACACTGCGAAGAATGGTAGCCCTCAGTAGGTAATCACCATCCTTCTGGGGACTTTGGCATTCAACTCGTTGCGGAACAGGATCGTCATGTTTGACATCATATGGATGGCCTTTTGCGTAGTATGAGGATTCTCTGAGCATCCAACAGCCCTACATCCGTTAAAGATGGCAGCATGACGCGCTCCATCCATGCCTAGGTCTCTTCAGAGGAGGGTCTCGGGTGATTCCTACAAATTTATCACTGATCAATCGTGATGGATCTGGACCCTGGGCATAATGACATACTTGGTGGGTAACGCTGCTGTGACCCCCTCTGTAGCTCTCTGTTGGTAGTGCTCTGTTGAGCCAACATGAGTAATAAAACTGGTCTCTGCTGTTTCTGATATTCGTTGGTTGACTGGGGCTATGGGGCTATCATAGGAACACTGCCCAACTGCGTACACCGTATCTTGCTTCTTGCGGCCACTGGACTACGATCACTGGCCGTTGATAGCATTTGATTCTTTCGGCAATGGCTACCGAATTTTCTATTATGAGGGGCAGGACCCGGAATAGTCCATCCTATCCCACAACGGTAAGTGATCGATCGATGCGGCCTCAAAATGGTCGTAAGCGCCCAAGCTTTACTCAGGTAGGCAGACTACGATGGCTGTGCCGCTGTCAGCCCACCATTCCCACGTTGAGAGCGTCTGTAGGTGTGTTGGTCCATCCAATGCGGACCGGTTGGGGGGTCAACTCAATACTACCTCGAAGCTGAGCGATATTACTCCACCCAACTCGCAGTTGATTTGCCCGGTTAGCGCCCAAGCCTCTTCGTCCCAGTTCGTCCCATTCAGTGAGCAGTTGACTTGATGGCTGGCAGCGTTAGTTGCATGTTGGTGAGCGGGGACCAACACCATGGACCGTAAACAGTACATACTCTGTCTGGTTTGTTTTACCGCAAACAATGAAGGTATAACACCTAGAAACAAAGCAGATAAATACAAGTAGAAGATAATTGCGGTCAATAAATCTTCATTGTGCTGCAGAGAACAACAGTCGTGTGTCTGCTTGATTGTATCTTCACTTTGTGTCTTAAACAATGTACATGCACCGAGGGCCAACAATGCCCTGGTCAGTCTGTACCTGTCCCTGTCTATTTTTATCCCAGCACTCCTCTTGGCGACCTACTCCGGTATGCTGGCTGAGTCGATTTAGGATTTAGTCTGCAGAAGCACAAGGCTTCCGCTTGCGACATGGGGGCCAACACTCTGGTACCAACATAGAAATGCACAATTAATAAAAGCCAAGGGCATGCTGGAAGTTCCTCTTCTTCCAGAAACTCACCAACTCTAATTGCCTACCGATTGTGGCGAATATGTGACCACTATGTCGCCAAACCATATTGCGGAAGCTGTCGCGATGTGCGAGGAGCCCTGCGGTAGGCATTCCCCCCGGGCCGCAAGCTGTGCCTTTCTCATTCTAACTTCCCCCAGACTCGGCAGCATTGGAGGCTTGTAGCATTGGCATGGTCGAGGGTCTGTGCCATCCAGATTCCGCATTCGTCAAGGCATTCAGGCCCTGCGCGACATGCCTGCAGAACATCCCCCAGCTTCCTGTCAAGATCGAACCGTCAGGGCTCTCTCCATTTCTCTCATTCTGCGGCATTGAGATCAATCATCTCAAGATACGGCAGCCTCCCGACGACAGTAATGGCGCATCGTGGCACTACAAGGTCCAGATTGCGTCAACATCTTCTGACCAGTCGACGACATCCTCCAATCCATATATGTCTGCACCAAGTGTTTCGTCCACTGATTCAGATAGTAGTGCAGCCAAATGTAAGTGTTAGAACCATGCCTCACTCTATGCAGCAAATTTCCCTAACACTCGAGAAGTACGTTGGATCGCCGGCCCCATCGTAGGCGGGGTTGTCTTGTTATTTCTGTTGATACTTCTCTGGTTCTTTTTACGATCGAGGCGCCATAAAGAACAAAGAAAGAAGCAGATACATCGGGCACCCGTCCGGTACGACAGACCAAAGCCACAGCGAGAGAAACAGCGGCCGCCACAACTCCAGCTACACACCCAAATACCGAAGCCGCAGAGCAGCACGCCTCGATCCCAGAGCAGCAAAACACTGACTCCGATGGACAAACCGCTACCGCAGAGCAACAAGTCACCCCCATTATATTACAAATCGCCATCGCAGAGCAACAGATCGCAGCCGCGAAGCGACATATCGTCACCATCCGAGACTGCGTCCATCACACGAAGTCAATCAAAAGGGCGAGGAGGGGGGCCAGCCATTTGGTTTCACATACATGAGCTTCCAGGATCCCCTTCAAGGTGGTCTTGGTACAAGCAGCAAGACAGAACAGCCGAGACCTCACCATCCCGATGGTCTTGGTACAGAACCTCGGAAAGACCCATTGCGGACTCTCCTACACAATGGTCTTTGCACCGACAGCAAGAAAGTCCACGCGAGAAGGGCGTAGTATCCACGATAGAACCAATTTATGAATTAGACGACCATGCATTTGAGGGCAGGGGGGTTACATCTAAACAGAAGAGGGCGCCAAGGGCAATGATTTATGAGGAGTCGCCTGATTCGAGGCTTGGGCAGGTTTCAAATACTGGGCAGGTTTTCTTTATTTAGACGGGTAGGGTGTTGTACAATTGATTTCGGCGGAATGGGATAGAAGGCGTTTTGGAGTTAAGGGAATCGGAGCATAGCAGCGTTAATCAGAAAATGATATTTGATTGAGTCATGAACAATGATGGCCCGCACCATTTCACGGCTCGTGATAGAATATTTGTGCTAAGCGTTGGTGAGAGCAGAATGGCTGCATCCGTTGGTTAAGGATGTTACACAAGACGATACAAATATATATTTTCCATATACCGAGCCAAGCTTCCAGTTGAAAGCCAAATATTCCATCCCTTCCTTAAAAGTCGTGAAACTACAGTGTATCTAACATCCCATCATAAGAAGGGATAATCATTTGCTTCCGCCACTAGTTCCGATTGGTCTATCGACGCTGGTCGTATCGTATGAACCCCTCCCGATTGCCATTGTCACGGGCTTTGTTTGTGGTTGAGAAAGCGAATTTGTGATGTTGGGAATTGTCTGAGCGTTGGGCAGTGGGCTACGCCTCGCTTGATTTTTCCGCTTGCGGCTTAGAGTCCTGGACTCGAAAAATAGTTGGAAAATTTTATGCCTTAAATACTTATGAAAATGATTCTAATGCACTGCTCTGTAATGTGTCTCAGTTGTCGATATTCAAGCGAACTGCATGCTTTTGACAAAATCGTGTCCCCGGTCTCAACATGTTGGCGGTTCTTTCATTTGTAAAACAAAGTTCCTTTCAAACATAATGATAAACTATCCTTGTAATATTAAGCACGTATGAATGCTTACGTTTGGGAAGAGTATAAGAGATATCCAACAAGTACCTATTTGTAACATAATGAGCAAATTACTTCCGATGTCTGGTTGGTACAGCCCCGATTTCAGTCACGGGCACATCCTCGTGACTTCTTTGCTGCGTTCTAGCTACTCGTGACACAAAGTTTTCGGTAATAAAGAGAAGTTTCAGATCCGTGAAGCGAAATCTATGAGAAACCAACCCAAATTGTTTGAATCCAGGTGCAAAAACTCTCGGACTGGCAGCATTTGTGAAAATATGAGGGCACAGCTGTGCGCATACTTGCTCTGACCACATTATATTGCCCCCTCTTCACGACGAGAAGGTGTTTACTGGCGTTCAAAAAGCAATCCATAAAAGAACAGCCACTTCTTTTGACAGGAGAGGCTCACGTCTTCAATGGCGCCGAGTACATTGAGTATTCCAATTATTTCAAGAACTTATATCTTTCTTCCTCAATTAGATCATACTCTCCGCACTTCAACTTGAAAGAGGCGTTTTGACCATGAAAACCCTGGTTTGAAACGCAGCCATATAGTTTAAGAAGCTTGTGAACCACAGGCAGGAAAATCATGAAATTTGCGTCAGCTCGGACTCTACAACCATTCGGGATGCGGTCCAAGAAGGAGAATGCGAAGATCACAGCATCACAAGCTAGCAAGGGAAGGCTGTAACCAGACAAGGTCTCATCGAGGATCTACTTTTGGAAACAGCCAGCCAGGGTATTCAAACACCGAACTGAACAGGGACCCCTCTTTCATTCGCATTCTTGAGGTACCTGTCAGCATCATGGCCTTTCTGTTAGTTCAGCCCCTTTCCTCCCAACTCACAGGGGTCGACTTTACGACCGATTCTCCCACTGTCGCAACAGCGCAATGAGCAGATCAGCCAAGGATGTGCCCTCCACATCCGCGTCGTCTTCAACATCAACATCGATCTCATCCTAGAACAAGGCTTATCAGTGACAGGTTCAGCGACACAGAACTAGCCTTCAATCACCAGCAATGCTTCCACACCGAGCGACTCTTCCTCAAATGAGTCCCAAAACCAGAGCAGTTGGCTCTCAAACATGGCAAAATGACGCGAACGATCATTACGCATGAATTTTTTCTCGCAGCTGAGCGCTTTTCTCGATCTTTGAGGAAGTGACGATCGTAGGACCAAGACCCCCTCGTATTGATACTTTTCCTCGTCGTCATCTAGTTCTACGGCTTCCGACGACGTCGACTACGAACGAAAGAAAAGCCTGTCGACCCAGAAGCGCAGCAGAAGTTCGAGAATCTGGAACTCCGTGCCGATTTGATACCGAGACTTATATCAACGGACCCGAGAGAGATGAGTGGCTGGACGCCTGGACACTCATCTGTAGAGAAGTCAGTCAACGACGTCCCGGTGCAACTATTGCAAGCAAAAGTGGGCAGGCGAACCGCGATTTGAGTGCACAACGCGGCATAAAAACGAGTGCTGCGGTCAAAGTTGGAGGCAAAGGCAAGTAAGGCCGAAAGGTCTCGCGCATCAAATCAGGTTCCAGAAATATCAAGGTCTGGGACTTTCTGAACCATTAATGCAGTAGCGCGAGCCATCCGCCCATCGCATAAATTTGGTGCACTAGCCAATCGACTGTATATTACTCTTTCATTAAAAGAGGGGAACTTCTATCGAATGCAAATACCGGTTGCTCCCGTAAGAAGGGGGGTCCTCAAACTAGGAAGTAGGGAGAACAGTCTCACCGGTTCTAGACAGATCGTCACATATGTTTCGCTCTGTCGATATAGCTGGGTCATGAAGATACGAAGGAGATTTGCCAAGCCTGCAATTCGACGTATAACCTGCAATCAAGTTAGGGCAGTCATGGAAAGGTTCAGTCTCTGCGCCAAGTAGTGCAGCCGCTCACCAGCCAGCTGAGAAGTTCATGGCGAAACACATCATCTAAGCCCGAGCACTTTACTTCCCATCCGTGAACCAAACCCTTCTCTACCCAGGAACGACTAGAAGATGTGTGCGAAAGACAGATGATTCATTACTATTTGTTTGACATTATAACGCTATGCTTTCATTGGCCATGACAAATCGGGGCGGAATTTTTGCAGTTCCCATGAAATAAGTTTGAGCTTCTCCTCCGCTTCTGTGAGCAATTTCTGCGCCAGCCTCTCGTACTCCCTTGCTTCTTCTTCGTCGATGCCCTCGATCCCATCAATATCGTCATATCGTTCGTCTGGCTCACGCATGCCCCCTCGACTGCTCGCTCGAGACTCTGCTCTCTCATCAAGCTCCTGGCTATCATTCTGGAACTGAATCTCCCACTCGTGGATCTCTTGTAACCGCCTCGCTGTTTCCCGCCATGGACTCATCAATGCGCTGTCGGTCATGTTCGTTATCGGGAAGGGCCATAGCCCAGAATTGGGGGCGATCGATGTAGCAAAAGTGAGTGCCATTTTTTCAATGCGGCAGATGTAAGAAATAGCACCCAGGATATATGGGTGTTCGAGGGAACTCGGATCAAACTGGAGGTCCTGCTCTACAGCTGAGTGATGTAGTTTTGCGGGCAAATGGCTGGTGATTTCTTGTTCGTATCGTAACAGTCGGCGAGGAGCAACTCGGATGCTTTTTGGCAGTCGGTAGAAAGTTGACAATATCGATTTTGCGTCGTATGAGAAGCAGATGGCCCAAAGCGTGAAGAGAGGAGCAATTTAGGAGCTTCAATTGTCGGTGAAAACGAGACCAGGCTGGATTTAAACTGGAAGGTCCAAAGGGGTTCTGGGGTCGCGCTTAAGCAAAGTGATATTCCCGAGATTGTTTCACTAATGCACTGTAATGCAATAAGCACGGCTTAGCGAATCGTGTCTCGGTATTTGCTGGTGCATTGACCGGGTAGACGGAGCTAGATGGTTGAACTAACCTGCAAGGGCAGGTGTGTGTTTCAGACAGAAACCCGCCTGGTCTCCATTTACCAGAGAGAGTGGTCAGGTTTCAAGTTGTGAGGAATCCCGCCCTATTCCGGGAGTTTGTGCTCCTCCTAAGCATGAGCTACGACGCAATGCTATCTGTTGTGTAACAATAGTGTAAGCTGCGTAATTTCATGTGTTAATGGGTGCAATAAAAGGCTCAGGCTAAACTGATCCAGCTTGCTTTTTCCCAACCATCGGTGTCTCACCTTTCGTCCTCGTACCCTCATCTGTCTTGGATGGGTAGCTAGCTTATGCTCTCACCAATGCAATACTGATACATCAAGCAAATTCATGCCATTGAGCATAAATGATACTCCTTTTCAGTTGCGCAGCCCCTATCAAGACACGATGCATTACCGTGAAGTGCGACATGGAGTTATTCAAATTTGACAGCAGTACTCACCGAGGTTGTGCATCAACCATACTGTGAAGTAAGCTTGATTGACATATCTGGCTCTATACTCGAAAATTAGAAGTTTAGTCCTCACAATTTTCCGTGAAGCGGCTTGAGCTGTCAGTACCTAGGCCAGCACAACCCAATCGTTCTGCGGAAGTGATAATCTAGGAAAGTCCAGGGATGAGGCCCCTCCATATGTCTCACTTTATGTCCCTTTTTAAATCTGGCCCATCAATTTCACTTCCGGGATAAATAAGAGCATAAATATATGTCACGGCGATCATTGAAGATAACGGAATGCAGGGCCCAGCTAGCTTCAGGGTGGGAAGGGGTCAGTACTTAGCACGACATTTATCGAAGGGCAAAGCCAGGCTTAATAAATATTGAATAACTAGACATAAACACTCTTCATATATTGAATACTTGTTTCTGCCCTAATACAAATTACATTTTCCCATCATCTATCGTGTCATGCATGCCAAGAATGTTCGAACACTGCTCTAGGTTATTCAGCGTTCCTTGTCTTCCTCCACTGGTTTTCTAACATCATTACAATTAACAACAAATGTCACAAAGACATCGATAGCGAATAGCCGTTCGATCTAAGCGATAGCATCGCGCACTCCGGCGCGTATTGTGCCCAGATTCAGCCTTATCACAGGGGCAATCTACCCACGCATGATGAAATCCCGTTATCCCAACCAATAGTTAATGAGACGTTTAACGTAACGATATGGGCGGCTATCAGCCTTCTCCCGTGCCAATGGGGGTGTACAGTAAAATAGAGTTGAACTTTTCCCAGAATATATCGCGGCCATGCTCCAAGACGTTTTATTACGGCTGGTAAAACCGGAAGACTGTTGCGATTGAAAAGCTACAGAAACAGACCCGATACATGAAATTTATATCTTGGACCAGTCTCTATTTTGCAAGCGTGAAAACCTTGAAGACCCTTAAGCCTACGCAGCTGGACATAACTCGGGAGCACATTCAATACTGCGAATGTGAGTTAAGAAAGAGAAAAGACACGGCAGGCCAAACAGCTAGAAGGCGACATTTTTGGGGCGACCTACAACATGGCCGCCTTAACACATAGTAAGTACTGCGAATATGTACAACATCTGAGCAAGTGCGCATTGGAGACCAGGGCCGATTGTGAGTGGTGATCGAGGTATTGTCATTGATCTGCCAACAAACAACCTAATCAACAAATAGACATCTACTCAGTTGCATCTCCTGCGTTGCTAAAACAGCAAACGCATGAGCAAATATGGGTTGTTTCGTCGGCTTTTCTTACGTACTTTTCAAAGGTATTGTTAAAGAATCATTATTCCAATTTGCTGTATAATATTGCTGTGAGTTCTGGACGGTCTTTCCCAGGGCCGCTATAGCTTTCAGCTGTAATGGAAGCTATCGAACATCACTCTTTTCGGGCACTTATCCTCAGATATAATGTAGCCTTCCCACCATTCATTGAACTCCCTCTAGTCTCAAATATGGTATTGTCATCGATGTGATGGAGCATGTCTTGGATGAATGTATGAGATTAGACGATAGATAAAAAATTTAAACAGGGTTGTCAGATGCCACTATCCAAATATCCCAACACGGCAAGGTTCACGACCTACCTCGCTGGTCGTTCGATTAAGATCATTTAACGCACAGGAAAGTTGTGGGCACCTCATCGGATGGTAACGGCTAACTATTCACTCAAAATTGATCAAACCTGAATAGCTTAGTTGGCCGAACCACATCCATTATTGCTCCCCACCTACAAGCTCCCCCTGCTGCTCTAACGCAAGTGGACACCGAGGCGAGACGAGACGCATCTAAATCAACTTTGTTCGCTACTGTCGATAGACCCCGGAGGAGAAGAGACTTCCCAAGAGGCCCCTTCACGGCTAGTCTGAGTGGGAATAATGCAATCACAATCAAATACAAGACAAGGAATTGGGCAGCGTTGAAACGTCAGCAGGTGGTGCAGAGTCAGCGCGATCACCGTAAGAGGCAATCGCCGAGTCAGCATGGAGCCCTGAACAGGTGATAAATGAGCGATTTTCTGCGTTGCGCACCACTTTCTAGAGGCTCCGGTTGTCGGACAATTGTAAACAACCCGTTATGCTTATCCAACGCTATTGAGCAAAGTTTGACAAGCTCGAGGAATGGGGGGTCTCAGGTGATGGGGGTGGATTGTATACTAAGGCCTTGGATCAGATAAGATTGGCCGGCTGCTTTTGATGGATATCCTAGATCAGTGTCAGCCAGAGCAGTTGAGAGCCATTCAGCTCGGTTGTGAGCAGCCCAAACAAAGAGACAGGTCAGTCTCTGCATGCCAGTGGTCCTTCGAGGTGTAAAGGAATCAAGTTCTTTTAGTAGCAGAGACCGACTTGATATATAAACCAAAATGTGATGGGAAAACTGCGCACTCGCCGCGCACGGAACTCCGGACGCCCGAAACTTGCCAAGCCAACGGTGGGAGATTTCTTCCTAGCTTGACAAGCCAAGCCGTCTCTGCCGACGAGGTAGTTCCCGGCCTCTGCAGGCAACATCCTTGGGCCGTTTTAAGGGTCCTCGATCGTCGACCTGTATCATTAAGCATGAAAATTTTTATCTGGGGCCCGATGTGATACCGAGTCTCTGGTCTCAATGTATGTCACGGCCAATGGGATAGGATGTGCTCTAACTATTGAACACTGCTCCGCAGTCACAAAATCAGAGCAGATTAACCACGCATTCGGCTCATGGAGTTCTCCGGCTCTTCCCCCCATCCCCCTCGACACCTTACAGGGGGAGGACCTTGGAAGGAGGCGCCGTTCATACACACACCAGCCGGTTTAGGGTCATCTCGCCAGCGCTACTTGGGCTCATCATGAGTAGTTTTACAAATATCTGGTCTTATTGGGAGACGGAGCTCAGTGAGATGAACGCCGACTCCAAGGCTCTGGATTTCCATGTCCAATTTTTTTTTCTCCGTGCCGCGTGGACTGCCAGGATGTGCAGCATAGCGCGGTCCCAAGCGAGCCCGGCTCTTTGCCTGCAGTAGGGCTTTGCCGGAGCTTTAGACAGAAGCTTTTCTGGGTCCTAATAGCACGATAGGGTGGTGGCGATACAAATGATTGGATCTAATCATATCAGATTAATCTAATCTGCTTGGCACGTACCCATTCTTATTGCAGCAGTTCCTCCGTTTGTGCATGGTCGCCACTTGTGACCTGATCCTGTCGAGCTAGAGCCACACATACCTTGCTACATGCGAGGGATGATCGGCTGGTGCGGCCTATTCGAGCACCTTGCATTCACCAACGATGTGGGAATGCAACACGCAACCCTGCCAAGTGGCCTGCGTCCTTGTGCTTAAAGACTCCGGCTCACGGCGAGCTTTGATCCAACTTTGTCCCTCATCTCTCGTGTGTATTCAACCTTTCAATCTGATCCCACGGAGTGAGGTTCAAGATGTCTTTCGTGGACAAAATCAAGGCGAGCGTCAAGGGCACAGACGCCGTTGCCCCAGCTCCAGCCCCAGTCGATGTTGCTGAGATCACCCCTACGGCCGAGAAAACTACCGGCACCTCCACGGTGGTGCCAGAGGACCCTGAGAAGCTGAAGGATGATGTTGTTCCCGATGAGTCTGCGCAAAACGGTGTTCGCGGAATCCAAGCTGCGACCTTGACCTGGGACAAGAGCGGGCTTGCTGCCATGCTCTGTCTGTATGTTGTTTCGGCTTTTCGCACATTGTTACTCAAAGCTAACAAACCAATAGCATCTGGCTCCTTTTCTTGACAAACGGTTTCAGGTTGGCCATTCTTGCCAGCTTGACTCCCTATGTGACCAGCCAATGGAGCTCCCACTCTTTGCTCACTGTCATCACCATTGTGTCCAACTCTATGTCCGGTGCAGTGTACATTCCAATGGCCAAGATGCTTGATGTCTGGGGTCGAGCGGAGGCCTTCCTCCTAATGGTTGGCTCTTGTGTTCTGGGTCTGATTCTGATGGCTGTGGCCGACAATCTCGCAACATTCTGCGCTGCCAGGGTAAGATTCTCCAAACGGTAGTCCAGAACGCAATGCTGACTTTTTATTTTCTGTATCCAGGTTTTCTACTCTGTTGGCTTTGGTGGACTCATCTACAGTATTGTCGTTCTTGCGTCTGATGTCACCAACCTGCAAAATCGTGGTCTTGCATTTGCTTTCACCTCTTCACCATACATGATCACCGCCTTCGCTGGATCCAAGGCTGCTGAGAAGTTTCTGCAGAATGTCAGCATCAAATGGGGATTTGGAGCTTTTGCCATCATCATGCCATTTGTCACCCTCCCCACTTTCATTCTTCTCAAGTATCACATTCGCAAGGCTGAGAAGAATGGTATCATTGTGAGAGAGAGCAGTGGGCGAACACTGGGACAAAATGTCTGGCATTATATCATTGAGTTCGATGGTAAGGCTCTCCCCAACAACAAGTTTTGTTTGCCTCTAGCTCACATTTGTACTAGCTCTTGGTGTCTTTCTCTTTGCTGTTGGACTGGTCGTTTTCTTGCTCCCGTTCACGCTCGCTGCCTCCGCCCCCAAAGGCTGGAAGAGCGGCTACATCATTGCCATGATCGTCGTTGGATTCTTCGTTCTGGTTCTATTCGGTGTCTACGAGATCCTTTGGGCCCCAGCCCCTTTCCTCAAGAATAAATTCCTCACAGACCGCAGTGTTATCGGCACATGCCTTCAAGACGCTACCTACCAGATTTCGTACTACTGCTGGAACAGTTACTTCACGTCTTTCCTCCAGGTAGTCTGCAATCTGACAGTTGCCGAGGCTGGCTACGTCAATAGCACATTCCAGGTCGTCTCTGGTGTTCTCCTCTTCGGCGTGGGCTACCTCATCCGCAGGACCGGACGCTTCAAGTGGCTCTACTTCGGGGCCATTCCTCTCTACATCTTCGCTCAGGGACTGATGATCCACTTCCGTCGCCCCAATGAGAAGATTGGGTACATTGTCATGTGCGAGATCTTCATCTCCATCTCTGGAAGTATCTTTGTCCTCTGCCAACAGCTCTCCGTTCTCGCCGCGGTCGATCACCAGCATGTTGCCGCCGTTCTCGCGTTGCTCTTTGTTTCCGCCAGCATTGGAGGCGCCATCGGCAGCACCATCTCCGGCGCCATCTGGACCAACACGTTCCTCCCGGCTCTTCTGCGCAATCTGCCCGAATCTGCCGTGGCGAATGCAACCACGATCTACGCGAGTCTTCCGGCCCAGCTCTCGTACCCCGTTGGAAGCCTCGAGCGCATCGCCATTCAGGAGGCGTACGGTTATGCCCAGACTAGGATGCTTGCTGCTGGAACAGGTATTATGGTGCTTTGCTTCATCTGGGTTTGGATGATCAAGAACTTCAATGTGAAGGAGATGACCCAGACAAAGGGTATGGTCTTCTAGGCTATATCTAATCTACACATCACTTCGGCCGCTCCCACTGGGCAGTAGTAACAATTGAGTTGTGCAGTCCCTATTTCAAAACCGCTGCTGTTTAGCGATAGTAATTACATAATTAAGTCATACTATGCTATGTTTATATCCCTTTCAAATGTGAATGAATCGCGGTGAGTATGGCAGCCAAGTCCGCGTGGTAGTTGCTTCATTTTCTTCAATTCTCTAGTCAATCTGACCTGGGCAACTGGAATTGCCGAGAGCATTGAATCTGGTCAATAAACAGCTGACCCTTTTTCTAGTTACTGGGTGTCTAGTTGTCTTGTTTAGAACAACGTGGCCAAGGACAGCTTCATGAGCATGGATTTTCATTCTTCATAATAAATATCATGACCCTGATCCTATCCGTTCCTCATCAAATAGCATCACCAAATAAAACCTTTGGTAATGATTCGGGCTTCCATAATTTTCGCCCACGACAGCCTTAAGGCGATCACCTGCCCAGGAATAATCCAAGGGCGCTTCAGCCGGCGAACAGAGCTGTGGCACTGGTGCCCGAAGTCTTGCTGGCTTTCCACTCGGGCTCGGCATATGCCGTCAACAGGCAACTACCGGCTACCTGTTTCACAAGCTCAAACGCCTGCGTGATAGTTATACACATCCTCTGGTGAATTCACCGCGCCACTTGAATGTCATCGAAGAGTGAGCGTGTCTTCAATAACTTCATCCCTCCCCCATTTCGCACTCAACTCCTCAGGACCAAACCCAGCGATATAACAAGTTCCGACATGATAGTAGTGGGTGTTATCGCTCTCTCTGACAATGGAGGGCAAGGTAGATATGCCACTCGCAACCAACTTGTCACCCGGCCTGATATATCGAGGTCCCATTCCCAAATACCCATCTCGCGTTTTGAAAAAGCTGACTCGTTTACTGCGCGTTAACCGGCCCAGAAACTCTGAATAACTAGACTCCTCGAGGTGCTCCTGATTGAACTCGACGAGAACACTGAAAGGGGTTGCAGCGGGGAATATCAGGTCGCACTGATCTTGGCTGAGATTTGGCCCAAAGAGTAGTCGGCAGAACAGAGGCCACAACTGCTCGTGGGAGGTGAGGCCAAGCTCATCCAAAACAGACTTTGAACACGGATACTTCTGAATTGCGTATCTGATACCACGGACGAAAAACTGAAGACTTGGGAGTGTGGGATCCAGCGGGAAACACATGGGTGCATTATCGAAAGGGTCTCGTCCTTGGTAGATTGCATGGAACAAAGCTCCGAGTGTGGTCGTGTTCTCCTCGTGAGCCCGAACTCCATACCTGAATTGAGAAAGTATAGCGGCGTACATCTCGAAAGCCTTTTCGGAATGTCTCGGCTCCCATATTCTCAGCTCCTCACCTTGAACAACCATCTCGATCTCTCCAAAGATGACACTCGGTAGCCACATATCCAAGGAGTCTGTTAACTCCGGTCTCTGTCCCTTCACAGCCTTGGGGTTCACCTGATACACCACCTGGGAAAGAAGGCCCAGGGCGTTTGTATCACTCGGGTGCGGGTCGATCGGCTCTCTTACCTCGACAAGTGATGATAAGGTAGAGAGATCGGGAAACCATGAGGGCAGCCCATGTGTGTTCCTATACGAGTCCAGTCCGATCCCTGACGTCCACATCGTCATGTCTGTAATCCTAAATGCACGAAAATCCTCCCGAGCCCAATTCAAGTAAACATCCCGAACAGACAGCCCATAGTCAACACTAGTTTGTGTGTCGCTCATCAGACTTTGGAACCCGTATATCATATCTTTTGGATCCGTTGCTCTGTGGGTCATGGCTGAGATCAAGAGCATCGTAGCATTGAACTTTCCATTCTGAATCGCACGTATCTGCTTTTCCCTGTTCTTGGCAGTGTTCGCGCCATGGCTGGTCGACAGAAGAATGCGAACGGTATTGTCGATAGGACCCCATAACCGCTTTCCCGCCTCGGCGAGGTGGCCGAGGAATGCACTGAATGCACAGTACTCGGCATATGTGGCACATGTGTCACCACATAGGAGGATGTTGTCGGCTCCTGATCGTGCCATGGCGATTTCCTGGATAATCCAGACTCGAGTCCAGTATTCACACTTTCCAATATTCAGAGCCCCATCCCAGTGTATGTTTGGCGTCTTCCCATCCTCATATCCGTACAGCAGATCAGCCTGCTGTGCTACCCACTCAAGGCCGCTGTTCACATCGACGCGGACTCTTTTGTTTGGGTTTTTTGACTGCCGCGGCCGCAGAGACGGATATATCGCATGGACCAGGTTCAGCCCGAGATCAAGCCGATGAAACTCGTCACTCTCCCCCAACCATGATATGACTTGCTGGGCATTCTTATAAATAGATGCCATCTGGGCAACCTGCTGGTTGCGCTCGGCAAGGTCAGCTTGGTTGATGCATACTGCATCCACCCATATGTGAACAGACTCGGGCCCGCTCAGAGACCCCGGCAGCATAGTATCCAGGGCCCGTGTGAATCTCGAGCCCGAATGATGTCTCCTCTTGTGATGGCCGCCGTGAGGCTGCTCCAGCGGCGCAATCTTTCCCCCTTCCAGCCTCCGGCCCTCCTCGAGGGCCCCCGTGTTCCGCAGCGCCTTGAGCGCGCAGGCCAGGTTGATGGTCACCGGCCGCGTGACGCCGTTGATTGTGATGTACTTTGTTGGCAGGCGAGGACCCCAGATGTAGGAGAGCGCCGAGTACTTGACCCCGCGGGTCATGTTGGTCTTGACCAACCTGCAGGAAACAGTGGACTCGCCATCGCTGTCCCACGCGGGGAAGATCTCCAGCACTCGGATCTCACCAGGGCCGAGTGGTGTATAGAGCTCGGCGCTCGAGGGCGGCTGGCGCACCTTGTGAGACCTCATGGTTTGGGAAGGAGAATGGAGTGCGACGAGGAATGCCTGCCCTGCCCTACCGTCGCATGCATTAATAATTAAATTAGTTAGAGAATCAGGTCGGCCTAGAGTAGAGCAGGGGGTAGTCGGGCTGCCATATAATATGAAAAAACGAGCGTGAGAAGAGTGAGAGTGAGAGAAAAGAGAGGCAGGCAAATCCAGTATCCACTCGTATGCTTTGTCTCACGAGCCGGAGGAGGGTGAAGGGCGGCGCGTGCTTTTGCTAACCCGCTCCAGAACAAGGAAAGAGAGAGGGTACGACAGGAATTAAATCGCTCCGTGCTCAGGCGGATATAAAAAGAACACCTGCTGGGCAAACTCATGTCGCAGATTGGATGACCGGGCAAGGATTGATGCTCCACCGTCAGCCACAGTGTAACGCTGAGGTATCATCTGAAGGGCTCTTACTCGAATTCAGATATTATTAAGGGCAAGCCCAGGCTTGGGACTTGTTTGACTGTCTGGGTCGCTGCAGAGAAGGATTCGCCGACCCCTGTCCCTGTCGTTTCTTGTCAAGGCGCTACAGATACGTCACAAATCTGGCCTGTTGGTTCCTCGTCAGCTTTTTAAGGTACCAAAATAATAGAATAAATCCGATTTCAGATCAAGTATTACGGCTCCCAACTGTCGGTCCGTGGCGCAACCATCTGTGGCGTCGAGTGTTCAATCTCGTCGCATCATCCTTTATTCATGCCCACTGCTCACCCAACCCAAAGTCCCCACAGACAGGAGACTGGCGATGACATTTTCCTAGGCTTCTTTTGGAGCCCCGGATTACGATGTGCGAGTTTCAGCCCAGCTTTGAGTCTGACAAAGTCTGACAGGCGCTCGTTGCCGTCGCTGTGTTTCGCGCCGCTCTTTTCTTTTTTCCTTTTTCTTGTCCTTCAGAGAGCATCGACTCATACGCAATGCGCCCTGGCCAATAGGAAAGGATTGTAAAAATAGCATTTCACTCGTCCCGCGTCCTACCCGCTTGCCATGGTTAAGGGTGATTGGTCTTGATAACATGCATCGCTGTAAAGCGCGGTTTCCATTCTTACTGCATGGCAGCAGGTGCTTTTTGTTGGGATATGCAAACCGAAATACCATATTCATCATAAATCAGAATAATCAGATTGACGCGAAGCCAGAGCCGGGGTGACGAAAACATAAAAAGCAATATTCAAAGCTCTGCACCGTGCAGGGTCAGGCATCAAGGAAGGAGTCTGTGTGAATAGTTACACAACCGCAGACTGGCGGGCTGATTGGTAGGCCAAGCGAGAGAGCGGCAAGAGGCCTCTCCCAGCCGTGAGGAGAAGTGCATGTAGGCCATTATTAATATGGTTGAGAGGTAATAATATATGTATGCACCTCGCCCCCCTCCCCCTACATCGTACATACAGCTTACCTTTCACATTACAGCACAGCACCCTGCCTGATTCGTCGGCCCCTGCATAGCTGAAGTTTCTTTGCGCCCATCATGCAGCGTACAGCTCATTTATCCTCCGATAACGTCTCTGCCCGCACACATGCAGCCGCCGCCCGTCTCTCGCTTCTGCCCATCATGCCTCCTCACCGCGTCTACAGCAGCTATTTTAATCGGGACCTGCTAACGCCGAGGCGGGCGAGCCGGTCTTAAAGGAATGTTTTGAAACAGACCCAGGTAAGACGGGGGAATGCCTGTCCGGCTAAATTGCCGGCAGCGTCTCCCCATATCCGCTCTGCACCAAGCTCTGTTTGGAAGGATCGCGCGCGGATGTGCTCGTCGATTGCCTCAAGACCAGCTAACGGCAGTCTGGCCAACCAGATGTCCGGCTAGACCCCGGCATTGGCCACACCTTAGTTCTTAGGCGGGTGGGAAAGACCGTCGACTAGGTAATTTCTAGACTCGGGAGGAGCACAATGGTAAATGAGTGTTGGCTCGTGTCGATTGATTATCACGGACCACATCTTTTGCTGAATAATTGTCAGCCGAGACATCTAAACCAAATATGTCAGGTGGTCGGCCGTGATAGTCGAATAACGCAGGAGGCTAGGAACTAAGATTATTTTCCGAAATTCCGGGATTTGACAAGGTCTGGGGTTACAATTCTAGCAACAAGAAAGCCGTGTCAAGCTATTTACAAGTAAGCCGGCTACTGATTCGCGATGAGTGGAGAACAACATTCACAATAGATCTAATTGACACGCCAGTACAGGGCGTTGAACTTGGAACGGCAATCTCAGAGATGTGTAAGCGATTTGTCTGGTAATGCTGATAATTTAGAAATCAGTTAGATTTAAGTCTTGTTTAAGTTAATAAGTGAAGAGTCATTCCTTAGCTCTCCTGTCGTAACCCACAGTGTTTCATCATGGATGTGGAGGCGTAGATGATACTTGATGATGAGATGTTTATTTACCGTATTGCACTCATTATACCAACATTTTGTTTGCAAGTTCGATATCTTAACTAGAAGAAGACAGAAACATTTGATGGCCAATTACAACTACTACCATGATACACTTGGCCTCAAGTTTACTCTACTCTGGTGGTGAACCAGAAGGATATCGATCTACGGTCTAGGGTAAGTAGCGGACAAAGATGGAGCCGATTCCGCCACAGTTCCACAGGCCTGCAATTGTGGCTGGTGGCATTAGCCTCTTGCGGCAGGTAAATACGTGGTGATGATGCCAACGGCTCCTCACGACCCCATTTCACTTCTCTCCCCTGCCATGACCCACGCTCATCCCATCCCTCATCGCGCTTGTCAGATGCCATGCCGTTTCCGTTCTTGCCTAACGAGATATTACACCGAATCGTTGCAGATCTCGACTCCATCAGTCTTATTTCCCTCAGCCAAACGAGCATCCGTTTTCGCCAGGTCATCAAGCCCGGCAAGCGGGAGTTCGTCGAACGGCTGCTGGCACTGGAGTGCACAGAGCCCTTTGATGCAGGGTTCGCTCAGAGATCTGGTTGGTGGACTTACGAGTCCTGGAAATCCACACTATGGGCCTGTTCCGGATGTCTCAAACTGCTGTCCCACTCGCACTTTGACAACCGCTCCCTCCTCCGTCGTGGCTATAGGAAGCCTCCTCCGGAAGCTCCTGCTGCCAACATTCTTACAACATGGAAGCCTTCGCTCTACGGTAAAAAATGGGGAGGCCGCGTTGGCCCCTATGTGTCCCAGGACGCAAGGCGACGCCGATACCACTACTACCTTCTGCATATCTATGAACACCAAGACCCTATGACAGCGGAAGCCATACTGCAGATGCGCGATGCTGGGATAGAAGCGCTTGAGGAAGTGACCGAAGACCAGATCAGGCTCTGTCCGGACGAGGCTAGGAGTGCTGTATTCGACAAAGTCATGGAGGATCTGGAGTTGGAGGACATGGGAACCAAACGTCACTTCCGCAGGTGTAACGAATGCCGGTACCAAAAGAATCCCGTGGGTCGGCGTGGGACGCTTGTATTTCCGATCCAGATCAGCCTCAACCTTTACTTTGCGACTCCCTTGGATCGGTATTTTCCGACATACTGGGAGTTCCTCGCGAACAAACGACCTGTCTTCCAGAAGATCGTTGAAGAACATTACCTTGGCCGACTTATTGGGCAACATTGGCAGATGTACATGGCGCGATGCCCCGGATGTCAGAAGTGGCAAGAGATCCGGGCGTTTCGACTTGGTGGGAAACTGACAAGCTGGAAGCCGGTCCTTGGCCACACTACTTGGGAGGAGGAAATTATCTCCACATCTCTTCTAGACGAGGCGCGCTGCAATACATGCTTCGAACAGGAGCATGGGAGAGAAGAACTTGGCAACAGGTTACTGCACTGGATCCACTTCCTCCAAGAAGAGCATCTCCGGGAGCTGGCTTCCTACTATGATAGGAACTGGGCATCCATACAATTGAGGCTGGAATTCGTTGACCCCTGTGCGGATCACGATGAGGTGGTAAAGCAGCAGATTGATGACCTAGTTTCGCCTATGCGCGAGTCACACATCCTGGATAATGCGGAAACGGATCATCTAACCCCTCTTGCTGAGGAAGTTGGAAGGCTCGTGAAGGAGTTCCAGGAAAAAAACGGGATCAATCTCAACCTGAAAAATCTCATGGACCAACAGATCAATATTGAACGTCAGTGGATCTGGCTACGAGCTAGTATGGCGGAAGTGCAGCGGAATCCAGATGCTCTTGTGTGCTGGGCCCTTTCCCGAGATGGAAGCATACAGAAGTAAAGGCTAAGCGAACGTTCGCTACTGCCGCCTAACTTGCCTGAGTGTCTGCTGAGCAAAACATTGATTTCCAAGTTGGGCTCTCTCCCCTGTCAGTTTGAATGCATCGGGTAAAAGCCTATATTAAGCTGACCGCATCCACCAGGAAGCGCTATTGGCATACCTGGGCCTGAATAGCTTCGAAAAACAAGTAGTAGGCTTGAGTTGATGGCTAAATGGTTATTTTTGGGCAACATTGACGTCAGCCCCCTCCTTGAGAAACAGGGTCCAAACCACCATCATCTGAGGGGTTCACTGGTGCCTTGTTTTGGGCCAGTCACGGGACGCAAGCTGCATATACCTTGTCTATCGGTTCGAATCCCGTGTCGGCCCGTGGCGAAGGATGGATCTGAGGGATTATTGACGATTACGTTGGCACGAGCTGGTGATCGGGCACCACGTTGCGATGTGAAAATCAATCTTGTCGACGAGTGGCAGTGCGAAAATGTAACCTAAAGCGGGATTATGAAGGGGCCATAACGTCATTAGGCATTTGCATTCCAAATGCCAGATTTGTTGGATACGAAAGGTGAGATTCGCATTCTTCGCTTACGTTCTAGCATTCTGGCACGTATTAGCGAAACCAGTCCACTCACCCATGCAGAGCTGTCATTGCACCACGTTGATAGGTTGAGTTCCGTAAGCTGCCATATATTCATGAGAGTCGAGGGGTTGGTCATCTCTGCTCTGGTTCGATGCTTGAAGGTAAGCGGAATAGACACCCTTCCCCGCTTCGTAACCTGCGATCTGAACCTCTATTGCAGTGCGAGAATCTGTATTAAGGGACAGCTTGTCGGAACATGTATTGTATTTGACTAAATCAAATGTCTGAGCCTATCCGAAAGAGAAAAGATATCGATCAATGACGGATGTCTGATATAAAAAGTGGTAAGCTGGTCCAGCTGTATTGTCTTAGGGCTTTCGTAATTGGAAGCTTCTTCATTTCCCAACGCCGATGCAGGATGCACCAATAGGAAGCCATGATCTCGCGAAAGACGAGGTTGATTCAGCTCATCTATCACAAATCTACCACAATAATGGCGCCAATGACTCCTCCCTACCGACAGTCCTTGCTTGGCTGCATTTAACTGTCTCAATTTCCATATCAAAAGTGACAGGACCTCTATCTCTCCCAATGCCCTCTTTCATCGCTTCCCTGATTCTCTCTGCGAAAACACGTTTGAGATGCTGTAGGTCGTGTCTATTGTTATGGTCAATTGTTTCCACTATCCTCATCCCTTCGTGACTCTTCAGTGTAAATTTCAATCCCACCACATCCCTATCATCAAAGTTGAAAGGAAGCTCCTTCTTTAATTCTGCAAGTGTTTTGTCAGAGAACTTCCCATTAGGCTTCCATGACTCTTCAACGGGAGGCTTGCGCGAGACAATGGCTCGAAACCATATTTCCGGCTCCAAAGGGGATTTTCTTCTTGTGACTCCATCACCTTGACCCTCATTCATATGTTGCAGGTCATCAGTTTCGACAGAAGGGCGAGTCACTTCATCTATCACACCCTCCATAGAGGCTTCCGGTGCTCGAGGTCGTAGACTAGGAGAGCGGCCTAAATCAAGTGTTGAGAAGACTGAGGTCCCTCGTTGCAGGCTGGGGAACCGAGACATGGACGATGCACCTGGTCTTGACCAGCTCTGTTGATTGCCCTGGTCTGGGTCCGTAACTGGACCCGCTCGCTCAGCAGGTAGCCGTGGAGGAGGCATCTCTTTTCGCGTCTCCTTTTCTGTCTCCTTTTCTGTCTCCTTCTCTTTGCCCTTTCTGCTGCTTTGTCCTCTATCAGGGCTTGAAAAGATCTCTTCGAAGGGGGGCATAAAGTCATCATCATCCGATGTAACATCAACCTCCCTGCTGTGCGAATTGTTCAGTGAAGGAGCACCACTATTGTGAACGTGTAGATTTCCTTCCGTAAGACTGCTGGCAGTATTGCGACCGTCCACGTTGGAACGAGAAGATGTGGCTCCCAATGGAGAATGGCCCGTGCTAGCAGGTCTCTCTGGAGCGATCGAAGTTGTTGAAGGGGCCGCCCTGGGGAGTGGCTGTGTTGGGCGACCTCCGCCACGTCTCTGAGTTGCCTCGGCATCTTCCCCTCCAGAAGCAAAAGGATCATCCCCCTCCACCGTGGCTGGATGCGTGGTGGCGGATTGCGGAGTAGTTTGAGCAGTTCCGGGGAGCTGGAGTTGTTGAGACATTCGGGAGCGTCGACGTGGTGTCACTGGTGTGTTATCGGGTTCATCTTCATCAATCTCCATCGTTGAGGAACCTGCGCCCCGAGGCCTATGACCACTCCGCGGCTTCCTCGTTCTGTCATTCCTCAGCTTAAGAATGCGCTTCTTAAGGAACACTTGTGACATTAAATCTTGGAGCCTAGAGATAGTACACGGCGTTAGTATGACCCTATCTTCGATGCCGGTCAAGGTTCACACTCACTTATCCTTATCCTCCGGCCAGACAAGAGTCCCCTCATATAGCCCGGTATCACTATGATCATTTGGCCAAAGCCTTGGCCCTTCCGCTTTTAAGAAATCACTTGCGATCTGTGAAATGGAGTCCTTGTACACTTTCGTATTGAGATCATTGACAGAGCGAGGCTTTAGGTACTTGTGGCCATGGCTCGCATCAAATGTCCTGATGCTATTCCTTAGCATACCTTTGCGCTCGGGACGGCGCTCGCATATGCGGTTGCCATAGTTTAATTTGTCATACAAACTGCCGATCGTGGGGGCTTTGGGTTCTTTCCCACGCGAGGAGGCCGCTGGAGGCATTGTTGATCATGTGCCAACAGACAAAATAGGATGGGGCGTTGAATAATGTGTGGTTAATTCAGATCAGGTTTGCCTTAGGGAATTGGACATCCGCCTGCTCCAACTGTTGGCCCATGACGTCGCCTAATATATTGTTATACATTCCCTCCAATTCTGCCTGGGCGGTTCCTGAAACGATGGTTTGCATAAGAGACAGGCCAAGATGCAATCGTTGACCGCACGAGGCGGCCTCAACCCAAGAATAACCCTACGATATGCAGTTGGTCGTTGGCTCTGCCTCCCGTGGCCCTGGTTCATGCAACCATAAACTCCCTCCAGCCACTCGTAGGCCACCACGGGGATGGTCTGCTCTCGGCCGCGGAGGCGCAGCGGCTGAGGCGCATATTGGGGATGCAACCCCAATCAGGGCCGCCTGGGGGCCGTATATAGAAATAATCGGCGTCGCCGGACATGATTTCTCTTGGCGCAGTCAACTAGTTTGCCAATCCCCAATACCTCCATCAAGGGAAAGGAATAGCACTATGCCGAATACGTATCACTCTAGGAGTGATCCAAATTCGGTATGCATTGCTGTGAAAAGGGGAAAGGCATGCGGGATGCCATCATCCTTCCCACGGATTGGGAATTATGATGGCGACAGCGAATGGAATCCAAGCCTGACATGCATTTCAATCGGGTTTCTTGGCTGGTATGAGGAATAATACTAAGAGAGGTGTTATCAGCATAAGCTTCACGTATCTACAACTATTCGACTATTTGTTGTTTGTGCAATAACTTTTATGATTCCCACCTTATGCTGCGGGTATTTTCGATGATTTACAATCTGCCTTTTGCCATAGCTCGCCTTCTGTAGTTTTCGACTTCGCCTTGTCTTTTTCCAGGATCTTTGCAGCACCTTTAAGCGACAAAAGCAAACGTTTTGGAGTAGAGAAAGTACACCACAGTGGTCTCTGCAGCCGAAAAACACCATGTACGAGATCCATGCGCCATCCGATGGTTAAGAGGCCGATAGCATTAATAAAGACACTGCATGCACCTCGGCGGCTCCATGAGATGTGTTCTAGACAACGAAGGTCGACCCTGCAGTCTAGTAGGTGTAGATGCCATCCTCCCTGCAAAGCAAAACGAGGTACTGTCGACTACGCCCTACGTAGTGTTTGGCCATGCTATTACCTCCGATCTAGTGAGTAGACTACAGCAGCCGAGATCGAGGCTGATTTGGTTTGGAGGATAAGACATGCAGCGTGCATTTTGCAGAGCTGTTCCGTGGGAATATCGGGGCTGAGTTGAAAGAATTAGCTCGCAGTTTTAGCTTCGAGTAGTGTGAAAAGGTGAAGGCCTGAGTCACAAGATATCGGAGCACGCGAGACCATGGGAGAAGGAGTGAGGTGGACTCGTGGTACACGTCCATTGGGACCCCTCAGCCACCACCACTGTAGACTGTCCAGGAATAGACTATCAGTCGGAGAACCAACTAGAATTGTGCTATCCTACCCTCGAGCCCTGGGTGGCTAAGATGAGGTAGTAAATGGGGGTAATAGCGCTCTGTCTAGCACAATAGAACATAGATAGTACGGTAAGGCCCGGCCCGGGCACCGGCATAATGCATACATAAAACTAGGGAGGCTCACGAGTCTTGAATTTAGGGTTCGACTTTTACCGCCCGACAAGAGCGATTTCCGGGGCGAGCCGTACCCAATACTGAAGGCGAAAAATCAGATCTTGGGTTGTTATTCTCCTGCTTCATCTCTTGTTCCCTGCGGAATCACCAGAATACAGTTTGACAGTATACTCTCAAACCTGTGCTAAGTACGGTCCTGCTTATCTCTGGCAAGACATAGAATAGCGGATATAGCAAATGCCCACATGGAAATCTTACATCCGCTTTTTACTACATTGTGTAATTTTTTTACCAGGTTACTTTTAACTATATGTTGAGGCTCTTTTGCTCCATCACGCGTGACTCGTGGCGTGGAGTTTATTTGGCATCGCCCGACTAAGCTGGGGCTAAGAGGTCACAGGTCTTCATAATTTGTTCTTGGATTCACAATATTGCAGGTGGTAATTCTATGCTTATGATGTTATTAGAAGTCCTGTCAGAGCCTGGGGAATTTATGGAAGGGGAAAAATGCAACGATGAATCGAGTTGACAGTGGATATCCGGCTTTCTGACATAGCTAGAGGCGCCAAGTTCTCCAGATGTAACGAATCTTCAAAAGCTCTGTGAGCGCAATGGAGGGAGTAGACTTCTCCTTTGAGTTCTAGGCTTCAAAGTTTGCTTGATTAGACGCAGACTCAGTTCTCAGTGTAAAACACCAAGTTTGATCCAGAAGATTCGCCCCGAAGAATTGTAGAATTGTACCCTATTTAGGTCCGCTGTCTCTCGCTTTTCTTTCCTTTTTTTTTCATCTTTCACTATTCCAATATTGGCTATCCTCTCTTCACATTTCTGCACTTGCCTTCTCACATACGCTGATAGATATCGGGTGTTTCCTGGTAACTCTTGACATCATTCTCTATATCCTCCCTTCTATCCATACACCTTTATTTCTTCTATCATCTTCTCCTATATCTACTCCCATAATTCATAGTACAAAAAGCCTGCATTCTAGTCAAGACGACATTATGGATGCCGACATGTCTACAAGCCTTCAGGTTCACGACCAGGGCCCCACATCTGGGGTAACAAAGTACGACGGCAATCAGACCTCCCCTCTTCTTCAGCTACCAGTCGAGTTGTTATTCATGGTATTGGATATTCTACGTCCCCATGAGAAGTCCATCCTGGGGCAGACCTGCCGTAGTCTGAGTGATATCACCTATGGCAAATCACTTGCCACATACGACCTCCCAGACGACGAGGCGTTCGATTATTTACGGTGCATATCACACAACAACCCCGGAAAATGGGTCTGTGCATACTGTGCACAGCTACACACGGTCACAGAGGCCCATCTCAGAGAGGAGTGGTGGGATTGCTTCGCCTATAAGAAGGGCATGCAGGAGCAGGGCATTCAGGAGAGTTTGGTGCCACTCTGGGACAGCACATTTTGCAGCGACGGCTACCGCCACGTTCAACTGTCATTGAAATATGACAGACTATCCCCAAACTCTGGCGAGTGCAGGGAACGCCTCAGGCGTCTACTCACTCCCTACGATGGCACGCCTACATTCCCTGAACGCAAGAATGCCATACGAGGACACCTTCACGCGGCTCCGAGGGTCGTCCAGGGGAGGTTTATTCTCAAATCTACGTGGACGTTCGATACGGGAGACACCATACTATCCCCCACCATTATGGGGACTAACGTTCCCATATGCAACCATCACGGCTTCGGAAAATCCTGTCGCGTACCTAAAACTTTGAAGAACGCGATTGACATGGCGTGTGAGGACCAAGGCATCACAGTCCATGGGAGCTGTGGATCCTGCCCGACTGACTTTACCGTCAAGTTCCTGAGTGCTTCCGTGGCCGAGGTATCGGCATGGAAAGATTTTGGGGGCGAAGTTTCGCCTCTGAGCGATACCTGGAGGGCAAATATATATATATCCGTGGGGCTTCCTCTTCATCTGGGAAACAAGCGGCGAGGGGGAGTCCGAAGTTTGTATGAAAGAGCGTCCGCCTGAGAGGATTTCCTGGAGATGATATTGGCGGTGGTTGGATTACCTGGAGCTGCGCATTGTACACAAATCATTCTGTTAGAAAGCCCTTGTGATGGTCAATCCGTCACCATGTAATGAGACTTTATTGAAAAGAAAATGCCCTCTGTGATTTCGCTGATAATGGACCTCTTAGCCGCCAGTAGGAATTATGTTGAAAAATATCGAGCCCATCACCAGAGTGACCCAGGCAGGGTCGCAGAGTGGCGTGGGTGTTGAGAAGGTTGGGGTAGTAGGTCCGGGAAAAGGCCAACGTAAAATCCTCAACACCTGAAACCCAATCGTGAGGAACCAGGCTTGGCAACCTGGATCCCTGCCTCCGTGTTACAAGGCCTTATTCACCATCAACTAAAGGCCGGGAGCAGGGAATGAAAGGGATTTTATCTTTTTAGGGGGGGCCTATGGTAGCACAGGAGGCATGAATTGCCGCCTCCCTCTTTGAGCCCCAAAGTGGGCATTGGGCCTATCGATCTCACCCAACCCTAGCTGCAAATCGTCGGTTGTTTTGAGTCTCTTTACTAGTGTACAAAACCGGAAAGAATTGCATGACTTTGCCCCGCGCGGTAGCCACTTTTCGAAGTTATCACTGATCAGCTCTTAGATGTCGCTGTTCCAGTTAGAGCGCACGGTGTCAGGCAAAATAATTTACATGGGACAGGCTGTTGAGCAAGTTCCGTAGCATTATGGCAGTGGCGGAGTCATCGTGTTAAAATTGGCGAGGATATGATATGCAGCAAGGTGTAACTTGACAGCTGAAGCGCCGGCGATGACAGTCTGGGGTATCGATCTCCTTGTCCGAGACTGCCGTGGTGATGAGCCATGTCCACGGCCGGATCAAGAAGCAGCGAGGATTATACGACAACTAGTGTCGGCCCACTGAGATGGAGCTTGGCACGGGTTACGACTTTCACCGCTGACAGCGTGATTATCAGACAGATTGTGATCCAAACATCATTGTTAAACGTCGATGGGCGGTCCCTTTAATCATCCCCGAGGTGCGATGGGGCCCCGAAACACTATTCCACATCCTGGTTGCGTGTTAGTTCAGCTCAAAGGCCCAGGGGAAGGTTTCAAGATCAGTTGCAGCAAAACGCATGAACAAGGCAAAAAGGGAGGGGCTCCCCGATGCGGAGTTACGAATCTACGTCACATGGGAGAATTCTCTCTATGCTCCCAGCGCTTACTCGCACGATTCGGGAAGATGAACGGACTCGAGAATAATGTTTGGTGCAAAATGGGCGGTTGGAGTCATCCCTGTTGTCCATAAAAACTCCATCCACCATTGCACATCTTCTTATGACCGGGCATTGCCGAAGGCTCAGATATTGCCGAGGCAGAATTAAATGGTATAAAACCTTAATAGCGAGCAATATCAAATTAAGTAATGCGTCTGGAAGCGAGTATCCTGGATTATCCTACTGAACCCCTACCCCTCATATTGACTGTGGTGCTATTGTCAGTCGTGATTCTTGATCAATCACCCAATTCAGGGCAACGTCAGTTTTGGGATAACCAAAAACGAATGCCGAAGGCACAGCCACTGACAGGGTCTCACACGGACGTTTCGCTTTGGGCAATGAAACACAGGTTCTTCACCAAGAAGCCAAGGACCGGGCGAACCGAAACGTCAAATGATCCGAGGCAGGGGGCGGGTTCCACCGCAAGGGCCTGTGCAATTTGCAATTGAAACGCTGCGACTTTATGCATACCGCACTTTCTACGGTCAAGGGAGGTGGTACGTACGACGTCTAAGTGGTGGTGGCGGGATGGTTGCAAACAGATATTAACTGGCTTCGGTGCCTCTGGATGATGGAATTTAGAGACCTCAACTCGCAAGGGTTTTCTTTCCTTTCTACACTCATTCGTGCAGGCAACGCTCTTTTGCTTCAGTTCAGTTCAGTTCACATTCGTTTCTTTTCATCCAGAGTCAATTGATTTGACCATGCGCCACTCGTTTGTTTCCGCACTCCTCCTGGGGCCGCTGGCCGCCCAGGCAGCATGCACCAAGTCTTGCAAGCCCAAGTCAAAGACCTGCGGCCTCGTCACCGTCACTGAATGGTTCACCGTGACTGGCACGCCGGGTCAAGTCATTCCCAGCTCCTCTTCGGCCCAGCCGACGGCCTCTGAGTCCGAAGGCTTGACAACAACCTCGGGGTTGATCATTGGTAGCTCAGTCCTATCATCCAACGCGCCAACCACCCCTCCTACAACCATCACGACACCGGGATCTCTCCCTCCTGAGAGCCTCACGACGTCCACGATCTTTACGACTTCCATCAAAACCGTCACCAACTGTGGTCCCGAAGTGACCAACTGCCCTGGAGGCTCAACAGTTCTTGTGACGGAAACCATCCCCATTGCTACCACCGTCTGCCCCATCACCGAGATCCCCACCGGATCCGCCTCTTTCTCTTCCTCCGCCTCCGGAAACTCTTCCATTGCCACATCAACTCAGTCGACTGGATTCGGCTCTGTCTCTACCACCGGCACTGCAGATGCTACTGGCGGCTCCAGCATTGTCACTGGAACCGAGAGTGGCGCAACCACTACCATTCCTGGATCAGCAACTACATCAGGAGCATCTCTCACAACTCCTGGGACCCAGCCACCCGCCGGTGGTGATATCACCTCCACCATCTTCACTACCTCCATTCACACTGTTACAAACTGCGGCACTGAAGTGACCAGCTGCCCAGCTGATTCCACAAGTCTTAGCACCGAGACCATCCCGGTCTCTACCACTGTCCTCAGCCAGACCACACCCGGCTCTACTGGTTATGATTCATCCGCCTGGCCGATCGGATCTACCACCAGTGGTGCACAGGGTGGTTCAACCACTGTCCCACCTGTGGGTGACGTGACATCTACTCTCTACACCACTGAGATCCGCACTGTCACCAGCTGCGGCGCTGAGGTTACCAGCTGCCCAGCCACCGTCATCACAGAGAGTCGCCCTTACACCACCACGGTGATCCCCTCGTCGTTGGTCTCGTCGATCGTGTCCACTCCCGTCGCGACTCCAACCTCCTACGAGTCTTCCGCGAACCCCATTGGATCAACCTCAACTGGAGGAGGTGAGCAGGGTTCCATCACCGGTCCCCCCGTTGGTGATGTGACCTCTACCATCTTCACCACCACCATCCGAACCATCACAAGCTGTGGCTCCGAGGTGACAAACTGCCCCGGAAACGGCACCGCAGTTGTTACCGAGACCATCCCCGTCTCCACAGTAGTGACCACCGGAACTGCTGATGCTACTACCCCGGGATCCTCAGCCGTCATCACTGCTTCCAGCTCTCTGCCACCCGAGAGTCTGACCACCTCCACTATCTTCACCACCTCTATCCGCACAGTGACAGACTGCGGCAGCGGTACTGAGGGCTGCACAAGCGGAGCTGGCTCAACCATATTCGTGACCGAGACCATCCCCATCTCAACCACGGTGTGCCCCATCAGTGACTTGCCTCAGACACCCACCACCACTGCCGTTTCCACGCCGGTTTCCACTCCTGCCTCCTCCAGCAGCCTCCCTGCCCAGGAGCCTTCCGCTTCCAGCACGGCCGCAACTTCGGCCACCAAGACCTCGTCTTCTCCATTCGAGGGTGCCACTGGAATCGACATCATCATTCCCGAGATCCGTCAGTGTGACAACAATGACCAGCTCGACCTGCCAGGCATGCCGTGGTCTGTGACCAACGACATGTACAACAGCGAGAAGATGAACGGAACCCAGTGCACAAACTTTAACCGCGTGGTCGTGTCCAACGGCACATATCTCGTCAACTGGACCAGTATCACTGATATCAAGAAGATCGATGAGACTGCCGATGTCATGAAGGGTTACTCCAACATCGAGGCAAGCTTGAACGGCACCCACCACCTCACGGAGATCAAGAGCATCCCAACCTTCTTCAGGTGGAACAGAACCATTGGTGACGGCTTCAAGGGTAGGAACCCATTCTATTTACAGACTTAGAAATTCCGCGATTGCTAATTGTTTTCATCTACCAGGATCCAACGTCATCAACGTCAAGACCTCTTCTATCGAGAACGCACTTGAAGGAGACGTTGTCAACGAGTTTGTCCTGTACCTCCACACCTGGGATGAGCAGCGTCCTATCGGCTGGTCCGATACTCCTGCTGCCACCGTCGAGGAGCTGTACGGCACAAACTGGAGCGTCTACGAGGGCACTCGCGCGACCACCAACCAGACCGTCCGCAGCCTGGTCCCTGACGTCCCCGTGGAGAGCGAGCTCTACATCGACCTTAAGACCTGGCTCGACGCCATGGTCACCAAGGGCTTTGCCAAGAGCGACGAGTATCTCAATGCGGCCAGCTGCGGTACCGAGGTCTTCTACGGAAACTCGACCCAGAACGCCGCCGTGGCGCTCAACGTCAATGTGTAAGGTTGGATTCTGATAGGCATGGTGGTGTTTGGCTTTGCCAGATTCTCTTCTTGCGCCCAGGCGCATTCAAATTTAGAGTAGCGTTAGATTTACGAGAGGATAAGAAATCACAGTTGCTTGGGGATGCCATCTCATTTCAAAAATTATGAGCCGTTGAGCAAAATCAATGACAAACAAAAAAATAAATGTGTCTATGCTTTTGACCTTCATCTTAGTTGACATTGTTTGTTCTGTATTTGTTCTGTAAAACCTGACAGCCACAACTAAGGCTGCTGCAGTTGCATTACTCTTTGGTTCATTAACCACGCCAAACTCCCGACCAAATGTGCCGCTTAATTCAAAGGCCTGCGCTGTGCTCTGTGGATATCTCTGAACAGGCATCATTCTCCAGGCCGTTCCCTTCATCGCATCCAGGGGGTATTCATTCTTCGTCAATCTTGGGCTCTCTCAACTTCTCGTTCAGAGATTTCGCCTTGCCTATAAGTCTTTGGCTCCAATTCTTCGGAGTTTTCATAGTCTTCGTAATTCTCTCTTCAAAAACGAAGCTCAAGGTCCCACAGTCGAGGAGAATGTCCTGTTCCACGAGCGTTGCTTTGGAAAGCCGCACGCTATGATGACCCCCGGAGGACGGTTCACCAAGGTCCATACCCCAGCACAGAACAGTAAACGATCTCTGCTTATGGTCCTTGGTTCCGATGCAAAGAGGCAGCTCCCAAAGGCCATCGCAGGGGTGTTCTTTGCCTTCGACATCGATCCAGGTCCACTCTGGCGCAGATTTGACCTGCTCCAAGTGCCTCCTTGCAAAGCTAAGAGATACTCCGTCCATTACGGTCCCGGTATCAAGAATAACCCGTAAGGGCATCTTTTCCCTACCATCAAAGAAGGAATTCTCTGGTTCAAAACTATAACTCGAGACTGCATTGGTTCGTTCCCCGATTGAAATGAGGGGTCTGCCTAACTGCCACCAGCTCTGGAGCCGAGGGGCTATGTAGAACTTCTGAGCTTCGAGCGTTGCCATGCCGAGGACAAATGGGGGCATCCGAGAGTCTCTTTCGATCCCTGCACAGAAACTTGTGAAAGTGATCGTTTTACCTTGACTGCATGTGGCTGTGATTGGGACGAGCCACTCGCCAAAGATTGCGAGTTTAGCCCCGGGAGCCCTGACTCCATATATCTCCTTGCGCTTCTTATCCTCATCTCTTTCGCCTTCAACTTCTTTACCCTTATCGCCTTTACTCTCATCTTTTTCACCCTCACCTCTTTCACGCAGATGCTTCCGGGCAAACGAGAGACTTACTAGATCCACTGGACAACCGGTGTCGAGAATAGCAGGTATTTGACGAGTCGAACCATCTTTTGCTCGGATCTCGATTCTTATGGTGAACGGTTCATCCTCCTCTGAGATCACTATCTGAGGTTCTGCTCGCTTGAATAGAATTCGTCTCAGAGACCGAGACATGGTGTGAAGCGGCTTGAAGATCTGGCCTAAGATGGAAAATGAGGTTCAAGAAGTGAGGTTGGTTAGCAAAGTAAGAGTAATGCTGCGAGAGGCATGAGGGGAAGATGGAGAGGCATATATGTAGAATAAAACTAACTGGGTAGTAACTGATTTACTAGTACCTTGTTATTGTAAAACGCCATACAAGGACAACATTGCTTTCTTCTAAAGTGACTGGCCTCAACAGCTTCTCTCCCTACCGTACCTTAACAATGCCGCTCACATTATCAAGTTGGACACCCTACCCTGCATGTTATGAGACTCGCATTACCCCTACTTGAAGGTTTGAGATGTCCAACAAAGTGACTTGGTACACAGTACTCCTTCAATGGTAATCGATTCCTTAACTTAATGGTAAAGTGTATTTTTGATAAGGATAAAATCAGTGTTCAGTTGGACCCCATCAAGTTAAGAAATACTATTAAATTCAAAAGTTGAAAATTTCAGACAGACGTGTGAAATCGTATGTAAACATCCGCTTTCCCTTAATTATCATAGGTAAAGTAATATCAGACCAAAGTTCTAAGTGAGCTAACAGTCTCTCAACTCTCAAGGCGCTGTTGCATATTATCTAAAATGTGAGTTAGAAAATACTATGCAATTACCGAATTGTAGATGCAGTCAAAGAAAATGTGCCACCAGACTCCATGTCTTTGTTTGACCACACCTGTGGTGTTGGTCTGATGCTCGAGGGAGGCCGCCTGTGGCAGTGGGATGACTCTGATTTAGTTAGGCCTCGACTCGCTAGACCATGTATAATTGGAACGAATAAGGCTGAATCGTCCATTTAAATTCATAATTCGTTCATCCAATCCCTGATCCACGCGTGTTCATCATTCAGGTGGGGAGCTACGGAATGTGGCGGCACCAACAAGATTACTTGACTCAGAAGCGATGCTCACTGTGGGCTCCGCTGTCCCACATGGCTTGCTGAGTTTCATTTTAGTCATTTCTGGTTGTGTATTTACTCTCTAAAGGTCCCTTCACTCGATCAGTGGCACGTTGAAACAGCGGACGGGAAGAGAGTGAGCGCCACGCGGCTTCCCGAAGAGCATGCATCTTCTGCGATCCTCCGGTGGTGTGCTTTCTGTTGGCAATTTTTTTCTTTCTTTTTTCTTAGGTGAGTCCCACCGGGCCCATCTCAGCTGACTGCAGGTGTGTTGGCTGTGTGTTGTTCATAGGCTAAGCTTATGTCCAGCCCCTGGTTCAAACAAGCCATCAATGGCGGCGCGGTTCTGGGCCGCGGCCTTAATAATCTAGGCACCTACCTGGTTCGCATGGTCAGGGGCTAGAGCAAGCTCCCACTTTCCGCTGTTATGGTTCTTCATGAAATGAGCAACATGGGACGATCTGATAGAGGCTCGATGGGTGATGTGCTTCCAACCACTCCGTGATCGCCTGGCCCTACCCACAGACAGATACGTGGGAACAAAGGACTGGTCACTGGCTCGACTGTGAAGATCCGCCGGGGTGACATCCTGCCAAAGACATGAAAACAATGGCATGCTCCTCAAAATAGCTCTTGGCCTCCCGCTCCACCCAGACCAGGGGCCCGGCGCCAAGCACCTGATTCCAGATGGATGATTGGTGTTTTGAGTCTCGAGGCCCCGTATCACTGCATGAGACAGTAGCCGTTGGTCAGCTCCTTGTTTGGCGCATGTTCCCCTGAGGGAGGCAGCCAATTCGTGTTTCAGGGTTCTGGCATTTAGCTTGTGCTCTCCCGTCTGCTTAAATACACGACGATCTGGGGTGAATTCTTGGCTTCCATCTTTCTTCCCAGTCTCCACCGTGAACCAGGAGTTCGTGATTGAGTTGGTCTTGTTATTTTCCTTCTGACGCTCTTTATCCCATCAAGCTTTCTTACCAAGTCACCGTCAATTCTCTCACCTAATTACCAACCGTCTCCGATCGCCACCATGGCCGAAAAAGACACAGAGCAGCAGCCTGCGCCGGCTGATTCGAGCCCGAGGCTCAGCACTGATTCCGATGATTATTTCGTACGAGACCTTTCCTGCTGCATCGCATTGTCTTAGATCTTCTCTCCTAACCTTGTTCTCCTACAGAATGGCCCCCGCGACATTTCCCATCATTCGAAATGGCCCATCTTCCTGCAGCTTCACGGCAGCGTTACCCCCCGAATGATGTTCCCCTTGACCTTTGTCGCTGCATGGGCGACAGCTATTTGCTGCATCTCGCACTTCGTGTGGAGTCGTAAGTTGCCCTTCTCCCTCGTCCCTCGGCGCCGCGACCGCATAGCTAACAGTTCTGCGCAGTTGGTGTCAACTCGGTGCTTCTGACCATTCTTGGTTTCGTCGTCGGTCTGTCCCTTTCCTTCCGTAACTCGACCGCCTACGAACGATACGCCGAAGGTCGCAAATACTGGGCTATGCTCTCCCTCCACACCCAGAACCTGGCCCGTGTGGTTTGGGTGTATGCCGCTGAGCGTGAGGATCACAAGACCGATGATCTCCTGGCCAAGGTTTCGTTCTGCAACATGCTCGTCACCTTCTCTATCGCCCTGAAGCACAGACTGCGCTTCGAGCCTTTCACGCACTATGAAGACCTGGAGCCCCGTCTGAAGCATCTTCACTGCGTCGCTCACCGCGCAGACAACATTGAGTGGACCAAGCCTTCAACGTTTAAGCGAATTGGTAGCCGTCTCGGTCTCCCAATGGCTGAGTCCAACCCTCGTAAGCTGATTAAGAAGTCGGAGAAGCCTCTGGGCAATGTGCCATTGGAGATTCTGAACTACTCTTCGACCTATATTCGCAACATCATCGATAATGGTACCTTTAAGGCCCCCATCTACCAAACACAGGCTCTCAACTCCATCACCATCCTGAATGACATCCTCACCGGAACCGACCGAGTTCTGAACACCCCCTTGCCTATTGCTTACTCCATTGCCATCTCCCAAATCACCTGGGTCTACATTCTTGTTCTCCCATTCCAGCTCTGGAAGACTCTTGAATGGGTCACCATCCCTGCTACCATCTTTGCGGCCTATATTATCCTCGGTCTGGCTCTGATCGGCCGCGAGATTGAGAACCCTTTCGGAGACGATGTTAACGATCTGCCACTGGACATCTACTGCGACCAGATCCGCCACGAGATCGATATCATCATGGCAAGTGGCAACCTCTCGACCGACGACTTCATCAAGAGCGACGACAACATGCTGCTTTTCCCTTATAACCGCCACGGCTTCCACTCTGTCAAGGACAAGACCCCTGAGCAGATCAGAAAGCTCCTCGCGGCCAAGGTCGAGGGCCTCTACAGCAAGGCCTCAGCGTGAGACCATCAAGCCGGGCTTTGTTTCGTAGCCTCCCATTAAGGAACAGGCTTCATGTGTGATTCTTGTATTGGTTCGATGTACACGCAATGTGCTTTTTTTGTTCGTGCAATTTCAATGGGTTTAAAAATCAAGTCATAATCGAGATCCTACGGTCTCCGTTTCCCTTTACTAGGTAGCGATAACAAAAATCAAAAGCGTGCATTCTTTGTCTTTGACATTGTTTAATCAAACAAACACCACGAGCCAGCGATAATTTGGCCAACGATAGTAATACGTAATGATCTGTGTCGTGATCAAAGGCCATACTGCAAGGGAATGGCCAACCGGGATCGGTGTCTTGAGCGTGTGTTCCCCAAATTCGTGTGGAACCTCGCAATTTACTCCGATTATTATGTCTGTTTCCGAGCACATGCTTAAGCGAGACAAGTCACTACGCAAACAGGGAAAATGTGGCCCGTGTGTTTATATGTCAATTTGCACGTTTGTGATTAATTATTAATCGCTAGTCTCATGCCTTTAGGCAGGCCCAGTGACAGCCAACTGTCGTTTCCAGCTCGTATCCTCGGGAGCGTTATTTCTCATAGTGAGCGTTGTCAATTTGGAAAAGTAGATCATGACTTTCACTGGATGACCTAATATACCTGTGAAGAGCACCATACTTGATGGTTGTATTCGTCTTCGCAGCATTCGGTTGCATAATGTTTGCCTCACGGTGAGTCAGTGAGACCCATCGCCGTGATCGAACTTCTCGACCGCGGGGCAAGTGCCCTTGGCAGTATACAGTTGTCCAGGCGATGAAGTTGACAGGGAGATTTAGCCGATAAGATGCGAAGTTTGAGTGAAGAATCGTGGAGGAAGCGCTTGGATTATTCTTACATACTACCTGCTAACAACATATACAAAGATTGGCATTATCTCCATACACGTTATCCAGCAGTTTCTCTTCACGTATTCATTGTATTTCCTCCTTCCGGCGCTTTACCTTAGGTTCTCATACTAGTCACCAGCAAGCTGTCCGTTGTGCGATTGTGTGATACTCCTTCTACCCTCGCCCGGTATTCATTGTCAACTGTTCTTGGCTATACTTGGTTCCATTTCAAGAAGTATACGATTGGTGCATCGTCTGCACCTCGAGGTCGGAAAGTAGTGCAGTGAAATAGAGCGCTGATGGTCTTCGCTCATGCTACATGCCCAGCTTGCATCTCTTGGGGCAGACCCAAAATCATATCTACATCTCTCAACCCTCTTGCGACGGGAAGACGCTGGGTTTTCTTCGATGCTCGGTTATTCACATGCTCCCGCTGCCTTTATGTGTTTAGATGATTGACCCATGGCACTTAAGGTACAGGGACGAGGAAACATTTCGCGTAGTAATTATGGGAATTTTTGGCGTCAAATATGCTGAAGACAATCTGGTTTTTGGGATTGACTTTTTAGGGAAATAGTGAAGTTATCGCTTGCAGGGAAGTCAACATATTCTGAACGGTTTCTATTTCCGCCCAATGCTCGAGACAAGTCTTCGAATTAGGATATTGAACGTCTTTCTCGATCTTTCCCTCAATTTATCCCACTCTGAGCTTCATTGCTCAAGGAATGGGAATGATTCAGCCGCAAGCATATGAGTTTCTTCTGTCATACATGGCCTACTCATCCTCTCCGACTACGGGATTATCCGAGAGCAATGCGATGCGCAGCAAGGGTCCGGAGCGCCAGGGGTTTCAGGGACAATCAACAGGAATTCATCACGAAACTATTAGAAGGGAAGCCAGATATGCTTCGCTTTAGGCAGCTTGAGCATTAGATGTGATGCGTTTAACTATGGTAAGGGGAGCATACATGTTCTATATTTGGATTATTCTGGCATTTGTTACCTTTTTCATGAAGCTCTCGGGACGCAGAACGAAGTACTGGTATAAGATTTGAAAGTTCTACCTAGATGTACAGTGTGTTATGAGTACATTGGCCCCCATCACTCAAGGTCAATAGATTTATTGATAGAGCCAGTGAAGACGATTAGCAATTAGGTGTTGATAATAGTTTGCAATACAGGCAAAGTTGTTTTCTTTCAGTCAATTATATACCTTACTGGAACGAAGGAGTATCATGGTGCTGACTTAGTATGAAAAGGGGTTATCCTTGGGTTTGACTATTTTGATATTCAGACCCAACGTTACAAGAGAGTAAGCACACACGAAATAGATTCTACAACACAAATGTCTGTTGTTATTAGACAATATAAACGACTCAGGGGCAAATTTCACCATTAGCAGCACTTGTGACACTGTGTATCTCATAAAAAGAGTATATTTCTCGGTTTGTTTTTAAATAAGCCACGAAGCAAAAGGCCTGAATGGCTCATAGAGGCGCAACACAACAACACTTAATCATAAACCATCGCCAAGGCAGCATCGCCGTGCTGAGATGGCGCACATATATTTCCCAAGAAGCACTCGAATCCAAAAATCGCTGATAGTACAGTCCAGCTCCCACATCCCATATCATCCTTGATGAGAAATAGGGGCTTTGGCCGCCTGGGCCTCAAAACGAAGCTTACACGAAGGCAAGCATCTTACTCCGAGGATTCAGTAGCCTCGGCAGCGGGCTTCTTGTGGCGGCGACCACCACGCTTCTTGCCCTTGCCCTTTCCACCCTTGCGCTTGCGGCCGCGAGTCTCGAGCTCAGGCTCAAGAAGGTCACGGATATCAAGCTCCTCATCGAAGTCGCGCTCCTCGATCTCGTAAAGGTCACGGCTGTGGCGACCACCGCCATGGCCGCGGCCACCTCCACGGCCACCACCACCGGCACCGCCGAAGCGACGGACCTCAAGTTCCTCATCGAGGTCACGAGAGTGACGGCCACCTCCACGGCCACCTCCACGGCCGCCGCCAAAGCCGCGACCACCACCACCGGCACCGCCGAAGCGACGGACCTCAAGCTCCTCATCGAGGTCACGAGAGTGACGACCACCTCCACGGCCACCTCCGCGGCCGCCGCCAAAGCCGCGACCACCACCACCGGCACCGCCGAAGCGACGGACCTCAAGCTCCTCGTCGAGATCACGAGAGTGACGGCCACCTCCACGACCTCCTCCACGTCCGCCGAAGCCACCACGGCCTCCAAAGCCACCGCCGGGGCCGCGAGGGCTACGGACCTCGAGCTCTTCATCAAGATCACGAGTGTGGCGACCACCGCCATGGCCACGACCGCCTCCATGGCCACCACCACCGCCGTAGCGACGGACCTCGAGCTCCTCGTCAAAGTCACGCTCATCGAGCTCATCCTCATCACGCTCCTCTAGCTCCTCATCGTCACGCTCCTCGAGCTCCTCAACATCGCGAGCAATAAGGGTCTCCTCGTCGACGGATCGGAGGACAAAGTCCTGGACGGCGCCGCCATCGGCACCCTCAGCTCGGACGGCGAAGTCGGTATTGCCCTCAGTGGACTCGGCCAGGGCCTTGTTGGAAAAGGAGAGAAGGGCTGCGGCCGCGGCCAGGGAGAGTTGCTTGGTGGAAACCATTGTGAAGATCTAGGCTTTTGTGTATAAGATCTGGGTATGTGGTATTTGTACACTTGGAAGGATAAAACAAGCTGGCAAGTAGGAAGCTGATATTGGTATCTGGATTCGAATAGACGAAAGAAAAAAGGAGACGGAGACGAAAAGGAAAAAGGAAAAAAGGAAAAGCTAAAGTTCGAAAAAAGGAACTGTCGCTTTGTTGTTTGCTTGGATTGAGTTGAATGGATTGATCGAGAGGGAGCAGAGAGAAGATGTCTTGATCTTATATAGAGCTCCGACCTAACACCAAGTGATACTGTACCAGGGTGTGTAGGCTGTGCTTGCTCTCACTCCATTCCCTCTCTCACCAAGACGACCGTGGGGTATCGACGCGAGAATCCTTCTCGGAACGCAATACGGAGGGGCACCTCCAACTCTGAGCCGGAGTGTCACCCACCCTCCATTCCGTGTGGAATGCATCAGACATGGTCTGTTTCAGCTGCAGAGATATGAGTAATTTGCCATTTGTGGCATCACTTCCATGCTATGATGTGATGGTCATCACTGACACACTTGCACCTGGGGTTTTTGGGGATGGTCGGTGGGCTTTTTTTAGATGCCGATCGTACTATTCTGGCACTACTGCAGGAGCTGTTGGAGGCCGTTGGGGTTCGAAGTTGATGGAGTCTCCATCGAGTTCGAAGAGACACTGAATCCAGGACAATGGAAGCAACTCTGCGATCTTTCGACAGACCAGGTGGTGCGTGAGCTGCGGCCAGGATCGGAGGACGGAATTGAGTATTCTCCCGCTGATTTCGCCGCCCAACTCTCCCAGAATGAACGCAATCAGATGCTGTCCTCGGTGTTCTGTGGCGATTTCCTTCACATCCAACTGCCCAGACCTCCGCCCTACAGCAACGCACGTTGCTCGAACAGGGGGCCGCTGTGACCGATCCCGAGTAATACGTGCGTCCCGCCCACTAATCAACGTGTAAGTTGTAACCGAACCCAAATCAGCACCCATCTCATCTGCGAAGGATTGGAATCCCCGGCCAGCCCAACTGCTAGCATGGTGTCGCAAATCAGCGCGCGGTGCGTCCACCTGGGGGAGGCAAATCCCAGTCTTGGCTTACTGTCCAAAGTCCCTAATGCAATAAGGCTTTAGGTCTTAGTGAAAGCTTGGTAGCGGCAATCGGGACCGAAGTCTACCTCTTCTACCGAGAGGCCCATTGGCTTTAGGCATGAGCTCGTAAGCAAGATTAGTGGGCTCTTCCATATGAAGATCCCTCACCAGCGCCATCACTAAGCTTGATGTCATTGTCACTGAGTGTATTTTAAGACTGTTCGTTTCATGGCGGTCTACTGACCCCGAAAAAAGGGGATCAAACCAATACACCTTGGACTCGTCTTGGATCCCCATCCATCGGGCTTGCGCAAGAAACGCGAAACATCATGAGATTTTGGAGACTTCCGGAGACTTTTGGGGACTTTGCTGGCTGGCTCCAGCGCGCGCGTCGGCACCGCTGCCCAGTCGTGCCGCGATCCTACATGGCCCCAGCTGCCGACCAACGGCACAGAACAGGAGGCCAGCAAGGTTTAGCGCCTCTGGGGGCTGTTTGATGATTCGAGCTACCTTTGTCGGCCTCCAGGGGTCAGCAAACAACACCAAATACTTGTCCAGTGTGTGCTCATAGCAGCTGACCTCGAGCTGGTTGGGCGCTGTTGAGGCACAGCACAGCGGCTTCTTCGGCTCCACGCCACGTCGACATCCTGCCTGTTTCACACAAAGATTTCAAGTCCTTTGGTCAGACGGGTGGTGTGCCACATGCATGATTGATAAAGTAAGTTGCATCTGCAGGCGCGTCCATATGGTCCGCCTCCTATTTTTACTCGTTGTGTGGCCCCACGGCTTGCGCAATCCGCCCTTGTAAGCCCTTGCAACAATTTACCCCTCAATCGCGATTTACGGCCTCACTTTGTTCTTGTTGATGAATAAGAAATGACCTGTGGCTGGTCCGTCCAGGGATCTGCTCGAGATGACCGCGTAGGGTTAAGTCTCTCAGCACACCATAGAGGCTCTCTGCCCATGAGACGGGCAGAGTGAGCAGAACGTGACGCTACGAGTGCACTAAGATTGGGGGCTTTTTATTCTGAGCGGTTCAAACAGCGTCAAGATCTTCGCATGAGCAGAGCTAAGCAAAAGGTTCGCTAGTGTTCACGGCGCCCATTCGATCCGTATTCGTCTGACTTTGACGCAAACTACTTCTAATCTTGGCCATACTGGAGCACTTCTCGATATGCTGACTTTTAGTGGATAGATGAAGCGGTTTTGTGTGTGTCCAAGGAAGGCCTCCTTTGTCTTGTGTTCAGAATACATTCATCTGTAAGCGTTGGCTCGGATGCAACATCGCCTAAGTATACCCACCCCCAATGCTGCCAAGGCGGTACTTGGGAGCAATTAGGGAATAAACATAATATAACTCTATATTGAGTGACATACTAGTCTTCTGAGACGAATTCCTCCTGCACCCCAGACTTGTTTTACCTCGTTTAGCTCTCAGAGCTGCCTTTTCTATAAATAACGACGCTGGATGGGACACCCGCATGTGTGTGGGCCATTGGCATCAGCCTCACCGGGCTTTCCTAGATGCGGTAAGCGAGCAGGAAATCGTCTCAGGTATCGTACCTAGAGAGGAGGAGAAGCAAGGTGGCTGTGCTGCCCCGGCTAGGCCCATGATTTGGCTGTACCTACGTCGGCCTGTCCAGACAAAATCGAAACCTTGAAAGTGAGATATTATTATTAGTTGAGGATAGATTTTAATGCTTGGTAGCAGCGATGCTGGCGTTCGGTGGACGGAGCTGGTGTCACGCGGTCAACAAGCGGACGGCTAGTCGAGGTTATCCCCTTTGTTCTTGAGGCAGAGGAGGATTGCTCTATAAAGGACTTTGGTATGATTTGATCAATTTGCTAACATTTGCTGCGTCACAGTGCCGAGGAGTTGGATCCTTACCCCGAGTTGAATTGGCACTTTTGTATAGCTACCCTACATCCTAAGATTGCATCACGGAAGGAGGAAGACACAGTTGCTGTACATCGTTGACTGTAATGATATCCTCTCAAAATGTCCAAATGGAGTCACTCATGTCCTGGTGTCTTGGGCTGTTACAGTTACGCGTAGTTGTGGCGAGTAAGAAGACACGTGAGTTTCATCGCGATTGATATGGTGATGATCGTGATAAATGTCGACCCAATATCAAAGGTGCTCTTGCAAAAGCATTTCACAAGCGAAGGTCCGACTAATTAGGAAAATCAGCCTAAATGGAAAGATCAAAAATAAATCGGAATTAATCTCACGCTGTCCCTATGCTAAAGCCCTCACCATCGATGCTATCTTGACAATATCTCCTTCATCGTCTCTATCGCCTCATCCAATTTGCTCAAAGTCATACTTACATGGCCATCCGTCTCCGAAATCCTTGCTTCGGCCCCCTGTATCAACTGGGCTGCTTTCTCAGCCATCCTGACAGGAGCGTTCACATCCAACCTGCCATGCCAAATCACGAACTGACCAGGGTTAACCTTGACATCCTCGAGGCGGAACCCCCAATCGCTCGCCGCAATCTTGGCCTCCCACGCGGACCCTTTGCTCCCATACCGTAACGCTTGCCGCATATCCTCGATCAGCATCGACCGTGTCCTCCCGCCGTCGTGATAGATGCACTCTTGGTCTGGCCCCGGCTTGTTCTGAAAGCTGTCGTCGAAGATCTTCTCCAGCTTCTCTGGGTGCTCCTCGTCTCTCGCGGCCGAACCAAATAGGTATTCGAACCCCTTCTCGACCAGCCACGGCGACCATGGCACGAGGCCAAGCATGATGCGGCTCTGCAGCATCATGCCGTCGATACCGAGCTTCATGGGGTACATGGATGCCACGACACCGCCCCCAATACAGCGAGTCCTTGGGATCTGATGCAGGCACGCGATCGTGTAGGGACCGCCGCCCGAGACCCCGAGGACGGCGAACCGGTCGATCTTGAGATGGTCGGCGATGGCCAGTAGATCTGCTGGCCAGTCGACGAGCCGACGGTTTGGGTCGTGGGTCGAGCGACCGAGGCCTGGTCGTTCAATGGCAACGACGCGGATTCCGAGGCGTTTGGCTGGCTCGTCGTACCCGAGGGCTTCAACGAGACTGCCGGGCAGTCCGTGGTGGAAAAAGACTGTCGCGTCGGCATTGTGGTCGCCGTAGACTCCGTAACAGAGCACGCGACTGTCTGGTAGGGTGAAGAGGGCTCCTGTTTGCGATGGCGTCTCCATTTTCGATTGGTGCTTTGGCTTGGAGATGTTGAATTGAAAGCGATCGCGGGGTGAGTTATATATTTATTCTTGGCGGGAATAGTAGCGTCGCGCATGCTCCGTCCAATTTGTTTCCCCCTTTTCAAGATGACACAGGCGATCTAGGATATTGCTGTTGCCTAGCTATTGATGGCTACGGTTTGAAGCATGGGAGTTGAAGCATGGCTGGATGGCCAAGCAGGTGAGATAAGCCGTGAGACACTCCCTTGCAGCACCCAGTCCAGTCCGGCTGCGCGAGTTGGCCATCACCCGACATTGATGATCATCATATCAGTCAATAACAATATGATATTTTGTCGAATGTCTCCTTTTTTGATACGTATACAGGGTTACTCATTGATACTGCTGTATGTAGGAGGACAATGGCAGCCGCGCCTTGGAAGAATATTTCATGTCTGGTGTTCTGGGGAGACAAGGGGTACCGGAGCCGAATATCCTGGTAAGCCGTGTCAGGTCGAGGCAAGGCAGCCACATTTAGCAGTACACACCAACCAGGATTTGAATCCGGGTCCGAAGAGTCGAAGCCAGACATCACCCTGTCTTCTGGGTAAGATTCATCACTCACCTGGCGATTGTGAGCGATTGTAACTGACCATATTCCGAATCTATGGTGCCACACACAATAACAAGAAAAAAATGAAGTCCTCCACGATATTTAGGTTAGCATTGTGTTTATTACTAGGTTAATTATTTTGAGGTTGTGTCGAGAATCAACCATGCAGGCTTTAGGTGAGTCATGTTTCGTGTCAGTCGCTTGCTCGCCAACTTACGCCAATTGTCCGGGCAAAGTATATTGCACCTCTTAAATACTGATCTCGAGTGCTAGAGTTAACAAGAATGTTGAAGAAACATCAAATGAGTGGCAGCTTGATATCTATCAGCCACGGCAATTGAGGTTTACCCCCCGTAGCAGATTGGATGGATGCATTCACAAACAGGGTGTCCGACCCTTGTTGAATGCTGGCGATATCCTTAGAACATCGGCTGGTGTCACAGAACCCCTGGGACAGCAGTTCCTCCAACCTATTCTTCTTCGCATTGGCCGTGTCCTCGTTGTCAAATTTCCCAACTGCAAGACTCTGCAGACTCTCGATGGGCGTTGACTTTTCGTTGTCGATGTCGGTAAAATGCGACGGATGCTCTGACGCTTTCTCCCTCCAATGAACTAACTTGGCTCCCCATCGCTCATGGATGTGCCCGAAGCAGTGCAGTTTTGGCCGCTGGCGTGCCACGGCGGCAAAAAGCTGAGGACATCCAGCCCGCTCTCTTGAGAGGGTGCGATCGAGAACTCCTTCTGGCAGACCATGGGTAACAACAACATCCGCTTTCCATACGTCCCAGGTATGCCCTGCGCTACGCGAATATTGAAATCTCATGTTTCCCTCTGAGGGGGTATATGGACTGGAGTAGAGCAGCAGACGAGCCCCATTACTCAGGTGGAATTCGTGAGTGCCCTCCGTCAAAACTCGAATGTCAGGATATACTGCGAAAAGATCTCCCACTTTTCCATACTCTCCATAGGTTTCCTCGACCAATTTTGCCTCTAGATCGCCATTTTCAAGAAGTGCGGTGTAAGCCAACTTGTCAAGGGTGAAGTCGTGATTTCCGGGAATCACAAGCTTCAGAGACGCCTTGATGTTGCTCATCATCTTGAGAGTAGACCCATACTCATGCGATTTCGATTCATCTGTCAAGTCACCGCAGTGGATGAGTACATCTGCGGAAAAGCCGGGCTTGAAGTCCGTGGGAAGGCCTTCGCCATGGGTATCTGATATGATTAGAAACCTGGTTTTAATATCCGAGTTATCCATGGAAGTGTAATCCGCCAGTCATAAATGATGTTTCAGATGAAGGAAGGAGAAATATGGAGCGGTGGTTTGCTGCGACAGCGTTCTTTGTCTGCCTCGGTCTAAATCGTAAGGTTCTAACTTGCATGATGCTTGGGCAACAAATTGAAACAAAGTTCGCCTGGGATCAAAAATATTTTGCCTCTGTTCCAAAGAATAACTTATTTGAAAAACTGAAATCCACAAGACTTAATACAATTCCTTAGTTTGAGGCCCTCTTCCGGTCTTGTATTAATAAAAGCTGTTCGGTCGGGGAGCGGCTCGTGGCTTGCGCGAACTGTCAGACATTCAAAGCGCTAAGCCATGGCGACCTTTCGGACTGAGTTTAGCTCTTGAAAACATAATAATTCGCCTCTCGGTGTGTATTTTCCTCTTTAAGTTTCCCTTTGACTTCTAAGATTACGCGTTGTGTGGAACACGTACCGATATCCATTCACAATGACAACCAGATGAAAGTATTATCCACAATTCTTCCAGTGTTTTCTAACATACGGAGAGCTAATTTAAAATTAAACGGAGCTAAATGGTGGTATTTAGCAGCGGAGTTACCACTTCTTCTTGATAACCAGGAGTACGCCAGTGCTATCGAGAGTAACCAATTCCTCACCGAGCTCCACGCCAGCCTCATGCTGTAGCTGCTTGACATCTCTGAGAAACCTCTTGACCACGTCGTTCTCTGTTCCCACATCTTCAGGGTGGGCCTCTCGCCACCGGGTGATGGGACTGAACGTGCTGAGCATCTTTTCGAAGCCATCCAAGCCGAGGCTCACTCGAGTCTTGAAGAACTCATCCCCGCTCTTCCAATGTTGACGGAAGAAAGAAGATTCTTCAAACTCGGCGACAGGATTTGCAATTGTCCAGGGGAGTGGGAGAGTGGCATAGCAGTTCTGGCTCATGGCATTGCCTGCTTGCAAGAATCCAGCCAGGTGCTCATCACGATATCGGGTTACGGTCGCCTGTATAGCAGCCGCATTGGGGACAGAGGGATGAACACGAGTTTCCCCATTAACCCAGATGGCGACGCTGCCACCGGGCTTGAGGACTTGCGAAGCCCTGGGCCAGAATGTGTCCATGTCGAACCAATGGGCAGCAGTGGCAACAGTAATGAGGTCCACACTCTCATCGGCAATCGCGGGACTCAGATCAGCTCCCAGCTCCTCGGCAGTTGAAACCTCGAAGCGAATGGGCTGCGAAGTGGAGGTCTCACCACCCAAACTTCGGGCGACGCTGATCATTGACACTGAAGGGTCCAGTCCAATGGCCGTCTTGAATTCAGGAGCAAGAGCACGAGCAGCTTGACCAGGCCCACAACCGAGGTCGACAAGAGTATCTAGTTGGCCACTAGTAGATGTGTGCTGATTCATAACAGCATCGTAGAGGCTCTGGTGGTAGTCCGGGCGAGACTGAGCATAGACCCTGCCTTGCTGCTCGCTGTAGCCAGTGAAGGTTGTATCAGTCATGTTTTCTTGTAGGAACAAGGAAGGATGCTTGTAAAGATGTGAAGAATGATAAGAACTGAAATGATATCTTGATCGCTCGCTGGGGTAAACTAAGGTATGAACACTGACTGAAACACTGATTAGGACGTGATGGCTATCAAACAGGCTGTATATATATTTGACATACAGAGCCTGGATTACAATCGCAAATACGCCTCGCCCCCAAGACTTGACGTAAGTCGTACGGCGTTTGGGAGTTTTGCGAGTCTGCAAGCCCGGCTGTGTCGCATCGGAGCTTATCATTGAGCGGAAGGAGTTTTCATGATGATCTAAATCCCCGTTCCGGCGCCAAAGCGGGATACTTCAATTGGCAGCCTGTTAATTCGGAAAATATTAGTGTACTGTTACATGACAAATGGTAATCTGTATCTATTCTTTGATCGTCGTGCTAATACTCAATTCTAGGATTCACAATATTGGGGGGTTCAAGCGAGCAATGGCCACCTAGATGTCATGCGTTATTTGCCGTGAAAATGCCGCAGATAATTCTCCAATTTCTTTCGGCGGACAAAAGTACTAAGCTCAATGGCACCTGGGTTTATTTTATAAGGCCTGACTGCCTCGTGGGCGTGAGTGGCAGGCATATCCGGTGTGGCGTCGATAAGCAGGCTGTCGTCACTTTCAGGGACTTTGGCCATACCGACCGAATCCCAACGCTGGAGCCCAATGGGAAAACTCAAGGCTGAAGATAGAAAAGTCACATGTTCACTTTTTCATGCATCAGGATCACATCAGTTTCAAACCGCAAAGAACATGTTTCAACAACCATAATGGCAACACAATCAAGACCAAGTTGTGGTAATCAAAGGCTCGCTTATTTATTCCCTATCTAATACTACAAACACAAGAGAAACAAAGTTTTCACTGAAAGCTATGCCATAAAAAATCAGCTAAGGATAACTCCCGTTAAGTCACAAATACCGAATCGCCTTCGGCAACAGCATTCTGCGGCATATGGCTCTTCTTACTCCTCCAACTCCTCCAGGTCGCGAGTCCCGCGGTGCCCACCGGTACGAGGTTGGCTACCGCCGCGTACGGGAGCAGGGTGGTATCCGGGGCTGTTGCGTGCGCGGGTGTAAAGCTCACCCTCATAGTCGTCAATACTCCGTGTTCCTCTGTGGCTACCACCACGGACCGGTACAGGGTGGTATCCGGGATTGTTGCGTGCGCGGGTGTAAAGCTCACCCTCGTAGTCGTCAATGCTCCGTGTTCCTCTGCCGCCCTGTCGGGGGCCATGGCCACCTGCATTAGGTCCCCAGGTGCGAGGATCGTCTCCGGGTCGGCCTCTTCTAGTACGGGTGAAGAGCTCAGATTCATACTCATCAATGCTTCGGGTTCCCTTTCCCCCTTGTCGGGGGCCGTGACCACCTGCGTTTGGTCCCCAGGTGCGAGGGTCATCTCCGGGTCGGCCTCCTCGTCTGGTACGGGTGAAGAGCTCTGTCTCGAAGTCATCGATGCTCCGGGTTCCCTTGCCGCCCTGTCGGGGGCCATGACCACCTGCATTTGGTCCCCAAGTGCGAGGGCCATCTCCTGGTCGGCCTCGTCTGGCGCGAGCCTCAAGCTTTACGGGCTCGTCTCTCTCCACGAGGTATAGGCCATCAGTGGACTTATCGATGCCCCATCGCAAGTCCCTTGCTGGCAAGGCCGAGCCACACGAAAGCCGCAAGGCCAAGGTTCTGAATAGCGACCATTTTGAAAAATAAAAGAAAAGGTTGTGTGGTAGTTGTAATAGTCAAATGAATGGGCTGTGGTAAAATCAGTCTAGGAGACCAGCTTCTAGGTATAATCAGATTCTTGTCAGAGAATGGAAAGTTGTTAGTTGGTTGTAGATGCGCCTTCTCATCTAGACGAAGAGGAACTGAATATTTTATACTCGCTTGCTCCAAACCCCAGGGACGAAGGCTAAAATTAGCCGCTGAGGTAGAACGGAATAGAGCGAGGCAGATCAGTGCTTATTCTTCTGGCATCATAACTGTAACTCACCTTGCTAGGAAGGGTCGAACCTAAAAATAGCGTTGTTAATCTTCTCATCGCAGGGGGCTTTCCGTTGGTCTTTGTTTCATTGCGTGTCTTTAGCCTGGCACTTACCTGTATAAGTGGTGCTGGAATCTGACATCTCAACGTTTTCCTGCGGACAAAAGTGGTTCTCTGGATCTCAATCCCTGGCAAACGCGTGGACATGACTGGTGTCTGGATCCGAATCCCCAGCAAGAACCGAGAGCAAACACATTGGCGAGACAGGCGTCTGAGCGTGGAGTCTGTAAGCTGACTGACCCACCAGCCTGTTATTGCCTAGCCTCAGGGGTTGATATTGAGCTTGCTGTTGTAGTTTCGGCACCTATTCCAACACAATCTGCCGATGCTTCGGCAAGGAGCATTACCGACGCGGTACTTACGGATGCAATCAGAAACGCTGGAGCAAGGCTGGGGAATCCTACGCACTGAACACTGTCGCACCATACGATCGACCAGCCCAGGTAGTGCCTGTAAACTTGGCGTCACTCATCTTTTTTGGCGGAGTGCTTCTCCAGAAAGGGTGGTATTTATCACGTTTCTATATTTAGTTTTACTTTTTGGTATTAATTCACTATCGGGGATATCCAGAACCCTGTGGCTATGGCATCGGATTCTGGTCTCTACCATGGCCGGTCCTTTTATGAAATCCCCATTTTACTCGGATAGTTGCTGAATTAAAATTTCAAATTCACTTCATTCTGAAGCTTTCAAGACTTTGTTATTATAACACTCAGTAGTTGTGCAAACCGTGTTTGGCTGCGGCATAACCGCATCCCCATTGCGATTTCCTGGTATTTGTTGATCTTTGGAGTGAAAGTGCGGAGTTGAATCGGAAAGTGCCGACACTTTCAAACACAGCGTCCCCTCGTGATTTTCAATAGCCTCGGTGTGTCAAGCAATTGTGAAATATTTTACTCACTATAATCTAACCTAAAGTGCCAAATAAAAATCATGCTAAGTTGCTATGTTTCGGACATCTTGTCGAGACCTGCCCTTCCCCAGCAAGTAGACAGCTTACTGCGAAACGAGTCTGCGGCTATCTTGTATACTTCTTTGTTGATTGGCAATTGATGAAGATTGCATAAAAGAATAAACAAGACGGTATGTTCCGGAGAATCGGGTAGTCCAAACCGACCAGAGTTAATTTGCTGCATAGCCCAAAGATTGGGAGATGTGCTAAGGTCTCGGAGGAACTCAAAGCAGAGATTCTCCACTACCAAATATGGGAATGCAATTACGGCACTCTCTTTATTCAACTCATGACCGAGTTCTTTAATGAGAACATGTGGAAAGAGTTTCGCGTGTTTAGTGGGGGTTGAAGCACTCCCAGGACGTCTACCTTGTGCTGTGTTGGTCGCGACAATGCAAGGGTCATGTCCATTGCCGCCATGTACTGACCCGAATTTGCTAAGGGAGAGGAGCCTTTCCACATCTTCTGGCCTCATATCGATTCGCCCCGAATCCAGCACATATCTGTCTGTGAAGAAGACGGATAGAGGAATTTGTGACCATAAGGCTTTTTTGGTGCGTCTTGGGAAAGATACTTGCAACGATCCATCGGAAAGATTCATCATCCTTTTCAAGGCAGAAACAGATGTTCCTTTCTGGAGAGCAAGCGACCTAACAATCGCTCTCGTGCCGCTTGGTCTGTCGAAGTTGGATTCGGAATTGAAAATAGCGCCAAGACCGAGTCTATTCTCTATCTCTGCCAAGTCTTCCCAGTCTGAATCGAGCATATCTTCGGAATGTAGAGCATGGTAAAGGTGGGCGACATCTTGGATCATTGTGATTGCGCCGGGACGAGTGCTAAAGTCATATAATCTTGCTCGGAAATGGAAGATAACCAGACCGCATAAAACAGGCGATAGTTTGTAAAGAAGGTGTCTCTCACATGAGAGAGGTGGCTGCATGTTCATTTCCCTGGCAAGTCTGTCGCCGATTTCAAAAAGTTCGTCCTGTTTAATAAACCTCAGCGGTTCCTGGATCCTGCGTATCATTTCCGTATGGATCTTAGATGCCTGCTTGGTGACAGTGAGAAGTGATTCAAGAGTGCTCTCAATTGATTCTAGCTCTTGTTGCATCTTGTCAAAAGCTTTAAGGGCATCCTTTCGGATATGATGATTGATATCAAGAAAAACCTGGCCAGCAAACAACAAGAAGAAAGTCATCTGCTCGGATTCCAAGACACGTCCGACTTCACGAGTGAACTCATCGAAGACTGGGAAGCCCTCGACATGGCGGTTCAGACTGGCCGACGACAAAACCAAGTTTCCCACAAACCCAAAATCATCTGTTATCATTTCATCGTCAGACAGTTGGTCTCGGGAGGCTGTGGGGTCGTAGTTTGCGAGACACGGAGGAACTGGTCCGATATTTTTAACGAGGTCCAGGCCAATTCTTAAACCTGACTTCGCACACAAGTAGAAACGTTGTCTGAGTTCATCAACGGGCAAAAGGTCCAGGTCGATTACTAATTCATACAACCACTCGTTGAAGAACTCGAAAAATTTGACGATGCCACCGTGAGGCTCAAAAACGGGTTCAGCTTGGTGGATAATAAATCTGGCAAGGTCCAGCCCAGTGTTTGAAGCTAATGCGGCGGCGCAAAGGTCCCATTCATCGTCCGTGAAGCGACGCCAGTTAGAGACAATCTCATCGCGGATGGCGTTTAGATCTCCAGACAGCATGAAGGCAAAGTCTCTTGCATCCCGGAAGGTTGTTGTCTGTTCAGCTTCGTAGACGTTCGGGTCGTCTACGACAGGCTCAGGTCTTTCGATCCCCATCATGTCTGTGAACTCTTTTGAAGGTTGGTTTATCTCGAGCGAGGCGAATCGATTAATGCTGGCTGCGTCTGGTATAGCTTTTTCCGAAGCTGAGTGGGGGGCAGAAGCTGGAGGCGGTGACATAGTCGCTTTCGAGCGGAGGATATCTCGGGTGCGCTTCAAGACAGTGACGAAGTGGGAGTGTTTTTCATCTTTCTCGGCGTCCAAAGTCTCTCCTTGATGAGAAAGCTGCGTAGCAAAACCTGCTCTTGCACTGATGGCTCTCTCTATAGCTGAAATGACGCAAGCAGGCACCGGTATTGCTGGGCTTTTCTGAGACGTGACGTATTCGGCAAGAGGGATAAACTTGCTGACAGGAATGATGTATTTGTTACTGTCTTGGGATAGCTTCTTCAACTTGGCTAGCTTCCTCTCTTTACCCTTGAGACGACCAGAAGCGGGAGGACAGTCGGTGAGTAGGGACAATGGACAGCCTGCAGCCCGCGAAGTTGAAGCGAGCCATGCGGCAACAGAGTTCGTGTCCTTTTTGTACTCCTCGTACACGCTGAGGAGCCGCGTTGGGAGCATCCTGGGTGTTTTGGTGGGTGTGGTGCGCATGCGACTTTGGAGGAAGAACGGAAAAGAGGAAGTCAAGGTGAGAGAAGAGAGGGGAAAATCAGAGGTGAAAAGAAGAGAAAGGAATACCAGGACGACAACACGCCCAGTCTGTTTGTTGACAATGGATTGCCCCACAGCCTCTGTGGCCGGCCATCAGCAGCTGCCAACTGAATAAAGTGTGACACTGTGTCATGGGTGTTCACGAGCAGCTGAAATGTGAGCACATTGTGAAAACAATCTGACCTGGACCCCCAAGTTTGCTATTCTTGATCTGGCTGAGATGGTTACTTGACTGGAACCGAAGAAATATTTCCTTTGGAACTTTACCCTGGTATTAATACCATGTCACTAGCCAATCTCATCACCTCTAGAACCCTGCGCCAAGGCGCTCGAGCCTGTCTGTGGTCACTCGGACCTGTTACTTGACTGTGTGTGTACCTTGTTAAGGGTTAAGAACACACCTACAGTCACCCGAAAGGCCCACACTTACTTAGCACTTATGCTGTTTACTTTGGGATTGGGACTCGTTTGGAGCTCAAGAGCGACATTCTGCAACATCATAGTGGAGGGTAAGTTCACAGTAAAAGGGAGCTGTGAACCATCTCATGTGGCCGCGAGGCGGAAGGGCCCAAGTGAAGTCAAATTTTGTGTTTCTGTGTCCCAACAAAGCGTAGATGTAAACGTGCAGAATGTGGAATGACTGTGGTGAAATAAGCGGAAGCCTTCATCTCAAGCTTCCACGGTATGATCCATTGATCTCCATCCCAGCCCAGATGCATTCCGTCAGCCCACTATCATCGCTTGTGATATGTGATACAGTAGGTGTTTACGTACCGTCTCGGCCCACACTTCATGCGGGCTGACCGAACCTTGAACGTCACTGGCTGTCGCCTTTTCGTATCAGGCTCACAGGCAGAACGAAAGAAGCGGGGTATGTTGCTATGTTGACGTCCAAAGTTCATGCTACGTCAAGAGATAAATAGTGTGTTATCCCCACGCTTGCCTATACATTCTGCTTGGGACAAGTCTGCGACTTACCTACTAGCTCACCTGCACCCAGCATCATCGTCGGGAAGCAGCTATGACGAGCATAGACTTGATAATTGAAAAGGCCGGCTTGCTATGCCCAGGACCAGGAGGGGCCATTGCAATTGTGAAGGATGAAGTGCCCCTCGCCCAGCGGGCATGGGGATTTGCTGATCTCAACCAGCGAATTCCAATGACAAGGGAAACCATGTTCCCAATCTGCTCCATTACCAAGCAGATGGTTTGTGCTGTCCTGCAGACTCTGAGGGATAATCACACACCGACCATGCCTATGGACGAGTCTGCCGATGACCAGCTCGAGGTAAACTTGCAGAAGCTGCTGACTCGCAAATTCTGCGAGGACAATAAGCTCTCCGTTCAGTTGCTGTGCGATAACCAGTCTGGGATTCGCGATTATTGGGCCACCAACACCCTCATGGGCGCCAAACCAGAAGACCGCTTCTCCCTCGAGGATGATGCGCGGGCAATGATTTACCGGGCCAGATCTCTTCATTTCAGACCCGGCACCGAGTTCTCCTATTCCAATACCAATTTCCATATTCTTGCCCGGGTTGTGGAGATGACGAGCGGCCAGTCCCTCTCCAGGTTGCTCCGCGAGAGAGTGTTTGCCCCAGCGGGAATGACGACAGCCGTGCTCTGTCCATCCACCGAGCACCAGCCAGGTCCGTGTGTGGGATATGAAGGCGGCCTTAAGGAGGGCTACTTCCCTGCCAGGAACCGCATCGAGTGGTCTGGAGATGCAGGCATCGTTGCTTCGCTCAAGGACATGGTCGCCTACGAGCTGCATCTGCAGTGGATCATGCAGGATTCCAAGAGCTGGTATCATAAACACTCAAAACAGGGAACCTTTTCAGACAGAAGCCAATCCTTCTATTCCAACGGGTTGTTTTTCGATGAGATGGATGGAGCGGCACTCATCGGCCACGGCGGTGCGTTACGCGGCTACCGCATTAGTCGTTTCCACATGCCTTCGCAAAACCTTTCAGTTGTCGTGATGCTCAACCATGAGGCGGATGCTGACAGTGTCGCGAAGCTGGTCCTACGCGAGGTCCTCGCCATTTCAAAAGCTTCAACTCACATGCCGGCTTCCATCAGTCCATGGTATGTCGAGGTGGCAGGCGAATGGACCGGCAACTTTTTGGATCTTGATACTATGCTTTCCATTAGAACCAAAATTACAGGGGAGAAGACCGTCTCGATCCTATATTCAGGAGAAACAGAAGAGATTAAGCTGTATGAATCTAGAAAAGGCTTCTCTCAGGACATGCGAGCTGAGATTGATGGCGACGTGCTCAGAATCCATCGTTTGAAGGACAACAGAATGCTGGAGGGAATCCGTCTCCACCCGAGTCAAGCATCTCGACGAGAGCCCACTATCCCTGGAAACTACGAATGCGCTGAGCTTGAGTCGAGGTTTACGTGTTTTGGCCAGGGAGAGGTGCTGTATGGCGCGTTTGAGGGACCGCTGGGCCGCGGACCGGCATCGCCTATGACGTATCTTGGAAGTAACGTTTGGAGTCTTGCCTGTGCGCGCGGTCAAGATGCTGACCCGCCTGGTGACTGGACTCTGGTGTTTGATCGAGTTGATAGCCAGATGGGTATATCCGGTGTGACCATCGGCTGCTGGTTGGCTCGAAAGTTCGGTTATATAAAATGGGGATTTTAGTTGCTAGCATGAACTTTTCCCAGTCTTCATTCCCACTGTTGCCGAAACCTCTGAAATCAGTTCCAAGCCCTTTCAGGTTATGGAAAGTCCCTTTAATTAGTTAGCTGTAGGTAATATCGATCGTATTCATGGTCTTAAGATGTCGGGTCTGGCATCTTCTATTACTGTTTTAAATTGTGCGAGTATTGTTATCAAACTTTGCCCCCCGCAGGTAACATCGACAAGTGCCACACGCGTAGAGACTAGGTTGAAACGCGTAGCAATTTGTGTAGCTAACATTAGGGATACTGGTGATAACTGGTTTTCAAACCCCTAAACTCCTCTTGTTAGATTGCCGAAAACCCGGGTTAGTGGATTGATTAAATCTTCGCAAGAAGATTATGCTAGGAGAGAAAGATGAACTCTTTAATTTGTGAACTTATAGTTCTTCCCAAGCTACCATTGGTGAAGGGCAAACGCAAATAGGGCTTATTCAAGAGTCCCACAACCGATGAAACCTCCTGGGTAAAGCCTTTGGTACGTTGGATGAGGAGGTAATTAATAATGTGAAGTTTTCGTATACCTGCCTTCACTCGCGTTTGGTATGATAGTTGAATCAGGCAGGAGTGGTCACTGTTGCTATGCGAGAAGTGTTTGTACCATGACACGTCTTTGCCACTTGCTCGCTCCACATTCACGTCCAGCTACTACGTGACTCTTGTTCAGAGCCCAGCTACTCTGACTTCTTTTCTTCCTCCCACACACAACAACATATTCTAACCAAGAGCCCACACGCGTCTTTCTTTTGCACGCATCGTCAGAGTTTCCACGGATCCTACTGCTCGAGCATTTCTTCATACCACCTGCATTGATTTTGTTGTTATCTAGCCTTACGGCAACGATGGAGCCTGATGGAAGGGCTTCAACTTCTTCCTGCGAAAAAGAGCGTCTTGAAGATGAGCCTGGGAACCATCCTCGCGCTGGCACCCAACCCTCCACCATCGAACAGCAGCGTCAGGAGTTCCTCGACCTGTACCGTTCATCTAATGTAAGTTGTCATGATTTGTATTGCGTTTCTATCCCTGCTTCTGTTCATGGACTGCCTTGAGACTAATGAACACGCAGGTTGTCGTAGTGTCTGGAGAACCCGGTTGCGGCAAGTCGACACGAATCCCCGAACTCGTTCTCTCGGAAGAGTCCAATAGCGGCAAGCGGGTGGCCTCGGCCCAGCCAAACAAAACGGCAACAACTTTGCTCGCTGACCGGGTGGCGACTAAGCTCGATTGCGAGGTTGGAAGTAGAGTTGGCTACACTATTCTGGGAGACGACAGAACCACGGACGAGACACTCCTAGAGTTTACGACTACTGAGAAATTGCTGTGGAAGCTTCAGAGTGATGGCATGCTATCAAAATACGTAAGACCTTCACTACATATCTTTTGTTTCTTTCTGCATAACAAATACTCACTGAGAACCAGAGCTGTATCATCATCGATGAGGTCGAGCAAAGAACCAAAGCTACAGATATCCTGTTGATGGCTCTCAAAGACCTGCTCCCCTTTCGCTCCGCTTTCAAGGTTGTGATCATCTGCAGCGCCTATGAAACCAGTTCATTACTCGCTTATTTCGACGACTTTGCTGTCTCGACCATGGCAATTGCCAGCCACAACAAGCCAGCCATCATTCAATACTGCCCGAAGCTGGATGGCCGAGTGCTTACTGATATGGTGGAACTTGTCCTCGAGATCGAAAAGGTCGAACATGAGATGCATCTGGCTTTGACACCTACCGCACTTGGTCACATTCTTGTTGTCCTCGCAACCGCCAACGATGTCAAACTATTCTGCTCCCAATTTGAGGGCCGGGAAACCGCCCTAGAAGTCGTCCCTTTTCACGAAGATCTCGATATCGACGAGCAGCGGAAAGTTTTCATTCCATCCCCTCGGCAAAAGTGCATCATCAGCACAGAACTGATTGAGAACAGTTTTTATGTTGATGGAGTTACCTATGTTGTTGGTACGTCAATAGTTTTCCTTCTGTCTTCCTCCTTTTGTGCCTCGTCTTTTTCCAAACTTCATTAATATCTGATTCTTTTCCAAATAGACTCTGGGCTTTTTGAATTGAAATCCTTTGATCCTAATGCTCGAATGGAAATGACATCCATCGAAACCGTCTTCAAAAAGAATGCTGACCGACGGGCCGCTCGAGCGCCATCTGGAGTGTGTTTCCGCCTCTACAGCGAGGCAGCCTATGATGGCTTGAAACTGCAGAGATCGCCTGAGTTGCTCCGCATGAGCGTGGCTTCGGAAATCCTCCTGTTGAAAACACTCGACTACCGCAGCATGAACGATCTGCAGCTGCTTGATCCGCCTGGTCCAGAAATCGTCGCAGCAGGATTTTGCGAGTTGGAGACTCTGTAAGTTTTGCTCTTAGCGAGAACTTGCTCTTTGCCCTCATCCAAAGCCCTCGAGACTTGCTTTCCCTTTGACTTTTGAACGTATGTTAAGTTTTGATTTCTAGTGGCTTGCTCGACGACGATCAGTTCGTGACTGAAGACGGCACAACGGCCTACCGTTCCATGACATCCGACAGTCCCATCTCTCCCGTCTGGTTCAAAGCAGTTATCGAAGGCTTTCGCTATGGCGTGCAATATGAAATCCTTTGTCTTGCCGCAATTTTTAATTCTCCCCGACCTATCTTTGTTCCCACTGCCGAGGGACATGCGCGGTCTAACCCTGCTCTGGGTAGATTCGTATCACACCAGTCTGATCATCTGGGATACATGCACGCATTATATGCTTACGAAAGGGTGATCGATGAAGAACCTGACCTTGTCGAATTCTTTTGCTCAGAGTCCTCCCTCGATAGGACAGCTCTGGAGGCTGTTCTCGGGTTTCGTGGTCAGCTTCTCGATTTCTTCAGCAACCTTCTAATGGGGGCTGTAAGTCGACCCAATGGTCGTGAAGAAACTCGCTGTGGCATTGTGAAGAAAGTCCTGGCCAAGAGCTTCTCCCATCACGCCGCGTTTCTGGACGATGCAATTCATGGACGCTATAAAATCCGCAGCGGCGGATATATTTCTACAATCAAAGAGACCAGCTGCTTGGCCGAATTTAGACCAAAGCATGTCATTTTCGACAAACTTACTTCCGCTGGTAGCAACTTGAAGATGGAAGTTGTGACGAAGATTCAGCCGGAATGGCTTCCTGTAGGTCCCTTTTTGTCATTCTCCAACTGGAATCGAGGTTCGATAGCTGACTCTTACGCCTAACTATAGCATGACGCCGTGTATTTGAAGGCAAGAAGAGCTTTTCATCGAAAGAGAGTTCCTCGCGATGAAGAGGACACAAATCTGCTCAAATTCGTCCTTCGGCGATGCACAAAACAGCGAGACCAGAGAAGCTAAACGTCTAGCTCGCGGGGTATTGGAGCTGGTAGCTCGAGCGTGCGATATCACTGAACAGATCGACACTAGATGGCCTCTGATTACCTCCTGCGAGTCCATCTGTTGATCATTCAAATGTCAATCTTGCATATGAAGGCTCCCGAACCTTGCACACGCCACAAAACCGAGACTATTGATTGGGCAACTCTTACCCACTAGTTGCATTTTGCTCCAAAACCATGGTTAGTCTGCTACCCGATTTCTCTGAGCCGACTTGGGGTCTCGCTAGCAAAATATCGCCTACGGTATAGTATGTAGTATGTGAGGCGTGGTTATAGAATCAAGACTGAAATGGAGGAATAATTGTGATGTTCTTTTTTAATTTTTCTTCTGATTTTGTACCATGTCATATTCAGGATGACGTTGAAAATGGCTGTTATTGGCGCAAGTTGAAATCTGTTTTCGGAGGACATTAATGCCTACAAGTATGAAGAAAGTCGAAAACTTGTGACTGATCAGATTGTGAAACACTCGTTGGTGCTCGAGATGCCTCTACTGGAAACATCTTCGATCTTCGAGTCGTAAAACCATGCCGCCTTGTCAGAAAGTTCCACAATCATTGTCTATCACTGTTTTTCATAAAGCCGAAGTTTCCGAAGCCGAGTAATATAACGGCCTCACAGCATCGGAAAAAAATACATTCAATGCTCGTCATTTGTTTAGTGTACTGTAATATCTTTCTGGACTCGAATCCGCCTGGGAGGAACACGCTCATGTAATTCAATCTTTGAATCCGTGCTTGCTTGCTCTGGGTCATTGTCTCCCCTCACTGACCAGGTCCTCTTAATCCTGTAGAAGCGATTGCTGTCCTGGTCAACCCATGCTGCGCGTTCCCTGGAGTTTGGGTGTTCCATGTCAGATATCTTCATGGAAGAGCTGCGGATGATGTTGTCAGATCCAGACCGGCCCTTGGCGCCGGCAGCACTGCAGCGAAGCAATGGGTCAAGGGTAGGGAGACATGCGCAAATGATTGCCATGCCTATCTGAAGCGTGGACCACAGGATTGTTTGGGGGGTATCGACTGGTAAGAGACTGTCAGTTGGGAATTCGATGACAGAGAGTGGTAAACATACTGTTGTACAACGCATTGGGTGGTCTCCAGATGGCTGATTCTGGCAATGCTTGCTGCACACACTCTGTGTTGATATGATCATTAGCCGCATTGGTCAAAGAAGGAAAGATGAGCTTGTGAAGTAACGTACCCCAGGCCGACAAGAAAGATACCGAGAACGGATACCTTCTTGGGAGTAGATAGGTTGAGCTGGCTGATGACTGACGTGGGAATCGCAAGGACGATGATATCGAGAAATAGGTGTGTGATCTCCATGGAGAGCAGAACTGGAGGAGAGGAAATGCAATATTCCTTCTGGTTAAGTTTTTCTCAGATTTACTGGATAGGGTGGTACTGGAATATGGTGAGGCAGAGGAAGACGAGGAACCAGATGAGGCAGATAGTGGCAGTGACAATAATGGTGTTGCGCTGGAGCGTGCTGACGGAGAAGGTATTCCAATAGAAGACGAGGAGGCTGGTTTTGACGAGGGTGATGATGACGCAGAAGATGATCTCATCCGCGAAGACCATCTGATGTGCTCCAGTTATTTTTATGATTCCATGTATTGACCGCGCGCTTTATCCACTGACACCATTCTGATCGTACCTTCATAAATTCCTGACGTTCCCAGAAGGAAATTTTGTTCGTCTTCATTGGCATGCCTTCAAATGCACCAATACTTGACACATTGAAGATGTCTTTTGAATCGAACGTCTCATTAGCAAAGCGTTCATCTTTAATACTGGTGGAAAATGGTTACTTACGGTTTAGTATCGTGGCACCATAGCCCCCAAATAGGAGAAGTGAGAAGACGGCGATGCCGGAAAGGGCCAGCATCACAACCACGGCGTGGAAGTTGCCCCTCGCCTCTGGCTCAAACTGGATCGTCATTGCGACAGCGGACAATGATAATGGCAGACCGACGAGCTTGGGACGCAGAACTTCAAGATCAGCTTAGAGGGCAACCAGTGAGAGGAGCGGCCCATACTTCCTGGCCAGGGTCGAGGGAGTGACCATGTAAAGGATATATTAATTAATACTTACATTAAAGTCTAGGGAATCAGCAAGATACCTCGGGCCACACGCGAGCAAGTGGATTGTGCGAGAGGTAGTGATAGTGCGAATCCTGCTGTCGAGGACATACACGGCTTCCCAATTAGATCGAGGGAGGGTGGGTTCACAAGTCGATGCGGCCCGATGGAAACAACCTAGAACACTTTCAGATGCTCGTAATTATGTAAAATCAGATATCTTCTGGTTATGTATTGGCGGCTTGATCTCCTTCTTGACTGGGCCTTTGCGCGCGGCAGATCCGCAGCGGCATCGCGACAGATTCACCACATCCGGACACGATCTGACACGCAGTTCGCAATGGACTTGCCGCTTGTGCACGTATTTGCGGCCAGGTAGCCAGTAAGAATCCACATTGAAGTTTCTTGGGCCGTCTTTGTTTCTCCCAACCGACAATTGGCCCTCATACATAATTACAACAACCTTCGCCTTTGTTCGGCGTTGTTTGCTAAACAGGCGGTTACAGCGCTCTTGTTCCACTGACCCCACTGAAGCATCATGCATTATAGCGACTCTCCACTGTGTTCTGGGGGTTTTTAGTGAAATGCGCGCATTCGGCATCTTCCATCTTGAGCTTCGGCTCCTCATTGCAATGCATTAGAATCCATTTGGGCTCGCTGATATTTGAGATACTCACCCAGCGGGCTTCAGCTTCTTATAGAAAACTAGCAGCTAGATATACGATGCGTATTTGACTGCAGTATACATGCGGCGGTGGTCGAGTTGCCACTGCTTGGGTTGCCTGATGAAACAGAATTCGAATACCCAAAACCGGTAGCAACGACAGCCTGCCCTCTCGCGCGGATGCTCCCGTCCATGGCTGAAGCCTGGATAGCTAACATCTACTCGATCTCCATGTCTCCCCCCATAAATCATTGTTCCTCCTCTTGCCCGAGTTAGCATGGAGGGGTGGGATCTGAAACGGCTCTCGTCTCTTGTCTCCTCGCAAATCAACTGCCATTCCAAACACTGGATGCTACCAGGATCGACCACTCATCATAGGGTTCAACTGGTAACTGGGGAGAGAGGCCTGTGGCACCGCATCAAACCCTAGTGCAGTCACTCCACGAACCGTCGAGTCTCTTGTGGACTCGATATCAAGGATCCAATCTGCCGAGTATATCAACCACATACCACCACCTCCTCTCATCTACGACCATACCTACTAGACAGCACTGGATCCCGTCTGCTCTCCGCACGTTAAGCTAGTAAGGGGCCGATTAGTAGTTGGGTCGGTGACGACCAGCGAATACCGTCTGTTGTAGATTTCTTTTTGCCTCTCCTCGACCTACCCTATAGACATCGTTGAATGAATTCACGGGCCTCACCGATCCGAGTGGCCGCTTTCGCTTTTGGCATAGCGAGTAACTCTATGTTTGACAGTAGAAGCTGGATAAACAACGCAGAGAACCTCTTATATACGTCATTCGATCACTCTATAATGAAAAAATGGAAAAACTAAGATACAGCTATGAGTTGAGTCGTCCCTGATGTGGTGAAATAAAACCTAGGATCCTAGCCTTCCCTGCAACCATTCTTCACAAGCCCGTCATATGCATTCTCAACATTCTCATTGCTTCACTGGTTCCAGCCTCACATAGGAAGTCTTTGGCTTATGTGTCAAGCCATCAACAGGTTCATATCCCGACAACCTTGCGGGCGTGGGCTTGAACTCAAAGTTCCAGACCAAAAGCGTTATCATCAGCCTCAGTTCCAAGTAGGCCAGCTTTCGCCCGAAACACCCCCGGAGACCCAAACCAAACGGCAATGTCGGCCCAGCCTGCGGATTGAATGAGACCCCACCCGAGCCTGGATCCTTTTCCAGCCATCTCTCGGGAAAGAACGCGCCCGGATTATGGCTCGACCATTCCCGGAGATCGCGTTCCTTGGCGGCCAGCCGGCTCGACTCGCTGCGAAGGTTTTCATCAATTTGTCGGCTAGGTTCCGTGATACTTGGGCCATTTGTGGCCATCAAAAGAGTTGTACCCTTCGGCAGGTGATGCCCCAAGACGACAGTGTCCTTGTCGCATTGTCGCTCGAGGACCGGGACGGTATTGGCCAGTCGTAGCGACTCTTCGATGAATGCCTCCAGATAGGCACAGTTGGCTGAAGATATCTCTTTGTAGGTAGGCGGTCGGCCTTCAGCGTAGGAGTTGGAGTGATTCGACCGCAGAGCATCTCGCAGCTTCTTTTGCACGTCGGGTGAGTCGGTGAGGTACTTGGCGGCCCAGAGAAGGGTTGTGCTCGTGGTGTCGTGGCCGGCTACTACAAACCCAAGGATCTGAACAAGTCAGCATCTTCACATGAACTCTTAATCTAGACAGGAAGGGCAGGGAAAGAAAATGCAACTCACCTCGTCACGCATGTCATCGGACCAAAACACTGGCTCGCGACCGTCCTTTTCCGCAAATGTCTTCTCCCGGTTTACCATCAAGTCTATGGCCGACTTGATCTTGTTCTTGGCTTCGCCATCTTCCTGCAGCAGCCTATCCTTGGCCATCAAGACCTGTTGCTTGACGAGGGTGTCCCGAATACCATGTGCTTTTCGCTCTGCAGGTTGGCGATTCTGCCACCACCAACCCAATTTTGTCAGGCCAGTATCAGCCACTGCTCCGATCGCATCGGCAATCCGAAGCATGGACTCCAATGTCTCGTGGATAGGTGCCTTTTCGAACTCAATCACGTCGCTATCTTTAGATAGCGGATCGGCATTGTTTGCATCCATTGTCTCGAAAAGCTTCTGTTGATGAGGGATCGCTCGGTGTGGGAAGCTCTCGCCGAAGCCAAAGTCCAGCACGGCATCCAGCGCGGCATAGTACACATCCGCCTCGGTACAAAACGACCTGTCCTCAGCAACACGAGCCTTTTCTCTCCACAATCGAACCAAACCCTCGGCACTATGGTATATGTTGGGAGCCGCGACGTCGTTGAGGAAGGACGGGCTCATGAGATCCTGCAGTAGGCGGCGGTGGGCCTTCCACGCTGGCCCAGCCTTCATATTGATGTGATGCTTGGCGACCTGGCCACCCATAAGATCGATCGACCAGTCGGATCTATCCCACTCCTTGCGGCGTAGCAGGATGTCCCGGCTCTCGCGGTAGTCGGTGAGGAGGACAAAGGGCTTGTCGAAGGGGCCGAGGAAGAACTGGAAGAGCGGGCCTGGGCGCTTGCTGGCTTGAGATATCAGCCAGGAGAAGCCGGCTTCCTTTCCCTCGCTCAGCATGGCAGGCATGTCGCCGAGGATGGATCGGGAAGCAGCCTCGTTGTACGGGATGCCGGGAATGGGCTTTGGGAGCAGCAGGCGGTAGGAAGCGTACACTGCTACGGCCACCGCGGCCAACACGAGGGCATAGCCTGCCATGGTGAGAAGTGATTGTGTATTTTTTAAAGAACGAAGTACCAAGCCTCTTTGATAGATCGGTGGAGCCGATGTATAGAAGACCGTGGACGGCTGTATGATTTGAGCAGGAGATTGAGTCGATGGCAGAGACGGCATATACATATATACCCAGCGCCGAGTTAAATTCAACAAGTTGGTTTTGAGTATTTACCCCTCCCCGTTCCGTGTCTTGGCCTTGTGAATGCCGGTCTTCATCATCCACTCTTCTCCCGAACCAGCAAATGGCATCGACGCAATTAGCAGACACGGAGTCCGTCCGGGATAACTCACCCACAAGTGGAAACCTAATCTCGATGTAAGCATAGCATGTAGTCTCCGGAAAGAATGGTATCCGAGCGAATTGTTTTGCGACCCTCATCAGGTCATGACGGCTTCAACGGCATCGGGGGCCGCGGGCGTCCGGGGTGAGATGTGAGAGATTGTCTCACCTGGCCAGGGTCAGCACTCTCCACAGAATGACCTGGATTTCAATGCGCATCTGAGTAGAAACTCCCGATTCTTTTTTCAACCGTCCGCGGACAACTTCCCCTTGGCATAAAGCTCCACAGGGCGCGGCTGTCACCGAACGCTCTGACGTTACGTTTAGTAGCTACATCAATAGCTGTTTTCCCTGCATTTTCTGTTTTCTCTAAGGAAATTTCTACTATCTCTGATGAAGCTAATTTCGCGTGTCCAGACGGGATAGTTCTAGTTGTACAAGAGCTGCATTGAACACACTCCTACTCATCCCTTTGGCACACTTCTGGAAATTCTCAAGCGTAACCCAAATCCTATGCTAGAAATAATAGCAAGTATTTGGATACATACCGGGTGAGATGGTGTAGCAAATACAACATCATGCGACAGGAGCATGAATAGAGTGACTCCCGCCCAGCCACCGACAACACAATTCATTCAAGCCAGACACCAGTGATGCCTGAATATAGAGGTGCCCCATGCATTTCAATGAGTAAATTTGCTTATGGTTTGGAATTCACTGAATCTGACTCTCGCTATCATTTAGGGTGGGGTGTAGGCTGCCAGGCGCAACTCCTCAGGAGATTTGTTCTTGTGCCAATGTGTGGAGCATATGTGTTGGAAGATTTGTTCAACCCCGGGTCTGCCATTTACGTCATATTCGCGTTGTCTATGTGGAATACAGCCTCCCTGGTTCCACTCCTCAACCTGATTTTTTATGTGAACCCGGGGAGGAGCTGCAAGGAGGAGTCAGTAGAGTTCACTTCTTGTCTCTCCTTTCCGTATTATTCCACTTTTCGTCGTGGGAAGTGGAAATTAGCAAGAAAGCCTTACCTACGTTTGAATTGACCTGTGCTCGCTGTATGACTACTCCCAAACAAGGGTTTACCAGTGCTAAACACAGAAGTTGTCCTCCCGGAGTCAGCTGCGCTCTTCGTCGAAGTCCAGACAATCGAAGGGGTCGTTTGAGGCTGATTTGCCGCTGCAAATGGGCTGCTGTGGTTTGTAGTCGACCCGCTGGCCAACCCACTGAACAAGCCACCAGACACTGGCTGTTTGGGGGGCCAGGTTGTAGAGCTGAATGGTTTCCAAATCTTAGCATATCCCGGATCGAATGTACTACTAGTTTCTATTGGTGAGCCGTGTCTTACTTGTTGTTTTCAGCCTTATTTGTCGACTGATTTTGGTTTTTCCATGCATCAGGCGTGGAGAATAAAGGAGCCGGAGAGCCACTTGTAGTGCTTGATTTGGTAGCATTCCCCGGAGTAACGATGTTTACCTGGGCCTTATCAGGCATGGAGAATAAGGAAGCTAGAGAGCCACTTGTGGTGCTTGATTTGGTAGTATTCCCTGGAGTGACGATGTTTCCCTTCGCCTTATCAGGCATGGAGAATAAAGGAGTTGGAGAGCCACTTGTAATGCTTGATTTGGTAGTATTCCCCGGATTAATGACGCTTTCCTTCGCCTTCGCAGGATGCGAGGACTTCAATCGAGAAGCTAATGATGTAGCGGGTGGCGTTGATAGAAGCGCTATTTCTAAAAGGTGTTATTAGTCAGTATTGTAGATGAGTTTTATCACACTTACTCGTCATAGCTCTGGGTCGATATCGCTGGCATAGAGAGAAGGCGCTTTCTAGCACCTTGATATCGGAGTCGAGAACCTCTCTTCGATTTTTGATATCGTCCGTTTCTGCAGCCAACTCATCGAGCCGTTCTTTCGGCATCTGTGAGACTTGAGTTGCAGTGAAGATCTTGGGAATGCCAGATATAAGACATCGTTCTATGGCCAGATTGATGACATTCACGGCAAATGTACCACGTGCAGACTGAAATTGTTAGTATACGGTGCAAAGGGAGAGAGGGCGAAGCTTAATCTCACCTCGTAGTATGCGAGCATCATGTCAACGGCGGTTTGTGTGCCAAATTCTCCACCATCCAGCTGTGTATCTTCCAAGATCGCATTTGTGATTGCCACTTTGTCTAGAATTAAGTTGCCGAGCACTTGTCTCTGCTCCAGAACTTTGTACACACGATCGGCGATTTTGCCTTTGGATTTCTTGGAGAGAGCAGCGTGAAACTCAGCATCCAGAGCAACAGTGTAGCCGTCGTTATAGGGCTGAAGCAACTCGTCCAGTTTTTCCTGCAAGATCTTCTCCTGGTCAGAGAACCATGGATCCACACAGGTCGATAGGATAGCCTCTGTCGTCCTATTCGTGTCTACAGATCCCAAGATGTGCTCAAATATAGCGTCAACGAAAGCCTTTGCAACAAAGGTAACTTGCTTGACATGGAAGCGAGATATCTCATCCCAAGGTTTGGCTTGCTCTTGGAATAATTTAATTGCCAGGTCTTTGTTCGAGTGCCCGGGAAACTCTTTGCCTTGATTGATAGAAGCCTGTCGTTGCAGATCAAGGTGGACAGCTGACTCTGTCGTGGCGATTGGGTCGGGGAAATCATAAGGATACGTCTGCAAGAACCTCCGGAGGTGCTCAGGAGGTTCCTCTGTTGATCTCATAGGTTGGCCATCGGCATGAATCAGTTTCGATGAACCTTTGGTCCAGAGTATATGCTGAAAAGCGCGGTTGAAGTTTCGCAACTGAGCCCTGAATTTATGGTTCTCCTGCTTCAGGTCACCAAAGAACGGGTCATCATATCGACCATCAACACCATCCTTAGCAAGAGACTGGAACTGGCTAGCGATGTTGATCAAAAATGACCGCCTCTCATCAGTGTCTGATCTAGGTGGCCCCAATTTACCTAGTTCAGTTCGCCTTTCCTTGAGGTTCTTCTCGATGTTGATAATAACCTCGGGGAGACTCTTCCTGATATGGTCATGCAGAACTCTGCTAAGCTTCTTCCTGAGATTGGAAATGCCAAGGCTGGATTGGGGAACCGTTTCCCAGACCCCGGTTTTGAAGAAATCTAGCTCAGCAGCGTGGCGATCATCAAGATCAGCCTTCACGTCGGCACTATTGCGTAGTACATGCCACCCTAGACGCAACTTGTTGGCGCCTTCGTTCTCCGTAACGAGCTTCGCGTACTCAGCCTCTGATTCAGATCTCGCCACCATCAAGTCGGGCTTGGTGATGACGCCAATTGTCCTGTCGCGTGATGGATCGATAGCCTTCACTTTGGAAAGGGCGTCTTGGTTTGCTAGTGGCTGATTGCCCGCAATGACATTGAGAATGATGCTCTCCTTCTTTGACATATAATCCAGAACAAGCTGATCGACAACACTCTTTCCAGCCAGAGATTGCGTCTCAGTGTCGACGTAGAAAAATCCGGGTAGGTCAATCACTGTCAAGGGGTACATTTTAGGACCTTGAATCTCGAGGCGGAGAACATCTCGCGTGAATCCCTTGTCTGTAATGGCGACGCCCATGTGTTTCTTGGCCTCCTCTATAATCTTTGGCAGGTCGTTCTCGTCGAACCCAGAGGTGTCGATGACTAGAGGTGCTTTAGTTTGGTCGAAATATCGGACAGTAGCCTTTACATTCGTCGCCGCAGCTGGTTGAAGAACCAACTCCGTGGCAAACCGCGTACAGAGGCCATCCTTGACGGGGAAGCGGACATGGCAAAGTGCCTCAAGGACAGATGACTTGCCAGAAGATTGATCGCCGACGACGATGATCTGCGGTAGATTGACGATTCTGTCGACGCCATATGCTCGCAGACTGTTAATAGTTTCATGTAGCTCTCTGCTCTCCTTTGTGTTCAGCTCGTCTAGTATCTGAGAATCGATGGAGACTTCCATTGTAGCTGTGGCACCTGGAAATGTTATTGTAAGGTTGAAAAAGGGCCCAGCCACCTGAAGAGGGTCGAGATTCGCCCAAATTCCTTTGTTACTGCCAAGGCAGTTGAACCAACAGGCGCCTCCTGAGGCACAGCTGAGTCAGGGGGAAATTGCTAGAGGCGCAGATGCATATGCATATAAGCGCCGCTGTGTGTGGGGCAGCTTCCAGCCGCACCAAGGTCACAGTTGATCATTGGTCCAAACTATATGATAGGATGAGGCCGGAAACCGTGGTAGGTGTCCAATGTGGGGGTGTTGCGCGTGTCCAGGTTGTCTTGATTGTTGGCAATGATGCTGTTATCGGTTCCAATCAGTATTCGTATATCTGGTGTCAAGATATCGCTTGAATAGCCTCGTGTTTTCAAGTTGTATTTGTTCTTCGTGACCTCATGCGTTTCGAAATCACCTTGGGGATATGCTTCGCCCATGTTGTATGCGTATAGGTCTCTTTCGTTACCTGCTAGAATATTTCATCTTTGTAATCGCCAGGTCGCGACAGAAGATGGAGGTTTACAAACCAGACGGTCGAGATCATTGCCCTACAGGAAAGGAAGGGCAATGGAGGCACTTTGAAACTCTTCCAGACGGATCTGACGAAACATGATTCTTCTTTCGATGCTACACAAGATTTTGTCAGCATTTTCATGCTGACTCTTCTTGCATATTCCCAGGGAATTTCCGCGACAATCGGCATTGGAGCACACGAATTGTGCTTCAGAGCGTCAACCGCACAACCCGACTTAAGCGCACTATCATTTTATGCTTTAATTGATCCTACTTTTCAGTATAATGAAATGTTCGGGACCATATGCGTCGTGGCTATTCCAACAACCGTGATGGAGAGTCGGACCTTTGTAGAGGGGAATTGGCTGGCAATTGACAAAAATGGAACATGGCATACTAAAGCGTTATTCACATAGGGTACTGTATTAATAATAATAAAAAAATAACAAAATATCCTCTAATGTTTAGCTTAAAATTGTGTTTCTTAATGGGATGAATATGGCTGGGAGTGAGCAGTCCATATGGAGGTGGTGAGCAATAGCCAACTCGCTGAAAAACTGGCGGATCAGAGGCTTTTTAGGTGATGCCCAAGCTAGCTGAATCTCGGCGACACAGTGCTACCTATAGTCGCATTTTAGGCACTATAAATTGTAGTGGGTGTGTCCAATAACTGAACGTGGGGAAGTCCTGTTTCGTGGATACCTACGCATATACACCCTCTATCAACTGTTCAACCAAAATTTCCCCAAAACAACCCACAAAGAGAGCAAAATAATAATGAACAAAGAACTTCAAAGTCGGCTTTAACCTCGGTTCCTGAGACGCGTTATCTCCGACCTTTACGTGTATTCGTGGCTGGTAAACGGGTCTCATAGGGCAGACTCGTCTCAAAACTGTTTAGTGGTGAACCTCCCGTGGGTAACATCGTTGGACTGGTCGTCAGGCTTCCAGGCTCTCAGCCACTATTTGGTGAACCTCCGGCAGCTATAATGCCTGCTTCTAGGGGGCCAAAACGGCTCTTTAACCAATCTGAGGCCCCAAAACAAACACCAAGCGGTGAAAGAGCACTCTTGTGGCGATGGTATGATGCATTTTTCGACTTTCGCTTATATTGGTGAACCTCCGGCATAACGTCGACCCAATTGCATTGAGTTATTCCCTCTCGCGTGACGATTTACCAGATTTCCGCAGCGTCGCATGCAGAATTTAAAAAAAAAGAACAAAGAGAGGTTGTTTTCAAACATGCAGCCAACTGCAGCTCAGCCCAGGAGCTCGGACAGCGCCTAACGAGGCGAGATCTGCACCAGATTCTTATGGCAGCCCTCACACATAAGAGTGCCAGCCAGCCAGCCTTTCCCACCCTCCGAACTTGCATTCACATTCATTCATTGCCGGAATTATTGTCATATTGTTGGTATTTGGCCAGATGTCTCTCTCTGCCGAAGCAATCATCACACTCATTGGGGTGTTGCTATCTCTGCCCTCCGTCGTGCTGTTGTTTTGGCACCTCTGTACGAACACACTCTCTCTCCAAAGAAGTGAGACAAGCATCGCACCCTCTGCAGATGAGGAGCGTTGGATCGATATGAGCAAGGATCATGTACTTTGCCCTTCCATCCAATTCACCATGGTTGGCAGCATCGGGTTATACTGACTACATTTGGTCCATTATGCAGAAGCTCACACCTATGCCCAGGGTGAAGTTGGCGCGCCGGAGATCAAGCACGTTCTGAGAGCCGAGCTACATGTCGCCCACGCTCACCTGGGATAGCTGTTGGGAAATTATGGAATACACGAAAAGGCACCACATCTTTCAATACATGCACATGGACTGAAAAGGGAGGAAAACAATTTTCATTATTCTTTCAAAAAGAAATGGCGCAAGGAGTCCAAACACACCAAATATCATCGAAAGCTATATACGGTCGCAAGACCATTCTTCTTAGAATCTGAATAGAGACATCATTATTTCCTGGTGCGTCAAATTATATTCATACAAGCGTCTACTCAAATAGAGTATCTGCAGCAACTCGAAGCTCAGAGGGAAGCACATTCAAGAGGATGCCCGGATTGCTTGCCTTCCAGACATGCGGACCATGTTCACTCCCAATGGCATCACAGCCTTCTGGTGAATCCTCCCACGGGATGCTCTCTTTTTCTTCGCTTGCATCAAGGCAAGCCACGAGCCCAGATGTAGCAAGGGTGCCAGACTCTCTTTTTTATGAATATCCCCAGATCGTGCCGAGATTCCAACCCCGTCCGTCATAAAGCCGGTTGATGAAAAGTGCTGTGCTTCCATCATGAATCTGCATAGTAAGGCAATTGATTGAGACGAAATTCATCAACGGGTTGGACCGACGAGGTCCCGTTGTAAATGACGGTCAGCGCGCCAAATGACCAGACAACGCTCACACTGAACAACGTACCAACAACAACCAGACGTGTCTCCTTTTCAAAGGCGACTGATAGCTTCTCAGGAAAGGGTGAAAAAGATTAAGAAATCTATGCAAGTCCCGCAACCTAGGAATCTTTCAGTGAGAGTTGCCTGGACATTACTGGTGCAGACTGTCCGTTGGTTTCGACCCTGGCCATTCAATCAGATTCTGCCTCCCCTAGGAGCTTTTTCGAGAGATCGAGGCCCGTGAAGGCAGAATAGCAAATCCGCCCCGAAGCCTGATCTCTCACTTCAAAGGGGAAGTCCTGTCGGGGATTCCTCAGTCTGTGCTGAAACAAGACCAATCAATCTCACGGGAGCTTTTCCCAGATCGCTGGGTGGTGTAGAGATACATTTGGCAAGATGCCATTTGAGGACATCAATGAATAAACGGATCCACGAGTATTCCACCGATTCTCAATTGGAAATGTCAAAAATAGAAAGATTCAGAGTCTCGCCCCATTAGGACTTTTGCTTTTTTCAGAACATAGGCTCTCTGCGCTGCCCGTGATGGTGGTAACCTCCTTCCGGAGCTGTTGTCGAGATACTGCAGCATGTCAAGAATATATTCCTTCTCCGTAGAATCGGCAACTTCATAAGTTGCGTAAAGAGGCGCCTCCGGGAACCGCGCAGCCATCCACCCTGATGACCGTATGTATGGGATACACATCCAGGCCTCAACGGCAACTGCCCGTAGCCTCGTATTTAAATCATTATCTGGCTTACCGTGGAGAATTCTATCAGTCTCGTACAAGATGTGTAGTGGGACGAGCTGTAGGAACAGTACAACCAGATATAGCTGACACAGCATTGGGTTGGTAAAGTCGTATCTCTTTCCCACGATGCTATCGGGGTCCTTGACCACTGTCATGGCGCCTTCTTCCAGGGCATATTCTAACAACATCCGAATGGTCTTTGCTATGGCGGCTTCCATTTCGATCACTTGCTCGTTCCGGGCAGCGGCATCGGCACCTGGCTCGGCTTCAAAGGATTTGCGGGAGGTATTTTGAAACTCGGAAATCAGCGCGTTGAGGTTGCGGCAGCATTCGGCGAGAGTCTCTAAATCGGACATGGCCAAATTATCTCCCTTGATTATCTTCCGATGGGTCGATGTAGCCCTTTCCAGAGCTTCTTTCCACCCTGTGGTCTTCGCCGAAATCCCGCTACCCTTCACGGTCCAGCCAGACATCTGCGTCGAGCCTCAGCAACGGACTCATTGTACTAGTTGTGGAAGATGAACTTACCTCCATCCCATATAGATCATTACACACGGCAACATCCAACTCATCATCGGTGTTTGTCGGACCTCGTTGTCTCATCATCTGAATGGCAGCACGGGAATGGATGTTGAACTTTTTGCCCTGCCGATCGAACAAGTCTGAGGCACGCTCCATGAGCGCAACTGCAGCTAGAGTCTCCGCCTTGAGCGCTTCATCATTCGTAAGAGCCAGACGCAGGCTTCTCAACGCTTTCCCGTACTCCGGTAGCAACATGAGATCTCGTTTAGGCTCCGGGTGCTGGAAATCTGCCAAGCCTGAACAGAACAGTTGGACCGAGTCTCGTAGACAAGCACTCCCTTGTATCCTCGTCGGCAGCTTCAAAACGAATGTCAAGCCTAGATGCGTGATCCTTTGTAAACCTCCGTCTAGATGAGAGATTAGGCGCATACAGGAAAGTTCACTAGGTGTTGATGACACAGCCTTCGGACTCGGACTTTGGTCAGATGGACATTCTGGAGTACTGCATCCTCCTACACTGATACCGGAGCCATGAGCCCGTTGCAGGCGCAAGTTATGCCACGCGCGTCCAGCACCATGTTCTCGTGGGGTTGAAGCTCGAGGATGTTTCTTCTTCCCCGGAACTTGGAAGCTGTGGTCCACAAACTTGAAGAGCTGCGCTGGGCCTGGACATACCAACCTCGAAGTTTGGCAATGGAGGCACGCAGGCCACGTCTCGTCACACTGGGAACACATCAGAATCGCGTGTACATTGCGACGATCATCTCTCGATCTACGATGGCAGTCAAGGAGGGGCTGACGACATCGCGACTCACCTTGATTTTCCGCAGCTTGCAGCTCTGGCACCCCTGTGATTTCGGAACGCCGGGCATGTCTAACGCCAGGCATGTCTCGAGTTGCTTTGGTAAGTATTGCGCGACAGAATGCCGGACGAAGCGTATATATGATATGCTCTTCCCGTCGGTCGCGAGCCCAATGATTCACAGTTGATCGAGGGTCATGCCTGGCCCCTTTCCGAAAAGCGTCGGTTAAAATCCCGCCAACGAGGGCCCCAGCAAACCACACTGCCGCTGATGTAACCCTTCACCAGGGATCGGCTCTTTAGCATCACTGGGAGGAATCTCTACTGGAGATGGTGCCCCCCTTGATTGGCCAACTCGCCTCGCGTGATGTAACCAGGCCGGCTACAGACCACCTCTTGATCCTTGGCCCCCAAGAGTACGACCTGGAGCAGAATCCAATTGCGACCTTCCCCCCAGTTCATCAGGCTCGCGGGCGCACAAGAGCTGATCCAGAGGCTGTCTCGAAAGTTCCACAATCACCCGCGTCGCCCAATTTGAGTGGAATGACCTGACAGGCGGCACTGCAGCACTACTCTACTCCATTCCATCGTAGATACTAACTGCATTGCAGCGTAGTATCCCTGTAATTCCCCTGCTAAGCGAACGTACATAGCTCAGGAAACCCCGGCACCCAACCCATTAGCCTGTTGCTCAGCGGCCGTTTTCAGGTCCTGGCTGAGCGCCTGGAAGTGCCCCAGGCTCTGCCTCCCGAAAGCCCAGTTTTGGCCGACGAGAAAGGCAAGCAGCCCGGTGAATGCCTCGCTCTGGATGAAGGTCGTACCGCCAGGGTTCTCCCGGCTATAGGAAAAGATGAAGCTGTGAGTCCCATTGAATATCATCCTTGGGCCACCATTCCATTCCAACAACTCTGGAATATTTTCCTTCGGACATTGTCAGCAGCAGGCGTCGCGGCGAGGTGGAGTTCCGACCTACCCGGATCGTGGGCTGAAATCGAAAGGGGTACGGGTAGCCCATGAATGTGTAGCCTCTTATCTCCATGTCTAGCTTGTCTCCGGGCTTTAGGTCGATGGGCTTTATTTTTGGGTCCAAGCATTTGAATACATATGTCCCATGCCAGTTCTTGTGACGCTCAAAGTCGAGCAGCTGTCGGTAATCATTAGCGGTGCTGCAATGACATCAAATGACGGTACGTGGATTGCAGCGCACCACTGATCGAACTATGTCCGGGGGAGCGTCAATTTCAATCTTTGTAAACAGGCTGTATGCTTGTCCCATTCTGACGTTTTGTGATGGTTTGTGGAATCCCCTCAAATGCGAAAAAAGTATCATCAAGGGGATTTATATATGCACTCATTAGAACCGTGCCATCTTTTCGTAGCCAGTCAGATGCTCAAAGACAAGAGAGGAAAGAATTCAAACATGGAACATCCGTTATTCCGGTGGATCTGAGTGGGTGGTGACCAAGGCAGAATAATGTACCGAGGAGACACACTTTAGGTAGTTGTTGTGCGAGCCTCGTATGTGTCGAATCAACCACGGTTCATAGGATCAATAAGGTCGCGCGACCTTCACTCACAGCTGGCTAATGAGCAACGGGCTTCATTTCAGAAACCACCTTTCTTCACATCTGAGGTCTCTGCTACGTTCCTTTTAGTATTAGGCTATTAACGGCTAGCATCGGCGCTATGAGTGAGAGCGGCATGAGTGAGAGCGGCGTTACCCGTGAGTTCGCATTCGAAGGACGCGTTCCTCCGTCTCCGAGAGTCGATGCAGCCAAGGCATTATTCTTGGTGAAGATAATCAAGAGATGGCAAGTCACGAGGGAAAATCGGGAAGCAAGATTCATAACCCGGGTAGCTGCCTGGAATCAGTATCCGGTTAATTGGAGATGCTCAGGGCATGACGCAAGCCATCACTTTGATATGGGAGTTTGGACAAGTGTCGAGATTGAGTGTTCATTCACAAGACGCCTACGCTGTTTTCAGATGTTTTGAGAGCGCTAGGCCAAAACCTTGATTTACGCAGCGAAGACATCATAATTTGTGAGACTTGTGTTCATGTTATTCGATTTACGAAATGCATGGTTTTTCCTTTGGTGTTTTTAGATTCAAGTCGTAACTAGGCACAGGTTCTTTGCCCTGAACTTGGCATTTCTGGGTAAGGATGGGGCAAACGTATACTATTGCACGGACACAGCTTCCGATGGTCGCATGGTTATTGTTCTAGGGCTCTGCGTTGCTCTTAATGAAGGTTAACAAAATCCATACTTTCCAGGAGTGATTTGGGAGATCAGTGTCCATTTCACGTTGTATGGAGCCACCCGGGACATAGGTACTTAGGGACGACTATAATGATCAGATGCCTCTTGCTGAACGGGAATGTTTACTGTCGAATAGAATCCTCACACTGGATGTCTTCATTCTACAGATCAAGTAGTTGGTTTAGATCAAGCTATGACTCTTCTTGTTGAAGAGATCTCTAAACCTGCGGTTCGCTGTCCAGTATGCTAGAAGCGATTGGTCATCGTTATGGGAAGAACTGAAAATATCAATTAACTAAAACTCAGCATTGCATCTGATGAATTAAAAAAGGTGAAGTACAGCACAATCATTGTTGATTTGCTCGAAGCCAGTTGTTGGAAATGGATTCTGGCTGTCCCTGTCTCGGCATACTTGGGCCGGATAACATCAGCTCTCCTGTCGTTTTTGGATTCCGACGCATTTGCGTGATCTTACCTTGGAAGTTTATTGGCGATTGAAATACGCTTTTGTTAATATGTCGCCCCCTTGCCCACGGATCGCCAAGCCGATAAGAAATGTAGCGGGCAGCGGCCCGGGGACCGGATCCCCGTATGACCGGATGTCCGTACAATGACGTCCGAAAGAACCCCGATACTGATTGCGTAGTGGCAGTCCTGCTTACCTCACCGAAGAGCGAGGCTCGGGATTGACATACGCTATACTCGTTCTGCCAGTGCCTTTGGCCAATAATCGATATCAGCAGAACCCAAGTCTTGCAAGTTCCCGGTCCCTGTTCCGGTCCCACCGCTCATGTTCAAGATCGAGGAGGGGAAGCTAGAGTTCCGTTAAGATGAAGCCAGGGAGCGGATTTAGTCTAATAAATACGGTTTATCCGCGTTGCCCCTCTTTCCCTCTGCCATTACTCTAACAAACGGCAAGCTAACGATTACTTGCCTTTCAAACATCAACAAAATGCCTAGCTTTTCACAAACCGCCACCCAGGCAGAGGTCTCGACCAAGGTGCAGCTTACGCCTGCCCCCCAAAGAGAGAATGTACAGTTCCAGGATCTCGTTATCGGCGACCGAGAGGGCAAGCTGCAGCTACAAGGAATTCCCACCTTCACAGACCCATACAAAGAGAGGCAATGGATGAAGGAGCATATGGCTGCCGCTTTCCGCTTTTTCGCTAAGAATGGCTATGCTGAAGGTATTGCTGGCCATATTTCCATGCGCGGTATGTTTTGGATGATACTCCATGTTTCTCGTTCTTCTGCCAGAGAAGGGTAGGGTGGCGATGTGGGATTGGACTCCGCTAATCAAAGCTCATGTCAGACCCCATTCTTAAGGATCATCTCTGGTTCAACCCATACGCAAAACATTTTGGAGCCATGAAGGCTTCCGATCTCGTTCTCGTGCACCCCGACGGCTACGTTGTTGAGGGAGGAAACCAGGCTGTCGTCAATACTGCGGGCTATATAATTCACTCCGAAGTTCACAAGGCCCGGCCTGATGTTGTGGCTGCCGCCCACGCTCATAGCACCTACGGTAAGACGTGGAGTGCTTTTGGAAAGCCTATCGAGATGTTGACTCAAGGTACGCAACGAGTGTCTCCTTGCTCCCCACTGGCGGTATCTAACGTTGGCAGATGCGTGTAACTTTTACGGGATTCAGAGCGTTTACGATGATCATGGAGGCCAGGTCCTGGCAAAGGAAGAGGGGCAGTCGATTGCCAAAGCACTTGGTGATAAGAACTCGGTTTGTATTCTGAAGAACCATGGGTATGAGTCCCTCGAAACAGATTTCAGTTAAATTGGAAGGTTTGTTGACAAAGATATTTCCAGACTTCTCACCGTTGGCCAAACCGTGGACGAGGCTGCCTTCTTATTCTACAGTTTTGACCAGGCTTGTCACTCCCAGCTACTTGCAGAGGCTGCTGCAGCCAATGGTCTCCCCAAGAGCATCATTTCAGATCACGTTGCCAAGTACAACGCGGATGTGATCCAAAGTGCGGTAAGAATCCACCACATGTGATGTTATCCACCGCCTGTTGAAACATATTAATAATTGATTCATGTTTTAGGTTAATTTCTACATCGAGTTCCAGCCCGAGTTTGACTTGATTGTAGAAGAGAGCAATGGCAGGGTATTGGAATAATCACTCTAGCCTAGAAGTTTCTGTCCGTTGCGTATAAGTATTCTTTTGAGAAGACCGTGCTGGATTGAATTTGGTTTATCATGAAATCCTTTGTTCGTGGTCACACCGGCCCGGCCCTACAGCGACTTAGCATTTTATATTAGACAATGCATGATTGATGTGTTGTAACCGATAATAAGGAACAATAGCCTGGCTGCAACTTTATATGATGGACAGCGTCGTTCATTTCAATGATATATAGAAGTCTTCGGCCTGGTAATGTGCGTGTCTGCTGTTTGCCCCCAACAAGACTGGCGCCTTAATAATGTGATTTTGCCTACCTCCACATCCAAAATCTCAGTCAAATCTTGGTCAGCTCGAAATCACCGGTTATTGATGCCACGGAGCGACCGTGGAGCAGCCATGGAGCGGCCGCGAGGTGTATTTACTTGGCATTGACTGGGGAAAGTAAACTGATCCCCGCTAGTTCTGCCGTCATTCTTTTTCTTCCGCCATGGCTAGCTAGCGTGAAAAGTCCTCTCTTATTTGTCCAAAGTAGGACAAGCAGCAAGTTGAGCTTACAAGATTAAGTATAACTTCGTCTTCGCGATCTGCAGCTAGTCAGAAAGGGCGAAGTATCCCAGTATAGGTGCTTACCAAGCATATGTCTGGAGATAAGAGTTAAGCCGAATACAGAGACATGATACGAACATTCCGGAGATAATCGTGGCTGATTCTGCTTTTGTAAGCTAGCTTGGGTATAATGCTGCGACGAGAGCGGGGATCTTGTATGCGGTTGGCCGTCCACCATCATGTCATACGATGCAACCTATCCCCATCATTGTTACGCGTAACGATTTGCTGTGCCCCAGTAATACCGAGCCTACGATCTTATGGGCTCTGTGTAATAAATAGGCTTTCATCCATGCCATTGTGATGCTACGGTGGGCTCAAGGATTCTCTTGACCAATTCTCTCGCCAGCCATGCGATCCTTTAAACTTCTAGTATCGGTCGCTGCTGTCCTTCCAGCTGTTGCCGTATCAGCGCCTAAGAAGCTTCTTAGTGGCGGGACCATAGTTGCCTTTGATCATGAAACCGAATCCTTAAAGGTGATTCGAGGCGGCTCCATTCTCATCGACGGAGATCGAATTGAAAAAGTTTTTGAGGACGCCAAAGAAGCGAATGCCAGCATACCCATCATTGACACCACTTTAGAGACAGGCGACAGTTCGACAAGTGTCGAAGTCATTGATTGCACGAACAAGATCATCACGCCTGGCTTCATTGATACTCACCGCCATGGATGGCAAACAGTTTTCAAGACTATGGGCTCCAACACAACACTCCCCGACTACCTATGGAGATATAGCGCTGTGGTAGCTGAGCCGCTTTTTACGCCCGATGATCTGTACATCAGCCAGTTGGTCGGGCTATATGAGGCAGTGGCCGCGGGTGTTACAACAACTCTGGATCATGCCCATCACACTTGGAGTTCGGATGCCGCCACGGCCGGTCTTCGTGCCACGATCGATAGCGGCTTGAGAGTCTTTTGGGCATACGCATTCCAACCCGTATATGAAAATTTTCCCATTCATGAACAGATATCCCAATGGAAGCAGCTGGTATCCCAGGTGGCAGGCACCGTCACAGAACTTGCAGTGGCATACGATTTTTGGACTGAAAGTCCCTTCATAGACAAAGCAACCACGGACAACGTTATCAACCTCCTCAAGTAAGTATCTTCTCTAAGGCTTTTGCAGAGACCCTTTAAATCTGACAAGTTCTGCTATAGCGAATACAAGCCGCTTTTGACTACTCATCACGTCGAGGGCCCTTGGCTAAGTATATGACCCCAGTCATTACCAATTCATTCTCGTGAGCTGACATTTCGTTACCATCCTAGTGGGAAACAGCCCGCAAGACTTGAACGAGGCAGGCATTCTCAGCTCCAGCATACCGATTGTGTTCTCTCACAGCTCCTTTATCGACACGAGGGGTGCAAACCTCCTGAGAGCCACCAACAAGCACATTTCCATCACGCCCGAGAGCGAGATGCACTACGGCCACACTCACCCTACTTCCCATTTCATTCTTGACCAGGCGTCACTAGGCGTCGACACCCACTTCACCTTCTCCACGGATATTCTCACCCAGGCTCGTCTGTACTTGCAATCTGTGCGTTACCGCCTCTTTCAGAAGCCGCTCGACCGCTGGCAGGTAACCGCCAACAGTCCCTTCTCGGTCAACCAGGCGTTCCTCCTGGCCACCCGGAACGGTGGGCTCGCCCTCGGTCGAAAAGATCTGGGCGTGATTGCCCCCGATGCCAAGGCCGACATCGTGGTCTGGGATGGCCGCTCGCCGGCGCTACTGGGATGGGCGGACCCCGTTGCAGCCATCATTCTGCACGCCAGCGTCGGCGACATTGAACACGTTCTTGTCAACGGCGAGTTCAAGAAGCGAGACAAGAGGCTGGTTGTTGAGGGCTATGACGAGGCCGTGGATAAGTTCCTCGAAGCTGCCAAGAGGATCCAGGACACTTTGAGGAAGCTGCCCCTCCCCTCACAAGAGGGGGCCTTTCTCACCGGTACTCCGTTGGGTCAGGCTGAAACATTGGATGTCCTTCGAGGCGATGGGAATGGATACGGCCCGCAGTTTGTTTGATTCCTCCTGCTCTTTCGTTCAAACGAAATCTACCGGAAATTTTTAAAACGTGTACCGAGATTATCGCGGCGACTATTTTCTATGATGCCTACAGGTTTCTCATACACTACTACAGTATCAATGAAGCGATACGTTTACGTTAAACTGATTCCAATAAACTCCCGTTATTACTCCCAGTTCTAATCTACACGCTGTTGCCTGAAAGGTAGATATATCAGAGTCAGCCTGTACAGTCTTGATAGATCAGTAGATCAAGTACGACCATTAATGATACTTAGCAGGCAGCTGTATATTATTTCCTAGTCTGTATCGTGACTATTAAACATTACTCTTGCCTATATACTGTAGGCTTAGGTACGTTTACCTTATTTCAAAAAACTTACTAACTCTTTTTGCAGGCGACCCTAGAATGCCATAGTGCCTCTAAATACTAGAGTGTGTGCCAAAATAGAATTTAGGGGTTCCCCAAAGCACTTGCGTAGCGACGCAATGCCACTCTGCGATACGTCAAGGGTAAAGTGTGAGCCGAACCTGAAAACCGGCAACCAGATCTTCCAATCTCTCCAGATGTGAGTTATTCATGTAGGTGTTGCCAGATATAACTTCAATGAGCCGCAAAGCTGGCAATCTCGTAGGTCTAATGGCACCCAAAGATTGGAGTATTTTAACTTTAGTATCATTCCAATTGCGCTCTTTTCGATCCTCCAGGATTCAATCTCGTTGTTTCTTCATCATTTACCGATGTACTAAAGAGGTTGATGGCTTCGAGGCCGTTGGGGAGTTCTGTTCCAACGCCTGCGAGGGATACAAGCGGTAGGTACTTCAAGGGGGGTTAATTGAACAAAGTCACGGAAGCCATTGAATGATCCCGAGACAGTCACCCTGAGCTCACGGAACTCCATGATTCGGTTGAATGACAAAACAGTCCGAAGCTTCAGCGCCTCCAATGTACCTCTGACCGGTAACACACTTTTCTTAATCCTGAGAAATGTCATTTCCGGATCTTCGTTGATATTGTGCTCTTTCCTGCTAGAGGAAGCAGCTGGGGGTTTCTAAGCACGTTGCAGCCCTTTTCAACCTGGTCCGAGCTACGAAGATCCTTACTTGCTACTCGGGTTTGAGGCTCTGCCACCGAACGCGATGGGGATTCCGTCCGCATTCCTCAAAACATAGTACACCTTTAGTCCTTCAAGTGAGCCAGAAGCCATTCAATCTATCCTGTCGAGTGAGAATTTGCTTGAACCGTCCATCCACACAGCGCCGGGCCATTCGCGATTCCGAATTGAATGTAGTTTCCTATACAGGAGAGAGGGGGGGCTGAGCAGACATTGATGCTGGGGCGAGCATTTGGTGAGCCATGATGAAACGAATTCAGCCGAAGGGCGGCGCGAAAAGGACCAAGCAGCGATAACGTGTCAAAAAGCTATTGCAGCTTCCCATACGAGCTCTGGCATGTTACACAACCGCAGGGGTTGAATATTATCCTGACTCTCCCTTGTAAGCTCGGTGGCGATTCATTCAGGGCGCAGCCATTGATTATGCTAATCAACCGTCCTCGCTCTATTCAATGTCTTATAGCTAGGTAGACACTTGGCATTGGTTTTCAACATAAAGATCACAATACTTATCCCAATAATAGATACAATGTCAAGCCAAATATCATAGCATAGTTTATTCTTGTGTTTACCATGGTTAAAAACGAGGTCCGTGCCTTACGCGAACGAAGCTTTGGGCTTGGGAGGGTTTCGGTGGGCGACCTGACGATCTCTCCCCACTACAAGCAAGTGAGCCCTGGTCTAGATGAGCTCAGTTTGGCAGGTTCACCAGACGATCCCTTTACTCTGTATCGTCGGAATGGCGGCACATGATTATCTCAGTAAGCTGATGACGATCTAGAGCCGCCGTCAATGCCTCACTGACGTTTCATTCGGCCTTTAGAAAAAGGTCCCGTAAAAAAGAGGAGGCCGCGTCTCCCGACCAAATGTAGCTTGTATAAGTTGAGTCGCCCACGCCAATTGTTCTGGATCAATTCGTCCGCAGCACGGTTCAGCAGTTTTCCCATTATTCAAACCATCATTATGAAGAGCTTCGCCAAGTCCCTACGCCAACTGACAATCGTCAGCTTAGCCTTTGGCGCCTATGGTAGATATCACACTTCGACAACGATATGAGATGCGCAAACTGACGAAGACGAGTCACAGCACAGGAGATTCCCCTCCGCATCATGCCGCTTGGAGCCTCCATCACTTGGGGCTACCTCTCGAGCACTGGAAACGGCTACCGCCAAGATTTGCTCGAGAGCTTGAACGGCGCCGGCTACACAGTCGATTACGTCGGCAGCCAACAAAGCGGCACCATGGCCGATCCGGACAATGAAGGGTACCCTGGCCTCCGTATTGAGCAAGTTCAGACGAAGGCCGAGGAGAATGTGCCAACGTATCTCCCCAATGTGTACACGATCAATGTCGGGACCAACGATGCGGTGCAGAATTTCGATGTGCCGAATGCTGGCAGCCGCATGAATGACCTCCTCAGCTACCTGTGGTCAGCAACACCGGACGCGACCGTGATTCTGTCGACTCTGATCATCAACCTCAACGCAACCGTGGATGCGCGGGCGCAAACCATCAACACGCAGCTGACTTCTCTCGCCAGCCAATTGGCAGGTGAGGGCAAGCGGATTGTCTTGGCTGACATGCACGGTTCCGACGGGCCTCAGTCGGATGAAATGGCAGATAGCACGCATCCCAATGATGTTGGCTACCAGAAGATGGCCGATATCTGGTTCCGCGAGATCCAGGAGGCCTCTGCAGCCGGATTCATCCAGCCAGCACCTTAGAGGAACAATAGAGTATATAGAATATACATGTGGTGATGATCGTGGCTGGTAATTTCTAACTGTGAATTTGTGAAGATGAACTGGAAACAGCCTTCTCCCGGCTGTTTATGCTGGTGTGGGTACTTATGCACAATTGTGGCTTCTCCAGCCAATCCACTACAGCGACTGAACACAGTCGACCATCTTCCGTAGTATAGTGGTCAGTATGCAAGCTTGTCACGCTTGAGACCCGGGTTCAATTCCCGGCGGGAGAGTCCGCCAACCGACCAAGTCGGTCATTCTTTTTTGCTTTCTGTATTCCTTTTTCTTACTCATAACTTTTATCGCTTTCCCTTCCTTTTCCTCCTATTCTACACTTTCTCTACATTTTGCTCATAGTTTGTTAATTACCATCTACGCACCTTGAGGACGCAACGTGATTAGTATATATCACAGCGATACGTTACTTGATATTTCAACAGAACAGCATACTTCACATTTCGCTAGCTAGCTACGAGAGTGATATTTCAAGTCGCAATAAGCCGTCTGTCACAAGCCACCACTCCATTGCAACACCCCTCCCCAGACTATGGCATTTTCTAACGATAATTTCCACGTCTAGAACACGCCATTGGGATTCTTATGTTCAGATCGAGGAGGTATTGGAGCAACAGAGTCCCAATGTTCAGTGAAGACGCCGTTCTGGTGCCGAAGGATTTCCATGGCCCGCAGGCCTTCAGTTCCGTCATGCTGGTCGATGTGGAGATGCACAAAAACAAAATCTCCGTCCACAAGCACTCTCTTATAATTCATTGTAAGCTTCTTGTTCGGATCCTTGGCCTCGCGTTCTGCGAATTCGATGATGGATTGGCGACCAGTGCCGACTGTAACATTATGCTGAATGTAATCCTCAGAGAGTAGGCGATCAGCAACGGAATAATCGAGGAACGTGAACATGCCCTCGAATAGTTCGATGAGTTTCTTGGCTTTCTCAATCTGCTCGGAAGTCTGTGGAGGTTGGTCGGTAAGCTGCTCCCTCCAGATTTTGTCGACTCTGGCTAAGATAGCTGGGCTGGACATAATGAGAGTATATTGTGATAGTCACGAGTCTGAAAAGTATTTCTCGGAATGTAGAATGATGAAGTAGCGTGTAAACCAAAATGATGTTGCTTGAAAAAAAATTGACCTTTCATCTGACATATACGATATTTAAGTCTTTATTGACGCGATAACAACCTCCTCGAATAGTGAACCTACGACCAACAGTGCCAGCATCAATCCTTAGCCAGACATTGAGCCGTTCAAGGCCGAGGAAGAGACGTCGGCATGCCGATGCGGAGCTGAGTTTTATGGGTCTTAGCGCCGGCTCGGTTGTGTTCCCTGATCTAGTTTCTGCGGTAAACGATTGGCAAGATTCCGTCCTGTTTCTCGGGGGATGGGGAAGATGAGGGGGAGAAGCGGGGCTGGGTTGTATCGGGATGGGTTTGTGACATCGCCTAAGCAGTTGTCAGCGTTCATGCTGGCGAGACAGGTTCTTGAGTATCCCTGATCGGTAGCATTTCGAAGCCCGACCGGACATTGGCGAGATACCGCTCGGCTTACAAATACAAATTTGCCTACTGTTTCCTGATGAGGTGGAATAGCCGATCAATTATCCATGGGGATCGGGAGTGCATTGTATAGCCCGAGCTCGTGAAAGCTAGGAACGCCGAGTTGTAGATAAAAAATTCTTCAACGACACTAGAAGTTCTTAATAACCCCAAAAAGTTTCTCTGAAAGTTGTCCAGCTCATTTCAACGCCGGATTTTGAAATACTTGCGAGTCTTTGGTTCTCATATTTTCAGTTGTCCCTACTATTCTCACCTAACACAATGTCTGAGATAACCCTAACCGGATTCGAGGGGGTACCAATTACAGGTGCAAGCTCAGCCCGAAGACAGATGCCTGAGTTAAGAAGGCCATGTGCTCACCTTGAATCATAGTACCTACCCGCCTCTTCATTGATAACAAATTTGTCGCCTCGAGTGGCGGCTCCACGATTGAATTGGAGAGTCCGCTTACCGGTTGTCGCCTGGCGACGGTGTCTGCAGCCCAGATTGACGATGTCGACCGGGCTGTGCAAAGCTCAACGGATGCCTACGCAGTTTGGAAAGAGAAGAGCCCGAGTGTGAGAAGAACGCTGCTCCATCGGCTAGCTGATCTGGTCGAGAGAGACGCGTCCTTATTCGCCTCACTAGAGGCCATTGATGCAGGAATCCTTTATCAAGACTCTATGCAGTTGAATGTTCAACAAGCAGTCGAGAATCTGAGATATTTCGCCGGATGGGCAGATAAAGTCGATGGACTGACATTGTCAATCCCCGATGGCATGGCCTATACAAGACGAGTGCCAATCGGGGTCTGCGCGGCCATTATACCATGGAATGCTCCTCTGTAAGAAAGGTTCCAACTCTATAGCAGCTTCCAACTACTGATCTGTACAGGATGATTACCATGTGGAAGCTCGCTCCTGCTCTAGCAGGCGGCAATACCATTATTATCAAGACCCCGGAAATGTGCCCTCTATACGGACAGAAGCTTGCGCAGCTCATTGTGGAGGCAGGTTTTCCTCCAGGGGTTGTCAACATCCTCTGTGGGCTTGGTCACGTAGCCGGCGCGGCTCTCTCAGAACACATGGGGGTGAGGAAGATCTCTTTCACCGGCAGTCCTGGTGTCGGTAGGCAGATCATGGCCGCAGCAGCGCGAACAAACTTGAAGAAAGTGACGCTTGAGCTGGGTGGAAAGGGGCCATCTATTGTTTTCGATGATGCAGACTGGGAGAATGCCCTGTTTTGGACAAGTCTTGGGATAACCATCAATAATGGGCAAGTGTGCGTCGCCGGCAGTCGTATTTATGTCCAACACACAATCTACGATCGCTTCGTCGAGGAGTTTGCCAAACGGATTAGATCATTTGTGCATGGAGATCCGCTATTAGGCGCAACGACGAAAGGGCCCCTTATCAATCGTACACAGCTGGATAAAGTCCTCTCTTTCGTTGAAGTAGGGAAAAACTCGGGGGCAAGGCTCGTCAGCGGCGGAGAACAGTTGGCTGGAAAAGGCTACTTTGTAGCCAACACGGCTTTCGCAGATGTATCGCATGACGCCGAGATTATGAAGGAAGAGATCTTCGGCCTCCTAGCCTGTGTCGCTTCTTTCGAAAACGAAGACGAGGTTATTGCCAAAGCTAATGACTCCGTTTATGGTCTAGGTGCAGCCGTGTTCACTACAGATTTGAACAAGGCGTTCCGCATTACGGAAGCAATAGAAGTAGGACAGATCACGGTAAACAGTTGGGGTGCATTGCACGCCAACACACCATTCGGCGGTGTAAAGGAAAGTGGCTTTGGGCGAGACATGGGCAAAGAAGCAATCGATGAGTGGACCTCGGTCAAGACTGTCAAGTGGAGTATTCTGGGAAGCCATTAGCAAGAAGACAATGATATATCACCGGATGCGTCTATCTCCCTTTCCCCACAAAGTGTTTCATAGCGGTGTCATGCTCTGAATCATATTACAACAGTGAAATGCCTTTTTTTCTACTGGGGCCCGGCAATATTAATGAAGATTATTGGAAAAATTTGACCGGCTACTCTGTAGGATATAGATGGCCGTGTTACTGTTTTCACAACCGCAAATCCTCATGATCAGCCACTCACGAAACCGCCATCTAAACGTTTTGTACAAGTAATTGAGCCTAGAATCGTTCAATTCATGCTAACTCACTGCCTAGAGGATGCTGAATTCTGACATTGAGATATGCTCTCGTCAGGGGGGTTCGTTCATCTAGGTAATGGCAGCATATGGCTGCTGTCGGCCCATTTCAAACGGACTGACATGGGGGATATACGCTTGTTTTGACTTATTGGCTCAATGATCAGCGTATGCCAGCATCCAGCTATGTCCAATGAGCCATCCCGCCCTAGTTCTTGGCGTCTTTAGAGCCGAAAGGCGTAGAGTATGCATCTCACCTAACTCCGAGCCACGGTGACGTATACCTTGTCAATATGCCTTGTCAATATGGATCGGGTGACACGGGCATGTATGTCGGCATGCCGATGCTAGAGCCGGTTGCTATCAGTCCATGTAGCCGGCAAGCCGAGCTGATCCATAGCCAGGTTGGAGCGTTCAATAGAAGATACGTAGAGGCTGTTGTGTCAATTCCTTGCCCGCTCTGAAAGATATAAAGGCGGCATTCTAATCGTCAAGCATGCTCAACTAAGAATCTCAAACCTCTAAACCTATCAACTTATACAGTCTCGAAAGTCTCAGCTCTTTGGCAAACCACAATCATGGCGACCTTGGAAACTCCGCACAACGTCATCCAACCCGGAGTAGCACCAACTCTTCATCGCGAGTATGACGAACTCTCTTCTTCGTTTCCTCCTCCGTTTGGACCCAATGATATTGGCTTTCCTGGTCGAGTTGAAGGCGAGATGCCCGACTTAGTTGTACACGGCACCGTGCCAAAACAACTTGACGGCACCTTTTATCGCATCATGATTGACCCTTTCTATCCCCTCGCTCCGGGCAATCCTCCTATAGAAGGTGACGGCAACGTCTCGGCCTTTCGATTCAAGGATGGCAAGGTAGATATGAAGGTCCGATACATCGAAACCGAACGGCTCAAGCTCGAGCGACAGGCGAACAAGAGACTATTTGGCCTGTATCGCAATCCGTTTTCTCATCATCCTTGCGTGAGAGCTGCAGTCGACTCGACCGCAAACACAAATTTGGTCTACTGGGGAGGTCACCTCCTAGGGCTGAAGGAAAATGGACTTCCGTATGCCCTGGACCCAGATACGCTGGAGACAAAAACTTACGATCCTTTCAAATCTCCGGGCAAGACTTTCACTGCACACCCAAAGATCGATCCGTTTTCGAATGAGTTAGTCACTTATGGCTATGAGGCTACAGGCCTTGGTTCAAAGGACATTGTGGTGTACTCTTTGAGTAAGGATGGCCATGTCCTGAACGAACAATGGATCACTGGCCCATGGTGTGCGCCTATTCACGACTGCGCTATCACGACAAATTTCATCATACTGATCCTGTGGCCATATGAGGCGGATATGGAAGGCATGAAGCAGGGTGGCTCGCACTGGATCTGGACAGAGAAATACCCGCTCACTTTTCTGGTCCTTCCTCGACGAAAAGATCAACTGCCAAGAGGCTGGCAACCTGGAGAGCACCGCGTGTATCAATGGACTCGCCCTGCTTTCCTCATCCATGCCGCATCGGCATGGGAAGATGCGGCTGAAAATATTTGTCTCGAAACATCCCGCGTCTACACAAACCTTTTCCCAACTTTTGGTGGCCTCACGCCTGACAATGACCCAACTGCCGACTTCGTGCGCTGGACAATCGATCCACGGCAGCCAAGTCACACTGTCATACCGGATCCGGAGGTTGTTCTCGATCTTCCGTCGGAATTTCCTCGCACTGATGAACGACTTCTCGGTAAACATTATAATCTCATGTTTGTGCCAGTTGTCGCCCCCCTCGAGGAAGACAACGGAATGCCGTTGCCCTTGGCGCTCAACGGACTTGTCAAGCTTGACAAAAGAACCAAGGAGCGAGTCATATTCTTCCCCGGGCCGAAATGCGTTGTTGAAGAACCGATATTTGTCCCGCGAAGTGCCAACAGCCCCGAAGGAGATGGATGGGTCATAGTCATGATTCAGCGGGTAGAGAAGCGTCGGAGCGACCTTGTGGTTCTAGACACAACCAACTTTTCGAAACCAGTGGCTATAGTTGAGCTTCCCCTCTATGTACGAAACCAGATTCACGGTAACTGGGTGGATCATACGCTCCGCAACGAGGGGACCATCAAGCCTTTGTGCCGTTCGCATTGGACTGTTCAAGTTAGCGGGAAAGGCTCTCTGGAGCCTATGTAGTGCTTAGGAACCGCAAGTCACACTCAACCCGTAAATCGAGAATGTAGAGGAGCGACTGGTCAATAGCGGTCTGCAGAATCTATTACACTTGGCGCAATAAGTAGTATAGTGCAGAGAAGTAAACGAGAATTTGGATTCCACCATCTTACATCGCGAAGATCCTAGAGGATGATGTATTCCTTTAAGTGCATCGCTTTAGCTGTTTGCATTGTAAAAGCAAACTTCTCCAACTCGCCTTCGTTACAGTGTTGGCCCAATTGTTCTGCTCTCTACTCTAGGTAGGATAGTCGACTCACAGGTATCTGCCCATTGCATAAAATATTTCACAGATCCCATCCAGCACCGCTATGTGCCCCCCGTCGCTAGAAAACCTATCCCGAGCAAGCCTTGCAACCTCGTGGCCAAACTTCTTAGCTTCGCCTGGTCTCATACGCAACGGCACTAATGGCAGAAAGGCTCTGGTCTCGCTACCATCCTCCAACGGTTCATTGAATGAAATGGCCGGGAACCCCACGCCACACTCAAGCCATTGTTCAGACTCCGCTGTTGGGTCACTGTCGATGTGGACGCACGGGGACGACCAATCCTGCTGCGAATCCTCATCGTTGGACCAGGTCGAAAGGCTGGGCCAGGCCAAGGACGGGAATGCACCCTGCAGGAGACCTCCATCTGAGAGACCACAGTACATCCAAAGGCATAGCATGGCTTGCCATGCGGCAATCACCAGAAAGGCGGCAGGGCGGATGTTGTCCGGCACACGGACGATTCGCCAAATTTGACCAGCATGCCAAACCGCCCGTCTCGCCTCGCTGCTTAATCGCCACTGTCGTAAGCCCACCAGCGTTCTGATAATCATCCTCTGGTCGAGGCATTCGATCAAGAATTGCATCTCATTGAGCGGTGTGCTTCTGTGCAGGGCGCCAAGTTCACGAATGATGACTGCAGTTGATGACTTTGGAATATTTCCCTTTCCCCAGAGGAGCCGCACCTCGCTTGCCAAGCGTGAAAGATGGCAGCTTTGTCCACTGGTGGCATCGAGATTAAAAAGACACCCAGGAAGGGTCGGGGTTGCCAAGTTACCACCCAAAACGACACGGCGCCTATTCTCCTCGAGGCTCAACGTCATGACACCATGGAGAACACACATCAAGGCAAACTCGCAGTCCTGGAACACCGGGAAGAGGTCGAAATGGGCAGGCTTTCGCAAACAGTCGTGTAGGTTGACTGGGGCCAGCGTCCCACGAACTGGGTCCCTCAAGCAATGGAGATATCGATCTCTCCACTCAGTCGCACTCGTCGCCTGCCAAAGAGACGGCGCTGCGGGAAACGTGACAGATACTTCCGCGTAAGACAAGCTAGGAGGAAAGAGTCTGTATGCCGCTTCTTGAGCACTGTGAATTAGGAGCCGATACACAAGCCTAAGGGTTCGCTGTGAGTGGGCTGGTGCTTCGTAGTTGAAGGAGATACGACTGGCATACCGCTTGAATGACTCGGCCTCAACCCACCTTTCCCATTTGCCCTCAAGGACGGCAAGGGAGTCGCTTTGGTTGGGGTGCTCGACGTCTAAGCATCGGCCGGCGCTGAGACGGCCTGATTGCCGCAGTATCTAAGTCACGAGGTTAGCTTGACAAAGGAGGAGAAACGAGTAGACAGAAATGGCGGCGCACAGTCACGAGTATACCGCAATAGGTTGCAGCCTTGTCTCTCATTTGATCATCTCCGCTCCACAAGTAAACATCTATGCAGAGGTAAAGCGCCTGGAGAGTCTGCAAGTGGTGCCTACTATCTTCGCCACGATACACCTAAGAGAGCATAATCAGCAACATTCCAACGGTCACAGGGACAGAGCTTTAAGCCACCAATTGCCTAATATGTGATTGCGCGATTCCCATAAGAGCGAGCCCAAAGCTTCTCGCGGAGGGGTTGGTGGAAGATGCCGCCCCGGCTGCAGCGCAAGCCATCACTAGAGATAGTTTAGAGGACGGCAAAGAGAATGTAGGGACATGGATGATTGGCATTGGCTGGTTTTTATGCCGTGCAAAGAAGAGCTGAAGCAGGTGATTGAGACTATCTAGAGGTGGAAAACACTGAGCCAAGGACACGTCGACCTCTTCTGGAGGAAGTTGTGTGGCAACCAGTAGCATCTGATCACGCATGTCAGCACACAAATGCTGCCCAATAACGGTGCCACAGGAGCTTTGATCGATGGTCGCATTTTGGGAAAGTTTGCTTTGTTGAGAAACATCGGCTTTTCTTTGATGAATGAAGGCGGAGCCAGTCTGTTTCCATGATCCAAACAAGGTGACGAAATCGTGCTTCATCGCCGCCGTGATTGCCTCGACATCAACGGGACAACCGACGGGAAGGTCTTCACCTCGTGAAATGGGAAGACCTGCACTCGCCCTTTCCTCATCCTCATGCTGAGGAAATGGCCATATTCCACCTTCACCGTAGACATCCACGGCGCCCAAAAGATCGAGGACACTCAAATCTTGACTCACGATGCCTTCCATATCCGGAACCATATCCGGCGCCTGGAACCCCATAGACTCCCATGCGGGTTGATCTGGTAAGCTCCCCAGTGTGCTTTGCCAGTGAACCAATGACGATGAAGACGCAGTAGGTGGTGAGTACTGCGTGGTGTTTGTATCCTTTGTATGATTATCATTTGTTGACATCATTTGACTGTTTGGCATGTCACTTGGTGACACTGCCATCGCTGAAGGCCGAACGGAATCTGATCTTATGCATTTGATTTGTCTCTTGCGGCACCGAGCGCAGCTTCCAAGATTGTCGCACCTGACTTTCGAGGCGGCGCAAGCCTCGCATGCTTGTGAAGCTCTAGAAGACTTGGAGAGGCAGCGTCGATTCCTCGTGCGGCGCGGATTGGAAGCACCGTCCAACATTGGCAGAGACATTTCCGCTTGAACCTGACAGAGCTCCGAACACAATATGGGAGACTGCTGGCTGTGGATAGTACCCAAGAGATCAAGCCGAAGCTTCGTTTATGCAAAAATTCAAAATAAGTAGAACACTTGGCCTCGAGCTTGGCGGTATGAGAAGGAGTTATAGAGATGCTGATCATGGAGAAGTCGAGGTCAAGTACTGGTGCCGAAGAAGTTGGTGCCGCGAGAAGTGGATAAAGGAAGGATGGAGCCAACAAGGAAGACCGTATCCGAGTCCTGGCATTGGTAATAATGCGGGGTGTGTTTCAGCCTGGGCAGTTACCGAGCTCCCGCTTTCTAACTTAGAACTTAATAAAGCTTGGGGGACCAAGGAAATTGTCGGGTTGTTGGCAAGATTGCCAGAAGCAAGTAAGTGGCTACGCGTGGGTAGATCGACTTGTTGAATCCTTTGCTCTACAGCTCTTAGCTTGAACTACGTCTTGGCTGCAGTTGCGCTCCTTAGATCGTTTGATCTTGTACGACCCTCGCAAGTTCAAGAAGGGGGAGAGAGTTTGTAAGATTGTAAGATTCATTTAGTCGGCTCAAAAGTCGACACAGTCCGGAGGATGGGCAAGAAGAACTTCCACCGCCTTTCGTAGATGGCAAGAGTCAATCCCAAGTTTTGTCTCGATTGCTCCTCATCTGCAATTTTGTCAGAGGCGATACTCGCCATTCAAGTTCTGTCCCGGAAGTTATTCGACCTGAGCCAGCTGCTACGAGCTCACCTCACTTGCCTTAGAGGACAAGAGGCGCTGGATCTCACCAAGTGCCCTACCATGGCGTCCATACACATACCGAGATCAACAGGTAGTCGGTGGACAGCGATGCTGCAAAAGGCGGGCGGGGCTCTGCTGGAGTGCCGTCAGTTAACAAGCTTGTTATTGGGTCATCGCTGGCGATCGAAATGTCGGTACTGCTCGACCCCGCTGACTCAGCGGCACTTCTTGATGACCCTGTTACGTTACCGTTGGCGGAATATTCGGAATGCGGGGAGTGGTTGAACACCACCCTTGCCCCAAGTGAGTCGTCTCAGTAAGAGCCACTTAACGGCATGCGCCATCTTCTTCCGGAGTATAGTGGTCAGTATGCAAGCTTGTCACGGGCTCATTCCCGGCGGGAGAGTCCGCTAACTGACACGTTGCTCATTCCCCTTGTTTTGATAGATCTCGCCCACTTCACCGCCCAGGCCTCCCTACCCTACACCCATTGACCATTCAATTAGAAATTACACCACACCTTTCCTTCTTCTGGATATTGTCCCGTCTCTTGTCTCTATTACTTTGCTGTAATGCTGATAACTCGACCGATCCTAGTATTAACACGGACAGCTCCACCAGCCAATGGTAACCTCACCGGTTTTAAATTAGCATTGGCCTCTATTGATGCATCCGTTTAGGTCGTCCAGAGTTACGTCGAGAGTTACGCCGAGGGTCACCAGACCAATCCACTGTTGGGTAACATGTGTATCGTAAAATAGGTAAGTCTGCCATCGCTATGTTGCTACCAGGACGGTTCTAAAACCGGGCCACCTCCTCTCAGGGCCTTGCTCTTCCCGACGGATCTGATTTTAGGCTTTGATATCTTTGCGTCCCGAAACACTGGACATGAAGTCGAAACGGCGTTCCGGTCCGCCAAAGACATATTGTGCCACTTCTCCGTGATGAGTCCTCTGGCCGCACACTACCTGGAGATCTTGACTATGTTATCCAGCGCCATCTCGAAGAAACAGAGACAACTGCACTACGTAGGGGAAACAGGTACGTTAGTAGAGTCCAAACATGTATGCTTTCAGCGGAAGAACCGGGCCAGGATCCGTGGCAGCAAAAGCAAGTACACAATGTACCAGCGCTACCGGGAGGAGAAGGCACAGTGCTCCCTGCCAACGGCGATGGAACAGAGGTGATGGCGACAAAGCAACAGCCGTCTCAGCCGCTGGAATTTGATGCAGCATTTTCTTTGGGTGGGATAATCCAGATATCTTGCAGTGAGACAATTTCCTAGTCTAGTTCATTGGCGCTTGGCAAAAGGCTGACAGTTTTGGAGGGCGGCCTGTACCATCGAAATAATAATCCATGTTTCTGTTTTTTTGTTTTGAAGTTGATACTCTCCGGGTGCGGTATGAGGCATCTCATCGAATGATAGCCTTTTCGGTAATTTTGCATCCTTTTCAAGTCCACACACACCCCCCTCCCACCATTCCCTCTTGTCCGCCGATGTAGTTTACTCTGCGCCTCCTATGAATCTCATGTTCGTCATCCATCCTGGCGCGTGTTCTCGGTAGGGGAAACAGGATCTTGTACTAGCGCTGTGATTGATAGGTTGCTTTGAGAACTGTATTTCGGCTCGGCCCGGCTCGGTTCGGAGTCGTGATGCCTCTATGGGTGGAAGACCCGAGGCTTCGGGTCGGTTCCAATTTGAGGCTCCATGTTCAACAAAGGCTACAGCTCTTTGGTAAATTATGGATGAGGCTAAGCTGGATCTCGGTCATGTGCTTTTTCTGGGGATATTGCGGGGGATTCTGGGGAGAGGCAAGATCCAGGTACGGGCGATGGATAACCCCCTTCTCTGGCCAGCCAAGGTAGGAATAATTCTTTTTATAAAGTCCATCCCAGTCTTCCGCAGTCTTTCGATTTCCCTATCAGTTTTTACCTTCCCCGGGACAATATTCAAGTGCTCTGATTACTTACACCAAAATGACTGCGAACACTCAGCCTTCCATTATTGTCATTCCTGGGGCTTGGCACCTAGCTTCCTGCCTTGACCCTTTTATTGGAACCCTACAAGCAACTGGCTTTCCCGCCGAGGGTGTCACACTCCGGAGTGTTGGAGATGCCGACTCGGGCATTTCCGACGACGAGGCACTCATAAGGTCCAGGATCGAGTCTCGGATTCATGCTGGCGAGGATGTCATCCTCATCGCCCACTCATACGCCGGCTTGCCAATGTCTGCAGCTATTGCTGGCTTACAAAAAAGGAGTAGAGCTTCACGCGGTGAAAAGGGCGGTGTTCTTGGAATTGTGTATCTCGCTGCTTTTGTCCCGTTGGACGGAGAGAGCGTTGTTGGCCTATTGGGTGACCTACTCTGGTGGATGGAAGAGGATGTGAGTTTCGCCCTTCTCGGTTTTACTCTGTTGCACTTGTGCTCACTTCTCCTGGCCAAGACCGAGGCTCGAGTCATCAAGGTCAAGGCAAACTCGCCTGCAGAGGTATTCTTCAATGATTGTTCCCCTGAACAAATCGCTGCAGTGTCGGGTGCCTTGAAGCCACATTCGAAGAAGAGCTTGGCCACACCCATTACGACCATCGGATGGCGTGAAAGCGCGTACGACGGCTCTCGGGCCTATATTCGCTGTTTGCAAGACAAGGCACTCTCGATTGAGAGACAGGACGCGTTTGTTGAGCGGTCCGGGGTGCAGTGGGTTGTGAAGACGTTGGATGCGTCCCACAGTCCATTCATATCAATGCCTCAACAGTTGACAGTGGCCGTGCAAGAGATAGCAAGGGAGTTCAGAGCAGCCATTTAATCTAAGCTCAGACCAATGCCAGGGGAGGATCTCGGGTTACAAATTTCATGCTTGCATCTAGGTAATTAACAGAGGGCACTGGCAGAAAAGTTTTGGATATGTTGGTAGATTGGGCTAGGACCGCGTGGTTTAATTTTCAAATTCATTCGTTTTCCAGGGATGACAGTGACTGCCCGTTATAAACATTCCATTCCTATTATGAAGCAGCCAATCTCGCCCAACATCTAGCTTTGTACACCTAGATAACAGCACCCTTAGTCAAATCTCTCCACCAGCCTACCTCTCACCAGCCCTCATCCTGCGGTCCTCCAGACACTGACAAACCCTTACCCTCCCCTACATTTGAGATCTACGCCGGCATTGCGTCTTCAAGAGTGCTTGTACCTCTAATAGCCGGAAGCCAGCTATATTTGTATTTGCAGTAAGTCTCGACACAGGGCTGAAATATGGTGTCGTTCAAGCTGGAGTATAGTAAGTATATTCTGCTCAGTTTACTAGCTTATAAATAGCGAAGAGCTGTACCAAGAGCTCGTTTCACAGTTTCAATCATCAGCAGCGAAATATGTGTGCTTTAACATGCTTCGGCGGGAGCAATTTCATTGCCGTCAAGCTTGACCTGTAACCCTTTCGCAGCAATCTCGAGCTCATCCAAAGGCCTCAGCCCTCCACCCACCATATCACGACATCGGCTACTTAGGGCTACAAGCGTAGCAAGTGATGAGTCTTTCGTATTCATTGTGTTGAGTTGTCGGGCCCTAGCAGCTTCATTGTTGTTAAACTCTATTCTCTTTCTCTTCCGTGATGAGTCTTTAGAGTCCTCGTATAGCAGAGGACTTTTTCCGTGGTAGCGTCGTTGCTGCAGCGATTGGGACATGATGGTAAGGAGCAGGAAGCTAGCTGAAATCAAAACTTCGCAAGCCAGGAACGAAATCCAGCCCCAATTGATAAGCACATAAGACTCATCTCTCCAAGCCTGGCCGGTGAAATTCATGAATTTTATGTTGGAATCAGGGGGAGGAGCAGTGCGCATACTAATATTTCCATTGTGGTTAACAAAGAACAGATGAATGAAGCCTTGGCCTATATGGTTGAACTGACTGTGATGAAATTAGAGTAGCGACATTTGTACAAATATTGAAGACCCGGTTATCGCGTTCTGAAGCATTTTTTAACCCATCAGGTGCGAAGAGTGCTCGGGTGAAGAGCTGAGACCCGAAAAGTTGGCCATAAGCAATAAGGCTAGGATCTTCTGAGGGGGAATCAGACACGCCTTGATAACATTGTAACTGACGTGCCATGGCTTCTGCCATTGATTCCATGGAATAATAATCGATTCCGAATGTCTTATCTCCAACAGAAGCATTGACACCCTCGGCGTTAAGATAAGGAGGAATCAAGTACAATGTTTCATTCATCCGTTCCTCCCTAGGCAGACAAGTTAAAGGAACGTCATCTAGAATTGAATTGCAGTCGAGATCTAAGAAAGTTCCAGGTCCAGGTTTGAATGGTTGGGCACAGGAGTCCTTCAACCTAGTATTTTCCCTACCCATATTGATACTTGTGTCGTATGATTGAACGCAGAGATGGAAAGGAATTCCAAAGCCTCATACTGAATACTGTGGTTGCGTTAATAAGGATTCTCAAGTCCTTGGGTATGGGGTCCACCAGTGACAAGTTGCTCAGAACTGGCTTCGTGAAGATAAGTACTACAGACACTAGTCTGGTTCGTATTAGATCACTGCTGGTCTGGAAACCGATACTTTTATTTCCGTTTAAAGCATCTACAACCATGGAAAACCCATATAGGCCTGCTAGAGCCGGGCCACCAGGAAGAGACACCTTCCAAATCCTGCCTCCAGGACTTAGAAGGGGACCGTAGCCAAAGCCTTCATCGAGTAACGGTATACCCAATGGCTCATTATCTTGGACCTGCTCAATGCGTAACTCGGAGGAGATATTGGCCACTTTTAAGCAAACACCCAGCGAGCTATAGGTTTCAAATGTACAATTCCCCGTGGAGCATGAAGCTCCGTTGATCCCGATAGGAGTCGAAAAGTTGCCGCTAGTATCCAAGGATGTTGCCAAGTTGATGACTCGAGTAACGTCGTCTCTCTTGATCGCATTTTCTGGATAGAAAATTGATTGGGCAATCCCAGTGTTTGCTTCTCCTTGAACAGCCACACTTCTGACTGGATAGCTGATTGAAGGTTGAGTGATAGGGGACGTCAGTAGGCTCGTGACCATGAGAACTGCCCCAATACTAGCAAAATGCTGGAAGTGAATTCGTCTCAGAAATAAGAGGGAGCCCCAGACCCCCCTGCTGGCCTGGTCGAAAACATGAAAATCATAAAGTGGCCGCTCCTGTTGGAACCAACCCCATTGTGACTGACTTATTGCCATAGATACTGGGACTAAAAGAGCTGCTTTTGAAACTGTCGCCAAGAACGCGACCAGAGTGTTCAGCGTAATAGAGAGTGGCCAATTTGGCAATTTTCTGTGATTAAATTGTGCAAGGGTCACAATTATGACTTTAGGCATTCAATCAATTGATAAGCGTTAATCCTGTAGAAAAGGTAGTTATATGGGGTAAGATCGTACATACCAACCAAGGCCAACATCCCGAGAATGATAGAGGCAATTTCGAGAGCCCACGCTCTGCATACAGAATAGAAACCGACGGCCCTTGTGTCTATCCGTTTCTGTTCAGACTGAAATATGATACAACTGTCCCTTATGTTCGAATCATTCGGAACGGAGATCTGTTGTGGAGAGACATTATCATGCATAGGGGTGATGTCCTCTGGGTGTGTAGCAAGGGTTTCCGAGAGACCGTGAATCAGGACTTGGTCGTCTGAGTTTGCGTGGTGATCGATCAGAGTAGAAGCAGGTGGTGAGACGGGGGTGGTCGTAGAATCCACAGACTCTGTGTTAGGGATCTGGAGCTCTTGGTCATTCATAGGTGCCATATTGGTCGCTCGTTGGGGGGTTCTCCTAAGCGGCTGATACTCGAATATAGAGGAAGCATTCCGGTATTTATTCCCTAATGATTAACGAATATGCAAAATACAACGATTAAAGCCTTCATAAGGGTATTTGATAGCGTAAGAAAAATGTGTAGTCCCCCCACGCCAAAAGGGCATCCTCCAAAGGTAGTAGTGTCATGGGATGGAAAATGTGGCAAAGTATAGTCGCACTTATGCCACCATCGGGGCGAATGAGAGTTATATTATAAGACTCAGCAGAGAATCATCCTGATGGTGTAGGCAGAATGTGTAGAAAGCATCCTCATGGCGTAAGCAGTATGGCGAAATTCCCTCATGCGAAAAGGACACCCTCCAAAGGTAGGAGAATCATCAACTGGAAAATGTGGTAAAGCTTTCTTGCACTTTATGCCACTATTGGGGTGAATATGAGTCTTGTTATGTGACCTTTTTTTTTATCAAAGACGGCCAACTCCATCCTCTTTCAGCCTTGGTGTTAGCTATGATAAGCAGCCACCTCGTAATGCTCGCTTTTTTGAGCTATCGAAGGCTGCGGCACATATTGAGTAAGAAAGCTATTGACGTGGCAGCATCGTCCAGAAATAATTTAGCTACCCACGGCTGATCCTCCACCCACGGCAACTTGCATGATCATGTACCTAGGCCGCCTACAGTCAGACACATGGCTAGAATATCTCGTATCTATGGCTCAATTACCGCATTATTGTTTCTGACAGTACGGACTGACTGTCACAGCGAGGCAATGTTGAAGTCAGGTAGGCCGCGGGGGCACTAAGACGATGCAACTGAAAGAGCTCTCTAGAAGACTCGCTTTCAATCTCAATAACTCAAAAGAGCGCCAGATATGATCTCCTTCGTCTCTATATGGGCAATCTTCTGTAATAGTCACAAGCAATAACCAACCTACAGACCGATTCCGTATTCTTCTATGTCTCTACCCTCCCTCGTCCTCCATCAAAGCACCCGGAAAGGTGCCCGGTTAGCTCAATCGGTAGAGCGTGAGACTCTTACGAGTTCACATCTCAAGGTTGCGGGTTCGACCCCCGCATCGGGCTGTTCCTATATGAACGATTGATAACATACTTTTTGAATTTTTGGTTTCCACGCAGAGCATGTCCGTGTAAGTTTGTGCCACCCGCTAGAATCCACTCCTCGTGTCCGCTCCACCTTTTAGGGCCGCAACATAGTGGATGAATTAAAATTTGATGACACAATAGTAAGAGAATAATTAATTATCTTATAATATTTGTCTTAATATTGTGCTTATTACTATTGATTGCTTTGATAAATGTTGACTTGATTGTGCTGAAGTTCTGGGTGTTACAAGCTTCATGTCAGTCGCTTGCCACGTAAACGACATACGTTTTGAATCTGTGCTCCATCCCAGAGCATGTCCAGCAATGCTTTCTCCCCGTACAGTAGAGGGGAATGGGCAGCCACGCAGATGAATGCTTTCCCAGTATATCTCTCTGGTAACAGCTCTAAAGTAGGTACCTAGTTAGTATTAGGTATGATATGGAAGTAACAACTAGATATGGTTGTTTTGATATTATTTGGACTGTGTTTTTCTCGGTCTCCAACTTCTTTCCTCTTTCTCCTTCTTCAGCAAGAATCATTCCACTTTGTTTCTGGACATTTTCTGTAGTTGCTGAGGCACTACAATTCTTTTTCTTCTTCCCGACGCCGTTTGTTTTTAGGTCTCCGAGGCTAATCCTTCGAGTGACCGACCTTTTCTTTTCTCCCTCCTCCTCCTCTCTAGCTCGGCGTTTGCAGTTTTTTTTTTTTTTTGGTTGTCCGAGGTCAACCCTCCGGGTGGCCAAACTTTCATTTCGCTTTTAACGTGTGAGTTGCCAGTCCACTAGAATCCACGTGGCAAGTGCCCGAAAAAGGTGGTTCGTGTACAGGCAAAGCACAGAATATCCACGCAAGTGACTGACCTACAGCATGACACACCCAGAGCCTCCAGATTTTATTCGATATAACATTACAATAATCAACCTCGAGCTTGGACTGGAGTCGAAGCCATAATGAACGGATTATTGTGGAGATAGTGTGTGGTAAGATGCAACAGAACGTGTATTGTTTAGAGGGCGGAGACCAAAAACTAAACAATAAGCGCCGAGACAAGAGAAGAGGACGGATAAAACAAAAAGTGAGATCTATTGAATTCTAAATCAACTCTACATCAATGCTAGACTGGGTACGAATGTCTTCCAAAAGCCACTCGATAGGGTGGGCATACCCAACATCAGGCCCGCCAACCACAATACCGGCAACACGTCCCTCCATGTCCCAAATACAGGAGCCTGAGTCACCTGCTATACAAAAGTGCTTTGATCCAGCTGAAGGGTTATCCTTCTCTCCAATAATGCCCCAAACCTCACTGTATTCCGCCTTCCCGTTGATTACCTCTCGCAGGATAGACGGGACACAATTGGAGAAGCCGACTTGCAGCTCTCTGGTTTTTCCGTACATCGCCACGACCAGTCGAGGTTCCTTGTTTTGGCTGTCCATGGTAGTGGGCATCTTAATCTGGGCCTCAGGCATGATTCCTTCAAGCTGCAGAAACCCCTCACAGGCAGCCAGAAATAGCCGTTCAAAGCTGAGTTCACTATTGGCCACCCTATGTATCTTACATGAATGCTCACTTGTCAGAGTAACGGTATTTCTCAAATCTGGGAGCGCTGTTTGGTGTTTGTTGTTGTGTAACTCGATCAAGGCCCAATCCCTTAGTCGACTCTCTCCCGATAGAGATTTCCCAGGGCTGGCTTTTGGGGAAAAAAGGACATGCCCAATGATGCGAGACTCTGGCGTGGCAATAGTCCGAACATAGTCTCTCCATTGGGTATAAGAATTCAGTCTCTTCTGACAATCAGTTATTTGGATATGTCGACGCTCTTCTGTATAATCGGCGCGGGCTTCCAAATTGGCCCGGTTCCTTTCCAGAGCGTGACAGATACCTTCGGCGAATTTGAGCATATCATTTAGGGTACCTGACCCCGGTTGCATGACTAGTCGCGGCGTCGTATCAGGGTTATGTTGATACAACTCGTTCGATAGCTCGGAGCCTTTTTTAAAAAGCATATGTCGGCAAGTCAGCGCCAATGTCGCTCCAGTATCTTTGCGTCTGAGATAAAGACCCTTAGTACCCTCCCATGTAGGGCTATCAAGCAAGGCAATCGAGGCCCCAAGACGTTCACTGGCCATGGTACGGTGATGAACGATTGACTGGAACTCAGGCCCAGGAAAGACTTCTGATTGTGAGGTCAATCTAGGGGCCAAAGGGGACGTTTCATTGGGCGTAGAGGCGGAGCGTTCGGCCACTGGTCCTTCCATCTCACAGGAAGGGTCACCGAGTACCATTTCCTTCATCTCGCAGTGTATGTCATCAAGCCCGTACTGCTCCATGATGCGACGGCATGACATAACAGCTGGGAAACCTTGTCCCCATGTTGTGTTTGCCACAGAGACGAGAAGGACGTGTGGTTGCTCAGGTTCTGGCAGTTCGGGTCGATCCGGATTCTCATGCAAGCCCAAGCGAACGATATCGATGGATGTCCAGTCGATTCCATCAAGGGCATTGATAATATCCTTTCGCAAAGGGCCATCCCATAACGAGACTATCTTATGGTTGGGTGACGTCGGTGAGAGAAACTTCTTGACGGGCCAGAAGATGCCACCACCCCCAGGTTTGAAAGTGACGTCGAAGTTGGAGCGTGCCACTAGCCTTGAACAGCTAGGAAGGCCAGAGAAGTATAGGTTCTTTTCTTCGATGTTTGGCTCCATCACCGCAATGTGCTTGGGTTCTTAGGCGAGGGTGTTATGTTTGGTGACGCAAGAAGGTCTTGATTTGAGAGGGCTAGACGTTGTATAGAGGAGTTTGGAGCCTTAAATATCAACCTTTGTTCTTTTCGTAGCAAGTGGCTGGAAAAACTCTTTTTCTTCACGTGGCAAATGGCTGAAATAAACCTTCGCACACCAAAACGCTTTCTACTCTAGGTTTGGACCTAATTTTCTTATTGGTAGTGTCAAACACAATAATAAGAAAATAATTAATTATTCTGTGATATTTGACTTGATATTGTGTTAATTCTATACCGCCCCGGGATCCAAGTTAGGCGCAGACCTTGCGTCTTGCTGCAGTCCGAGGACTGGGCAGCTCGCCAATGAATGTTCGATCATTTGGGTGTGCTAACGCTGGATGTCAGTGCAACATAAATCGGATGGATCCTTCTATGGTTACGAAGGAGGGACTCTCAGGTTTGTGTTGCGAATTGGCATTCTAAAGGCCAAGGATATCAGTGGCACATACTTCGCTCCGAAGCTGGAGAGTATCGAAACGTCGCCCCGCCACACAATAACCATCAAGCTTACCCAGCACACCATAACAAGCTTCAGGTGGAAATTCTTTGACCGCAAAGAATTGAACCTCGCAGCAGATCTGAAAAAGACGAGCGAATAGTAGTATGCTTTCGATAGGCCTCAAGAAGCCTTCCGTCCAGGGCTGGTAAATGAGCCTGGCTTGCCAGAGGGCGAAGCCTTTACGAATGATGTCCGACTGGAAAGGCTCTAATGCTCAATGATTTCTTGGGAATGTTGAATAGGGAGGTCGACCCGACTGTCGATGACTATGCTGAAACTTTGATCAAACCTTCTTTGAAGATCTCAACTATGGACCGCAATTCATATCACTCCGTTGAACTGACATGTACGCTGATTATTTATATTTCCCATGTCCCCCAGTCCTGGATGGGGCCAATACAAATACAAAAAAGGACCTCAGAGCATCGCGGACCTCGACTCTGACGACAAGCTACCTCGAGGTGAGGGCGTTTCCCTCTCCCAGTGACGCAGCTGTCGGTCTCGAACAAGGATTTATTCAATATATGTGCGATGTGTATATCGATGTCCTCGCAACCCGTCACACCAAAGCTCCCATTCGTTTTGTTGAGAAGGAAGAGGGTGTGACCAATACGTAATGGGCCGTTGCCAAGTTCACTACCGACTTCAAGGCTAAGTACTCTCGGTCAATTCCCCTGCTAGAGCGAGAAATAATTGCATTGGAATTGCTTTCGGCCCTTCTCGGCCTGCCGATAGCTCCGACAAGGAATTCTCGCCATGCAAGATTGTCATTCCAGATATGGGGTTCACTCATTCTGGCGATTCAGTCCTTAACTGTCGGAGGAATTATCGAGGCGATGCAGGGTCCCCAGCGACGTTCAACAACCAAGTCCAGATAGTTAGGTACTGTGCTGAGGGAGAAAGACGCAATTTTTGGGACCATCTATATCTCGTCTTTGGGAGACAAGACAACACGGCACGTGTTAGAGTGGATGCAGTATGCCGGGTTTTCGACAGACATCTTCCTCTGTACAATCCTCTTCACCCAGTTATGCAAGATTCATTTGGAGTATCAATTCTAGATAACGGGAAAGCCATGCCGTCGTCGAGACTCCCAATGCACTATGGCCCTTCGTCGCCTAAGCCTCCAGAGTATCTTCCCACTCATTCTCGCTGGTCACGTGGGACAACTGCCCCCATGTGTCATGACAGCAGACGAGAAAACGTCGTAGGGAAGTTCAATGAAAATATTCGACTTCAACTAGAAGGTGTCGATTCTAGAACTTTTGATGCGGACGGGTTGGCCATAATCGGATATGCGGCGTCAGAATCGTATTGTCAACGGCGGGTTCGACCTGGCTCTCTCGGTTTTCTATTATGAGCTTAAAGTAAATTTCGAATATTCCAGATTATTTATATTTCTAATCACTCAATTGTCTCGCTTGGGGGCCTTCAATCGGTTTGAGGGAATTCTCTGAATGGGTAGGTTCAAACTCTTGTATTCTGTATTTGGGACACGTGTTGCTGATATCCTACTGGGCGGGAATAGAAATGGGCACAATGCGATGAATAGCACGACGTATGGTCACCCTATCGAGTGTGTTTCAACAGATATTTGTATCGAGTTCATTGATGTAGAGTTAGTTTAGAAATTGGAGGACCATTGTGGGATAGGTCTGAGGCAATTTGATAGAAAGATCATGCTGCAAGGGACGTTTCATAAACCGCTGGCGATTTGCAATCTGTCTGAAGCAATTTCCGTAGATCTATAACGCGGAGCACGATCCACAGTTTTTCCGTCAATCAAATACTGCTAAGTGATCCGGAATTCCAGTCCCTCGTCGTAGATGGCTGTGAGATGAGGATGTGACGCTGGAATACCCACATAGAGTTACCATTTGTGGTTTTCGGGGCACCGATGTCCGACTGCATTCAGCCGGGATCGGAATACTTCCCAAAATTCACATCGGCTTTGGTTTGCACCAATGAAACGGTTCAAAACGGTCTCCTAGGTTGAAAATGGCGGACTGTTAAGGGCGGTTTCCAAGGGAGACACCCGATCGATGTTACTGTTCTTTAAACCCATAGACTCCCCTGTGCAGGAGGAAACACAGCCATATTGTTCACTGCTCTCTTACAATAAATCGTCTTATTTCTTGCTATAATTATTGTTCCCGCCATGAGAATCAGCTCATTCCTCTGTGTCCTGACGGCCGCCTTGGCCCAGGCACTACCCACAAAGATTGGATCAAAGGCCGAACTACCGGCTTATTTTATTCTTACAGGAGATTCCACGACAGCCAGTGGGGGCGGCTGGGGGGATGGCTTCCTAAGCTACGCCCGAAATTCAGCTTCCGGAATAAATCACGCCAAGAACGGTGCCACAACTGTATCATTCAAGTCGGATGGATACTGGGCAAAGGCAATCCAGTCTATCAAGGACAAAAAGGCCAGTTATAGGCCAATTGTGACCATTCAATTCGGACATAATGACCAAAAGGCAGAGAAGGGCATTTCTGTCGCGCAATTTACAACTAATTTAAAGACGATGGCCAACGAAGTCATCTCTGCGGGCGGCACTCCAGTAAGATCCAAGATTTCCGTGCACACCCGTATCATGATAAAGGATGTTAACTATGTCATCAGATCATCGTTACTTCTCTAAGCCGCCGCACGTTTAGCAATGGGAAAGTTGTTGAGAATCTGGCAGAGCACTCCGCTGCTGCGATTTCGGCTGCCAATTCCCTCGGTATCAAATATCTTCCCCTGAACCGGGCAAGTACCGATTACCTGAACGCTATCGGGCAGACAAATGCAGACAAGTACAACATGGAAGAGGGGGACAGAACACATCTCAACTCGGCTGGCAAAATCGTGTTTGGTCGCATGGTCGCCGACCTTCTTGATGTAGCTAGAGCTGATTTGAAGACATATCTCAAGGACAACAAAGCGCTCAGTGACAAGATTGCCAAGGGCGAATTTGCCACAGGCTCGGAATAGTTTTAGTTTGGACTAGAACGAGAATAAATTATAGGTTTTCAGCTAACGAAAGTTGATCAAGGATTTGGTTTGCTATTGTATGAGACGCTTGAGCAATTTATGAGCTGATTTTAGTTCCTGTAGAATCGCTTGTGTCCTCTCTCCTATTTTTCCACCCAAAGGGCAAGCAAGCAGAGTGTGCGCGGGTCAGTGGATAAGTAATCTTGAATATTAAGGCCACTGCCATGGCCAATTTTGATTAACCTATGAACTGAAATATTTGGGTATCCTATCTATGAAATGATTCTATCTATCCCACCCAAAGTGATTGCGTATTCTAGTATGTCTATCTGACCAAACGCATAAAATACAGAAAAGGAAAAAGGAAAAAGGAAAATGAATAAGAAACGAGCCAGCCCAACCAGTAACCTCCGTCTATAATTAACATGTGATTGTACAAAGGATTCAGAAAGGAGAAAATGGAGAAACTTCTGTTCTAATGATCCGCAACATCCTCGTCGCGCCCAGGATACATGATATCCTGGATGTAAACGGCTCTTATAAGCCAGACGAAAACGCCGATGAAAGCGGTAATGACAATAATGCTCATCGCAGTTGCAACCCACAAGATTGCCTCAGATTGGAATTCTTTGCCAATAGAGATAGTCGCGAGAGTAAAGCCAGTGTTGGGAAACACCATTGCCCAGGTGCCAAGATGGAAGTATTTTGGCGGGGATGCAATGATAGAGATAGTAGCGATGCAGAACCACCAAAGGCTGATTGTCCACATGAAGACAGCGGCTAGCAAGGCTACAGTTCGAATGGTGTCAACATGTGTCGATATGCTATCGGTGCTGGTGAGATTTTGGGGGATCTTGTTTGCAAGGCCAATGAGAGCAAGGGCCGTGAAAGCTGGTGGCCCAACACACATGAACAGCGCTGGTCGATGCTCCCTGTTTGGGAGTCCAGACTCCATAAGTCTCCCAATCATATGTGCGTACATCATGAAGGACACTGAGAAACCCAAGCCCTGACAAGTCAGGCCAGCCGTGATGATAGCCATGGGAGAGATGTTATCCTGGGCATCCAAAATCACAGTAGCAATCGTGCCAGTCAGCATGACTGGGAAGATGGGCAAGATCCAGCTTGGCATCATAGACTGCAGTTTGAAGCTATGGCTATCAAACAGATATGTGTATTGTCCCACCGCGAGTATGAAAGTGAAGGTCAAGTAGACCCAAAAGATGGCCTTCGTCGCCCACACAGTTGGAACATTATTCTCCGGTATTGCGTATCGCTGTGTGGTTGTGATGATGGTTGCTATAGCGAGGAAGAATGTTGGGAAGAAGAAGCCCTCGCGGGCATGCAAAATGGACTTTGTTAGGGTTCCAGGATGCAGAATGAACCGTGTGACAAGACCAAGACATATAGAGGTGAATATGAAAAGGTTTAGCGCATACAAGACCATTCCAATGGTTCTGAGACCCTGGAACTGGCGTGGTTGCATGTAGATGAGGAGAGATATGCCACCACAGCTCATGGGGAAAGTAAACCATGCCCATGTAAAATGGAGCATCCGTTCGCGGATTGAGATCGAGTGCCGCCTGTGGACCTCATTGTTGATAGATTCGTCTGGGGTATGAAGGCCTGGCTTTGAGACGATCGGTCGGAGTGCGATACGTTGAAGGTCGATGTCTCTCTCCTTGCTACTCTTGTCACCCGGTCGAGAAAGCAGATGTAGGCAATGGAGATTATCTGTGGAGTTTTGTCGGGTCGGTGCCGTGGAGTTTTGCGCGGTCGTCGTGGTCGAGGAGAAACCGGGGTAATCGGGACGCTCCATGATGAACTATTAAATAATTGTTTTGGAAAATATCACTGTGAGAAGTCATTTGAATGATTGTCTATTGTCACTCGGCGTACTTCTGATAGCCTTCGACGGGATCCGTATCCCCTTATATCCCCAAGGAAACTCAGGGGAGCACAGCCATACAGCTAAGGTCTCGTAAACACGTTTGCTAACAGGTGATTGACCGGCTAGTTAGGAACCCAATCAGGCCCAATAGCGGAGCCTCGCAAGGTCATCCCTTGCCACAGGCGTGAGAATCATGGCATAACAGGTATGAAAAACAAAACAAGTAGATGGTCCGCGATTCGGTCCTTGTGGCTCGAGCGTATCGCCTCGCCTGGGGTTTCACTCTGGCCAGACTCCTGGCCAGTGGGCATCTTCCAGGGGAGTGATTCCAGTATCTGATCCTGTATCGTCCGAAGGAGAAAAAGAAGCAATGGGATGTCTACCCAGATCCAGGGGACCCTTGCTGATCTGTTGTATAACCTAAGCCAAGTCCAATGAGTGCCGCTTTGCTAACGTGATCCGACGGCGCGGGCGATGACCCGGAGCGGCGGTACCAGGATATAAGATTCGGCCATATCCACTGCCAAGTCCAGGAGGGTGTGGTCGATAAACGAATGCACAAGGGGGTGTGGCAATGCCACCGACAATCTACGATCTGCAGGAAGACGCAAGAATGGTGAGCCTCTTGGGAGAGCCCAGCACGCAACCTCTGAGAGTAGCAGCAGCAGTGAGCATGTCCATCTCCCTCGATCTGAAGATCCAGGAATTTATTTTGACATTATTCATCCATCTCTTCTCGCACTACGTAATTAAGTTGGGCTGCAACAATGGTAATCTCAGCAGCTTCAAGCCCCTGCCCCTTGTTAGATAAGCACTCGACAATCAAGTCATAAACCCTGAAGCTCCTTGCTATTTTAGGCCCAAGGACGTATTAATGTGCGTTTTCTTATCATTCTGAAAATTGTGAAATATTTTTCTTCCACTTATTCAGCGATTAGGCCCGAGTTGACAAGAAAACGTGGTCGGCATGGACAGGGGGGACGACAAATACGGACCGGGCGATAAACTTCGATGATTCATGCACAGCCCACCATGGACCGGGCAATGACTGAATTTTTCTGGCGGTTTCAGCCGACGTCTCAACGATGCTGTGAAACCTCTTCTCCTTCCCTGTGAAGAGTGAAAAGTTCCATATTCACCCTTTGGCATCTTGCATGCATCACCCTAACGCGGGCCGCCGCCAATACCGCAATTAGCTTGACCATGACTGAAGATCGCACTTTAAGCCAACCGTTGATCACTTGGAACACGATACGATGGGACGGGGCCTTGGGCGTACGGTCCAAGACGAAGGCCAGGCACATCTCTCGATTCAACATCCCACTCTCACCACGCCAAGAAAAAGCACCTGGTTGTGTGAGTAAGACGAGAAAAGGTGTGATTAGGCTCAGGCCGGTGACAGGTCAGGACGAGAAGCCTGGCCCACCGGGAGAATCCGGAAACCTGTCCTGCGAAGTTTTATAGTGGGACGTGTGTGGCTAGAACAAGGCGCGGCTCTGAGCCAAGGACAGGGGCGCCGGGGGGTACAGCCTGGTTCCGTGATTGACAGCCTGCGCAGGCATTTGCTTGCCACATGCATGAACACCGATGATTCATGTTTGAGGGACCTGCCGTTGATGGAGGGTTTGGTAGTGACATTCAGACCCCGATATCATCCACAAATACGGGCGGATGGTACTCATTCTATGGACTGCAATTTCTAACAATTGCAACTGTCCAGCACTGTAGAGTAGCAACATTGAGATCGGCAATGTAGCAGGTTTAATTATATCCCCTGAAGTCTGGTGGCTACAGCATCGTCACATCGGCGTACGAAGCCAAAACGCCAGGCTTTCCCTATTGGGAGATTGTGGGTGTAGATATAGTTTCACTGCCAGGCCAACTGCAAATTATGGCTGCTATATCTAGACAAAGTAAAATATGATGTTAAAACGAAGGATATAAATTCTACTAGTGACGAGACGTTGCACAATTCACCGGTATCTGGCTCTCAAGTGGCCATGCCTTTAGATCAAGCAAAACTCTCCTCAATTCCTTGCCCAATGAATGGCCTATGAAAATTCTAGCAGGCCATCTAGCGTTCAAAGGGATGCCTGATCATTTCTTGGGCTCTTGCGTCGATGCATGATGTGACTTCGACAATTTTCGTCGTTTTTATGTCACATGACGCAGCAGTGCCCTTGCCCTGGTCCGGATTACTTTCAACACTCTCTGATCACAATTCAAGTAGGCAAGGGTGAATGAAAATCCAAATTCTAATTGCACTCCAATCTCATGTAGAACAAACTAGCTGAATAAACTGACACGGTATCTTATTAGACGTATAACTCCAACGCTAACAAGAACTCCAAAGAAAAACTCTATATCAAGACCGTCGTGTTCGCATGTCTATCACTCTCCATCCCTTCATTTGCCTATCCCCTTTCAATTCCGTGTTGCTGGTATGATGCTAGTGGAAAGCTTTCCAACCCAAGTGTCGGGGTATCCGTTCATGAAGCTCGGGCATTAACCGGCGGTACTTCTTCGCTAGTTGTATTATTCTGTGCCGTCGAGGTAGTAAGGGGTGAGGATGGGTTGGTAGCGGGTGCAGCCTGGTTTTCAGGAGTAGTAGAGCTGTTCGGTGGTGGTGCGTAAGCCGGCGGTTCGTCCTGTGGCTTGGCCAGACCAGAACTTGATGTGGATTGCGAGTCCGCGGTCACCGCGGAGTTGTTTTCTTCCCGTTGGTATACCGGTAGAGTGTCCGTTCGTCCCCGGTCTGCCAGCGCTATCGTTGGCGGCTGCGTGGCCGGTGCAGATGGCTTAGCATAGTACTTGCGCCTTACGAGCCCAACGGTGACGACGAGGAGGGCTACGACAGCCAGCGGGATGGCGATTATTCCTCCGACTGGGAAATAGTAAGGGCGGTCGTCATCTCTGGGTAGTATCAACGATTGGTCGCTTGCTGGCACCGGTGAGGCTGGGGCAGCGATGACGAATGCTGGGAGTAGGCTGAGTAGCTTGAGTGATGAGTGCATCCGGCTGTTCATGTTGATCCTTTGTTGTAGATAGACTGTAGATGGGAGCTGGTTGGGAAGACTGTAGATGGGAGTTGGCTCAAGAGACTTGGGAAGGATCGTGGAACCAAGACCGGCCAGGGAGTATTTAATGATTCGATTGAAGACTCCCATCCTGAGAATGTCAGCTTGGTCATCTGGAGTATTATTAGCATAGCCACAAAAAGCGTACCGAGCCATCGAGTGTGGCCATGCTTAGCGCATCGCGGAGCGTATAGCGTATTGCTTATCGCGTATGAGATGCCCTCACTTTGAGCCCAAGAAAAGGATGAATCCAGGAATTAAATACAACTTAAACTGAAATTTCACTAAGAATTGTCATGCATTGTTTTAGCCTACCATTGAGTAAGATATTCAGGGTCAGTTTGTTCCCTACTTTCCTTCGGCTCGAGGTAAAATGCAAAAAGGGGGTCATGGTGTTGAGATATTGGGCTCTGGCATCTTCCATTGCTCTTGAACTTGATACTCAATTTCTCTTACGCAAAAACGGGGTTCATTTCTGTAGTAAGAGAGGATTCTTTTATTCTTGACCTGAGGAGAGCTGAAATATCCCACAGTAATTCGCGATCTTGATACAAAGGGCTCAGATACAATGAACCACGACCACAGCATTATTCGTTAATAATACAAGCATATTGAACGAGCCTATTCTCCAAATATATCCCTAGGTAAATTCACCCATCGATCGCCTCGATGACGCCGTTGATATAGGGAAGCTCGCTGTGCTCTACATAGCACGTTTTCGGGGTAAACCACCAATGCAAGCTCCCCGACCATGGAAAAGTTTTCCAGGAAAGCGAGCCCGTGTCGGGAGAAACAATATCAATCCCGCTAACATATGTACGGCTAGGGAATTTTGCCAGTCCGAGGTAGAGGCCTGAGGATTTCACCACACGAATACGTTGGCTGGTAGCATCTAGTCGGAAATCCCCGACTGCGGTTTCATCTCCATTTTCATATCGGAAAAGCATCCCAGATATCCAATTACGAGAGGAAGTCTCCAAGCGGCTAACAACAATTTCCTTGACATCTTCAAGAGAAGCTGACGAATGGAAGGAGGCGAGCTTGACAAACGGAGATGCCGCAATTGCGTGTGCAGGCAACGGTTTCTTCGGATATCTTGAGCGCATCGGTCCTGCAATGCATGCAACTGCTTGGCCATCAGCATGCGGTCCGTCGAGCCACAGCCGATCGGGGCCGGTTGTTGAAAGCTGAGCGATGCACGTCCAAGGGTTGCTTGAATCGGTAAAATCCAGGGTCTTGAATGGGCCAGCGGCCAATATACGGCCCATCGACGTCTTCAACTGTGGTTTTGTTAGTTATTCTTTAAGATGTATGCACGGGATATGGGTACGGGATATCTTACCGCGAACGTAACGTCGAACGAGTAGTTGCCGTGCCGACTCCATACTTGGTCGACTCTCTCTCCTGGCTTCATTGGGATATAGGTCCAGACCAAGTCCCCACCACGGTTGGCAGTCTTTTGATAGAAAGTTTGATCCTCTCCCAGTTTATGGGCGTGTAGGTACAGCAGGCCGGCCCCGCGCTTAGAGTTTTTGGGTACGATCCAACATGCTGTGTATCCCGTACAATCGGCCTCGTTGATGGTAAATGGAAGAAATCTCGGGACTCCCAGCCGCGAGTTCAGCCGCATCAGGGTCAAGACTGCTAGCTCAGAACGTGGCAGAGGCTCCGACCACGAGCAGTTGGTGGGGATATGCTGGAGTTTGGTTTCACGCTCAGGTGAAGGCATTGTCAGCTGCTGCAATTTAATTCCCTGGATTACATATATCAGATAATGGACGAAATGCATTTCACGGTTGTGTAGGCAAGGTTTTGTAACTTACGTCGGAAGAGAACACGAACTCATTATCCATGACTTCGACTGAGTAAACCCGCCACCACACAGACCGGTCTGATGAATTGTAAACCGCCGGAGGCGTGCTGGATATGTGCACCTGCCGTATTCCCAAATGATCTTCCATAATATAAAAACTTATACTTTCGCGTCTTGGGTCGGCTTCAAAGATTTGTTTGGCGTCCGGGCTTGGATCACGCGAGAGGCTCGATACATATGCAGCACCGTCGATCCAGACGTGTGTTGCCCATATATCTTCCGAGAGAACCACCGTTGACTCTCCCCGGTAAGGTGCCGTCCATAATGACGTGATTGCGTACTCGGGTGAGAGATGTGCTGCTATCATCCGCCAAATTTCAGTAGGAAGTTTGCAATCACGGCCAATTGTACTTCGAAGAAGATCGCAGAGCATGTCGGTCGAGACTCGAAGTCGACGCTCGTCCTCAGACGCAGGAGGGTCATACCAGTATATGCTAGTAGTGTACAGTCTATGCGTAGGCGATCTAGCGGACTGAATTCGCCCGGAAAAGAAGATCCCAGTGCTGTGTAAAAGCCCATTCACACTGAAAGGGTGTATGCTTGCCCTGGTCGGCTGTCTTACATCGTAAATTCTCTCCAGGTTATTTTTCGTTGATGCGTCTATAAGATCGATCCCGGATGGTTTACTGTTCTTGTCCACCAGTTCGGTATAGTGCCACAAAGGCATGCCGGATCGAAATTCCAATGAAGGCTCCAGCTTAGTCAAAAAGGCCAGACATTTGCTGTGACACCCAATTGCAGGCTCATGGCGGCCCATGTCCTCAAATGGTGCTGAGCAGCACTGTATTTTCCTCCCCCATTTCCTGTCGACGTGAGAAGCGCCATAGCGATACGTGAATGAGGCAGTCCGATAATTGTCCACGGACACTAAAATCGACGTCAGCGGCCAGCCCATTGAAAGCTGGGAGTGGTGTCATTTGGTATTGTTGTGGCTCGAGGCGGACGTACCTACGACAGCGTCGTCGCCATCCTCAACCTTGTAACGGCAGAGTCTGCAGCGAGGGAAAAAGTACAAGACTCGAGGTCTAGACATATCGCCAGATAGTATGTCGAACCTACTTGATCTAGTCCTCCGGGAACATGGCAGTAGGTGAGGCGCCGACCACTGTCCGACTTCTTAAGGTGGTAAATGGCGAAGTCCGACACTGAGCCTATCTACCTGCTATCTAATCCCCGACGTGCACAGCGGCTGAGACCGGCTGCATGCATCTGGTGACTGCTTTGAGTCATACAGCGCTTAACCCAGTGAGATCAACAGGCTGACTGGCATTGCAAGCCAAGTGGCCGTCAGAGAAACAGGGACTACTGTGGCAGTCCGTCACATAATAATGCTTCCTTTTGTGCAACAGTAAGCAGATAATGTTGCCTGATACTTACCCAATAATTGATTATTATGATTCATTCTCGACTATTGTCAATCGCCATTTCCCATTGGCAATCTACACTCACCACACAGCATGGTCATGGCTTACGAGGGTTGTGGCTGTGTAGAGAATGCCTGGGAGCCGCTTCTGCCCAGAATCAGCCCTAGCATCTCACTCTACCCGGTTAATTTTCTCGCATTCATTCCACGGGAGGGGCAGGCTCTCCAAGCCTGACCGTTGTCTTTCCTCATAGCTAGTTAGCATCATCCAATGTAGACTTTAGTATAAGCATTCAAAACCGAGTCAGGAATTCTTCTTCATAATTATCTGGTACAAGTCGAGTTTCAACTTAATCTCCTGAGATAAAGCAAATGTCTCAACCTAGGTACAACTCAACTAACACTTACGCGTTAGAAGCAACATTGTCTGCTTAACAGTGTAGCTCGAGACTACAATCTCTCGAGAGGTAATCTCGACAACGGCGCCCTCAGAGATTGCATCATCAATATTCACTCCAAGTTCAGAGAATTTGATTTCTTGGCTGAGCTCAAGAGGGCTTTTTGTCTAAACTACGCGCGCCTCCAGGGTAGGCTACTTTTGGGTTGACAGATGCTCACCCAGCCGCTTATTAAGACAAGCTACCACAGGCCTTGATCGATAGCAAAGAATATTTGAAGCCCCAACAGCACTACCTGATGTGATAAAATTGGTGAATGGACGCAAGGATTGCACAGTGAATGGCCAGTCTTTGTCTGTGGAGGGCAGTACTTCACCCATTCTCTTCCACTTCTACAAACAGCTGGCTTTTGGCACAGATCTGGAACAAAGATTCTAGTTTCTCGAAATCACCCATGTCGTGCGTAGTTTGATCGGTACAAAGGACTTAGACGCTGACTAGAGGACCAGATGCAATTAGACAACTGATTCACTGAACCTCCGGATTAGCCCTCAATCTCTGATCCCTTTCACAACTTTCAATCAGCGCAAGATCTGTCTGTGAATGAAGTTTGTGAGTCGTATAAAATCAGGTATAAAGTTCTTCTTCGTGTTTGGTCTCGCCCAACATGCAAGAACGTTTAGTCTTTCAGACAAAACTACCCTCATCTCAAAGTAAGTAACAAAATGATTTACGATGGCCGCAGAACATCGCAGCTCAAGGCCATGTAAAAATTGCATAATCTCCAATGAACTCACATTTCAAACAGAGAGTCTTCCGAATACACCCAACAAACGCCATACCCGACTCTAGCTTTCGGGAAGGAGCCCTAAAACCATGCCGCCAGGTAAACCAAATTGCCTAAGGTGCTTCGGACGAGGATTTGTCAATGAGCCCTGCCGGTTTTGGCAATCAAGGGTGTGTTCTAATCCGAGACCACACTGCACACCATCTGGCCATACAGCAGCTTGCCAGAACCTATTCCTACATTCAGGAAGGATGAAGCGCAGCTGCTATTGCCCTAATTGCGATGGATCAGGTATGATACACGAGTGGGTTAGTACCACCTACCAACGGGATTGTAGTTGCATCAACAGCTAGCGTTACAGGCCGGAAGAGAAGTCCTTGACTTGATCAAGGGAAATCCGACGATGCATGCTCCGTGACAACTTGTCTTTAGTAGCAGCAAAGCTCGCCGTGACTCTGGCCGTCCACTACCTGAGCAAAAAAGGCCATCTTGTGAGAATGATTTTATATATTGCTTGGTGTGTGAGGCATGAAAGCCAAAAAGCTGGTAGAGCACAAATAGCTAGAAGGAAGCATTCCACATGGGGCCTGGCTACCTGGCACAATTATAAATCTCCTCCCGGGCTAAACATCGTCAATTTTCACCAGCCTAGCTCGTACGGATTGGAGTCTTCGGATACCAATTCTCATCTGCCTCGTTCAAATGGAGGGCAAATCTAGGTTGCTTTGTCATCGAAATTCCGCTCAATTCTTAATGCAGCTGAAGAGAGAGGAACGAATGATTCGATCCTCGTACGCTTGAGTCGATTATGTCACTTAAGACCACTCAAAAACCCAGATTTGTTGGGTGGGAGATCGAAATCATGGATTACCAATTTCAAGGCGGGAGTCAGAGGGTGTAACATGTTCGGTAGGATGAAGCTCTTGGTCACCAAATCCGTTGATCCCTTCAACTTCTGCACATGGAACATGGATAACCAATTGACTTGGTGCTTGTGATTCCGTGTAAGATGATTTATCATGATAGAAAATAGAATTGTTTGATGCCCATCTCGGACTCTCTGGTGGGTCGATGAAAGCACAGCCTAGTTAAACAGGAAGGTTTCCCCGGTCCATGGAGTTGGCCTCGTGATGATTGCGGGGGGAGCGGAGAAGCTCATCTGGAGAGTGAGTAAGATGATTCCAAAGTGTCCTGATGTACAGATTATCCGGCTCTGTAGGGGTTACATACAATGGCTTTGGGAGGGGATTGGCCCAGTCGCAGGTCAAGTGACTGAAATAAAATATATTACACCAAAGCCTCAAGCGTTGAATTTCGACACAATAGTAGAATATTTAACCTAGTAATAACACAGTATTTAGCTGATTATTGTGGAATAACAAATTATTTTATTGTTATTGCGTCTAATCACTAATAAGAAAACGGTGTCTCCAGCTTGCACAAAAAGAGCCCTGGTGTGCCATGTATATCTCAATCGCTTGCCAGTCGACATAATAATTCAGCTCGACAAGATCCTACCTTGTACTTCAGCCATCTACGGCGGCGCACGATTGTATCAATCGAGCTTTTTAAGTACGCCATTATGTGCGTTTACCAACTCGGATTCTCATTCCCTTTTTGACATTGACAACTACTTCGCCCATAAGAATAGTGGGAGTCCTGGAGAAGGTGATGCAGAAGTTGGAGATTTGTAAGATTGGCCAACACTGGTCATTGAGGCTGGATACTCACAGTACCTTAACCAACTCAGAGACCGAGTGGCATGGTGGTTTAATAGAGCTTCAGACCATAAGGTGAAGATAGTTCTTCTGATCAAGAGAAACCCTGTATCACCTGGAAAAATATTAATTGAGAAATATCACTCCAGAATCACGCAGGAGCCTCTGAGGCTCCTAGGCCAAAGTTAATGCAAGTTGTTAACATTCGGAGGATAGATGATACAGCCCCAAACGAGTGCCAAGTTCAACAGGTGTGCCGCTATCAACGCCGGCAAGTGAAGCCGACAAAATGACAGTGTCGGCTCGGTCTCAATTTTCCAATGCGGGAACCAGTTACAGGGCTTGGGGGCAGGCTTATCCCCGCTCTCTCGGCCATGTCAGTTATTGATAGCCGTGACTAGTTATTGATCAGATTTGTAGGAATTTCATTCTGCTGGCTCCTATGTCACGCCAAGTCGCTAAACAGTCAGCAGTATTAGATAGGCAGGTAGATCCGAACATAGTGTGGTCTTACATCAGGTACGATATCGGCATCTAGTGCCGTTCCTACTTGTAAGCATGTGGCAGCACTACATAAGCAACAACCCCTCATCTTTGAGAGCGAGGCTCCAGCAGCCAGCGCGCTTAGTTTTTCGTACTTGAACTCCAATCCATCTTCTCTGCTTCCCTTCACATCATTCAAACCATTCACTGTATCCCATTATGCGTTTATCGCGAACCATTAATATCGTTGGGTGTCATGCCGAAGGAGAGATCGGCGATGTGGTCGTTGGCGGTGTCCTCGATGTCCCAGGCAAAACGATGTACGATAAGATGATGCATTTTTGGACCAAGGGCGACCACCTGCGCCAGCTGCTGTTAAACGAGCCCCACGGAAAGCCCTCAAGAAATGTCAATGTCGTGCTCCCCCCCTGTGACCCCCGGGCAGACGCCGGATTCCTCATCATGGAAAGTGAGGAATACGCTCCAATGTCGGGGTCCAATGCGATCTGTACAGCAACGGTGCTGCTGGAGACGGGCATGATCAAGTTGCAGGAGCCTACTACTGTTGTAAATCTAGATACAGCTGCAGGACTGGTCACGGTGACGGCCGACTGCGAGGGTGGCAAGTGCAAGGCTGTCGCTTTTGATAACGTCCCATCGTTTGTGTTTGCACTTGATTTTGAGGTCGACGTCCCGGGATTAGGGAAGATCCTTGTCGATATCGCGTGGGGTGGTATGCTATATGCTCTTGTTGACATTCGACAGACCGGGCTGAAGATAGATTCTGCCAACGGTAAACAGATTGTCGAATATGGGGAAAAGATCAAGCGGGTTGTTCAGGCCGTGACCAATCCTGTGCACCCTGAGAACCCCGGGATCCATGGAGTCACAAACTTTGTCTTTACTGAGCCTGTTGAAGACGATGGCCCCTCTGGAAAAAAGGCGGCAAACACTGTTGTTGTCTCCCCCGGGCGTCTTGATCGAAGTCCATGTGGAACGGGCTCCTGCGCTAGAATGGCTGTTTTACATGCACGAGGTCAACTCGCCGAGGGAGAGAACTTCCGCCACATTGGGATCACAGGTACAGAATTCCAGTGCAAAATCAGAGGGACAACCAAGGTTGGAGACTATCCCGCTGTCTTACCTACCGTGAAGGGCAGGGCTTGGATTACTGGGATAAACCAAGTTATGCTAGATTCTAGTGATCCTTTCCCTGAAGGTTTCCGAGTAGGTGACCTGTGGGTTTCATCTACTTGATTATTGAAATTGTCTATATCTATCGTCGTATGGAAATCGAAGAGAATAGAACGCTATTAAAATAGATTTCTACAAAGACAGACTTTACTTCGGAAAAGAAGAGAAACTGATTAAAGTCAGAAATCCAGAACCTCCGCGAGGAAAGATGAATGCGAATTTTCCTCTTGCCCTGTTGTTCTACCAAATTGCACCATCGTTTCGGTTACCATATGCCAAATTGATGAAGCCGATGTGCAGTATATCCACAGAAACATTTGAAGGTCTTGATGCAGTATTGTAGTCGCAATTATCTGAAATGGCAAGGTAGCAGGGGACCGAAGGATTAGAGCTGGATGGAATTGCGCGCGGCGACTTCCTCCCATCACTCAGAGATAATTGATGTTAAGATGTAGACATGTATTAGGCAAGATTTATTAGGCCAGCTAGAATTTCTGCAGATAGAATAATCGCGCTTTGTTTGTTATTATAAAGAATAATGTATAAATATTTAATAGAACAAATTGGTTCTTCTTGGAAAGTCACTGCTAGGAACACTTTACTTTTCTCCCTTCTCTTTGCAGCATAATGGAGATGTTCGAGCTCTGATCATACATTTGTAGATGTTTCCGGTCCAAGTACTAATAAATTTCGAGGAGAGCTTCATTGATACTAAGTAATCTGACATGCAGGATCTGCAACGCGAAGGGTTACATACATTTGCCAAGATGCACCTCGATTGGCTAGGAAGGTCGCTATTGGAGCAATACACGGTCCATTCTCGCATAGATGTCTTGATTTGGTCTCGGAGCAAGTAGCTAAAGAGGTCTCAAACAGTTTATCATGCTCAAAATTGCGCAAGCTTTATTCCATCAATAGATGAATCGTTTATTTAAATGCTGACCTTTCCATTACTCAACTTCAATCAACCATCGAACTAAAGTCTTTTAGCCTCCATTCCTCCATTCTTCGATACTCGACAACAAACATTCAGCATGCTTCTCAGCTTATTGCTTCCTACTGCTCTAGCAGGAATAGTTTTCCTACCGTTGGCCGCAGCTGAAGTGTTGAAACGAAATGGCAAGAGATGCTCATAGCTTAGTGAAGTTCAGTGTGACTAATATCAGCAGTAGAAACAACTCCCATTAACTACGGTGTCGTAGTCATGCCCGGTGCTGCCTTGATGGATGTTTATGGCCCGCTTGAAGTGCTCTACCTTGTCACGGGCCGCTTTCATATAAATCTCAAGATAATCAGCCCTGACGGCAAGAATGTGAAGCTTACGCCGCCACTAGGCAACCAGTTCAACTCAACCTTCGCTCCCGAGTATGTTGCCTCCGCAAGCTTTGATGATGATATCGACCTCGACGTTCTTATTGTGCCTGGCGGCGCTGCGGCCCGGGACACTAGTCTCACTTACGTGGACAATTATCTTGTTAAGATGTATCCCAAGCTTGATTATTTGATTTCCATTTGCACGGGAGCCATCTTCCCCGCTCGCGCCGGCCTCTATGATGGTAGACGTGTGACCACGAATAAGAATGCGTGGAAGTTGGTCACAGCGCATGGCAACAATGTCACCTGGGTTGCGCCAGCTCGATACGTCATCGATGGCAACATCTGGTCCTCTTCTGGGGTAGGTTTCAGCATCTGAAGATGTGAACTTCGAGTCTATGTTGCATATCTTAGAGCTGACTTTTGTTTCAAGGTTTCAGCAGGCGTTGATCTCATGCTGCATTGGGTCAAGGAATGGTATGGCGAGGCAATATTCAACACTATCCGTATCGGTGGTGAGCACATTGTGCATGGCCAGGATGATGATCCCTTCACCGACGAGCTTGGTGTGCCACATCAGGGCCAACTGTAGAGGAGCCTTGTATTAGCTTTCAAATCTTTTCTAATGATTAGGAAAAGTGTGAAAGGCTGAGCGACTCAGGCAGTTGCGAACATTGATCCACAGTGTAGACGGTGCTCAGTTGAGTGGGTTAAGGATCGGGCGTGTCTCGAGCTTCCGAATGGGATCTTATGCTTCACTGTTTGATGATCCGGATGGTCCTAAAATAGGTCAATAAGTCGTCACAGAAAAGTCAGCACAAGCTTCAGATTCTCACCACAAAAGAAGAATCTTCAGTACATGACAACTTCAGATTAAGGTGACATGGCCAATATAATCAGCGTGTAGATTGCAATCTCTTCTATCGACTACCTCAAAAAGTAATCGATGCAATAGTGTCTATAGCTTCTGTGTCGCTAGACACTGCAACAACGGTGTCATTCAGCTATCTAGCTCAAGAGACATGATCTCCGAGCTAGTGATTCCCAATCCACTCACAAGTATAGACAAGCTTCTCGTATTACGAACAAAGGCCTCCGTTAGGCCGCAGGAAGTTATATATAAGATAGATAAGCGGAAGAGAAAGAGAATAGAGTTTAATAATAATAAAGCTGCTAGGGCCTGATAACTTGATATAATAAATATAAAAGCTTAAAATATAGCTTTTCTTAATCTGTTTAGAATATAATTATATTAAAAGAAAATTCTATAAATCTTTATAGAAATAATTTAAATTACTATTAGAATAATAATTTATTAAATAATTATTAAAACTATCTTTTTATTTAGTATTTTTTATTTTTTATTTAAAAATTTTAATTAATTTAAATATTTTAATATAATCTAGTAAATATTATTAGTTTATTAATTAGAGTATTTATATTTATATATTTATAATTTTTAATATATTATAATAAAAAAAGATTTAATATTTTTAAAAAAAAAATATTTAATATTTAATTTTAATATATATTTTTATAATATTAAAAAGTAGTAGATTAAAATAGTCAAATTACTTATTAATTATAAGTTATGGTCTTAATTAAATAAAGGAAAAAGTATATTAGATTTAACGATATTGTAAAAAACAGCTCCTTTTAACTAGGCTGCTGAGCAGTATAACTTATAAAACCCGGACCTTTTATCCCTGCTTCAATATAAAGAAAGAAAGAGTTAGAGGAGATAGTATTAATAGAAATACTTTTAAGCTTAAAAATATAGTAAAAGAAGATAGATAATTAGATCTATATTAATAGCTCTAGGATCTTCGAGATAGTATATATTATTATTTGCTCCCTTATAATACTCTTCGTTCTAATCACTATTAAGTTTGTTGGTGTCGCCACCAACAGCTTCCAGATTCACAGGTAAAAGGGATAAATTGAGACTGTTGCTTCTAACTAGTAATTACAGAGGGGATCCGCAGCCCTTATATCCCTGAGAATCCCTCGATCGTATTCTCATGCGAGCAGCCCGGTCTCGGGCTCGTAAGGTCATTCCGATATCCCTCTGGCTAATAATAACTAGGGATATTCATATCCGGATGACCGAGGTCATCCTCCTCCTTCGAGCCGTGTGTTCAATAATATCAGAACGCTCTTCGAGGCATCGGCCCTGCGCCGATCTCTCGGTATTAGGTTGATCGTCAGGTCAGTAGGTTCGCGATCAATCCTACCGGCTAGGGTTGCTCGAGCCGATAGGTCAGGGCTCTGACGATCGGGTCCAGTTAGGCTGTAACCTTCCAACCTAGCCAACTGACCCCTCTCGGTGAAACTGATCCTTCGAGGTCTGTTGTATCGTAGCCGCGGCTATCGTGTGATTGGACCTTACTCTTGCCTTCGAAGCCGGGCCGGCTTCCACGGAATTCCTGATGTTAGTTACTAGCAAATTGTATGTGCGTTCGAACAGGCTGGGCTGCGGGCTTCAACGTTCATGGATTATCTCGGTAGTTGACGATATCTTCCTATTGCCCGCTTGGCTCCAACAAAGTTATTTATCGTAAGCTACTTAATAAACCAGCTCCTTAGTCCTGTCCATTATATTGTGGTTCATCAAACTTACTCAAATATAGGACCATGAATAGGTTTCAATAAAGCGATGAGAATTTCAAAGCTACGAGTTTACCTAACACGATGTGCTTCGAAGGTTAACGAAATACCGTAAAAGCAGCCCAAAGATGTTAATGGCTCCATTAGCTATAGCCTGTCAAAGCTTCGCGATGAACTCCTCTACACCTTCAAGTAGCAACTCAGGCTGCTCAAGGGCCGCGAAATGGCCACCCTGCCAATTATGTTAGACTGCGAATATAGTATATAGGAAGTTACATACCCTGTCATATTTGGCATAGAACACCAAGTTCTCAGCAGATGCCCCCACCACGGACTCAGATGCAGTCGAAATTTCGTAAGGGAAGCATGAATACCCAAACGGCTTTGTTTTCGGCACGGAGACGCGGGCAGTTGGACTAGCGAGATAACGATAGGGCCAAATGGATCGAGGAAAACATGACGTGAACCAGTACAGAGACACCATACTAAGTATTGTGTCGAGACTAGGTGGTTGTCTGGGGTCCGACCAATCGAGGAATTTTTCGCCAATCCTGGCAGAGTCAGCATGATTAACCCTAGGGAACATCGGACAGGGCGAGTCGCGGATGAACAAACCATGATAAAAGAGCTAGTGGGCTGCTCGAGAGGACTAAACCGATTGTAGATGGTCGCGTGGCGTGCTCCATGAAGTATGCCATTCCAGTCGTCCTAAATGATTCTGCTCGGCGAGCCGCCGTGATATCCAATTCTCTGTGATGTGCCTCTTCGCCACTCATTTCAGAGCTACCCGGCTCCATCCAGAGGTTTACTGTGGCAGCGTTAGTACTGTGTTGCTGTGTCGTAAATAGAAAATGACTAGAATAAAGATTTACCATGAACAGCTTCGCATTGCTCATAAGTGGCTGACATGGACACAGCTAGGACCGAGCCCACATCTCCTCCTTGAGCCACATAACCGTTGCTGAATCCCAGCCTCATCATTAACCCGTGAATGAGCTTACCAGCATCCGCCATGGTGAAATCCCGATCCAGTGGGGGACCTGTAGAGAGGGTGTAGCCTGGAAGAGAAGGCACTACCACATGGTATGGCAACGTATCCGGCGTATATCGACTGCTGAGTATTGCCAGAATCTGTAAGAACTCGACGAATGATCCTAAGTTACAGTGTCAGTCCCTCGACCTGAGCCCATCTTCAAGAAAGGTAGACGACAGGATGAAGAAGAGAGAAAACAATGTGTGTAGGGCACCAGCTTACCTGGCCACCCGTGAAGGAAGACGACGGGCTTCGCGTCCTCTCTGGCTGAGAACAGGGCAGCGAAGTGTATTGTAAACTCGCCGCTGCCATCATCCGCAGGTATGTTCATCGTGAAATTTGGGTACGAGTTGATGCGCTCCTCAAACTGGCGCCAGTTGAATTGGTTCAACCAGACAGATTTCGCATTGATTAGCCATTCTCTGGTAACGCCAAATCGACCATCCGGCTGAGATCCTTCCCAGGTCGGCGGTCCGACTTTTGACAGCGCCAGGAGCTGACGGAATTCGCTGATACTGTCTTCGGACACCTGCAGTGTGAAGGGAGTTGGCGCCTGTTCGACACCGTTAGGAACCCGAGCGAATACCTGACGAGACATGGTGGCCTTGGTGGTCGATTTGCCAGTTGTTGCATTCGCGGAATGGCGTGCCCATGGATCCTGAACACATACTCAGCGTTAAATAGAAATGGAGACAATACAACCCAGAATGATTGTGTAAGCGGCGTGCGTTCGTGCCCGAATCGCCGAAAACGATCGTCTCATCACCTTCCCCCTTCACTCATTGGCATTGGGCTAGTTGAAGCGTTATTGCGACTATGATTTCAAAGCGAAATCCTTGCTCCGTTGAACATTGCTGCAGGTGCCACTTCACTTGTACGCCGGACGGAGTTGAAAGAAGGCCGAAATCCCGGTTCCCTTAACGGCAGAAACCGTCCCTTGCTAAAAGAATCCAGTGGCTCAGCCGTCCTTCGCTGCCTCGGGGAATGTGAACAGCCCGCATGGGCGCTTTGCCTTTAACGTGATACAAAACACTCTGAGATTGCAGATCGCTGAAGGACAAGACTCCATCCTCGGCGCCCGCCTCGGCACTTATCAAGTTTCTGAACAACTATCATGCCACCCCTTATCGTACAGTTTGAGCTTTGGTACAATGAACAAGGGTTCCATGAATGAGGTTTTTAACACAGAACTAGTGGAAGACTGGGCTCAAGTCGATTTGAGAGATGGATTTACGACGATATCTATGTTAGAAATGCACAAGGCTTCATCAAGGCCAGTCATAGAAAAAAAAAGAAGAAAAAAAAGAACAAAGAGTGCCATAGCATTGTACTTTCTTCCTTGTCTGGCAGGCCGCCCAGCTCTCACCACATCGCTAAGCCATAATCAGAACTTAGATTGGTGACTTATTGTCCTTCCACATACAGATTCCGTTTGGCTCGAGTCACTCAGTGTCCCTGATCGACACGAGGCGGCCGCTAGGGAGTTCCGAATCCGAGGCCCGCCTTCGGGGTTTCTTGGGTAGCAGGTGTTGTCATGCATATTCATGGCACAGCGGAGAGACCCGCTTACATAAACACTCTGGGACTTTCACGCCGTAGATACTTATAATATTATATATAGGGAGACAGCCATCATTTCGAATCAAATTCTCCTACACAACATTAACCATAACCTCTTATCCTAAACATACTCGCCTGTTTCTACAGCCCTCACATCTTCGTCTTCATTCATAATCATGTCTTTGCCAGAATTGCGGAAGCAGTATGAGCAGGAGCGCCAGAAACGGCTTCGTCCTGAAGGCATGAATCAGTACATGGACTTCCGGGACCCTGCCATCGGGGACAAATTGGGACGCGACCCTTGGGTTAACCACGATTACGTAGTCGCCAACGGCTCCCCCCTGAAAGACGGCGGGGAGATAAAGTTTTTGATTATAGGTGGCGGTCATGCGGGTCTCTTGTATGCCGTCCGCCTACTTGAAGCTGGCTTCAAAGCTGAGGACATGGTTGTTGTGGACTCGGCCGGCGGATTTGGCGGGACCTGGTACTGGAATCGTTATCCTGGACTGATGTGTGACGTGGAGGGGTACGTTTATATGCCATTACTGGAGGAGACCGGCTACGTACCAAAGCACAAGTACTCGTACGGGGCCGAAATCCGTGGGCAATGCGAAAGAATAGCCGCAAAGTACAGGCTTCAGGGTCAATTCTGCACGCAGGTCAAGCACCAACAGTGGGACGACGCAAAGCACCGGTGGATTGTCAAGATGACTCAAGACCTCGGCCATTCCCGAGACCCCGTCCACCTGACCATCGAGACGCAGTTCTTGATGTCCGCTGCCGGCTTTCTCACCGTGCCCCACGTTCCGAAACTCCCTGGCTTCCAGGAACTCATGGCTAACAAGAAGGTATTCCACTCTGCTCGATGGGACTGGGAATACACGGGGGGCAGCCAGGACGAACCAGATATGGTAAACCTCAAGGGCAAGAGAGTCGGTATTATAGGCACTGGTGCAACTGCTATTCAAATCGTTCCAGAGCTTGCGAAGTGGGCGGATCACCTGTACGTCTTTCAACGCACTCCAACCTACGTGGGCCCACGTAACCAGCGGGAGACGACGCCTGAAGACTGGAAGAAAATTGCCTATAAGAAAGGTTGGCAATACGAAAGGCAGGACAACTTCAATCACTTCGTCACAAATGATCCGGTTCCCGAGAACCTGATCGACGACGGCTGGACAGCATCAGACTCCCATTCGATTGCTGGCTTCATCGGTAGTCCATCCAGGCTTGTCACACCGAATACGATCGAGGAACACATCACCTCATTGTACCAAATGGACACAGCGCGAGCGGAGAGGCTGCGCGCTCACGTCGTCGATGTGGTCAAGGATGAGACCACTGCGCGGAAGCTGCAGCCGTGGTATGCGGGCTGGTGTAAAAGACCAGCCTTCCATGACGACTACTTGGCAAGTTTCAACCGGCCCAACGTCACTCTCGTCGATACCAATGGCAGAGGCGTCGACCGGTTCACTGAGTCAGGAATCATCGCAAATGGAACCCCGTATGATTTAGACGTCCTAGTCCTGGCCACGGGCTTTTACACTCGCGGAAAAGACCCCTCACCATCAGGCCAGTCGAATGCTCCTATTGTGGGACGGAACGGAGTCGTGGCTATGAAGAAGTGGGATTCCCATGAGTTTGGGACCCTCTTCGGTGCATGCTCTAACGGGTTTCCCAACGCATTCTTCGCTAGTCCTGGAGGCGGCGGCATTTCGTACAACCTAACCTCAGCATTCGACATAACGGCAAGATTTATGGCTAGCACAATCGCAACTGCTCACAAACGAGCTGGAGACATCAACAACCTTGCAATCGAACTGACTAAACAAGCCGAAGATAGATATACAAATGAAGTGCAAAAGCGCGCCCTGTGGTTCAGTGTCCTAGAGACCTGTACGCCGGGTTGGTTTACGGGGGAAGCGGAAGGGGCATTTGAGAAGCAAACGCTCGAGAAGCAGGCAGCCCGTATGCGGCACGCGGGTTGGGGCTCTGGTATCCTCGACTTCAAACGAGTGGTATTGGAATATATTTCTAAAGGCGACCTGGAAGGATTCGAATTTAGGGACTAAGTTATGACTGTGAGGAATTGTACAATCCACGGGACGGATTCGCTTCACGTACATAGTTCCCATATGTAGCTAACAGAGGTCCTGAAGGTGCGTGTGCAGCTTTTACAATAGATTAAAGGGAGAACGGATACCTGATCATCAGTCAACCGTACCTACTAATAAGATTGGGTGCTAATCTGTCCCTCCGCGGCTGTAAGGGGAACCCGCCGTAACTCCGGCGTAAGCGTAGGGCCAGCGACTATATCTGGGAAGTTGACAGGCATGGAGTGTTGAATAAACTATCAGTATGGTCTCCAGGATCAATAATGGGAATAATGATGGGTTTAGGGTGTCGGGTCACTTGTCGACATGGTGGGTCAAGAGCATCCCCGTCGCATCTTGCGGCATCTCGCAGGGGTGAGGCACCCTCGCGCGTATAGCAAGTATTAGCAGAGCCCGATGGAAGCCAAGAACTGTGGCCCTGGTACAGAACCGGTTGGCTTTCACAAAAGCTATACTGCCAGAATATCAGTCGTTGCTAGATCACAACGGCCACTAATCTTCTTCGCAATACTCGAATAGCACGCGAATTTCAGCACGATCAGTAGGAAGATTTATGTCCGAGCCCGAATACGAGACGCGGATCTCCCTCTATTTCCGTGAGGTGAGGGGTAATACCGTAACACGAAGTTCCTGTATTGCATCATCAAATCAGCTCGCAGCTGAGGCTTGCTAACTAATCAGCTATAGCTCTTTACACCTTCCATATTCTCTCATCTTCCGTTCTCAAATTCTTACTTTTTTCCCATAAAAATATTTTCTCGAATAAGCCACGGTCCTCATTCTCGGTCATCCAAGAAAAAGCACTATGGAGTCATTCTACCAACAGCAAGTTGCTATTACACAAAACAAGAGAGAGAAATAACAGTCTAACAATATACTGCCCAGAGTCGATAAGCTGGAGGAGGTGTTCATAGAACGTCAGTGCAACAAAATTTTGAAAGAGATAAGCCTCGTGCTGAAACAAGATGTTAGGATTGCGAGCTGCTATTGAGATACCCTCAGTCTCCGAGCAAGAAGACAAGAGAGACAATGTTTTCCAGGTTTGGTGTCCCCCAAAAGATGTTTTCTGCTTGGACGATAACATCTAACGTTATACAGATGGCAAAGTGGTTGGTCCATGAGATGGAGTCGCTTGGGATAACAGTCAAGCAGAAGGACCTGGGCAAGGAACCGGGCAAGGATATCGATCTGCCACCGTTGATTATCGGCCGATACGGGTCTGATCCGTCCAAGCCAACTATTCTTGCCTATTCACACTATGATGTCCAGCCGGCTGCTCTCTCAGATGGTTGGGACGATGAGCCATTTGAACTCACCCAGAAAGAGGACGGAAGGCTGTGTGGCAGAGGGACGAGCGACGATAAGGGACCGCTTTTAAATTGGCTGAATATGATACAGGCTTTCAACAAAGCGGGCCAGGACGTTCCAGCAAACCTTGTCTTTTGCTTTGAGGGCATGGAGGAGAGCGGCTCGCAAGGGTTGGCAGACGCCCTGAAAAAGGAGTCAGCCGGTGAGTTTGCCAAGATTGACAGCGTTTGCATTACAGATACTGCTTGGTCCACAATAGACCGGCCAACCCTCATCCGAGGACTTCGCGGAATCATGTTTTATCACATCAATATTGATGGGGCTGAGAGTGACGCCCATAGTGGCGCTTTTGGCGGCTCATTATCTGAACCCATGACGGACATGGTCAATCTCATGGCGTCGCTGGTCGATTCTCGGGGCGAAATCCTGGTGCCTGGAATTTATGATGATGTACTTCCGGTTTCAGCGGAGGAGCGAAAGGCTCTAGGCGAGATAAAAATGTCCAAGGACAGTCTCGATGGCGGAATCAACGGGAAACTCCTGCACGAAGACCAAGCAGATAACCTCATCGCAAGGTAACGTCACGGCCGCGTCGCCTCTTGATATTTGTTATAATCGCTAACTCCCAGATTAAAGGTCGAGAAAGCCTGCTCTGTCCCTCCACGGTATTGAGCGGGCCTCCCCAGGAAAGGGGGCTTCAACGATCATTCCAGGAAGAATTCTCGGCAGATTCAGCATCCGAACTGTCGCCAACATGAATATCGCAAAGATAGACGAGCTGGTCCAGGCGCACCTCAACGCTAAATTCAGACAGCTCGGCAGCAAGAATCAATTGTCCGTCCAGCTCACCGGTCGGGGGGATTGGTTCTTTGAGGAGGTCGACCACTGGAACTACCGGGCAGCCATCCAGGCTACTGAACAAGTATGGGGGGTGACCCCGAATATCACTTCGGAGGGAGGAAGGTATGCCGTTTCCACAAGAGAGTCTTACTTCAGGCTCACGGTACTAAAATCTTCTCAAGCATTCCCATCGCTCTCGACTTCAAGAAGGTCCTCAATAGCAATGTTGTTCTATTGCCCGTCGGCCGAGCGGATGATCATCCTCACTCAGAAAACGGCAAGTGTCTTCCTTTAGTCAATTCTGGACTGTTAGGCTAACCTGAAATCTCCTACATCACAGAGAAACTGGATCGCAGCAATTAGTAAGTAGTGAAGGAAACCTTCTCTCAACACGGTCATGGGAATGCTAACTTTAGCATCTAGCATAAACTCAGTCAAAGTATACGGTACATACTTGGAGATGGCAAGCAAGAACTGGAAACAAGAACGAGCATGAGAGAACAAAGTAGTGGCTAATCCAGCTACTCGCTCTTTTAAGGCAACACCAAGACTATTTGTCCAAAAAAACATGTATGCAGCAAGCGAGCTTGGAAACTCGCGGCAATAGTAACCCATGAATGACAATGGCCTGCGTGGATGTAGCATTGATCCACTTATTCAATCGCATTTTAGATGCTCACCACAAAGAAGTTTAAGTATCTTGTGACGTAGGCCTGCAAAGCTTAATCGCAGACAGCCCCTTGCATGTATTGTGTTGAGCCAATCCAACGGGATATCTCTCGTCGTGACGGGTGATAGCTGGGTGCCTGACCTAGCTGAGATTCATAATTCCATCGAGAGGTAGAATTGGGATTCAAAATTCTAGTCACGCAGTTTCTAGTCTAACAAATTTTGCTACTACATGCTAGTGGCCATCACCTGTTCTGAGGTGTGCTGAGGAGAAGCCATCTTCACCGAGGCGATTCTCGGTGAGGCAGTGCGGGGTCAAAGAGGCATTTCAGCCCCACCGTGAAATTTTTTCTTGCTCTTTGTCACTCTACCACGTTAAAAAAAGATCCTGGTCAAAGACCCTGTTCGACCGATTGAGGCCCGTGAGCATCTCCGAATTGACCACCGACCCTGACACGCAAAAGATGGCAGCCCAAACCCAGGCGAGCGCGGGCGCAAGCCCCTACGACAGCTACCAAACCTCGCTGACCACCCGGTACACGAGCCCCGAGATGTCTCGGCTATTCAGCCAGCGCTCCCGGCACTCGCAATGGCGCAAGCTGTGGCTCCTCCTGGCCGAGAGCGAGCAGGAGCTTGGGATCGACATCATCACGCCCGAAGCGCTCGCACAGATGCGAGAGCACCTCGAGGTCAGCGATGCCGATTTCGAGACGGCCAGGATTGAGGAAAAGCGCCGCCGCCACGATGTCATGGCCCATGTTCACGCTTTCGGAGCCGTTGCGCCGGCGGCTGCTGGTATCATTCACCTTGGCGTGCGTAGCTTGTCCCTTCGCTAGGAGTATTCGGCACCCACTGACAATGTGAAAGGCAACCAGCTGCTTTGTGACTGATAATACGGAGCTCATCCTTATGCGCGACGCAATGGATCTCCTCCTCCCCAGACTTGCCAAGGTGATTGACAACTTTGCCAGGTTCGCAATGGAGTGGAAGCAGCAGCCGACTCTTGCATACACCCACCTCCAACCAGGTATGTGATGATAGCCTACAATTGGATCAGGAGATAAATTGGGATACAAATTGAAACTGACAATAAACCCAGCACAACTCATCACTGTCGGTAAGCGAGCAGCCCAGTGGGCGCAAGACCTGGTGTTGGATCTTGAGAACATTGAAATTGCTCGAAACGGGCTCAAGCTACGAGGTAAAGAAGAATTCAGCTCAAATCTCACAGCTCCGCCTCCCTCGTTTGCTAATTGAGAAAAATTAGGCGCGCAAGGAACAACTGGAACGCAAGCAACCTTCCTCGAGATTTTCGAAGGCGATGGGTCCAAGTGTGACCAGCTCAACGAGCTTCTTTGCAAGAAGACTGGTTTCTCAAGCTGCTATGATATTTCTACGCAGACATACACTCGCAAGGTAGACTTGATTGTCTCCAACGCCATTTGCGGTCTGGGTGCAACGGCCCAGAAGATCACAGGTGATATCCGTCACCTGGCTGCCTGGAAAGAGATTGAAGAGTAAGTGCGACATCGCCAGAAATGTCACGAAAAAAAAACTAACAGAACCAGGCCTTTTGAGAAGGACCAGATTGGATCATCGGCCATGTAAGTCGAGCTGACTGCACAGAAGCACCTCCTTAAACACGTCACGCCTTGTAGCATGCTAACAAACCTAGGGCCTATAAGCGCAATCCCATGCGATCCGAGAGAGTGTACAGTCTTGCCCGAGAGCTTCTGTCAAAGCCCTTGAACTTTGCGAACACTCTGTCCGACCAGTGGATGGAACGCACTCTGGATGACAGCGCTATCCGCCGTATTGATATTCCCGAGATGTTCCTGCTGGCTTCGGGCATTCTCATCGGCCTTGAGAATGTTAGCAGTGGCCTTGCTGTGTACCCGGCTCGTATCAACGCTCGTGTCCAGGATGAGCTCCCTTTCATGATCACAGAGAGCATTATCAACAAGCTCGTCGTCAGTGGTGCCTCAAGACAGGACGCTCATGAAGAAGTCCGTGTTCTGTCCCACCAGGCCGGTCATGTTGTCAAGAATGAAGGCAAGCCAAATGACTTGGTAGCTCGAATGAAGGCCACAGAGTTCTTCAAACCTGTCTGGGGTGAGATTGATGACATGCTGAAGGCGGAATTGTACATTGGTCGGAGCGTAGATATCGTCACCAAGTATTGCGGCCCAGGTGGAGTGATTGAGGAGAAGTTGAAGCCTTACAAGAGCGAGATTGAAAGCTCTGCGGCCGCTGAGCTTCATGTATAATTCTGAAAGAGGACCAGGATACCTCATTCGTGAAGAAAAAGTCCATTCATGCGAATGTTGAAAGTTAATGCCAGCTCCTCTCCAATAGCAAGTCTGTGAATAGTGAAACAAAACTACACTTCTCATATAATTGTACCCGCTAATACAGATGGGTAATCAACTGGTAGGGGTGCTTGGGGTGTCACTGCCTGTCGAGTAACCGGGTACTCGTCATGGGAAATCAATACAATTACTAGATACTCCGTTTCATTCAGGCCAAGAAACCAACCGTTGCTAGCAACTCACAAACGATATCCACCCTGAGCCTCCACATCCTTCTTTCCCCATGTTTCAGCCTTGAACCTAGGGTCGTCTGCGAGTAGAATAGCTTTTCATTGCTCTTGAAATGTAATATCTAAAATAGAAAGTGGTCCCGTCCTTCCCTTTCCCCAATCTTTGGCCCGCCAGAACCCCAAGGCCCGTATGAACTCCCAGATGGGGGGGAATGCGGAGGAGGAAACTCATTCAATACCCCATGGGGACTGTTTTCCACTTGTTGATTAGGCTTCAAATTAGCCACTCTCCTCATTTTGAATGACAAACATCCTGAGGCTGGAGCCAAGAGACCATTCTCGGCTAACTATACCTCGGGGAACGGGCTCACTACAGAAAGTCTAGTCGAGACTCGACGATGAGGAGACCGACCCCCAAACTAGTCCCCAACCAGATCTAATCATGTCAGCGACATGACACGACAGGAAAAAGGCTAATTGGGACCAGTCTGCCAGACTTGTGGTTATCAAGTTCAAATTGTCACCAAGTATAAGAGGTTTGCATGCCCCTTCCTTCACATCCTTCACATCCTTCAATTCAACAATCTCCATTCCTCGACATTAATTGTTTATCAGTTCTACTGAACCATATCCATCTTCGCTTTCCCCAAATCGAGCTTCAATGGCATCGGAAGCTACTCCAACCAGCGACAAAATGAAGCCGTCTGGCAGCGACCTGCGATGTTGTTACAAGCGAGCATGTCCAGGTCGACCCACCGCCGAGCCCTACGGCCCTGCAAGTATGGAAACGACGTCCAAAAATGTCACTAAGAACGGGATGAGAGATTCTGACTGCATGGTATCAGCCTTCCGCCGTCTCTTTAGTTCACCATATGTAGCAATGTGCGCCGCCTTTGCGGCCATCGGCGGTCTCCTCTTCGGCTACCACCAAGGTGTTATCAGTGTGACACTCGTCATGGACCACTTCCTCAACCGGTTCCCTGAATTGTCGGATCACGCGCCGGGTGCTGGCTTTAAAAGGGCCTCATGACTGCGATAATTACTCTCGGAGCTTTCATTGGCGCCCTCAACCAGGGCTGGATCGCGGACTGGGCCTCTCGGAAACGCTCGATCATGATCTCCGTCGTCATCTTCACGATTGGTTCTGCCACTCAGACTGGTGCCGCCAACTACAATATGCTGGTTGCTGGTCGCTTCATCGGTGGTGTCGGTATTGGCATGTGCGTTAACAATCTCCTTCACACTTTCAGTCTCCATTACTTTCATGGTATTTAATGTTGTATCTAAGCTCTCCATGGTTGTTCCCCTATACATCGGCGAGATCTCTCCCCCCGAAATTCGTGGATCCCTTCTTGTATTCGAAGCCCTATTCGTCGTGCTCGGTATCGTGGTCGCATTCTACATCACCTACGCTACTCGTCACATGCCCAGCAACTGGTCCTGGCAGCTCCCATTCCTCCTCCAGATCATCCCAGGCATCATCCTCGGCCTGGGTGCCATCTTCCTACCCTTCTCGCCGCGGTGGCTCGCATCCAAAGGCCGCGAAGAAGAGGCTCTGCATAACCTCGCCAAGCTTCGCCGTCTCCCCGACACTGACAACCGGGTTCGCATTGAGTGGATGGCAATCCTCACGGAAGCTCAGTTCCAACATGGCGCGGTCAAGGAACGCCATCCCTCACTGGTAAACTCACTGGTAAACTCCCCCAGCGCCACGGCCAAAGTAAAGCTCGAGATTCTCGGCTGGATCGACTGTTTCAAGGGCGGGTGCTGGCGCCGCACCATGGTTGGCGCCGGCCTGATGTTCTTCCAGCAGTTCCTAGGCATCAAAGCCCTGATCTACTACTCGCCCACCCTGTTCGGCACAATGGGCCTGGACCTGGAGATGCAGCTCACCATGTCCGGCGTGCTCAACGTCCTCCAGCTCATCGGCGTCTTCACCAGCGTCTGGACAATTGACCGCTTCGGCCGCAAGACCACCCTGCTCTGGGGCATGATCGGCGCGTTCATCCCCCTCCTCATCATTGCAATCATGGTGGCCAAGTTCTCGTCCGATTGGCCGTCCCACACGGCCGAGGGGTGGGCGTGCGTGGGCCTTCTCTTCTTCTACATGCTTGTATTTGGAGCCTCGTGGGCACCCGTGCCATGGGCTATGCCTGCTGAGGTGTTCCCATCCAGTCTCCGTGCCAAGGGTGTCTCTATCTCGACTTGTTCCAGTGCGTATTCCATCTCATGACAGTGATTGATTGAACTGGCGATTGGCTAACGTGCAAAACAGACTGGATCAATAACTTCATCATTGGTCTCATCACCCCTCCTCTCGTGCAGGCGACCGGGTTTGGCGGTTACATCTTCTTTGGCGCTTTCTGCGTCATTGCCTTCGTCTACGTTTGGTTCTTCGTTCCGGAGACCAAGGGTAAGAGTCTAGAGGAGATGGACGAGGTATTCAATGACCACAATGGCTCCGACGACGTTGCCAAGAAGGAGAGGATCTTACAGGCCGTGTTTGATGAGAAGTTGAGCTCTCGTGGGAATGTGTAAGTGGGAGTGTGCTCGTAGCAAGGGATTGATGGGGCCAATCATCAGCGGCGTTTGGTGACAAGAATGTCAACAGACACCAGAACTGTTTCAAACGCATCAATTCCCGGCTTTGCATGTAATTCACGTCTTATTCTGCATACTACTTGGTTGTTGTACTGTGATATAAATGCATGTCCCCTAACATCATAAGTCTCATGAGCCTGAGTGACGGTTGATAGATGGTGATCCATCACAAATGGCGGCGTAGGGTAGAGGACGCGTCTGGTTGCACGCGTCGCGCTAGTTTTTGGTCAAATCATTTGGACGAGGTTGATAGGGCTGCTATTGGAGGAGGCTGGGGACCCCTTTCTTTGTGCTCGGGAGGCGTTCATTCACCTAGGGCAAGAAAATCGGCGAAGTTCCATGGAACATAGATGAAACAGACTTTGACAGGCAACCGGTGGCACGAGAATGACGTGAAGATGGCGCCCTTGTGCTGGGTGCTCCCCGGTCCATCAACATTCTACTAATTTCACCATCGTGCCATTACTGGCATGCATTACCCCGATTACGATTTGCTAGCCTACCCTAAGGCCGTCATCATGAACGCACAGGACACCAGCTTGATTGCTATGAATGACGTATGGCCTGGGTGAGTCGAAAGGGATAAGTGATAAATGATATGAAGTTCGTTGATATCAAGTTTGGTTCTGTCTGTCTGTATAGCTTCGTGCTTGCAACATCGGATACGCTCCTCTAGCGGTGAAGGAACATGGACAGCGCATCATAAGGAAATGCACAAAACACTCGGACCGACCATTGATATGAAGCGGAATAGGTATATTGGGACACCATCTCCATCCATGGCCTAACCGAGCCAATGAAGATGCCTCGGGTGTAAGTCATGGGATCATTGGTTCGAATCTCGCCAATCTTTCTCTCCAACGTGGATATTCCTTCTGAGCTTCCCACCGCTCGTCCCGATCCGAGAGTGTCCAAGTCCAGTCCGCCTCAATCGCTCACAATGGCCTCCATCACCACTTGGCTGGGTAGAGATAGTACTGGAGATTACGTAGAGGACAGCACTTGTGAGATGACATATCATTTCCTCTCTTCTGACCAACTATGGCTGGATGCTGTAGAACTGGAATCACCGAGCCAGCTTCTACGTGGTACTGCGTATGCACATGCACCTGCTCGGTCCTAGAATAGCCCCCGTTTGCCGCTTTGTTTATTCCTCTCCTAAATGGGACGTGCAGGAGGCGGGGAGGAAACGCAGAGAGAAGAGGGAAGGGCGGACAATGCAACAGTTTGTGTGTGCCATTGTGCTCCCGCTCTCCCCGTCATCAAGATTGTGCAGGCGACGTGTCCATGCCTACCCTCGGTCCCCGTCCGTGGCCAATTGATTGATCAATCGATTAAAGGGGACAGATGCATCCGTAGATTCACGCTTGGCTTTGAATACACTTACCCCGCGACCGAGCCATCAGTGACAGGGGGCCCTGACCAGGATCCGGTAGTTGAAGCTGGGTGTGCAGAATGAATCAATGATGCGTGCTTGCTCATGTGGACAAGACTGAGCAGATGATGGATGAGACACGAACTAAATCGGCCTCCTGCAGCGACTAAGAGCGGTCACTCGGTCGATTGTTCACATTGTGCCTGCGTAGCGGAATGGTGATTATGATCGTGTAGCATCAACAGGCATCAATTCCAACGAAGAATGGAGCTGGACAACACTCGCTCCACTGATAGTCTACGCAGTGCCTGCACGAGCTCGATTTACTACTCATAGTACCATGGCTAGAATGGACATTGGACCCTTAAGCCCCTAAATCACTCGTCTACCGAACTGCCCAACATGAATCGGCTGTGAACTAAGGCAACTGTCCCCATTCTACGCATGCACTGCCCAGGTTGGGTAGGCACTGGGCACAGAGTCATGCCTTTGTTATCGCCTATCAAACGGTGCTCATGTCAGATGGCTGCACGTCGCCGCGGACACCGGTTACGTTTTGCTGTGTGGACGACATGGCGCGTCTTGGAAATGCAAAAGAAAAGAATAGTCCCATACAGGCTGCGTCCATTGTGCACTTGGTGACGAATTGGGAGAGTGGCCATGCAGAAAGCCTGTTGAGCTATGAATACTCCCCCAATGAGGCCCTGGTGCATGCATGACTCAACAATTGCCTAGTTAGCCCTGTATCCAGGTATAAGGGAGCAGCAAATAAGATCTGCGTCCAGGGAAAAACAATTGGAAACATTGTGTGGCTGATGTGATAATGTATCATGTCCTGTCCGAGGGTGAGATCAGCGTGATCCAGTCGCGGATGGAGATGCGAAGCGATGTGGTGCGTGACGTGTTGGGAATCTGCCTGGGGGTTGTTTATTTGTCGCCGTATTGGCCTGCTGGCGAGCGAAGCCTCACTCTGTCCCTGGAGATGACTCCTCTGCTTCTTTTTTTCCTTGACCGCGTTGTGACGTGGCATCATCAACTGCAAGTCCTCGTTGGTGTAGCTTTGGTCCATTCTCCCCTCCAGCTCGTCGCGCCGGTAACAGATGGCCATTTCGGCGGGATCCGGTGTGAGAGCATTTATGATAGGCGCCATAATGCGGTTGTGTTATGTACGGGTGCATTACTATAATAATAACAAAACAAATCCATGGGGTGTTGAGCGATTCGTGGGTACGTACGACTGTGAAATCCACCACGCCCAATGACAACGCGATGGAGGGGCCTAACAAATCACCTGGACAGACACGAGGACGAGGGGTAGAGCAGGGCCTGGGACCGAGAGATATCAATCAGACTAGACTGAGTGCCAGTATGTAAACAAGGCTGGGGAAACCCTGACTTGGCTTCATGACGCGCGAGCTATATCTACGCATGGCTATTATTGATGGCACCGTCCCAGGCCGTCCAAAACCGAGCGTTAGGAGACCGTCGGGCAGAGAGAGGCGAAAGGCGGGATTAACCACAGCCCGCCTGAGACATTTGGCCGTCATCCTGCGTGCAAATCAGAGGCTTCTGCTGTGATTCTGCCCCACCGCCATTGGAGCCCGACGGATTTGTACTCAGGTGGGGTGGAGGGAGCGATGGAACGGATCGACAGTCGATTTCGACCTGTTGGGGGGGGATTTTTTTGTGTGTACAAATGGCTCGTGGGGACGGGACGTGAGGTGATGGATGGATGGGGATAGGGGCAGGGCCCCAACCACCAAAAAACTAACCCAAGCGACGGTCCGGCGGCTGGAGAAGGGAACTAAGTCAGCTACTGATGCGGCCAGGGCCCCCTAGGAGCGGGTTTGTAGGTCCAGCGGACGGTCTCAATGAACCACGTATTGGACTGTGCGTACATGGAGCTACCTGCTATGTATGTATTAACGCCGCTGTCTGACTCTAACTGTGGACTGACGGTCCAGCAATCCATCTTAGCTGGTGACGTGGTTGGTGGTAGGCGAGCCTAAGCTCATTCGTCCTCGCCAAGTCAGGGCGAGCAGCTCGTGAGAGTCATTCAAGAGCAAGACACGCATGCAGGCCGTAGGTACGACCAGCAGAGTCATAGGAGCAGCCGGATGTAGGGCTTTCTTGCTTGTTTGCTTGCTGGTATGTGCTGCCACTGGCTGACCGAGCAGTGCTGGGTGCGTTCCGGGTGCTTCTCTTCGCAGCTATGCTCTTCTCATCGGCTTCGGGCGTATCGTGATTTGCGGCCATCAACAACCACGTCAACCAAGAGTTTGCCACCACACCACTCCCGACGCACGAGCTGCCGGTGGCTGGCTGGGTTGGCTCTGCAGGCCGCTGCAGGAGACATCCACAGTCACGGGCAGGCCTATGCAGGGCGTGGAGAAAGGAAGGGGGGTAGAGGCACCAGACGGGTAAGCCTGGAACCCAACCGACGACGAGACGATACGGGACTGCCGCCGCTTCACCCCGATGGTTGGCCTCCGGCTGGTCTTGGTCTGCGTCGCTCTGCCCTGCTTTTGCTCTGGTGGTGACATGGTGTGCCCAATGCTGCCGCCAGGTGGATCTTGCACCACGTTTGGGCATCGGGGAAGCAGGGTTGAGCCTGTACCATTGGGCTGCCAGCATGGCAAAGCAGGGCCCGGCCATCTAGGGCTCATGCTTTGGGTTTTTCTTTGTGTTTGGCTCGTGAGGTAATAATTAATCCTGCAGTTTGCTATATGTACGACGGAGCGCACTGCCAAGGTCCGGGAAAGGGAAGGAAACGTGATACTACTTTATTTAAAAGATTTTCCCTCTTGCCCCTGTGCTCGTGCTGTATGTACTTCCCTTCTCGACTCATCTGACAAAGCAATATGCGACGATACCACCTCGACTTACACCCCGAACCACAACCGTTTCCCGTCGCCCTATACAAGACCAACACCGCCCCGACCACTCAAACCTCGTCCGTCACCTGAATAAATCAAGCAAGGATCAACAGTCGAACTTGAACATACACAGCAGCCACACACAAACCCACAGAGCACACGCTCACCAGGACAAAAGCCCACCCACCACCCTCTCCTGTGAACAAACGACATCTAGAGAGAGCCGCACAAACCCAGCAAGCATGTCTCTAAGCATCCGAGGGTATAACGCCCCCCGGGCTCAGTCCCAGAACAACACAAACACAGCCATGAACGGCGACAACCGACGTCGGACGACGACGACCACAACAACCACCACCACCAGCACACACTCCAGTCCCACCCGCCAACCACAAAACAGCGGCCTCATGAATGCCATCAACGGATATCACACAAACTCGAATGCCAACAACCAGATGGTGCCCCATGGACGCAGCTCCGACACCGATCTGAGCTCGGTCTCTTCAGTGTTCACCTATGGTCCTCGCTCCTCATCTTCTCGCCGAGGAGAGCCAGCCGGGAACAAGGTCCGCTTCAAGCCTCCCACTCTCCAGGTCAGGCCTCGCCAAGATGATCCCCCCATGAGGCACGCCGACCCGGAGCCTTTCACTCCACGCGGGCCCTACACATCTGAATCAGACAACGAGTCTTCCTGGAGCTCGTCCAACGTGTCCAGCAGCACCAATGCCACCAGCGTCTTCTCATCATCTGACGATGGCGCCCCCCCTCCTAGCAAGAAGCGCACCAGCGCGGTTGTCGACTCAAGGCAGTCGAGGCAGAGTAGCAGCACTTCCACATCTTCCCGTCGCCAGAGTGTCAGTAGGGAACGACCTGGCCGACGGTCCGAGAACAGCCACAGCGAGTCCCAGGTCCAGGTTCAAACGCAAAACTCGAACCAGGGCACTCGCAACATCCACATTCACATTGAGCCCAAGGTGCAATCTCCGCCAATTGCCCCTCAAGTACCTCTGGTCACTCACCAAGCTGCACCTGCACCAGCTCCTCCCCTCATCACCCAGCGGGTTCCAGAGGCTCTCACCTACCACCAGCCAGCTCCCATCCAGCAACAGCCTGCTGTCCACCAGCAGCACGTGGTGCCCTACCAGGAGCCAGCAGACAATGTCTGGGAGCTGGAGAGCCTGCGCAAGGAGCTGAATCTCCTCAAGGAGAAGCAGTCCTCCTCTGACCGGGACCTCCAGGACCTGCGGCAGAAGACGGTCAGCCTCGAAAAAGACAACGCCAACCTCCAGAAGGATAACTCCAACCTCCAAAAGGACAACACCAATCTCCAGAAGGACAAGGATGACCTCCGCTCCGAGCGCAACAGGCTCCAGCAGTCCAAGGACAAGCTGACGAGCGACCTGGACAACCGGGCCCGCCAGCTCGACAAGGTCCAGACCAAGGCCGAGGAGCAGAAGAAGGCTTTCGAGAAGATTGAGAAGGAGCGCGACTCGAGGCTGGAGAAGACCAAGAAGGAGCACGCCGAGGCGCTCAAGAAGGCGCAAAAGGACTGGGACACCACCCAGGAGAAGCTCCGCAAGGACTACGACGCCGCCCTCCGGACCATCAAGAAAGAGCGCGATGACCTCGCCGGATCGGAGAGGTCCATGGAGAGCAAGCTCAAGGAGACCGAGGCCAACCTGTACAAGTACAAGGAGCTGAGCGACATCATGAGCAACAAGTGCAACGTGCTCGAGAAGGAGAGCAAGCAGCAGGTGACCTTCCACAAGGAGATTGACGCCAAGACGATCAATCTCGAGCGCGAGCTCAGCGATGTTAAGGCCATCAGGAAGGCGCAGGAGACTTCCTACGTTGCGCAGATCGCAACGCTCGAAATGTCTCTTGATGCCGTGAACCTCCGCGTCAAGGGTCTCGAGGGCGACTTGCTCAAGAACGCCACCGAGCTGGGCGAGCTCACCGCCAAGCGTGACGGTCTCAAGAGCGACATCCGCGCCAAGGTTGATCCTCTTGAGAAGCAGGTCAAGAGCCTGGAGAACCAGATCAGGACCATGGAGAAGGAGGTCAAGGGTCTGGAGAGCCGAGCTGACAAACTTGAGAAAGAGAAGGAGGAGCTGCTGAAGCAGGTGGATAGTCTCAAGGCTGAGAAACAGGCTCTTGACGACAAGGTCAAGGAGCTCCAGACAGCCCTTGATGATCACAAGAAGCAGCTGGAGGCCAATGAGGCCGAGCACAAGAAGCTGCTAGAGGCCAAGGAGGGCGACTTGACTAAACTTAATGGCGAGAACGCCGAGCTCAAGTCTCAGATCGAAAGGCTCCAGAAGGAGAAAGACACCGCCGAGATCAAGGCCGGGGAGGTTGAGGTCAAGTACCGCAAGCTCAAGAACAAGGCCGAGCTCATGAGCACTGAGGGCAAGAGCCTTCGCGTTCAGGTCCAGGATCTCCTCAAGGAGCAGGACGATACTTCATCCCGTGTCCTGCGCCTCTCGGCGGAGTGTGACGGCCTTCGAGAGGAGAATGAGTCCCTCCGTGCCTCATCCGATGCAGCATCTAGCATCTTCAGCCTCCCCCAGAGCAATGCCCCCTCCATCACGAGCGACACCGCGTCCACCGTGAGCAGAGACGACGATGCCGCCACCATCATCTCTGAAATGACCGAGAAGGCGCCCGAGACCGTCACGGCCGAAGTCGTACCCGAGCCCGTAACGGTTGAAGACGTGCCAGAAGACGTACCCGAGCCTGCCCCTGAGCCCGCCCCTGAGCCAGCAGAGGAACCAGCACCAGAACCGGCACCCGAGCCTGCACCAGAACCAGCAGCAGAGCCAGCCCCAGCCCCGGAGCCAGCCCCAGCTGAAGCCGAAACACCAAAGGAGAGCGGCGTCGCTCCCGCCGCCGAGGTAAACGCAGACCCAGCCCCCGAGCAGCCTGCCGAGGCGCCTCCGCCAGCAGAAGAGCCAAAGACTGAGGACGGACCAAATGCTGACCCGGAGCCAGCAACCGCAGCCACAGCCCCAGCCCCAGAAGCCGCCGCCCCAGAAGAAGGCGGACAAGGAGAAGAAAAAGCCCAAGAGCAAGAGCCCGCCCCCGAAGAAGAAAAAGCAGAGCAAGTAGTCGACCCCAACGTGGTCCTCGTCGTGACCCTCCAGGAGCGCAACACGGAGCTCCTGACGCGCAACACCGAACTCCAGGAAAAGGCGGCCGCGGTCGACGCCCTGACGAGCGAGCGAGACAACCTGTGCACGAAGCTGGCCGAGGCGGAGAAGGAGGCCGAGGCGGTACCCAACCTGCGAGTCGAGAACGGCACGCTCGCCGCCAAGCTGGAGGAGGTTAAGGGCCAGCTGGAGACTGAGAAGCAGGCGCACCAGGCTGCCAGCAACCAAGTCTCGGCCCTGAAGAAGAAGGTGACCGATCTGACTGCCCAGCTTGGCTCCAAGGAAAGTACCGGGACTAGGGGTCGGACCAAGAGTGACCGTAAATCTAAGCGTGACAACGAGATTGTGATTGTGCGCTGCCCCCGAGAAGGCTCACGCGGGATGTAAGTTTCTTCAAATCTCTTGTTTCTGTCAATTCTTGGACAATGATCAACTAACTGTTTGATAGCTCTATTGTACGACGAAAGAACCTTCACCACGTCCGTTCATCATCCCAGTCTGAGGGCTCTGGTGCGGACAACTGAAGACTGTTCCCACCACTGTAACAGTTGCATTTAATGATCTTCATTTTTTTTTAGCAAGCAAGCAAGCAAGCACCGGCATTAACTACTAATAACGACTTCATGATTGATTAATACACGTCATGTGGGATTTTTCCAGGGTTTTCATTTTTGTTTGATATTGGTCGTGTTTTAGATATTTCGGCGGACCAGGAGACGCAAGTCGAGAAACAAGGTCATCACGTTGTACCGGAAGCGAAGCACGGTGTTTGCGAAATGTGCATTTTTGGGAATTCTTTTTCATCTTGCATTTACTTGGTTCTTTTCTTGCCTGTTTTATTTTGCCTTTCTGTTTGGACTACTTGAACTTTCTCTTACCTTTTTCCTGTCTTTATTTCCTTATCACTGGAGACTCCAATTCCCTTTGTCAATTCATCTTTCTTATGTCTATGGATACAATGTGCAAAAAATCATTAAACATTGTCTTTTCCTTGATATTTCTTTTTGGTTCTAGCTAGAGAGGATAAATCAAGGCGTTTTTCTTTCTGATGCAGTTGCCCACCGAGTTTCATGGTGTCTGGCAGTCTTGGGACGTTGGCTTGGGATACAGGTTCTTTGGATACCAAAACCCATAAAGGCGAGGAGGCAAAGCAAGAAGCAGCTGATAGATTGTAGCTACTAGGAATATTGGAATGAAATTAATTTGGTAAAAAATTAGCATTGACAGCTCCTTGTTAAAATCATGTCGCCTTTCTTCTCTGCACATGTGAAATACCCGCCTTGGGTAATGATCCCTCAGTCACCGTCTCATTCGGCCCAGCCAGCTCCGTAAGCTCCCATGTCTAAACGGGCCGCTGCCAGGGCACAGTCGTATGGCTGTTGCTAGCCACACAGATCTGCCTGACCTTGGCTACTTTATCACCGGTCACATATATTTAACCGATATTGGAGCTCTTGAGCGTGTTACGTACGGTGACTTGGGTGAAATACTACATTGCGGTCGCAATCCAAGCTCTGGACCTAGCCCTCAATCCTTCCCGGGAACGCCTCCACGTTCCCCAAATGCGTCGAGTCTTCTTGCATGCCACCTCGCCTTCCCCGCGAGCGCCTGCCCGAGCGAAGAAATTGATTGTTAGGTTAAGCGTGCAGAAAAGTTGATGTAATATTCTGTTCTCAGGCTAAATATGGGCTCAATTCTAGGATTTGGGACAGAGATGAATACAGGCTAAGTCCACACGCCAGCACCCTACCAACGTGTCTGGAAAGGGGCAGTGGCCTAGGTACCGGCTTGGAGTAAAATAACCATAACCGGCTAAAATTATGGTTACCATATCGAATAATGACATCTCTTTTCGAGTGGAGAAATGTGAGGCAAATCACGCTCCCCCAGGGGTAAGCTAAGTTTAATCTGCGGAGTGTCGTTCCTAGATTGTCTTCCTTGCTTTCACACCATAATCACTCTCAGTGATACCTAGTTACAGCTGGGAACCTATAAGATATTAGATCCTTCTTCTCCCCTTAACATAGTCGTTTTGATCGCCGGCCTTTACTGTAAGCTGCTGGCTTTTCCGTGCTCAAAATGGTGTTCATCCCACGCCTTATAGCAGCGGTTGGCTTTCTTTTGGGCTTGACGTCAGCTCAACAAGACCTACTCGCCTTTCAAGATGGCATCAGCGAATATAAGCTGGCTGATAAAGGCACGGCCCCGGAGATTTGGGTCTCTTCTGGCGATTTCCGAGCCACTATACGCACTGGACGAGATCTTGCTCTAGACTTTGGCCGAGTTGTTGGTGTTAATGGCACGCTCAAAGAGTTCGATCAGCTCCCGGGATCCCGAAATGGGACTGCACCCATCATTATTGCTGGGACTGTCGGCCATTCTACTCTCATCGACAAGTTGGTTGACGCCGGCAAAATCGACGTTTCCGAAATTGATGGCAAATGGGAGTCCTACACCACGGCTCTTGTCGAGGACGTGACATCTAGTATCCCATGGGCCCTTGTAGTTGCTGGGAGCGATAAAAGGGGAACTGTGTACGGCCTGTACGATATTTCCCAAACGATTGGAGTTTCGCCGTGGCACTGGTGGGCAGATGTGCCGCCCAAGACCAAGACTGGCATCTGGGCTCGCAATGCTCGGAAAGTCCAAGGTCCCCCTTCCATAAAGTATCGGGGCTTCTTTATCAACGATGAAGCACCTGCGTTAACGGGATGGGCGGAGAAGAACTTTGGGCTGACACCGAGCGGTCGACCATTTAATAGCGAATTCTACAAGCTAGTGTTTGAGCTCTGTCTCCGGCTTCGGGCGAACTACATATGGCCAGCTATGTGGGGGAGCGCTTTCTACGTCGATGATGAAAAGAATGGCGTATTAGCCGACGAGTACGGCGTTGTCGTCGGTACGAGCCACCATGAACCGATGGCCCGGTCGGAAAGGGAGCAACAGCGCGAAGTTGAGGGAAATTGGGATTGGATCGACAACAAAGAGGAGATCACCAAGTTCTTTGAAGGCGGCGTGGAGCGTGCTAAGAATTGGGAGACCATGTATACTCTTGGCATGAGGGGATCTGGCGATGCTGCTTCGCCTACTTTGACTGCCGACTCGCTGGTTGAAATCATCGGCGTACAGCAATCTCTTTTGGAAGACATCTTGGACAAGAATCTGACAGACATCCCTCAAACGTGGGTACTTTACAAGGTAAGTGTATCGAGCAGCTTCCACCATAGCCACTCTGTTCTCCTTGCAGAACTAATATTCCTCAATAGGAAGTAGGGCGATATTATCAATCAGGCATGAAAGTCCCTGAAACGGTCACTCTGCTCTGGACGGATGATAATGCGGGCAATCTGCTTCGAACACCATTAGCCAATGAGACCGATCGAGAAGGTGGTGCTGGTGTTTACTATCATTTTGACTACGTCGGTGCGCCACGGAATTACAAATGGATCAATACTATCCAGTTGGTAAAGACTTGGGAGCAGATGCAGCTGGCGTATGAGAAAGGTGCTCGCGAGATTTGGATTGCTAACATTGGAGACATCAAACCTTTGGTAAGGGAGACAGTCTAGCTCTGCATGAGCACTACATGCTTCAACATAACATGATATTCTTGATCCGATACTAATATATTGAAATGTAGGAAATCCCGACTTCCCATTTCTTAGATATGGCATATGACATGTCCAACCACGCTGACCTCGACAGCACAACCAGATGGATCCATCGATGGGCCGCTGCCGAATTTGAGGAAAGAATCGCCGAACGGACCGTACAAATCTTGAGCACGTATGGCAAACTAATCTTACGCCGGAAGTACGAGCTCCTCAGTCGAAAACCGTTTGCCTATAGCGTGGCATACTACGACGAAGCCGAGGCCGTTTTGGCTGAGTGGACAGACCTGCTCGATCTTGCACAGCGCACCTACGACAGCCTACCACAATCGACACGCACGCCGTTCTTTGAAATGGTGCTGCACCCGGTCCTCGCAGGCAAGACCGTGGTTGAGCTATACATCAAAGCTGAGCTGAACCTCTGGCGCCATCGTCAGCGCCGTACAAGCACCAACCAGCTGGCTACTGATGTGCAGAGCCTGTTCCTTGAAGATCAAGAAATCACGAGCAGGTATCACTCGCTCAAGGACGGAAAATGGGATCGCATGATGACACAAACTCATATTGGCTACGACAACTGGCAAGAACCCGCGGAGAATACTCTTCCTACACTTGTGTACCATGGGGAGGACAACGTACCCAAGTCTGGTATTATGGGTGTGTCTGTTCAGGGAAGTAACTTTTCTTTCCCAGGCGATCCAGTGCCAGCTCTACTACCCATGGATTCATACATGCCCAGTTCGGAACAGCGTTATCTTGACATATTCACTCGTAACAACGGGTCGTTTTCCTACAGCATTACCAGCAGCAAACCGTACGTCACAATTTCGAATTCGGCTGGGACGCTGAGCACAACAGAAAACATTTCCGATGTTCGAAGCATCATCAAAGTAGACTGGAATGCAGCTCCAGCCGGGTCAACGGAAGTTGGCCTGAAAGTCACACCCTCGAATGCGCCCGGCAGTTGGCCCATCACCTTCAACCTACCTGTCAATAAGCGCTCTGTTCCATCTGGCTTCAGTGGTTATGTAGAGTCTGGTGGAGTTGTTGCTATCGAAGCTGAGCACTACAGCAAAAATGAGGAGAAGAATGGACTGTCTTACGTGGTAGTCCCTCATTATGGGCGAACTTTGTCGGGAGTCAAGCCCTGGCCTGTCACTGCCGACTCCCAGTCCCCAGACACGGCGCCGAAACTTACATACACGTTCCATACTTTCACGGAGGTTGAGAAGCCTCGACTATTGGTCTTTCTGGGTGCGACACTAAATCACGACCCCAGCCGAGTGTTACGGTATGCCTTTTCCATAGATGGAGGCGCCCCGGTCATTGTCCAGCCTGTACCGACCACGCCCATGGGCTCGGAACCTTCTGGTTGGACCGAGGCCGTAATTGCTGGCGGTTGGACTTCCGCGAGCACCATAGAAATCTCGACTGGCTCGCACACACTGGACCTCTGGCTTCTTGAACCTGGTGTTGTTGTACAACGGTTGGTGGTTGATGTAGGAGGGTATCGGCAGACCTCGCTTGGTCCGCCAGAGAGCACTCACGTGGGATGACGGGCAAAAGAATGTCATTTTGAGAAACTAAAGATAGGAAAAGTATCCATGAATTATTGAGTAATTCATATTTTATCTGACCATCAATGAGAACTACAAAACGTACGACAGAAGTATTGGCATTGACCTTGATCCTGCTGCCAACAGATCATTGCTTTAACTCATGACTCTGTTGATACTTGAAATCTGTATACTTTAATATTCAGTTGAGTTGTCGGGTGCTGGCAGCTTTCATTGCTGTTGAACTTATTCTCTTTCTCCTACGTACACCTTAATAGTTGGAATGGTTCTATGACAATAGATTTCAGCCAGTGCCCTGCTTCTGCAATCTAAGTAGGATCAAAGCACGGATTGTCACTCTTTTAATCCGCTGAGTGCCATATTAGCGGGATAAATTATGATCAAGTTTGTCAGTTATCTTCGCTAACCAGACCTTTGAAAAAATAATTTTTGATCATTATTCTACGCTTAAAGAGAAAGAGTTAAATCCGTTATATTACTAGGTCATCGTAGTATTTAAAGTTAGGCCAGACATGTTAAAAGGTTGAAAAATCAGACAAAAACATCTCTTGCACTCCCGGTAGGCTGCATCATGTCCTAGTATGACACGTTAAGTCTCAGTTTCACCTTAGATGCCATATTCTATTACAGAAACTTGAATGATACATTATGTTAACAGTGAGTGGACTGGGCATGCACATGAACTAAACGTAAACAGGACTAGGCACAATTGCAAACCTTTCTTCCTTATGAAGCTACTCATACTTCAAGGCTCACATTTGAACCAGTTAGGTATCAAATAAGTACCATTGTGCCGCCGTTCCTCAGCCTACCTCAAATAAGGACTCATGAAATAGTGCAAACTTGAAGGGTAGTTGCTGAAAGTAAGATATTTAGGGACTTCAAGGACTCTGTATACTTCTAGAATTCAAAATTCGACGAGATAGTACACCAACCTGACTATGGATTGTTTTGCCTGATTGTGTGAAATGCCTGGTTGGACACTGATAACGCCAGCCTATTCATCCGACCGGCTGGTAGGATCCAGAATGGCATGATCTGAATGCTGCCAGACATATTCAAAGTATTAATTAGCCATGTACCGTTCAGCCGGTGGATAAAGTCGCGCGAGGTATATTAGCCAAGATTCAAGATCGCATCGCGGGCTTCATCCGGGAGGATGGGCACAAGGCGAAAGCGCAGGATGATCCATAACTGCCAAGAGAACTGTACCTTTGTTTGAGTCTCTCCTGATGAAGAGGCAAAAAGAATGAAATGATATGAAACCAAGTGTTTCATGAAGCTTATCGGATTTGAACCGATGACCTTGTGGACTGGAATCACACTAATTCTTTGTTAGTTGAGGGATCGAAGATTGATTAGAGAGATATTACATACCGCGCTACCGCTGCGCCAAAGCTCCAACTGAAGGTGGTATTTTGCAACGTTCTACCAGAGTAAATCCCTGCATTGACGTGGGAGGGGAGCAAAAAAAGACAAAAAAAACAAACTCAGAATGAAGCCTATCGGATTTGAACCGATGACCTTGTGGACTGGAATCACACGCGCTACCGCTGCGCCAAGGCTCCTGGGTTGTTATAATTAGCTTTACTAGTTTATCTTATATTGAAGCCTCATTCAGCTCAACCTCTGCAGTCAGCAGAAAACGATATATCTATGAAGGATTCAATTGACAGGCATCTACCTAGGTGCCCTTCTATAGTCTATATTTTTCTATCTAGCCTTGACTATATACAGGTCATTTGAAGATGATTTTAAATATTGTACCTTCTTGCTTCTGACTGGATAATAGCAAAATCTGTCGATATAACTACCCTATACTCAGCATTGTGGTTCCTGGTTTGTCCTTGATTATTTTAATCGGTTCGGTTAGCAGACGCAGGTAAATACAAGGGAAATTTCTGATGGAACCTGATTTCAACGGACGGATATATATGCAAGCCTTAAAGTCAGGTGAGCCGCTGGTAGAACTTTCTGAAACACTACGTCTGCTTCCAAACTTTACCTAAGCTATCATCACCACGCTCTTAGGATTGGATTTACTTTTTATTGCTCATCATGATAATTGGGAGGAAAGCGCTCATATGTATCAGCTATCGTGTTTAAAGAAACACACCATTAAATTCGTATGAGAAGGGGCTACAAGTGCCCACCTCGAGATTTCGGTAGTCTCTTCTGTTCTCAACATACTTTTCTCCATGCCAAAGTTGGATCGTTTGGTGTCAATTTCCTATACTGAAACAGCTCGGCTAAACTCAACGACCCTCGGAGCTTTGGCGCAGCGGTAGCGCGTGTGATTCCAGTCCACAAGGTCATCGGTTCAAATCCGATAAGCTTCATGAAGATTCACTCATCTCGAAGAGTTCTCTTTTTCATTTTCGTTTTAATTGACTTTTTTTTCTTATTTGGACCCTCTCAAATTACCCTCATTTGAATAGAGTGGCCACTATAATTACAAGAAGCAGATGATAGATCGTAGCTAAGGACTATTGCATGATTTTGGAGAGAGAGAGATCTAGAATTGCTCCTTCATTCGTGAACATTTGCAGCCCGAATATATTATACCCATCCTGACCGCACGGATCTCATCGTTGGGATCCACAAGCCCGGCAGACTCGTAGCGAGATGCTGATGCCTGGTTACTAAGCCTCCCAATTGTCGCTTTAAATAGAAAAGTGTAGGGATCGGCGTTGCATGGGGCGGATGTTTGACGTTTCGTACACAGCCTCCCTCACCCGTGATCTCAGAAATGGCAGGCTATTAACTCCTCTCAAGCCACATTGATATATCTGTCACACCCTCCCACCAAGTCGATAGAAGACACACAGTTGTTGAGTTGAGCGCCTGTTGCTCATCGCCTTAACACACCATGTCGGCGTCTACACATCAGCAGCAGCGGCCTACGCCCAGCGCGCTAGACGAAGACTGCGGTCATCTTCATTACCCGCATCCTGAAAATGGAAGCCTCGTTCCTCTGGCTGTCCAGAGCCTCCGATACGGACCTGAAACTCCCGAGAATCAACAATGGGCAAGCCTGGGAATGCCTGCATCCCGTATCCCCACGCTGCAGGCTGCCTGGTATTGGATATTATCTCCTGTTCTGGTGGAAGGAAGCGAAGATCGACGGTTAACAGCCGGGTCCGCTTCACTCGTATTTTTGAGGCTGGTTGTTGTAGCCCCCTTCACAGGCTTTATGGTAGGTTATCTGATGCCACTTGATTGCTCGTATGCTTCCTAACCGCCTACGCGCAGCTACCTAGTTGGACAAATGGAGTACCAGCTTTGATTTCTTGGAATGAAACCCGACAAAACGCTCTTGAAGCGGACAGTCTGAAGTATGAGCTCTTTTACGACAGGTTGTCAACGGCCCTTTCGCATTCATCGTCCATAGAAGAAAACCTGTCCACGCCGGCCACCTTCTCAGCCAATATACAACTGGGAGGGCAGCAGGTCCAATCTGAGAATCCCGATTCGACTATTACCAGAAGCCACACCACATTCCAAGCCCGGTCTCAACCAGGGGGTCTCTCCTTACGGCCAAGATATCTCTGCTTCTTGACCGGCTCCGAGGAAAAGCCATATCGTACCATTTCCGTGTCAGATTACATCCACGAGCATGGCGATCAAGCAGATACCGAGTTCATCTTTGTTTCCTACACGCGAATGCAATTCAGAGTGGCCACTGACGAGGAAATTGATGCGTATGACTATCCAGATGAGGAAACGCGAGACGCCAACCGCAAATTGGCCAAGAGTGACCGCGAGACTCTTGTACGCTGGGGCGTGGATGCGGCTTTGGCCGCCGGCAAGCCAGCATTCTGGCTTGACTTTGAGTGTGTGCGCGACTCTGATGGCGTGGCCCGGTCAAGCAGCAAAAGCGAGGACGTCTATCGGATCTGTGATATTGTCCGAGCGGCTCATTCTATGATAATTGCGATTGGGCCATCAGCTGAAGACAAGGTGAAAAATCTGTTGCGTGGTGACGATAGCGGATCATCCCAGATCTTCAATACGGAACATTCATCACAATGGCTTCGACAATGGGGCTCTCGTCTCTGGACGTTGCCGGAGCTGCTTCTCTGTCCCAACGAGTATCGCATCAAACTGTACGTCTTTGGAGAGTCCAAGGAGCCTAAAGAACTGGCGAAACGAAACTTTGCCGAAAGGGCATGGGAGGATGCCGAGTCTGTCAAGGAGCTGGTTAACCACTATGAAGCTTCTGCAATCCTCACACCGCGACAGCTAGTTGAAATTGCCTTGGAGTGCTTCGCACGTCGCAAAACGGATCAGTTCAGTGCCGGAGACGTCGCCTACGCCATTATGGGATTATTTCCAGACAGCCAAAGACCACAGATCGACCAGAATGATTCCGGTTTCAGGGCTTTTGCCCGGCTCGCCCTGGCAATTGACGACGGGAATATCCTCTCGCGGATGATGTGCCTTGGTCCACTGCACGCTGGCTCCCCATGGTCAGACACATCAGACTATTGGGGCTCGAGGTTGAGAGATTTCCGTCCAGCGTGCCATGTACTAGATGTCACAAATTCGGATGCCCTTGTGATCCAAGACGTCTACGCCACGCCCATCAGTTGGGACAAAATCGAGCGTTCTACGTCCATGAAGTATTCAGGCAAGAGGTTTAGAACTCCACTCCTCGTGGCCTTCAATATTGCATGGATATGCCTTCCGTGCTGGCTGTGGATAACACACATCATCCCATACGATAGGAACTCAATGTTCTTGTTTGCTATCTTGATCTATGTATCAGCTGCGGTGATTCTTGTGTGTTCTCTCGTGTTCCCTTTCATCTTCATGTTTTTTGGGATGCCTTATTGTGCAAGTAAAGAAAAAAGCCGGGTCATTGGAATTCAAGGAGCTGTCGATACTACAACTGTCGAACGATATATTTGGGGATTCAACCATGGGAGGCTGAAGGAGATAGTTGCGGATGACGAACAAGGTGGAAACCTGGACGCAATTCGCAAAGGACCCGCCGGTCAGATCTTCACCATCGTCGATACAACTACGCTTACGATGACTGTGGTGCGGTGCACCACACCTCCAGTAGCCATCATCGTGTGTGGGCAAGCTGGAGGGACTGATCGGGCCCTTTTGTGCTCTTTCAACTGCAAGACGGGCTCCTATCACCGTGAGAAAGTCTTACGTGTTGACCCGTTGATGAGCGGCCTGATGCATCGTGCAAGGTCACTGCATTTGTGCCTTACGCCCCTCGGTCCATCCTCAACACCAATGACTGTGTCAGGGAACGATGGTGAAGCCAGTGGCCATGGGCTCGGCATTGCTTCCAGAATAACAGAAAGCGCGAAACTAACATCCAAATCCTGGAGTTTGAATCTTCTGATTATGGTGGTAGGTCGGCACTGTCCAGTTTATCACTAGATGGCTAACAACTACTGGCAGACCGCTACACAAATATTCAGTTCTCACACGTCCTTCTCAACTGAGAATTTTTATTCGTGTATCGCTTATTTAGCTGGGATTTTACTTGCTCAATTAGCTGCATTCGTCTGTTTTCGCAAAGGCGTTTTGTTACAAATCACAGCACCGGCTTTATACAGTAGCGGTAAGTTCTGACTGACTTGATATTACTTGGTGGAAGCTAATGTTCCCAATCCTCTATTACAGAGATGTTGTATTTCTTCCAGAATATGACCTACCGCCATTGCAACTTTCCACCGTGGTTGATGTTGCCTCTGTGGTTGATGTTGCAGTTATTGCATGGGGCTGCCATAGGCATCGCGATAGCTGGCTTGGTGTTCTACCATTGGGCATGGTTCTCCAAACAGAAGGCGGTATGGCAAATCCTAGCTTGGGCCGTTCTGACTAACGAGATCTTTCGTGCTGCGAGCTTATTCGTCAAGCTTTACGATCGGCCGTATCTCAACCACCTTCTGGATATTACAATTTCTGTCATGATCCTTGTCTTGACGACGGTTTCTTCCTCACATCTGAGCTTGCCTCAAGATTCGCCCTCCCTAGATGTACCGGAAAGGATGGCTACTGTCTCTTCCTCGGCTATTTCTAAATATATTAACGATGAGAGGCCAAAGTGGCTGAAAACATCAGTTAGTCACCTTCGAACATATCTCCCGTTTCAGTTCACTAATCAATAAACATAGGGATCTTCATGGCCTCTTATGGTCCTTTATTCCACAGTTATCACAATCATAGCGTTTATGAGTGGGACCATATTTTCCAACGCTCCTCATTATCCCCTATACCACTTCTTGGAACTCCTACCGGGATCCACAGTTGTTGTGGTTTCGATTTTGGCGAGCCGGGTTTCGCTACGCTATCTACCAGGGCTGATTTGTAAGTCGGAAGGGCTCCCGTTCTCTCAAGGATCCAGCTACTAATGTTTGTGGTAGATATGACAATGGTTTCCTGCTCCGTTGCTGGAATTTTCCGTAAGTCCCATTCGTGAGGCTCGCTGGTTCATCATGACTGACCACTTATAGTGCCTGTTCGGCTGCATTTGATTATTCTTCCACGTAAGTATACCTCAATCTTACCGCGCTCGTGTGATCATGAACCTAATTTGCTAATTTATGCGTCTTTTCAGTTATTTGGGTAATCATTCTCGATGAAATGGACACGTTGGCCCGGGCCTTCGGCTTGCTCTGTATCTCGATCGCGGCATGGGCAGCTGGGAGGCTCATTTCGGCCACGTTGATTTCCTTGGACAAAACCGCGATCCTGAGTAAACCAGTTTTCGCTACTGTACAAACATGTTTAGTGGTGCTGGCCGGGACATTGACAGTAATCAGAGAGAGGAGGGCTGTTTCTGCTCAATGGGCAAGAACTGTCCAGTCACAATATCAAGACGTTGATGAAGAGTTGGCTTAGACTACGGCCAGAAAGACTCATAAAGTGTCCTTTTAAGATGAGGCCTACAAGATCTTGAGCTAGTTATCGACAATGAGAAGATAATCAGAGCAGCTTGCTCTACTCGTACATTATAAACCCCGTTCGTGTGTTAGTCCCTGCTTTGAGGGTTGAGTTGACATTTCAAGCTTTCTCAACCCGACTTTCTACATTGGCGAGTGTGTTGATCAGTCTCTTAGTGGCGAGTTGATCGAAATGGTTGTCGATGGGCAAGTAAATCACATCTTCCATCATACTTTTCGCTTTTGAGGCCTCTGAGACGCTGCCTTCGTCACTATCACCCTTCGCACTGGGATGTTCTTGTCCCGGAACAACGATGAGGGTTGCATTGCCAGCTGCAGCATCAAATCCAGCACATAATAGATCACCTAAAACAACATCCGGATTCTGCACACGTATAGGGCAGAGCCAGTAGTGGTGATTCGAACGCTTACCCCTCAAAGAAGCATTGTAGCCGATGGGCTGCATGGAGGGGGGTAGCATATCAGCGATGTCTGCAATCCGCGAAGCACGTCGCTCAAGCGCTGAGGCGTCGAAGTGTGAAATTCGGTGATTCAGTAGTCGGACAAGGCCCGGCGATGGGCTGAGGCGGATTTGCTGCAGGAAATCACCGCTGGCTAGGCTGTGACTTGCTCTGGTGATGAATTGATGGTGGTTTATGCCTCTTCGTTGTAGAATGGATATCAACCCACCGTAGCAGAGAGGGCTTGAGACGACCGCCTTGAATGCGGCATATTTGAGTATCCTCTTGAGATAGTCGGTATCTCGATAGTTGGCATAGCCAGACTGTATCCCTCTCATGGCATCGAGGAGCTGTGGGACTCGCACAGTCGCAATACCACCTGCGAGGGAAGTGTTTGTCTTGATTGGTCCGAAACTGAACATGGAGACGGAAGCCTCGGGACTACCCTTGAAATCCAGCCCGCAGAACGCTTGAGCACAGTCTTCTATGAGCATCAGATTGTGATGCTGTGCGAGCTCACCCAGAGCAGCTAAGGATTGGCGCTGCCCGAAAAGATGGGCAATGAGAATGGCTGTAGTTTGGGGCCGTATTAACGGCAGCACGTCCTCGACTGATACGGTCGCATCTGGCTGGAGGTCGATCGGTACTGGGACTAGGCCGTGAAGACGGATGATGGAAACCATGTGGGGGATGGTCACGGCTGAGATGAGAATCTCGCTGCCCGGCGGGAATTCGCATGCTTGTAGAAATAAATCAAAAGCCGATCGCACACTCATGGTCACGAGAGTCTGTGTTGGGGCCCATAGCTCCTCGAGGTTCTCGATGGCCTCCTCCTGGTCATGGGCGCTGGAGAACCCTGACGCCAGGGAGTAATAGACCCCGCGGAACACATCTGCCCAAGTTATGTCGAATAACTTGCGGGCGTAGATGCCCTGGGGTAGCATCGCCATGGTGGTGAGCTGTCCCTGTGTGTGACGAGATGCGGTAGTTTTGGTGCGAGAAGTCGAGTTCCAAATCTCGCAGAGGCGTATTGAAAATTCCACACCGCCTCCGATCAGCTACCCTGCAAGGACCTTAGGCACTTGTTTATCGTGATACGCAAGAGCTCTAAGCGAACCGATGAGTGGCAAACGGCGGAGCCGCTATTGGATGTCTCCACTGCATCTCCATGCAAGTGTGTTCTTCTGGATGACCGGGGTCCCCTGGACTCGGTGGGATGTACTCTACATCGGAGTGTTCTTGTTGACAAGTTCAGGGCTGAACACGGGGTTGGTGGAGGATGGACCGGAGCTAGATATGATATAAAGTAGGATGCTTCTCGGAGTGGATTGCTCTACAACCATAACATCTGAAGACAAAAGGAAACCATGGCCGGATCAGCCGCGGGTGAACCCGGCGAGAAGTTGCCGAAGCAAGGCACCAGAGTCGTCCCCAAAGGAAGACCAGTCCGTCATGATGGTGAAGAGAATGCTCACACCTGGGGCTTCTCAGACACTCAGTACCAGATCAGCAAAGATGGACACTTGGAAATTTCCGGCACTCGCTATTCAACTAGTGGATCGAAGTTTCCTGCACTGCTACCATGGATGGAAAATATCATGCAGATGAAGGTTCCACGAGAGCAGCTCCAGCCTCGACGCCCTGCAGAGACAGACTTGCCCTCGCCGATTCGCAATGAAGAATTTCTTCTCGCCATTGGGAAGCATTTGGACCAGAGTCAAATTTCCAAAGATCCGTTAGTGCGACTACGGCATTGCCATGGCCACTCACTCGAAGACATGTGCCAGGTGAACTACGGCGGTTCTATCCACCGCATCCCCGACCTCGTTCTGTACCCGGAGAACACGGAGCAGACCTTGGCTATTGTTCAATGCGCTAGAGACAAAGGTGTTTGCATACTCCCTTTCGGAGGAGGAACAAATGTTAGTCAAGCTCTAGCGTGCTCAGAAACGGAGCAACGTACCATCGCAGCAGTCAGCACCAAACGAATGAACCGCGTTCTGTGGGTTGATATAGAGAACAATCTTGCTTGCATAGAGGCTGGAGCTGTGGGTAGACATATTACTACCGATTTGGCCGCATGTGGAATGACACTGGGCCATGAACCAGACAGCGTCGAGTTCTCTACTCTTGGTGGATGGATAGCTACCAAAGCTAGCGGGATGAAGAAGAACCGCTACGGGAACATCGAGGAAATTGTGTTAGATATCGAGGTCGCTACCCCTGATGGCTTGTTTAAACATGTCGGGACCGATATCTGGCCTCGGCAATCTACCCGCATGGATATCAGACATCTTGTATTTGGCTCTGAAGGCGCGATGGGGATAATCACGTCGGCAGTAGTCAAGATATTCCCTCTTCCGGCGGTCAGAAAATATGGCTCTATCTTGTTTCCTTCATTTGAAGCAGGGTATCGATTCATGAATGACCTATCGAGAACGGGCGATATGCTGCCAGCCAGTGTCCGTCTCGTTGACAACACCCAGTTCCAATTCAGCATAGCCCTCAAGCCTCCAACAACAGGCATACGAGCTTTAAAGAGTCGCATTGAAAAGGCGTACGTCACTCGCGTCCGAAAATTCGACCCACAGCAGATGGTCGCATGCACATTATTGTTCGAAGGGAGCAGCAGGCAGGTAGGTACGCAGCAGGCTACTGTGTCTCGACTGTTACGGAAACATGGGGGAATGAAGGCAGGCTCTGCGAACGGGGAGCGTGGATACGACATGACATTCGCTATTGCTTACATCCGCGACTTTGCCATGACACTGGGCATTCTTGCCGAGTCTTTTGAAACCTCGTGTGCTTGGAGTGACGCACCAGAGATATGTCGGCGTGTCAAAAAGCGGATTTTCGAAGAGCATTCTGCCGCCGGCCTCCCTGGAAAGCCGTTTGTCAGCTCTCGGATTAGCCAAGTCTACCATACGGGGGTCTGCATTTACTTCTATCTTGCAATATTTGTGGGTGATGACATCAAGGGTGGTACTGAGAAGTTTTCCTCTTTGGAGGAAGCTGTCCGAGACGAAATCTTACTCAACGGAGGATCGCTCTCACACCATCATGGTGTTGGCATGCTACGCCGGAAGTATCTGCCAAGGGTGCTATCACCAACCGCACTTGGCCAACTGCATCGGATCAAGGTAGCTCAAGACCCTGGCGGCCTGTTCCCTGGTGGTCTTTCAGGCCTAGAACATGTGTAGATGCAGTGCTACTGCTCGCTTAGCGAGTCTCTGTTCGCATTAGGAGCTTGAAATGGATATCTCCAACGGCGTGTGCCCCTGTGGAGCTGAAGCATGTACTGTACATTCATTCTCTAGAGCTAGTTTGGTGCTTATACCAATCAACAAGCGTCTGACTGGATTGGTAGTCATTAATAATAATGGATCATTCCTTTGGTGCAGTTCAGCTGAAATGACTTGGCATTAGCGTGGCGAATCATGGCTTATCTATCAGCCAGCACATCCAGCTCACACGCAAACGATCCAATCTTCAATGCAATAAATGCCTTGTCTGACCCGAATCTGTACAAAGCGTGTAATACGGAGGTTATATTACCGTCTTCAATGCCGGGGGCCTTGCAACCAATTCGCACTCAATTCCCTAGCTGGAGGCAGCTTCAATTTATTCACATGGCCATAGTCCTGTAACCTGAACTTTTTTTCCTAATTTCTTTTTTTATCTTCAATTATAGAAGCTAATAGGACACAATGGGGAACATTCTATTGATCACGGGCGCTACTGGCTTCCTTGGAAAAGTCGTTGTTCAGGAAATGCTGCGTTGTGAGAGTGGGCAAAAATTGGACAAGATTATCGTGCTCATCCGCCCAAATGAAAACCAGACAGCAGAAAGGAGATTCTTTGATGAAGTAGCGAGTTCTCTCTGCTTTTCAAAATTACTCAAAACATGGATATCCATGATCAATGTTGTCTCTGCTGATTTACGTCATGAGAGATGTGGCATCGAAGAGGATACATACAATCAGCTCTGTTCTCAGACGACTCACATCATTCATTGTGCTGGCTCCGTGGCATTTTCGCCATCAGCTTTTGAGAGCATTATTGGCGACAATATTACATCCACTCTCAATGTCATGGAACTGGCCCGAGGCTGTCCCAACTTGCGACACTTTGTTCATACGTCCACGGCTTATGTCACTCCGCACACCAAGAAGCCTATTATAGAAACGCTACCGCCGCTGTTCCAGTCCGCAAGATGCCTATATGCAGAAATCCAGAAAGATTCAAGTAGCATCGACGAAATCCTGCGATCTACAGGGCATCCTAACCTCTACACTTTGGCAAAATGTCTCACAGAGCATCTCCTCATGGAAAGTGTTGCTGTGCCATTGACTATTGTCCGACCCAGCATCATTTCCGCAAGTTGGAAATACCCGTTCCCTGGGTGGGTTGATAGTTCATCTGCCCTGGCCGGCATTGTGGCTGGAATAGGATCAGGCAATATGAGAGTCGCCAATGGTGACCCTCGCACCGTCTTGGACGTAGTTCCCGTGGATGTAGTAGCACAGCAACTTATTGAAGCTGTTCTCAGCCCCCCAACACTTGGAAGGCCACCCCAGATTGTTCATGCCGTCTCTACCGTCAAAGCTGGAATGCAGATATCCCTGATTTGTGCTGCGATTGTCAAGTACTTCACGCTCCACCAAGTGTTCCGAAAGCCGAAGATGTCCTACATCGGGCAAAAGACGGATCTGCGATATAGACTCAGTCATATTGTTCAGCACCAGCTTCCCCAAGCACTGGCGAAGACTTTCGCCATCGTTAAGCGCAATAATCGCCAGATACAGCGTATCGAACGAGCTAAAGCCGCTGAGTTAAAAGCGAATACAATCTTCGAGCCATTTACGCAGCATGCATACAATTTCCACTCCTCAACCACCATGCTTGGTTCAGACTATGACCCCTATGAATACCTGAGAATTGTTTGTCAAGGTGTACGTATTTACCTTCTGCAGAAAGATGCCACAAAAGCCGTCTTTGCAGGAGACCGAGCAGATACCACTGGCGGCATCGGAGCATTAAGTTGGTCCAGAACACAGGAACATGGAACAATACCAGTTTCCATCTCTTCCACTGTTCTTCGAGGGACATTTAAGAGAATATTTACATCGGTTACCTTCGACCAGCATTCATTTTCCGCGGCCATGGAAGGTATCAACTCTGAAACGCGGGTGATAGTTGCACCAACCCACAGGAGTTTTCTCGATTCGTTGCTGTGCTCTTACCTATTCTACACACGACCGGAGATGGGAATTCGGCTCCCACGAGTACTCGCAAGTGAAGAATTTGCCAAAATACCCATCGTGGGATGGATTTGTCGCCGCCTCAGGACCGTGTTCGTCGTGCGAGGGGCTGGCAAACCGGACGACAGCCTTGATCGGCAGCTGGCCGAGCTTGTGCGGGGCGGCGACAATCTTCTCTTTTTTGTTGAAGGGCAGCGAAGCCGCACTGGGGAGGTATTACCAGGGAAGAGGGGCGTTCTACGCAGTCTCCAGTCTACTGGCAGCGAATTCGTCATTCTTCCCGTGTATATCACATACGACCGTATCCCGGAGTCTGACGCCTTCGAGAAGGAACTGCAAGGCGGACCTAAACAAAGACCTAATCTGCCAGGCCTTTTGAAATGGACGGGGAAAATGTTGCGAGGACATGTAGACTTGGGTGAGGCGCATGTCGTATGTGCCACTCCGCTTTTGCTGGGGCCAACTACTGATATTTACGACTTGGTGGACGAACTGGGGGAAGCCCTGCATGGAAAAAAGACTTGAACGATAAAATTTCCTTGTGCGGCTGTACCCGGATACGTCTCGTGTTCCTGGAAAAAGCGCGCCAGGGGTAAATGGCCTTCTATAATCTTTGTGGAAGAGAAATGCCTAGGTTTTACATACTTTTAAGACAAAATCGTCTCAAATACATTTATGAAGAGTTAAAAGATAAAAGGTAAAATAGTATCAATTTCATACATCATTTCAACATCATTCCATGGGAGCTGATTAGCAGCATGATCAATCTGACTATCAAGTTCACATCTAGTCGTCTTCCGCATCACGCGGGTCATGCTCAGCCCAGAACTTTTCGTAATCTGCCTGTGTCTGAGAAGGAAATGGCAGAGGTACAGTGATAGGTCCGAAGGGAATTCCTTTCTTCTCAAACTCGTCGAGGCGAGCCTTTGTTCGTGGCCGGCTCTTGTTGACCGAATACACAGCGACGCGGTGGCAGGAGCTTGTCACGCTGCAAGATTTATGATCAGACTAGAAACGCTAGACAAGTTAGGGAAGGGAAACTTACTGCAATCCCCAATTCCAGGAATCTCGGATTTGGGTTGGCTGAGTGTTGAGGGAGTTATCCCAGCAGCGGACTACAATCTCAACCCACCCTTCCACATCGCAAGGAAGTTCATATTCCCAAGTTCTCCACGTCCACTTCCGTTTCTTGGAAAGATTCTCAAGTGGGATAGTATACCAGTCAAACCCGCCGTCAGCAGAGAGCTCAACTCGCTCAGGCCATCGCCCGCCGCCCGAGTAGGCCCAGCCCTTGCAGCGGATCTTACCATTGTGGATCACCACTTGCTTGGACCATGGCGACATGATGGCAGAGGACACAGGCATCTCTTGGATTTGGATGCCATCAGTCATCTTGAGATTGTGCTTACCAACCTGCTGTGGGAAGTACACTACAGTATTGTTAGCCTTGGTTTCTTCATAGACGCTTTAAAACCAACAGTGATCACTCACGATACTCGGCGGACTGCACAGGAGCCATCGAGGGCTGTTTGATCCCTTTGATCAAATAGAGCCACTTTACTGATCTTGCTCCAATGTATCCAAAGACGACAATTCGTAGGGGGTAGCCATGGATTCGTGGCAATTCCTTGTCGTTCATCTCCCAGGCAAGCATCACTTCATTAGCCTTGACCTTGCTCCATGGAACACTGACAACGTAGTTCATGGCCTTGTCGTCCTTGAAATAGGTGTCTGCCCCATAGAACTCGAGATGCTTGTTGCCATCCGCCAGGCCTCCACAGGCTTTGATGACCTTCTTGAGGCTGATGCCGACGTACTTGGCCGTGCCAATTGCCCCTTCTGCCCAGGGCGCTTGTGGAACTTCATCGCCCTGGCCGGCGTACTTCACAATCTGCTCAATGCGACGGGTGCCAGAGCACTGGATGGTGATGGTCTTCTCCATACGTGGGAATTTGGATTCATCTTGGAGCTCGTCGACCGTGAAACTCTTGGGATTGACCACACCATCCACAAAGAAGCTGTAGTCATCCTTGTCGATGATTGGGATCCCACCGTGCTGCATTCTTGCATGTCAGTCAAAAGAGACATAATTAAAGGCGAGATGAGGTAGGTACGTACGTTGCGCACAAAGTGTAGCGAGTTTGGCGTGATTTCCTTGTCGGTTACCAGACGCTTAGGTGGCTCACCATTGTACGGGAACTGCAGCAGATGGAGCATGTCTGGGTGCTTTTCCTCCAGAACGAGCCTCCAAGAATCATCTGGGACCTCGGTGAGTTCTCCACCGACAGCATGATGCCATTGCTTCCAGTGAGTTCCTGGAAGGACTGGGTTCGTGCCTGGAATGGGTCCAAGCTGAAATTCGGGATTGGGCTTTGAAAAGTGTTCATGTTAGCCTTTCACGATTTAATGCATCCCAACCTTACACAAGAAGAGATCCATGATCAAGGAGGGTGGAAATGAATTAACTTTGAGAAAATTTGACTTACAGGAAATGTCTGGAGAGTGAGAATCTTGTGCGCAATGGCCTTCTTGTCGGCATGCGACTCCCACTCCACGAATCTGCATCAGTCACAGTTAGTAGATATTGATCTCACCCGGATCACATACTGCTCACCCTTTCCAGCCCTTGCGCTCCCTCTTGAAGAGTTGATCGCGATCGCCAATCTTCTCGAGGCCCTTGGTGTCTTTGGTGAGCGGCCCAAACATCTGGGGAGCCAACATCTTAGTCTTGGGCCCAGTCATGTCGAGGACAGGGAGGACAGCCCCCGACATGCCCTGCTCAATCTTCCATTCATCGGGGCGATTGGTGGTCTTTGGAGTTGGAGGTTCCTTTGACACCTTTGGCGCGGCCTCGTTCGCAGGAACACCTCCATTGGACTTGTGAGCTTTCTCGTTAGCAGGAGCACCCCCATTGGACTCGTGAGCCTTGGTCTTGGGAGCCATGATGGTTGCAAACTTGTTGGTTGATCTTCACCGTTTGGTTGATTTTGCTGAGAAACGGAAATTGGGATAGCATATCGACTCAATGAGAATAAAGTTTGTGGGATTCATATATGGCTTCTCGGGTGTAATGGTGACGAAATACAGCCCGCGATTGGGTTAAGACCTGCAGGAAGCAATGCTGCGTTGCACCAATTACCTCTGTGAAGCATGATCATAGTGTCTATCGAATTGGGAAACGGGCCTGTTAGCGGCAACCTTCATACATGAAATACTACGAATAGATAGGCTTGTGCCACTCACTCAGGGAGATGGAACTTTCTTAACCAACCACCCAACCACCCACCCGCGAGCTCCGGAAGCAGTGCCATCCCATTTCGGGATGAGCTGAAACATGTAGCTTCAATATTGACATGTAATTGGGTGTCGATAAGAAGATATTGCGGTGAGGGCCTCTAGATTGATATGTCATAATGCGAGGAGGTATGGCAATTATTTACTGTTAGGTATGAAAATTTCATCCCAATGATAGTCTGTTCTGGCCCAAAAAGATTATCTGAACAATAGGGGTCGTTCAATTGGATATTTATCTAAGTCAACGTTGCTCGGTATGATGAAGCATCTGGTATCAAAGGGGTAACGCAAGTGAGGGCCCGATAATCTCCTCTTATGGCGTGATGATAATGCTTGAGATGTCCTAAAGTCAATCGCCACTGCGGGGTCGGATACGATATTCAGCTGATGAGCGGTGAAGCTGTCTCACACCCCGCATTGCTCCCTTGATCTCTTCCAAGCTGGAGAAAGGGGCTTGCCGGCCTGGAAGAGAGTGACGCAAGATTAAGTAAGGTTTAGGTGGGCAGCTCAGGCAAATGAGCCAAGCCGGCGCCTCCGGATATATTCAAAGCTTCGTCATGTGGTTACCATGCTATCAATGGGATCATCATATAAGAAGACAAGTATTAGTTCCGCACAGATGGGAAAAGAAACCAATTGAAGGCTCGCCAAAAGAATAATCCCATTGGACATCGTATGAAAGTACAATGGTGCGTGAATGTCATATGTCACTATTGACTACAGCTCACAATTGATCTAGACTTCAAAAGAAAATCCCGAAATTAGCACCTTGGCCAATGGTAGGTCGTGTTTCTGTCCCTCACTCTGTCGACAGACAGTATTGACTGTCCCCAGGCCAACCAAGCGACAGCCCCGGCTCCGTCCAACAGGTGCGGTATGGAAACACCAATGGCGGTCTGGTCGTTTTGAGCGATGTGCAGACTGTGGAGGTACTCGCACACTTCGCCCGCGAGAGAATCCCCGAAAGGTACACACCTATCGCAAGCAATACCCGATTCTGCCACTGACCGGGATACGTAGGAGCGTCCATGCAAAGGCAGCTGGTGCCTTTGGCGAATTCGAGGCCCTCGACGATGTCACTGACTTGACAGACGCCAAGTTTCTGGAGAAAGGGAAGAAGTCGAAACTTCTGACGAGGATGTCAACTGTAGGCGGAGAAAAAGGTTCCAGTGACACCGTTCGCGATGTCCGTGGTTGGGCTACCAAAATCTATACCGAAGAGGGTATTCAGGATTTCGTCTTCAATGATTTGCCTGTCTTCTTCATCCGTGATCCCATCAAGTTCCCATCCATGAACAGGAGCCATAAGCGCCATCCCCGAACTAATGTGCCTGACAATAGCATGTTTTGGGATTTTCACGTCAACAATCCTGAGGGAATCCATGCCCTGATGCATCTCTTCGGCACCCGTGGCATCCCTGAGTCCCTGCGCCACATTAATGGATTTGGCGTGCATACTTATACTCTGAACAAGGCCGATGGAAGTTATGTTTATGTCAAATGGCACTTCAAGCCCGAGGGCGGTATCAAGACGATGGACCCCAAGAGAGCCATGAGATTGGCTGGTAGTGAGCCTGACTACCATGTGAAGGATCTGTTCAACGCCATTGAAAAGGGAGACTACCCATCTTGGGTTGTATACATCCAAGTAATCAAACCAGAAGAGCTCAAGAATGCACCGATTGACGTTTTTGATGACACTTATACATGGCCCTACGACAAGTATCCGCTTCGCAAAATTGCTCGCTTCACGCTGAATAAAAACGTGAGTAATATTTATATGTGTTGTATGGATTTTCGCGTCGGTAGACAAACACTGATGGCTTGTAGCCGAACAACTACTTCCAGGACATTGAACAAGCTTGTTTCTCCCCGTCAAACATGGTTCCTGGTATCGGCCCATCAGCAGACCCCGTCCTCCAGGCTCGCATGTTCTCGTATCCCGATGCTCATCGCTACAGGGTCGGACCAAATTACTTCCAGCTCCCACCCAATCGTCCATCCAACAAAGTCTATGCGCCGTACGTTAGAGATGGACCAGGAACTATGAATGGAAACTACGGCGGTGACCCCGACTATGTTTTCTCAGAGCTTCGGCCTGTGTCCACCAGTAAGCGAGTCACGGTTCCAACTCATGAGGACTTCAAGGGACATGTGACTGCCTTCTCCACGAATGTAACGGATCAAGATTTTGTCCAAGCGAGAAACTTGTGGCACATCATTGAGAAGGAAGAAGGTGGTAAGGACTTCTTCCTTGAGGGTATTTTACCCACTCTGGGCGATATCCCTGAGAAGCTCAGAAACCAAGTCTTAGGTGAGGCTCCACCCTTCCCATCAGCGAAAAGGTTTATCATTTGACCAGTTGTTTGCAGATTATTTCGGACGTGTGGACTCGGGTTTGAATGATCTGATCAAGCAAGGGTTGGCTAAAAACGGACAGGCAAAGAATGGGCATGCTAAAAATGGGCAGGCTTGATCCTTTTTCGGAGTAATCGAGATCAAAGCGGCTCTGCGCAGTTTAACTCACTGTTTTGCGCATGCAAGTGACGCAATTTTGGTCATGTATAGCTCTGTAGTGCTGGTTGCTAGTAGTCGTAATGCTGAAGCTATCATGAGAATGAGATATGTTGCTGGTTATCTGTGTTCATAATGTTTGAACCCGACCCTAGTGGGCATCGTGATTCGGTTAGATGAGAGCTGTATCCTAAGTACTGCTACTGCTCAAGAAGATCTCCTCAATTTCACTGTGATGTTATATTAGAAAGACGAGACGACAGTACAGGCAAGGCTAAGAAGGTCGACTTTATTGGTGCTTCATTAGGTTAAGCTTGAAAGAAAATCCTATGGCCTAATAGTTGCCCACTGATATACACGCATTTGGTACGACAGTAATGAGTCTCATGTTTATATATCGCAGGTAGGGAATAGGTTAACTATTTTTCACCTACTGTTTATTTTCTCTCGCCCTTTCTCTCGCACAAATATTCACACCAACCAGTTGATAGCCATGTATACATTGGTCATCCCACTTTGCACCTTCTTCCACAAGTAGTGTCCAAGATTGCTGTCTTTTTGGTGCACGCAGTAGTAGTCGCTAGGATTGAAAGAGCGAACATAAAGTTCACAGCGAGCCTTCAATCGTCGATGTCGCGCCTCGCGTTCTTCTACAGGTATCCCGAGGGCCCGCGCGAGTTCAAGGATCCAGGACAACGATTGGACTAGTAAGCTCTCTCGGTTGCCCACTTGCCAGCACGCCCAAATTTCAATGAGTTTTCGCAGCGGCCCTTCTTGTTTTTCGGGGCGTACTTGTCGCATGGACGGACCATGTTCAGAATCAGAGCATTTTTGGGCGCAATCCTCGTGCTTTGGGCTATGTGCGTAAGAGGTCTCGATGGGAGAGATGGGCTGGGTGAACGTGGATGTGATGATCGGGACAACCTGGCACTCCGTTTCATCAGCCATGACTGGGCTGGAGATGCCGACCATCAGAATTCCAGTGGCCAAGAACCATGCAACCTTCATTTCTTTTGCTGGTTGAGAAGTGATGATAAAGGGGCGTGTGTGTGTTTTTTGGAGGTTCTAGGTTTTTGTTGTTGAAAAGTTGAGATCATGTTCTACGAATAATCGTCAGCAAAGTGCATGACCGTCTTCGCATCGAGGTAAGCAGCTTTAAGGGATCCGAGGTAAGCAACAATTTGCAGGGGAGCAGCACGGTCTGATATTACCCCTAGACTTTCTCTAGTAAGCCAGGATTCTTATTCCATCCCATGCTCTTCCTCAAGCAATCGGATGGCGACGCAGGATACTTTGGATGTTAGTAATCTTAGCTGACTGGGTAAGAATTAAAAGCGCTTGACACAATAGAGTATCTTCAGTGGACACTGAAGTTGCAGCCCGAAAGAGCTCAGCGAAACTTGGTAAGACTAAGTACAAATGTCTCAAGAATCCCAGAGGTTCATGTTTAGGGCACCCAGAACTATGGATCATTGGTAGAATTGCACCTTGTCCCAGCTTCTATATTCCCTTCAACGGGCTGCTGAAGCACTTTGTAAACAGATATCATATCTTCTTCCCCCCAACCAGACTCTATGGCCTTACGATACAGCGACGCGGAGAGGAGGGCTAGGGGAGATTGAGTATTTGCCTCTTCGATCGCAGCTCGAATAAGCTGTGTGCTATTGTAGCAATCTCTGGCCGAGGCTTGAGGAGACCAGTCCTGGTGGAGCATCTTGGTCGTCTTAATTTTCGAATATGCTGAAGCCATGGGGCCTGCATCAAGAGCTGTGACAAATGCTTCGAGATTTAGGCCTTGAGCCCGTGCGAGATTCATCGACTCGGCAAGCCCGGCATTCATCGTAGTGAGGTAAAGATTGAGGGCGTACTTCATCTTCAACCCGGACCCGATCGGGCCACAATACACAGAGACGGTTGTCAGCGGCTCAACCAGCGGCTTAACACGCTCGGCGAGCTCTTGGTCTCCTGCCATCAAGCCCACGAGCTTGCCCTGCTCCGCCGGTACTTTGCTGCCGCTCACTGGCATCTCAAGAAACTCCCCGCCCGCATCGCGAACAACCTTGTCGAGGTACTGACTGCACTCAACAGTAACAGAGCTGGTATTGATCAACATCTTGCCGCGCAGAGCCTCCTTGAAGTCATCGGTCAGGATGGATTTGATGGCAGCACCGTCGAATAGCATCACGAAGGTGACATCGGACTGATTTATAACATGAGCTGGCGTGTGTCCAATACTGGCCCCTAGTTGCTTCAAGGGCTCGTATTTTGATTGAAGAGCTGATCTGTTCCAGACTGTGAGCGGGTTGTTGCTGGCAAGCCGGCTGGCCATAGGAGTGCCCATCATCCCCAGCCCCAGGAATCCGACCCTAGTTTTAATGGCAGCGGCGGTCATAGTCGTGAGATACGCAATGGGTGACTTGATTTCGAATGAAGTCGGAGGGGGATTCATCTGGCGACTGTTTAAATACCTGTGATTAAGATTTGGTCCGACACGCCGAGTCCGGAGTAAAAGCTGGGTCCACCCAAATGTCAATTTTACGCCCTACAGAGTGAAACACATTTATAGATTCCAATCACCCTGGTTAGTTATTGCAGTGATCTCATTGTTTGGTATGTCCGAGTTTAGACAGTCTGTGAAACATAAGTTCCTCACGGACTCCAACGAGGGTCACTTCATTGCCGCCTCGTCAACGACTATGATACGTGCATACAGGAGCTTAGATCATATCTGAATAACGAAATGAAACAGTTGATGTAGGTAATAAAACTGCATATCAGCTTCACTTTGGTGAATCAAAACGCCTACTAGCTGACATAGCTTTTCCATTGTAAGCTTGACTATCATCCGGCTGATACTTGACCAAGATCGAACTTCTCATTGTCTACATCCCACCCACCATCAGACCCATCACCAGAATCTGAAGGTCCAACGATGAGTTTCATTTCGTGTGTCGAGTTAGAGCACCTAATGCCTTCGTCAAAGCACTCCTGACATAACCCAAAATTGTGATCTGGGAGACATTCGTAGGAGGCATCACTTGCAAAACTGAGAGTACAGGCATCACAGAACCCATTCTCTGACTTGAAGGGAACAACTTCCACGGCAAGTTCTCCTTGATCGGTAAAAGGCCTGCCCATTTTTCCCGCATGCTCCTTAATCATCTGAACGACTTGTGGGTTTCCGCTACGCTGCGCCCACCATAGCAGATCTCGTTTGGCGCCACTTCGAGTCTCTAAATTTGTAGATTTGGAGATCAGAAGTTGTGCCGTATCGTAGTGGCCATTAGCTACTGCAGTAAATAATGGGGTCGACCCGCGCCAGTCCTTCATTTCTCGGTCGACTCGGCTATCTGACAACAGAGTCTTCACAGCTTGATGATGCCCATATACAGAGGCCAGAAACAGAGGCGTGCGACCACATTGATCCTGCTTATTGCAAATAAGAGCAGATGTATTGAGAAGCAGGCTTATCATCTCGCCAAAGCCGTGCTCGGATGCCATATGTAATGCAGTTTCCCCCTGGGAGTTCGCAACAGCAGGATCGGAGCCATGGCCTAAAAGCAGCTCAAGAGCTTCTGTGTGACCATGCCGGGAAGCGATCAACAGTGGAGTCCATCCGTCCGTATCCGAAGCCTCGACATTAGCTCCTTTTTCTAGGAGAATCTCGATGATTTCAACATGGCCATTCTGGGAAGCAAGCATCAATGAAGTCCACCCAACGGCATCCATAGCTTCAATATTGGCTCCTCGTCCCAAGAGAATCTCGACGGCTTCGGTATGACCATTTTGGGAAGTAATCATCAGTGAAGTCCACCCGTCATTATCTGCCGTCTCGATGTGAGCTCCTCTGTCAAGGAGAATCCTCATCGCGTCGACATGGCCATCTTCGGATGCAAATATTAGTGGAGTCCCTCCGTTGTCACTCGTAGCCGCGATGCCAGCTCCTCGTTCCAGAAGAACTCTCATAGTTTCGATATGACCAAGTCCAGATGCATGCATCAGTGAAGTCACCCCAGCTTCATCCGTGGACTCAACAGACGCTCCTCTACTCAAGAGAAGCTCAACTACTTCGCTGTGATTCTTCTTTGCTGAACACAATAATGGGGTGCAACCAGAAGAATCTCGGGCTGTGGTGTCTGCTCCCTTATCCAGAAGGAGCCTTGCCATCTCAACATTGCCAAGAACTGCGGCAAAATGCAAAGGTGTTCTTTGATGTCTATCCGTCGCTGCAACTGTAGCGTCATGTTCAAGGAGGAGTCGCACAACTTGGAGGTGGCCATTACTGGCAGCTAAGGTCAAAGGAGAGTCACCAACAATATTGTTTCTGTTGGAAACTCTAGCTTGTTGTCCCTGGGGGGTGTTGACGCTTTCTTCATACCCTTCAAAAGCTCCCTCCTGATTAATAGGGGCTACAACGCTAGCCTCATGTTCCAGAAGGAGTTTGACAACCTCGAGGTGGCCATTGCAGGCAGCTAAGTGCAAAGGGGTATTCTTCAATCGACCCTCGGAGGAAATAGAAGCGCCCCTCTCCAACAAAAGTTTCGCAATATGAGAATGGCCTCTGGCGCAGGCCAAGATCAGTGGGCTAGAGCCATCAGATGTACAAACCTCAACTGGAGCGCCGTTATCTAGAAGGAGCGTGATTACATCAAGATGACCACGCATAGATGCTAATGCCATTGGAGTCCATCCATGTACATCAAACGCCTGAATATCGGCTCCCTCTCTCAGGAGAATCTTCACAAGCTTGACGAAGCCATGTTTCGATGCTTTGTGCAGCGGCGTCACCCCGTTCGAGCCTGGCGCGGCATCAACCTTGGCCCCTCGCCTGATAAGTTTTTTAGCAATGTCCAAATTCCCTTTAGAGCAGGCCGCACCCAAAGGGGTTCGTCCGTGACTGCTTGCTCTGTTGACATCAGTGCATGCTGCTAATCTAGCCGCCAATGTATCCAAACCCAGCTTCACCGCATAAAAGAGTGGGCTTGGAAGGACACGTTCAGCCCGGTTTCTCTTTCTGCTTTTCCGGTCCAATTCGAAATAGTTTCTCCATCCAAACCAAGCAGAATTCTCTTCCTGGAAAAACAGGAAACAACTCGCGACTAGAGAGGGGTGATCTGGCAAGCCCAACCTTGCATGCTCGAACCATCGAGTAGCAGCATACTCTCGAAACGCCGCGCTCGGTAGTGGGTCATCGGATTTGTCTTGAGAGTTCTCCCAGGCTTGGGTGAGGCTTATATATTGGATACAGGCCTTCGCCACCAGTGTGTGCTGAAGCTTCTCGCAACTTGTCTTAAGGAGCTCCTCAGCGAAGTCATATCCCCCGATAAATGAGGGGGTGGGTAGCCTCGATAGAAGGAACTCTCGCACGGAAAAGTGTGGTATGTGTAGAGTTCTGTCTGCCGGCGCAGAGGTGGTAGAGGAGTCCCGGATTTCCAAGAGCGTCCCGCAAAGACCAATTATTTCACTTTCAATATAGTCATCGTCTATTTCATCAGGCAAATCTTCTGATAATAGCTCCCCTGACTCCATGATGAGCACAGCCTCAGTAATTTCCTGGACTGTAAATGGACGCAGAGCGACTACCAACCATCGCAGAATCCAGATGGCCCGAGATTGGTCATCTGGTTCTAAACTTGTGATTCGGTGCCAGTATTTATCATAAATAGACTCGAGCCCAGGGGGCGTATTTTGTATGACATTCCTAAGTTGCTTTTTGTTCAGTCCCTTTCTGAGAGAGTTCTCCTGTAATTTGAGCCAGAGAAACTGGCCATCACACCGAGCAGTCATTGCTTCAGAAAGAGTTGACCGAACATCGTCGGTCTTGTTTGGAAGCATGTTTTTGACAATTTCATTAGAGTAGGCAGCGGTATCAGACTGGACGTCGGTGGATGAGATCTTATATTCGGTAAGTGTCTCCGGCGAGCTCGCAAGGGCAGTTCGTATACTAGGTTCATCGCGGCTAACAAAGAGAACCCTGGTACTTGTCGTAGCTACGGCATCTATAACATGACGTATGAAGCTCGATACCGTTGTGTTTCCTTGGTTGGATCCTAGGCATTCATCAAGGCCATCGGCAATAAGAATGCAATCGGAGATCGTCGAGAGGAGTTCTCTGAAGAGTTGAAGGACAGCAGAACGCGATGCAACTGGGTCATGGTCGGCCTCCCATATCCCAAGAACGTCTTCAAATGCACCTGCGCCTGAGTCACATGATACGAGCTGAGAGACCCAGGACCTAATGGCAATGAAAGGATCCCTAGAGCCCTCAGTCTCAGATGAGAAGAAAAAGTGCGCGACGGGCGTGCTTTCGGTGGATGAGAGATAGTCTACAATGCGAGCACAGAGAACAGTTTTCCCAAATCCTGCAGGGGCATGAACCCATAGGAGGTTTCGAGAGGCAGAGGCATCCAGCCAGTTTAAAAAGGCAGGCCGGTGCAGAAACCAGTCGCAGGTACCATTGACCTTCTTTTGGAGGGCCTCTTGGTAGAACTCGGTTGGAGACTGGTGACCTAGCCAGACATAGAGTTCACGAAGGAACTTTGCTTCGCGGGTGTTAGTTCAACCCTATGCTCCCTCAAGTGAGCCACATCTTACCTTTGATTTGGCTATCCCGGCGAACAAGCATACGCCGTATATCATCAAGCCCAGTTTGGTGCATGTCGAGTTCTTCCCTTAATTAGATGTGAATATAGTGAATGGCCGTGCAGGTCCATACCTGGTACTTTTTCGTCTCCATATTGAGGCGGCGAGCTCATCATCTCCCCTCCTCCTGAAAGCGACACAAGCTGGTACAGCCCGTCCACCAACTTCTCAAACAATTCAACTTTTTCCATGCGACCATCTTTACCCCAGAGTGCCCATTGTACTCTGCGTTTCTTGGATTCGGATGATGTCGAGGCATGAGTGCCGTTTGATCTCAGGGCCGCAATGTCGTGAGTCTTAAACAGACGGGTTTGCTTCGGGGACTTCTGACTTTCATCGCATATGGCCTTCAAGATGATTTTCAGCGTTTCGGCTATCACCTCTGCTCTGCTTGGGTCATCCAATCCAGGATGGTGGTCGGCCAGCAATTTGCCGTGTTCTATCCCGACAGCTGAACCCCACGCTTCGAAACGGACTTTGGCGACCTTGAATCGCGTTTCCAGAGCCCCGGAATCAGCGGTGTATGACTGATAGGACTGTACTCTCTCAATGGCTCCCACGCAGGAGCTGAAGATCCCCGCGAGGCCGGCGACGCCGACCACGAGGCCAGCAAGCTCCATTTCGAGTTTGTGACTGATGGCAAAACGGTTACTCCTCCCATTGCGACACAGCCACTCTCTTATGCAGGCGTATTAGCTAAGCGCCAAGGTATTCACTGCTCCGCCTCTAATAGCATCTTCACCCAGCAGTCAGTCCCAAGTTTAGCATGTACGAGACCAATGTGAGGGATAGGCATGCTATTTTTCGAAGTGTCAACAAAGATTATCGGTTCAGGTTGGGTTATTCTTAGCTTGCCCCAAAGAGCAAAATACAGCTTGCGGGGCAAGCTTTAGACAGGGGTGTTGGTGAGAGTTTTCTGAATGGGGTGGTCCAACAGGGGTAACAAATCGAGCAGGATATCTCACATCTTCGACCAACCGAGAGATATATTTTTTGCTTCGCCGAGATCGTCAAAAGCGTTTAATCCGTTCCCAAGTTGATGCGCTCGGAAGAGCAATGGCAGGTATTAGGAATAGGTGAAGGCCAGGCCCGGGATCAGCCCACACACTGATGGCTTCCATTCCACCTGGCTACATAATGTGGATCAAACTTGTTCTGCTAAGTGGCTAACAAGACCCAAATTTCGTACATGCCCCCCTTGAGGACCTTGCATTAAGTCGTTAAAAATCGCAATCACGATATTCGGCAGATAATGAAAGGTCAGCCTTCATGATTTGCCCGTAATTGAGCAGATAGTTCTGCTAGTCTAGTCACCAGCATTTATGGTCCGCTGACGGTTTTAGTCAAAAAGAGTAATATCTTGTTAATCAAAAAGAGTTATATCTTGCGGGATGTCTGGGGTAGGGATAGGGTCGCACCCATCGAGGTGCGATCCTAGATAGATAGATAGATGCGATCCCAGATGTATAGGGGCGACCCTAGTCTGGGGACCAGATAGGTTCCCGGGGTATATATCCACCGACGACCAGTCCTATTTGTAATAGAGATCGGTACCACTCAGCAAGATCGGTTGCTCGTCCAGCTCAGGCGTAAATCTTGTCTTCACCATCATCAATCTACCTTTCACCACTTAGCGGACGCCCAGAGCAGCCCAAACCACAGCGAAAAGTCAATTACTCTCATCCTCCGCAATGGCTTCAAGCACGGACAACAAATTCACCCTCTATACTTGCCATATTGTAAGTAGAAACTCTCATAATATGCGAGCTACGTGTTAAAGTTGCTGACGCCTATACTTCCAGTGCCCATGTAAATGCTTCAAATCTGGAAATGGCTTCTCAATTGCCGCTAACATCTTCATCAGGGGCGCACCGGGTATATATCGTTCTTTCTGAACTTGGCCTCCCGTTTGAGGAGGTTGAGATTGACCTTAGCCGGCCCCGCGACCCATCCTACCTTGAAATAAATCCTCGTGGCCTTGTGCCATCATTGAAATACAATGGCGAGATCATTACCGAGTCTGCCACCATTGCGCAATTTCTAGCAGATGCTCACCCGTCGCACCTCGTCCTTCCATCAAACGCTCCAGGTGGCGCTCTCCAAAGAGCACGGATCGGCTTTTTTGTAGATGCTTCCATAAGCAAAGTTGTAGCCAACCTTGTGGCCTTCATTGGGGCCAAGACAGACGCAGAGGGCGTAACTCATATTGAAGCTTATATCGAAGGGGTTGTGAAGGAACTGGAGCCGCTCCTCAAAGACGCAAAGCCCTTCTTCGGTGGAAGTGACAAGCTTACTTTGGCAGAGGTGAGTACATTCGCCCTTTCGCAACAAATTTCCTTTACTTCGCTTAGACTAATTGAATCTTTAGGCTCTCACTGGCTCATTCGCCATTCGTTTGTTGGCCCTTTTCAAGACTGGGGTGATCCCGAGCAGCTTGGAAGTACAATTGAAGGAGAGGGCCCCGGCCTTCTACGCGTGGGCAGTGGCCGTTTCGAACCATCCAAGTGTTACTGGAAATTTCAATGAGAAGGCAGTTGTCGATTTCTACAAGGGTCAAATCGAAAAGCATCGCAGCCCGGATTCAGAACACTAGCCCGTTTATCCTAGTCTTGCGAAATAAATAAGAAACGAGACGCAATATAATTTCCCTATCGAGGCTTCTACACGATGCCCCTTTGATGCATGGTTCTACCCCTACCTGTGTCTGATAAGTACATGTATCGCCATCCTGCTGTGATGGATACGGTTGGCTGAGGGCAGGCCGTGTTTACATCAAGTCCCCTTCAATTAAGCTTAAAGATGGGAGGGGCGGGAGAGCTTGTAAACTCGTCAAGTCAAAAATAGCAACAAATCATCTTGGTACACCAATTTCAAATTCTAATAAACTTCAGTTAGGCTTTCGGTCGCCATTTAAGAAACATATAATTAAGTTTCAATTGAGTTAATTTCATGACAGGAAGTCCTATTTTCCTTGGAAGACAACAACTCATAGAAAAGGAATAATTGATCCGCTGTAAGACATCTGTTCAAAGCCACAGTTCTCATCCCTCTTTGGTATGTTCGACAAATACAGGGTAAGTCGAATTATTGAACTGTCCGAGATAACAGAGAAATCTACTGTTATGCCTCTTTAACCACACTACCATGGAAGGTGAGGGAAATGTATATGTCACTTAGGGCTTAGACGAATTCGTGCATCGCTGCTGGATGGCCTCCACGGCCAGCCTAGACGAAGACCCCCTTCCCAACTCTTGGGCCAGAATTTGTCTTCATGATCTCGACACACGGATTCTTATGTCAACCTAGAGCCTTTTAGCGTGCTCCGAGGTCCCCCAATTAACTCGTCTCTTAGAAATGAGCGCGAGACTGGAGATTTGAAAATTTTGAAATCGACTACAATAGCGCATCAAATAATGAGAAAAAAAGTTGGCTTGTTTATTGCAGCTAGAAGTAGAGCATTCCGAGATCGGTAATGAGGTATGCAGTTCATGGTAGTCGAAGGTCTGCGCGGATGACTACCTACTTTCGTCGTCCACAAATTCCTCATTCTCATATTCTTGATCTTTTCCATCTGACTACATTGAAAACTTTGTAGCCAGTTCTTTCTCTCAATTGAGGATATCCTTCACACAGCAGGTTCTTGAAGACCGACGCTGATTGACTCATGATCTTGGCCCCTCCCTCCGCCTTTGTGTCGTTATGGCCTTCCACTAAGATAAGGTGTATCGGACGAGATACAGCCTTCATCATCTATATGTACGGAGCGCAGCTATACTCGTTGAGCATACACATATAGTTCATAACCTCTAGAGTGTAGCCCTTAGCGGCGTAGTTCTTGCAGCATGAAATTTGATCCGCGGTCTGGGCGGAAGCCCCAAGTGCGAGAGCAAGGGTGATGATGGGGAGAGTGGCAAACTTCATATTGTAGGATTGGCAGTCGAAAATTGAAAGTAAGTTATAGAAGATTTCGTAGATATAAAGTTGGATTGTTTAGCTTTAGGCTGGCACTTATGTCCAGAGGATGCTTAGCTAGAAAGTGCGGAAGGACTTGTTATATACTTTGATATGATTCCAATTCCTCCGCCATGACTGCGATTGATATCTACGCAAGGTGGACGCATGAAGTTCAAGCGAGCTGATTCGATCAATTCCGACACCACTTTCTCACAAGCCCTCGACTCGAAATTTGGCAAATCAGGATTGGGCAAAATTTCGAAACTACCAGCTACCCCAGAAAGTCATGCTACATCACCAGATCCGAAACCGTTTGCGAGCGAAGCACCGTGATTCGACGCGATCCGAGCAGCTGCACAGGCCGCGGCAGATTTTCATTATCTGCCACCTACGCACCGAAAGCCTGCGGAGGCATGTGATGATCTACCGAACACACCTTCCAAAGGAGTTGCGTATAAACGATGGGGTTGGGGGCCTGGTGATACGATACATAGTAGGACAAGCGACTTGGTCAATGCACACGCATTTGGATGGCAAAATCGGTTAACACGGCAAGATGGGATGCACGATACGCATCATAAATTGATTGTTAACAACTGAAGCAAGAGTAGGTGCTGCTGCTGCTTGATTCATTGTCAAATGATGGATAGGTTAGAGGAAGTCTGAGCTCCCCTAGACGTTCGTTGACAAGCTGCCTTGCCGTTTGAAGGGCAAAAGCCGGGTTTTCATTAGCATTTTGTGTCATCCTTGCAGCGTGGCCGAGATGAGAAAGGCAGAGCTTTCAATCTCGAGAAATGGATATGTCTGATGCCGACAGTGGTTCAGAACAGCCGCCTGAGTGCCTCAGCGGAGATAAGAATTCTAATTCTCGGGATTATACGAAGAGGTTTGACCAGCTCCGGAGATTTTCTTTGATCTTGTGCTTGGGAGCTTGTATCTGGGGCAAGTTCTGAGGAATCAGGGTAGTTAAAATCTGGAGCGTAGCATGCGCATGGTATTGTGTTGTTACATACCTCTCGCTTTACTCTTGGCTCTTTTCAAGTTCCTGCTAAAAATCTGAGCCGGTGCGATCCAGGGTCCTTATTGTCCTCGAAGCTGGTTCAAGGTGTCCGCCAAGACGATGTTCCTAGAGCATCCGTGTCGAACGATGAGGGCACAAGCAATATGGGGCCTATTTGTTACTTGAGCTTGTAAATGTCAAGACAGATAGTGACTTATTTTTGATCACAAGGACATAATGGTAATTGATAGTCTTTATTTGTGGGTTTACGTGGTATTCGATTGGTTTGGGGTAATGTTTAAGAGCAGGCAACATAGTCTGGGATCGCTCTCCTAGGTATGCCTACAACCGCTTGGGGCGTGCTAAAATCGCTGTGCAAAAACTGACCCTAACCTTAACCCTAACCTTAACTCTGAACAATCCATCCGGCTCCAGGTTTGGCATTGACCTTTTTCGACAACGTTTGAAGTAGGCATGTGCCAAAAAGATGGGCTTTATTAGTGATATGAAGACTTTTAATCTCTTAACCATTTCGCCGATTTACAGGTTATGTGCAACAGCAGGCTCGGCTATGATCAATCCAAAATCCAAGTAGATGTCTGGTTGTAGTCTGTATATAAGTCGAGGGCGCAGTAACCTTCTGCTAAGAGTCTAAGCCCGGCTGCCGTCTTCCATAATCCGTTCGAATTCTCCTTGAGTATGGCGCCAAACCTCGTCCAACATACCTCGATCTCTCAGCCCAGCCAACTTCTCGCGTACTGCAGGAGAGGCACTTTCACAATCCACACCCACAGAATACACCCCTCTGCCCTCTTCTCCTGTCGTACTTATAGCCACGTTGATCCCATCTACCATTGTTATCCCCGCGTTCTGACCGCTCACAGGCGGGTACTTGGCACTGGTTGCCATGAACACCTGTCTCTCGCCACACTCTTCCAGAGGTAAAAAGGTGAGAGTGCGCAAAACCTCATCCGGCATAGAGTCCAGGAGCGGGGTCTTCACAGTGCCGGGGTAGTTGTGCACAATGCTGACCTCTGGAGCACCTCTCGCCACGTTTTCCAGCCCGAGAGTGACTAGAGTTGTGAGATATTCGCGGAGATCAGGAACTGGCACACGCAGCGCCTGAAAGTCGTTTGGGTCCAGATTGCCCTCATGCCCACCGCCTCCCACCGCCACCACACGGCGAAGCCCCGGCGCCTGCTGGACGAGTGGCAGGAGATTTTGAATGAAGCGCACCCGGCAGTAGTAGTTCAATGCTGCCAAGAGGTGGAGATGTTCACTAGTCTCTGCAAGAAGTAGTCAGTAAGTGCTTTTGCTAATTTGGATGCTTGGTGACCCTACGAGCTCGATCAATGTTCGCAACGCCTGCGGTCAGGAACAACAAGTTCAGGAACTTCTCCTTGGCCTTGATCTCGTTTGAGAGCTCATCGACGTTTCGTATCAGGCTCACATCGGCTTTCATAAAGATGAACTCGCCATCTGGATTTATTGCTTTGCACTCTGTCAAGATGCGATCTGCGGCATCTTGAGAGCGACCAACAATGTAAATACGCGGGCTACGCGCATACTTTGCCAAAGTTTTGACGGTTATTTCTCCAATGCCGCTCGTCCCTCCGAAGAAAACCGCAACGAGGCCGGCCGGAATCACCTTGGGGATGAGAGAATTGGAGGCGGAAACACTGGAGAGAGAAACCATAATGAACAGTATTTATCGAGGGATCTGAATTATCTTTAATTCGACAATAGGTCTTGCTGCTATTTATATCGAAAACGAGCATCATTTATCATGTTCTCATAACAGGTCGCCATGAGATGTTGGATATCAGCAAGCGCCGAATGTGGCTCCAAAACGCCGAACCAAAACGCCGATCGTGCATTAGCGTGACTCATTCAATTTCACTTCACGTGCTGTTACTCCCTCCGCTTTCACTCTCTTTAATGTTTCCTTCCACAAGACTTGCTCTCTGGTCAGCCACGTCATGGATCTAGTCGTCACTCCGTCTGCAGCTTCGGCATCGCCGTCGACGTCTGAGTCAACCTCGAAGTCAGTTGTAACAATATGTTCCGGCTCTGCCGAACAGCCCCGCCACCAGCTCTCGAGCAAGACTCGCTTGTCCTGCGACCGGTGCCATGCACAAAAGCTCCGATGTGTCAAGAACGAAGGCATAGCTACATGTCGGCGATGTCTCAGACTAAAGACGCTATGCCGGTATAGCCCCCGTGCCACGAGGTCGTCCACGAAGCCTGGGGGACAGTCCACCCATCTTCCTCAACCAGATCACGATGTCACACTCTCGACGGGCGAGTCTCTGGAAGATATAGAGCCAGTGCCGGTGACTGCGAGTTTAGGTGATGTTGACTGGTGGGTTCCAGTGGATACGCCGATAGGTCTTGTCGAAGGCCAAGGTTAGTCTCCCTACTCATGCCACTGTTCAAGATATAGATCATAACAAGATACCGGGAATAGTAGGTTCGCGTTCAAATTATGGCTGTACTATACAAGGCGGTCTTGGTGTTCAAGAGATCTTCAGCACTAGTATATTTGACAGTCTGGGAGACACAATCATACCGGGCAATCACAGCTCCGTCGACTGGGACCTCATATTTCCAAATGACCCTATAAAGCAAACCCTTCCCTTAATCAACACACCCAATCCCCCCATTGGGCGCATAGCTCAGAGTATAAATCAAAATGCAGGAAGCTCCCTAGTATCTACCTTCCAAAAATTAGCGAGCCTCAGCGCCCAGATTTACGAATGCGGCGCAAACTTGCCATCCCCGCACAGGAGCAGCACAAGACAAACCCATACGGGCTACAATATTGGCATCAACGCCGCGCCAAAGTCGGCTCACTTTATCTTCGATGAGCTATTCCGAGTCACCACGGAGTTTATCGAAATTTTAGGGTGCCTTCCTAACTCAAGAAGCGAGGAAGACACCGTCCTCTGTACAGCCTCTCCAGGCTTTCAACTATCACAGTCGTTTAATTCATACAGTCAAGACATGCCATCCTCAGACCAATCAGTTGTTGGAGGTCACATGGCATCACAACCTTGGCCATCGTCGCATGTTGACGATGCAACTGCCTTCATGATCATGTCCTGCCACAGCAGCCTGACAGAAACATATGGATCCATCTTGCAAATGATGCAAATGTGTTTAGAGCACTCGCTTATTCCTCAAATGGGTAGCAGCTGGCTGGTCATTCTCCCACGGGTGCAAGTTGGCTCGGTCGAACTCCCATCGCTGCAGGTGGGCGATCAAACGCCCGTCTCCTCCAAAGCCACGTCGTCAATGTATATGATGACGGTCACCATGCTCTTCTCGCGGTTGTGGACGCAGCTTGCAAGTGTCTTAAGGGAAAGTGCCGGCGCAAAATCTAGTACTGGAATAGCGCAAAACTCTTCATTGGTAGAAACAATGTGGGATACAGCATTAGACAGGACAGACAAGTTGATACAGACCATTGACTCTATGAAGAGTCAATTGCATGGATGAACAATCGTGGTAGATCGATTTTGCCTCGACAAGTGTGTGTCAGAACAATTTTCCCAATTTATGCAAAGTCTGAGTCCCGTTCGGAGTTGTTTTTAAGTAATGCCAATATGTGCAGATATCATAACGATCAAACCGACCCCTGGTCTAATTTTGATCATGTTGTTGACGATAACTTCGCATAGTAGTTTGACACACATCAACCAAGGTGTAGCTCGGTCAGCGCCAGCGTTACCAGCGCGGTCACCACTCAGTAAAACAACTCTTATTGGCTAAATATATCACCTGTGGGATAGCCGAGTTCTTCCTATTGGATGGACGGCCTTCCCGCAAATCAGGGCTAGTTCACCCCTCGAACTTCACGAAGAGGGGGCAAGGTGCAAATTTCAAACCTTGCGTCCATGCCCTCAAAAGAAGGAATGTACTCAGTGCAGGGAATATGAAACAACCCACAGAATATTCCTGGACTGCACGAGTCACCGATACACTTGTCAGTTATTGGAATGTAGTTCTCGTTCTCCTTGTGATCTACTACTTCACTGCCACCGTCTTCAGCCGTGGCCTTCATAGAATCCCTGGGCCTTTCCTTCGAACAATCTCCCCGATACCGCGACTATGGTCTGTGTATAAGGGTTTCAGTCATGAAGATGATTCCGCTTTGCATGAGAGATACGGACCAATTGTTCGCCTGGGGCCTAACCTCGTCTCTATAAACAGCGCAGATGAGCTCAATACCATCTATGGAGTTTCAGCCCTGTTTTACAAGTCTCGATTCTATTCTCTTGCCGAGGGATATGACGAAGAAGGGCTCATTCCCGATCCATTCGTGACGACCGATAAGCTCATGCATTCGAGACTCAGACGCGGTGCTGCAAATGCATACTCTCTAAACTCGATGGTGCAACTGGAAGCATACGTTGACCCCGTTACTGAGCGGTTGGCAAACAAAATCCGGAAAGAATATGCGACAGGAAAGAAGACTGTTAATCTCGGCAAGCTTGTGCAGCAGTACGCCATGGACGCCATATGCGCATTAACATACGGCAAAGACCTGAACCACATCGAAAAAGGAGACTACCTTGGGTTCTTCAAAACAAGCTTAATCATAAATAGCTACATGAGCATTGTAATAGAACACACTCTAATCTTCCATAACAATTCATTCACTGACTTCTGACTTCAGTTCGGCCAAATCCCCTGGATCCATAGATTTCTTCTCGGAAACTCGTTCATAGCACCCTTCATTCTCGGCCCCGAAAGTAATGAAAAGATCATTCAGCTTGCCAAAGAAGAAATAGCAGCGGATGGTCTAAGGGGCGAAGGGAAAGACGAGTCACTAGACCAGCCCTCAACCTTTTTACAGCGCCTACTCTCTAATCAAAGAACAAACCCTAAATCAATCAATGAGCGTGAGATAATGGCACACTGCTTCAACAATATCGCTGCCGGCAGTGATACGACGGCCATCTCTATACGGAGTATACTATTCAACACGTTGAAGCATCCTCGCGTCCACCAGTTATTAAAAAATGAAATCCGCGAGGCGTTCCCAGCGTCCGGACTGGGATCAAAACTTATATCTTTTCGACAAGTCAGCAAGCTTCCTTACCTAGGGGCGGTGATTATGGAGGGAATCCGGCTTCATCCATCAGTTGGCCTGATGCTGGGTCGTGTTGTGCCTGAGCCTGGTGAAACCATTTGCGGATATTTCCTAAAGCCCGGCGTGGAGGTTGGGATAAATCCTTGGCTTCTGCAACGCAATTCGGAGGTCTTTCCGAAATCAGACGACTTTTATCCAGATCGCTGGCTGCCTGAGAACACTTCCAAGGAGAGGCTTATATTAATGAACAAATGTTGGATTCCGTTTGGCCACGGGGCACATACTTGTAGTGGCAGGTGGATTAGTTGGATGATGATTCACAAAGTAATTGCTACGCTCATCCTGCTATTTGATATGGACTTGGTGGAAGGCGGAAAAGATTACACTTTTCGAAACTACTGGCTCACCCCACAGGAAGGACTATATATATCGCTAACGAGTACCTCTTCTTAGCAGGTAGTACACGACAGTGTTTAGATTAATAATGGAGTGGTTGATGTACTGAGTTGTAGGTTCGGAGTTATCCAGTCTTTGCAAATGTAATGGTTTAGTTCACAGGCATTTTGATGCTGCAAGGTGTTCTGAAATGTCATATTTTAGGGTGCTTCGGACTTCGAACATAAAATACTGCAAGAATTTATTGTCCTCGTTGCGCTTCCTTTCTTCGATTCTGTCCCCTATCAAGACATCTGACTTCTTTCTACAACTCAGTACCTCCCACAACAGATTCTGTACACGTAGACCCAAAGTCCTTCCCGGCGAAACGGTCCGCAATAAACTGAATCCACTCGGTAGAACTGTCCCTAAGTACTGAGCCGTGGTCTCGTCCCTCGTAAACTGTTCGATGAAGGATATTGCCGTAGCCGCAAGAGGCGTCAAAAGAAGCTTTGGAAGACTCTGGGCTCACCAGAATATCCGAAGACCCGTGGATGACGAGCAGAGGTTTCCCAGCAGGGTCTCCCTGGGCTGGAGAATTAAGAGCCTGGAATTTCTGCATCTGAGAATCTTCTGTGTTACTCAGACTCAGGAATACGTCGTTGGGAGTGAGGTCCAGCATGAGACCACCAAGAGCGTAAAGACAGAGCTGGCCAATGCCTGCCAGCTCGATCCTTTGCTTGACCTTCTCCGTCAGTAAGGGTGCATCGTAATCGCCAGGGAAGTATCTCTGGAGACCAAGAGTTGTCGGCGGGATGGTTGTCAAGAAGGTTTGAATCTGATCGGCAGTACTGGCGTTGCTTTGGAGGTTCCTCAGAGCAGATTGAAATTGATCACTGAGCTTGGTTGGCGGAGCCACTGCCACACCCCCGAGGTAACCACTACTGACATCCTGGACGAGCTTGTGTTCTGAGAGCTGCCAGGTGACACCACCACCTTGGGAATGGCCTAGAGAAACCCATTTATGTGACAGTTGTTGGGGGAAGGCCTTCTGTGCCGCCAGGACAGAGTAGTAGACGTCGTTTGCCTGTGCCTTGCTGAGATACAAATGCTCTGTGTAGTTATTTCCAAGCCCAGCAAAGTCGGACACTACGACTGCATAGCCAGCTGCGACAGCTCTCGGCCACCCATCGTCATTGAAAAGCCGAGTATACGTCGAGGGGGCGCAGCCTCGGTAGAGGCCGGTTGTTCCATGAGCGAATGCGACGAGGTTAGATCGCGAATCGTTTGCAGCAGGGGGCAAAGCAATCAGCCCTGTGACCGGGACAAGTGTACCATCCAACGCTGCGGATGTGTACTGGAACTTGTATGCTGTTACACCTTCGGGGGCATTGGAGATGACAGAGGAATTGCTAAGAGGCAATACCTTGAGTAGATCACCGGGCTTCGATTCGAAAAAGTTGGCAGCAGTTGCGTAGAAGTTGAAGTCGAAGTTTGTTCCGAAAGTTCCTAAGTCTAGAACATTCATCTGGGCTATTATTTGTTGGCATACGGCGTCACAAGAGTGCGATTCCGCGACTTGAGTCGGCACGTCGAAGTTGGAGGCTTGTTGGGAGTTTGCAAATCCCAAACCCATTGCCATCGTAGCCAAGAGAACGATTTTGGACCCTGCGTATCTTGCCATCTCGATGATGTTGTAATACGAGTTGTGGAATTTCAATGAGGCGCACCGCTGGGAATGATCGGATGCATGGGATGAGGTCTGTTAAGATGTAAATCAATTCTCATTGTCAACTCTTTACTCGGCCTCAGCTAAACGCATTACTCACCCGTTAACAAATGGATGTATCACAGAACCTATATTATATGTAAACCATCCCCCTTTCAGGACTGTGAAACACTGAGCAGTAATTACCTGCTCCACTTGTTCTGGCATGTTAACTTGCACAGCCCCTCGCCTCTTCCTGCACAGCCTCGCTCAGCATTGAATGCAATCTGCTGCTCGCGCTAATCAGTAATTCTGTTACATGTAACGGTAGATCCGGTCAGTCAAGATACTTGACATCATCCCCAAACGAGCCCTCTTGGGCCTACCAAAGCTCTAGCCACATGAATGCCACCGTCTCCAAAGGGAGTCGCTCGAGCAAGGCAGGCGAGACTTGTGGCTAGAAACAACGTCCCTCTCAACAATAATAAAAGAAATTGACGCTCTCAACTAGAAGCGAAATGTTTTTCATAAACAGCTACTACTGTACGAATTGAACTGTAATACTCGCCGAATTGTCTATGGAGCTTTATCGTTTACAATGGGCATGGGTCATTTTTTGGGTCACAGCCAGGCTCTCCAGGCCACTCTGCCTTTTCATTGCCCAAGGAACAAGAAGGCCACCAAGATTCATACCACCGCACCAAATATAAGCGTAACTAAGACTCGTATTGCAAGCAGCGACTCTTTATGGAGGGATGGTCCAATTAGGAAAAGCTCCGGGAGACTGAAGATTCCGTGAAGGATCTGGTCAGATTTTATACCTAATCATGGTATCCAAGCTTTATAATCCACATCTGATAATCCTATTTTAAGATTGTAGTCGTACAACAACCGTCTTAGCTAATTACATACACATATCCGGATCTCTCTAGGGGGGGCTTTGGGAGCCGGGAAGAATGACGAGAACTCCAACTGAAGCTTGACTTAAGCGGACCATTCTACTGAGGGAACAAAGAGTGCTGTTCAATAATGCTTAAAGACCCTTCAATCAAAAAGACTCATTGGACTGGAAATCAAATTAGGGGTTGGAGTTCGTTAAGCTGAAGAGGTGAACGCTAATGAGTGGATTTTCGAGGCTGGAAATTGAAGAATTGAAGTTCATGTGTACAAGACTGCATACATATATAGAATGAGAAGCCACTTCTTTCTTTTGAGGTCTGTCGAAGGACCTTTTGGAAACTAACGTGTTGGTAAGCAGAGTTGTTGGGGTTTACGATTTTTCAAATCTAGTACAATTTATCGAAGATCTCGTTTAACGTTTGTAGAGAGACTTAAGTAAGAGGTCGACTAGGAGATGCGTGAATTGACACAACAAGCGGACTCTAATTTCTATTGTTCACTTAAATTACATCTAATTAACATATTCTACAGATAGAGGCTACATTATTTAGCACCCTGTTCTGGTCCAGGGAAATTAGATACATACCTGGTCATATAGGGTAGGCCGGCCTCAGGGATCCATCTGGGACACGCGATTCGCGTCTTGACGCGCCTCTCCACCATTGAGGAGTCCTGACAACACTCAGCCGATCACCGAGCAGCTCGCCCTGCGTGCCTCTGTCAACAGTCCGCGTGTTCGCAAACACCAATACCATGTTCACGTACCTGCTGTCGCTTAGCGGGGGCGACACCGCGATCACCGCGCTGTCCAGCGCCTCCTACACCGACGGGTTCGCTCTCCGGGGCCCTTCGCCGACAATGCCCATCCTGAAATACGCTGCCGCTGCCCGTTCGAGCTGTAGACTCTCCGACCCGTACGCCGTGCCTAGCCTTTTGGTAACGAAGTGATACAGTCAAACGAGGCCGCCGCCCGAATGCCAAACGGAATGGACACGAAGACGACAAGGAACTGCGTCGACATGTACTCGCCCGCGACGATGAACCGCGAGCCGAGCCACAAGCCAAGCGAATTGAGGAGGAACTCGATCGACTGCGACAACGGGGAAACTAAGCGAGCCGAACATGATAATCATCAGCGCCAACTTGGCGATCTGGTCGAGTGAGGTGTTGTCTTCTTTGCAAGTCTGCTCCTGAGCGTGAGCGATGCCAGCATACAGATCGATGTATCACCTCCTGCGTCAGCGCCCGCTCGTTTCGTTCTCAGGTTTCTGCTTCAACCAGCTTCGCCCAATCTCGGAGCTAATGATGACGGGCATGCCGGTGAAGACCACGACTTGCCTGGGCTTCTAGCCGCAAAGCGATGCTAAGAATACTCGAGGGGCAGGCGTTGGTGGCGCAGACTAGGAACACGAATTGGTTCTGTCAAATGCAGCCCGGTGGTTCCTTGGGAACACTCAAGAGCTTGAACATCAGCTACGCTGGCGAATAATGATCAAGATATGGATATTGAGATGGATTGGCCCGGTGTAAGTGATTTTCTCTTTAGCGATGCTCTAGTTGATTCGGATGCCATCTGCAAGCCGTACCGTGTTAGCCTGTCCCTCACATGCAACGTAGACAAGACATCGTAAAAATGTAGCTTGGATAAGGGATACGAAGAACTGCTCATCGTGCCTGGGAAGTAATGGAGCCGTTGGCCATGATATCAAGCCGGCTGACCTCTATCTTTTCCAATCAATCATTATTCGTCCGTAGCGAACGAGAGACATTACGTAGATACGACTCTGTGGTGGCGGTTCCATCAGATACATAGATTTGAAGTCCTTTGAATGGAGCTGGGAACAATACGGCAGAGGAAACTTTTGGGAGATAACTCTTATAGATTTCCACAAGGTTTCTGACACCCTCTCGCCTCTCAGAAACACAGTGGAGAAGCTAAAGTTCTGGTTCTAACTTGGGCGTGACCACGAATTAGCCGATCACATAGAGGACTGTCCAAGGTAATCTCCGTCTCCATGATTTCCTACGACTCACCGAATTGGTTATCCCACTTACATCACGCTCTGCAACGGATTGGCGACCTCTGGTTTTGAAAGACTACGCCCCTGATAGTGTTGAGGTCCTCGCTTTCCCTGGCGCTGCCTTGAATGATGATTCGTTTCCTGGAATCTAGGATATTGAGCAATTTGAACACGAGAAGATTATTCCTCTCCTCCAGTCTCTGTCTGGTGCTCGCCATATGAAACTGCCACGATTCCGACTTGTGGAACTGCTTGATGACAGTGAATAGCGCGCCCGTCGTGCACTAAGTGGGAGGGTTGTAGAGCTGGATATCGGGTTTGATGTGTAGTTCGTTTAGGTTCAGCCATCATCTGATAATGATGTTTTCAGAATATTAAATAGCAGAGGGTAAACTGTTCTGATCTATATAACACTTCTTTCAACAGTTCCGAAAATGTAAAAGAGACGCTTGATACCTTGATACTTATCATCACTTTGGATGAGTCTATATGAGTGAATGCCACATATACACTGACACACGAAAATTACATGGCCTATCCCAAAGCAGCTCATCATAGCCTAGGTTGTAATGTGATATGGAGGTTGAACATGCTATTGTACGCTTAGATTGGTGATTCTTCCTGCCATGACCGTGCTCGACGTCCTGAGAAGGACGGTGAACCTGATGCAATGTATTCAAACCTAATCAGGACTGATGAAATCGTTATGCTAAGTGAGCTACTATAGCAAAACCAAAGGCCTTGATCCAACACAATGGGCATTCGGGCGGGACGACAGCCACCTTGGCCTGGTGTTTCGGATATTGGGTAGCCTGATCCCGAGCTATGAGATTGCCTGAGCTGCGTTCGCTGGTTAGTTATTATTGGAGGGCGTTATACGAGTATACGAGATAATAGAATCCATTTAGGTCAAGACTGCATGCAGTCCAACCGACAATATGATACATAGCGCCAAGTAGAATAGTCACATTGATGACCCCCAGGCGTTCGCCCAACACTCCCTCCTTCGAAGTCGCACATGGTGTAATACGGTAGGGTAGTATCACTCCACCCCTCCTCCATCCTTTAGAATAGAGGCTAGGGACAGGCATGACAGGGTAGAGCAGTAGACCCACGACGGATTCCGGAGTGATCACGCGTGTGCCGGGCCGAGAGTAGGAGGATTCGGGATCCAGCGCCCTTCGCGACCTATCAGGCTCTTCGCTTATATTGAGTAGACAGCCGTTAAACTGAATTGTCGCAGCGAGATGGGTGGGTAAGATGATGAAGCAATGGAACCGACATGCAGTAAGAGTAGCACGGACATTGTCAGCCCACTGGCCCAGATGTCTTACAGTTACGCCCCCCTCTGCTTTGTGGCACACCGGCCAACCATCTCTTCTCAGCACATGCAATGCACACTCCCTTCGGCAATGGTACTTTAGCAATGCAGCCAATGCACAACAACAAGTCGCCGAGATATGTCTCCGAAAAGTAGGCGAAGCTCGGAGCCTTCTCAACTTCTTGGCATCAGGACTGTGAATATGGCAAAGCATCTGATTGAACGGGCAATAGCGAGTCATTCCTACGGCAAGCTTGACACGTTTGTTCCAGGGAAGATTACATTGGTGTTTGCCGTAGCGTAACTTCTGCTGTTTTTCTTATCCCACCTTTGTTTCTGCCCGTGTATGGCACTGCCTGCTCTTCTCCATCTCTGGCATCTGCTTCTCTGCCTATGTTCGCAGTCCTTCCAGTTCCACTGTTGAGAAGAAAGTGAATGTAGGCGAAATGGCCAAAGATGCGGAGAGCGATGCTGAGCTGAGGAGCCAGCAAGAGGCGCCCCCAGGCGGGTTTGCCAAGTTGATGGTGTGTGATCCTTCCCCTCGGCCCTCTTGATCAACCTGTTAACAGTATTATAGCGCGTCTTCACATTTGCTACCAACCTTGACCGCTTGATTCAGATCGGGTGTGCCTTTGCAGCTGTATGCAGCGGAGCAGGTACGTTGAGACAGTCGTCCATAGCCTTACCTGCTTTCATCTGACTTGTAATCGATTAGCAATGCCATTGATGGCCCTGGTTCTTGGCCGCTTGACAGCTAATTTCACCGACTACGGAGGCTCCAACGAAGATGAATCTACCGCCGATTTCATGAAGTCGGTGCAGACGAATGCCCTCTACTTTGTTTATCTATTCATCGGCAAAGTCACGGTACTAAACCTTTCTGCCATCCTCCTCAGCCCTCATTATCGTGTATAATCGTGACGCTAAGATGCGGCACTCTTAGCTTGTATACATATGGAGCTTTGGCTTCACCTTTGCTGCAAGTCGTATGGTGCAAACTATGCGGATCTCGGTAGGCCTTGGCCCAATACCCTTCTGTCTAAAACTCCTGCCTGACGTTGTTTCCAGTGCCTAGATCGGATCCTCGACCGTACCGTCGCTGCCAACGATGCCGAAACCCCCGGGAGCTTGTCCAACACAGTCACTGTCCACTGCAACTCCATCCAGGCAGCCTTGTCCGACCGACTCGGTATCATGATACAGGCGTTCTCCATGCTTCTGGCCTCGTTTGCTGTTGCGTTCTCGCAATCGTGGCAGCTGACGCTCGTCATGCTTGGACTCGTGATGCTTACTCTAGGACTCATTGGTTTCATTGTTTCAAGTGACCAGAGGATCGAGGCTGGGCTGTTGAAGCGCTACAACGAGTGCAGCGTCATTGCTGAAGATGCGCTTGGGAGCATTAGGACTGTCATTGCCTTCGGAGCTGCCCACAAGTTTCTTTCCAAATACAACAATAACTTGGAGAAAACAGAGACTAATGGGAAGAAGCGAGGTCCTTTTGTCGGTCTCATGTTCGCGACACAGTACTTCTTCATGTTCGTTGGCTGGGCCATTGGATTTTACTTGGGTGCATACCTCTTCACCAAAGGGATGATCTCGGACGCAGGAAGGATTCTCTCGTAAGTTCTGTTACTTCGACAGCTATCATACCAAAATGACTAACTGGGGCCTTGCAGCGTGTTCTTTTCGATGTTGATCGGTCTTGGGGCCATCATGGCTTTGGGGCCGAACATGCCCAGCTTCATCAAAGCCATCGCCGCCGCCGATGATGCTTTCAAGATTCTCGATGATGAATCCAAACAGGGTCAAACTTCTTCAGGGCAAAGTGGCATTCGAGATGACAAGACAGACAATTGCGAGGGTCTTGTGGAATTTCGCAACATGTCTTTCTCTTACGGCGTTCGCAAAAACCACAATGCTCTAGATAGCATCAACCTCTCTTTTACCAGGGGTTCATCTACCGCGATTGTTGGTCCATCCGGGGCGGGAAAAAGTACCCTTATCTCTCTCTTGGAACGTTGGTACGAGCCCACCACCGGCTCTATTCTTCTGGATGGCCGTGACATCTCTGGGCTCGACGCTAGATGGCTCAGGAGCCAAATTGCTTTGGTGCAGCAAGAGCCTCAGCTGTTCAATGCTTCCATCTTCGACAACATCGCGTATGGCTTGGTTGGAACTGGAAAGGAACGCCTATCTCAGGAACAGAAGACATCTCTTGTTCATGACGCATGCCGCGAAACGCGGGCGTACGATTTCATAACCGCATTACCCGAGGTGAGGCTAGTCATATCACTTCAGTCACCGAGTTATGGAAAGCTGACAACAAGCAGTCATTCGATACTGTGGTTGGGGATCGTGCGTCGCTCATTTCCGGGGGACAGAAGCAAAGAATCGCTATCGCACGCGCTTTGGTTGGCCGCCGCCCAATCCTTCTCATGGACGAGGCTACAAGTGCCCTTGACAATGAGAATTCCAAGGTCATCGAAACCTTAATGACTGATTCGAATGACCGAACCACCATTTTCATATCTCACAAGATACGTTCTGCAGTGCAGGCAGGTCGTGTCATTGTTCTCGACCATGGCAAGGTCGTCGAGCAAGGTACTCACCAAGAGCTCATGGCCATGGGTGGTTTGTACCGTCGACTGTACGATGCCCAGACTGAAGTCAAACCATCAGATGATGAAGAACCCATAAAGCCAGCAAGTAAAATCATTGACCCAAAGATCACGGAGCTGGGCGGCGAGCTGGCGGAAGCCAGTCAACCTTCTGCTACCATCAAGCCCAGCGAGAGCCTCCCTCTGATCCCCAAGCGCCATCTTCTCACCAACCTCTTGGAGATTGCGAAAGAACAAAAGCGGTACTGGCCAATTTTCTTTGTAGGTTTCGTTGCCTGTGCCATCACTGCGCAGATCTTCCCAGTCCAAGCCATCCTCCTCGGCAGGGTCATGGAGGTGTTCCAGCGTCCAGCAGATCAAGTATCCTCTGACGCCAATTTCTGGTCCCTAATGTTCTTTGTCGTCGGCTTGGGCTCAATGATCTCCTATGCCATTCTGGGATTCTTCATGACACTTCTTGGGGTTCATCTGACTCGGTTCTACCGTCTCGAGTACTTCCGAGCCGTCCTCCACCAGCCTGTAGAGTTTTTCGACCAGGTGGCCTCCGGAACACTCCTTTCACGTCTATCCTCTGACCCAGCGAGCCTCCACGAACTGCTCTCCATCAATATGGGTCTCCTCATTTCCATCTTCATCAGCATCATCAGCGCAAGCATCATCGGTCTCGCTTACTCGTGGAAGTTTGCCCTCGTGGCCATCTTCGCCGCGATGCCCGCTGTCTTCGCCGCAGGCTACCTACGCATGAAACTTGACTCCTCTCTTGCCGAAGAAATGGACAAGATATCTGAGGACAGCGCGCGTTTCGTTTCAGACTCCCTCTCTGCATTCCGTACTGTCAAGGCTTTCACCATGGAGACGGCAGTGAGCGACATGTACCGCAACTGCCTCACACTCTTTGCCGGGAGTCTTTATCGAAAACGGGCTGTCATGACTTTGCTTTTTGCCTTTTCGGAGAGCGTGGAGCTCTTGGCTGCCGCCCTGGGCTTCTGGTATGGCGGCAAGCTTATGGGAGATGGCGAGCTTACCACTGAGAAGTTCTTCACCGTCTTCATTGCCGTCATTATAGGCGGACAGGCTGCAGGGGCCCTGTTTGGCTTCTCATCGAGTGTGTTCTTGTTCTTCCTTCCTTGCCCCATCGTCTAGATTGAAGCGACTGACTGTAAAACAGATCTTGGTAAAGCAAAGGTTGCGGCGAATAACATCCTCGGTATCCGAAGCCAGGCGCGCGCAGCTGCAGACAGAGATCGGTCTAAGCAAATAGCGGAGAACCATGGCTTAGAAAAGGAAATAAACACGGTTGTAGATATGCAGAGTGTTACGTTTGCTTATCCCGCGCGGCCGAACGTGACTGTTCTTAAGAGCGTCTCGCTTCAGGTCCAGCGGGGACACACCGTGGGTGTGGTCGGCACCTCTGGTTCTGGAAAGTCAACGCTGCTGGCTCTCCTGGAGCGCTTCTACGATGCTCAGTCTGGGACTTTGAATGTCCTCGGCATGCCCATTTCGGCTCACAATATTGGTGAGTATAGAAAGAGGCTGGCGATAGTCCCACAGGAACCTCAACTGTACAACGGTAAGTGATCCCCGACGAACTGATGCCCGATGCTGTCATTAGACCTTAACACCCATGTCTCTAGGAACTATACGTGAAAATGTTTCCCTCGGTCTTGATGAAGATAAGATCCAGGACGTAGATGTGGTGGCTGCTTGTGAGGCAGCCGGCCTGGCTGAATTTATCTCATCCCTCCCGGATGGCTACAATACCCAGTGCCGTGGGCAGGGGGTATCCTTCTCAGGAGGACAGAGGCAGCGTATCGCGATTGCAAGAGCATTGATATTACAGCCTGAGTTACTTCTGCTGGACGAACCAACCAGCGCCTTGGATGCCGAGTCGGAGCAGCTTGTTCGAGAAACGCTCGGCAATATTCAGGAAGGGAGAACCATGATCCTTGTTACTCATGTAAGTAAAGTCCCCGACAAATTCAGTGTGACACTGAGAAGGCTCACACGACTTTAACAACAGCGCTTGAACATTGTTAGGGATGCTCATGTCATTATTGTCATGGATGAAGGCCGCATTGTTGAGAAGGGCACTCATGCTGAGCTGATGTCCAAGCAGGGACACTATTTTAAGATGCACCAGTCTTCTATGGGAGACAATGCCTAGCAATTTGATTTTTCGGAGGATATCTTTTTGTATTGTATTAGTCGTGCATGGATTCTCAAAAGCTGTGCAAAGAAATTGCTATTTAACTTTCGTGTATCAACTGTCCCCGATGATATCTACAGGCTCGATGGATTTTCACCAACTGTGAATGAATAACGCACTGTTCACATGAGGCCAGAGAAATGTATTAATAAGAGCTTCGGTAATTTCAAAATATTCGTTATTAATTTAATTTCTTTTCCCCTCGTTTCATCTGATCCATTCATGAGTATACATTCCGTGGCTCAAAGGTGAGCCTCGGCCAAAGCCCGCTTACCATCCTCATCAGCTAGCTGGAAGACAACGGATGCAGCAGCACGCGAACCTATAAACAATACGTTAGCAAATAGAAAATATTTGCTTAGAATGAAATCGTATTCAAAGTTGAAAGAAGATTAGCTCACCAGTGGCAGCAGCTACAGTAGCCTGCTTCATATTCTCCTGCGTATCGCCTGCCACAATGCAGCCAGGCACATTTGTCTTGAGCATCATGGCATCCGTTATAACGTCACCGATGGGGTTGGTCTCAAGCCCCAGCTGCTCGATCAAATTGGCGGCTCGGCTTCGCGTGGGGGGCCGATGATACAGCATACCTAGTTTCACAGGTAGGCCGGTGGTGAACTCGATTGAGATTCCATTGGCTGGGTCATCCCCGTTGTTGATGAGGCGGCGCACAGGGCGCTCATCTAGCTTTACACCAGCAGCCAGAACCGTCTTCAGGGCTTCCTGGGTGGGCTCGTCGGTCGGAACGGGGCCGTTGCTGTAGATGGTGATGTCTCTGTTCAAGGGGCGGAGCATAAGAGCCAGGTGAGAGTAAGAAGGGTTGGGGAAGGTAAGGATGCCAATGGGGTAGCTCCTCCGCTCAAAGCCGTCGCAGAATGGACATTGGTAGCTATTTCAGTTCAGCTATGATTTATCGATGAGCAGGAAGCGGTGACAAGAGACCGCTGACGCAGGGCAGGTAAGCTTACATGTGAGCAGGCCAGTTCTCTTTGTACCCTTCAATGTCTGTCGGCAAAACGTCTTCAACACCCGTCGCAAGTAACAGCTTTCGAGAAAGAAACTCGGTTTGAGTGCTATCAACTACTTTGAATCCTTTCAAGTCAGGGGCGACATCCGTGTTTGAGACGTGGATGATTGTGCTACGGACGAAGGAGACGTGCTCCTTGTACTTGTCCAGCTGCTGCAGAGCGATAGCTCGGAATTCTTCAGGAGGAGTGCCGTCTCGAGTGACGAAGTTGTGTATATCCTTGGCGCCATGGTTGCGATATTCGCCCGAGTCGAAGACAACGGCAGTGCGACAGACGCGGGCTAGACCCAGAGCTGCGGCCATACCAGCTGGACCGCCGCCGACAACGAGAGCATCATATATGATAGGAGCAGCCATTAGAGCGGGAGAGATACGCTGCCTGATAATTACAAAAGACTGCGATATCGGGATAGGGAGAGGATACCACAGGGCCCAACGGTTTGATGTTCAAGCTGGCTGGAGGAATAATTGGGCTGCTCAAACCAGGGTCAAGAATTTTGCCACGAATATACCAAAATACTGTCTCGTCACTAGATGGCCGGTAATATGGGTGACATTTGGTTAAAAGTACCCGAGAAGATGCACAAGAAAGATCCGATTGGGCGGTCATATCGGTCAGCTGTGCAGTGCCCAGACTTTATAGTCACCGAAAGTCCAATTTAGATGGCACCGTGAGATATCTCGGCCACCGAGGGCAAAGAAAAGCTTCAATGGGGGGTCAACGGCCCCGACTGGCATACCATAGTTTGGACTTCTGGTTATGAGTTGAATCTCGGAGGAATCAGAGACAAGCATAGTATCACCACCATCGCCTTGCACTTTCTCACAAAGAACAAATTGATTTCGGCAATAATGGCTGGGCTCCTTCTCTTCATTCTGTCGGCCAGCGCTTGCTTACTGGTAGGACATTCGAGTCGGCTAAAACGCGGTCCTTGCTAACACTCGACAGCTCTTCATTGCATTCAAACGATGGACGAGGGATGGGCGGTTGAAGCACCTACCTCCCGGGCCGAAGGGTCTCCCTTTTATCGGGAACATGCTAGACATGGCCGACACGGACAAGATGGTCCAAAAATCCAAAGACTGGGCTGACGAATATGGCGAGATATTTTACACCAAAGTCGGCCTGTCTAATTTTGTGTGGCTCTCGTCCCCAAAGGTGGTCAGAGACCTCCTGGACAAGAAGGGCTCCATCTACTCCTCGCGTCCCCCCAGCGTTATGATCAACACGGTCTCCAACGGGGAGCGGTTGAATTTCCTGCCCTATGGTCACAAATGGCGCACAATCAGGAACATCCTTCACTCTGCCCTAAACTTGGAAACATCCTCGACGTACAAGCCTGTGCAAGATTTTGAGTCTAAACAGGCTGTGTGGGAGATTCTACACGCCAAAGATGACTGGGAATTCAGCGACATCAATCGCCGGTACTCTACCAGCACCATCATGACCATTACATACGGGCTCCGAGTCCCGACTCTGCAGCACCGGCTCTACCAGGACATATTGAAGATTGTCCGTCACTTCTCCTTGGCGACGGCTCCAGGAGAATGGATTGTTGACATGGTGCCCATGCTTGCCGATATTATCCCCCAGTTTCTTCTACAGAACTGGAAGACTGTTGCTCAGAAGTGGTACCAGGAAGATGCGGAAATATATCTTGGTCTATACAACAAGCTTATGAGTGATATCAAGAATGGAACGGCGCCGGATTGCTTTATCAAGGACATGGCACGAGAAAAGTTGAAGAAGAATCCAATTTCAGATACGACGGCCGCCTTTGCTGCCGGCGCATTGATCGAGGCGGGTAGTGATGCCACCACGACAGCGCTGAACAATGTTGTTCTAGCTTGCCTTCTCTATCCCGAGATAGTAGCGGGTGCACATGAGGAGCTTGATCGAGTCGTGGGTCAAGATCGGATGCCCGATTTCAGTGATGAGCCAAATCTTCCGTATATCCGCGGGATCGCCAAAGAAACTTTGCGATGGAGGGCATCTACCAAGATTGGCCCGGCTCACGCCACGACCCAGGACGACTGGTACAATGGATACTTTATTCCCAAGGGAACCGGCGTTGTTCTTAATTGGTGGTGAGTAGAACAATCCAACTAGACTGGCCACAAGAGAAACTAAACAGCATCATAGGGCGATTCACATGGACGAGAAACGCTGGAAAGACCCTGAGCGCTTCGATCCCACTCGCTACCTTGAGGATCCTCTCACTGAAGCTGAATCTATGGCCCAGCCAAACCCCGAACTGCGCGACCACTTCACTTTTGGTGCTGGTCGCCGCAACTGTCCCGGTGTTCATATTGCCCACAACTCGCTTTTTATCAATATCGCTCGTATATTTTGGGCCTTCGACATCAGAAAATCCAAGGACAAGAATGGAAACGAGATAGAGCCCTCCACGGCCGCGCAGCCGGGGTTTCTACTTACACCTGTAAAATTCCCGTGCCACTTTAAGGCTAGGAGTGAAAAACACGCAAGTATTATAGAGGAGAAGTGGGCTGAGGCGCAGAGAGAGGGAATTGACGGGTGGAAGGACAAGAAAACGGGAGATTACTATGACGGCAATGTCTCGGGAAGATAAGCAGAATCCGAGTTGTCTTCCCATTGGGAATGGGTAATGCGCTCATAGTCTCTGTAATGTTGATATTTGTGTTACTTTTGAAATAATTTTCTCCCTGCCACCACCTCCTCGTTTCCTTTGAACTTGTAGATCGCGTAGTCCTGCCATTCCAGTTCGGATACTAAGCAAAGAGTGTCGGGTTCCGGGCTGAATAATAATAATATGGTATCGGGGCTGGAATAAGGTCCTCCACCTATGAACTTGTTCTTTTGTTGACCGTTCCTTCACCCTAGTATCCAAACAGAAATATTATCATCTCTGACGGAAGAGGAATTATCATCGTTGTCCCCAGAATCCTCGAAATAACATAGAAAACGATTGAATTGTCAGTTCTTCGTCATGGACGCCGCGTTGAAAAAGATAAACCTCGCGCTTCAAGAAGCAGCAGACGCTTTCGAAGGCCCATTGAGCCAACAGCGGCTGGAACACCTCCAGACGTTGGATTCGCTACCTGACAAGGAACTTTGGAACCTTGCCTCACAAACCGTCGATTTGGCCGATGGAGTCATTCGTAAGCTGCAGCCTCCGTCGCTTCAACTAGCGGAGAGCTTTCTAGGTAGGTTACTCCCCGAAAGCAGGCATTCTCTTAGATTTGTTTCTCCTGCGGCTAACAATGATTATTTCAACAGCATATCTTGACACCAAGTGTCTTTGGGCTGCAGTTTCGCACAACATTCCCGATCTGCTCTCCTCCGGAGGTCCACAACCAATCGAAGAACTGGCGAAGAAGAGCGGACTTCAACCGATTCGCCTCAGACAAGTCATGCGCGTCTTGCACAATAACGGCATCTTTGAGTATGACCCATCTGCTGACTCCTACAGCAACTCGCCTTCCTCTGCCATGCTCACCAAGGACCACTGGACTCAGTGGCATCGCTGGGTGGACCTCTACGGCAACGAAAACTACAAGGCCGCCGAGGGGATCCCAGAAGCCATTGAGCAAGGGCAGACGCGGTGCGCCGCCCAGATTCACTACAACACAGATGAAGACATGTTTCGTTACTTTGCACGACAGGGCTTACAGGACAAGTTTCATAAGACTCTCGGAGCAGGTGCCGTGGCACAAGCTCCTGGCATGATGGCTGACTATGGCTGGGCAGAGCTGGGTGACGCTGTCGTGCTGGACGTGGGCGGCGGAGGCGGTGACTTCATCACGATGCTGCTGCGTCGTCATCCCTCGCTACGTGGCGCACTATTCGAGCTTGATACTGTTATCGACATGGTCAAGCCCAAGTACCAAAGCCCTGGCGGTGAATTTGCTGATGTCGGGCACCGGATGGTTGAGTTCCATGTGGGGGACTTCCGAGAGGGGGTGCCTTCTTACGAAGTATACACGATGAAGTGGTGTCTGCACAATTGGCTGGACGGAGATGTCGTCAGGATCCTCTCAGCTGTCCGTCGAGCTATTAAGATAACACCGCGGGCCAGAATGGTGGTCATTGAGTCAGTGCTGAAAGACGGGAGGAGCTCTCGTATCTGGCGCTTTGGAGATGCGACCATGATGTCTCTTGCCAATGGACAAGAGAGGATGGAAGCCGAGTGGCGGGATCTTGCAGAGAAAGCTGGGTGGAATGTCGCTAGCATCTCGCCGTTGCGAAATGCCTGGGCAGCAGCCATTGAGTTGCGACCCCAGGAGGAGAGTTGGGGATTGTCTCAGGAATAGAGTCATTTGATAACGTACCTACATGATACTTCACCCAGTGGGGACTCTCTAGCTTTCTATATCGGCAAATATCATCCTGACATTAGGTTTCTTCTCTCTAAGTTGGTGTATAAGTTGTACCGACAAGCCAGGCGAAAGTAGCTTGTACTAGCTATGAAGATTCCGAAGACGGCGCAAAGTGAGTTCGGAACTCGCCATGTCACACTGCATCACAATGAAATCTAGCATAGGTGCGAAAGGATACCCTCAGCCAAGTAAGTGGATAACTATTTCTTGAAGACATTTCTAGCTAGACTCTGGCCTCTGAGCCCAAATAATGATATGACGCACAGCTGTACGGTATTTCTCGATATCAGCTTCGAACCTGCCAAGCACTGTTTCCAGGTCTTCTTTCGGCATACCGAGCTGCTCGGAGCTATGAAGCCAGAATTGTCAGTACTTGCCATCAACCGAAATCGTGAACTGACACTCACCTAACCATTGAATACATATTACGAACCGCATCTTGCATGCTCCTCCGACCTCGGGCATCCATTTCTTTGTTAGCTTGGTGCTTTCCGATCACAATGTCCAATGACTCAACACTAATGTTGACGAAGCCTCCATCCTTCAGCGCGGCGAGAATTGCGTCTCTTGGCGCCGCAGACCTCATAAAGTGATTGGAAAGTTGATGAAGGAGCAGAAACCATGTGGGATCTGGTCCGGACACATTCTCGCCCGCACAAGGCTCAACGAGCTGGATCCAACCACCCGGCTTCACGCATTTCATCAGGCCACTGAAGACTTGGGAAATAATCTCGCTGCTAAAATTCGGACACACGAAACGCTGATGAACCAGATCGAAGCATCCATCCCATTCGGCGGGAAGGCCTTCTAACAGGTCCGCAGTAACGAGGCTTACGTTCTGGGGTCGTAATTCCGGTGGTCCAAAGAGCTCAGGACTGCCAAATTTGTAAAATATATTATTAGTGCAGTCTCTTCTTGGCTTTGGCGCTGACAACATACGCGATATCGAAACCTACCAACTCGGTTTCCGGCGGGAAAAGTGTCCTTGCATCAAGTAACCACGTTCCTAAACGGAATTGATTTGTCAGAGTTACACTTAGATGCCTTTATGATAATGCATAGGACGATTCTAACCATCTGCGGTTGCTGCGTCCAGTATTTTCTGGTGCTTCTTGCTGAAGTCGATCGGGGCTTTGATCAAACCCCCAAAAGAAATTTTAATCCATTCATGTTGATTTCTCATCCGCTCAATTTCTCTCTGGTTATTTGACAGCATGTAGTGTTTCTTTGCATTTTCGAAAACTGGGGCACTTGTTTCATTTGTAGCATTCTGCATTGTTGTGATGTTGTCGATAAGGCTTTGTTTCGACTAAGTGGTTAAAATAAGTATAGACGGCCCTCGCTCGATAATAATTGAAGAGGGAAAAAAATCCGTAGGCTTCCAAGATCAACCTACTCACTGGACTGACTTGCTATTATCAGAGATAACCGATCCTTGTAGAAAGCCGAAAGTGACCCCCTTTCCCGGTGTCCGAGGCAGCAAGCAGCCTACCTAAGCCCATGACTGTGTCCATGTGTCGAATACCGACATGTAATCAAGCGTGATCGCTGTTTAAATTCCCGAACAGAGTTTGACCGGGGGTCTATCGGTGGGAAGGGCCCTCATAGTTCCCCGCGACTCACGCTGAGATTAGTCTGTATCCAAATGTTTCTTCGATTAACCAGGCTGTACCAAGTACACATTTGAAGTTTCGAAGTTTGCTAATCCCTAGTTTCTGTCCAAAATGCTCTCACGCCGTGCTCGGGAGAGTAATGAATGGTTCTTAGAGCGTTTCAAACGACCACTGAGTCGTCAAGGGTCCAAAAGCAAATCCAACATCGACCTCGCAACGGCAGAGAATTGGCTTATCCGGCCCGAGATTCTCTCTTCACTGAAGCAAAACTTCCAGGCTGACTTTCAGAGCAATAATTTGTCATATGCCCCGGGACTAGGAGGGACCCCGGAGCTGCTATCGGCTGCTTCAAGCTTTTTCAACCACTTTTTCTCGCCAGCAATCCCAGTGGAGCCTAATCATATTGTGACTAGCGCTGGATGCAGTGCTGTCATGGATACATTGATTAACGATATCTGCGACGATGGGGATGGGCTCCTGGTAGCAACTCCGTATTGGGGTATGTATGTGCGCACTCCGCTTACAGTTTTACCTACTGATCACTTGTGACATGAATTATAGGAAGCTTCGAAGTCTCTTCAGTCCTCAGAAATGGTGTTAAGCTAATCCCTGTGCCCATATCATATCGCAAGTCGCATTCCGCACAAAGCATTGTCCAGGCATATCGAGCCGCAGCGGAAAACACTCCACACAAAGTTCGCGGCTTGCTTTTCTGCAACCCTCACAACCCATGGGGTCATATTTGTTCCATCGAAATCATAGATGCGTTGCTTCAATACTGCGAGCAAGCGGACATTCACTTTGTGTCCGATGAAATCTACGCACTATCCACATTTGGTCGAATCGAAATACCATCCTCGGCAAGCGCAGGACAGAGCGAAAAGTTCGTTTCGCCAGATGCCAAGTTTATGTCCGTCTTGACCCGAGATTTGAAAAAACTTGGTGTCAATGGGGAAAGAGTTCATGTTGTTTATAGCATCAGTAAAGATTTTGGATGTAGTGGACTCAGGCTTGTATGCTCAGCCCTCCCTGCCTGGCCATGATCTTCACTAACACGAACATCTCACAAGGGATGCCTTGTCACACAAGCAAATGAGAAACTCCGAATGTCTCAAGCTATTTTGAACAATGGTAAATTATGCACTGCGGCGCAAGTTATGGTGGCACCTGTTCTCCGAGATACTCCACACCTCTCCGCATTAGTATCGCTAAACATCCAAAGGATGCAAAGTGCCGCACGGCTTGCAGTTCAATTTGCCGAGTTTCATAACCTCACATACTATGAACCAGTTGCAGGTGTCTATATCTGGCTGCGGCTCTCCAATTCATGCAAAACTGACGAAGAGGAGGAAGCCATCGTTCAGCGTTGCGCCAAGCAGGGTGTTTTTGTTGGTAGCGGCTCTGACTACTGTGAAGGCCAGGCGGGATGGTTTCGTCTCACCTTCGCCCTTTCAACAGATAAATTTGTTCAAGGGCTTCGTCTGGTTGAAATTGCGATGGATTATGAGGACAAGTTTGATTTCGGGTTGGCAGAGAGCTCGATGGGAAATTTTGTCAGCCATATTTGGCGAAGACTCGGTCTACTATGAGAGTTTAATGTTAGATTGAAAGCACACTTCATAATCATTTGACACATTGTTGAAAATCTAACAAGGAAGTCTTCTCAAACTGCAGTGTTCAGTGCCAAAAAAAGAGTTTCCCTCGTCTTCATGTTCTAAGCTTATACATTGGAACCTATTAGTCGGCAAGACGAGTCAATCTGACTTATGGCGCAAATTTCTTCTGTACATGTATCTTCAGTGATTGATATTTCAGATCTTAGTGTAATCAACAGAGAGTTAATTTCGGTGGCTATATCAAACAATCATGGGAATCATCTTCACCACACCATCTGGCAAGCCGATCCAACTATCTAGCTGCAGTTTGACATCGGCTACTTCTTCGGCTTGCATAAGCTCAATTTCGTAATTTTCCAGGAGCTCGGCGAGTATGATACGGAGAATAATGTCCGCCACATTTTTCCCAAGACACTGCCGGGGACCAAACCCAAAGCGCCACATATTGTACCTTCGGCTCTACGGGCGCGTCAGCCTCTGCTTTCATTCATGGAGCGAGGCAGATGGTGCAGAGGAGACTCACCGAATCTTTCTCTCCGAGATGCCTGTGCGGGTCAAAGGTCGTTGCATCTTTCCAGTGTGGGTTGTCTATATTGATAGCGTGGGTATCAACAATAACGTCAGTCTAGAGTACCATTCCCGTTAGTGAGTTCGAATATCTTCATTGAGCAAAGGGAGGTAAATTACCCATCGCGGAATTATATAGTCGCCAACTATTTTATTTTCGTCTGCCGCCTCGGGATTTGAAAACGCTATGCTTGAGAGTCAACAAGATTAAGTTTCGAGAAAGCAGATGAAAGGGGCTCATACGTAGGACTGGATGCAGACGAGACGTTTCTAAGACGCATGCAGCAATCAGAGTATCATCACGACACATGTATTCTTCATATGCTTTATCTGATTCATTGTGGCGCCGAATCTCTTCTCGTACTTTTCGTTGGATATCTCGGTGATGAGCAATTCTGATAACATTCCAGGAGACAGCATGAGCGGTAACGTCGAGATTTGCAAAAAGGGATTCGTCAAGCGTTTGGAGGAGCTATAACAAAATCATTCAGGCATGAACAATTTTCAGAGTCGGAGATCACTCACCTCCTGCATAGACATGTCGCCTCGGTCAACCGTTTCCCATAATGACACAATTGACCCATCGCCCGTGTCGATGGCACGCTCATACGCTTGCTTGACAAAAGTTTCCCATTGTTCTTGGAACTGTCGAAGAAGGGATAAAGCAGATCCAGGGAAATACTTAGCGATCCCATAACGATTGATGCTACCCATGAATGCACGCCTAAAGAGCTCCTCCCGAGGAGGGCCCAGTTGTTGAAGCTCGTTTCGTTGTGCCTGAGTGTGAACACCAAAGAAAATGCTAGCCACCATAAGAAAAGGACAGTATTTCAAATCATTTGAGGTATTGATCGTCCGTGTTTCATTTCTCGGGTTTAGTACGCTGAAGAAATCTCTGGCTTCATGTATGAATGTTCTCGGCCTTGTAAGAGCTGATGTTCGAGAGAATGGGTGCTCGAATGGTCTCCTGACTCGCTTCCAGCGGTTCTGACTGACAACTCCAACGCAGGATCCGAGAAGCTCGGCAAAGAGCCAACCAGAATTATTGTCCGCCGCTTTGATATGCAGGTGTGAGTCTCTGTAAAACTCTTGCACCTGTTCCGGGGTCGAGAGGACGCTGTCGAGTGATCAGTATTGCAGAGTCCTTTTATCCCAGCTTGTGTAAGTTGATATTGGTTATTTAACACTACACTTACACTTCGCGCTTCAGACCGGCCCAAATGCTATAGATGGATCCATACTGATGCCGCCATCTCCGTGCAGCGTTGCGTCCCCCAAAGAACTTTTCAGTTCCTTGACCATTTGGAAATTTGAATCGGGGCCCTGGCAGTGATTTGCTGCTGATCAGTGATTTTACTCGTGGTGTTCCAGTAATCTGCTCTGATATCAGCTTTGACTGTTAGATAACGATATAAACGGCACTTCTCACTGTTAAGGCCAGCCTGCTGGAGACAGCGCAGAGGACTACCAGCATAGCTGCTGCAAGGAGCAGCATTCGTTCGATTGGAACTTGTTCTATAATCTCGGTCAACATCTTGCTGTTAGTTACTGTGATATTCATTAGACGTAGGGTGATCAGCTGCGAAAAGGAAAGAAGTTCAGCAGACACATGTAGAGGACCAGGAATCGTTTTCCCATGCTACCATTAGGGTAATCTCGAAATCTCACCAAAGGGTGGTAGCTAGGCCCCAGTGACAGGGAAACTCTCGGTAACCGACATTTTAAACGTCTCCTCAGCCGCATACGGGCCATGTTCCCGTTAAGTCATGTCCATGCACCTTCACTTTAGGAGATGTACTCAGACGGTGAACATTGTTATGGCGTGAAGGAGAAGAGTTACTGTCTTGTTTTCATGAACTTCATGGTCCTCGGTTCTTCGCTTGTCACTCTTCGCTCGAAAATTCTTCGCTATTCTCTTTCATTGCCACGATGGAAGCTTTGCCTTTGAACTTGTGCGAGCTATTTACCCAGGCTGTGGCTCGATGTCCTGACAACCTTGCTGTAGATCACAGTGAAGGCCGCCTAACGTACCGAGAGCTCGAAGATGCCTCCAATTCGCTAGCAAGTACGCTCAGGAGTGCGGGTGTGGGTCATCAGTCTCCTGTTATCTTGCTCACAGCACATGGAACGTTCAACCTCATCGCCATACTCGCCATCCTCAAGTCTGGGGGTTGCTGGGTACCAATAGATAGAGCAACATGGTCCCCGGAAATGGTAACCAATGTCTGCAGTACAGTTGACAGCACTGTAATCATCAATACAACTTTAGAGCCCTTCGAATGTCACAAGGAGGGGTGGTGTTTACTAGAATGCACCAGCATCCCAGCAAGGCTCAGCCTACCTAAAGACAACAGCTATACAGACATAATACAACCCTACGACCCTGCGTGCATAGTTTTCACAAGCGGAAGCACGGGTCGGCCAAAAGGAGTCGTCATATCACATAGATCATTATGCCTGTACGCCAAGACAAGCCCGATCAATCTTGATATTACTCCGGGTGATCGCCTCCTTCACATTCTATCTGTTTCTTTCGACGGTGAGATCCACTCTAATTTGAACATCCCCAACGCCTGAGCTGACACAGTGTTATAGCTTGTGCTTGCATCCTCTTCTCAGCGTTGGGCAACTGTGGAACAGTCGTCCCCGCACAAGGAGACGACATTTTCCTCCGAGCTCCTTCGTGTGCGGCCCTGGCAGCTACGCCTTCCATACTGAATAATCTCCCTTCGCCGAGCGCAGAAGGCTCGATTTTCTCAAATATTAGCAAAATTATTCTGGGTGGCGAGACTGCAGCGCCAGCCCTCCTTGGATCATGGATCGATGCAGGTGTGCAGGTGTTGACGGCATATGGCGTAACAGAGACCACATCAATGGGATCAGCACATCTGGTGAAACGAGACTCACAAACCGGCATTATCAACTCATTTCTAATAGGAGGAGTTATGAAAGAAAGTCCAATTTACATCGTGGACTCTGAGCTTGACATCATTGATGAGGACTATTGTGAGGGAGAGATCATTATCGGAGGCGATGGAGTCGCACTCGGATACTATAAAGACGAGATAAAGACGAGAACCAACTTCGTCGATTGGAATGGGTCTCGCATCTACAGAACCGGTGACTTCGGTTGTTGGGTCCAAGACGCAGCAGGCAATAAGCTTGTCGAATTTCGTGGTCGACAGGATCGCACTGTCAAAAACAGAGGCTTTCTCGTGAATCTCGATAGAGATGTGGAAGCCTGTCTCTACCGTGTTGGCGAATCATTTGGCCTCACATCAGTACGTGCAGCTATGACAGAGAATGGTATCGTCGCCGTTGTCACGCCTTCAGATGTAAACACATCTGCACTAATTGAGAAAGCCAAAGAAAGCATGAGTTCCTACTGTATGCCGTATCGTATCAGGGCAGTGGATGATCTACCCCTGTCACCTAACGGAAAGGTACAGCAGAGGCAGCTCGTTGATCTTGTTAAGTCCATCGAGGAAGTGGAGGGTCTTCGGGGTGAAGATTCCTCTAATGAGTCAACCTTCCAGGAGCTGGACCCAGCTTTACCAGACGATCAGAGGAATCTTCAACTTCTGCTTACAGTGGCTCGAGAAGTTCTCTCTCTGCCGGGAGAGAAATTTAGAGAACTCCAACCAGATGACTCATTCCTTGCTGTTGGGGGATCATCTCTACTGGCATTCAAAATTGTTTCAGTTATCAGACAACACAACCTTCACGTCCCAGCAAGAGAGTTACTCAAGTGCCAAAAGTTCTCAGATATTTCGCCGCTGATGTCTTCCATATCAGAACATGCTTGTCCAGATGTTACGTTGGCGGAAAATTATGCAGCAAACCGGCAGATTCGAACTGAACTCGCCAGCCAGGCTCGCAACGCAATCGGCTTGGCCAAGAACAGTTTTGACATCGGGCCATTGACTAGTTTGCAACTAGAGCTAGCAGTTTCCGCACTGGGTGACGAGACGAGAAATGTGAACCAAGTCAAGATAGCATACAGCGACGCACACTCGGAAGCTATGCAGAGGGCCTGGCAAGCACTTTGGCAATCCGAGCCCATTTTCAGGTCTGAGGTTTCATTAGCATTTGGTTGTGGTGCCTTTATTGTGCACAAGATACCTTTCAGGGCGCCTCAAGTAACGTCACACTGCTGTTATAATGACTATGAAGAAGCTGTGAGGAATGTTAGCATGGGCGTTGGCTTGGGTTGCACGCTGGATCTCATCAAATACGACGACGCATCCAGTGATCGACCCGGCTTGCGATCCCCATCCAAGGCATCTGAGCTTACAGTGGTTCTCACAGTCCACCATACCCTGATGGATGGCGAGTCTCTGAAACTGCTACTGGACAAACTTGACCGAGTTGCTCAAGGGTTTCCTCCGCTTCCTAGTGCCTCAACCATCGATGCAAATCTCGCGCTGTTAGATATACAGCGCACGAGAGACTTAGAAGTACGAAGTTTCTTTGTCGATTATTTGAGAAACGTTCCAACCGAAGTTACCACACCAGAGATCACAACCATCGGCGAAGGCTCATGCATGCAATCAGCAATCTTCGAGACCTCTGTAAGCACAGCCAAGGTGGCAAGATTTGCAACCAGAAATTGCGCATCCGCTGCATGCATTTACTATGTTGCATGGGCAATGGCTATAGCTGCTATTGAAGACTGCTCTACCGTCATCGTTGGAGCAGTCGTGTCTAACCGTCACGCCTTGCATCGCCATGACGATGCCATGGGAGCGTACATGTCCACACTCCCACTACTTTTCAATTTTGTCGACCAAGAAGTGACAATAGCGGAACTGATTAGAAATACTATGGACCATCTTGCAACGATAGGCGAATACGCCTGGGCGCGTTCCGACCAAGTTGGTGTTGGCCATCGGATGCGAAACCTCTTGTCTATACAGTTCCCACTTCCCAACGAGAGTTCAAAAGTGCCAGCTCTTTGGACAGAGTCTGTAGAGAGAAATGATTTTCCACTCTGTCTTTTGATTGAGTCCAGTGGCGGTTTCAGAATGCTTTACAACACCATGCAGTATAATGAAGAAGCCATCCAAAGGCTAGGCCAGCATTTCAAGCATGCACTCTACTCTCTCCATCATAAAACTCGGGTGGAAGACTGCATTACACTCAATCGCCTGCAGGAGAAGCTGGCCAGGCAAGCAGATCTGTTCAGGCTTCAGCCAAGCGACCGTATAGCAAAACAAGTTTTGGAAGAGGCCATGGATCGATACGCAGATCTCATTGCACTAGAAGACTGCATTGGCGGCAAGCTCACATACAGAGAGCTTGATAAGTTCACCAACGGCATTGCCCAATTCATCATCTCAACCATGCCAGACACCAAAGTCGTCGCTCTCTATGCCGACGGTACAATCGGGTGGATTCTTGGCCTGCTTGGGGCTGTTAAAGCAGGCTGCACGTATGTCAACCTTGACCCAAGATCAACACCTACTCAAAGAGAGTCCGTTTGCAAACAATGTAGCGCAGAAGCATTGCTCCTCCCCAGTGCATCACAAGCGTCACATGTTCCCTCAATAGACAGCATGAAAGTATTTGCGCTGGATGGCATACTGAACGACATCGCTGGCAGCAAGAATGTAGGAAGACAACCGAACCGAGCATCCCTGGACTCTCCCCTCGTTATTGTATTTACATCAGGGACAACAGGAACCCCCAAAGGCTTCCCAATTTCCAACCGCTCGTTAATGGCTATGAAAACCAACTACGGTACAACAATGTTTGCATCTCCAGGTCGTCGTATTGCGCAATTCATGTCACCAGTATTCGACGTCTGCAATATGGAAGTGTTCTCCGCGCTTCTGCATGGGGCCACTCTGGTGCTCCGTGACCCGTCAGATCCTTATGCTCATCTTCATCGAGTAAACACCGCTGCCGTGACTCCATCGGTGTTAGCAGCCATGAATCCTGATTATTTTCCCAACCTGGAAGTCGTGAGTGTATCTTCTGCATTTCAATCATCTCATCTACTAATTCGCATACTCCCAGGTTTACGCATGTGGTGAGCCGGTTACGGCTGCGATTGTGAAAAGATATGCCTCCGGGCTTTTGCTTTACAATGCCTATGGGCCAGCAGAGGTGAGTAGACGATAAATTAAGGTCCAAATACATATCTGTCTAACAACATGATACTTCCAGTGCAGTATTCTTATCGGCATTGATCGACTAATCCCCGGAGATCGCATCACTGTGGGAAGACCCTTGAAAACAATCCGAGTCTATGTCTTGGACGAGCAGCAGCAACCTGTGTCACGCGGGGCTCGCGGTGAGCTTTGCATGGCGGGAGTTCAAGTGCTACGAGACTATGTCAATGCTCCCGAACAAGCCGCTCGTAATATTCTCTCAGATCCGTGGCACCCTGGTGAGCGTATGTACCGTTCAGGAGATGCCGGTTCGATCGGCCGGGACGGTAGAGTGAATATATACGGACGTATGGATCGCCTGGTTAAAGTCCGTGGGTTCCGCGTTGAGCTGGCAGGAGTCGAGCTTGCGATCGTCTCTGGGCCTCCTGAGGAGAACATCTCGCAATGCTCGACCATAGTTGTCAATGGTCTCGTTGTTTCCTTCATCTCTTTTGACAGGTCGCAAGATAATGATGATTTCGACAAAGAGGGTCGGATCGCTCGTTTGCGGAGGAGACTCTGCGACCTATTACCTCCATCATCGGTACCGCAGGACATTGTACCTTTGGACACATTCCCAAGGACCAATAATGGAAAGATCGATACCAGAGCACTAAAATCGCTATACTCAAACAAAAAAAAGTTTGTGTCCGAGGAAGAGTCGCTTGAGGAGACCTCAACATCTCAGCTCGGGATAGAACAACGGTTGGCACATGAATGGCGTCAAGTACTCCAACTCAAACCTGAGATGCAAATTGAAGAGTCCAGCAATTTCTTCAAAATGGGAGGCCACTCTGTTTCGATCATGTTATTGGCTACACGGCTTACCACAGCATTTGGCAGAAGAATCACAGTCCGTCAACTCCTCCCATCTCCCGGTTTCCAACAACAAGTTAATATCATCAAAGAACTTGTTAAGATTGAAACAACCGGGAGCAACCAGCCTGAGATAGGATCTCCTCTTATGATAGAGGAGCTAACAGAAATCGAGAAACAGGTGTGGTTCCAGCATCAAGTTGCCACAACGGTTACCGCCTTCAACATCGTCAGAGTCCTCAAAATCGGGGGTGCGGCTGACATTGCTAAATTGTCTCGATCACTAAACGTAGCTCTGTCATTTGATCCGATACTTCGCTGCAATATTGTGGAAGGACCTAATGGCCCTACGAGAACGTTGCGTAGCTTCGCTCCAACTGTAAGAGAAGTGGATGAGCTTGACATGCAAAGCATTTTAAACCACCACTTTGACCTCTCTCGCGATCCTTTATTTCAGGTATACATTGTCGGATCTTCTGGGGATCGCAACACTCTCACGGTGGTAATTCTTACCTCCCATGTGATTGCCGACTTAGGGACGCTGCAGAACTTCCTTCGGCTCACGTCGCTGGCCTATTCCGGGAGCACACTTAGTCCCCTCCACAGGCCAAAGCATCTGGATTCGAATCTCTGGACAACAATGCCATCCCCAGCTGAGAGAAAGTTCTGGATGGAGTACTTGCAAGGCCATGCCTACTCTGCCAAAAGAGAACAATTACTGAAGCGTCTCCCTGCTGCCTCACCTCTAGTAACATTTCAAGGAGAATCCAGAACCCGAGAGTTCAAAGGAGAGCTAGTAACGGCTCTCAATAATTTAGTTCGGCGTATAGGGGCTACACAACACCAGCTAGTCCTAGCAATAACCGCCCTTCTATTGCATTGGTTCTCCCTGGAGGACGACTTCATATTGGGAGCACCGAGTTCTGGTCGGTCTACTTCGGAAGAGCAAGAAGCCCTTGGTCAATTCCTAGATCGGCTGCCTATTCGAATAACTCCAGCTGATTTAAGAATCATGAACAATAGAGATACTACTACATCAGTGGTGGCCCGCGTTCGCGATTCCTCTCGAAGAGCCCTCTCCAATGCCATTCCTTTCAGCAATATTATCCAAGATCTTGGCTTTCCTAGAGGTAGCCTACAACATCCTCTATTTGAGTGCATGGTGACATTTCACCCTCGAAGCGCCGGGCTGGAGAACTTTCTGCAACTACCAAAGTGCAACGTCTCTGTCTCGACACCCTTTCCTCGGGGGGCGAAGTTTCCTCTTATGATGGAATGGTTCGAGTTGGGCCCTAACCAATGGAACCTACATATAGAGCACGATACTCTTGATGTTCCAGCAAATACGATCGACGCCATGGAAGAGGCATTAGCAGTTATTCTACGAGGCATAGCAGATGAATGCTCCATACTAGAACTCAACACGCGATTGGCAGATCTTGAGCCGACGAGCTTAGACACGTTGTCCAGTTCAAGTTGCAGTTCACGTAACAGTACTGAAACTTCAAGCGCCCATTCAGAATCCGTGGGAGAAATAGTATCTTCAATCCAGTCGGAAATGGAGGCAAGCCTAGGTGCATCTCGCGGGACATTGTCCCCTCACACCTCCTTCTTCTCTGCTGGAGCAGACTCGCAAGCAGTTGTTTCACTGAGGCACCGATTGCAGAAGCTAGGCTTGGACATTCCATTAAGATCGATTTTCTTGGCTCAGAGCCCGGCGAAGCTTGCAGAGCATTTGCTTTTCATCCCCACTTGACTGTTTACATGTCTAGGAGACAGTATATGAATCCCGAAGGGACACTGCGAAACTCTTCAATATTTTTCACCCTGGTATATTCATCTTTTCATCGTTGTTTTTCAAGTATTGGTCATCACTATTTTTCATTCTATCTTATGATGTTTTCTTCCCTTAGTTTAGTTAGGCTAAATTTCTAAAATATGACTTATCATCTACCACAAATAACGTTGGTCGAACATGAAGCTTGTGTAGATGATCGATCATAGCCTAGTTGAATGTCGGGAACCGACCAACGCCGGCTACGGTCCATATATATGGACCATATCTTATACCCAACAAGCCTCATTGAGTAGCTCAAATCTCAACTACAATATGACCACCTGTGAGAACTTGCCGCCATGGAAGGCGAGCTCAATGCCCAACGAGCCAATGTGGTACTTCGGTTATGGATCTAACATGAAAGCGAGCTCGATGGCTGACCGGAAGATCACTCCTCTAAAAACCAAAGTAGTCACCGTCCCTACACACTTCGTCACATTTGACATATTCGGAATCCCATACTCGGAGCCCAGCTACGCAAGTCTAGAGCAGTTTCCAGATGGAGGCCACGGGAAGCTCGATCTTCTGCATCGTCGCAATCGCACGCAAGTGCCGCCCGCGTGTGGAGTCGGCCATCTCCTCAATCCGGTTGACTTTCATCGCCTGCTAGTTACCGAGGGCAGCGGAGTGGTCTACAATCTAATTGAGGTGCAGGCTTACGAGCTGGCCCCAGATGGGAGACCGATTCTTGCTCCGTTTCCAGTGTACACACTGAAAGCAAAGTGGCCGCAGAGGCCTAACGGGATACCCAGTGCTCGATATATGGTTTGTTCGCCCGGAATTTCTTCTAGAATCTGATACGGACTAAATAACACGTGAATAGAATATTTTTCTTCAAGGTGCTAGAGATCATAATCTTCCGCCAGCATATATCGAATATCTCGAAAAACTCCCCAGATACCAAAAGGTCGAGGGCCCAGAGCGAACGGCTGGTCAGCTAGTTTTTGATAGAGCATGGCGACCGTTCTTGAAAAGACTTGTGCGTATCACAACGTGGAAGGTAGACGAGGATGGAAATTGCCCTTTCTATGTGGCTCACATCATTGTCTGGCTCTACCAGCTTATGTGGAAGTATCACGATTTAATCCACAGGCACATATTTGAAGAGGGCGACGGAGGGAAGCTTCATTATGTCCGTGTGAGGGAGTGACTTATTCAGTTGGATCATACTCGATGGTGATAGATAAACTTCAGTCTACGTTTATTGATGAAGATGTACACTTCAATCAAACACCCCTCTCGTCTTCCTAACTTCTTCTCGCACTTTACTATCCCAAATCTCCTCGAACGTATCGCTTAGCACCTCTTCTTCTGCTTCCTTCATTGCTGTTGAGACTTGCTCGACAGCATCCATGACACGTAACACATTCAGGCCAATCATATTTTGAATGGATTGTTCCGAAACCCCCCGTTTCAAAAGTTCAGCAATCAGAAGGGGAAACTTGGAAACATCATCCAAACCCGAGGCTGTCTGCATTACACCGTCGAAATCAGACCCGATCCCAACATGGTCATACCCAATCCGGTCACCGACATGTTGGACGTGGTCAGCCACCCTCTCCAAGCATGGATTGATAGAATCCGTAGATTTTCGTATGAACGTAATCATGAAGACCCCACCGTTACGCTGTAGCATGTCCAGCACATCATCCGGGCTATTGCGCGCGTGCTCGGTCACCGAAGAGCTTGGGTCGGTCTCTTAGCTAATCATCAGGTTGATACGGATTAGAATTTTCATACCAAGAAGAATGGGAGAATATGACGGGGGCCTTTGAAACAGCCAAAGCGTGCTTCTGGGTAGCGATGGACGTATGGGACAAATCCACGATCCTGTTCGAGAGATTAGCGGCGCCCGTTGCCTGTGTGTCATGGGAGAACGTCAGCCAGGGATCCCCTCACATTCCGACTCGATTCATCTCTTTCACCATCGAGATTCCATCAGCGGATAAGCCTCCGTGAAAAGGCCCGGTAGAGTTCTGTCAGCTCCTCTGTCAGAAGTTTCCTTGTCCGAGCTTGCCCCACGGGGTCCTGACCGTAGAATCAGCGTAGAGGTTGTTGCTGTCGTGAGTCAAGGTGATGTACCGTACTCCCAAACGATGGAAATTTCTCATTACCCCGGGGCTGTTGGCGATTTGGTGCAACCCTTCAACGCCAATCAGACTTGCCACTCGGCCCGATTTGAAGACATTCCAAACCTCAGTCGATGTTGTTGCAAGGCCAAGATTCTTGGGATATCGCTCGATAAGTCCATGGATTATGTCAATTTGTTGCAGGGTTTCTCTTAAACAGTGGTGATGAACATCAACTGAGAAATCGTTACCGGCATTGGCATCTGGGCTGGAAACAAAGTCAGTGGACAATAATGGATGAATGGCATACGAAACCACATACCAAGGGACGTAGGCGCTCCAAAATACTCCACCAACCCGACCTTGGCTCAGTCGTTCCAGATCTGTATGGGCAATGGGCATGTGCTGACAATCCACGGTGTTCACTTGATCTGGGTACCATCCACGAAGAAAGTAGGGGAAGTCGTTGTGCCCATCTATACGGTGGTTACTTGAGCGGGAGAACCCTGCGTCAGAATCTTAAGATCTTACCTATCAGAGGAACATCTTGCAACAGCTTGAGCGCTTTAGCGAGATCTTCGCCGAGAATATGCATGTTGGCAAGTATGGGGGAAATTATCTCAGTCAGTACCAGAAGCCTGTAACTTGTATCCAAGTGCTCACTACGATGGTCAGGGCTCGGGTAATATATTATAATCATGATCTCCTAAGATACAACAAGAGCATATGATCGCCCATCGGTCTTCGGCGACATAGCTGGGGAACCCAAAGCGAGATCGCAGACCAAGAGTAAACTAACTTGATCAAGTGAGGTGTCTATCTACACAGCCAACGATGATAGTAACATATTCTTAATCGCAAATACTTTCGCATTCTGAGAACTATCTTCAACTAAAGTAATTTGATCATTCTTCAATGTGAATCACTTTGCGTGAATCTAAGTCTGCATACGCTTTGGCCACCCCTGGAACCTTTGCTAGCTCATCACTCCATGCCTTCAAGGCCGGAAAGTCATGCTTGTCAATACCCATTCGTTCCATGGTTGGATCGTCCGCAAATGGGTAGATGGCCAGGTCTACGATCGTCGGCCGGTCCTTCAGGCCGATCCACTTCTGGCCTGGCTGCGACAGGTGTTTGTCAAGGATGCCATACTGCGTCCTCAAGTCTTTGTACATCCTGCGTGCGTCTAAGTTAGCAACCAAAAGTCCCATCTGGTCAATGCACTCATCACAAGACCTTACTTTTCCTGCGCCTTGGGATTTTGCTCCTCGGGCTGGCGGATTGCATACCACACCCAATACTTTGCAGTAGGCCTATGGATGTAAGTTTGACTGCGCCCCTTGTCTGTGAAGGAACAGTGTATCACGCACCCAAGAGATGCCGTTTCAAAGGTCAGCCAGTTACCAATTTCCAGGCTTTCGGCTGCATTTTGCCCATTCCACATTTTCTCAGTGTCGTATTTGCTGGCCAGGTACTGGAGAATCTGGGAGCTATCCCAAGACGACACACGCTGGCCATTCTCAGAGTCGATCAGGGCCGGGACGTATCGCTGGGGATGAATTCTGGTATACCAATCAGTCCTGGTCGTAGGCCCATCGAGGCATGCAGCGTCGTAATCGACCCCAAGACACTCGAGCAACATGATTGGTTTGATCCAGTTCTGGTAGCGACCCTCTACCACGAAGATGAGGGGCTTGTCGGGGACATCAAGGTCCAGGGACTTGGCAGAGAACTTGTTGATTGGCATTTTTGGACCTGTAACTTTGCGCTTAGTAACCAGGTATCGTTATGCATCGCAAGCGAGGCCTTCAGTCTTGCTATATCTGCAGGTGTCGGAACCGGTCGGTAACCGGTGGTCAGCGATGTGACCATCCAAGTCGTCGGATGCAACACAATAAGGACCTTGAGGCCGGTGGGGAAAGAGCAAGATGGTAGTGAACGGGGTTATCACCTGCGGTAACCGAAGTAACCGAGTTGATATGTCCCTTTAAGGCACCGGCATGAACAACACATTTGATTAGACTTTTTGCTCTCGTTAGCGATCTCACCATGAAATGTCTCCAGTCATGCCCCCAAACTGCAGCAAGCCGGTCAACTTGGCCAGCCTATCCAGGCATCCATTTATCGCCTCATCATGCACACCCTCCTCCCACTTCTCATCCATGACTAGCTTCCACTCTTGCAGTTTCTCAATGAGATCCAAGCACGCATCCGTCAGTGCTACTTGGCCCAGCAACTGGGCCTCGGACCCTTGTAAAGTGAGGTTTCCGAGTCTCATATGTGGAGGCGCAGACTGGTAGCCTCTTGAATCATCATCGCCACTTGTCTCTGAAGAGGTGATGCTGCTGCCTTGGCGCGTTCCATCCCGAGAGTGCGTGAATTGTCTTGAATGAGAACTCGGCTGGCTGGCAAATGATGCTGCGGACGCTGCTGTTGTTGCTGATATTGACGAGGACGATGATGAAGATGGAGCCATCGCAGCGCTCCACTGTGTGCTGGCGGCATTTGCATGTGCAGCTTCGTAGAAACAAACCAAACGTGATGTGATCCGCATCAGCAAGTTCGTTACTCTGTACGTCCTTATACAACGGTCGCAGCATGTGATGTTTTTGAGATGGGATGTGAACTCAGAGCCGAGTAACAGGATTCTGTCAACAGGGAGTATATCCTGCTCCAGCTGGCTTGATATATGCTGGAAGCTGATGGCTTGACAACTACACTGGCTCGATTGCATCATGTGTGCATAAATGACGAATATGTGGCATTTCTCATTTGTTGGCTGGGCCAATGTTACCTTTTTGTACGTGTCTGCCATTCTCACCTCAGCTTGCATGTCTATAGAAGCGAAGTGGCGTCGGTTACGTTGCTCTCAAAGGCTGAAGCTCAAGCTATTCAACACTTCTCACGATCGATACGGCCATGAATACTGTTTTCCGATGCATTCTCCCTCAATACAAGCTCGGGCACAAGCAGGGGTTCATACCTCAAGAGGAGCCCGATCCCTGATCTCCTGCATCGGTTACTGACAGCTGAATCAATATGGCATGTAACTATTCACACGCGAGATCACCTTAAGCGGCCTCTTCACCACTTCGGTGATTAATACAGTACTGCCGGGGAATTAGCCTGTCCCGTATTGAGTCCCGTAACGAGTGAGAATGCAGCTGACAGGTTGGTGACGACAGCCAGACAAGAGCTCGCTAAATCCCATCGGGATATGATGATCCAGCCGCGCCCCCTCCCGTCGGGCCTACCAGGGCTGACTGTGTTCTCGGGCCGGTCAATGATATCCTGCATGTTGGGGTTCAGCCAAGGCAGCAGAACATACCCCTCCCCCCTTCCCTCTTCCCCGCTCGAATTGGACGCTAGAATGCTATCTGCAGATCGGAGTATTACATGCATAGATGGAGCGATAACGGGGGGCAATACGATTCTATACGGCCTGATTGTTGAGCCAACATGGCCGTGGCTTTCATCAAAGGGTGCGCCCCCGGCAGTTCCATTCATCTACCATATCACGCTAGCCATTCACTTATCCTAGCACGGTTTGAGAGCTCAGATCATAATTATCAGTCGTCCCATTCGGATGAAGCCTTATCAGACTTAACAACGCAATGGTGGGACGCCATGGAACTCTCCATGCGTCTGGGACAAGGGGCCCCAAATACCGAACCTCCTGTGATCGATGCCAAGCCGCAAAGGTCAAGTGCGGCCATGAAAAGCCGTCGTGCAGGAGATGCACCTATCACAAGGTAGAATGCGTCTACGGCATCTCTCGTCGTATGGGCAGGCCAAGGGCCAGGAAGAGTCCCGCCAAAGACTCGTCTCCTTCGCCGCAAGCTTCCACCAACAGTGCATCAGACGAGAACAGTAGGTCCAAGCCAGCAACGCCAGCAGTCACCTTTGGCGAAGCAGAGCCGGCAGTGGAGATCCAGCAGAGCAGTCCAGCGATAAACGCTGAAGGAGGCAGTCTCTCGACGGAGTCTGCGCACATATCAGAGCCTTGGGCGGCCTCATTGGCCACGCACTTCGAACCGCCAGAACTCGATCAAATTGCAGCTGAAGGTATTCATAATGATCCGATGCTTGAGTCATTGCGTACGCCGTTGGCATTCCTGTCGACCCCTACAGAAAATAGAATGGATCTTGATGATTACAACGGCTACCCAACCATGAGCGCATTTCTTGACGACATCTCAGACTCCATGATATCACAGCAGCCCATTCCTACACCATCAGCACTGGAGATTCTAGACCCTCAAGCCTTGATTCCAACGGAAATTCCAGTTGGTAATCCACAGGAATCGTTTGGTCAGGTCAATACAATTCCAACGCCGGTGCAGACCGCGCAGTCTGGGAACAGCTCAAACACCATCCGTCGGACAGACGCCCATCACCAGTCCAGTCCATCATCTGTGTCAAAGGGGCGTGTCTCAATTGACCAGTCAATGAGCGACATGTTGCTCAGCTTGACAAACCACGAAGACAAAAATCATGCGGCCAGACCATCAAACGGGACGCATGTCGAGCCTCACTACGACACACGGCCCATGTCAAAGAGTGGCAAACTGTCTGTTCACGAGAAAGATGATGGCTGCTGCAACTGCCACATCGTCGTCACGGACTGCATTGTGTCGCTCAAGGCAGAGCAACAGAGGTCTGGCTTAGTGCCTATCGACTGTGCCCTGAGGATGGAGACGGAGGTAGAGACGTCTCTCTCTGCGGTGCACGAGTGTCAAAGCTGCCGTTGCGAGAGCAGCATACACCTCCTCTCACTTGTTGGCGTTCGGCTGATGCTAGATATACTACAAAAGACAGTGAGGGATGAATTTGTCATGCGTCCAAGGCGGATCAATAGTGGAACGATCTCTATTAACAACAGCGACATTCTCTGGATAGGTAGCTTCAAGGTCTCTCCCAAGACGCGCTGCCGCTTCCTCAAGAAGCTTGTTCAGGCGCGGTTTTGTAGGCTCGCGATGCTCGTGGAAAGGGGCGGCAAGGTGGTGACCAGTGGCCCTGCACGAGACTGTTACTCCCAGTCTGGAGACTTATTGCTGGAGGACATCTCAAAAGGACTACGGACAACTATGGGTTGGGTGACGCTGTGGAATTCAAAGCATTGACACCAGGTTTCCAAAAGACGTATCGCTGGTTTGCAAATTTGATAGCTAGCACAAGTACCTTACCTATGCATATCATTTAGCACGTTTCTTAGATTGTTTTCTCACCTTATAATCACGATTTACTTAAGATCTCATCGTATTTGTTTTTTCCAAGCGAGCTTCCACTACGCTTGGCAGCATCAAGTTGACGAGGTGTGGCGGAGACTACATGACAAAACAAGGGGGACTTATGTACAGGTGGCGGCATGGCTGCATTTATTGGTTTCGGGTCCGTCAGCCTGCAGGTAATATCGGCTTTAATCCCTCCGACTCTGGAGAACGGGAAGGGGGTGGCGTGAACAAGGCGTGTGAGTATCGTCGGTTACCGACCTCATGTTGAAATGCACAATCTTTGGATCGTGAAGTTGTTGAAGCAGGCCGATTTTCATGGAGCTATCATGACATTGTTCTCTCGCCTTTTTGGCTTATTCATTGACAGACTTTTGTTCCTTGATTTTCAGCTGCCACACTTTCAGTGGACGCATGACGGAGATACCATGTCTACCCCACTGCGAAACATGTTGCAACAGGAGGCGTTTTCAGTGGTCCTGGACAGACCTTGGATCAGCACTGGAGTCTTCATACCTTTGCTTATCCTACTCATTGACTATCTCAACTACTATAGGCTCAGAAGGCGCCTGGGTAATATACCGGTCGTAGGAGATGCGTCTTACCTTTGGAGGCGGCTTCGCTGGACCGAAACTGATGCAAGTTTTCAAAAAGTTTTCCAAAAAGGATACGATACTGTAAGCAGGTCTTATACCCGGGTCAAGAGTGAGCCATTGTTGATTTGAATGTCATAGTTCTCTAAGAAAGCCAAACCATTTGCCTTCTGGGGACAGAATGAGGACTTTGTTATTATCCTACCTCCTGGAAGCTGCGAGGATGTCAAAAACATTGGCCCAGAGAAGCTAAGCTTTCTCCAGGCTGTCGAGGATGTATGTTTTGTCCAATTAATAACACGAAGACCAGCCCAGTTGACGTGCATGCACAGAGCTACCATTTCAACTTACATACCAACATCCTTGGCCGCAGCCATGTCGATGCTGTCCGCCAGTCTGTCAACAAGAACATGAGTATGAGTCCCAGGGAGGAAAGCCCCTAGCAAGTTGCTTGTACTAAAACACATTCAAGATCAACTTCACGAAATTGTTGTGAAAAAGGCAGATGAAACCATACCGAATCTCTTTAGCAACCTTGCGACGAGTATGAGAAATATTCAACTTATAACAACGCAGAAAAAGGCTGACAGCTCGCAGCGAATGAACCTTTCGCCGCATTCCTCACCATCTGGCATCTCGTTAACATTGTCTCCGCAAGCTACCTTGTTGGTCCAGAATTCAGTGACAATGCCGAGTATTTGCAGGCCATCGAATACTACTGCATCACTGTCCCGGCCTTCATCTATGGATACTTCTGGGTTCCAGCCCCCCTTCGGCGACTGTACTGGTACCTGTCCCCTCAGGGCTTCAAGATCCGTGCATGCAAGGCCAAACTGAAGGCCTTCGTCGCCCCTAAAATTCGACAGGTGATCAAAACTTGGCAGGAGGAGGGCCAGGTCAGTGGCTCTTACACGCTGCTCGGCGCAATGTTGGAACTCAAGGCCCAGAGGGGCCAGATCAAGCAAGACCCCAAGGCCATGACCAAGGCCGAGCTCGAGCGCCAGATTGACATCTTCTCCGATGAAATGATTTTCACGGGGTTTGACAGCGCCGGTCCTGTGGCTTGTATGGTCACGCAACTCGTCTTTGAGGCGATGCGTGACAAGGATCTGACCAGAGCGCTTCGCGATGAGATCGAGGCTGCACTGGCAGCCAACAATGGTGAATGGAATACACAAGTCTTAACATCTGTCCCCAAACTCGACAGCTTCACCAGGGAGTCGCTGCGGGTTAATGGGCCAACGCTATGTAAGGATCCTCCAGGAGCTGCTTCTTCTCCTCTGTTCAGAGCTTGGACTAATAAGGCTGAATTCAGTGTCAGTATCACGGACAGTCATGGAGCCCATGGAATTGAAATCCGGCCTCCGACTCAAGCGAGGCAACATCATCTCAAATGCATCTTGGCTCATTCACAACGACGAGGATCACTACAAGAAGGCTCATGAATTCGATCCCTACCGCTTCTATGACGAGAAGACTAACAAAGTGACCACAAAAGTGACCACTGCGAGCAGCAGCTTTCTCGGGTACGGATATGGAGCCCAGATGTGTCCGGGTCGTCACCTGGGGATCAGGATGTCGCAGATCCTATTCGCCAAACTACTCATGCAGTACGACGGAGAGTTTGAAGATGCGAAGGCTGGCAAGCCGCCGAATATTGTCACATCTGGCCAAGTCCTCCCTCCTTATCATACGAAAGTTATTATGAAGCATAGGAAGGCTTGATGGTCGCTGTGCCTATTTATCGAGTTATAAGTAAAGAGTCACAATTTGTCGCCAGCCATCTAATGCACGAAGGTCAGGCAAAATGGCTGCTGTGCTTTTCACCCCTACACATCCTATCAAGTATAGGAGAGATATGCGGTCTCTCAAAGCATACAATTCAATAGTTAAAAGACCGTTTTCTAAAAGGTGCTCCAAACTTCCATGAAGCCCAAGCCTAGATGAAGCTAAGTTGAGATAAAGCCAACAAAACTTTACGTAGGCTCAAGTCTTGTCTGGCGTGTGAGAGGAAAAAGCAAGATTCTATGACATAATCCCCTCCGCTGTATATAAGTCTATCGAAATGGTCTAAACCCCCTTTTATCTATTAGCGTTCTCCCTCTCCAATTCTTCTAATGGTATTTCCGTCTCCAGCTTTGAATACTTTTGCCTCTCAAGCCGCTTCTTCACAACGAATCGGTATCCACCAAACCCGACCAGCATTAAGCATAATGCAAACAACATCAGCGACATATACTTTCTCCATCCCCTAATACAGCAAGGATACCAAAACATGAACACACCCACAATCCACTCCGGCCAGCTCCGTTTTGCACCACCATTCGGACCCAAGCCGTTACGGATGAGTGCTTTCATCACCGGGCCGGTTGGCCCAGACACAAATCGTTTCAGGCCAAAGTATGGGACTGTCGCCTGATCCGGGTTGGCGTCTGGGTATTTCTCGTCGCCCCAGAGGCCTTTGTAATAGATGAATGAATCAGACTTGGCGAGGGCTGGGTCATTTGAGCCCTCGCGATGGAGTGATGTGAAGGTGGAGCTCTTGGGGTCGTAACGGTAGAAGAATGCTGATCCGACGGGATCCCAAAGATGGCCGGCTTTGCACCAGTCGATTAACACAACGTTGTGGATATGTTCTCTGTTCACGGTCAGATATCACAGAAAGGGATTGGACATCAACATCGGCTTACCCCTCAGTCACGTAGTTGGCATGTGATCCGTACGCACTGTAGGCGAATGGCTATCTCACGTTAGCAGTTCATCCAAGCAATAACATCATGCTAAACCAGACACATACCCGGATTCCATCCTTTTTAGAGACGGTGTGGTCGTTCCAATCAAAGGAGGCTCCACCGTCGTGCTGACTATAGAATAGACCAGTGGGCTCTCCATTCTTGAACCGAATCATGTTGTGTTCCCTAATGGCCACATATTAGTCAAAGGTCCGAAGCAATTAAATAGACCAAAATTACCAGTCTCCAACGTGATCACCAAAGTGGAATGAGGGCGGATGAGCCCCGAAGATGCGGTTGAAGGGTTCGACAACCCAGGTGATGTTGGCCCCCCTATTGTAAGAGTAGAAATACCAATAAAACACATCGGTGATTTCCGGGCTCTTTTCAATAAGCAGCACCACACAGGCAGTGGAATTGTGAAGTATTCCCTTCTCATCTGGCATCTCACCCAAGAGCCATGACGGTATTGCTGTGACGTTATCTTTTGAAGCCAGTGCCCCAGGGCCACCCTTGGCAGTATTGAGAACAGCCAAATTGTCCAAGTTTAATTCTGGGACATCTGGAATTGGCTTGTGTGCCGACATTGGAGTGGTGCGGCGAACATGCTCGAGCAGATCTGACGGGCGGAATGGATCCTCCGGATGAAGCCACAAGAGCGGTGCTGTTAAATTGGTTAGGCCTCCGGGCCTCTCTGGTTTCTCGTCCATCGCGTCTTGGGGTGGCATTCTCACCATGTTTTATCACGTAGTCGGGAACCTTGGGCTGCGGCTCTCGGGATGACACGTCCAGGGGGTTCCCATTCTCGATGCTCGCTGCGGACAAGCCAGCCAAGGCCTGAGCCACGAGCAGCAGGACCGATATAAAGGAGGAATAACGATGGCCCATTTTCCCCATGGATTGCCGGGGCGCTGCGCCGAGACGGCCTCGGGCAAGGTGGACGGTGCTTCGACACAAAACTTGGCGATGATGATGATGTGCCAGCGTTGTTCATCCTGGACAAATAAATGAAATTGCCTGATGTTTCGGATTAGTCAGATGAGAGAAGCGATAGCGCAGACGTTAGCTGGATTGGGTTATTCACGGATTCTGTTGCCTAATGAGGACGAAGAACAAAGGAAGCGTGATCGATCCAGCTTTGACAAGGATGGAATGCATATGGAATATTCTACCAAGACATTACCTTATCAATTAGGACCAAACAGGCGCCGCGGATGGAACCACCTCATTAGTAGATCTCTGGCTGTATGCTTGCGACGGGGGCACGTTGCATCTTCGGTGAAGACGTGTTCTTTCTTCGGCTATGTTATGGACAAAAAAGAGGAAGCAGAGGTACTTGAGGCTAGACTCATTTCTCGCGACTAATCAAGTACTCTTTCCCTTTATTGATCACCGTTCAGACCTCATTAATACCGCAGGCCCGGTAGTCTTCCTACCCTATAGCTCAACAACTGACGGCTTTCGCTTTGTAAATATATAAGCAGATGAGAAGAGAGGGTCAAAAGATTATCATTTAATGGAATGTATCAATTTGCTGCAGTTCTTAGCTAGGTTTTTTCCTCGAGCTGATATCCTATAATTTAAGGACATTGATCATGCAGATACAGTACCTTGAAGTCAACTATGCTGCTCCAGCCAAAGCAGCCAGGTAAACAACACAGCCCCCTTTACGCATTCAAGCGGTGAAATAGTGCACATACTTGAAAATTCTTAGAGCTTCCAAGAGTTTAAGCCCTAACAGCCATGATGCCGACTGGGAGAATGGCTGTACCGGGAAGAATTGTCCAAGAGGCCTTCCTGGCTACGATTGAGTGGATCAATAACGATGCGGAACAGCGATGAAATAGTGGAACGGCCCGGGAATTAGTGGAGCAGCCACGAGCAACGCGCGAGAAATGGGCGAAGGCGGTGCGACGCGGTGTCTAATACTTGCTAAATGTTAGTGGCACACACTGCCAAACAGCAAATGCTTAACAGCTATCAAGTACTTTGTTTCTATTTTCAGCTCTCTCGCCCGTCTCTCGCGCCGCCTCAGTCGGCCGCAAATTCATCACCATCAACGGCTTTTGAGACGGCCTCTAGGCTTTTGGGATATGTCGGCATTGAAGATAAATATCGGCGGCCCCTCGCTGGGTTGCCATTCGATTTTTGAAGCATCACAACAGAAACATTCAATCCAGCCATCAATCACCTAAAACCTCATTCAATTCAATCCAACCCAAGCTTTTGGTTGCTGACCACTATCAAACAACATGTCCAAGTCTATCATTGCCTTCTTCGGTGCCTCCAATGGCTGCGGCAACTTTGCCCTCAAGGAAGCCCTCAACGCCGGCCACACCTGCATTGCTCTGCTCCGCACCCCTGCCAAACTGGCTGATCTTGCCAGTGCCTACCCCAATCTGATCATCAAGGAGGGAAATGCCCATGACGCTGCAGCTGTGGCTGCCTGTCTGACCATCCCTGGCGACAACGCGCGCTTTGTCGATGCTGTGCACTTCTCCATTGGGGCCTTCATGGACCCCAAGACCTTCAAGTTTGCCGACCCAGACGTCTGCAAGAAGGGCATCTCGGCAATCCTCGAGGCCCTGACCACTCTACGCATGAACCATGGCACAATCGGCAGCCCCCTGCTGGCCGTGGTGAGCACTACCGGCATCACCGAGAAGAAGCGCGACTTCCCGCTTGCCTTCTACCCCCTCTACCACTGGATGTTGGCGACTCCTCACGCCGACAAGAAGGTCATGGAGGAGAGGCTTCGGGGCAGCTGCGAGAGATACGTGCTCGTCCGCCCCAGTTTGCTGATTGACAATGACAAGGAGGATGCTAAGATCAGGGAGGGGCTCCAGGATGTGGGCACCGGGGTCGTGGAGAAGGAGGAGGTGGGATATGTCATCTCGAGAGGCGCTGTTGGTCGCTGGATGTACAGGAACTTGCTGAGCGTGGAGGAGAGCGCTGTTCGCAAGTGGGAGGGCAAGGCTGTTTCTATCACTTGGTGATCTCGAAGCAAATCACCTGCTCTCTCGCATTCTCTTTTCTCCTGTTTCGGCGTTTGGGTTCATGATCCTCCTAGTAGCAGTGTGTTATAGAATATCGCGGAATCATTTGCTTTCTGGGTCGGTGGCGTTGGGTACTTGTTTGCAAACATTATAGATCTTTACAATGAAATACGAACCTGATGATTTAAATTGACCAGCTGCCTCAATGGTGCATGTAATATTAACTCAAAATTTGTTCGCCTCGAGTCTTTCATTTCGACTTCGCTGGATGGTAAGTTGGGCAGTAGATAAATTGGGCTACTGCTTCACTGCAAGCTGTTATCCGCAGAAACCAAAGAAATGCTGCACCCAAAGAGTCCTCTAGTTCAGTGCGACAAGTGGTGTGACAAGCTGACAATCAGGCCTGTTGCCTCGCCAATCTCAGTTGATTTTAGCGCGCGTCCGGGCGAAAATAGCGACTTGATCCGAAGGCAGCAGTATTTTGTCGCCCTTTTGCTAGGCAGCACCTTTCAGGCTCTGATAAATAGTTTCGAGGGATATCAATCAATTGTCCCAGGAGAGAATTCGAAAATCTTCGCCTTGGGAGACAGCTTGCATCCTTCATCACACATACACCACACATACAAGAGGTATCGCGCCATGGCTCTGAATCTGACGGAACAATCCCTCCAGCCCCTCCAAACAACGAGGAACTCGCCCCAAATCGTCAAGCACGAGTCCAGCCACACAGAAATTCCAAATGGCTTCTTGCAAGGACCCTCTGCTCTGCCCGTCACATTGACACACGTCCCCTTTGCCTCATCCCCCGTGCCCGAGTACGACGAATGCTTCGCCGTGGTTCTGGACAACGTCATCTCCAAAGACGAATGCCAGGAGTTGATCAAGCTGGCTGAGCAATCTGCCACTCCCGCCAACAGCGACGCCGAGGGCTTCTGTCCATGGCGGTCGGCCATGGTGTCGCTCGGCCCTGGCGTGGAGGCATCGGCCAAGGGATACAGAGAGAGCGACAGGATCGTCTGGGACGAGCAGGAGATTACTGATCGTATATGGGCGCGCTGCTGTCAGGCCGAGGGGCTTCAGGACCAGCTCGCCCGGGTCGAGGAGGGCGGAGACAGTCGCGTCGGCCGGCCTTCGAGGAAATGGGAGTTCCATCGCATAAACGCGAGGATGAGATTTTTGCGATACTCTGTAGGGAACTTCTTTAAAGGTACCCAATGTCGAAATGAACCTTGCATCAAAATATCATGAACTAACTGATGGCATGTAACAGCGCATACGGATGGTCCTTTCTGGTACGAGGATGGGGAGAGGGAGTTCCAAACCCATTACACAGTGCACCTCTATCTCAATGATTCGGTCGAGGCGTCACCGGATAGCGAGCTGGTTGGAGGGGCCACCGCATTCCTCTCGCGAGATCGCCAGCGCCGCGTTGACGTGAACCCCAAAGCTGGGAGTGTGCTGGTATTCCAACACTCCAGGCTCTTGCATGAGGGCTCTGTGGTACAGGCGGGTCAGAAGTTTACGGTACGCATGGACTTGTTGTACGAATGGGTCAATAAAGGCGAGAAGGCGGAGGTGAAAAAGAAGACTCCCGTCCGGAAGCACGTCGTGGAAAAGGATGCATCAAGTGACAGCGTGGCCAAGAAAGAGGATGCTAAGTAGATATAGAGCCTGTCTCCAATTCCACCACTTCCTGTGAGTGTACTGCGTCATCAGAGCAAATCCACCAGACCAGTGAAAAACTCCTCGACTGTCATCTCGATCGAATCTCCGACCTGGTCCATTACTTCTGAAAAATCCTTGTCATGCATTTCCTTCAAGCTTTCCGACCCAACGAATTCACCAAGTTTCATGAGCCAGCGCATGATTATCGTTCCGTGTTCAAAGCTCGGAAAGTTGTTGGGTTCACCAGGGATGTTCTGTGCTGAGAGGGGGTTTGTCGTTCGGTGGGTGTCTCTGTATGTATCGATAAGCCCCGACAGAAAGGCAAAAATATGTTTATGTCGAGTATTGTGAGAGGATGGGTCGTATATTGGCGAAGTATTGAGCGTATCGCAGAATATTTATATCGCCGAATGTGAACAGAAGCACCGCACATATGTGTTGGACATGGGAATGGACATGAGGCGAAATTGTTGTTAGCTGTTGGGGCTATGCTTATACAGCCATCGAGCGAGGTTCTGAGCGAGTAATGTAGGCATCAGCCTATGATGGAATATTGGGGGCTGCAACTTCTGGGCGTAGTCTCAGGCCGCATTTGCTTGAGAGAGTGTAATGCATTCGTATCATATGGTGTGATTCTTGACAGTATGGCAAGCGCGAGCCTCGTGTAGTCCAAAGAGGCATTGCTGTTTATGGTGCTTGTGGCGATTCCGACAAGGATGATCGAAACCACAATATAGGCCAGATATGGAATCCCTAGTGATTTGGCTCCCACGTGGACGTATGCTATTTCTATAACGTCAAGAGGCCACTGGGCTGCGGTTGGACCATATCTGAGGGTGTGGCATTGCGACGTTGAACTGCTGCCAACAGGTCCTGTAGCTATGATGTGCTGGCCGCAGTGGTCCCAACTTGGTATTGATTTTCCATGTCATTGCAGATACTACGAAGCCTGGTACTGGAGGAGGCAAAAGTCTCGCTTCAGGCGGTGCATTCGCTTGTGACCCAACTGAAGCGGCACGGATAGTGATCATCTCAATGTTATCAGGCAACCTTCTCTTACAAGGCAGATTCTTACCACACTCTTGAGCCTCAAGAGTGTGTATGGTTCGCACCAGGGAATTCGTCGATCGCATCAGCCACAACTCCTTTTCGGCGTGATCAATATGAAGCACAGCCAATAAAGGATCAGCTACTGCATGTGATCTAAGTCAAGAAAACGTAAGCATGCTCAAGAAAGTATTCTGATCGGCCCGTATCAAAGACCTATTTACTATCCCTGTAGCATTCAATAAATCCGGGTTGAAACCTAAGCATTGTTATTTCCCTGTTAAAATCGGATTATTTCTCCTTTCAGATACTGGACCGCAATAGGTCTGTATTCTTACGCGTCCGCAAAGGCCTCTCAAATTTGTGAGCAGGGGGCTCACCTCCTGGCAGGGTAGAGTTTGCGCGCGCATCTTCACCCTTTACAGTACCGACTCAGCGGCACAGGTACGGACACTGTACAGGGACGGAGCAATTTGATTATCTTTGATTGTAGAGAGCAATAATTGGAAGATTCACGCCGACTCCAATTAAGAGTGACATTGATTTGAGTGTCCTCATCTCACACGAAAACCTCATTAATACCATTTACTCACAACCCAGTTGAGGCCATTGGTCAATGTATGGTCAACTAGTGTTAAGCAATTACGGAACTGAGTTGAAGGCGAGATTTGATTCGGAGATCCTATCTGGGAAAAATTAACTATTGACAAGCATCTAATTACCTCATGGAAGAACACCCTGACCACGAGGATTGAGAACTAGCTGGGCCAATCGTGTGCTGGATTTTGACGCTTATCTCAATGACGGAGAAGGTAGGTAATTGAAACTCTCACCGTCAACCGCTGTTGGTGGGCATGTTTGAGCAGGGATCACACCCTGGTTTCCAACTCTCCATCCGGCGCCAATGCACCGGCGCTCTTGGCCAACCTTCTTCTGAAACATCAGGCCCTGTTTTGAATCAAATTCAATCGTTTTAGGGCTGGAGCGCAGAGACACTGCCTTCAGACTTTTACCCGTTGCGACTTTTCCTATGCGCGTTGAAACTGGTGATAGCCGCTATATTCTTGAAATTTCAGAGTAACCGCTCACCTCTTTTTTCAATTTGGATTCTTTCTCTCTTTATCTTGTCCTTTCCCTTCCCTTTGCCATCTTTCTGTGTTGGCGCCGTGATTGGAGGTCAAATTGGTTAAGGAACACCACATGCCAAGGTGGGCCAGTTTCAGGAACAGGGCGACAACCATCGCCATCGAAACAAACCCTTGTCCAGGGAACACTGCCCGATTAGTCTTGCGGAACAGCACCACCGGAGTACGAAGATGGCCTCTGGGTGAGCGTCTCTTCATCATTAATATCGCGAGTAGGCCCAAATGCTTCGTCTGTTCTTCTTTCCCAGCATCACTCTCTAAGGCAGAGCTCTACATTCTTTTCTTGACTTTCTAGCCCTGGAGGCCGACTATCCACCTTTTTCACTCATTCACTACCGAGCGTCGAACGTCCGGACATCACAACCAAATCACAACCAACTTCAAAATGCGTTCCAACACTTTCTCTGCCCTTGTGGCCGCCGTGGCCATGGTGCCATCTGTCTTTGCGCACTACAACTTCGAGTCTCTCATTGTCAATGGACAGGAGACTGAGGCGTACCAGTATGTGCGACAGACCACCAACGCCAACAGTCCCATCACAGACGTGACTTCCAACGACATCATTTGCAACGCTGGCGGTCTTGATGCCACCATCATGGCCAAGACTGAGACTTACACCGTCGCAGCCGGTGATGAGGTTGGCTTCAAGATCAACTCCAACCTTGGCCACCCTGGTCCCCTGGCCGTTTACATGAGCAAGGCTTCCGGCACTGCCCAGGAATACAAGGGTGACGGAGATTGGTTCAAGGTTTACGAGCTTACCTACTCCGCTCTCGCTGCTGATGGCATTCAGTGGGCCAGCTTCGTCAACGGCGGTATCTCCAACTTCACCTTCACTCTGCCAACCGACCTGCCCGCTGGTGAGTACCTCATGCGTGGAGAGCACATCGGTCTCCATGGCGCCGGCGACTTTGGAGGCGCCCAATTCTACATCGGATGCGCTCAGCTCAAGGTCACTGGCAGCGGTTCAGGCTCCCCCTCCCCCACCGTCAAGTTCCCTGGCGCCTACGACGGAAACGAGCCTGGTATCAAGATCGGAATCTACTGGCCTGTGCCCACCAGTTACACTGCCCCTGGTCCCGTCACATGGCCCAACTCCTGTGAGGACCACACTGCCAACTACGTTGGCCAGACCAGCGATGGTGACTGCACTGGCGGAGAGTCATCCGGCGGAGGTGACAGCAGCGCTTCCTCTGCCCCCGTCTCGACCCCTACATCCACTGTTGCTTCGCAGCCCGCTGTGACAAGCATTGCTTCGACAACTCCCGTGGCCAGTGTGACAACCACCCCCGTTGCTTCTGCCGATGCCACCTCTTCTGCTGCCGCCGTGGTGACGCTCTCAACCTCCACCTCTGCGGCCAAGCCCACCTCTACTGCTTCTCCTTGCCTCAAGCGCCGCAAGGCCCGCAGATCTCTCAAGCACTTTTAAATGCTATGACAAACCATGTAAATAGAAAAGGAGCAGCCGGTCTATAGTCTCCTTTCGTTGTAGTAAATCTATAACCATTACATAAACTGAATACACTTTTACTTTACTGTATTTGATCGTTTGACCATTCCATCGTGTGATTCGACTCATTGATGTAGTACTTTGGAGAAGTTGGCGCGTAATTGTAGAATATTCATTAGACCTTTATGGATATCACAATCTGCATTTTTAGCAGCATTTTAGTCAGTACCAGTTTCAACCCTATAGTTAATTCCGCTGAAGCATGATTCATACTTTAATTCAATAGGTAATTTCATTAGCTGTCCTCTACATCAGTTCCTGTCATATATACTGCCATTCAATTGAATTAATAAACTATCCTAGATAACTACCTAGGACTATAGAATACTTACAGGACAACAAAATTTGTATATTCTACTAGATAGCAGTAGCTAGGCGACCTTTGCCCTCACCGGGGATCCCCCAGCGTTGAACATACATACACACACACTACTGCCATTCAAGAGCTGGATATAGCCGCATCCTCAAGTTTAATCAAGTTATTAAGGCCTTTCTGCGGAAGTCTTAAGAAGTAGATATAAAATAAGGGATAGGAACTTCAGGGGAGTTAGCCTTCAAATAGTAGGTATAGCGTTCAGAGCAGATCATAGGACAGGCTTGTCAACATTCTCCGCATAACACTACCAGTCGTTTAGTACCCGGAGGGTGGGCACTGAGGTTCATCAAGGGGCCTCAATCCAACGGCCGAAGGGCCGGAAACAGACCGAATATCATGATCCTCTAATTCCAATCACCTAGGAGTCAGAACGATGCACTATAATGGTGCCTAATTATCTGAATAGTAACCGTACACCTAGGTAATGATCTACACCCTCCAAAGCCCTCCTAGGCGCTAGCATTAAGTTGGCTTCTGTCCACCCATTTTGTCTTGGACAGTTCCTCCAATACTCCCGCCAGTCGTGAACTGCTTCCCAATCGCCCCCTGTTCATCTAACGGACCACCAATCTTCTGTGCAGTTCCACCAATAGCGCCTTCAGCTACACAACCTTGTTAGTAACTTGCTAGGTCGGAAACTCGGAAACGGTGCACGTACTGGTGAAGTGCTTGCCAACGGAACCTTTCTCGTCCATGGCCTTGGGCTTTGTGCCAGACTGGAACTGGTCAGCGGCAAGTTTTGCATCCAAGATGTTGTCAGACATGGCGACTGTACGAGGAGCGTTCGAGTATTTGATTGTTTGAAAAGCAGAGTAAAGAAACGTGGGAATTCATCATAATGGGTGACTGGGCTCCTCACATATATACACATGTCCCGCTCAAAATCCGCCACTTACATCTACCTGTCCAGTCTAGCCTGTATCCGGTCCGTGTAGTTCGGATCCATGACGCCATCATTTGCTCAGGGCTTCGTGAGGCGTGGGAAACTGTCTTAGTAAGAGTTGGGGCTGAGAGACGTCCACTACGTATTGTACTTCTTACCAGTGCATTTGAATGGTACTGTGTGGTTGGGACCATGTTCACTCATGCTCATGTTATGATTTTTTATGCGGGGAGAAGGGGGGCTCTATTGTGAACCATCATTGATATCACCACCAGAGAGACGAATACAGAATCTGATTGGATTTCGTTCTGAGCAAGAAGCGAGAATGGTCAAAAAATAAGGAAGAAACATATAACAGCGGGTATTCACTAGCCGTCACCGACCCGATCCGCCCTTCAGTGTAAGTAGGCGTTTACCTACATACTGTCCGATTCATGTTACCTACAGACCGGCTTCGTTGTGCCTCCAAAAAGACACGAGGCCGAAGTTGGAGGGGACAGTCGTCATTGGTGGTTTGAGGTAGTAGCGAAAGGTGAACGTGTTTATTTTACGACTACTTTGGTCTGGGTATCCATTTCAAGTGCCTCGTTCTCCCAGGGTCTGAATCTTAGCCCGGCCTTTACCACTGCGGTTGTGCAGATTATGAGCATTATTCGCTCATTATCTTCTCATGCCCGCCCGGCGTTCTCAATTTATCTGGCAAGCGAAAAGTGCAAATCCAACATGATGCTCATCAATCATTGTTCTTGAAGTCATGACGTTCACCATCCGCTAGCTAAGTTTTTGTCATCGGGAGCTGATATCATAATCAGGACATCGAGATGGAGGTTTGTTACTTTCTTCGCAGCACTCATTAATGAGCCGCCGGCTAGATAAAATGGTAGGTAGTATTATAAGCACAGTTGTATGTCAGTACGGACGATTTCTTCGAGTGTAGATGTTATGATGGCCGCCATGAGACGCAGGTTGAAGGTTTGGATAGTAGCCCCCACGTTGCATTAGAGGCTGGAGGCAAAAATGGCCCCCGAGGGAGAGGGCACATGTTCCTCTGATGCAACATCCTTGCTTGATCGGGGATTCATTGGGCTTCCTGCACTCAGATGCCTCTTGCACCCGTTTCAGATTCTCTGGATTTGATGGCTGGTAATGTTACTATCATCATGCGAATCCAGTTCATCAAAAGCCCGCAGGATTTGCATATACCACTAGGCATTGGATGATAGGATACGTGCGTATATGTACGTGGATCCTACTTAGACGTAATCGCGTACTTCAGATGCAACCCTACTCACCAACAGTTGCTCAAACTACTATCTAATGTAAGGCTAGTCTCAAGAATTGTGAATGCGGCAGTGCTCCTTACGCCTATTTCACGTTCTTTGCAGCTGACCAACTGCGCGGAATTTATCTGCATATCGCCTTCCAATATCAGCCAACACAATGAACAGTCGGTCTTTAAGCATGGCTGGGAAAACTAGTGGTGTCCGGCGCTGTAATTTTTCGCCCGGGATGTTCGAAATTATAGCCCTTGTTACCTCTGCGGGACAATTCTTTGCAATGATTGTTGTCCTTGTATATTTCAATGGACGAGAGGCTATAACCTCATCATTTATTACCCCTAATACAGTAGTGTCTATTCTCTCGACTGGATGCAAAGCATCATTATTATCTGCAGCTTCTGGATGTATTAGCCAAGCGAATTGGGTGCTCTTTGCAGACCAAACTCGACGTCTCTTTGATTTTGAGATGGTAGCTGATGCTAGTCGGGGGCCGCTTGGAAGTATTCGACTTGTCTTTAGGAAAGGTTTCAGGGATGGTAAGCTACATTGTCTTCTCGAAGCAGGCCCTTTTCAGTTTCATTTCTAAAGGATACTTATATGCTGCAGATTACTCGTGCGACTAGGTGCTCTTATAACCATCCTCACTATTGCAATGGATCCTTTTGCGCAGTAGTTAGTTAAATTACAATCACAAGACTCGCAGCCTGGAGGGAGCATATCTCAATCTTCGCGATATTCTCTTCCTACTAAAAGATACGCTTACAATAAATTTGATTCATCAACAGGTATAGGCGCTCTCGTGATGGAAATGACAATAGAAAGGAGCGGCTAATTATAAAATAGATTCGAACAATGGAAATGTGCGCCGGGACGGCTCGCCTGGGATAGACTTTGCAATGAAGGTCGCCATCATGTTCGGCCTCACAGCTGAAACAGAGGAAATCGTGCAGCAGCCTGCCTCAACTGCACAGGACAATCTTGTGTATTCTCTGAAATATCGTCCTTGGCCGTCTGCAGCAGGTGCAATAATATCGACTCATTTCTAAAGCCAGACACAAACGGAACCCAGACCTGGTACCAACTATCGTGGCCTCCTGGCGATAAACGAGACATGCAGACGAAATACCAAAGAGACCCACAGACCGCTGGACCGGCCCCTGGATTCACCGGAGAAACGCGATACGAACTGCCAAACGGGCTTTCCTTGGCTAACAAGGATGATGAGGACACGCACAGTACGAGATTAGTGTTCATGACCACTTTGGGGACCTCGAACCGTACAAGAACCGTGTCTCTGGGTGATATCGACACCCTGATTTGGTCTTAGACTGTGATAAAGGCAAGTAACGGTACGGAAGCCATTTGGCCCGATATCGAGTTCCATGCCTCGGAGTGTGCGCTATATTACTGTGCCAAGGAGTATACTTTTACCGTTCAGAACAACACAAAGAAGGAGGTTTCAGGCTCTGTGCTTACAGATGCTCAACGACATCCTCAACATTGAGAAAGAAACCCGATATGACTTTGGGGCAGAAGAATTCATCCAGTCGGGCAAACTTTCACCAGAATTTATGGAAAGCCTAGCATTTCACCCACAAGATTCTTTGGAATCTCGCAGCGACCCTCAGCTCTATATCAATGCGACTGATGGGCCGAATCAATGCTGGAATATTTCTCAGGAGGCCGTCATTGGTATCAGCTATTTCATGCAAACCTTCTTTTCGGCGTGCGCTAATTCGACCTGCCCGGGTACAGAGGAACAATGGCCTGCTCCAACGGGTTACTACATCTTTGACCAGAGGGTTGGTCATGATTTTCAACCTGGACCGGCGAAGCTGCTATGGGAGGCTCAAGACCTCAATAAAACCTTCTCTAATATTGCTAAGAGTATGAGCAATGTGTTAAGGGTTGATGATGAAAAGAGTACCAGTCAGGTTGGAGTAGTTACGAGATCTACCACGATATATCGCATCGACTGGGCCTGGATTTCCCTGCATAGCTTCGTTGCATTGGCCATGTCGTGCTTTTTTGCTCTCACAACTATATCCAAAGCTCCATCTAGATCGCAGGTTCCTGTGTGGAAGACAAGCAGCTTAGCAGCCCTTTCTAGAGGCCATTTGGTAGCTGACGTATTTCAGCATGGCCGGCATCAGAGCAGTTAGAGAAGCAGGCAAAGCTCCCAAGGGTGAGCTTGCTGCAGGTTGGCCCTACAGATACTCGCTAGATGCCATTTGATGCCTCTTAATCGATTATTGAGAAAACAATTATTATTTACAATGGGATTACGGTCTCTCCTCTTAATATCTAGTTCTAAAGATTGATTGAAGCTTGCTTTCAATAGGCGATTTCATCACCTATAGTCTAGGTCATTCTTATTATACATACCGCCATTCACCCAGTGGAGCTGGACGTAGCCGCGTCCTTCAGTTTAATCAAGTTCTTCGCATGATGCTACGGGTCGTAGTCGTTGACTAACACCTGGAGGATCTGAGGTTCATCAAGGAATCTCAATCAAACGGCCGAAGGGCGATAAACGTACCGCAAATGATGGTCCTCCAATTCACCTAGGAGCCAAGTGGGTGACACAGGAAATGGCACCCAAATAATCACCTAAATAAACACCCGAATGAACACCTAAATATCTAAATAAATAGCTCATTCTAAATATAGATTAGAGAATATCAAATATTTAGGCCTGAATATTGTGTTCCTTTGACTTTTATAGCTAGCTATGAAAGATAATAGATCAGGCATGTTGTCATGGAGTGCCATTTCCAATGGCACTCACCTGGGAGCTAGAACGGTGCGCTGTAGTGGTGCTTAATTAATGTATCCAAGTTGTAGGCAATGATCTACGCCTTTTCGGGTACCTACTAGTCACGTGGGACTTTCATCAGCTGCTCCAGACAGACTGAAACAAGGTTGTACGAGAAACATTCCAAAACTCCAAGACCCGGCATCTTGTTGCTTTACGAGCCACACTCCTTGATTCATTTTCGCTTCGAGTTGTAAGAAATGACGGGTTCACCGATCGTTTCGGGGACGACTGCGGGTCAGCGATTGCCGAATGAGCTCCTTTTGCACGTCGTTAGCTTTCTTGAACCTGGTATCGGTCAGTTCTTGGAGGCGTCCCATGAGGCGACCAAGACGCTCATGGCACTCATGCGGGTCTGCAAGTCAGCAAATGCAGCAGCAAGCCCGATATTCGCTCATCATTGCGTCTTCCTTGACTCTGAAGACCGCACCTTGAGGTTTGCCCGGTGTCTGGCCCTTGCTGCTTCTGTGTCCGACCCCGTGCACCAATCGCCGTTTAGAAGTGTTTCTGCCATTTTTATGGAATCTTTCCTGCAATTAAAAACAGAGCATTTGGAAACTTTGACGGTAGTTCAAAAAGAGATCGAGGATGATAATGCAGATGACGAGGAAGATGAGAACAGTTCATCCGATTACATCCCCGTGCCAAGACCCCATCCAGAACTCAAGGATCTCCCGGTAGCAGTCGCTGTGCGCGATATATTTCTCGCCGTTGCCCCGAACTTGAAACGACTCATTATAAACATACCACTTCGGTCCCTCTGGCCCGAAGACGACGAGTTCGGTGTCAGGGCTCTGCTGCGAAGCGGGTTCGAGGCTCTCATCAATCTTGAAGAGTTTGTCAGCGTACAGGACGAGCTTTTCCTCATCACTTCCAAAGAATCACCCTCAGACGAGGTGGAAGTATGGGCAAAATATTGGCCAAACCTGCGTCGCCTTTTTCTGTATAATAAGTTTCTCGAGGATGCCTTCTGGCAGGATGTGATGGGCTGTCCTCGGCTGGACTCTGTCATCCTTGGTCGACCGGATGGGAATCACGTCTCAGAGCCAGCAGACATCAAACGAGACTGGATTTCTACACTCGCAGGCCACAGGGTTGGGGGAAATGTGTACCGGGGGCCCATCAGACCGCTCACAGTGATCATATTCGACATGGACGGGGAGCATTGTTCTATCACGGGATTTAATCCGGCGTGGGAGACTTTAGACCCCGATGAACGAATTAGGGTCCGTTATGCCAAAGCACCCAACTCAGGCATCCCCTCAGATGAAGCATCCCCTTGCGAGTCTGTTCATGTTTGGGTCAGAAAGCATGCCTTTGCAGGCACGTTATGGTCCGAAACTGCAATCGAGACATACAACCCATTGAGTAGAGATGGGTAAAAGGTTATGACCTGTGAGGCTTTTGCGCACTTGGTATTGATCAAGGTCTGAGTTTTGTTCCAAGCTCCAAGTTAAGATAAATTATGAGAATTAAAAAGGCCCAAAGTCATGCAATGGGTTTGTATGAACGCCTTCACCCGCGACATAACAACATATCTGGTCCATGAGGTCATAAAAGAACGATTCCTGGGCGCCTGCGTCCCCCCTGAAGTTATCCAACACCTGATCCATTTCTCCACCGTGCAGGCGTTCTAATTCCACTTGACAAAGTTCCTGTGCACATCTCTCTCTAAGCAGATCCCTTAATAGATCGAGTATAGGTATCCATCTGCCTTCATCGGTGAGTGTGATAATCGCAAACTCTAGGTATTCAACTTCTGGGCTCAGTAAAGTGCAAAAGGCTTGGAGGTCCTGTTGAGTGATCTTTATGTTGCGAAGCCTGATTATGCGTAGGTGCCTGTAGCTTATTTGGCTAAGAGTCTGGCCAATCTCAAACAAACGTGATTCATGGAAGACAGCATCTTCATCGGAGAGAGATATGTTTAGTTCGAGCTTCTGAAGCCTTCTACTTGAAAGCACGGCGTTGAGATACTGCGCGATAGAAATCCCACCAGGGTCTCTCCCAGCCATATGTCCCCTCCCGGACGGGGTTTGCCGCGCTGTCCGGAGAAGGGCTTCCAGGTCTGGAAGAATAAACGTGTGCAGGTTTTGCAATGCCATCTGCAACTGGTTCAACACGAGGCGATGCGATATACTAGATCCGCCCCCAGGACAGAGAATGGAGGCCTGGTAGTCTATCAGCGGCCCATGGAGTTCCAGACTGTTCACGGAGCTGCCTTTCTGGTGGATGGCGATTGGGAGATCCGAAAACATTGCAGTGTATGGTGCCACGTCTTCACGCTCAAGATATTGTGAGTACTTGCGACATTCTGATGGTTTCGTTGTGCGGAGGAGCCATGTCATAGTAAACCTCGGATCCACAAGTATGGCTTCCGTCTCTTCATTCTCAATTATATCCGAAAGTGATTCACTAAAACTCAGAGAGACTGTGCGAGCTGGCGTAGAGACCACCTGAGCCAGAGCTTTGACAAGCAAGCCTTCTGATACTACCGGAAAGTCTCGCTTATAATCTACCTGATACGTTATATAGGCTTGATTGAGCATGGTGTAATATTCACTAATCAGTGCGGGAGGCACCAGACCGACAATCGCCTCTCGGAAGCCCACGCCTCGCAGGCTGGGCACGCTCATGATGGGCGGCAACGGAGCACTGCCCAGAATGAGCCCGCAGGCCATCAGGCAAGCACGCGTCCTGTCGTAAGTTGGGGATTCATGGGCAGCTCGATGATCAAGGGCTAATTGATGACCCTCGTTCTCGCCTTGAGCAACCCTAAGTGCCAAATCCGTGGACTGTCTGTCAAGCATGCCACTGACCCTTTGTTGGATGAAGCTGAGGTATTCTGAGCTGTCAAAGGCAAAAGACCTGAGGCGGCAGCTCATGAGGATCTGGATACCGCGCACGCCAGAGCACAAAAGGGGATTTTGTGCAATAGCCTCCACCCGGTCCAGAGATTTCCTGTCGGTCCTTATACGGAGGATAGGTAGCAAGAGAGGAGTTGCAACACGATTAAACACGGAGCAAGTAAGCCGCGAGTTCTTAAGCGCATCGAAATGAGGTGGTGGGAGCGGGGTATAGATATCCTCTACACTCATTTTGTTTTCGTGCAGATCGGGATGCTGAAAATAACTGAAAATTTCCCTGAGAAGCTCGGGAGCTAGACGAGTGATGTGAGGCCGAGCGGGATCATCAATTCCCGAAGAGCGACTGCCATTTTCTTGTTCAGTCTGAGAGGATTCAAGGGCGGAGAATTTCCTCTTGTTTTGGGCCGTGTTGGCCGGTGGTACATCAGCCATGTTGGCTTCGTTGGTCGCACGCGGTTCTGAAAAGTCGGATCGTCGGTAGATGAACGAAATTGGCAGAAGAGATTTTCAGGCTCGGGGCCCGGAATACTTATACTTATTAGGCTCCTCCAGCTGCAGCGGGGTAAGACAGTGAGGCGAACATGATGTAGCAGTGGCTCGACTATTCGAGCGTCCATTGGACAAGGAGGCGAGTGGGCACGGCCAATGTGACGAGTATTATTCCTGCGAGCTTCCTGCATGAGACGCAGCGAATAAGGAGACTAGATTTCCTCGGAGTGTGCAATACGACAGTAATACGAAACAGCCACGTCAATCTTGCTGTTCGGAGTCCGAGCGGAGGGTGGTAATATATGCATGTCTCAAGTGATCAGTCACAGCGGCGGTTACCGCAGAGGGTGGTATGCTTTATCACAAGCTACGTTGCGTTGGCACTGTTTTTTTTGGGATGACTAAATGGTATGGTAATTTATGGCTCAATTTATGGCTTAATACAGTGGCCCTGCCGGGATTAATCGTGCTGAAACGATATGTTTGGCTGTGTTGGTCTTCAGAACACCTCTTGTAGACCTTCTGTATGAGGCTTGCGACAGAGGCTGCGACAAATATGCCGGGATTAAGGAGAGATGGGATAAGAATGTATTCATTGCATTGGTTTCCTGTACTGTCCTCGCGATCACGCACAATTTTCATGTTACCGGGACAGAAACCCAGAAATAAGGGAGAAGAGATGATCCATATTCGTCCCCGAGACCGTCCGCAGCCTACTTTCTCACCGTGATTGTCCATCGCAAGCCCTGGAACTTCCTCAGTACATTCCACATGCCGATCACCAAGCCAAACTGGCCTCGGCACCCGAGCTGCACACACCACGACAGAAGGCCTCATCCTCGTTCATCTGAGGATTCGGCATCGTCCTCCTTGCTGGCCAATTCTGGGATCCTAACTTACTCTCCTCCTCCATGTGCTTTTTTAGTGAAGTTCGAAGCACATGTTCAAAGTATTCCACAGCCTTTTCCATGTAAGGGTGCAGTGGCCCTGCCATGTAGGTATCGCTGTTGAGGCCCTTCTGCGCATTGGTGCCAAGATATTTATCTTCGCTCTCGACCTGCTTGAAGAAGTCTATTTCCATCTTGAACTCCTCGTCAGTGGAGTTTTTGTTGCGGTAGACTTCGTATCGCATCCGGGATTCGGTCGGCGAGATCGGCTCGATGAACATCATGTAGAAGAAATGCTCGGACATTGTCACAGACGAGTTGGGGAACATGTACGTAGGGCTCGCTGTAATTCCCCCGGCTTCCATGTCCTCTCCAAGGTGACGGATGTAGCATAGAATTGGTTCCATGTCGAACTTGGTGTCTTTTGAATATGGGGCGCGATTCCCGGGTGCGCCGTGGAACAATGGTAGCACTAGAGTAGCAGTAATAGTAAGTAGGATGACCTCAATGAGTCACGATCAATGGATAGTACGTACCTCGTTGTAGTTTTCGACAAGTGTCTTCCAATTGAAATCGCAATCATCCAGAGAAAATGTGTGATCGTAGACGTAGTTGTTCATATCATAGTTTTTGGTGATTCGTTCCTGGGTGTCGATCCCCTTGAACTGCTCTTCCCAAGTGAATGCTGGCTTCTCAGATGAATCCAAACTGACCCATACAAATCCCAGCTGGTCGATATGCGTGTGCAGTTTGTACAGAGAATACTCATTCTTGTCGAATTGGTCCTGTGGGACTGTATCGAACCGCGGTGCCTTTGCAAGGTTGCCCTTGAGACCATAGCTCCAGCCTTCGCAAGTTAGCCTCCAACATTGAATTTAGTTGATAGTTCTTCAACGTGCAACTTACCATGATACTTGCATGAAAGCGTCAGCACCTTACCCGAGTCTTGGTGAACGATCGGGAAAGCTCGATGACGGCAAACGTTGAGGAATGCATTGATATTCCCCTCCCGATCAGACACGACAAAGAATGGATACCCTGCCACTTGGTAGCGGGCGTACTGTCCTGGGATAGCGAACTGGGCCTTGTGCGAAACAATCAACCAGGTTTTGGAGAAGATTGCACGGCGTTCAAGCTCGTAGAACTCTGGCTCTCTGAACCAGGATGAAGGCAATGTTAGAGGACCAGACATGTTGATTGGTGGCAATTTTGGTATGTTTGATATGCAAAGCTGTCCGCAAGAATACTTTGGTTGGCTATGTATCAATGATGGTTGGTCGTGTATCAGTGATACTGGAAAGCTGCCTCTTCCTAGCCTTATCTAGATAGCAGTCACCATGAGGCCTGGAACACGGGGAGGGGGGATGAGATGAATGCTGGTTGGTTGGAGATCCGTTGAAATATTCCACTGGCCAAATTCAAATCCACGCAAGGTGATTGGGCCATTTAATCCGGGGATGGGAGCTAAGAGTTACAACCCCAGACGCCGTCATGAGCTATTCCTCTCAGGGTTGTTCTGGGCCTTTTTATCCGGCGAGCTGGCCGTCCTCTAATAGGGCGATGTCCCCGTCGTAGGCCAAGAAACAGACGAGACTCACATCAGTTCAAGCTTGTTCAGAACCTTTTCTCTCATACTTATCGAAACCAACAACCATCATGGCTAGCGAGCTTCGCACCGAGGGCACCTCTGTTGACAAGAAGAGGTCTGCCAATGACATTGTTATCAGTACAGCTAGCAATGGCGACAATCGGGTTACCGACATTGGCAATGGAGCCACATCCAAGCTCGAACGAAACTTCAACGTCTGGTCACTGCTGTTCATGTCATTCTGTACCAGTGTGACGTGGGAAGCCGCATCATCCGCTGTAGCCCAGGCCTTGACGAGTGGCGGCAGCTCCAGCTTCGTTTGGGGATTTGCCGCCTCAGCCGTAGGAGCATTCGCGGTGGGCTTGTGCATCTCCGAGTACTCGAGCATGATTCCCACCGCTGGAGGCCAGCACCATTATGTTGCTGAGTTGGCGCCTGCCAAGTACCGAAGGATTCTCTCTTGGTACACAGGTTGGGTCACAATTTTTGGCTGGATCTTCTGCGTCACCGCTGGCATCTTTGCTACTGCCATGCAGATCCAGTCCTGGGCCATCTTGTTCAGCGAGGGCTATGTATATGAGAGATGGCACACATCTTTGGTGAGCCGGGTCGGTTTTCAACGTGTCCTCGCAGCAGCTAATTTTCACACATCAGATTGTCATTGGACTGGCCACCTTGTACACCGTATTCTCTATCTTTGAGATCAAACGCCTGCATTATATGATGTTCGTAGCCATGTTTTGTCACGTCGTTGGGTATTTCGCTACCGCAATCTATCTACTGGTACATGTGAATCCAAAAAACACTGCCCAATATGTTTTTGCAGACTTCACAAATCTCAGTGGTTGGGAGAGCCCTGGAGTAAGTAGACATGCCACCTTGGTATGACTCTCCGCTAACACTTTCCACTACAGATTGCTTAGTCAATTGGCCTGATGAGCTCAGCGATTGGTTTCGTTGGCTGGGATAGCTCAGCTCACTTGGCCGAGGAGATGGTCAACGTTTCAAGAGACCTGCCTAGAACTAGTGAGTATAAAGAAACGTTGACGCGGGACACGATTCTAATTAAAATGTCTAGTGATTGCGAACATCGGTATCAGCGGACTGTTGACATTCCCTTGGGTCATTGCAGTTGCGTTCTGTATGACTGATATACAGGGAATGGTAACTGGACCAGTTGGTACCATCAGCCCCTTCGCCCAGCTGTACTACAATGAGTCTGGAGGTAGTCAGGCAGTCACCATTGGCATGACTTGTATCCTTCCCGTCATGGGGTTTTTGGGAACCGGAGCCAGTGTCATATCAGCTACCTCCAGGATCATCTGGCCCTTTGCGAGAGATCCGCGCAGTCTGGCTGGGGTAGACGATCGACAGAAAGTGCCCGTTCGCGCCCTGATCGTAACATGCGTGACCATTTCAGCTCTCAGCTTGACATACATAGGAAACTCAACCGCGTATTGCGGAATCAGCTCGGCTTGCACGGTCATGCTCTTGATCTCATACGGAATACCCACTCTGATCAACAGCCTGTGGGGGTTCAAGAAATGTTCTGTGCCAAGGGGTGTTTTCACTCTCGGACGTTGGCACCGCCCGGTAGCAATCTTTGCCTCAGCTTGGGTTGGATACCTTGTTACCTTCTTCTGCTTCCCGACCACGCTGCCCATCACGGCCGCGACCATGAATTACGCAGTACTGTTACTCGCTTTCTGGATTGTTGTGGCTACAGCTACTTGGTTTATGTATGGAAAGACAAAGTTCTCTGGGCTCCGGTCTGAGGTCATTGATGAGTTGAACTAGATAGTAATGCAATCCTAATTTGCGGCACCTATACTGCCGATTGAGTAATCTTGGCACCTCTCAAGCATCATCAGAAGCTTTAATCGTGATAGGTTACATTGTCCCAAGCCCGCGAAATGTGTCCACGAGCTGCTAGATTCTTGCTAATACGTCACTTTGAGAATACCTGAATTGTCAGTATGTCCCCCTTTGTCTGAGTACCATCATCGCTGGGAGTATCCTGTGACTTCATCAAAGTTCATGGAATAAAGTTCCGTTTTCCGAGTAGGAGTGGTATCAACTTCTTCTAATAATGCGGCGGATTAGGAGGGTCGATAGATCAACTGGACTCCGCGGACTCCGACTATCTCCCAGCAGGAAGAACACTCCATTTGGGCGGGATTTCTTTTCATAGCTAGGATGCATCATCTTATCTCATTACTTGGCCCTAGATCCGTTAGTATTAGAGGTGACTAGCTGGTTTTGGGCTTGATTCTCGCCAGCTCTTCCGTTTTCCGAGCGACTGATGGCTGCGTAGTGAACCAAGACGGCACAGGAATCGTCCCGACCAATATGGAGAGCAATGTTAGAAAATACCGAGCCAGGATTGGTAAGACCATGCCATGGAATATCCATCAGTTGGCCACCGCCAAGGAACCCCGCATATTCAAGCAGATACACATCTCGGTAGGTATTTGATCACATGCGGATACAACCTAGGACAGTGGATGGCTGCGGAATACCATTCCGAGATGAAATCTGGCAATCATGGGCGGCGGCGGAAAAATGAGCCCAATAAACGAGAAAAATGAAACATCTCCCGCACCTCCTATGATCGATCCTCGCACACGTGTTTCTCGGCAAAACAAGGTAGGGGAACAATACATGTGAATCGAGAAGCTATACATGGGGGTCGAATAATATGAAGTCTTGTTCGTGTGGGAATCGGATCATGACATCGTTGTTGCGTTCCCCATTGCAAATTTTGGAATAACAGATATCTTTAGGGATAATTAGATTAGACTTGAAAGGCGTTTTACACGGTGATGCTTTCCGCCAGACAAATCTACTGAGCCATCCGCCAATTGTGTTGGGAATGAGACTTCTCTATTGTCGATGGGGGAGCCCATTGTGTGCTCGGGAGGCGAGCCAAACCCAATAAAAGCGAGAAGTTGTTGCAAAATCAATTAATAACGGCTGAACCCCTTTTAAGCTACGGTCATGTGTGAGCTGGGATGGTATTCACTGTGTTGAGAAATCGGGTCTGCCATTGTCCATTTATATTTTTAACCTTATACTCGAGCTCTCTTCCGTACTCGAATGCTCATCCGTGAGCTGAGCTGGAGAAGTGTCGTGCATATCTCAAGGTATGTGGTATTGACGCGGCACAACTTAGCACTCTGCATCTTACTCTGAATAGATGATTCTTTTTTAGTCTCCCATAGCGGGCATACCACTCACTATCTACTAAATTGGAGAATAAATAAGGATTCCCATCTTCTATCGTTGCTTCCATGCCATGAAGCTCCTTTTCAGTAGGAACTATATCCTGACTCGTCTGTTTTATCCGAGGTCACGATTCCGCAGGATCCCATTGCAATATCAAATGGCAAATTACGTATCTATCCAATCTCCCAACCTTGAACCATGCCACGGTCTGCCGTGTTTTCCACTCAAGGGTTCCCGCGTTCCAGGATTATAGTTGCGAGGGTACCAAGTTTCAGGGGTCAGTGCTAACGTTATGACGGCGTTGTAAACGTTGAGTACCAGAGACATAGCGTAGTTTCACTAGTCAGAAGAGAAATTTTACTCTCACAATATCGTTAAATCCTTGATCAGCTGATACGCAATACATGTGAGATGTTGTGGCTTCCTTTACGTCAAGACTAGATATGCATGGAAAGATTTCAAATCAAAGATGTGATCAAGGCCCGTTGCAATACTACGATTTGAACAAAATTAGCAACACAGCTGTGTCTATATCGAAACAAAGCTCGATCTGCTGTCTACTAGGGGCAAATGATAGGCAGCGGCCGCCAGCACCAGACATCGACAGGTATGTATTGAAGCAACTTGCAGAAAATCTTTACTCCGCTTAAGGATCATGTGAGCATGTCTTTACAAAGCATAAATATTGGAGTATATTGTAGTGAAGTTGTACTGGAGGCACCACGGAGAAAGGTGGCCGTGTTGTCACAGAGTTGACCATTGAGCCCGGGAACGCGGCACGCTGTGCTGATGGTGCAAGCTACTTCACATCTAGCCTGGCATCCAACCGCGCGTCTCTAAGCATAAGCGGCTGACGGATGTCTATTAATATCCCAGGTGGCCACACATCTACCGCACGTGCAGAATCATGTCGGTATTTGGTGTGTGCCTATCTCCTGTTTGGTTAGACTCCGCTTGATGATGAGAGCGAGGCATCCTTGACAACGGATGAGTGGGTGGCATCAGCCCTGTTCTGGCATCATAGCATTTACCCATGTCACTGCAGTGGCCCTCAAATTACACTCATGAATCCTTTATCCATTATGGGCTTGTTTTTTTGGCTTGCTCTGCCTTTCATCATTATGCTAGTCTTTATCTAGGCTCAAGACATGCAGCTCGTCTCACTCGACTCACGTTTGCCCCTTGCCTAGCCACGAACAGACACAAATGGTGAAACCCGCCCTGTACAACGCCTAGACCAATGGACGTGCTCTGCCGGAATGAACCAGACGCATCCGCGCTTACGTTGTAAGAGTAACCATCAATATTTGATGCTAACGACTTATTGACGACTCTGGTTACACTGACATGGTCGCACCTTCAATATTTCCTCATCTTGGAACATCTTTCTCGACGAATGAAGCTTGCTTGGCTAAAATCTCACGCCACTTGTGCATAATTATGTATATGAAAGATGTAAACGAGCCAAAAGCATTTCCCAGCAGTTATCTCTACATTAGTTTCACCATGCCAAATAGGCCTCACATTGGAACCAGGAAATTAAACTAAGACTCGTTGAAGGCTGGAGAGAACTAATAACGAACTGGCGATCATGGAGAGCTGATGTGGGATTTGGCGGGCGTGAAGAGCTTCCTTATCCTAGTTGCTCTGCGACGGTCGGGTAATTCCACGAAGTTTCTCATCGAGTATTTGCCCTAGGAGACTTAGCTACCCTTGCCACTGAAAAGCAGAGCAATGGAACCGATCGGCTGTGTGAGAGCGGGTACTACAGGCAGCAGTAACATTCCGATGGGTAAGGCTGACCGGCTTCAAGGTGGAGAGCTTGGTTGGACATGCCGTCTAGTGCTTATTATGCTTACACCAGGTTTGTTTCTTGACGTAGAGGACAACCAGCTGATTAACTGCGCCCTATGCTGGGGCCTGGGCCCATGCTGAGGGGCGGATGATCGGCTAGCTGGCCGATCTCTCAGCCTATCCATAGATGCTGGAGCCCAAGAAATGGATCAACGGAATCGGCCTGCTGGCGGTGCATTAGTCTGCATCACATCAGCAGGGGCAGCTCATTTCTTCAGAGGACGGTCAGTAACCACCATAAGCGCTACGCCGCAGTTCTGACGCGCTTGCCAATCAATCCTGGCTTGATTGGTAGCTTGGAAGCTGCTTCGCCTCTGCCTAGTTGGTTGCCAGAGGACAGGAGGGACAGGAAAAGTAAAGAAGATGGGGAGACACAGCCATATTGGCTCATCAGATTGCCCGTCTTTCCATAGGCCTCAAATTCGGTGAATTCCGAAGCACTCGAGACGCTGAAAATGCACATTTACAAGGCCTCTAGAAAAATTATTGTTGAGAGCCATGATGATGCCAAACCAGGGTAGAAGAACACTACCGTTTCAAAATATCCCCCCAGGCGATATTGGGGCAAAGGCGACCATATTGCCCGGCTTCTTCCCCCACTGTGAAGCTAAAAAGCAAACAGAAACATAGAAATGCGCCAAAGCACCGGAGCTTGGAAAGCCGCCTGATCCGAGTCCCAGACCGGCTTCTCAAATCCCTGCCCAGCAAGCTCAGCTCGCCCCTCGTTATTGGGGGCCAATGCGTGGAGCCGTCTTGCACATATGCAAAAGCCGAAACCCCTGCTTACTCGTTAGGGACTAATCATATGGGGTTGTCGTTTCTTCTTCCTGTAACTGGAGTGATGTACTGGGTATATATGATGGAATTCATTCCTCGACTTTTGTTGGAAAGCTACCTCTGCATGGGTGTGTTTGCCTTCACATATTCTTTTATTCTCTGAAACTGTCACAATGCATATCACGTTGTTGTCGGTAGGCTTTGCTGCCTTGGCCAGCGTCCAGCCAGCTCTTGGTCAGACAACGACCAAAGGTCCCTGCCAGCAACTCGCAGAGTACCAGGGTCAGCAGCTTTCAAAGACGAATTTTTGAATATGTTGGCGACAGGGTCAACATCCAGCTAAATGCTGAAATGGCCTACAACTGCTCCATCTCCATCCCCATCGTGCAGAGCGATGCGTTGAACTCGATCGGTTACCTGAAAAATTACACTAACTTCCTTACCACTCTCTCTTACCTGAAAAATCCCCCCAAGGCGTATCAAAAGCCTGGTATTGACATCTTGGCCCGCCTTGACGATGTCGAGCAAAATATCAAGAACAAGAAATACAACAACCAGTATGAGCTGGAAGTTGATCTCCAGGCAATCGTCCAAGGGACCAGTGAAGGTCACTACAACGCCAACATGGGTGGTGTGTTGGGTATCTTTTCGTGGATTCTGCCCGACTCCATCATCTCCCTGTCGAAGGATGGAAAGGAGCTGCCCCAGATCTATGCTGTCTCGGATATAATTCGCAATATCTCGGATCCATCACCAATTACCCAGATTGAAGGACAGCCCGTGTACGAATATCTGCGCAGCTATCTGGAGAAGTTCGTCAGCTCTGGTACTATGGATGTCCACGCAGACTGGAACGCCATGGTTTGGAGTGGTGTTCAGTCTTTTGGTGCTTTTGGCACAAGCATCACCTCTTCGTGGGCATACCGTCTTTTCCAATCGACTACAATTTACAACGGCAAATCTCTCAACATCACATTCGCCAATAACTCCAACGCCGAATGGATCTACAGTGCTGGGTCAGCGAGGGATCTGTACGGAGACAAGTACACCAGCCCGGAAAACATTTACAACACCCAAGTTGCCAACACATCCAACACCTCCCCCATTAGATCCACCTCCAAACGAGCTGATGGGCAGTACGGCGTTGTCGAGCTCGGCCCAACCAGAGATGAGGCTGAGAAGCGAGACCTTGAAATTCGACAGAACACCCAGCACAAGCCCTACACATCAGTACCTGTTTTCAACTACCCCAAGAACCCCGACACCCTCGAGGTCAACTTTGGTATCGGTGGAATCGTTTCTGGGTACATTCTGAAGGATGACTCTATCGGTGTTTTGAGTCTGCCCAGCTATGACCGAGGATCCGCAGACTCAGGAACAACTGCTCTCAACTTCACCTATGCGGTCAACGACTTCATCACCAAGGCATCAAAGGCAAAGGTGAAGAAGATTGTCATTGATCTCTCTGGCAATGGCGGCGGTTCTACATTCCTCGGCTATGCCGTGTTCAAGCTCTTCTTCCCGGACATTGCACCCAGCCAGCTCGGCCGAGTTCGTGCTACTTCTTACATCAACACTCTAGGTAGCGTCGTAACCGGCATCCTGGAAGACACGACGATTCCTCAGAATAGCTCGATTTGGCAGAATGCCTACAGTCTCTCGACCACACCTGACCTTTCCAGCTATGAGAAGCTTGACATCAATGGCAAGATTTTCCCCGGATGGAAGGACCTCTTTGGGCCCGTCCAGAGCTACGGTGACAACTTCACACGCCCGGCCAAGTACAACCTCTCGAGTCAGTCTATCACCAACGATCTTGACTTCCCCGTCCCTGGCTACGGCCCTGAGCCTAGCCTGAACCTCCTGTCAAAGGATCAGCTGTGGTCCGGCGACGACATCATCATGCTCCATGACGGTTTCTGTGCCAGTACTTGCGCCATCTTCTCGGAGATGATGAAGACAGACGGCGGCGTCAAGTCGGTTGCCGTCGGTGGTCTCCCCGAGTATGGAGCCATGCAGGGTGTCGCCGGCACCCGCGGAACTCTGCGCAGGGACTGGACCGACCTGAGCAAGTACATCGAGCTCCTCCGCTCTCTCATGAACGAGGTGGGCGACCAGGCGGTCGATCAGCTCAAGGCATGGGGCACGTCGGTGAGCGACGTCGACAACCTCCCCGCCAATATCCAGACGTCGCCTCTCTACGTTAGCGGCGCCGTCAACGGGCTCGACATGATCCGTCCCTCGAGCCCCGATACCCCTCAGCAGTTCACCTACCAGGCCTCCGACTGCCGACTGTTCTACACCCCCGAGATGGCCAAGGATGTTACCGCCCTGTGGCGCGCGGCCGGCAAGGTTGCAAGCGGCGATCTCAGCGGTTGCGTCTCCGGCTCAACCGGGGCTCCTGGCGCGGGTCGCAATACGACCATCACCGACGATGTGGGCTACTCGCTCAACAAAACCTGGAGCAACGTGAACACGACCACCGTGCCCGATAACAAGCTGCCTGACGGAAGCAAGAGCAACGACAACAGCAACAGCAGCAGTGGTGGCAACGGCAAGGATGACTCCGGTGCCGCCAGCACTTCGGTTGCCTTCAGCGGGTTGCTCGCAGCTGCCATTGCTGTCGCTGTTGCTTTCTAGATAAACTGCGCTACTGAGTAGTTTTACGTCTTTCATGTATGATGCTATATAGTCAATGAAATAATAATAATAAATTCACATCAGCATGTCATACTGGTAATGCCCATCAAGTCTACCCGGATCAGAGAAACGGAATGAAGAAGGAAACTGAAAACGATGATAGATGATCGAACCTCTCTCTTCACTGTCTAAAACTCAACAAAATTATTCTCCCTTCGACAGAAATCGGTAATTGCAGGGTAGGTTCAGATAAAGAGCTTTTGAAGGGCGGTTGTGTGGGGTTTACTAAATACTCTTACTCTCTTAGGATGGAGATCCGAGCCTCGGCGCAGATAAGAAAGTCAAAAATCTGCTCATTCAGTCTAACTCTCAAGCAATCGAATAGTTGAGCTCTCTCCCCGGCAACACAATTATCCTATGATAACCTCAAATCCGTCGCCCATGGCCATCACTATCAGTCCCGCTACAACAGACCAGATCCCGGCCATTGTCAGTTTTGTCATGGCAGGGCGGACCAAGATGTTCCCCATGCTTGATCCACGCATCCCGCTCCCCGATCTCGTCAATTTCCAGCAAACTTATCTCAACCACCCAGATGGTTTCTTCTTGACTGCACATTCAGACGGTCAGCTGGTTGCGACCATTGCCTATCTGGCGTACGATCATCGGTTTCCGCACCTCAATCTCGGCCAGGAGCGCATCGTCGAGGTCGTTCGCTTATATGTCAGCCCCCTGTGGCGTCGAGGGGGCCTCGCGTCCATGTTATTCAGCCAACTGGCGCAGCAGGCTCAGAAAGCAGGCATTGAGCGGTTTTACCTACATACGCATCCCTTTCTGCCTGGGGCCGTCCAGTTTTGGGAAAGGCAGGGTTTCACGTTACTCGATGTTGAGAAAGATTCTGTTTGGCGGACAACTCACATGTCCAAGTTGTGCAAAAGACTTTCCACATGGGAAGGAGATTGGATTGACTCGTCTATTCCGGGTCAGCCTTGTGACACGATTCAAAATGGTTGGAGTGGCAGAAGCGTCATAGATGTCGACGATACAAATGGCCTGGCGTGTCTCGATGGGAACGGGTTGAATCAGATATCATAAGTTCAGCTATTCTTTTCATTTGTTTTTGGAGTCTATTTCATGTTGTATTATGTATCTAGTGTACGTGGAAATAGCGCATATCAGCGAGATCAATATAGGCCTGGCTGTCTCTTTAACTTGCAACCTCCGGTTGATGCCATGGCCCCATGTACTAGAGTTCACATTTCGACTCGAGTGAGGAAGAATCTGAATTAGTGCGATATGAACACAAAATAGATGAATTTTTCGCACGAGCTGAACTACGGAAGGGCCCTAATACCCCCAAATCTCTCATCCCATCAAGGTTCAGCTACCCTATAGATCATGGAATAGCACCTTTCGATGCCCATTCCTCACTTTGTTCTAATGAAAAGACTCGCTTCCATTCATTATTCCTTCTTGTAGAGTAATACGAGACCTAAGAATTGCTTGCAAACGGAAACAAAGAAGGAGATTTACAACGAGTACATTAAACGCTCGCTATAGCACTCTTTGATGTTTTGGTTGGCATACCCATAGCAATAACTGATTCAAATTAGATTTTTATACAGGTCACAAAGAACTTGATAGTTTCTATAATACCTTCTCTAAATTCTAAAACCACATCTATCTACATTGCATATTACACGCCCAATCCCTTGGTTGGTGAGCCATTAAAGGGTGTCACGTGCAGAAAACTCGAGACTTCATGCTCGCTTACCTAAGCACGAATTTCTCATGCCTCGAAACTCCAGGGATGAAATTGCGTGATTGATCCTACGATATGCTCAATGCTACCCTGCCAAGCCTCCTCAATACACCCAACTAGGACTGCATCTCGCCATTGGTGACCATGCGGCCGACTTCCATAGGCCGAGTCTCCACCAGCCGCTCTCCCCTGGCCTTCAGGGCGGTCCGGATACTTGGCAGCGGCAGCAACTCGTGCGAGCGCCGGTGTTGGCTCTTCAATGCAGCCAAGACAACCACGGTTGAGTCCATCGTGGTCGGCGGCGGACCGGGGGGTCTCGCGGCTGTCGGCAACCTCCTCGATAGCCTCCCTGGCAAGCTACCTCAGCTCTGGGTTGATCCTCACTTTGCTGCCGGCCGGGTCGGCGCCAAGTACCGGGAGGTGCCCAGCAACACCAAAGTCGCCCTGTTCCTCCAGTTCGCCGATGCCGTTGCTCCCTTCCGGCAGATTCTTGAGAAGACCCCGGCGCCCAATGCTGCGACTGTGCTGCAGAAGCTCGCTCAGGACAAGGGGTGTGAGCTGGGGCATGCTGCTGATCTCTGCTTGATGCTTACTGAAGGAATTCGAGAGCATTATCCTTCCCAAGTGGAGCAGCATCGTGGCGAGGTCGAAAAAGCCGTGCTTGACGAGGTATGTGATTTGATATCACCATGGTATCGATTGATTGAAACCATCTTTCAGCGAGCTAACAAAAAGGAAACCGTAGCAAACCAATACCTGGACAGTGAGTCTAGACGATGGGAGGGTCTTCACCACCGACCGACTCGTTTTGTGCACAGGATCCAGTCCAATCACCTCGCCTCTGCCTATCCTAAAGCAATTGTCTGACAGCACTCCGAGCACGGCCCTCACTCCCCTTCATCTAGACACTGCCCTGAAACCCTCTCTCCTATCCCAGACAATTGATCCGTCCTCGCCGGCAACCGTCGGCGTTGTTGGTGCCTCTCATTCTGCCATCCTGGTTCTGATGAACTTGTATAAAATGGCCCACTCTGGCTCCCACCCCAACCTTCGCGTGAAGTGGTTTACCCGCCACAACTCGCTCCGATATGCTGAGCAAAAGGACGGGTGGATTCTGTATGACAACACGGGCTTGAAGGGCGATGCCGCGCAGTGGGCTCGTGACTCCCTAGAGCAGGAGGTCTTCGAGAAAAGCCCCGTCTCCAGAGTTGTCACTAGATTTTTGACGGGCGGCGAGAATGGTGCTGAAGAGTCCATTTACAAGGCCGAGCTGCCTGGCTGCACACATGTCGTCCAGGCTATTGGTTATAAAAGGAATACTCTGCCACGGTTAATGGTCAAGGAGAAGTCAGAGTTCACCCCTCGACATCTCACTATTGAGCACGATGCCCTGACTGGGCGCTTTCGGCAGATAGACCACTCAGGCGAGAAAGGCAAGGTGCATGTGCCCAATCTGTTCGGGGCTGGCATCGCCTTCCCAGAAATGGTGACAGACCCTGCTGGCAACGTGGAGAGCGCTGTCGGGTTTTGGAAGTTTATGCGCTTCCTCAAGCGCGTGGTCCCGGAATGGGTGAGCAAGCCTTGAATTTCGTCTTTCCATGTCGAAGCGAACATAATTTAAGTAGATATAGACTGAATAGAGCATTAGCACCCAGCCAAGAGCATGGGAGTAGCTATAAAGAGACCAATTTTCCCCTCCCAACATCATCGGATAAGTTGTCCAAACACTGGACATATCCAAAAAAGAGAGGAGGCTAGAGCTTAAATATATTGGTTGAGCTATGGTGACTGTCGAAATTGAGGTGTTTCGCAAAAAGGCGAAAACAAGAAAGGCATTCCAATTTCCCCAAGGCTTCGAGGTATACCGAAATACCAACATTACTCCGTAGTGAAGAGTTATTCTCTCACCGACCTACGTGTGCCTACATACTTAGCTAAAGTCCATGACAGAGAAGTTCTCAAAATAAGGGCCGATGATGTTTCTCAGTCTCGTGTCAAGAAACATTTAACGAGGATTCACGGTAAAGCCGCGTGATAATCATGCGGGGGCCACGTGCTGCTTCATACCTGTGGGGTTACATTCCCCGCAACCTCCCGACTGTCTAGTCGCTCATAATGCTTGCGCTCATCTCAAAATGAGGGCTAGAGGTCAGGGCACAGGGGCTGGAGTTGCTGGACCGAGGAATTTGCGGGGAAGCATGCAAACCATCTTATGCCATCATCTCGTGTTTTCCAGACCCGGATAGCAAAGTTTCCATTCGGTTTGATCAGAGACTGCGGTGTCATCTTGCCGTTTTAAATGGACTTTCACTCAGTTCGTGTTTCGTTCCTATAGATATCACTGGCGGCAGCGCGACAACTCTTCGACCGACGCAGCAAAGTAACAAGGGGACGCCACTACGAACGCTGTATGAATGAGTCCAGCCACAGGACGCAATAAGGCTGTCTCGACTTCTCAACTGTGAAGACCCCGGTCCGAGGTCCACATGTCGTTTCCTCCGTCTCCTGTGACGCCTAGCCCTGGGGCTTCATCAAGTCCGAGCAATGGCGATGCTGTTGTCGCCTCACACCTGGGCAGCCAAGCTGTTCGGCCACCGCCTTCGGACGCTCTAAAGAAGAAGCGTGAGCGCGATAAAGTCAGCCAACGCAGGAAACGTCAACGCGAGCGCGAGTATACAGTCAGCCTCGAGGAGAAGATACGACGACTGGAGGACGAGCTTGCCAAATCTTCATCGCCAACGACCTCCAATCATGACCCTTGGGCCGCTCGCCCACCAGGCCCTTGCTATAGTTGTTGTGGCAGCCACCATCATTGCGATATTCAGGACGACGAGACACAAATATGCATGAAGCAAACAGTCGCGTTGGGGGAAGATGGCCCTACGTCTACCGATTCCGGCGTTGCCCCGGCCTTCATATCGCAGGCCTCTGGATCCAGGCGCTACTCGGTGCTTTTGGATGGAGCGATTGAAGACATCGGCGATGTCAGCGGGCAGGACTCTTTATCCATTCTTTCCATGGAGTCACCACGTGCCAAGAGCTCCCATTCGTTATCGAGTTTCGAATCCGTCCCATTCGATGTATTTGAGAAAGTTCTGGGCGTGCCTGAATGGTCCCGAATGCCTCTCCATAGCTGGTCACTTGAAAACAAAGAGCGATCATGGGTGAGAGGGGACAAATTACTGCCATTCATCCAGATGATGCGAGCGGATCCAAACTCAGAATCCATGTGTCCTCGGCAGCCTGCCGTGATCGATATCCTCTACGGTGGCTCGTCCCAGAACGTATTGGCGAATCTGATCTCTACCGAAGTGGCGAAGGAAGCTCTACTCCCCCCAGAAAAGTTCGCGATAAGTTGGACACTGTATCTGTATTGTAGAGTGAGTCTTCCCTGCTGGCTATGACTATCTACCATCGGATCCACTCGGAAAGAATCAACGGTTTACTGACGCCTTTCCTTGCTTACAGTGGATTATTTGGCCCTCGGAAAAGACATTTCAGTACCTCCCAAAGCACTTCCGCCCAACGGCACGGCAGCTGGCAGTACCACACCCATGGTGTATCGACCTTCTTCAACACCCTCAGCTTCGAGATAGGCTGATTACCAACGCCAACGAATACGATGTTGATGAAGTAGTAGGGTTATTCTTGATTACTCTTCGTTTACGTGGAGGGTTCAATAATAATAATTTCATCACTCGAGAGAACGGCGGAGATCTGCAGATAGACCCGAAATTCTACAAGCAATTCATGACCCGCGAGGGATGGGGGATCCTAGATAGATTTTGGGTACAGTATCCAGAACTTGTCAAAGGGATGGATCCGAGATGGAGGCTTCGAGAAGAGCATCTACTGCCCCTATAGCTGTTGATGGGATGCACTATGACATGGTGAATTTTTCTCATGGCACGCTGTGGGTAGTATCGAGGGATACTGGCAAGTGTTTTGAGCGAGCGTTTGATCTTTTGTGGTTTATCTAGGGTGAAAAATTATGTAGTTAAACGAGAAAAGTATTGGTAGCTTAACTCTGACATTGACATAACTAGAGAAGCCATTCTAACACGAACTGATCTTGAAACAGGCTCAGCGGGACATGTTTTGCCATGCTCTGGAGGTAGGGGGCCAGGTGATTTAGATGGATGTGATGCTAGGCGAGCATCGGGAATAATGGGTCAGTTCGGACTGTTGGAACTTTGCTTGGCGCGGGGAAGTTTAAGCCTCGGCAGACTTCATCATGGAGTAAACCCCGAGACCCCGAGGCGACTCAGCTTGAGAGATAGTGCGGGGGAAGCGAGTCAGTGAGGACCAGGGTTTCATCGTGTCTACTAGGCTAGCTTGTGGGCTATTTTGATGAGTCTGGGGATAATTCTTACTCTAATTGGTACAGAATTATGCAGATCTTACAGAATGAAGTCAGTCTGCAGCAGAAGGTGCCCTCCATTGGAAATTCCACCCAAATGGTTGGCTGATCGTTGGGGCAACTTCCAGGGGTAGACTGGTGACAGCTTCCAAAGGTAAACTGGGGGCCAGGGAACCTACAACCATAACTCAACTAACTGACTCATGGTGATCTTGTTTGTTCCTATTGAGATGAACTGTAGCTTTACCTGTTTTTGTTCTTTTGGGATAGATTCTGCCAGAACACTCACGAAAACTCTCTCACTCTGTTTTGGACTACCAATGGTAAGTTTTGCGCGCCCTGATGAGAATGGCGGAACACTGTGTGCATCATTCTCGTTGAATCTAACCTCGGTCGCATTTTACTACACGATGCGGAGAATGACATACAAGGGAGCCGCAGTAATTAAGTCTGCCAAAATGGTTTCATAAAGTAGCTAATTTGAGACAGCTCTTGGCTGCGAGTCAGCTCCCTCCCTCCGCACTCAGTGACAACCAACAGTGACATCTTCGTTTTGTAGTGTGAATATTACCAATAAGAGGTGAATCAGGTGATGATGATACATATCTATAGTACCATGGGTGAAACCAGTATATATTCATCGCATTTGCCAGTCTCTGTCAATACTTGAATCCGTGAGTAATTTGACCAACCAAAGCATAAGAGTCTCAACACCATGGAAGCTATGAATCGCACCATATCGTCATCGCTGGGCACAGCCTTTGAGCAAATCAATCGCGTGACAGACACACTTGGCATCCCACAGTCTGCCTTTGCCAGTCTTACCAACTTCACCTGGAAATCAAAGAAGGGCGCCGCCGCCATCATTCTTGGTTACCTACTTCTCGTCCGTGCCTTGAGGTTCCGCCGCGAGAATGCAGCCAAAAGAAAATTCAAGTTTACGGATCGGGCCAGCTTGGCTCGAATGACCTCGGCGGAGGCTCAGCTCATTCTCAAATACCTTGCCACCCTTGAAATGCCACAATTGCAATTCCTCAGCCTGCAGTTTGGGTTATTTAAGGTATTTAAATCTCTTTCATAGATCCCGTGGGACGAATGACTACTGATCATGGAGCCTGAAGACATATGGCGTTGAATCTATCAGCAAGTTACTCGTGGCCACACGGAACTTGGCTGATCCCAAGAACAGCCCCAAAAGGTAAAAACTACATATGGAAGAAGCATATGCCTAGATGAATGGATATCTAATCGTTCAAAATCAGGTACGAAGACACTGCTGTCATCATCAACGAGTTCATGGCCTGGGATCCTTCCGCCGAGCGAACAGTAAAAGCAATTGCACGAATGAACTTTCTTCACTCCAAATATATTGCAAGCGGGAAGATCTCTAATGATGACCTACTATATACCCTATCGGTCTTTGTCATTGAGCCAGCTCGATTTGCTGAGCGGTACGACTGGCGACCCTTTAATGATATGGAATATTGTGCCCTTGGAGTCTTCTGGAAAAGCATTGGTGATGCAATGGGCATCAACTACCACGGCTCCCTCCCAGGTGCAGAGAATGGGTGGAAGGATGGAATCCAATTTGCAGATGAGCTAACAGCCTGGGCCAACGCGTATGAAATTGCTCAGATGAGGCCTAATTCCCTTAGCCCAAAGCCAGCCCACGCACTTTTGCCCATCATTACATACTGGATCCCGTGGTTTGCTAAGCCTTTTGTGACGGAATGTGTATTGTCCCTCATCAACACTCGTATTCTGGAGGCGTTTAAGTAAGACTCTGGTGTGCCTCTAAGTGTGGCTACAAACTGACATGGTAATAGGCTCCCGGAACCTAGCATCACGGCAGTTGCCGTAACACACGGCGCTCTTGTTGCACGACGATTCGTTATTCGACATTTGATGCTCCCCCGCATCTTTGAAATCAAAATACTTGGCGAGCAAGATCCATCCACCGGTCGTTATCTTCTCCCCCAATCGCATGGGAATTGGCCATTTTATGTCAAGCCAACTCTTTGGAACCGGTGGGGTCCAGTTGCCTGGGCGATAAGGTTATACGGAGGGTATGTACCTGGAAATAAGCCCGCCGAATTCATGCCTCAGGGATATACGTTTGAAGACGTAGGTCCTGTAAATAGAGCGAACCAGGGAAAGGAGGAGATGGAGGCGGACTTGAAGAGGCTAAGAGCAAGTAAACGGTCCGGGTGTCCCTTCTGATCTCCATCCAAAGATAGCGTCGGACTCGAAGTACAACCGGTATATCATGTGTCTTAGACCAAGCCACAGATCTCGCTATTTTACACTTGGCTCTCTACCACATGATGTAAGTTGTTTGATGGTGCCATAGTAATAGCGGCTTTTGGGCGTGAATCGGCTCCATAGCTCTCCAGTAATCTCAACCTCTCTTCGCATTTGTACTTAGCTATCGGCCATGGTGGAATCACGATAACAGTTCCTCAACGCGGGCATGGTTGGTCTTGGGCGGGTGGGTAGGAACTATTCTTTTCTTACTATGATCTCAGAACGATCTCACCTAGATTCCTAGATTCGTTGTTTGTTCGCCATTAAAGTTAGTTGTGTTCTCCTTCTTTTAGCTAAGAGCTCGGATGCCCTTCGTTCATATTTTGTTGCGATTATATCCATCATATTTATTTAAATATTGTGTCTTAGTTCAAAGCTGGTTTATGAGCTAAATAGACATTCGGGTAAGAGTGGTATATCATCAGAGTCTCCAAAAATTCGGTATTGCTAGCATACAAATCCAAAAAAAAAAAAAAAAAAAAAAAAGGAAATTCCTTCTCTCTTTAACTCAATCAGTTTTAAAAGTTTTACCTAAAGGGGTAAGAATATAGCCAATTTTACGACATATTTACGGAGGGCATAAACTGGAAAGGCAAAGACAAGACACTCTGCGAAGAAAATAGGGAAATCAAATAGAATTCTCATTTAGCATGTTCCGAACTAGCTATGGGTCTAGATTTCCTACGACTCCCGCAGAAGATAGACAAATTCTGCTTTGAAGTGCGATCATTAAACAGATTTCGAGGCGCTAGGCGCTTGTAGACCTCAATTGATCCACCAAAGTTCTGAGGTGGCTGTCGTTACACTCTGCGGGTTTGCGGGCATTACCCTGAGCAGCCACTCGCAAATTATGGAGATCAGGAATTATCGCATCGATCCTGTGCTTGATAACCTCAACATGATCGCGGACATGGCCCGGATCAATGTTGATAGCATCCATTTTTTGTAAGCAGGTTTCCGTGGCCTCCACAGAATAATGGCATTTCTTGTTGTTGGGTACAATCTCGTTGAGGGTGGCAACCTCCCTGTTGAGGTGCTTAAGCAACGATTGCAGGTCGGAAATTTGATCGGAACTCATGATTGATAGAATGTTGAGGTTGGGATCAAGTCAAGTTTCGTATAAGTGATGTGGTCTTTCTTGTAGTGAGAGTATTTTGTAGATTGAGAGTACTGGCGTGGAACTTGGAAAGTGGGTTGATAGAAACTAGTGTTGGAAAATGAGAGAGGGGATAAGGTAGACGGCTCGTATTTAAACATAGCCGGCTCTTCTTACGATTAAACGTTCTGGTGAATCACCCTAAATGCTGCTCTCTTGTGTGATTCACGCTTTTTTCTGTCGGTGGAGGGAGGCACCCCCTTTCCATCTGGAGTACAATGCTCTGGTAAACTGAATCATGTACGTTGAAACTAAAATGCGTCATCATACATAAACTCTTATGTTCTAGGTGGCCAGGTAACTATAAAGAAAATAATTTCAGCCTTTATTTGTCTGGTCACCTGAGTTAAGTTTTGTTTCAGAAGGCGATGGGCGGGACAAAGGCCGTCTGTCATCGAAACGGCGAGGAATTCGCAATGCGACACGTCGGTTTGTTGCTGTTCAATGATTTTATCTCCATCTTGCATTGCCTTTGATTACTACCAATTTCAAAACAAATACGTGATGTCAATAGTCTGCGACATGTTGGTAGGTGCACAGGTAGTTGTAGTTATTTAGGTAGGCATTATTTTGGTATGTACACTGAGTTAGTTTCGAAAGAAAGGGCAGTGCTTCATTATGAGACTGAGTCATCACTAGCTTGATCAAAGGACCCCGAGAAGAGTCTGTTTGGTTACCCCTGCTTTTGAAGTGGCTGCGCACAATCGATAGATGATCGGTCACACTCGTCGCCTTTCCCGCAAGTATATACTGATGCACAACAGCGAATTGGAGCAAATTCATCACGCTGAGATTAGGCATTTTGCTCTACCCATGTTGGCAAGAGAAACTACAAGTATGTGTCGACTCAAAATCTCCTCGTGGGTAATTCACGATCGCTCGGAGTATTGTAGTATTGGTTGGCCAAACCACCAAATTGTGTCACCAGCCAGTTCAATCCACTGATCTGGATCATTGACTATCACAATGAGCGTTGTTGACCTATTCAACGACGCAAGTTGCCTGGGTTGGTTGCTTCATATGGGAAAGCTCGTTTGTGTTATATCTTTGAACGCACGCTCCTTGCGCCAAAATAGCAGGGGTGAAACTGGGATCCGAGACATACACAATGGCAAAGAGGAATAGCAAATGTGTGCCACATGATATAATCTGAAACCATTTTTAACTGCACAACAACTGGCTGTTGACCTTGATAATCTACTCACATATCTACTCACATAGAATGCGTGATTGTGGTCTCAGGGATTTGGAAAGGACCTTCCTAAGCTTGCGTTTACGCATTCAAAAACCTCCATCTCATCAGATATCACTGCTTAACCAAGTTGACCTAGATGGGATACAGTCTTTGGTTGATAATAACTAGACAATTTTCTGAATCCATGTGGATGGACCCTAGACGAAGCCAAGGAGATCCACCCCATTGCCCTTTCTATCGCTCCTAATATCAAGCTACTCGCTACTCCCACCGGACTGTAGATACAGAGTGAAATATCTAGGAGAGAAGTTTTCTTAGTATTAGACTGGTGAAGGTGACATATTGGTTATCTACGCAACTGCAATAACAAAACTTCAACCTTCCCCTGAAAACCCTGGGACCTGGAGCTTGTGGGAGATTGGCAGAATTGCGTGGTGGGCCATTATACAGTTTATCATTCACCTTCAGCAATATAAGTCCTCCCCGTTAAGCAGTTTGTAGTCACGGGAGCCTAATTGAATATAATATGTTGACAGATGCCACTTAGGAAATGACTTAGTCTTGTCATATGTCTACATTTTTAAGGCATTGGTTCTATAAGTAAGAGGATGAGATACATCTACCCTCACCCTGGGGAGTTGAAATACTCAACTTAGATATATGCCAACCGCCCATTCCCTTTAAATGTCGTCAATCAAAGGACTCAACCCCTGAGCAGTGCCAACCTTGGCTTCAAAGTAGAATCTAAGCCTCTCTACCAGCTTGCGATCAGCCATAAACCTAGCAAACTCAGTGGGGTTGGTTGCTTTCTCCTCGCTCAGCTTTGGGAATCCTTGTGGCGCAGGAATGTCTCGGCGAACGCTCCATCGCCCTGGCAGCCCTTGGTACTCAGGGCTAAGGAGGAAGTTGTGGAGAAGCTTGGCGCCCTCTGGATGAGGCGCGTCCTTCAGGATGGCGGCAGTCTGAGGCCAGCTGACATACTTGCCCTGTGTGGGGTGGGAGAAGTTGAGGGGTGCAGTGGGCACAAAGCCACCAGAGGCAGCGAAGGAGGCGGCCGAGGTGCTGTTCTCTTGGCTGATGAGAGTATATGGTGTTCTTGTGCCTCGGACCCAATGCGGCTTCTGAGCAATCAAGGCATCTAACCACTCCTCTCCGTACTGTTGCATGCTTCGAAATTGTTAACGCGATTGGAATGCGGTGCTTCTGGTTGTGGTCAGGGAACTTACATCAGATAATGCGCGAATAAGACTGCATCATCGTCGTTGGGGTAGGTCAAGACGAGTTTCTCTTTGAATTCAGGCCGGAGCCAGTCGTCCCATTCGACCGGAGGGTCAATACCGGGGAGCTTATTTGTATTCCAGGCTCCGGACCAAGAGAGGACATACACGCCGTACCAGGCCGCCGATTCATCTCGAAACGCGGGTTCAATTTGATCAAAGCCGTTAGGAGCATAGTTTAGAAGGGCACCCTGTTGAGCCCATCGAGGGTAGTCGTGAAGTGTCTGGAGGATGACACTATCAACGTACACAGCATCGCCTCCAGCTGCCAGCTGTTGATCGATGTATGCGTCGTGGTACTTAGAAAGGTCAACCGTCAGGTTGAGAGTTATGCCAGGGAATTTGGATTCAAATGCATTCTTCAGGGCATCTTGGCGGCCTTTCTCGTCTCCGCCGTGCCACAAGGTGACCACGTTGCCCTCGGCCAGTGCCGCTTTGTAGATCTCATCCAGTGAACGAGTCTCGTACTCCACGGGGCTGTTGAACCCAAGAAGTTGATCATAAGCCCGGGCGAGGCAAAAGAAAGTGGAGAGGACAGACAGGGAACCGGTCATGTTGGTAAACTTCTCAGCCAGTCAACGAGGGATGAAGATGGCTTTCCAAAGCTTGTAAATTTCTTTAGTATTTAGTAGGATTATATATTTCTATCTGTAATTACTCTCACCTTTTCTTTTATTAAGATTGCGCGGCTTCATAGGAAGGAACTTCATCCCACTCGCCATGACTAAGAACCAGCGTAGCAATGCCCGTCTCCCACATTGCCGAATCTGGCCATCCCACATCCTGAAACTGAAGAAATATTCGCGATGCATGAGCTTAACGACGCGGTCCACCAGCTTTGACCGCATTGAGTAGGTCTTAATAAAGAAGAACCAATAAGTTTGCCCCCTATCCCCTAACCCTAGGAAACATCTATGTTGGCATAATTCATGTTAAGATTTCTAATTCATGTGTAATATGATGCGGGAGCAGAGAGACAGGTATGCTATCTCCCGTATGTCAAACTCGGCAACCTTACAATAATACCTCACGCTACAAGGATCGTGCATTTGCCGAGGCGGGTGGCAAACAGACGATACGTTTTATAGCATTGCAATACTACTATATTTACGGAAACCTCGAGACCTGAGCTGCAGATGATTAACGTTGAATGTGAGCTGCATTCAACCCAAAGACAGGAAGGCAATGAGACCCTAATACATAAACCAATATTACGTAAACGATTAAGCCAATGAAATATTATGCCATGTGGAAAATACCAACTGCTTCTGCAGCTCTTTTCTCTTTTCTCTGTTCTCTTTTTTTTTTTACCAAAGTAGTAAGCCAAAGTGGTACATCCCAGCTCCGTCAAGCAAGCCTCTGCCACAAGATGCTGTCGGTAATCCGACTGGGCTAGTGTCTACAATAAGAATCGGAAAATTAATCGAAGAAATGCTAGTTGAAGGCGAGATGCTTAGCGAATTTTCATCTTGTTCAGCGGTTTGTAAGAGTTCAGGTAACGTGGGTGTTTGCTGCTTCTCAAATCAAGTATGAGGTTGGCACTATACGCTGTATTGGATTGAATGTAAGGTTGAGGCCGCCCTTGGACATACCTGTAGGGTTTCAGCTACTAGATCGGGGCCGTACTAGTCTCAGTCGACAGTATAACTAGTACGCAAAGGAGGTCAGAATGGAACCTCCATCCATTCCCACCCTTTTGATGTGAGTTGTTTGCCAATAATTATATACACAGAACACTGAACGTCGTCAAATCAGGAAGCCTAGCACCGCTATTGGGGATCCTTGGCCTTCTCACACCATCCTCCCCCGCTTGACCCAGGTGGATGATTGTGGTGATTTCGAATCAGAGCTAGCAGTAGTGATTGGGAAACTGGCCAAGGATGTTAGCGAAGAAGAAGCCATGGATTATATTTTGGGATATACGGCAGCAAATGATGTTTCAAGCCGGACTTCACAGCTAAATCAGTCCCAATGGTGTTTTCCAAAGGGATTTGATAGCTCATGTCCTATCGGTAAGTATATTCAATAGTCTAGCCGCGAGCGTAGCTTACTGACTACTCGGTTTGGTTCAAAATTGGTGTCAACATCTATAATCCCAGATCCAGCCAAACTCTGGATTCGAGGATTAAAAAACAACACAGTGCTTCAGGAATGTGGTACCAGGTGTGTCCTTTATCTTAGAAATTCTACCCAGAGGCCGGGTTGACACAATAGCAGCGGTTTGATTTTCAGCGTACCAAAATTGGTCAGTTTGATCCCAGAGCACGACGCTACTACCTGATACCATCATAATCACAGGAACACCAGCTGGGGTTGGCATGGGAAGAAAGCCCAAGGAAACACTGCGTGACGGTGACGAGTTTGCTGTAGAAATCCTACCGCATATCGGGACTTTGGTTAATGTGTTTGTAAATGAGTCAGAATATAGGAGACAAGGATTTTGCTGAGAAAGTCCGTTTCTTTATAAATGTTGATCTGAACAGGCCAGGTTGAATCTTGTTTCTCTTGCAACGGCCTATCATAACAGATCAAACTCACCGCACTACAATTTTTCCTATTCTAGCCATCGTTGAGTAGGTCAACATGAACATACTTGTGCCCGCTCGATTATGCTCTTTGCCGCCTTCCTCCATTGTAGGAATCAGAATGACGATAATCTCGACAAAAAGAAGAACGTGGCGTTTGTGAGCTGTGAGCGGACAAGTATTGCATCGACATCTTTATTTTACGCTTGTTTGATGCCTGACTGATTCTGCATTGTGACGAAGCAATTTCTATGATCAATGATAGATTTCCATCCACTTTGTGGCAAGTGAAATCAAGATGTGTCATCACATGTGACGAAGCCAGAAGCCAAGTTGAAAAACATATAGGTATTGAATCAGAGGGAGAGGACGGCTGTATGACGATAGTCCTACGCCAAAATGTTGAAACACATAAGGAATAGAACTCGATATATACAATCTCTCAAGAAACGTTTGAGTTATCACATGGCCCTCATGCTTGTAGCCACACTTGGTGTAACAGGCGTCACATGTTACTGGCCCCATCTCAAACTCTTCATATATGGAAGGAGTGCCAGAGCCAGAAGCCATGGAGCCCACAGTCGATACGACATCCGATCTCCAGCCCTTGTCCTAATACCAACCATATTCGATATCAATGTCAATCCTAACCCTGCCATCAATATTCCTTCCATCCAAGTATCCCAAAACCAGCAGCCAAACGCTGACCAAAATGCGACTCCAAGTGCGACAAATAGTCGAGCGTTCATCTCACCCATCAAAATAGGTATAGTTCTCTTCCCAGCGACTGCGTCTCCCTCCATGTCTCTGAGGTCCTGGACGTGGATGGTGCATGTAATAGTCATCGCAATCACACCCAGCCAGCCCGCAGCAATGGCTTGTCCACCAAATATGGAGTTCCCAGTGGCAATTTCAAGAGGCCCTGCTAGGAAAGCTGTGATTCCCATCCCATTGTGGATGTTCTTGAGAAAGCCTCCTGATCGATCTTGAAACTCATTGTTCCACACAGAAAAAGTAGTGATCACAGCCAGAGGAACCAAGCCCCCAACGGCCAATGATACAATCAAGTTCAACGGATACAAACAAAAAAGAACCACTGTTGCCTGTTCTGGAGTGAGTCGACCTGAAGGAATTGGTCGCCATGGCTTGTTAACGGCGTCCTCTTCCACTGACTGACGGTGTCGCTGATTATGGAGATTGAAAAGCAATAGACCGCTCCATGACCATATTATCATCTGTGGTGCCCTCAGCAGAATAGGCATAGACCATGGGGGGTCGCCCATTGATAACAAGGGTGCCGCTTGTGAAGCGAGCAGTGCAAATATGAACGGTGCTATAACAATTGCTTCCAGATCGCTGCAGCTGAATAGGTACGCCGTGTGCAGATGATACAAGGCCTTCGCAGGTAGTTTTCGCAAACAGAGAGCTGTGTTTGGTGATGAGGTCTTCATGGCTGGTAAAATATTTTGCTTCATCAAGTCTCTATTGATGTAATTTCGTCAAACAGTCTCTGGACTGAAACAAGCCTATTTATCTACATATCTCTATAGTTGTCAAAATCTACAAGGTACCTTAAAGCCATTATTCAGCTTGAGTTAGATAATTCTAAGTTGGCCGTGACGCGAATTTCTTCAGGCTGTACAACATCAAACCCTCGCGCCTTAACGGCCTCCGCAGCCTCCCTGGGCGTCGATATAGAAGCCAAAACATTGTTTTCCGATTCAGGATTAGTTAAATGATCGTTGAAGTTAAATTTTGTATCAAGACAATGACAATCTGGGACAGAGTTCGCCTAATCTGCTTGGTGTCGGGACAGCCGACGCAAGATTACCCAAAGGAGAGATCGTAGCATCAACACACGGAATCCTCTAGTAATTAGGAGCATTTTGTCAAAGTTTGTTAGTCATTTTTATTCATTATTAATTGTAGTCATCGAAGCCCAGTTGCAGGAACTTATGATAGGCGTTACTTGTTAAACGACAGAAGGTAGTCTAAATCGACCGATCAACAACATTCTAACCATAAGACTTCCCTGGTGAAACCTATTTAAGAAAGAGATCGTCAATTTAAAATATTTGCATTCCTTATTGCTGATAAATCAGTCTTTTCCATTAGCGCAGGTGCGGGGAGACTCAATTTTGACCGACTCGGGTCCATGCTCACTCCTGGACTTCATCATCTTTTAGCCCAGTGTTTCTCGCAGAGCCACGTTCCTAGTTATGATCCTTTACTGTCAAATAGAACAGAAATATTCCACAATGAACACTCCACCAGAACGGCTAACGTAAGGCGCCACGTAGACAAGATTCACCTTCGTAGATTGCATGGTAGCCGTGACACTCAAGTGAGGAAGTGAAGACACGGTTTCCGGGGTATCCAAGCTCATCAAGTGGATTTGGTATCTATTCTTCCATATCACACCATCTAATGACGTGTACGTCTCTTAGCTTTGCCTCTTGCTAAATCCAGTCGTAGGGTTATTACGAAATATGACAGAATTCATCGCATATAAGCCACACTACCCACACACATCGGCTTTCCCAAATTCAGGGACTGGTCATGACTTGACTACCTTGTGTATCTTGTTAAGTGACAGTATCATAAATATGTCTGGGTTCTTTCAGGTCTTTCGGGTTTCGTAATTCTTCTAACTTGCTCTTTCTTTTGGTAGAGTAGTCTGCACTGCTCTGCGGTGACCCCTTCAGCTACACCGAACAAAGCTATGAACACTGAGAATTCAAAGTTCAACGGATCGGATTTTAGCGAGAAACGGCTTCAATCTGGGTGTTTTGGTTGGCAAATTCATTTTGGACACGGTGCAAAGAGCGGACTTGTTGTCCTAAGTCTAGCTACCCTATGCACATCAATATTGCCAGGTCGTCTCTCAAAAATTCCGTCAGTTCCTACTATTAGTTTCTAAAAAGTAAAGGTCGGGTCATTTAATCCAATGATCCCTGTCCCTACCTTCATTAATCTGTTGATTTGTTTATCCCCCCTTTTCTCTCTTTCCGTATTATGGTCTTCAAAGTTGAAGGTCAGTTGTTATCGGAACTTTTAGTGAACGTAAGTAGGCATTGGAAACACCCTCCTAACATGCTATACTTCTGTAGCTTGCCTATAGAAATTCACAATGCTGCTGCCTAAATGCTTTTCAGTGACGTTGTTCTGTGATTGCTGTTTGTGAAACGCGTATCCCGCATACAGGGCACGCGTTGACTGACTCATGACCACAGGACAAAGACGATAGGGAATGACGCTAGTACCGATTTGAAATGGTCGTGAAACGAGATGTGAAGATCGTTGTTCCCTCCCGAACGCGTCTACGTGGCCCCTGCCGAGGGTGACATCAAACCTCGTGTTAGTCTCCTTGCCCCCCTCCAACCGCGTGAACATCAGACAATCTTGCGCCAAGTCGGTCACCAACCAATAAGGTCGCTTAACTCAGTTGGTTAGAGTGCCGTACTAATACATATATCATATGTGTCTAGTAATGCGGACGTCGCCAGTTCGATCCTGGTAGTGACCAGGTTGTCTCCTTTTGCTTTTTGTCTCTATGTGATTCTGGGTGTCATCCTTATTGTGTATGTGAATCACGAGTCGTATGTGTGAATCATGAGTGAATACCTGGCTATTGTTGGTTGTCTTGCGAAAGTACCTCAGGCATAGGCATAACAAAGGTTGTGCTGAAACTTGTTCCTAAACGTTGCCCTTGACTGACTTCGAGGGCAAGAACAAGGCACGAGTTTAATCTCATTTCTAGCCCCAGCTTGTTGACTAAATAATTTCACTACCTCTTCCGCATGTCAACAGTCAATTTCGAACGATTAAGGGTCTTCCTTATTATTCCACTCGCAACCTCCACGCTATTTTTCCAACAATTTTGCGAAATATCTCTTACTGGGTTCCAACCCGACAATAAATCCCACACGACAATGAAGTCGGAGACCTTTCATACAACCGAGCTTGCAGAGCGCTGCAAATCAGCGTTACAGATTTTACAGGATCTTCTCGGTAGTACGTATTAGCCTAGCCTAGGAGGAGCACTAGTTGCTCATTTGCTTACAATCATTTAGACGGTGATGCGATCACCAAGATAGATCTCGAAGAAGCCCATGGGCTGGTCATCTTCAACTCCATAGGCGCTTCTGTGGGTACTGGATGCGCCGTTGGCTCCGGACTTGTGATGGCTCGTCATGCGAAGGGCGATTGGTCATTGCCCTCTGCTGTCTCCGAGACGTACGTTGGCGGAGGGCCATCGTTTGGGGTTAATGTGTACAGCTCGGTTCGGGTACTGAAGAAAGAAGAATTCGAAAAATGCTTTATCAAGCAAAGACGGGAATATGGGATGCAATTCGCGGCTGCTGTTGGTCCTCTCGGTATAAAGATTGAGGTTGAAGGTCAGAGCATGGTCCAACGTGTAGCAAAACCAGAGGGCTTGTACTTTGGTTGGACTGTTGGAGCTACACACTTCAAAGAGAACAAGGATCTGAATGCCAAGTTTTATGGAAAAGAGCTGACTGCACGAGAAATCCTCACTGGGAAGATCCAAGTTCCTGAGGCATGCAAGAACGAGGTGAGAAGTCTTTGGGACTTTTTGAACTTATTGGAGAAGTAGATAGAGAACGAGCCTGTTCAATATGAACTATTGTTCTTGTTTTGCCTCTTGACCTTTAGAAAACCAACCACTATCTCATTCCGCCACCTCCAAGCCTCACGTTTTGACATGCGATCTCATTCGGTATTAATTGAATCTGCGACTTGCCCATAAATCAAGCCCGAGCTGTTTTGAATTTCCCATTTGATTTCAACGCCACTGCTTGAAGAGAAGAGATGCATCACTATCTCGCCCCTCCTAGAATCCTTGCCACTTTTTCTCATACTCAGGTAAGGTTTGCCTATTGTCACCTCGTGATAAAGCTCAATAGAGCTAGTAGCTGTCAAAGTTCTGTGCAAATAGAGGTTAAATTCTCTATTATGACTTATTCGCTCGCGTGACCTCCTTAATGAACTCTGATTCCCGTATAAATTCACATCTCCAGTCTCCCATGCGCCTGAATCGATACTAATAAATCATTGTTTCCCAAGGAGAGCCCGATATTTACAACTTCCACTCATTCTCGTATTTCACGCTTGTTAAGCGGGCGAATTTTTGGAGATAAGACACGGTAGTCAGAGAACCTCGGGCATAACCAAGCGAGTTCGTGCAGATATTGACTGGTGCCTTTCTAGTCCTCTCACGCTGCATAAGTGGAAAGTATCGTCCCAGCCAGACAAGCTACCTGGCGGGAGCGCCGATCTCTGGGCTACTTAAAGTCCACGATCTCGTCAATATATCCAAAATTAATACAACGAGCCGTCGACAAAAGTCCGCAAGCAGCCGCCCTCCATGATGTGGCCCAGCATGATGGTAGAACCGCCCCACGACTCCGAACCCAGTCCACCCCAATATACCTGCCTCAAAATAGCTGATCAAGAAGCTGCCGTCGTCGAGGATGTTTGGGAAGCGATGATCCCTCGAAGGCGGCAGGAGCTTAAGTGGTTCAACTTGGAGTTTACGTGTGCACCTGAAAACTTTCACAAAAACAAAAACTTCATGCAGCGGACATTCAGAGACCGAAAGACTCAACCCTATTGGAAAGCGAAGCTTTTTGTTAGAGCCAGGAACATTCCTCGTCTAATGCGACGCGGATTTCATCTTTCAGGGGCAGACCTGATTCCAGGATGTGGCGAGATCCATTTTGATGATGAAGGAAGGGCGGAAGAAGTAGGGTTTGATCCTTCCTGGAGACATAGACGGTGTTACTATTTTATGGATGCCGCTGGCGACCCAGAGTGGAACGCTACTCTCGAGGTGTTCGCCAGATCTCCCTCCATTGTCATGAATTTCAGACTCGAGGGGATAACACCAGACACCGTCTTCCTGGCCTATGCATACCGCTGGGATAAGAAATCAGTTTACAAAGCCTCTACACTACGCAGCAAACACAGCTTCAACACTCTCTTCGATGAAATGCCGACTGGTGGATGGTGGCCAGCACCAAAAGAGATGCAAGAGCAAAGCAAACCGCGATCCCTGAGGTTGAGCGACTGGCTACGAACTAAAACAAAATCAAAAGATGACCGCCGCCGCCGCTGCTGCTGCTGCCGGCGGTGACGCCTCCCTCGTCGACCGTACCAAAGAGAAGGTCAAGGAGGTCGTCGCCGAGGCCAAGGACGCCGTCGAATTTACTGCATAGCAATTAGCAGTGCGTCTCATTTGGTTCCTTTCATCAGCAATTTTCTTGGACATGTTCATGCAAACAAATCCAACGACGGGTCACCCTAAGTTGGAGCTCATGAATAGAGTCCGAAAGCCGAGGAAGAAAGTGTACTATCAGTGGCCTATCCTATTCCCAGAATCACAGTCTTGTTTTCTCTCCTAAAACTGTAAACCGAATTATTTGCAGGGTTCATTTTGGCCTCGCCTCGTGAGAGGCTACTAGACCTTGTAACCGTGATTGGTATGGACAATGTTTGACATACTATCAAAATGATAAAGCAGCAATACACAGAAAATCAAGTTAGAAATCGCAACATAGTCTATTATTCAACCGCTATTGTGTTTAGTATTGTTCATCAAAAACTAAGATCTCTTCCTTACATTAAAAGACTTGTTCTAGTGTGCCATGTTTTATCCCAGTCGCCAAATAGCGGCCCTACTAACGCACATTTCTGGAGGCGAGATGCAGTCGACTACGTACGCACTGCAACTTGTGACTGCTGGCAGTTACTATGTAGACGGCCCGAGCTGTCGGATCCCCACTGCCTCAGCTCTGGGTCAGCTCTAATAAAGCCAGGGGTACTCTCTAGTTAGTTTGTGGATTCGTCAGGAGGCCAAGCAACCGTGGAATACTCGAGGTTAGAGACAAAGCTGGAGATCTCTTCGTTGATACGAAAATGTGTCTTCTCCAAATCAATCAAGATGGCGGGGTGTAAACTCATGGATGAAGTTTTCTTATCGAGAGAAGAAAATCTTTCTGGTTCTCGACTGAGCTATCCCCTCTTAAATGCTTTCAATATTCAATAGCGGTGGCGGCTGCGGATCCCTCAGCTTGGATGAGACGGAACTATCGAATTTGCACCCATGTTCTCATTACCAAGACCTGGCCATGGACCTGACTAGCCAGCGCATAATCACAAGAATGTTCGGGACTGAGGGATGTGCCCAGAGAACCAGCTAGAGTTGGCTTCTGGTCAGTCCCAATCCCCTTTATCATTGAGTGAAGGGCGCCGCCTCCTGCGGCTTGACTTTAGTAACCACACCACGGTCTTTGACTGACTTGTAAAGCAAGCCACCTTGAGCTTCGGCCCAATTACACTCGTTTCTGCTTTTAAGCTATGCGGTCTAAAGTCGCTCTTGCGGCATTTGCCCTGGTTGGCTCGCTCGACCTGACAGCAGCCAAATGTAACAAAGCGACTACCGGTTTGCCGGCATCGGTCACCACACCAGGAGGATATACCGGTACATTAACAGCAGGTCCCTCGATCATAACCAGCGGTATACTACAACCGCGAGGTGTACGAAATCTGATCCGGAACGGCAATTTTGTTGGCTACGACCCCAGTGCCCCCGGAGGCTTGTACGGATACGAGGTCGATGGAGACGGAGAAGCTCGCCAGGTTTCTGGCTTGGGATATACTGGCGATGGAAGTGAGGAAAGTGCATGCGCCTACTTAACCGTCGGCCAGCCCAAGGATAGCACGACGAACGGCATGGGCCAGCGCGATGTCATCCCAGATCAGAGCATCAGCATCAAACAACAACTCCAGAGCACCGATCGCGAGAGCGTCTACACCATGCGCGTGTGGTACTATGTCGACATGAATGAGAAGGCCAACACCTGCAAGTTGATTGCTACCTATGACAACGGGCTCTTGGTAGAGTCGGACTATTTCCCCGTTGTTGCCGCCAATTCTGGGACCTTTAGCTGGACTGGGTTGGTCCAAGAGAGCCCTCTGATCTCTGAGAGTGGCTACCTCAAGTTTGAGGTCAGATGTTCGGATGGTGGCTCCGCTGCAGTTCGCTTCGACCAGGTGTTTTTCACCAACGAAGTCAGTCTTCGAGATTTGGATGACATTACGGTCATCTACTCTGCTTTCGCCGATGCGTCGACAGCTCCGCCTAGCCTGAGCTCCACCATTCCTATCGTGGCCTCTACTACAAACAGTGTGGCCTTGTCTTCGGCAGCACAGAGCCCCAGCACATCCAGCCCAGGCACAAGCGCAACTGAGAGTGGCAACGGAACGGCCAGTGGTTCCTTGACAGGAGTTGCGTCTGCAACGACTGGAGCCAGCTCAAGTAGTGTTACCCCGACTTCATCCAGCGCTGCGGCATCCTCTACCAGCTTTGGTGACAACATTTGTGCTACATTGGGAAGCGCCTCCATTGCCGGCAGAGGCTGTGCCAGACGGCCATACTCTGGCTCGTCCGGCTACAAGCAGTATACCAGTGATGGCACAAAAGAGCAGTGTGCGGCTCTATGTCTCAAGGATCCTCGCTGCCTATCGTTCCAGTGGAACACCAAAAGCATCGGTTGTGTCAACGGCTGCTACCTCCTTGAGACTTCACTTGCCGACAACTCGGCGAACAACGGCGGAAGCGACTCTAACTGGGCGTACGATCGATCTTGCATTGCTCAGACGCAGTGCCCGACCACAGTGCCAGACAACACCGTCTGTGTCAACGTCGAGGGAAGCACTCCAGGTGCGGGCTGCACGAGTAACCTCAATGGACAGCCGAGAGCTTGCGCGTCGCCCTTCATCACGACCAGCGTGAGCCCCATCTGCGGTTCCAGCGCTTGTCGCGACGTTTGCCACCAGTATCCTTCTTGCAAGTCGTTCTCTTACTCAGTCACCGGCGGTCAAAACTGCAAGCTATACCCGGACACCGTTTCGACTGTTGCCACATCAGACGGTGCCAACTATCTCACGTTCTTTACCGATCGTAGCTGCAACGCCTGTGGAAGCGGGATGGCCCAGTTCAAGAATGTGGCCATTCTCGCAGACCCTGCCAACATGCCCGTTCTGAGTTGCCCAGCTCCATCTTCTACAGCTGTTGGCACTGCTTCCTCGCTGTCAACTTCTTCGTCCTCTTCCTCTGTTGTTTCGGCATCAGCTGCTTCTACTACGCTTCCTGCATCAACCACGACAGCAGCACCATCAGCAACCGCAACCGTTGCGGCAATGGACGTTTGTCCTGGAGGACAAAGCTGCACAGCCAACCTTCTCGTCCTAGCCAACGTGTACTGTAAGAGAGCTGGCCAATTCAATTTGGATATTGGTGCCTGGCTTCCTGATTCGACCAAGTTCCCTGGCAAGGCGGCATCGCCTGAACAGTGTGCATCCATTTGTTATCAGACCAAGAATTGCAACTCATCCTCCTTTTCGCCCACGCAAGGTACATGCTATCTCATTTCTGAGACTCTTGCCCAGGGACAATTTGTACCCCAAGACGCAAGCAGCACTTCCCAGCTTTGGAGTGACAATGCTTGTTTTGACTGCACTCCATGTGATGCCAGTTCATCTTCTACACTCTTAATATCGAGCACAACCCCAACACCTACTACGACCATCGCTCCTTCAAGTACATTGCCAAACACAACTTCGACTCCCACGCTCCCTACACCCACAACTTTTGATACAAGAACCACGCCTGATTCTTCAAGCACAGATCAAATCTCATCCTCATCAACCGACTCAGTCATCACTCCTTATCCTCAATCGACTAGCACTTCTACCACACCAACTACGACCACTTCGGCCCCTGCAGCTGCCCAAACGTGCGCGGCACCAGTGGCAAGCCTCGGCGATGATAATACCTGCGGTATCCCTGCCGTTGGCGGGCAACAAATACAGAGCACCCGGCTAGAGAACTACATCATCAAACCCGTGGGAAGCCTCGCAAACTGCGCCCTGGAATGTCTGGCCAGAGCAGATTGCTTAGGCTTCTCATACACTAAGGCGGATACTTCCTGTCGCCCTTACAGAGTCGGTACAGCCGGACTTGGTCTGACGTATACCCCGGTCGAGGCCACCCGGTTTTATGATAGGTCTTGTTTTACCTGTGCTGTCTAGAAATATTTGAAACCCATGTATTGATAATAAATAATATTCTATAACTTCCTTCATCTAAGTAGCTGTAAAAAGAATTTGTATATTTCTAGATGATCGCTCAACTAAGTTAACTAGGTCACACTTTCTCATTGTGCCTCTCCCTGTCTCTCACCACATAGTCCAGCTACTAATAGTATTGATTGAACAATTTCAGGGTCCCGAATAGTCCCAAATGATAGAAAGAGGAGAAAATTAATTGCCATCTAGTATTACAAATCATGATGATAAGAGTAGCCCAAATCTGATTTCCACAAACTTGGAAGCAATATGAAATCGCCTTGCAGCCCCCAATAATTCCTGCCAGACACAAGCGGCATCTAATTCAACACCCCCCACCTCTTCAAAAGTGTATTGAAACTGCCAAGGAAGTTCGGACTCTGGGGGATCGCTTCTGCCAGCGCGTTCTTTCCATGCGCTTTGGGAGGGTAAATCAGATACTGGTTAATCTGCGTCTTGATCTGCTTGGCAACAGCGCCTGTAACCATGACCTGGCGCTCCCACCCGCTTGTAAGAACCGCCCCGTATGAACCTAGGTCCAAACAGGTCACATAGTTAGGTTGGCTGTAAGGCACAGTTGGTTCGCCAACAAGATCAGCCGCAGCGTTGTGCCCTGAGAATCGCCCAAGTATCTGGGCGTGTTGGCAGGACATCAAGGTATGGTGGCCGTCGCTGTCTCCAGTAAGGGCACGGCAAGCATCTCCGGTGGCAAATACCTTGTTACAGGAGGGAACCCGCAGATCTTGATCAACGTGCAGACGGCCCATGGGATCTTTGGGACCATCGATTTGTGCGGTCAGGGGAGTAGCCCCCATGCCAGCCGTCCAGACAGCAGTCAAGGAAGGGATGTGTTCTCCAGAAGCTAGGGTAACACCAGTGGAATCAACGGCTTGTACTGCTGAACCAGATCTGACTTCAACGTGAAGACTGTCCAGGGCCTTTTCGATAGTAGGGCGTGGACCCGGGCCAAGCTCAGCGCCTACTTCGTCGGCATTGTTAACCAGGACAACTTTTGGCGCTGGTGCAGACTTGAAAATAGCTTTCAGTCGCGATGGCAGCTCTGTTGCTAGCTCAATTCCTGTGAAGCCTGCACCACAAACGACGACGGTGTCGCGGGCAGGGCTTGGAGGGAGCGATGGTAGCTCCTCGAGTCTAGATTCAAGCCTACTCGCTCCCTCAAAGGTGTCAACGTCGAAAGTGTGTTCAGCCAAACCAGAGACACTTTGAGGACGCAAGAGCTGACTGCCTGCCGCGAGGATCAGGCGGTCATAGGAGACTTGTGAGCGGCTGCCTCCATCGGACACAACCACGACCACATCTTTTTCGCTGTCAATGGCCTCGACAGTTCCCTGCATGAAGCGGATTCCAGTAGCTTGAAATACTTCATCCAAGGCAACTTTCATTCCTTTCACATTGTGTTCGTACAGTCTTGGGCGGAGTACGAGTGACGGTTCTGGGGCAATGACAAGGACTTCGACCTCAATCTCGGGATGAAGATTGAGCAGACGCTTAGCCCCAAGAGCACTCCAGAGGCCTGCAAAGCCAGAGCCAATGATTACAATTCGCTGTTGCATGATTTTGCGGAAGAGGGGAAAGAGTACACCGGATATCGTGTGCTCTGTTGATGATGAATTGCTGATGAGGAACAAGGGTAGTAAAGTCAATGATTTATATATGAATCCTCGGCCAATGAGTAGCCAACATACGAGAAATCCCGATCACAGATATCCGTTGTCGCCGTGATCAAGTACTGGACGTCATCGTATCTCGGGATGTAGCGGAGAAGCTTTTTCTGGTGCTTCAGCCCCAGATCGAACAAGCTTATTCATGAAGTACCGAAAGCGGAGCCAGAAGTCTTGTTTGAGCCATTAAGCACTGAAAATGCCGCCCGAAATTCCTTGAGAGACATTGGTTACCCGGCTCGATACTACCAATTGCCGCTTTCAAAGACATCCGCCAAAGCATGTGGCAGTCAACTCTGGCCCTTCGCGGATGGAAAAAGTTGCACTCGTGATTATCCCATCGCCGTAGCTTGTTCTTAACTCTCCCTTTCACAGAACTAGAGTGTGTTCTAGTCTTCTAGATCTGACCCGCAGGCATCAACACGACCAACACGACCAGTCCCCTCAATATCCCTCCGCCGGTGCCCGAGTAGGGTCCCTTGATCTTCATGTCGGCACAGCATACACGAGTTGCCCGCTCGTCGCTTGCCTGTCTTCCCTGCCGCTCCCGCCATCTGAAGTGCGACGGCAAGCGACCATTTTGCAGTCGATGTACCTCAGCAGGGAAGCCATGCCAGTATGCCAAATCTCGACGCGGCGGTCTTGATCGTGCCGCTCTCGCAGCGCGTCGTGAAGCCCAATTGGCACAGAAAGGCGGTGCTGCACCAACATCCAGCCTTCCCCCTACCAATACTAGTTCAGGCACGATTCCAGTCCCATGCGTCTTGGAGAGTCCTCCTCTCACCGTAGATTTGGAAAGTCTTTCTTCCGATGTAGTTCTCGAAGCCAACCATGACGCGGAAGCATTCGACATCGACCAAGACTGGCTTGGTACCAGTACCCTCTCCCCAGCCGCATTGCCTTCATCTCCAATTGACATCAACGGGGACCTCCTTCTTGAGGTGTATTACAATCGCTTTCATGCTTTCCATCCTTGTGTTCTTCCAAAACGAGATCTTGAAAGACTCTCCCACAATCCAGAAATACGTTCAAGGCTTGCACCGGTACTTGCCGTGCTACGCATGATTGGCGCTGTCTATACCCGCTCCCCAGACCTCAATCAATTGCGGGATCATCTTCATGACTGCCTTCTGAAAGCGAAGCCAAACGATCCGTTCATCGTTCAGGCGCGCCTGCTCTACTCGGTTCCTCTGTACTGGCAAGGGGACAAAGTAAGCGCGCAGCAACAAATGGACTCTGCCATTAGCATTGCTCGCCAATTGAGAATGTTTCAAAAAGAATTCGCGACGGAGAATGGGCTCGGTGAACCTGTTCTGGAAGAAAGCTGGAGAAGGACATGGTGGCAGCTGTACGTCGTAGATGGCTTCTACGCCGGGACAACGAAAACAACGCCATTCGAGACCAAGGACATTGAGGCCACGGTAGAGTTACCTTGCCAGGAAAGCGAGTACGAGTCTGGTGTATGTTTTCCATGCTGCCCACGCATCCCCTACGGGATTTAGACTGACAAAATCATTGCGCCACCTAGATAATTCCTCCGTCAAAGACCCTAGAAGATTTTGACTCGAGGGAGTTTGCCTTTGAAAAACACGATTACTCTTCGTTTGCCTATCTCATCGGCTCCGTGCGCTGCGCAGCACTTGCTTCCGATGTTGTGACGAAAGGCCTTTCAGGCAACTCGGGCCCGGTTATCGTTGACTCTGCCGACTCGATCATTGAAGGATACCTGCTATTGCTGCCAGAAGAACGCAAGCAGGTCATATCCAAAAGTGGAGAAATGGACGAGCTCATGTTTCAAGCCATCATGGCCATCAACGCGTACGTCCGATCCGGTGCTTTGCATGCAGAAGTAGCTAACAGGGGCGTTTAGGGCTATTATCGGGCTTCACCGGCCGTTTTCAGATCTACGTTTCAACCCGGTCGAATCAGTATCAAGTTGTTCGACGGACCCCCCAAGCAATTCATCAAGCTCCGAGTTAGTGAACATCCACACGGTACGGAGTCTTCAAGCCATCCAGTCGCAGGTCCGTCTCCTTGCCTTGCCTGTGCGGCCGTTTTGCCACACCCCCTTCGTTACTTGCATGATGTCCGTAGGGACATTGGGCCTACTGTCCGCATGCAAATTTCTCTACAAAGGCCAAGAACTGGCAGTCGCGCGAGATCGGATCCGCATGGCCATTGGATGTCTCAGAGCAATTGGTGATATTTGGCCGCAGACAGCAAGGAATCTGCAGGAAATACAAACAATAGCTCGGGATGTCTTAGGGATAGGTCCGAAGACAATACCGGGAGTGCAGCATCCCGGAAAGGAGAAGTCTCCGAGTATCAATGAGGGAATGCCAGATCCGACCAAACCACTCGCTGATCTCACAAGCGGGTTCACTCCCTGGGACACGTTGGAAGAATTAGAACCAGACATGTGTTTGTGGTTCAATTTGGGTATGACCGACAGATAGAGACGGCGTTGAAGAATATCCGTAGCAACAAATATTGCCCAAGATTAGGCGAACGCAAAAAAAGTCATCAGGTGAGCGTTACACTCACCTACAATGATCTGATTAAAAAATATGGCAAAAGGAAATAATACCTTGCCCCGTACTGGAATCGAACCAGTGATCTTATCATTACTAGTGATACGCTTTACCACTGAGCCAACGGGGCTTCTTAGGTGGAAAAACCGGTTCCAATTTAGTGCCAAGACACTGTAGGACCTTCTCCATTCTGCAAAGGGTTTCCATTACCCTAAACCCCGCTATACAATTTATACTATTTCACCTTATTGTGTTAAATTCGGCATTTTACAGCTCTGAAAAAAGTTCTTTTAAGTCTTTTTGTTATCTGAGTGTCTAGCTTTTTTTTCTAGGGCTTACTTAGTCATGGAACCATGGATCAGTCTCTTGATAAAGGGATAGTTGATTAATTCACGCTCGCAACTTCGGTTGACAAAGCAATCAGACACATCAAGCACCCCATTATGAGAAACCAATCCAGATACACACAATTTTCATGTTCCATCAGCCCCCCCCATATGCTACAAACAATTGTATCTCGTATTGGATATATTGCGATAAATTCTAGCCATTGCCCCAACAAATCCCAGCCCCAAGCGGGCGCCTTTGAGGCACCAATTTACAGCGATGATACTAATGAAATGCCGAAATATTAAGACAAAGATGATAGACACATAACCTAACTTATGCAGGTAATATTAGATTGAGCGCCAAAGATCAGTGCGATTGGTGGGTTAGCCGTAATAGTGGCATCATGGACAAACCTCACCGACAGTCAGTAGTCGCCTGTATGTCTCACCTATTACGAAGGTGGCTGCCGAACAGGGCCCAGAACGATTCATTTTCATGCATATCCTGCATTTGTCGCACATTCCAAAGGTTTATTCCGCCTATCAGATTGAGATGCCCAACACCTGCGCAATTTCTTTGCTCTTTTGTGTCTTATGTCACTCGATTTACAGCCCACCCGCCTCTATCCACTGCTGTTAAGGAAAAGACCTAGCCGCTGAGGGATAACATTCTAGCACTCGCTCTTCACCGCCTTGAATCGTCCTTTTCGTCATGTGCGGGCTGAATGTCAGAAAAATTCACCAGGTTATTTAAGAGAGCCAGACAAAGGAGTCACTACGTAGGTAGCAATACGCAGTATCTGGATCCGTGGTCCAGCTGTACATACTTTATCTCCTTTTGTATCAATTTGTTTAGTCATTTTTACGAGTTTTACTTTAAATATGAGAGTGCTGGCTGCAACACAATACATGCAGGTTAATGCAATGTCGCCTAAAGATGTTAGACACGGCTCACCACGTTACAACGGTTTTGGGAGATCCTTTTGCTTGCTCGTATTTGCTCCCTCATTTTCGTAGATAAAGCGAGTATATAAAGTCACTGAAGGCTCATACACCAACACCGCGGTTTGGTCCTGTCAAGCACCTCAAATCAAGGCAATGGAGAACCAACCGCCACTCCCTGCCAACGTGGCGCCGATTACAGCCCCGGATATCCTGTCCCCTGAGCAATGGGAGGTCCTGCTATCAATCTGTGATACTATTATCCCATCAATTGGATATGATGATCGTGGCCCTTCCCACGGCTCGTCGCCTGATGCCGGCGATGACGACAAGGCATCCTTAATCAAAGCCTACTATCACGAGAGCGCTTCCGAAATCCCAGAGCTACGAGGTCTGCTGAAAAGACTTTTCAACATTGTCCTCAATCCCACCGAGAGGGCCGAAATTTCTCGGATGCTTACTCTCCTGAGGTTTGTTCTCCCCCACCGCTTTCTCACTTGAGGAGTAGTGGCACTCATATCCATGCCTGTAGCTACTCTGCCGCCTCGATCCTACTTACCGGCCGAGTTACAGTATTCGCCAAACAACCACTGTCTACCCGACAAGAGATCTTGGAGGGCTGGGCACACTCCATCCTACCCCAACTCCGACTTTTCCAGCGAACTATGGCGTTGGTCACCAAGAATCTGTGGGCTCGAACCAGCCCCAACCTCCGTCCGCTTATCGGACTGCCACGGGTTCCTATTGATGGCAAGGTCGGAGAAGGGTTCGATTTCAACTTCATACAGATACCGCCTGGCCCCGAACCAGAGGTAATAGAGACAGACGTAGTCATCGTCGGCAGCGGCTGTGGCGGCGGAGTCTGCGCAAAGGAGCTCGCAGAAGCTGGGTTCAATGTGATAGTGGTTGAAAAAGGCCACTACTGGCCTCCCAATTATCTGCCCATGGACGACATCCAAGGCCCATGCCAGCTTTACATGAACGAGGGCCAGGTTACTTGTTCGTGAATCCCCCTGTTGCTTCCAACATGTGATGCCACTCAAGTTGAATTGCTAACCCATTCGCCAGCGGATGATGGATCAGTCGTCGCTCTGGCCGGCTCGACCTGGGGAGGGGGCGGCGCCATCAACTGGAGTGCCTCGTGGCCGGTTCAACGTTATGTCCGGCAGCAATGGGCTAGCACGGGCTTGCCTCTTTTCACCTCTGAAGAATTTCAAGAATCCGTGGATCGAGTGTGTGCCACAATGGGCGTCTCTACCACTCACATCAAGCATAACAAACCGAACCTCAAGCTCATGGAGGGATGTAAGACCCTCGGCTGGGAGCATTCTGCTATAGGACAGAACACTGGTGGCCATGAGCATAGCTGTGGTCATTGTCATTTTGGCTGCCGTTCTGCTGAGAAGCAGGGTCCCGGAGTCGCATGGCTGCCCAAAGCTGCAGAGGCCGGAGCTCGGTTTATCGAAGGTCTGATGGTGAACAACGTCGAGTTGGACGATGTTGAAGGACAGAAAGTGGCCAAGGGGGTACGCGGAGTCTGGACCTCTCGTGACGAGCATGGGGGTGTAGCGGACAAGCCAACTACAACACGAGAGGTGTTCATCAAAGCGAAAAGAGTCATTGTCTCGTGTGGTAGTCTGCAATCACCACTCCTCTTGATGAGGTCGGGTCTCACCAACCCACAGATTGGTAGGAACCTGTACTTGCACCCTGTCACTCTGGTCGGCGGCATCTATGAAGAAGAGATAAAGCCGTGGGAGGGCTCGATTCTCACCACCGCATGTACTGAGTTCGAAGACCTAGATGGTGAGGGCCACGGTGTCAAAGTGGAAGTTATGAATACCTTACCCAACACATGGTTGACCTGGTCTCCCTGGGAGAATGGCCAGCAGTTCAAGAAGCTGGCTTCACAAATGGACCACACCGCCGGCTTTGTTATTGTTCACAGAGACAAGGTTACGGGCAGAGTCTACCCTGATCCAGAGGATGGCCGTTGCCGCATAGAGTATAGTCCCTGGCCATCCGACAGGCAAATGATACTGCAGGGAATCATGCGCACGGCACAGCTTTGCTATGAGACAGGAGCACGGGAGATATTCACCATTGTTCCCGGATTCAAACCCTTCGTTCGGACAAGCGATACAACCAAAGCTCAATTCGACGATTGGGCTCGCGGTATCCTCTCGCACGGATTACCAACTCCCCAGTCCTACTTTGGGTCTGCCCATCAAATGGGTACATGCCGAATGTCTGCTTCTCCGGATAAAGGGGTGGTCGGACCTCAGGGCCAGGTTTGGGGGACTCATGGTCTGTATGTTGCGGATGCCAGCGTCTTTCCCACTGCCAGTGGAGTCAATCCTTCTGTGACCACATATGCAATAGCAGACTATATTTCCAGGTCAATCGTAACTGAAAGAAACCAGCCCGCCGATGAGAAATAGTGTACTGCTGGATGGTTTGGTTAGGATATTGGATGTTCCTGGTGGGACTTTTCTACATGTACTTGATGCATGAGCGGGAATTACTTGGGAAGTTGCACGTGGACCAAAGAAGGAAAATTATCATTCATATTCAATTGCCTAGCCTAACAACAAGTCTATCATGTCGGGCTTTTGCAGTTCCCATGCTGACTTCAGAACTCTCCCGACTCCTTTTCTGTAGGCAGTGAGTCCATTTCTTTCAACCCAAAGGACGTTCGTAGCCGATTCACCGTTGATCAAGGACTCAGAAACCGCTACAAGTTCAAGAGTAGAACCATCAGCCGGAGAAGTGGGCATTGGAGCGCAAGGAGTGACAGCCCAACTCCGTCATCAACTACCCCTTTCAGGTATATAACTGGAGCGGAATCCATATCCATAGTTGAAAAAATAGCACGCTGCACGCGTGCATAGAGAAGATGAGGTATCCAATCTTCCTCCACGACTGGGGGATTTAGCAGAGTTGCGCCCCCTTGGCTCTGTTGGCTTATGATAGGTTCCCAAGTGGTGGTGTTGTTTTCTCTGTACCACCAAGCTGCGAGTGGGTGAATATCATTCTCTGGAAACTCTATAGACCCAGACCACGCTGCCCAACTCCAAGTTGGAGGCATCACCGTGCCAGAAGTCGGATGGACAGGCTTCCTCAGCTCCACGGGGATTTGATTGTACCAGAGAAGGGCGGCATCAAAAAACACTCGCGGCAGCCCACATATGAATCCACCAGCGAATATTCCAGTCAATGCTCCAAGGATTCCAGCGAAAGCGTCCAATGCATCCTCGGGGTATGTTAGCACACGCCGGTTATATTCGGTAACATGTTTCGAATATTCTTTCATGTTCGCTTTCGCACTAAAAGAAAGACCGGGAACAACCTGACGTTTCTTCTTGCACTGCCCCTGAACTACCTCCAGGCCTTCAAACCAAACGGCACAGTGGCATTCCCAAGTGATGCGGGCCTCGCTCAAGACAAGCAATCTCCGTGAGAAAATCTGCTCTTGAAACGTCCATGCCCTCCGGTTCCACATAGACCTTGAGATGTATCCATGAGCAGCTTTTACCTCTTCAGCGGCGGCCTTCGGGGCTACTAAATATAAGGGGGTTTTATTAGGCCTCTCCATTGGCGGTGTGATATTCTCGATACCATGCAGGCCGGTATAGGAGTTGCCTCCCGCCGCCACGATAGTGACATATGCGTTTGCGTAGATGGATCCCATATGGCTCAACTCCTCTGACTTTTCATTTCCATCGTCTTGGATGATACAGAGCGAGTCTATCCACAGATATCGCTCACCAAGTCTTCTAACAAGTTCGAGGACGTGTTGAATTGTTGGAGGTAATGACTCTGCTACTATGCGGTCTGAAATCCCGGTGGCGTGCCTGAGAATGTTTTTGGGATTCAGAGATGTATTCTTTGCTTCGTCCTTGACATCGCGGGAGTCTCCAATAAGTAGCAAATCTAGGTTGTGTTTCAAAGACTTCAGGGAACTACCAGTCCCCCAAACGTAGCTTAGAGCAACATATCGATGGTGAGGTTCGGCTGGTATGATGCACATGTGCTCCAAATCGACCAAGCGTTTCGGACGATGAGAAAAGATCTTTTCACTTGCAGCCTGGGGCCCACAATGGTCGGCATGTTGTGCATCACACTGATCAATCCATTGGCGAAGCTCAGTGGGTTGTATCCAGTCTGGTAGATGACGATTTACGAGCAAGGTGTTCCGTATGTGCTCTATCTGGTCCCTCCATGGCCCATGTTGAATTCCCCAGGTGTCAATGTACAGCATGGGGGGAGCGCCGGGAGGAGTGTGAGCGTTTCTACAGGGGCCGAATATAGATAAAACATCAGAGAGCCACTCAACAATACGATTCGAATCTTGAACTCACCCGCTAAGCCTTCTCTCTTTTCTTATCTCCCCATACAAACACTTGTCTGCATTGTACATGATATCCTTCATATCCTCATGACTGAGATGGTATCCCGATGAACCCTTTTCATCCGTTGTGTTGAGGGGCCGCGTGGGTATTGATTGCAGCTTGTTCTCGAGATCAATGAGAAAGGGCTTTACACTTGGGCTATAACTCGGATAAGTCCCCATGATACTGCACCTTCTACCGATCTCAGCCATCAATGCCTCGAGAACCCTGGCATATTGCTTCTCCGCAGGCGTCGTGCGTCGCAAGGCTTCGCATAATCCAAGCACGCGAGCATGCAGCTTGGTCAGAGCGCGGTGCTCGTCCCCCATCTCCCAGCCATCAGAAGAGGACATCAGAAAGATTAAGACAGCGCCCCTTAGTCTAGAATTGTGACTAAAGGGCCCTTCGTGTCCGTAGCGGTGCTTGTGTAGATGCGCGAATCCCCGCCGTAGGAGGCTGATCTGGGGTGCGGGACTTTTCTCCCGGCTTGTGGGTCATATTTCACTGCTTATTCAAAACAAGCAAGCGTAAAGATTGAGTATTCTCACGATTGGGATACGATTTATACGAGATTCGGCAGCATCATGCTCTAACCCGATTGTTGGGCCTTGAGATGACCAGGTTGCTCTATGAATGATTTGACATGACTTTTGGTGATTATCAAATCAAGTAAATGCGCAAGATCGAAGCAGTATCTAACCTTTCGTTTTCCTTCAATATACTATAGAACAGTAATACAGAGAGCAACGGAGGACGCCAAGTTGAATCCAGAGCCTCTGTCCTCTCCAGGGTCACTGGTCATTTTTAGTCTGTTTATGGGATTGTCGATGAGCAGTTGTTCCGATCATCAAACGCCGACCTCCTCCTTTCCGAGGCCTGAGGCATATCTACACTTCAGACACGCCACTACATGCATGAGTATGTACTCTGTGGCCCTGCTGAATGAGAAATAGATTGGCCAAGTACGAGTTCCAGGATACTGGCCGTGATTGGGCTTAAAACCTGGTCAACGAGGCCCGGTTTTTACGCCTTAAGCATAATTCCACCGCGTGGTTATCTTTTCCTCATTCAAAGACATTCAAAGAGGTTGAACATGGATCAAACTGATTTCACGCAAATTTGGGGACAAAATGCAAGCAGGAGCAAAAGCAAACATCGGAAGACGTGCCGGGGCCATCGTGAGTGGAAGCTCGTCTGACAAACGAGCGCGCGGGTATATCTCATATCGGAAAGACGGATGTGATGGATCAATAATTGCTCCTTCTGTCGGGCTAGGGCCGGTCCTAGCTGCCCATGGGAAGGTTTTCTTGGCTCGCTATTGGGACGACCACGCGATGCATATCATGCCATGGGGTTCTTGAGAATCTAGAGCCCAATAATGCATGAGACTGGGCTCTTGCGTGCTCGTCAACGGTGAGGCGTTTTCACGCGCTCGGCAGTGGCGTTCCGGAGTCCCTGCAGTTTTCCTGTTACATGACGCATGTCAGATCCATTTCTGATGGATACTGCATGTCATTGTTTTCCGTGCGAGTTGAAATGGTTCATCTCCTGCCTGGGGTCTGAATCTATCGTCCGCTTCTTACCCCACGGGCTAACTCTATGGTCGTTGCTTGATAGCAATCCAGGGCAAATTGAAAACTGAAAATAATCTCAATATCTTCAGGACAAAAGACCGAGTTATCTGAAGTTACCAAAGGTACATTTGTCATGTTGGGTGGTGGATACGGCTGGATCTCCATCGTGCGTTTGAGCTATGTTAGTCCGCGAGCACGCAAGACCCGACAACGATCTCACCATCGGTTATACTACTTCAGCTAAACCCGGACTGCAGCGACAGACCATCTTACTCCGGGGAATGAACCATGCTACCTTTAACAAAATATGGGCTATCTGCTCGATTAATGGGTCAAACAGACATAGATACGCTGATTTGTGAGGCGGCTGCACCTGACGTGATAGCTATGGCCGATGAGCGCATTTGCCAGGGACAGGACGAAGACGTTGCAGCCCGAGCAAAGCCCGCATGATCCCTCCTGGGATAAATATATTCGTGCACCATCCCACTGTAAGCAAGCAGATTGGTACGTGCCACACGCCACAAACCAGCACTATGGCCAGTCCTCCAGAGACAAAAGTGAAAACGGCTGAGGCCAATCGCGAGGTTTCGGATACCGAGGCAAGCTCTGGCTACGAAGAGGAGATTCATACCGAACCCATCAAAACATGGAAAGGTCAAATCTGGGATACTCTAGAGCTTCCGCCCGCTCAACGGAAACTGATGGGTAAGGTCGATGCAGTCGTTTTGACCTTTGCCTCTCTCGGTTATTTCCTCAAGTATCTTGATCAGAACAACATCAACAATGCATTCCTCAGTGGTATGAAGGAAGAGTTGAATATGTATGGCAATGAGCTTGTCACAAGTAAGTATCTCTAGAACCCAAATTTCTAACTCAGGAATGGGTTTTAACAACCGGGGCAACAGGCACATCAATTTGGACTGTCGGATATGTCATTGGTCAAATTCCCATCAACCTGCTTCTGACTCGAGTCTCTCCTCGCTGGGTTATTCCATCGCTTGAAGTAGGCTGGGGTATCGCAACTTTCGCCACATCGTCGGTGAAATCTTACCAGGCACTCTACGCACTGAGATTTCTAGTCGGCTTTTTCGAGTACGATAAGACCACCTCCTCTTGTCTCGATCAGCCACTGACCCCATGTGTAGATCAGGCTTCTACCCAGGCATGCACTACTTGCTCGGCTCTTGGTACACGCCCCGTGAGATTGGCAAGCGAGGCATGATTTTTTGGCTCTTTGGCACCGTTGGCACAATGTTTAGCGGCTTTTTACAGTCTGCCGCCTATACCAATCTCAACGGTGTTGCAGGGCGATCCGGATGTAAGTAAAACAAGTGACACATGCACATCGTGGTCCTGCAATGTTAACGTCTTTCTTTTCTCATTAGGGCGATGGCTTTTCATCATCGACGGAATCATCACAATTCCAATCGCCGTTGCTGGCTGGATATTCTTCCCCAACCTTCCTCAAGACAACAAGAAGACGTGGTGGTTAACCGACTCGGAACAAGTTCTTGCGAAGAGAAGGATGGCGTCCGTTGGTCGAGCGGGAAGGCAGCCCTGGTCAAAAGCAAAGGTTCTTCGCATCGCCAAAAGCTGGCATACGTGGACTCTACCATTTGTATACGTTATTTGGAACAACGCTGGCTTGCAGCCCCCGATGGGATACTGGCTGAAGAGCTTCAATGCTAACCCTCCTCCTGTACCCGGAACTTCCTTCACAGTCCCCGAGATCAACAATTGTAAGGAGTTCTCCATCCATCCCGCTCTTGTTGCGCTATACTAACCACTTATCAGTACCTCTCCCAACAAATGGTATCTTCATTGTCATGGCATTGATCTGGGCTTGGCTCTCAGACGGGCCTTTCAAAGGACGTCGCTGGCCCTTCATCTACGCTGGTGCAGTGATCGCGGTAAGACTCTAGAAATACTTGGAAAGCTCCTTGTGCTAACGACTACAGTTCGTTCTAAATATTACCCTATTGGAGACGCCATTATATTCCAACATCAAAGGCCGCATGGTATTGTATTGGCTTAGCAATATTGGCGTAAGTGACAAATAGTAATAAATGGCATCCTTTCTGATCTGACATATTTCCATAGAATGGAGCCGGACCCCTCATCCTTGGTTGGATCAACGAAATCTGTTCTGCCGATACTGAGAAGAGAGCCCTGCTAGTCGCTGCGGCCAATGATCTTGCTTATGTCGTCCAAGCTGTGGTAAGTATTGTCACTCGGCTAAAGACACATCTTCATCGTGAAGCATCCACCATTAACGCAATGAACAGGCTCCCAACTTTGTCTGGAAGACAACAGACTTTCCTCTAGCCAGGAAAGGCTTCATCTGGTCTACCGTTCTCCAGGTTCTACTGGGTAAGTTTGAGTGGGATTCCCTAATACTCTTCGTTATGCTGATATGGGGTATAGTTCTGATTACGGCACTCGTCCAAATTCTTCTGTGGCGTGACCGGCGCAAGCAAAACCAACTCCCTGTTGTCGCTCCCGAGTCGGACCCCGATCTAGCAGTCCAGGAGGCTTCAGATGATTCGAAGAAGGTTGCTGTAGAGCGAACAAAAGCGGTAGATATAGCTTAATGGCCATTTAAGCATTGCACTTCTCAGGCGCAAAGACAGACGTCGCTACAGAACTCATAATTAGCTACTCTGCACTCAAGAGACAGAAGTTCCCATAGATACAACAAGCTTCTTAAATACCATCAATACTCAATGAGATGCTATAGTAGAAAAAGAAGGTTCTACCTGCCATAGATGGGATGACGCTCGTCCCGGACTTATATGGCCTTAAGCCCGCGTCTCATACCCAAAACTCCGAACTCCGGAACCAGCCAGTCGCCGACCTCGTGCATATCGAGCCCTTATTATGAGCGTGAAACTGTCCGTTTCCTTGATGTCGTATTTATTGAAGTTGAGCCTGCCACGATACCCGGACTTCCGAGATTTGCCAAATTAAGACCTCCGACATGGCTTCCCAAGACGCTTCGAGGAAGTGCTCACGATGTTTCCAGACATTTTCTCAAAGCGAGTAGCACTAAATGGAGTATTGATAGGTACTAACCAGTAACTCACTCAGAATCGTCGCTGGTAAGACACAGGAAGCGGTGCCTGCGGAATATCAAAGCCCCATCGAGACAGAAGGCCTGTAGGCAATGTGCGCACACCAAATCGAAGTGTGACCTACAGCGCCCACATTGTGGGAGATGCCAAACCCGATCTCTCAAATGCGGGTTTCAGTTGGATGATGGCACATACTTACAATCCAAGGAGCAGGCCCCAGAACCTGCACAGCCAAGGGCCAGCTTTAGGCGTACATCCCAAGATGATTCCAGAGAAACGATAACTGCATCTCCGTATGGAGCTTCGCTTGGTGAAAGTCGATCTCTTCCGTCTTCAACTATCCACTCAGAACAAAGCCAACCATCGCCAGCGAGCAGGGTCCATCCGCATGAAAGGATAGCGCCGGAGTTGGTAATAGAAAGACTGCGCAATCAAGCAAGACTGGGGAACTCAACAAGCACTGCAAGCACCGGCCCGGCTGCCCGGCACATCATGTCCTTTGTAATCAGAGTCCTCCAATCGTGGCCCCGTATGATGGCAGGCCCTGTCGTTGCGCGGTTTCCCCCCATCATTCATCATCTGCAGGTCGCGCAGGGTCTGCCGCTTCCACTGGCTCAGTGCAGCACTCTACTGAAAGCGTGGATGGCATCTGATGGCAGTGGTAGAGCCCTAGTGCATGATCTTATCAAGCTGGAGGTGACAAGATTACTACAGCAGGTTTGTTAAGCATTCAGGTCATCGCGCATACAAGCTGACGTTGTTCCCAGTATCAATCTTACACCGGGACTAATCTCCTTGCTGCAACACAATCACTTCTCCTTCTCGCGATAATTTTGTTATTTGGAAGCAACAAGACCCCAGCAGTATCACCTTCAGAGGGTGCACAAATTCTCGTCGAGATGTGGGATGTTAAACATCGGCTTGCCAACACTGGGATGTTTCTTAAAGAAGAGATAGATCATGTTTTGCCTACGTGGGAAGACTGGGCCATCGTATCCGCCAAACGACGGACAATTCTTGCTCTACATCACATTGAATGGGTATGGTCACTGCTCCAAGGATATCCCATTCTGACCTGCTTTGAGCTGGCTCCATTGCCGGCCCCAAGCGCAGGATACCTCTGGTCAGAGATAGATGAGGCATGTTGGAATCGCCAATATGTCGATTGGCTAGCTCATTGAAAAGACGGTGGTTATAAAATGGGTGAGCTATTCAACATCGAGCATAGAGAAAGCCTGGATGCTCGAAGCGAGATGTGGCTCGCCGAAGTAGATGAGTTTGGAATGTTGCTCATGTCTGAAAGTAAGCTACCTTGCCTCAATTCCCATCTTCCTTCTAATGCTCACCAATTTTGGCAGTCAATGCAGTCAGTTGTATAGAGTAGACGAATCATCGAAAAAGCAGCGATCCCCCAACGTCAGGAAGTTTATTTTTCTCATCTTGGTGACTTTACGCTTCTACCAATCGGAGATCCATGCTGTACCTAATTATAGCACTGGTCGGAGTTTTGTTGAATGGCCACTTTTTGCTCTGGGTACTCGGAGTTCCGAGTACAGCTCAAGAAGCTATCTACTATTCAACACTTTGGCTTGATGTCAACTGAAGTCACGGATATACTTGTTTATGTCCGTTTGAGTTTGAATTTACCATATCTCCGTCTTGATAGCTATATTAGAAAATATTCAAGATGCGAATGAGAAAAATATAAAGGCTTTCCAGAAAGTTGTTCACTAACATCTTCATCTCTACTTGTAAACTACAACCCCATCATTCCATCTAACAGAAATCATGTCGCAACCACACCCTCTATTTAACCGTCTTAGTCAAGATGCTCCTCAAATTCCTCGTCTTGGGCTTGGACTGATGGGCATGAGCTTGATGTATGGCCCCACGGCCAGTGACAGTGAACGATTTGCTGTGCTCGACCGTGCCCTTGAGCTGGGCGCCAATCATTGGGACTCGGCCGAGTATGTATCTCCCATGACGGTATACATTCTGCCAGTAACGTACTAATATAAGATAGTATGTACAATGACAACGAGGAGCTAATAGGGAAATGGTTCAAGCGAACAGGCAAGCGAGACCAGATCTTCCTTGCGACCAAGTTTGGAATTGTGAAGAATGTCCCGGATTATTCCAAGGTGGACAGCTCGGCAGCATATTGCAGGAAGGCATGCGAGGAGAGTCTGAGAATACTCGGTACCGACTACATCGACCTCTACTACATGCACCGCGCAAACCCTGAGACACCTATTGAAGAAACTGTGCGGGCCATGGCAGAGTTGAAAGGGTATGTGAGGAAGAATAAATACATTGAAACAGATATCCGCTGACAGTATCGTAGTGAAGGAAAAATAAAGCATATTGGCCTCTCTGAAATAACAGCAAGCACGCTTCGCCGGGCCTGCAAGGTTGCGCAGATAGACGCTATCCAGGTCGAATACTCGGCTTTTGTTCTTGATATCGAGAACACGGGCGGCATTTTGGAGACAGCACGCGAGTTGGGGGTTACCGTGGTCGCCTACTCCCCCCTGGGGCGTGGGATCCTCACCGGAAATCTTTCTCAAGATGCCATCTCCAGCGAGGGGGATTTCCGCCCCATGTTCCCCATGTATGCTGAAGAAAATCTTAAGAAGAATCAAGTCCTCTTAGACCAGCTGGGAGCCCTCGCAGGGAAGAAGGGATGCACGACTGCGCAATTGGCCATTGCCTGGCTTTTGAAGCAGGGAGACGATATTGTTCCAATCCCCGGTACCAAGAGGATCAAATATTTGGAGGAGAATTTTGGAGCTCTTCGCGTGCAGCTGAGCGATGCTGAGGAATCGGAGATTAGGAAGATCATCAACAATGTTGCTGGAGGGCGAGCACCTGATTGGGCAATGGGAGCACTTGAAGCTGATACTAGAGAGGAGTAAGGCAAAGCGAACATCTTTTATGCTACTGAGAGCTTCCATCAGCCATTGATGCGGAGCAAACGCATCTCATAGGTAGACTGGACGTTGGATTTTCAGTCGCGGCAACTGTCTGCTTTCTTGCTTACCACTCAGCCTCATATTGCCTGCACCCCTCCCATTGGTCAGCCTTTCTGGTTTGCATACTTGCCTGACGGGAGCGGAAGTTCAAGTTGTTGAAACTACAAATAAACCAATATAACCAACATGAAAGATCTTTGCAAACAGAGAGTTCCCGATACATATATTGCTTTACTCTTTGAAGACCATGATACCTTTGGCATACAAGCCCACGATGATCCCTACGTTCCGCTGCGAGTCCCTCAGGAATGTCGAGCTAGTAGGGTAGTCGGTTCCAGCGTAAATGTGTTTCACGCCCTCAGCCTCGCTCCACTCGGATACCCAAGAAGTGGCGGACGCGTTCCGACAATATTCTTGAACCTCTGATGGTGCTTCTGCCAGCTTCTCCGGGAAGTTGCAGATGTGACGGCTCTCGGTAAACTTGGCCACGGTTGGTAGATGCGCATGCCCAGCGATTAAAAGTTTGTCGCCAGACGCAGCCAAATTATCAGGGAAGTACGGGAGGTCGACCTTCGAACGGTACTCGAGGTTCTGGTAATCATGCACAGTATAAAATAATATAGTCGCCCTGCTTGATGACACCACTGCCAACGTAGTATCATTGAGGAGATGTATGCCGTTGGGAAACGGCACGCGGGCCACCACTTTGGTCTTCACTTGGCCGTCTTGCAGATTGACGTAGACAACGGGCCCTGTAGGGAGACCGAGATATGTTTCGATCTTGGCCAACGGCCTGAAGTATCTTACAAGAAAGTAATGATCGTTGCTTACGAGAAGCTCCTCGGCATTGAGAGCGAGGATCGCATTCGGTCCAATCAGGTCTGGGTGCTTGATCGACCGAACGTGAGTAGCCACGAGGCGTTCGATGTCGAGCTTGAACTGCTCGATTTGAGAGCCTGTCCGGGCATGATTGGTGACAAAAAGGTTGGAAGACTCCTTGTCGAAGCCAAAGCCCACGGTGTGAAAGTCGAGATTGGCAGGGAAGCCGACGAGCTCAATCTTCTTTAGCCGGTCGGCGTCGAGAAGACCGCTGGTCGCGTAATTGTACACAAAAAGTTCACCTTGGGCGATTGAAGGTGAATGGAAGACACCCTGGCGATCAATTCGTTAACTGGCGCGCCTTTTACCCTGGTCTGGTCAATGCTTGCTTACCATCACCGTGTTCCAATTGTCGCGTCCAGCGTCGCAGGCCAAGATGGCGAGCCCTTTGTCCTCGAGGAGGAAGGCATCCTCGCAGTTTCTGATGCGATCCTGGAATTTAATATCATAGCTTCCGGTCGCATTGATCCGGGCCATCCGGTTGGGGTGATTGACGTAGAATGTCTTGACGACGTTCGCGCGCTCATACACAAAAGCGCACAAGGCAGCGAATGCCAGGGCGAACTAATCCATCAGTTCTTAGCCTCGACATTGAAGTATTATCTAGGGGATTGAAGCACTTACGAAGGCCGTACGTAGAGCCATGGCAGCGTGTGAGTATGGCAGAGAGGGGATTACTGAACAGCAAAACCGGCCAGCCTTGAGGGTGGCAAGACACGAGACGCGCCGCCTCTTGTTGTTTTACATATATGGATCTTCAGTTTCCCGCCAGCCAGCGGCCAGTGACCCCTATCAAAGTTTGGGCGTGCATAACCCCCGGCCCCCGAATCCTCAACTGTCTCACATCACCACTGGAACTGTTGGGTCTGAACGTCGCACTGCTCCTCACAGCTCAGCCTAAGACGGGCACCAAAGTCGGCATGCAGGTTTTGTTGAGTTTTCTCGGCAGCGACGATCGCTGCTATTTTGGTCCCCAAATTCATGCTCGCCGGGGAGTTTATCTTTCCGACCTAATCCCCACCATGTGGTATATCGGATCTAAATGAGACTGACCATCATTCCCTTCTGGCCGACCAACAAGCTCCCGTAGATCATAGAATCCCGTTGGATGAACCAATTCTCAATCTACGTCTGGCTATTCTAGAGTGGTACAAAGTGTGACATTGAAATTATCAAAGCTACCAGTTACGGACTTCAAGAAATAGAAGCTTTAAGGAAGGAAGGCAAGGTACCCTCAACTCAGGAGCTCGGAACATGCATGTGCCAGACGTGGCTACATTCTAAGTACAATTTATCATAGTTTCCGATCAAGTTTTCCGTTTACTCATTCGGGTCAAAAGCGGAATGTCTAGAAACTGCCAGTATTTATACTTTAATTCTGGCTAGGAGAAGCTGGGAAATTTCGAAGAGGACAAAATACGAGGTGTCGAAGGTTTATACTAACCGCAAATAAATAGTGAGTATGGGATTTCAGAATTACCCCTTCTCGCCTTGGCAACCAGGCGCTCCGTTCAAAAAACTCCGTGCGCATCATCTTGACTATATAGAGGCAAAGCTCTTCTCAAATACTTGACTTATTCAACACAAAAGACAAAAAAAAGCTCATCGCACCTCTTTACACGGTCATCCACTTAGCAACTTCTCGGATGTGTTCAATGTCTTCATCGGAGTGAGATTAACTGATGTCCTAACCATCATCTACGATAGAATATAGCAGCTACTTTGGTGATATATAGTTCTTTGAAATTTCAAAAGTCGCTGTTACGTATCCTATTCAAGCCTATTAGCGGTGATTAAGCGGGTCAAATATCCTCGAAGCCTACACGCAGTCCTGACTTCCGCCCATATTAAGAGAATGAGTTTTATGTAACAGCAGGAACCGGCTAGACGTCTAGTTTTGACCAAATGCCAATGCCTTTTCCATGGCATTGTAAAGTACTCTTGACGCCTGAATGCTTATCTCTCGTCTCCTACGGCCAGACGCCTTCCCCTACAGCTTCGTCTTCCTCCACTACACTATCACCTGAATCTCTATGAATCCTATAGAGAAGGGGAAAGAAAATCTCCAAATACGTTGAAAACCCTCTTCGCACGGATGCGATGTCGCCTTTTTTGCACCGGGATCACGATCTGCTTATGCGGCATCTGTGTCGTGATCAGGAGTATGGGGAAGCGGGTCCGCGAATGACGACTGGTGGATTGGTCAATTAGAGAGCAACGCCCATGGGACCAAATTTTCTCACTGCTGTTGGAAAACCAGGATCTAGGGAGCATTTAACAATTTGTTACGTTTAGGATCTCTAATTTGTCCAATTGGGTGCCCAAAATTAGGCATTGCGGTGGGACAGCTAGTTGAGAAATAACGAGAAGCCTTCAACAGCTCTTGGCATGAGCCCAGATATTGCTATGATCCCTGATCTGTAGGGAAACATATATAAAGACCAAAAGCCATGAAAATAATTAGAGAAATTTCTCAACGCTACCAAAATTCTGTCATTCTCGGCAGCCATTGACAGATCCAAAGAGTTGTCTCCTCAATGCCTAAACCTTCCCTTGATACATCCATGGAAGCTGAGAGGCTCATTCCCTACACCGTAATTCTCCGAGCTCCTCTTCCCCCTGAAATTCATTAACATTTCCGGACGGGTACTGGAAGTGGGAGAATCTTCCAAGATGCACGTGTATATCCAGGCAGCCTCGCCGTGGCTGAACGAGCACCTGAAAACCTTCATCAGCAGACATGTGAAAGACGCAATCTTTTATGATGATTTCGAAGACATCCCCAAAGATGTCAGCACCGTGTTCCAATTCTGCGATGGTTGGGAGCTCAATGAAAATTTCGCCTTGGTCAATTCAGCGGAGAAGGCTCTTATCAACGCATATCCCAACAGCGACGCCTTGTCAAGGAAAAATTACTTGTCACGAGTCATTGAGTACTGGACTACCAAGAGGCCCGATAGCATTCTCGCTGCCCATTCTCCACTGACTGTGCGTCTGTCATTGGATTATGCCGAATACGTGGACGACGCATTGACCGCAGCAGACGATCTTGCTCTTCTTTACTCGCTTGAGGAAAATGAGGACAAAAATCCTGATAACCGCGAATGGTGGATCCTCAAGCCTGCGTTGGTGGATTGTGGCGCTGGTATCAGACTCTTCAGTACTGTTGATGAGCTTGCGAGTCATCTTGAACTCGCTGAGTATGAGACTGATGGAGAAGAGGAGTCCTCGGGAGAAGAGACCGAGAAATCGTCCGACGATGATAATGGATTTTCCCCATCCTTATCACTCCCGGGCCTCGACACCTTGGATGCTCTCATCACTGTGACGGGCAAACTGAAACTTGACAACGGCTCTGACACCGTCTCCCGTGGGTCCAAAGCGCAACCGTACGTTTTCAAAGCGGGCGGCCGCATCCCTTCATCTGAAATGCGAGAGTTTGTGGCTCAGCGCTACATCACGTCCATCCTACCCCTAGAAAGGAGGAAATGGCACGTCCGGGCATATGTTCTCTCCATCGGCCGCTTGAAGGTCCACGTCTTCCGAGACATGCTTGCGCTATTGGCCTCGGAAGACTATGCTCCGCCATGGCTGAACCCAAGCCTCAAGTCGTCGCTCACCAACACCGCGTTGCAAGACGAGGAGGATTTCGTGTCCAAGGAGTCGATGAGAAATTTCTGGGATATTCCTGACGATCTGCTGCCTTGTGGCAAAGAAGGAAAGAATTGGAAGGAGAACCTGTTTGAACAGATCTGCAACATTTCAGCAGATATATTCGAAGCCGCCGCCAAGACCATGTCGGATCGCTTCATCACGATGGACAGCTGTTTCGAGCTGTTTGGTGTGGATTTCTTGATTGATTCCAACGGCTCTGCTTGGTTGTTGGAGGTCAACGAAACGCCAGCTTTCTATGAGCAAGGTGTGGCAGGTCCCATGTCTTTGAGACTGATGGAGTCTCTCATTTGCGTTACTTTGGAGCATATGGGCCTCGCTCGGTTGGACGATGAGCGGCATGCAGCCGCGAGGAAGATGATGGTTGAGGTGTTGGACCAAACCAATGAGCTCGGTAAGAGCCATATTCGGGAGATAGTTCCCGAGTAGCTAATGGAGCATCTGCGATCCTAGAAAAGTACATGTGCATACCACTTGATAGATAGACGCGTCGTATAAGATCCAATCTATAGAACGGTCTAGCGTTACGGACGGGTACCGGATAGATGACAATATCACTTAGAACCTTCACGCCAACGCCCATATTCGTTCACATCTTGAAATTTATAAGAAAGAAAGAAAAAAAATATAAGCTGGAGGCAGGCTTTTTGTTTTCTTTTTCTGAAGAAGCTTGCATATGCTTATTTTAGCAACGTTCCGGCTATCCGCTGCTGCCTCGTGGTCAGCAGTAGCTGACTTAGCTACCCTATATCTCGGCGTAGTGCACACGTTGTGTATCATTAAATAGACATTGAAAGGCTTGAAAGAATGAATTAATATTGAACATCTCTTCGCCCACATAACTGTACAATAAGGTCTGCCACCAAGTGTGGCTTGTAACCAGAGATCACTTTTCCTCTCGGGATCTGCTCTTGGGCACCAATCGCAAAATGATTAAAGGTTTAGGAAAGTTTGGTCCTTCGACTATAAATAGAAACCTTCTTTAAAGTCTTACCCTTTTGAGACATGCCCCGAGTCAATCACAAACGCTTGGCGTTTCAGTAGTTTTAGATAGATCTTGGTCTTTGGAAAGGCATCACATGTTTGTCTAAGCCCGCTCACACTTACGTAGGCCTCAAAAGACGGCGCAGACAACAGTCAGCAGGGCAAATGGTACTTCCAAGACTGCTCCTAAGGGCCGAGGGTTGATCCGCGGTGGTGAGATGAGATGGTGTAGGATCAGCTGACATGGGGCGGGGTTTGAAGGAAGCCTCCTGTTGGCTGCTGGATGCATGAATTCAGGAGCATGTCAGGACTTTGGAAGGCCCACTTAAGTCTTCTTACGCCAGCTGTCCCCAAGGTAATAAAAAACCGTGGCCCGCGTCGCGTGTTGCCCAGCAATCTGGTCAAGATCACCCACCCCGGAATCCCGCCCCCCGTGCTCAACCAGTCGCCAGGATGGAGGCCCAAGAGACCCCGCGTGATGTAGAAATGTCGGACCAGCAGCAGCAGCAGCCGCCCGAGATCAAGCGGCCTGCGATCCAGCTGCAGACGCAGCAGCCAAGCCTCAACGCCGTCTCGCCCAACTTTGGCGAACGGCTATTCCGCCTCAAGACTTTGGGGCAGGAAGAGATGCGGGAGTTTAATGAGAGGCCAAATGCCGCCATTTCCATGACTCCCAAGGAGTATGAAGAGGTTGCGAAGAGCCTGAAAGCCGGCTCGGTGCAATGGAAGACAGCCGCTCGCTGGTTGTCAAGGTGGTACGTTTTGACACAGGATGAGGATCGCGCGAGGCAATTTTTCAGAGCCTGGTTCCTCCTCAAGGATCAGTTCTGGGACAAAGACCAAATGACTGTCCCCAAGGGCACATTTACCATCTCATGCGCCGAGATCGATCAGTTCCGCCCGCTCTTTGACAGCATGGCGAGAGACCTGGAGCAGGCCAGGCCTGTCAGTTTTAACCAGGGTCTTGCACAAAACAATACACGACTACAAACGCACCAAGACCAGGGCCAAAGCACACATCAGCTACTGTCAGGTCTCCTTACGCCTCAGAGTGTTAGGAGCTTCTGGAACGACCCGGCCACACCGCAGACCCCAATTGCCCGGGAGCAAGGCTGGGGTTACTCAATAGGCGAAAAGTTGGCCATCTCTACTAATAACCAAGGGCAATACGAAATGGACGACAAGACTCCGATTGCCCCTACTGGCCAGTCCGTTCCTTTCGGGCAACCGCCGAGAAGTCATTGGCAGTTCGCGCAGGATTCCATGTCTCCTGTTACGTCTGAACGCCATCCGTTCAGCTTCAGCTCTATGGACGTTCGCGCTGCTCCTCAAGTAACGCCTCAGGCGGGCCAAGAACCAAAGCCCAAGGAGGACACGAGTCGAGAGAGCGCTTGATTGACTGCAAGCTCGGAGCGAGCATGAAACGGATCTTGTTCTTCTCAACAAACCTCTGATCTGACATTTAGAGAGACATCTTGTTCACTTATGGGGCGCCTCTTTTTCATTGAGTATACGCAAGAAAGAGCCTTCCCAAGCAACGCACAGTGGGGGATCGAACTTGTTACTACTATCCATTCTTATTTTTTTTATTGGTTTCTTTAAGACTTTCAATATTTATAATCTTTCATTTTGTAACTATTTCTCGAGAAATCTTCTGTTTCTTCTGTGTATAAATCCAAAGACGTAGAAAATTGATGAGCCATCCAAGAGGAGAGAGCCAAGAAGGTAAATCTGAGAACCAGACCGGCAAACCACCTCCTCAAAAACTGAGCAATAGATGTGAAGTCGAACTTGATGTTTTGCTCTGAATGGAAGCACGTAAGTTCTCACCCCGGCAGTGTCAATATAAGCAGCATGAGCATGCAGCAATGCACTTCTACCTGGGACAGCCTTGCATAGGACCCTGTCCATCTTCCATAGATTTCCCCGCCATCTATGATTCATAGCGCGATCTTGCAGCTGTAGCGACGTATTTTTAGCAACGATGCGAGGCTAGGTATGGGGACTGACATTCAAATACATATTTTGAAAGACCCTTGTTCATATCGAGTCTGCTGCTATGCATGTATATCACAACAAGGCGAGGAGCCAGAGATGAGGAGCATGAGATGGGACAAACATTTTTGCTTCTGTAGAACGGGAAACGTTCTGTGCCTAATCCATCTCGTCCTGTAGTTCTTAACAATTCATCTGGGATAATGTTTCCTGAACTACCTACCTACCTGTCATCTAAAAGCTATCAGGTTCACTAGATATTTTGTAGAGCTACCACAAAAAATATCATCGAAGTGAGTCGATCGCCTGGAAGATTTAATGTCGTTCCTTATTATGTAATGTGATGAGTACATGGGCCTAGAAACGCTCAATTGTGACATCGAAGGAGAGAATGACCCCTTCGGTTCCAATGGCTATCTTATGATTATCGGTCACTTCCCATGATACTTCAAGTCCGGCCGAGACGTAGGGATATGCATAAACTATGAAAATTTGTAAATGCATTGAATGTCATTTCCTCAATAACACTGGCTCACGATGATGGGAAGGATGGACTTGAGAATGAATCCTGCATAGTGGTGGCGAGATGGCCGTTCACTCTGGTTGGGCAGAAGTCCGCACTTGCTCGGATGTCAATGTCATCTGAGGACGATCACCTCATTATCGCAGGGAATTGATTCGCCAGTACATCAACCCTGCTTCGTGGAATGAGGGGGCCGTGACGAATCGTCAGCACAGGGGGGACTTTCGGCCCCCCATCCAAGCGAAATCACTTGGTAATTACTCAGCCCCCGGTCTCGGCGAGATCGAAAGAAAATCAGTCAACCCTGTTGCTCCTCCCCTTGGCTCAAGAAATTGCGACGGTATGAGGACCTTTGATATTCGAAATGATGATGCGGACACACCACCAGAGCCTTGACGACTGACTTTCGCGAGCACGGCGTCGTCAGATAGACGCGCAGCTAGGAGTATTTAAGATGCTAGTGGTGAGATTCTCTTGAAGTTTCATCGGCGATGCTTCGCTCTCATGGGTAGAAGTGCCGTCATTGATCCGATGGATATCCTAGGATGAACTGCTGGGGTAGTTGGGGCTTCTGGCCAGGCCATGTATGTACTTTACTCTTGGCAGTTATCTAGCCAGTCGGATGTAAGCACAGCAACGATCCTTCTAGATAGGAGAAGACCCTGGCAAGAATTAATTCGGATAGACGAAGGCTTCAACATGGATAGTTAGCAAAGTCCGAGTGAAGATAGGGGTCAAGTCCATAACTGTTGTAGTGGAATGCCTTAGTTTTTTTTTCGATTCGAAGCACTCTCTGCGTCTGACTCCCTTTAGCAGATTTTTAGCCCGCACGCGGAATTATAGGCAAATGTAATACTCATACAAGACGGAAGCTTATATACGGCGAAGTATCTCGTCGTGATCATATTCAGAAAGAGAGGTTTTCCATAGTTAAGTGAGAGCTACAACCCAGCAGAAATCCACAAATCCACAAAGGTTACGTTGTCAAAGCCTCGACAAACTTCAAGCCGCTCGCCGATGAAATTAGAGATGCCATAATATTTCAAGGTCAACGAGAACTGATTATAGCGTTTACGTGGAACAAATACAATCAGATCGAGCAATAATAATATACCTCAAGCATTGGGTGTCCGCATAATGGCCACATAGTCTGAGATCAATTGATGGAATGGGCAACAAGTAGCTTAAACTTTTAGACACTCGGCTATGAATGAGTAACAGAACCTTAAGAAACGTTTATAATCAATTGGGGATTTGGCATGTATGTTCTTTGTTATTGTAAATTGGGGGGCATAAACTAGCATTTCATATGTTAGGCGCAGCCTCTATGCCTCCATCCAAGATTCCCAGATCTCCAGTCACTCCAGTCCTTTCCCTATTTCCCGTATTTCCAAGTGTCCCATTTACAAATTACATCCCTAGCACGTTGCCCAGCAATTGGCGGCCTGTGAAGACTCTCTATCTGTACGAAAACTTTTTTTTGAAAGGTTATTCCCAACTATTGTTGACTCGTGCCTTCGATGGCCTGGTTTGAAGTTCAATGTTGCCTGGTAAGTTCGCTTCGGATTCATTATATTCGCTCAGCTGCTGATGAATGGTTGTTGTCATGCGAATGCGGTCTACCGGATCGGTCGAGCTTGTAATGGTTCCCTTAGTGCCGCTTATCTGGGCGTAATGGCTCGCTGGCCCCGCGTATCCGTTGGCGTATTTGTTGGATCCCTTAGAGGTTCCAATATGTCGGCTGATCCATGTCCTGAATAAGACGGGAATGCATGGAAGGCATGCACATATGACGCTCAGGTCAATCTCAATAGCAAGCCAATTAAACATGATGACCGTGTTGACTGGGTAGTTGGAGGTTAGAAAACTGGGCAAACAGTTCGTGGGACGAAGAAAGATCCTCACTGGTAGGGTTCGACTTGTCTGTGAATGTCTTGATCAATGAGAATTTGTAGACACTTGTCGCAGTGATACTGTTTGACCGGAAATGTTAGTCTGTTGCCCGCTTCGAGTTGAATAGGGAATTGCTCTTACAGTACGCCGACCATGAACATGACAGATGCCATGATCTTCTTCTTCAGGGAAAGCTGGAGCTTATAAATGAGAGGAATTGGGAGAAAAAGAACCCCTATCGTACAATAAATTAGCAAGAGTCGAGTTAGGGACCGTGACGCATGAGGATTGACTTACATAGATCGTTGACAAGCAAAATGCTCCATCCCACCCAGATATAGACCGCTCCATTGATACATGTTCCGTGGGCGTCGGGGTGAATCTTCCTCCAATAATAATCGACCGGAGTACATTGAAAGAAGGCCGTGATAGTAAGCGGGAGCGACACGATGATGGTAGTGGCCAAAGTGAACAGAATTAGCCGTCGTGCCATATGCTCAAAGACTCGTAGGTAGAAGAGGATGTATGATATTCGTATCAGCAACCGTGAGACGACATAGATGAGGACCTGGATATAATAGCCCTAGTTTGCAATAATATTTAGCTTCAGGAATGCTCATTGACAAGGAGCAGCGATTGTCCCATACCCGGAATTGGTATTCGAGGTTCTCCCACGGAACCGCCCATATATCGGTGCCCCAACCGCCTGCCTTGACTATTGGTGTCGTATTAGTATGAAGCTAGAGTGAAAAAATGTCACAAGAAGCTTACGGGTCAAGCCATGAGCTGTGAACGCGATGCAGCATGTCTACCAATATTTGTTAGCACCAAGCGTCTGCGCGACGAGTACTTTGAGTATCTTTCCCTACCATGGCAGCAAAGTTGAACCAGTCATCCCACCACAGCTTCATCTTCATGAGAAGCCTTGCCAAGAAACGCAAGACGACGAAAATAGCCGCGAGCCCGATGAAGACAGAAAGGATGGGGACATAGCTGTGGTCGACTTTCGGGCTCACCCCACACAAGGTCATAGTAGTGTTGGTTGTGACTGGCGACGACATGACGCCCAGGTTAGCGGTGAACCAATCAAGGTCAGGGCGCGTGTTGGTAAGCGTACAGAGGGTATTTTGAAGCGAACATGTGGTCTTGATGCAGGCAGAGGCAGGGCTGGTACCCAGGCCTTTGCAGAAACAAGCGATGTCAGTTGGCGCGCAGGTGCTTGACTCGGCGGCTGATGCTATGCATTTTTGCTTTGGGGCCACATGGAATCAGTACGGATATTCGGCGCAAGTGCGTCTTATGCAAAACCTACAGCACATTCCGGCAGTCTTGCCGCAATCTCCTGCAAAGAAGACATATTCGACAAAGAGCGCCACCAATCGCGCTCGTCTTTCGAGGATAACGGCAGAGTTGCAAACAAGTACAACACTGAAAAATGCAAAGGGCCAAGGAAAGAGCGAGTAAACATCTATTGAATCAAGCGAGGGATCGGAAGGGGGTAACCCTACGCCCATCCCGTGTGGCGGCAAAATGGCACAGAGAAAGGGAGACACTTCGGGAGGTTTCATTGCGGCAGGGAGCCCGGCATGCCCATCCTACAGATCCAGCACCGCGGGCCAGGCCGGGGAAGGATGGACTTCCTCTTCTGAAAGGTCGAGATCGTATGAGCACTAGAATAGTCGTATATGCAATGTCACACACCAAATACGTCAAGTATCCAAGCATAAGGCCAGGGTTTGTGGTAGTACTCGGACCATTGTGATGACAATCAGTACCTCGTTCGGGCTTCTGATAGGACGTAATAAGCTGCCGATGTGACCGCGGCGAATATTGACCACTCAGGAACTGTGCTTGTTCCAGGATCATGTGTCGGCATTGTTATGCAGCCTGTTTTATGAATGCTTCCTTCTGCCGGCTGATGGAGCCACGGGGCAAATACTCTCGTTGGGCCCAACTGCCGCAGTTGCAGCTCGTGAATGTTCATATTAAATAGCTCCTTGGCCCTTCTCTGCAAAGTGTTCGCCATCTCCATGGCTAGCTGTGAATCAAACGATCCCTAGCTCCCTTCGGTTCTCGGCACAGAACCTTGTGCTTGTGTGACCAGAAACCCTTCACTCGGTCCGGGCGTTTTTCAACAAACCTAAGTACTTTTCCAGCCATTCGGAGCTGTCCCCCTTTCGCAAATTCCGGCAGCTGGTCATTTTCATATGACAGTCTGAAATGGGATCTGCCCGCGCATAACAAAAACAGGAATGGTATACTGGGAGCGGATCTGCATTCTCCCAAAGACAGACATAAAGGAATGGCACCTAGGACTATAAGACGATCTGCTTATTCTACTACCCTACTTGAGCAGAACTTTCGAGTGGCGGCTTGCGAGGAGGAGACCTCGGCCTGGAGAGGCCAACTTGGACATATGTCTACGCCGCTAACTGCAACAAGAACCCTAAGCTTAAAAATACCCCTAAAAAGCGGTCCGAGAAGCCGTTGTTTCCGATGGCAGAGGCGCTTCTCTCCTCCCCCTCCATTGTTCTGTAGAAAAGCGCCAAAGTTCCCCTCTCCCAGCGCGGGGCTAAGGTAAGCACACCATTCATAGTTGTTCAGCCACCGGAGGGGCATGCGAGCCTCTCCTGATCAGAAACACCGAACCCCACAGAGAGCAAAACGCGAAGACATGTGGACAGCGAAGGCCTGATGAGAGTCCGAGCTCCACCGCCAGGACTTCAGGGATAGGGTAGTATTTTCGCTGCATCAACAAGGAGCAGGGGACCTCGCCAGGATCCTCCATAGCGAAGGCAACGTTGGAGAACCGGCTCCTGAGAGGACAGGAGAGAGATCCCGAGAGAGAGAGAGAGAAGACAAGGTGCCAATGAGTGTTGGTGATTGTGATCACCAACGACATAACTTCCCCCGTCAAGCATGCGGCCAGGTGGCGGCCTCACAACTTGGCAACTTGGGTGCTCTGCTCCCGTTCACCGCAAGTTCACTCACTGTAATCACAGTAGGGTCACAGTTGGACACACGACGAGGATGTTGACGATCCAATGCGACTCTGATGGGTAGAGGGCAGCGTAACCATAAGAAATAGAGTCGTACTCTCTGCATCAGTGCATATTGCACGAGGAGAAGACCAAGCTGCCGGGTAAACTGGCGACCTCTTGCTTCTGTCTGCTGTTATCCTGGGGGGAGCCCTTGCTCCAGCCTCCTTTCTCCTGACGGGCTTGTGTCAAGTTATCCCCACTCACCGTCCCGCTTTGTTGACTTTCCCACATGCGTAAGATGTGCCGAGGAACCGCTGTTTGAAATAAGGACCCCACGCAAGCCACGCTGGCCAACTGAGGACAATTTGCCCCCGCGACACCTTTCCTAAACTGGCTCTGACTAAGAACCGCTATTGGTGATTTGGGTAATGAGCTTTGGTTTATTTCTCGCGGTTTAGGACGGTAATACGCCTAATTTTCATACTGAGCTTGGCATCGTATCAGGAGGCCGTTCGTCTAGAGCGGCTGAATGCGAGACAGCGGGAACCAGCTGCAAAGCACACGTGAGATCCCTGGAGATTCAAGAACTGCAATCATCACGCGTCTTGCGGAAAATATACCTAGCTGCTGCACAGAATCGTGTGATATCGGGACGTTTGACCCGCTCCAACTTGAGACTATTGGACTGGCCGCTAACCCCCACAAGGCGCGTTTCCGCGGTATCTTGAGTATTACGAGGATCTTAGAAACCAGGCCACTAGGCACTACATGGGGCGGTTGGTAAATACGTACAAGGACTTGACCCCTTCTCCCGCAAACATACAAGCATAGCCCGGAGATACCCAGTAGTCACTGGGTTCGCTGGCTGGGGATGCAGAACTTTTGCTTGTGACGGATGGCAAATGAGTTCTTTGGTAAGATTACATAGCCAAATGGCCAATTTCAAGACGGCACGTACCTTAACTGATCGGAATTATGTAACCATTCTCGGAGCACCCATCAAAGGGATGGAAACTACCGTAGCACTCAACTTGGAGAAGGGGCCGAGCTGTTGGGACTACTTGAGGTGTGCATGAAACCGGCGTAATTCAACTGTTTATGCCCCATCCACTCTGTTCCAGAACCCGCTCTTGGCCCAGGTACCGGGATTGAAGACTTCCCAGTCCCTCTGCCCACATTTCGCCGCAGCCAAGTCCACACAGTGCTTGGCTAGCGTAGCATTGCCGGAGTGACTGGGTCCAGAATCCTGCTCCGAGCTTGGCGTTAAAAGTCAGGCGGAAATCTGCGCTCTTTTTGATATAGGAGGCGTGGGGATGAGGCCTGGGTGCGGATAATCTGGAGAGTCCGGTTGAAGAAAGCCTGGAATGGTTCCCGGCGCTCCCTGCAAATGGTATCAGCACTGAGGGCGTGTAGAGATTCTCTGTCCAACCATCAGACCTACATGCCATGCTGGGGCCCTGCCGGTGGGACCAGATTCGTCAGCCGAGCGGCCAGGATATCAATGGGGCCGTCATCGAGCAAGTCCGTGCTACAGGCGGCGAGAGGGCTCCCTGGATGTCGTGATGGGACCAACGGCGTCAGTAAGTTGGTTGATTGTGGGTAGGGGACCTCGAAAGTGCGCATACATGGTATGGTTCCTGCGGCCAACTGCATCAACACATCACCAACGGCCACGAGATATGTCCCGACTCCCCAGCCTGGCCTATCAGGACGTAGACTTTTGAGCGTGTTTAGCGTCGAGATATCTCTCGTGGCTCAAATCACAGGGATACGCTTCCTGAAGGGTGTTCGCTACCCTTGCAAACAGTCGAGCTAATGACACTTTGGGCTTACTGTTGGCCTGTGGCCACGAGAGACACAATCGAACGATCCACATGGCAGCTATCACCATTGATTTTACTGCGCCATACAAAAGGAGCCCATGTTCCTCTAGGTAGTTTTAGCTTGGCGTCACTTTTGCCTTCAAACTTGTTAATTTCGTTTCATGAGGCAGAATGGAGGTTGCTGTGAGCGATACCCATCATGAGGACTTCAGCCTGTGGGGTCAGAACCTGGCGGAAGCGGAGGGGCTCAAAACCTCCGCAGCTTTCGATGCCAAACTGACCTATCCCTTTGACATGGGTCATCCGCCATCTAGCAAACAGGCTTCCACGCCGACTGGCTTAGAGGCAGGTCATGATACGCACGAGCCAATTGCCATTTGTGGCATGGGCATGAGGTTACCAGGAAACGTCAGAACCAGCGAGCAACTATGGGAACTGCTGGTGAACAAAGTCGATACCCGGGGGGAAGTTCCATCAGACAGATGGAATGCTGAAGCATTTCAAGGGAAAGACAAGAGATATGGCTATTTCCTCGAAGATGTTGATCTTAGCAAGGTGGACACATCTTCATTCAAGATGTCAAGAGCTGAGATCGAGAAGCTGGACCCCCAACACCGTGTCATGTTGGAAGTCACAAGGTATGTTCTCACCAGTCTTGGTTCCATTTTTGTATGGATTTGCTGACCGTATTTCTCCAACTAGAGAAACGCTGGAGAATGCCGGCGAAGCTGGGTGGCGTGGAAAGCAGATTGGGTGCTACATTGGCACCTGGGGAGACGACTGGAAAGAGCTGCAGACGAGAGACAAACTCGAGGCCGGCTTGGCCTCTGTCCAAAGCCACTCCGATTTCATGATGGCCAACAAGATATCGTTCGAGTATGACTTTAGAGGCCCAAGGTAAGCTACTAGTCCTTCCGTGGAAGCCGCTTTTGAGCCTGCGAGCTAACCCCAAGAATAGTTTGGTAGTCAAGACGGCATGTTCATCAGCCCTTGTCGCTCTTCACATTGCCTGTACAGATATTCGAAATGGTAGCACCACATCAGCTATCGTCGGAGGAGCTAACATGCTCCTGACGCCAACTGGTAAGCATACCTCCTTTCTTTTTGCAGCAGCGAGACTGACCAAAGACCAGGAACGCTGGCCATGGAGCAAGCTGGAGTATTAAGTCCAAACCAGTCCTGCCGCACATTCGATGCTGATGCAGACGGGTACTGTCGGGCAGAAGCTTTCAACATGCTCTACATCAAGAAGCTTGACGCTGCCGTGCGTGATGGAAATCCTATTCGAGCCATCATTCGCTCAACCTCTAGCAACCACGACGGCGTGGGCGATGGCAGCATGTTCGCCCCTAGCCCCTATGGGCAAGAGGCAGCAATTCGCGAATGCTACCGCACCGCAGGCATCGAGGACTTTGGCAGGACGGCGCATTTTGAATGCCACGGAACTGGTACCGGAGTTGGTGACCCGGTTGAAACCGAGGCCATCGCCAATAGTAAGTACTCATTAGCCAACAATTGTCATGGCTTGGATCCAAGCTAATCTTGCTACTCTTCAGTCTGGGGCTCTAATGGTGGTATTACTATTGGCTCTGCTAAGGTAAATGACTTGAGACCTCCCCGACGAAATTGTGTTGCTAATTTGACTGGTAAATAGCCCAATTTCGGTCATTCAGAAGGTGCTTCTGGAATCACTTCAGTTATGAAATCAATTCTTGCGCTGGAGCATAAGACCGTTCTTCCCAACATCAAATTTAACAAGCCAAACCCGAAAAGTAAGCACATGTCCTAGCTGGCAACTTGTGGCCTGATTCTGACTTTCCTCGAACAGTTCAATGGGAAAGCGGGCTCAGAGTTCCAACTGATTCGACCGCGTGGCCGAAAGACCGCAGTGAGCGTATCAGTATCAACGGTTTGACTCTCTAATCCAATGACGATGTCTGTATACTAACCTCTTTTCCCCCATAGCCTTTGGTCTAGGTGGTTCAAATTCACATGTGATTATAGACTCCGCCGACTCCTTTGGCCTCGGATCTTCTGTATCGAACGGTGTAGCTCTCCCCCCGATTGAAGATTCACGTCCAAAGCTTTTGGTTGCTAGTGCCAACCGAGCCAGTTCAGCTAAGGAGGGAGCACAAAATCACACTCAGTATCTCGCAGCACATCCTGAAAGGCTTAATGACATTGCACACACTCTCGCCCTCCACCGAGAACATCTCCCATGGAGGACATTTGCAGTAACCAACGGGGTGGAACCCCCTGAGTTCTCAGCCCCTGTAAAGGCACCTTCAACCACACCACGGCTAAATTTTGTCTTTTCTGGCCAAGGTGCACAATGGGCAGGCATGGGAGCAAAGCTCATTGCGGACTTCCCCGCAGTTCGGGGCGACTTTGAGAAGATGGAACAAGCTTTATCAAACTTGGATGCCGAAGTGGCCCCTAAATGGAAGCTCAGAGGTATTTTCTTTCTTCTTGAGGCCTTCAGCCTCTTGACTACATCTCCTGTACTGACACGTGTTTTTAGAGGAACTACTCAAGTCGAAAGACGACAGCCTGGTTTCCAAAGCAGAATATGCTCAACCTCTGTCTACCGCCCTGCAAATAGTGATTGTAAACCTTCTACGATCTTGGGGAATTCTTCCGGCCTCCGTGGTTGGCCATTCAAGTGGTGAAATTGCAGCCGCATACGCCTGTGGAGCATTGACCATGGAGCAGGCTATCATTTGTGCTTTCATGAGAGGCTATGCTACCACTCATGTGACACGAGTTGGCGGTATGGCCGCTGTTGGGCTGGGCAAAGAGGATGCCCAGCCATATCTTGTCGATGGGGTCATAGTGGCATGTGAAAACAGCCCTACGACAGTCACTCTGTCAGGAGATTCAGATAAGCTCGATGAAGTGATCCAGGCTCTGAAGAAGGATTCCCCGGATATACTGGCAAGACGGTTACATGTCGATAAGGCGTACCATTCCCGTAAGTTAGAATCCCGCTCGAAACAAGTCTACTTTGGCCACCAGACTGACCGTCAATTCTAGATCACATGACGGAAGTCAGTGCTTTGTATGAGCGTCTGACACCCACCTTCCAGAGTGAAGCACCTACAGTTCCCTTCTTCTCGAGTGTTACCAACACTGTCATCCGGGAGGCAAAGGTCTTGGGAGCCAGCTACTGGAGACAAAACCTGGTGTCTCCAGTTCTCTTCAACACCGCTGTGCAAAATCTCCTCCAGTGGCAAGAGAAATCCACCGATGGCCTCTTCTTGGAGATCGGACCCCATTCAGCTCTTCAAGGACCTATTCGACAGATCCAAAACTTCCTTAGTACAAAGTCGGCATATTTGCCAACAATGGTGCGGAATGAAAATGACTCTGCTTCGCTTCTCCGCACTGCCGGCAGTCTCTTCGCCCAGGGCGTCAGCGTTGCCTTTGAAGCGGTAAATCCCGCTGGTAGAGTCGTGCCTGATCTTCCAAGATATTCTTGGCACCACGACACTAGTTTCTGGTACGAGAGTCGCCTGACGAAAGATTGGAGATTTAGAAAATGGGCACATCACGAGATTCTTGGCTCATCAATTGTGGAATGTTCCGCTTTGGAGCCCATGTGGCGGAATCTTCTCAAAGTCGGCGATATCCCGTGGCTTCGTGACCACATGGTGGCAAAGGATATTATTCTTCCAGGTGCGGCATACATGATTATGGCCTGTGAGGCAATGCGACAGTTCTCGAACGAGTCAACGAAGGGATTCTCTTTGAGAAATGTCAGCCTCACCACCGCCTTGGTCTTGCAAGAATCAACTCCTGCCGAGACTATCTTCGCCCTGCGTCCGGTGAAGCTCACAAAGTCTCTTGATTCAGTGTGGCATGAGTTCACGGTATCCTCATACAATGGGACCACTTGGACACAACACTGTGCTGGGCAAGTCCGCGTAGGTTCTGATAGTCCACCTGAACCCCGGAAGATCAGTGACCTGCCCCGTAAAGCCGATATAAAGGGTTGGTACACGACAGCTCAAAGCCTTGGAATCTATTTTGGACCGCGGTTCCAAGGTCTTGACCCCGAGCGCACAACGGCACACCCTCTTCGCAATGTGCTTGTTGGCCATATTTCCAACAATATTGCCGACATTGTACAGGAGGAGGAACCAGCGTATCCTCACGTACTCTTCATTGACTATTGCCTGCAATTATTATTGCAAGCCCCCAGCAGAGGCATCAATAGAAAGCTCCGTGGCCTGGCGCTACCCACATTTATCGGCAGCTTCTACATTGGAAAGCCACCTGCCGATGGGGAGGTTGCCGTCGAAGTATCCGCAGATATTGTCAAGAGGGGAGATATTCAGGGAAATTGCTACAGTGCCGCCAATGATGGGGGGGTTGTCGTCCAGCTCGAGAACGTGAAGCTCACCGCTTCGGCAGAAAGAGAAGAGACGAAACTCAGCGACAGCGTCAGGATCCAATGGAAGAGCGATCTTGATAACCAACAGCTTAGCAAGCTGCTTGTCTGCGAGAGAAACTCTGTGGAAGTCAGAAAGGCTACCATAGTGTTGCAAAAGCTCCTCCTCCTTAGCTGTGTGGAAGGACAGGCTCGTCTCGATGGCCTGGAGACCATTGCTACAGACCACTTGGAAAAGTTCCGCCAATGGCTTAACAAGGAAGTCAATACTGCTCATGCTGAGGGATACCTAATGGTTGATGACACGCCTCAAATGCTCGCGTTGTCTCCTTCAGAGCGTTATGAAACAATCGCCCGCTTAGAGAAGGAGTTGCAGCAAACTCAACTCGCCCCACTGGCCACAGCCATCAAGCGAATCTTAGACTCTATCAAACCAATTTACACTGGGGTGATCCCAGGTCTTGATGTGCTGAGACAAGATGACTTGCTTACACAAATTTACAACACGACACACGATTGGGACTTGTCTAAGTTTGTGCGTTTGTTGAGCCACCGCACGCCAAACCTTCGTATCCTGGAGATTGGCGCTGGAACTGGAGCTACGACAGCACTGATTCTTCCAAATTTGATCTCTGAATACGGTGAGCGTATGTTCGGCTCATACGTCTTCACTGATATTTCAGCAGGTTTCTTTGGAGCTGCGAAGGAGAGATTCGGAAACCTGCAGGGGATGCAGTTCCAGACACTCGACATCGGCAGAGACCCAGAGGAGCAAGGTTTCGAGCTGGGGTCGTTCGATCTTATTGTTGCCGCAAATGTTCTCCATGCTACACCTAGCCTCCAAGTGACCCTGTCTAATACCAGGAAGCTGCTGCGGAACAACGGTAAGCTGCTTCTCCAGGAGATGCATTCGGCAACGAAGCCCTCAAACTACGTAATGGGTGTTCTTTCTGGATGGTGGCTTGGTGAAGCCGATGGACGCGCGGATGAACCGTACATTTCTCCTGAAAGATGGGACAAGGAGCTTACCAACACTGGATTTGGCGGCGTAGAGGCTGCTATTCTCGACGACGAGGAACCTTACTCAACGAACGCTTTCATCATCGCTTCTCCCAAGATTGACAAGGCCCCCGCCTCCAAGGTCAACATTCTTTCTTCAAAGCCCGATGGACCTGTGGCTGAGTCAATTTCAACTGCATTGAAGAGCCATGGTCTTGCAGTGGAGTTTGTCTCCTTGTCCGACCGAGCCCTGGAAGGTGGTATCATCTCCATCCTGGACCTTGAAGGCGATGCTATCTTTGACAACATCACTGAAGAGACATACAACAATCTCCGCGGCTTCTTGTCAACGTTGAAATCCAAGGCGCTTTGGTTGACAAAGCCATGCCAAATCGAGGCCACTGAACCACAGTATGCCGCCATCATCGGTCTTACTCGAACGCTTCGCAAAGAAGTGGGCATCAGTATCGGCACTCTGGAGCTCGACGAGATAGAGTCCGCAGGGGCTAAGAAGGCAATCTTTGATATCTATCAGAGGCTTCATTATGACCCTGTATCCGCAGAGGTCGATCCTGACTACGAGTTTGCCTGGTCGAATGGCGATATCCAGCTTCCCCGATGCCACTGGTTTTCAGTCACCGATGAGGCTTCCTTTAAGAGACAAACTAGCGGCCTTACCGTGAAGACACTCCAGATCGAAAAGCCAGGTTCTCTGAAGACACTGAAGTGGTCAGAAGCGTCATACCCGGAGATTGGGGCAGGTAATGTTCTCGTGGATGTTCGTGCTGTAGGAATGAACTTCAAGGTAAGTTGAGACACTCGAAGATTTTATCTGCATCAATTCTCACAAGTAATAGGATGTTCTCATCGCGATGGGCGTTGTGGACGGTGTTCTGGGCCATGAGTGCGCAGGAGTCGTCACGGCCGTGGGCTCCGGAGTTTCCGGACTCCAAGTGGGCGACAGAGTTGCCGCTGTGGTTCATGAAGGATTCACAACAACAGCACTAGTACAAGTTGACCATGTTGTCAAGATCCCCGACGAGTTGAGCTTTGAAGACGCAGCTACGATGCCAACTGTGTACACCACTGTCATTCACAGTCTTCTGAATCTTGCCCATCTTGAGGCAGGCCAGGTAAGATCACAGCAGCCACTGCATTCCTTCGCAAATTTCAACATACTAATGGTTGTACCTTGGTAGACCGTTTTGATTCACTCAGCATGTGGTGGTGTTGGTTTGAGTGCAATTCAAATCTCGCGACTAATAGGTGCAGAGATCTTTGCTACAGTAGGAAGCGAGGAGAAGGTCCAGTATCTTGTGGACAATTTTGGCATTCCCCGTACTCGGATATTCAACTCCAGAGATTCCAGTTTCAAGCAAGGTGTTCTGAAAGAGACTGGAGGCAAGGGAGTGGACGTGGTCTTGAACTCTCTGTCCGGGGAGCTTCTTCATGCATCGGTAAGTGGCCAAGCCGCCCACAACAAAATCTTTATGCTGGCACACTGACGGAAGTTTACGTAGTGGCAATGTGTTGCTGAGTTTGGTACCATGGTCGAGCTCGGAAAGCGTGATTTCATCGGTCAAGGTCGCCTTGCCATGGACACCTTCGAGGATAACCGTGCCTTCTTTGGCGTCGATATGAGCAAGTTCTACCAGAAGCGACCAGTACAGACCAAGAAATTACTGGAGCAGATGATCAAGTTCTACCAGGAGGGCCAGGCTCAATCAATCAAACCCATCAGGGCGTTTGATGCAGTTGATATACAAGAGGCATTCAGATTCATGCAAAACGCCCAGTATATTGGCAAGCTGGTCATCCGCATTCCAGAGGATGCGTCTGTTCTCGGGGCAGCACCCTTGCAGAGCAGCTTTACCCTCCGCTCAGACCGGTCTTATTTCCTTGCCGGTGGCCTTGGTGGGTTGGGCCGATCCGTCTCACTTTGGATGGCCGAGCACGGGGCTAAGAATCTGGTTTACCTTTCCCGAAGTGGTGGTAGCAAACCTGAAGATGCTGCTCTCGTTCGTGATCTCGAAGCCTCTGGCTGCACAGCACAAATCTTCCCGGGAAGCGTGGCGAATATTACCGATGTCAAGAACGCCATCAGCAACGCGAAGCTTCCCGTTGGCGGTGTCTTGCAATTCTCGATGGTTCTCAGGGTACGTAATTGACATCAATTTCTACGCTGTACTGGCATGTACTAATCAAAATTTTAGGATAACGCATTTGAGAACATCCCATATGAGGATTGGCAAGCGGTTTGGGGCCCTAAGGTCCAAGGTACTTGGAATCTCCATAACGCGCTCGAGGGCCAGGACTTGGACTTCTTCCTCATGTTCAGCTCTGCTACGGGTCTAGGAGGTATGCCGGGACAGTCAAACTACGCTGCTGCGAACACAGTGCTCGATGCCTTCGTCCAGGCCCGACAGAGCAAGGGGCTCGCTGCCTCTGTAATCGATCTGGGTCCAGTCGATTATGTCGGTTTCATGGTTCAGAACCCAGAGGTTGCTGCTAGGATGTCAGCTGAGGCGTTCTATTTCATTCCGGAGCAGGCATTCCTGGACGCTATCAAGCTGAGTATGCAGAACTCGTCGGTTGATGTGAGATCAACGGATCCTCTTTCTGCGTCGGGTTTTGTCAGTTCAAGCCAAATCGGTGTCGGCCTTCGAAGCACGCTGCCTCTTTCATCGCCAAACAACAGAGTTTACTGGAGAGCAGACTCGAGATTCGCTCTGTACCGCAATATTGAAGAGAGCGGAGATGCTTCTGATGCGAACGCAGGCGGCGACCCAGACGACGGAGGCTTCGGGCTTTTCTTGAAGACGGCAGACGCAGAGCCGCGATCGCTGGCCCAGGAGGACAAGATTGCCGAATTGGCTCAGCATATTGGGTCCATGTTGTGCGACCTCATGCTCAAGCCCCTGGAAGATCTTGACGTGAATCTCGGCGTTGCTGCGCTTGGTGTTGACTCTCTTGTTGCCATTGAGCTGAAGAATTGGCTGCGTCGAAAGTTGGTACTGGAGGTCAGCGTGATTGAGATCATGAATGCCCCGTCACTCTTGGCCTTGGCTCGTTTAGTAGGAGAGGGATGGATGATTAAGAAGCGTGTTGGAACTCGGGAGGGTGACAAGTTTGTTTTTACGTCTTAATGATATTTGATTTATAGCTTAGCATAATTAGCATGGAGGCAATCTCGAATTACAATTCTACGTAGTAAACTGCATTTTTCTTGCTCTTCGTCTTTGCCCCAATATTCTCTCATGGAAGGTGAGAGAGGATTTGCTCTTTTGCTGTTTAATGTCTCATCCCTGGTTTGCTCCCAGGCGCGCCAGCCGGCAGGATTTTTCAATACATTCTGGCCTAGCCTTTTACGCTGCGGCAAACCAAACTGGCGAGAATCCCGAAGCTCCCAGAGATCCGGAAATTCCGGGCTGAAGGGCTCGTTTGTGGGAATCGGCCATGACATACGCCGAGATACGAGCAACGTGTTGGTAGGGGATGGGATCTAGCACCAACGGTCCAACGGTCATGCATGGCCCGCCACGCGAAGGATGTTCCCGGTGGGCAATGAGCGGCATTGCTGGCAGGGTTTGAGAAAAGCAACTAGCCAGGATTATGCATAAGACAGTGCAACAGCTACTGTGTGGCTCATGAGATGGGTTCACGCCCCCTCCTGTTCTAGATGAGGTGCTAATGTGCAATGCAGGGGCTGGGAACTGTGGGTTACAACGGCCAGGAGACTGAAACTGAAAAGGACACGCTTCATCCACTTTGTTTGAAGTTACATCGCGTTCGAGCTTGTAGGGTTTAGTGGGAATAGCGGCATCTTCGATCCTGCGCACGCGCGGGCCGGTAGAAGTTTTGCCAGCATCAAGTCATTAAGCGGGTGTATTGATCTTTCTTGCGGATTGGGCCAAAGTCTTGTGTCTGCTAAGAACGAGCTACTCTTGACTCACAGATGGCTCAATAACTTTGTGTTAGTTTTCAAATACATGCATGCACAGCATGCATATATTTGACAGCATATAGGGCAAGCATTATGATTACTAAACGATCACTGCGTCAATAACCCTGGAATGTCATTTGGCTGCAGTTGGTCGTTGGTTATTGAAAAAATCGGACAAGGATAACTGCTCTAGACCAGTCTTGGATATCAACCAGATCCCCCGCGGCAACTGAGATACGCATCAGACGAGCATGTTTCCTCAAATGGGCATCCTCCAACGTTCACTGGTAGGCTGGTGGATCTAATTGTCCTTTTGCTATGTAGTACTATGCATGTTCCTTGGTTCAGCTTATTAGATCTACGCTCCCAATCACCTCAACCATATACCCATGTTGCCATATTCAAGCGATCACACTCTCACCCAACCCCCAGGAAAAAACGTATGATAGACGCCCCTTGTTCTGCAGGTCCAGTCGACCTGCCGAATGGGTACAGCATTATGTATGAAAAGAGGATCTGATGTTACAACATTGTAGCCTGGTACCTCGCATTAACTGGCCGCTTACTCAAGCCGATCGTCCCATCGGTTATATTAGATTTTGCGTTCTTCGCCCTCCCATTTGGCGTGGCAATTTCCACTACTCATCGTTCTAATTACAAACTTTCGGCATGGCTACTACATTCAGGACCCATCTCACCGGGCCGGCGAAATGGGCGGAGAAGACTCCAACCGCGCCCGCGTTCAAGGTTCCTCAATGGTCTGAGGCAGGCGAGTTCGGTGGTTGGAAGCCAGTCAGCTATGCACAATACTGGGGTGACATCGAGAAGTATGCTCGTTACCTGTATAATGAATTTACTCGGCAAGGCCTGAAGGAACGCGATACCGTGGGTGTCTGGTATGAAAATGAGAACCAAACAATAGAGCCAAGCAGTACAAGCTAATCAATCCATCTGATAGGACCTCTGGAGCCAACTATGTGGACATCGTGCATGTTTGGGCAGTTGCGAGAGCAGGATTTGTCCCATTGCTCATCTCTATACGCATCCAGCATCTGGGAGCACTTGATCAACTGCTGAAAGGCGGAGAAGCAAAGGGGCTGCTGTATAATACCGCGGTTGCCAAGCCTGAGCTAGATGTGGTTTCTATACCTGCAGTAGATATCAAGACATTGGATACGACCGCGGGAGAAAAGCCTCTTCCTGAAATTTGGTTTCCCTCAAACGAAGATGAGATTGTTATGAAATACCACTCATCTGGATCCTCTTCTGGAATGCCAAAGGTGATCCCGATGACGGCTCGTTGGGTCGATTTCCTTCTGGACAAGTTGGTCGATGCCCTTGGGTCTGATCCAAACAAGCAGGAAAACACTTCCGCCAAGTAAGTCATCAAGAACCTGCATGTTATCCGATCTGCAGCTAATCATGAAGCCAGTGGCTCTGCCGTCCATCTTGCGGGAGCGATGACCATCATTGCTAGCCACTACCAAGGCCAGTGCATTGTGATCTGCAAAGAAATCAGCAGCAGCCGCGAAGAACTCAAAGCCTTGATAGAGGACCATGGCCTGACCCGCATCGTCCTGTTCTCCACATTCTTGGCCAAGTTCATTATTCAGGCTCGCTCTGATCCGGAACTCCTCAAGCTGCTTAAGAGCCTCAACAGAATCATCCATGGAGGTGTGCCTCTGGATGAAAAATACGCAAAAGAAGCCCGTGATCAGGGCATCAAGCTGAGGGATATCTTTGGCAGCACTGAGATCGGAGTGGCCATGATTTCCGGCGACGAGGGGCCAAACGAGGCGTATTTGAGGCCTATCGCGGGCACCAAGTACAAATTCGTCCCTGTCAACGACGCATCGAACGAGTCCCAAAATGGCGCAAGCGCACCTAAACTGCTTGAGGTGATTATCACTGCTGAATCTGGGGACTGCCCACACCCATCGTACAGGAACAAGGAGACGGGTGACTTCCACACCGGGGACCTGGTTGAGGAGGTGGCCCCGGGTTACTACCTTTCAAGGGGTCGCAACGATGATTGGATGAAGATGCAGAATGCAGCACTCTGCGATACTCAGTCAATCGAAGGAAATGCCCTGGAGGTGGCCGGTAAAGATCTCATTGGCGCCGCTGTTTGCATTGGCCTTAAGCGGCCGTCGCCAGTCCTGGTGGTTGAGCCTTTAGCTGATGGGGATGTCCCTTCGACTTTGACAAAGGATGTCTTTGAAAGAATCAAGCCCTTCCATGAACGAATGTATGCGCATGAAAGAATCGACGACGCAAAATTCATCATCGTTGCTCCCAAGGGTTCGCTCCCCAAGACTCCCAAGGGGAATATTCAAAGGAAACCCGTTGAGAAGACCTTTGAGAAGCAGCTCGACGAACTGTTTGGACAGACAAACCCTTAATGGAGAAAGAGAGATCTCACAGTCAAGTGGTATAGTTCGTATGATTGCCTGTTTTAATGGTAGTTGGGAATCCGTACTTCAATTCCCTTAGCTCTTGATTCAGAAAAGTTGTATCTACATACAGTAATGATGTTGTTGCTGCACAGAGTGTGTCTGACTAGAGTTCACCCACCAGCAGCTTAGATAATTCCAGAATGCCTGAATGCCCATTAGATCTCTTAAGTTGCTCCTTTTATTGATGACGTTGACTGCGCCACAGCCGCTAGTGGAATGTAACCTCTTAAGTCAAGCAAGTCAGCTTGATGAGTCACAACGAACTTCATGTGCTGAGACCAAGCAACGCATATAACTAATTCCCCTGTGACCCAAAGACAGTTACAGTTGTATCCTGTCTGCCATACCCATTTTGCCAATATGGAAGAACTAGTCGAGGGACTGAGACAAGCCGGTAATATCCTGCTCCTGGTGGAGCTTGCGCAACAAGCCCTCAGCGAGGCGCAGAAATCAAGCTTCTCACCAACAGGGAAAATGGAGTTTCGCGACCTGCAACCAGTCATGGACAAACTGAAAGCAGCTTCAGAATCAGCAATGAGAACAAGTTTCTCGAGGGCAGACATTGGAAACATCTATCAAAGAGCTGAAGAATGCTTGGATATATCTGAACAGCTTGTGCGGCATGCAAACGAGCAATGGAGTGAAGGAGTCGACCTGGAAAGTATAGAGACAGCATTTGTCAAATTGAAAAGTCGGATGGACCTCGATCTTCTAACCTTTATCGAGTAAGTGTTTTCGGCTACTTGCCGTATCTAGTTGAGGCTATCCGGAGCGAAGCTTACCAGGACATAGATATTACGCGCAAATGCCTCTGAGAGCCCAGAACGAGCTTATTAAACAACTGTCAAGATCTACTAATCGAAATGAAGACCGAAAGGAGGAATTTAATGGTGGACATAGTGGCCGCAAAGAAGGATTCGGATTTTCAGTTGTGGAGTGCCTTGCTCCCGTTGAGGCCCCCGGAGACCCAACCACGATCTTCTTTACGCTACTCGTTGATATTACTGATGCTCTGCGTCGTTTGGAGATGCATAGGGTAAATAAGTCTCCTCGTGTTGTTTTGCATGAAGCTCGGAGGTTTCAAGTTATCAAGGTTATCCTGAATATGCAAGGATATAGAGCGCCGAGTGACATGGAAGTGCGTGCTCGTAATGAACACTGCGCTGCGTTCGATACGATATTCTCCACGCCCGCAGCCGGTGAGAATCCATGGGCCAACTATTGCCAATGGCTTGAGTCGGACAAGCAACTGTATTGGATCACCGGTGCGAAGGAATCCGGCAAGACAACCCTAATGAAACTCATCGCTCATGGGCCTCAACATCCTCCGCGTGAATCGCCGGTTGGGTCAGTACCCTTTCTCCGCAACTGGGCGAACGGAAAACCCCTGATCACAGCCACCTTTCTTTACAATACGCCAGGGAAGAACGTGGAGCTTACAATGGAGGGAATGCTTCGATCGCTTCTTTTACGGATTCTTACAAATTGTCCAGAGGCTATGGAAAAACTGAGTCCCATTAAATGGAAGAGTATTTGCCTCTTCGGGGACTCTTACTTTGTGCCTGGAGAGGAAAACCTTTCGGATCTACTGATCGATGCACTCAGTGCCCTCAAAGACAGTCACAGAGTCTGTATATTCGTGGACGGCCTGGACGAGCTAGATGGCGGTAATGGAGATGTCGCTCGGCTTTTCAGACGTATTATAGACAACACGTCAGCCAAATTGTGCGTCGTCAGTCGCCTGCTTCCAGCATACCGAGACATCTTGGGCAGCGGCCCCCATCTCGAAACTCATCACCTTACACACCGCCAGGTGGCGATGTATGTCGAAGAAGCAATGAAGGCAAACGAAGGATTCTTGCAATTCCAAAAGGACAATGCCGGGTCAGCAACTCAGTTGGTGGAGAGTATCACGACCAAAGCGGCTGGTGTCTTCGTATGGGCTCTTGCCGCAGCCAATATCATGCTTGATGGCTTCCATCATACAGACAAGATATCCGACCTTTGCAATAAGTTGGATGGAATACCACTAGATATTAGTAAGCTATATCAAAGTATTCTTAACGAGATGGAGCCAGAAAGCTTAAGGGAGTTGGCACAAGTATTGCTCATCATGGGGAGCTGTGCTGAACCGCCTCCAGCCATATTGCTTTCATTCGCGGTCGAAAAGAATCCGCAATTTGCAATAGAGCTGCCACCCAGAATACTGTTGCCTCAAGATGCACAGAATCGCATCAAAGAAATACGCAACAGGATTGGGAGGATAAGCAAAAATCTAATCATCTTTGAGAAATTAGAAGAAACACCGAACACCTCGTGGGTTGGCATATACAGAGCCCTTTATGCGGAGGAAAAATTCCGACAATTCATTCAACAGACTTCTCTTAAAGCTTTTCTTCAGAAGTCTGCCGGCGAGGACTTCGACGTCCATCTGCAGCTGTGCAGAGCACATTTGGCCTTGCATAAAGTAAGCGAACCTCGGACGAAGCAATTATTAAGGACGTATTTTCACGAGCCTTCGTCTGCTGATAAGGCGTTGATCTACTGTATGAGACACGCGTCTTGCGTGGAGCCTCGCCACAACTCTGAGATGATCGATGCATTGGACAGCATTGACATCACTGGGCACCCTCAATCCAGACAGCCATGGTGGCAAGTCGATAGCTGTGTAACAAAGTTCATTTGCCAACTGCACAACTTAAACGAGTTTCGAGTTGGAGGAGAAATGTGTGGCCCAAGTCTTCTCTCGTTGGCTGTCAAATGTGGTGTGGTCGAGTACGTCAAGGCAAAGATGCCAGCCAATTGCTTGGTTCCTCTCGAAGATGTGTACAGTTCCAACCACCCGAAGGATCCTTGGCCTCTTCTTCTTGATGCCTTGGATAATTCATTCCCAAATTCCAGAATGACTGAGGTCTTGCTGGAGGGGGGTGCGGATCCGAACCTCGAGCTATTTGGTCTGCGCTTCAGTCCTACTATATGGGGTAACTTTTTGAGTCACTTGTTTTGCGCAATCGAGGGTTCGGGAGTAGAGGCCGGAAGGTTGGAGGAGTATGAAAAGATGGTGCGCTTGATGATAAAGCATGGTGCCTCGCTGAGCACCGAATCGCTGGAGAGAGCTGTCTCAAACCAGCATCTGCGCATCAGCATTCGAGAGGATTATTTGAACGACCTCGTTCAAGTTTTCCAAAGTGACTTTGAACAGATCAGAACTAACCCTGATGCTCCACTTGACTTGGTAACCATGGTGGCTCGTGGCAGAGAGGCAGGGGCTCGCAATGAGGAGGCTAGGAACAAGCGGCAGTTGGGATTTCATGCTGGTTAGGTATGGGTTTTTATATGCTAGGTCTTCATATGCATTCCTTTCATCTCGGAACGTCGGTGATAGGCGCCAAAATACGTATTTTCTTGACGATTCACCTTAAGATCTTGGAAGCAAGGTGGTGATGGAGGATCAACGCTTGAAGTGAATGGATATAAACATGAATATCATTGGTAGGCTGTTGGCCCTAGATTGCGTGGCTACCTACGAAGCATTTCTTTGAGCCGTAACATTGATATAATTTATGAGTTCCTTAAAAGAGACTGATTCGTTCAGACTGGGCAACTTGTTCAAGGATAGCCCAGCCCAGTTGTGTCCCAGAGCCACCAAAATCCCGCCTTTTCCACACTTCAACGATGATATCTCTAGCCTTCTTTATATATCGCATCTGCCTCTTCTGCTGGAGCAAGTGTAACTTCTCCAGTATCAACGCTCTCTCAGCATCGCACTCCACGCCTATGCCAAGCGTTGCTACCATGAATAAAGGCCATAGTATTAGGTTGGACCGTGTAGATAATCGCTTAACAAGACTGAGAATCTTTGAGGATAGCCGTGTAACACAAGGGTCATATGGGCCTAGGTTATCCACGCGAGAATATAGATGAAGCTGTCCGGTTAGACGCTTAATTTCAATCGCAAGGACACTTTCTGGGGTATCTTCATCATGTATTGCCGTCTCATTAATTGGGGTGTGTTGATGTAATCGCCTTTCCAAGTAGAGACGCCGTTGTTCCAGGCCCGAGAGTAGTTCTGGGTCTACGTAATTTAGTTTGGAAAGGGCAGAAAAATCAGCGGCAAGGGAGTTGACGTCGGCCAAGATCTGGAAGAAGTCTGTGGAGCAGCCGGTAAGCGTCTGGAGGTTGACATCGTCACACATGACAGTTACTGGACTTCCGCTGCCGATGGAGGGCTTTGCATTCCAGGCTGTGTGCGCGTAGACCTCGTGAATGACAATGTATCCCCCAACGAAATTGAATAACGCGTCGATATCTGGGTCTAGTGAGACTCGGGTGTTGCGAAAATTCTGAACCAAAGACCTCGCGAAATCGGAATGTATTACCCACGATGATGAACAGTCACTCATGATCTGTACATCTCAAGTTAGAAAAGCTCATTGGGCGGAAGTTCGACGAAATGGAGTAAATGGGAGGCTTACATCAAGAAAGATGAGAGACATGACTGTGGCCAGTATCTGTGCCTCAGAAGATTGGTCCATCCTTCCCTCCTCCATCTTGCAGGTCTCTTTTCTCAGCAGCCGTAGAGCTTGGTGGTGGTAGCCTAAGGCTACCGAGTCATATTCTCTGCTCCCAAGTATGGACCGTTCTCGGGCTGATATTGCCATGATGATATTGAATAGTGGTGATGACTTGCCTGTTGAGGCGGCAATACGCAGTAGGATAGCTTGGTAAGGATTCACTGATGGGTTCAGAACACATGTAGGTGCGATGGCGCCATGGAAATATGTCCAAAGATACACTTCCATCTTGGACATGGCTAGAGGATCCAGCCAGGCCCGTGGCTGTATCTCTTCATACGGCATATCAAAAACATCGCCGTCGTCTGTGTTGGGCCATTCTAGAGCTTTGATGTTGGGTGCATCATCATCCGGCGAGTCATCCAAGACCGCCTCTGGAAGCAGATGCGGGAGTGGCCTTGCACTGAGGTCCACTGAGTAGGCATGTAGAAACATCCAGTCCTCGGTGGAGCGTGTATCCAGAGGAGCCACCTTACTGCATGACTGTACATGCTGCCATCTGAGAACCTGGTTATAGCTGCAGCGCCGACCGAGCATCCGGCAAGGCTTGCAAGTCGGTTTCTGTTCTGAAGTCTATTTGTCAGATCACGTCACTCTACAAGGAAAACACACGGGACCGAACAGGGACCGTGGCCGACTCCTGAGTTCCTCAACCTCGACTGGGAGGGAGTTGAGGAAGCCGGAGCAAGAGTCCTCGTTCAACAACATCCGCGAACAATATCCTCTCCACTATTTCTCTAGCACACAGAACACTTACCAGGACATTTGACTCGCCTTTGGCGGCACTCATTGCACCCAGTCCGGGTCCTTGTCTCCCCGTCTCTCGCTCGTCTTGTCCCCATTGCGACTCTTTGTGCTGCCCCACCAGTGGTGCCTAGCAAAGTTGAGTTGGAAAACCCAGGGTATCAGACGACAGATCGTCGTTCTGCAGATGTGGGAAGGTCGAGACGAGCCGGCGAGGGATTTGGAGCAAGGGTGAGAAAAGGGTTGAGATTATGCCGCGCCGTCGCGGTCTGGCAGTATGGGGTAAGATAAGGCCAGTGGGACTGAGATAAAACGTGGGGAAATGCGGCCTGACTCGTACGGTTTTGCTCGATAAGTCAAGAGTTTATGCATTTATCCGCTATGAGAGATCCCAGCGTTATCGTTTGCGTCGTTTCGAGTTGCCTCGATATGCACGTCTTATTGCCGGCCAGAGGCTCCACCACATGATCTTGGTCCGATACCGCTACAGACCGCCATAGTATCATGCTTCATGATAGTCCGGGCGTAAATTGACTTATCTATCACTCGATAGCCATACTACCCACCGTTTATCAGAATCCAGAAGCCGCGCTTGAGGCACTCGTGTGTTGCATCGACCTGTCGCCCTTGGGAAGGGAGAGACCACGATACCGGAACGATTCGATAGGAGAACACTGCCCGCCATGCCCACTTCAAAGAGTGTGCTCGTCATTGGAGCCGGCACCTTTGGATTGTCTACGGCGTATCACTTGGCCAAGTCCGGGTACTCCCACATCACAGTCCTCGACAAGAGCGAGTTCTTGCCCTCCAACATCTCAGCCGGCCATGACGTGAATAAAATCATCCGCGCCGAGGATGAGAGCCCCTGGTATGCCGATTTGTCTCTCGTGAGTACCCTCAACATTGTGACATTTCGGTATTAACATGTACTAACTCTCGACTCAGGAGGCTATGAAGGTCTGGACAGAAGACCCCCTTTTCTCTCCTTACTACCATCAGGTCGGCTACCTTCTCGCCAATTCACCCGCAGCCCCCGAGAAGGCCAAAAAGACGCTCGCCAAATCTCTGAGCAACGTTTCCAATCGGCCTGCATGGCAGGGTAAAATTAAACCATTGAACACCCGTGCGGATATTCGTGCAGTGGCTCCAGCTTTTGATGGGCCCATGGAATGGAAAGGCTACTTCAACAGCTTGGCCGGGTGGGCACATGCCACGGACTCCATGCACGCTGTATATTCAGCATGCTGCCTACTTGGTGTCGACTTCAAACTAGGTGTCACTGTCGAGAAGCTGGCATGGAAAGGTGAGAAGTGCATCGGGGCATATTCCGCTTCCGGTGAGCTATACTCAGCTGATGTCACCGTCGTGTCCCTCGGAGCCTCAGTGGCAGCCGTTGTTCCAGAGCTCGCGCCGCAGATTACCGCAAAGGCCTTTGCCGTTGCTCACATCCAGTTGACGCCTGCCGAGGCCTTGAGGCTTCGGGGTATCCCTGTCACCTACGCCAGAGACCTCGGTTTCTTCTTTGAACCAGACCCGAGGACCGGTCTCCTCAAGCTATGCCCGTCTGGCGCAGGGATCACCAATTACAGAAACACCAAGGTGTCTTTGCCTCCTGTTGACAGTAACTACATTCCAGCCCATGATGAGGAAGCCATGCGAAAACTTCTTCGAGAGACTCTCCCATGGCTCGCGGACCGGCCTCTCATCAACAAACACATGTGCTGGATCGCGGATACACGAGATTCAGCCTACGTGTTCGATTATTTGCCAGGCAAGACTGGAGTCGTAGTAGCGACTGGCGATTCAGGAACCGCATTCAAGATGCTTCCAATCGCTGGAAAGTGGGTGAAGAAGGTGATTGAAGATGGGAAGCAGAGCGAATTGAGATGGCAGTGGAAGAATGTGTCTGGGAGCAATGACGATGTCAGCTGGCGGGTTGGTAAACCATATGACTTGAGCGAAGAACCACGAATCGTATCAAAGCTTTAAAACAGCCATCATGGTCTGTTATCTGATATCTGAGGATAATTTTAGTTCAGATTATCTATGATTCTATCGATTTCGAGGTTTTAGAATTAACTTATAACATATTATCTCTTTCCCTGGCCCCTGAAAGCGATGCATGAGGTGGACAGAGGGGAAAGGGGGCGAACGAGTTATCTTAACCGGAAAGTTCAGGCGTTATGAGTGTCATTTTAGCGAGACTATCGTCGAAATAGTCAGCTATTGAGTCATTATTAGGTACCACTATTAATTAATGCATAAAGCAATCAGCTATTGTGAGACAACAAAAAGCATTATTATGTGACTATCACAATAAGAGAATGTCGGGGTGACTCTGCGGTGCCTGTTTCTGTGACGGCCACTTGGGAATTATTGGGCTAGTAAGACAGCAGTGGTTTTATTTGTGTTTACACGCAAATCGAGTGGTTTCATCTAGTTTGAGTCTTTCATATCGTTATACTCTTGTCAGGTTGAGAAAACTATGTATACCTACATATACTAAAACTAATTTAAACAACGTATGTATGGAGGAGATAGCCGCAGAGCAGATTCTTGAAACCTTGGTTTCATGTCTTTCTTCGCCCATGTCCTACTATTAGTGCGTGTACCTGAACGACTCCTTCTGCTTCCCATCCGTGATATCGCCGAATCCCTCACCGCTGCCTTCCTGCACGTGCTCTGGCTTGCCGTAAAGGCGATCACGCCGGCGGTTCTCAAACATACAGACAGCCAGGTATGTGAGAGCAATCAGGATGGCAGCACAGAAGCAGCTGAGCATAGCAATTACGCCTCCGGTGTATTGCGGGGCTTGATTTGCACGGAATGTCTGGGGGCCGATCAAGTTACCTGCTGCGTATCCGATGTTGACGATGGCGAAGACGACGGCTTTCTTGGTTCTTCCTCCAGTGTTGGCCTGCGGGAGGGAGATGAACACAACATAGGGGGCTGCAATGCATCAGTGTGGTGCTCAATAAAATCGAAGGGGAGAGTGACTTACGCCAGTAAAGGTACATGAGATACAACCCAACCATTTGGGCGGGTATAACGCTCCTGGGGATTCCGTAGACCATGGCTGTTCCAAGCAGAGGAAACAGACACGCGATCGAAGCTACGATTGTGCGTCGGTTCGTCCACTTGCCCGCGAATGTGCTGAAGACCCAAGCCCCGAACGTACAGAACAGTCCGAATGGCATGGTCAGGAGACTGGCCTCCAGGGATGTGAATCCGAGGTTCTTAATGATGATGGAGCCAAACGTCACCAGGCCACCGTTGGGAATGTTGATGGCGATATTGAAGAAGAAGACAAGCCAGACTTTGATATCTAGAATAGCCTCGAGTGCCTGATCCCACTTCCACTTTGTATCCTTTGTCGCAATTCCGGTACGATTATCAGCCAGACGAGTGGTAGCGTAATACTTTTCTTCTTCGGTGAGGAATTTCGCGTTCATCGGGTTGTCGGGAAGTGTAAAGTAGAGGAGGATGGACCAGAGCACGTTGATGCTTCCAGTTAGAAGATAGAGATATTGCCATCGAGCGAGAGGGGCGCTTGTAGGAATTCGGCCGACGAGATAGGCGAAGAAGCCATTGAATATGGAAGAGAAGTAAGCAAACATGACTATTCATATTGTCAGTATGATCGTTGCTTCAAGTACCAGGGGGTTAGAGGTAGGTAACTAACTTGCGTTGCGAGAAGGCTGCTCGGCCTTGGTGTAGAAGGATTGGACAATGAGAGTCAAAGATGGAAAGATGACTGCTTCGGCCAGGCCTAGGAGGAACCGAAGAGCCATGAAGGCACCCCAGGTGTGACAAGCAGCGTATATGAGGGTCAGACCTGACCAGATCAAACCACCGAAGCAAAGAAGCCTCCCGGGTGGAACACGCTGAAGGACGTATGGTGTCAGGAAGAGACCTAGGAGGTGCTGGTTGATTCAGTTGGAATGCAAGATCCGATGAGTAGAGCACGGTATCGGTTGATGACAACTTACACCCACAGACAGGATACTTCCCAACCAACTGAACTCGGAGCCGGTGAGTTTGTTATTCTCGAGGAAGTCATACAGAGCCGCAGTCGACAGCTGAACCTTGTCAACAGCAGCCAGGGTGGTTGTGAAGAGACCCAAGGGGATGAGCCACGCATCAATCTTTCGCTTAATTTTCTTTTCCATCTCAGGAGTCATCGGGGGGTAGTCGGCGTGGGCAGCAATGAACTTGGCTGCCTGGTTACGAGTCTCGTCGTCGTCCATCTTGCCATTGTGGACTGAGATGTTTGCGGTATCCTTTGCACCAGGTGTAACGTCGGATGGCCGAGGTTCCGAATCTTTGGACTTGTCGGCAGTCATGGTTGGTTGGTAAAGGGGCTGATCAAGTTGGGCCAAGAGGAGGGGTCTGGATGGATGAGTGTGGTGTGTCCCAAGACTGGCGATCGTGTTTGTGATGTAGAAGAGTCCTTATAAGTTAATTGATGGACGCGTATCTCCTTGTCGCCAGATTTTGTTCGCGAGATAAGCGGCGGAGATTGGGGAATGACCCATCCATCTGTTGCTATCTCCCCCAGATTCTATGCAACGCCAAGATCGAGCCCACTAGTGACCCCGGCTGATCACTCGCGTGGACTAATTGACAAAGTGCTATCTCTTACAAGGATCTTATATGCCAATTGATAATAGAATGGTCTCGCCCGTGATATGTGTGCTGAGAGTGGGCAATCCGAAACGAGTTGACTTTGATATATGCATCTAACGAGAAGGATTTATCTCATGCATACCGGTGGAGGAGACTAGCACCAGATCAGAAAGGTGTTTGACAGTTACCGGGGCATTGGAATGGACCAAGTGGGGATGAAGCTGGTCTATTGATACAACCGACATTCGAAGGCAACTCGAATCGAAGGTTGCCCCATCCGCTTATACCCGTGGCATCTACCCGGTAGCAAGGAGAGGCTCCGATCGGCATCACAAGTTGCTGACGGGTGCTGGTTGTGGGGAGTGGTTTATCATTCTGATAAAGCGGAGATTAAAACATATCGTGGGGTTGGACTGTATACTCGCCGTGACAGATTCAAAAGGTGAGCACCGACCGTGTCTCCTGGGTATGATTCAAGCTTGGTGGTCAAAGACTGTCATCTATCAACTGTCTCTCCTCCCCATAAAGACCTGTCACACAAGGCAGTCTTCAAGATGCAACTTCCAACATCTGGTGTCACAATTGCCATCGGTAACAACGCCAACTTGAAGCATATCTCTAAACGATCCCGCTAATATTTGAATAGATCGAGGTGGCACATTCACAGACGTCCTTGCTCTGATCCCCGACAAGCCAGATTACTACTTCAAGCTGCTCTCGGTAGATCCTAGCAACTACCCAGATGCCACAATTGAGGGTATCCGGAGGGTTCTCGAGCACGTTCGCGGCCATGAGATCCCTCGCGGTGAGCCGTTGGACACAACTGGCGTAGCAGTCATTCGCATGGGCACGACTGTTGCCACCAACGCATTATTAGAGCGCAAGGGCAGCAAGTGCGCTCTTCTCATTACCAAGGGCTTTGGAGACCTAGGCGTCATCGGCGACCAGAGCCGCCCAAATCTATTCGACCTGAACGTGAGGAAGCCAGGCGCTTTATACGAGAAGGTAGTCGAGATTGACGAGCGAGTCACGCAAGAGTCATACGCCGAAGATCCGTTGGAACGCAGCTTCAACGAGCGGATTGACGGCGTTGAAGTCAAGCCCGGAGTCACAGGGGAGGTCTTCCGCATCCTGAAACCTCTAGGTATGATAATATATTTCCTCTTCTCCTCAAGAAAATACGAGTTAGGCTCTAACTGATAAATACGACAGATGAGGCTGTTGTTTCCAGCCAGCTCCAGGCGCTGTACGACGACGGGTTCCGCAGCATTGCCGTCTGTTTAATTCATGGATACAACTATCAAGGTATGTCAAGCAGGCAAATGTCACGCGAGAGCCTATCACTAATATCATCTGCAACAGAGCACGAGGCCCGTATCGGCAAGCTTGCTTCCGCAGTCGGATTCACCAGCATCTCATTATCTCACAGCCTCATGCCAGTAATCAAGCTGGTTAATCGCGCACATTCCACAACAGCCGATGCGTACCTTACCCCAGTTACCAGGGAGTACATCGATGGGTTCCTTCGGGGCTTCAAACTAGGATATGAAAATCACACTAGAATTGAGTTCATGCAGTCGGATGGTGGTTTGGTCAGTTTCGACAAGTTCAGCGGCCTTCGTGCTATCCTTTCTGGCCCCGCTGGCGGTGTCGTAGGATATGCTCGAACTTGCTACGAGACCACTGACCCCAAACCTGTGATCGGTTTTGACATGGTAAGATATTGTACATTGTTTGGAAGATGGGGAACTTCTCTGACAGCGTGTGACTTAGGGTGGTACCTCAACGGATGTTTCACGATATGGTGGCTCGTATGAGCACATTACAAATTCTGTCACTGCTGGTGTTCATATCAACTGTCCCCAGCTTGATATCAACACGGTAGCTGCTGGAGGAGGTTCTATTCTCTTCTTCCGCAATGGATTGTTCGTTGTTGGACCTGAGTCGGCTGGCGCTCACCCAGGTCCAGCTTGCTACCTGAAAGGAGGCCCTCTGACAGTAACCGACGCTAATCTTGTCCTTGGCCGCATTCTTCCCAAAACCTTTCCCAAGATCTTCGGGCCTAACGAAGACCAGCCCCTGGGCGCCGATGTTACCCGCCAAAAGTTTGCTGAGCTGACGGCAACTATCAATGAGGAGATTCACGGCCAGCGGCCGGAGATGACCATCGAAGAGGTTGCTTTGGGCTTCTTACAAGTTGCAAACATCAACATGTCGAAGCCAATCAGAGCTCTTACAGATACCCGTGGTTTTGATACAACTGCCCACAATCTGGCAAGCTTTGGCGGTGCAGGAGGCCGTAAGTTCATAACGCATAACAGCGAACTGGAGACAATAAGATGATGCTAATACATGCTGTAGAACATGCTTGTGATATTGCCCAAGCTCTTGGAATCTCCCGCGTCGTCATTCACAAGTACTCCTCCATTTTATCTGCATACGGTATCGCCCTTGCAGATATTGTGGAAGAGAGGCAAGAACCATCCTCAAAGGTATACGACTCGGAAACCGAGTCTCACTTTTCAGCTCGTCTGCAGGCCCTGGCAACGGAGGCCGAGAAGGCTCTTGCGGTGCAGGGAATTTCCAAAGACTCGATCCGCATGGAGAGTTTTCTGAACATGCGATACCACGGCTCCGACAGTCAGCTGATGACCCCTGTCTCTACAGGCGACCCAAGCGTGTTGGATGACTTCACGAAGACTCACTTACGAGAGTTTAGCTTCGTGGACAAATCAAGAAAGATCATTGTTGATGATATCCGAGTGCGAGCCAGCGGATCTAGCCATCGCCTGGAAGAAAGATCATTCCAAGAGGACCTCGAGAATGTTAAGAAAACAACGAATGACCTCAAGAAAGAAAACAAGAAGAGCAAAGTTTACTTCCAAGGTGGTTGGCAATCAACTCCCGTTCTTACTCTGGACAGCCTTAAGCCTGGCACCGTGGTCGATGGTCCAGCCATCGTTCTGGACAAGACCCAGACCATCGTTGTTACTCCCTCCTCCAAAGCAACTGTGCTGGAGCGTCACGTAGTTATTGACCTGGGCCTTCAAGGCAAAAAGTCTGTGAACGCTGAGGAAGTGGACCCAATCCAGCTGGCAATCTTTGGCAATCGTTTCATGTCCATTGCCGAAGACATGGGTAGAACTTTGCAGAGAATTTCCATCAGCACCAACGTGAAGGAGCGTTTGGACTTCTCGTGCGCAATCTTCGACGGTGAGGGATCTTTAACAGCAAATGCACCTCACGTACCTGTGCATTTGGGATCTATGTCTCGCGCTGTTAAGATTGCTATGAAGCACTGGGAAGGGAACCTGAGCCCCGGTGATGTGATTGCCACCAACCATCCTGCAGCTGGTGGAACGCATCTTCCCGATATCACACTTATTTCTCCCGTCTTTGACAAATCTGGCCAGCATATCGACTTCTTTGTCGCTGCACGCGCCCACCATGCGGAAATCGGTGGGATTGCCCCTGGCTCTATGCCCTCAGACTCTGTCGAACTGTATCAAGAGGGTGTTGCCTTCGAGCAATGGAAGATTATCTCGAAGGGAAAGTTTGACGATGAGGGTGTTCAGCATCACTTTGTTGATGTCCCCGGCTCGTACCCTGGTTGCAGCCCTTCACGCCGCGTTCACGACAACATTGCCGATCTCAAAGCCCAGATCGCCGCTAATCAGAAAGGTATCAATCTGATTCACAGCCTTTTTGAGGAATACGAGCGCGAAACCGTGCTGTTTTACATGCGCGCCGTGAAGCAGACGGCTGGAGTTGCAGTCCAGGACCTCCTCAAGACTACCGCGAAACGGTTCGAGGGCGAGATGCCACTGACGGCAGTCGACTATCAGGACGACGGCACGCCGATCAAACTGGCAATTTCCATCGACGCTGAAAGGGGTGAGGCGGTTTTCGACTTTGCCGGCACCGGGCTGGAGACTTTCAACTGTTTCAACGCACCCCTCGCTATCACCCACTCCGCTATTCTTTACGTCCTCCGCTGTCTCGTGGGCATGGACATTCCTCTCAACGAAGGTAAGTGTAGGTACATGACCGTAAAACCATTTTTACTGACCGGACCTAGGTTGTATGGAGCCAGTCATTGTCAACATTCCCGAGGGTACCATCCTCAACCCCTCTCATAATGCTGCTGTGTGTGCTGGCAACCCCCTCACATCCCAACGTATCACCGATGTCATTCTCAAGGCATTCCGTGCGTGTGCTGCCAGTCATGGCTGCATGAATATCTTGTCTTTCGGAGTGGGAGGCTGGGACAAGGAGACGAAGCAGTTTGTGCCCGGTTATGGTTACGGAGAGACTATCGCGGGTGGATGTGGTGCTGGGCCTGGCTGGCACGGATACAGCGGCAGCCATGTGCATATGACGAACACCAAGATCACGGACCCTGAGATCATGGAGAAACGAGTAAGTTTCATCGGCGGAAGTCTGCGAGATGCCTAGCTAACGATGCAACCACAGTACCCTGTCGTTCTGAACCAGTTCTGCCTGCGTCCGGATTCAGGAGGCAAGGGTCAATGGAAAGGAGGCAACGGAGTCATTCGCGAGGTAATCTTCATGGAGCCTTGTCATGCTTCCGTTCTCTCGCAACGCCGTGTGTACAGCCCTTACGGTATGGCTGGTGGCGAAGACGGCGCTCGAGGTATTAATTATCTCGGCCGAAAGATGAAGGATGGAAGCGTACGGTGGATCAACATTGGAGGTGGCAAAGAGATCGATCTTCACGCTGGCGATCGTATCATGCTCTGCACTCCTGGTGGTGGCGGTTATGGAAAGCCTGTTGAGACCGACGGCGTTGGAGTGAGTGGGCAAGTGAACGGACATGCGAATGAACATGTGAATGGCTATGTCAATGGAGAATCCAAGTTCCAAGCTCCTAGCCCGAGAGCCAATGGAAGCTTGCGTGAGTATGAGTCCAACCAACAAGCATCAAACTAGCATATCATTGGGTTATTATTATCTTTTAATGTTGAATGAACATAAAGTTAGATCATTTTTCTTTCTCTCTGATATCAGAATGGATATCTTGAACAGCCTGCGCCTTGAGGAGACAGATATTCCTGTGCCTTGTCTAATCTCAACTATAATGACATCACATAGTATACATAGATCATATTGATTTACAACACCTTACAATTGCGTTCTATAGGCATATCTCACACAAGAGGAAGGTTTCTTTCTCATTCTAATCTGATATTCAGCTGTCTCTTCTAGTTATCGTGGCTACCCTAGAATAGGCATTGCAAGCCTCAAGAGTTGAGATTGGCCTTTTGTGAACAAGGGCGTAATGGACAATTGAGAAAATAGGCACCGAGAGTCTTGACTGCGAGCTTTCAATATCGCCTTCAGAATTTGTTAATACTCTTGAAACAGACCTTTCACTGTTAGACTGTGTAGTCACTAGGATTATTGACCCGTATTGACCCGTCGTCATGTGTTTTAAAAAATAGGTGAATCGTTAGCTGACATGGATTTCCTCAAAAAGGTTGGGCTTCTGGGGGAAACTCAGCTTTCCACAAAATTACATACGAATAATACGAAGCAAACGAAGCTCAGACTAGACCATTAGAGTTTAGTTAGTTCACGAATAGCAATCAGATTGATCGACACATCTTTCTCAATCGAGCAGCTAGCGAGTCACTGAACGGTCCGAGCAACGTCTCGGCGTACCGAGAACCCGGACAGTGGGCGTAGGTCAGCGAGGTCTCGTGCGGAGGTGTGAATTAGCTGATCGCCTTAGTTGCAGATGGTTAGTGTGATGGCTAGGATATATTGCGTTATTGTCATTAGGAATGTTATGATTGTCTCCAAGTTAGCTCTATCTAGAGACTAGGAACGGTGACGAATTATATAACTAGCTGAAAGATCTCCAATCAACCCTACCTCCACTCTTCCAGCTACTGCTGCAGCTGACACAACCGGTGAACACCCCGGGGACCGGAAACGACACCAAGCCCACTCGAAGGAGGCGCAGCTTGCTATTGTTCATTGTTTTATTGAAACCTCAACCAACATTCACGCTAAACTCGGACTGTTAAGCCGCCAAAGTAAGCTTCGCCCCCCTGACGATCGTCAAGTTCCTGTTCTGTGCGTAGAACTATCTACTAATGCGTGAATGCATACGCATCTACAAGCCGTGCAACTTCGCGCCCAAGGCCGAAACTATAGATGTATCCACCGGCTGTTGTTCCGTAAGCGTGAATTACGTTCTGCCCATTGATCACCTCCTTCTCCACTCTCACTTCAGGTAGTCTCAATGGTCGGATGCCTTCAAGGTCCGTGACGAAGGTGTAGTCACTAACTCTACCGGAAGGAAAGTCATTAGGTAAACCTGCGTGCGCCATACGAACCAGCTGATTGTAGGCGTCGTCCATTAGTCACCGCTTTGACATTGAGTGGAAGGGTAAGCGTTCAGAAGCTCCTTACCTCTGTACGTGTGGATTCCGTCGATCTTCTCTTATTACCAACAGGCTCCGAGATGCCCCCGAGGACCGCAGTGCCATCATGACGACCAAATATGTAGGTGTAGCCAGCCGCTGCGCGGCGAACGAAACTCCCGCGGAATTCAGATTTCACCACCGCCGTATATGTACGGTCTGTGATGATCTTCTCATCCTGGACATCCCCAAGAGTCATTGAGCCTAAGCCCGACGCATTGATCAAAATGTCGTGGCCAAAATGGGAAAGCGCGCCAAGTGAGTTGATAGTCTCTATGCGCTTGAATGTAACCCCTGTAGTCTCAAGGCGGCTCCGGAGCCACGGAAGAAAGACTGCTGGAGTGAGGGTGAAACTATTGTACTTTACCGCCACATCAGCCGTCTGACCGTTAGGTAGCTGCGCTGGGTTCAGCTCCTGATATCCGGGAACGATCTCGTGATACCAAAGCTCCTTGGCTGACGTGGCCCCAACCTCATGAAGGTCTGTGAGTTCTGAGCACCTGATGGAGGATTCCGGGTCAGTTTTAGCGAGCTTGGAACAGTAGGCTAGACTGTCAAGCTGCATCTTCTGCTCCAGGGGAGTGCCTCCGAGAGCCACCCAGCCAGCGCATGCCCAGGGGCTGCACCACTGTTGCGTTGGGTCATCTCCAGGGAGATCCCGGGCAACTATAGTGATCTCATAGTTTCTAGGCAGTTGGCTGGCAATTGACATTCCGGTGATGCTGGTAGAGAATTTCTGTTAGTGATAAAGGAAGCAAAATAGCATTGAAACGTAGGAGTTAATACCCAGCGCCGAAAATGGTTACTTTAGTCATGGTAGATACGATGATCTTTTGTCAACTGGTTATCCAAGGGTTGAGTAAGACTCCTTCTGCGAAAGGAGACCAAAGTTACTGCATTTTAAGACTTCATGACGGACGTGAGGAGCCAGCAGCTGAGCCAACGTGTGGACGCACGTGAGGGCTTAACCTTGCATCCGGGTATACACCCAGAAAGGGCATTGAGCTTGGAATCAACACCACATGGATGGGTGTGAAAATATCACGCTCACAAGACCTAACGGGGCTAGCAGTCTAGACGCTCCGTTAGGTCAGAAGGGATGAGGAATGAAACCGGGGGGGCAAAGGATTGGTTAGAGACGCATGTCAAGGGATTATCGGTCGGAATGTCCTAGTACATGGTGATGATGTACTGGTACCTTTGACTGGACGTGCTAGTGCATTCCTCATTGTGTCGTATTGAAGTCCCAACAAGTGTCCACACAATTCATGCACCTGGAGTGTGTGAGAATTTCAAAGTACACCAAAGATCCATTGATGCTTTTGAATAGCTGAACTACGGAGCAAGATTGGAGCTGGTCGGCCGCCCAGCTAACGTGCATTGACCTTCGAGCTTTCGGGAACAGCCATCTTGGTCTAGCTTCAGTTGTTTAGGTGTGCCTAGAACCAACTCAATAAGCAATTTCGCCTACCGCGTACTGGGGAAAAGCAACCGACTTCCCGTATTTGGTTCGATGTAAGAAGGAGGCACTATTGTGTGTCATTAAGTGTCATGAAGGATGTGCCTCACGGAGTAGGTGCCATACTTGGGTGGTCTGGTCCATCAGCCTACGAACGCAGATGAAGTGCTGGCAATTGTCGATTGGTCCATGTAATTATCCCACGCGCGTCGTACCATTGACTAGCTGGAGAAGAGGATGAACACTGGCACGCCGAGGGGTATCACGAAACTATCATGACGTATGAGTTGGGGGCTTGTCATCAAGACAAGGTGTTGTCGGGCATAGGAAGAAACGGGACCGATGTGTTTATTAACCGACTCCACGCAGTGAACTACCAAACTTGGGTAAGTTTACTGACATGGATAGCTTTCCCTAGATGAGTTGTGGGGTGGGATTTGATCTCTACCGGCTAAATGTGACTTTAAATCTGACATCAGATAACCGCAGTTGGTAACAAAGGCACACCCTTCTTTGGCCCACAGCAGTTGAGACCATATCCTTGCTCGAAGATGACGACTTAAGGGGTTCTAGGGGCGAAATTGAGGGGGAGTGGGCCGGAGACAACCGTGAAAGTATCCTGCTTTTTTCCAAGAAAAGATCCCTTTTCGTACCCTGGCGCAACGGTAATATCATACCGAGTTAGAATCTCGGCAGTGACGCGGCGTATTTCCATCAACGCTAATCTCTTGCCCACGCATGCGTACGGTCCTAGTTCCTTGTCAGTTGATCGCTGGCTATTGTAATTTCGAACCTAACCTAATAGGAATAGGAAAATAAACATACCCATATTGAAAGGAATAAAGACAGACTTGTTCTTGATGAGCTCCTTGTGTTCCATCCATCGATCAGGGAGAAACTCTGTGGGCCTCTCAAAGTTGCGCGGATCTGCCAACGACAATTTCGCGCAAGGATACTGTCAGCCAGCCTAGAAATGCCGCCGATTAGCGAGATTAAAGGGTCACATACCTCTGAAGACTGTATAGGATGGCACCTGCACAATGGTATTCCCAGGGATCTGGTTACTACCGATACGGAGACCTCCTTGGGGTGTAACTCGCTGCGTGCCTGAAGGGACCGGTGGGTGCAGCCGAAGCGTCTCATTGATCACGGCGTCCAAGAGCTCAATATTGATTAAATTTGAGTTCTCCAAACTTGGGAGAGCGTCGAATGCATCCTGTAAGTTTTTGGTAAGATTTGCGTCATAAGCAAGCTCGTAAAAGATGTGAGTAAGAGTCGCTGCCACAGAGTCGCTTCCGGCAATGACAATTAATTGTGCGTCTCCGTGTAAGTTCCAATCATCTTTCTGAGTTTTCTTCCCTTGGTCGTAGTTCGCCAACAACCAGGAGAAGATATCGGGCTGGTCTGGCTCGTTCTAAAAACAAGGGTTAGAAGGAATGTCGATAGCTCGGCTCTTGGTTTGTCCCGCGCACCTTTCGCCTCTCATTAATATGATTTTGAATCCAGTTCCAAAACTTGATATAATTCCAGTTCAAAAGCGGAGTCCTTTTCAGGAAGGGGAGCAGCCAAGGAAGATGGGCGAAGAAGGCAATGTTGAACATATCAGTTCGGATAGTTTGGAATACATATGAATCTTCGCCGTTGCGAATCATATTGGAGTTTTTGTTGAAAGCCAGGTCCTCCATGACGTCAAAAACGAAAAAGTCGAACCACTTGGTGATATTGATTGGTTGATTGTGGTCACGATCAATAACTTGAAGGAGCTCATCAATTGCCTTGGTGATTCGAGAATCGTACCCGAGAAGGGCTATCCAGGACTACGGGTTAGTGATATTCCAATGAATGTAGATCTTCTGATGCTATGGCGAAGGTTTCTACCTTTGGTACTGAATCCTTGATCCCAGACTTTGCGGCGCCGCGCATGTTCCTCCTTGTCGCGAGCCATGAAAAGGGGGTAGCGCGGCTCTAGGAGTGTGTACCAAGGCCCCTTGACCGTTGGAGAGTGAGTGCCGTAGATAGCTTCAACGGCGGCTGGATCAGTAATCGACAGCTCCGACGGGCCTGGATGATGTGAGCTCAGGCTTGCGGCCGAGGGATGTGAGAGTTACAGGCGACTTACCAAGGCGCACGTAATCCCCATATTGATGGTGAATTTGTTCAACTTCCTTAAAAAGTTGGAGATTTCTTACGGAGCGAGCTGTGATGTAGAAGTTGCTAAGCTTGGCTAAGAAAGGACCTGGATATCTGGAGAGTCGATGGAAGAACGCCCGATAAATAAGCATGCTAAAATATAAACCAACAAGGTAAGAAATGACCACTTCGGCTGCTTCGGTAAACGGGAGCTGGAGGCGAGCTTTTGCAATCCCAGAAGCCATCAGGAATGCCATAAGATGACCAACGAAGATCTGGGGCGCGAGCACATCCCATTCCCCTATCCGAAAGACAAGTAGGTGAGCCGAAGCACCGCCAAGGCAGGCCAAAAAGCTCACGGTGTTGAATGAAAACATCTTCCTGACCTAAGTCAAATACGGTATTATGTAGTCGAACAGAAACTTGATTAAAACGCAGTCTGATCAGGATACGAAGAACCACGACTCAAAGAGGGGTCGGAAGGAAGATAGATAGGTTGCTACGTGTCCTGTAGGCTGTGACATAATGTGGCTGGGAATTCATCGAATAGGTGCATCTTCGTTGGTTGATTTGTATTGTCAACTGAACCTCGTGGATCCCCCATGCAACACAAAACCTTGCCAATTTGGCTTGCGGTTGGTCGGAACAGAAGGCGCCTAGGTCGAAGGATCGTTTGCCTATTTGGGTATCGGCAAGAAGGGGGTGTCGTTACAAAGTTGTACACACCCAAAAGCTCGCGCCAAAGCGTCCACAGGTGGCCTCCCATATTGTCTGTCTCCAAATAACGCTATGATTAGACAAGATCCATTGATGTTGATCCATTGAAGGAATCCTAGTGACCTCTACGAGTGTGGCGGACCCATTATCATGATGTATGTATACAAGGGATCCTTTCCCACCAACATGATGCATCTCACGTCATCCCTTGTGGATGGTGGGAGATCAAATCTAACACTATCTCATAACCAATAGGGTGTGTACAAGCCACGGAACTTTATAGCTCGCTTGGTGTGGTGGTAGCACGTTGCCGCCTTGACAAAGCCGAGGGCCAACAATATCAACACCCGCCTGCTAAATACACCCATATAGATTTCCACGCTCGCACCGTTCGTAGCACTCGCCGATACAACTCTATTCAGTAAAGTTCTTCATTATCGCTTGTGGTATTATATTCCTTGCGGAGAAATATGGCATTGGGAACAACAGCCTGGGATGTATCTCCAGCATCTTGGCTTCAAAGAAGGACTGCCAGTATCCAGCTAAAGCAACATAATGTTTTTCTTTCCGTGAGTCCGACCCAAGATAAGGCTATCTGTCTTCCTCACTAATTCATTAATCAATATCACAAGCTTGCCCTTATTGGCTCCGACAATGTCCCCATTTCTAATGGCGCCGACATCTTAGAAGGAGATGAAGCCAACCACCAAACGAAGGCTTTCTCAACGGTACTTCAAGCCCACATGGGCTTCAAAACTTCTTTGCTGCCCGAGGAGGTTGGGAAGAACTCCTTCAGCGAGAACTGCAGAGCCGAAGTGAATGCTATTGACACATTCTTCCCTGGAGCATTGCCAGAGAAAGTCCGTATTTGCTTCGCGGCCTGGCTCGCCTTTGCATGCGCCATGGATGACATACTCGAGATGCTGCCTTCTGATTTAGGCCAAGCGGTCTTATGCGACTGCATCGAAATAATCCAAGGCCGCCCTGCAGACGTTTCGAATGGTACCCAAGGTATTTGCTATTGGATCAGAAACAATGGTTAGCTCTAGCTAATTTGCCATCCTTTTAGGACATGCCGGCGATGCAAGGATCCAACACCTAACGAGGACGTTGCATCAACATGTCACACATCATCTTCGCCAAGACACATGTGATGTGTTCTTCCGCGAGGTATGCGGCGTCTTGTATGCGCATATTGATGAGTTCTTGTTCTTGGACGGTAGGATTCCTCAAGACTTGGATACGTATATGTCGATCCGCAGTCGTACCATCTCTCTCAATCCCTTCTTCGAAGTGATCAAGCGCGAGTATTTCCCTGCAACTTGGCGGTCTAATACGGCCTGGGACCGGCTACAAGAAGCTGTCTCCTCCGCAGCTGGACTACAAAATGATTTAGTAGGCTTGGAGCGAGATATGAAGAAAGACGAGCAGATGAATGCCGTTATTGTTTTGATGCGTAGTCAAGCTGGGGCTCGCTCAGCCGATGAGACTCATTCGCTCTTAGCTCAGTGCGTAGATACTGCGGTAGACGTGCATAATAAGAGGATGGAGACAGTATTCAAACAAGCAGCACGAATACTTGAAATGGCCGGGGGAGATCAGTTAGCGGCAGCGACGAGTCAGGTTGTGCAGCACATTGTTACAATGGCCCGGGGCCACCTGACATGGTGTGCTTCAGCGAAGAGGTACATGATCAGATTGGATCACGATGAATAGAATAAAGCCATAGATCAGTTCTATTTTGGTAATATATTGAAGCTCAACGCCCTTTATTGATGTATTGGGAACACCCCTTCTCGTACAACTGGCACACAAAGTCCCAAGGGTGGAGGGGGGCGTGGCTCGGACGCACCAGAATCTGACCGGGCTAAAGTAGCCCGACTCTTTCAATACATATCCCTGTTAACCAGAGCGGGGTTGACGGAAGTTGTACTTGAGTTCTTGCAAGTGCGGCGTAGGGGAATACGGGATAAAAGGGTTCCTCGATGGTCGTCTCCTGCGTCCTCCAGCCATTCGAGAAACATGGTGGCAGGACAGTCGTCAAAATGATCAACCAGGAGACTCTAGTTCGTTCAAATGGGATATTTCATGGTCTTCCAACCTATCCTAGTACCCCAGGTACCCAAAACCTGACGGCTCTTGTGGCCGGAGCTACGGGTCTATCTGGCTCTCACATGGTCAAAGTGTTAGCTGCGTCACAGCGCTGGAGAAAGATTTACTGCCTGAGTTCGAGGCCTCCTCCAGAGAACTTCTTCGCTGATCTTGGAGATGGCAGTGGGAAAGTCGAGCACGTGGCCATTGACTTTCTTCGACAGCCAGCCCAGATTGCAGAATGTCTTAGCGACAAGATCGAGCACGTGTAAGTACTCAAGATGTGTTTGTGGTAGCTCCGGGGCTTCGCTCAACAATTGTACAGTGATCACGTATTTTACTTCTCGTATATGCAGCCACCTCCCAAAGGTGATGCTTTAGACCTCTGGGCACATGCTGATGAGCTCGCAAGGATCAACCGTAAGCCACCTTCTCCCTTGTTTCAGATTTTACTGACCTTCCCGCCCGCCCCTCAAGTGTCTTTATTCAAAAATTTCGTCGGTGGTCTACAGCTAGCAGGCTTAAAACCCAAGAAATTTATGCTCCAGACGGGATCTAAACACTATGCGTTTTACCTTGGCCCGGCGGCAATTCCAGCTTTCGAGTCTGACCCGCGTGTGACGATCGATGACAATTTCTACTACGCACAGGAAGATGCGCTCGCCTCTTATTGCAAATTAAACGGATCACAATGGGCCGTATCACGGCCTACATATATCATCGGAGCAGTCCGTGACGGGTCTCTCAACCATCTCATCGGCTTCGGAATTTACGCTTCGGTACAGGCGTACAGGAAGCAGCCGCTGTTGTTTCCGGGAGACTACCGTGCTTGGGACCGTGAGCAGCACCAGAGTTCGGGCTTGCTGAATGCCTATTTCCAAGAATGGTTGGTTCTGTCTGAAAGCACCGCTGGTGAAGCATTCAACATCCATGATGGAGATTCATTCACTTGGGGGCGGCTCTGGCCCTATCTTGCTCAATGGTATGGTATCGAGTGGCATCCTCCAGAGACGGATGATTCCAAGTATCGAACTGTAAAGATGGCGCTTCCCACAACACCAAGAGGGTGAGTACACGAGTGAAACTTGCAGATAAATACTTATCAGTAATTACGTCGCTAACGGTTATCAAGATATGGCCCTCAGGCAACAATGAGGTCAACATTCAGCCTTCTTGAGTGGTCTTTGAAACCCGAAGTTGAGCAAGCATGGAAGGAAATTGCTCACAAGCATGACCTGGTGCTGAATCCATTTGATCCTCTTTACCGCGCTCGCATCTTCTCATTCTCTGACTCGGCCGTGATCGGGGATGGCGCAATGACCTTGAGTATGCGGAAGGCTCGCAATCATGGCTTTTTCGGCACTTTGGACTCTTATCGCTCCATATTTGACTCTCTACATGAGCTTGCCAGACTGAAGATGATAATGCCACCAGTTGTGGGTGAATTTGTCGAATAGATTTGGCAAGAGAGAATCCACAAATATGATCTCACCCTGAGAACCGCAAATCCGTAGCACAAGACTGTGCTTAACCATCAAAGTATCCTATCCCGGATGTGACGGTGCTAATGGCATATAAGTTCGGGATCGTGTTAGACATGGAGTCGGTATCTAGTGGTATGAATGGAGGATAGAGCTAGAAAGACCCCTTAAGCCAAGATGAAGCTTCAGAGCCTTGGTAACTGCAAATTATCTGGGGTGACGAGAATATTCTGTGCGCTTTCGTTGCTGTGAACAATGGCTACCACTTCGTAGAATTCGATATCAATTGCGACAACAGATGCAGGATTGTTTAGGATCTAGATCACTGCCAAAGTAGGACATAAACTATCACACTAGCCGAGCTCTTTCACTATCCTTCCTCCATATGCAAGACAGCAGAAGAAAATGAGTGGGCAAGTCTCTTCGGTAACCCATGCAGGAGTGTGTCTATCTATTCCCACACCCAGATGCCCTCAACCGCGAGATCCCCATATCTCCCTGAGAAAATCCTCCACTTGCGTAAATTCATGATCCGGCAGAATCTCATTCCACTCGTCCGTGACTGTCCAAAGACCATGTTTAGCACCAAGCATTACGGAAATTGTCGCCAGCTGTGAGAAGGACTCGACCTGGTCTTCTGGAATGTCAGGAAAAGGTACTCGGAAGAAGTTGTCGGTTTTGAGTTCCCCAGCTTCAAGATCTTTCTGTTCCAAGCTTTCAATTGTGAAGCGAGTCCCTGCAACTAATTTCAGCATAAAGGGATCTTCTTCAACGGTTATTATTGTCAACATACCACGGACTCTCTCCCCAACTCGAATGAGATCTTCGAAACTGATTTGATTCCCGCTAACACCCCCAACAAGTGGCCATTCGCCTTCATACTCAATAGCGCGGGCTACAACTTTTCCGATGTCGCGGGCAGCCGTAAATGTGATTTTATCAGTCAGTGAGCCTGAAAGCACGAGAGCACGGCATTTCTCAATGTCCACGGTCATAGGCATTGTCGTTAGATACTTGGAGATCCGGTGAGGGTGACCCAAATAATCCATCAATATGCCAACCTGAAAACAGCTATACTCAAGAACCTACCACTAATCGTTAACGCAATACTCATCACTCTAAAAAAGGAAAGCTCTCTTCGCACCTTTTTCTCCTTGTTCAGCTGCTGTAAATAATGTCGAATCTCCACTTTGCCTGCGTTCCACGGTGTGAGACTGAGATGAGCGTCTAGCTTCATGCTTCTGCTTTCTGGTCAGCTATTCGGAGTCAACAGATATATAGACTGGTATCATACGTTGCCCACTCAGCAGGTGCATAACGCCTCACCCCTGCTTTGATTGCAGCATCAATGAGCATCTTTTGAGTAGCATTGCCAGGGTCACGATGCACGGCAAAAACGCAAAGTAAGGTGTCCACTCCTTTTAGCAGTTGGACAAGCTCAGACTCAGATTCATATGAAGTCTGAGTCCACGTGACCCCTTGCAGCGGAGGCAAAAGTGAGGGATCCTTGAAAGTTTGAGTCATTGGGAAGTCTCATGATTAGAGGTCGGGGAGTCAGAATGAGGCATACCCTGCGAACCAGTGCAATAATTTCATGTTTCTGGCGCTCGACTATTCCGTCCAATATCTCCCGGCCAAGTTCTTTATTAAGTTTTTAGCATTGACGTAAGACCAAGAAACATGGTTCATGTATAGAACATACCACCTGCCGCTCCGGCGATTGCTACCTTTACCATGCTTGTGCTGTATAATGACCGATTCTAGGTTGCCTAGACAAACGCCAATGTTTTAGAGAGATCAATCCTTTTTATACCAGAACTTGACTTACACAGATTAGAACAATCACATATTGCAAGTTTCTCTGAGGCATGATGCAACAATACGTGTATGCTCCTCACGTAACCGGAGGCCTAGTGTGTCCGGTGGAGGATGAGTCTGTTACGTGATCGGACTGAAATTCCTCCGACTACGAGGATCCCTGTTCCTCATGATTTCCCCGCCATTAACACGGCTTCGAGACAATCATCTTAGTCTGAAGTTATACAGCATACAGGAAAGCAAAATATGGCCTCTCGATTTTCAAGAAATTTAATTGAGGCAGATGAGGGAACAAGGGTAAGTGACACCAAAATAACAAGATTTGAAACGGCATCTGCTGAACTGATGCCATGAAGGCACGCCGTGAGCGTGGTCGACAATCTCAGGCTGCCTTCCGCAAGCGCCAGGCGCAATTCAACCGGGATTTGAAGAACAAAAACCACCAACTGACACGCAGTATTGAAAGAGTGCTTGACTGTATTCAAGGCGACGAGCGCCCGGACCTACTTGGTGCCGTTTCTGACATGGCTCGCACAGCCGGGATTAACTCCTCACATGAAGGTGAACAAGGAGGAGAGGAGGGCGATCGTTCCGCCAACTGGTACATAAATGATCTGGCTGTTGGAAGCAATGAGGAATTGTATGATGAGTTCATACTTCAAAGCAAGCCTCCAAAGCCCCATTACACCGAAATGCGTCTAGATCCATTCCACTACATGAACATCTCGCTACCACCCGAGGATATAGTGCCATATCTCGGTGCAGGCTCAAATACATTTGCCGGTAGACTGTTCTGGTTCATGTTAGAGCACAGCCAAGTTCGGTGCGAGAATAATCACGAAGAGCCGATAGAATTCCATCAGAGGATTGTTGGTCACTCTCAAGCAATGGAAGGAGTGAGCTTATCATTTGCCCAAACGATGGTAGAGGCAAGGCTAGAACACAGGCGTACGGGATCTATTGCCGCAGAAATTGCTCCAGCAGCAGAGATAGACTTGGCTATGGTTATCTGCACAAGGGTGCAGGAAGAACACGAAAAGAAAGGAGACAACATGGCACAGTGGATGTCCTGCCAGGCTGTTGAAGAGCACATTCAAGAGATCCTCGGCGAGGATACGTTCACTAGGCTTCAGGTGGCCTTTTTAGAAAACGGGCATCCGTTTGTGAAAAAAAAGGTCGAGAAACTCTATTGCAAGCTATATGATACATTCGTGTGTTTTGGGGATGGCCCAAGGTGGACTATTGACACTGTCAACGAGCTTATCTTTGAGTGGATCATGTCGGCTTTCGAAGCAACAGAGAAGAGGTACTTGGCTTGGGATTTTAACAGGGAACCTGGTTTATTTTCTTCCTAACAAAGTGGTCTTTGGTGGATCGAATTCAACTAGGAAACAGATTAGACATTCTGGGAAATAAAGTACTCAAGCCCAGCCTTTTCGAAAAAGGCTTGGCAGGGCACGAGTATGGAAGGAAGACCCGAGTTACGCTGGATGGGAATCATGTGATCTTTTGTTGATTGGCAGAGCATGGCTGGGATACTCAGCCTTCGTTGGAAAGATGCCCGGCTGCTGCCTTTTCTGGACATGGCCAAGCCCCAATATATGCCCGAGAGCTAAAAGAAACAACAAGCAATATATGTGACCCTGTATCACACGTTAGTTAGCTCCAATTTTCTACGATAGCCTTTTCCAATAATGGCTTTTCCGGGTACATCTTCACCACTTTGATGCAAAATAAATCTTTTGATGATCAGATGTACAATCAGGCCGTAATGAGGACCTTGAAGTGCGGCGATCCATCAAGGGGTACGTCAACGCATGCCATAGAGCGAATTAATGCCCGTTGCCCCACGTGTCTACCATGTTGCACGAGTCGCGACACTGACGAGTACTATGGAGAGGCACGCGGGGGCTATGTTGGTTACGTATGTAGATTCGCGACTAGCTCTGCTGGACTTCTGTTCTACAGTCTGGTGCCTGGCTACTGACGAGTCAGGAGGCAATATCTTCTTGTCCGCATCGTCATCAGGCCTGTAGGCTTGAAGAGGAGTGAAATATGGATGGATGTGCAAGCTTCCTTTCTTGGCTATCACACGCACTACATTGTCCGAGGGAATGATCCGCAGCCTGTTTTCTGCGCCATCAGGATGGCATCCAGGGGCGGGAAGATAGACTGACATGGGACGCGTCTGGCGGAAACAAACCACAATCCACCAGCGGAGGCCAATTTCCAAGTCTGAGCATCGGCCCCATGCTACAACTAGTTGGAGCCGACGCCTAAGTTTGATATCCTGTGTTCCCGTGCTACCAAGATGCGTCATCCATGTTGGCTCGCAGGAAAAGTCTCCAGTTTTCCCAAGCTGTCTCTTTCGAACTTCCAAGTCTCATCTCATATGCTTTCTTTGCGAGCCAGTTCCTGCCTGTGTGGACGCGCGGCGTACATTCAGGTCTCTCCCCCGGCATGCCGTCGATGATGGGCAAGACCCCAAACACCTGTTCACAGATGGCCCAAGTAACCAACAAGCGCCGATATCGTTCATTACTCACTCCTCTAATCGTATTCATGTTTCTTTGGATTGCACTGTGGTTTAGTTCTAGCATTCGAGTCCATTCTACCCCCCACTTCCATGTCGAAAGCGAATTCAAACCAGTCAACGTCCACAATGCGGATCAGAAATCAGTCCAAGAGCTTTGTGTCAGCTTTCCCAAACATGTCCTAGATTCGATACAACCTGTCCTACGCATCGGCCATACGGAAAACCAACACAAGGTTGAGGCGCAGTTTGACAGCGTGAGCAGTTGCTTCACCTCCGATGAGCTGGTCGTCTACTCCGATCTCGTCGAAGATGTTCGTGGCCATCAAACGATCGATTCTTTGGATAATATGCCCCTCGAACTGCAAGAGAATGATCATTTCAAAGGGTACATGTCACAAAAGCAGCGGTACAACAGCAACATAAGCGAAACTACATCAGAGCCTGTCCATATCGATGGCTGGGCCATCGACAGATTCAAATTCCTGCCCATGGTAGAGAGGATATACCACGCACGGCCCGAGAAAGAATTCTACGTCTTTTATGAGACCGATTCGTAAGTGTCTGCCCCCGCCCTTCTGATGTTTGCCCACTGGCTGCAAGCACATGTCGACTAATCGTACGTGACAGCTATATATTCTGGGACAACATGTTTCTATATCTCAAAGGCTTCGATCCGGACGACGAATTATACATGGGATCACCCACCGTTGGACGGAAGCGCACCTCTTTCGCGAACGGAGGGCCAGGCTTTGTGCTCAGCCGAGGAGCCATCAAAGCCCTGTTACGCCGCGAGGAGGGAGAAGATGGCTACAACACGGCGTCTCTTGTCGACCGATGGCTAAAGCGGATGGTTGATGACTGCTGTGGCGATGCGACTTTGGGATGGGCGCTGAACAGAATGGGGGTCGTTGTTATGGGTTTGTGGCCGATGTTCAATCCTCATTCACTCCATGGCATCCCGTTCAGCGATAAACATTGGTGCCAGCCGGTTCTTGGCCTACACAGAACGACGCCGAGCGACATGCGGACATTGTGGAAGTGGGAGTTCGAGAACCGAAAGCAGGATGCGCTGATTCTATACGCTGATCTTTGGGAAGTCCACCGCCCTGGGGAGCAGGAAGAGTTTAAAGACTGGGATAACGGCAATTGGAACGGATGGAATGCACCCTGGTGGAAGAACATCAAGTCAGCCGAGTCCTGCAAACGATATTGTCTCAGCGGAAGAGACTGCTTTCAATGGCATTGGATATCAGCAACGAAGCAATGCATCGGGATGAGCTCCTTTCGATATGGAGAGAAGGCTGTTGACACGGATCACCACCATTCGGGCTGGATAAGAGAACGGGTATCCAGGTTTCGGAATGATCATCAGTGCAGAAATATCGAGTGGGTGAAGCCCAGTCTCTGGAGGGTGTTCTCGGACGAAGGCAAAGCACCAATATATTAAAATATTAGCATGTTTGTAATTGGCGGCATGGAGTATGGAGTATGAGGTAGTGCTTTGGATCCGTATGAAGTTTGAATTGGGCGTGAACCAGGCGATATTAGACTGTGTGGTCTCCAATCAAATCTCGAGATGTCGAATCAGGAGGCACCGTAGCAATATGCACAGCAATTTTAACCCCTCCACATTCGTGGTTTGGCTCATTCATGGAGGGGCCAATTGAAGCTTCAATTTACGTGTAATGTCAGATCTGCACCGCGACCTCCCGTATATTCATTCATGAGCAGATATATGATGAGTTTATTGAATTGTTCTGTTCTTAAAATACACGGCCAAGATCTCCATTATAGGAGATACCTTGAAGAAAAGGCATAGCATAGACCCCAGGTGTCGAAGCCGCATTATGAAAAGACACTGGGGTACGCGGAATCAGCTCGGCAGGATAGTGCCACGGTTCTGGCTGGTGGCCAGCCAACATCCAACAAGCCCCATGGCAAGGGATACTTCATCGATGCTACGGTGGTGGGTGACGTAAAACCTTCAATGAAGGTATACCAGGCTCATATTTTCGGTCCGTTTGCAGTGTTTTTCAAATTCACTTCGGAAGAAGAAGTTATGCAGGTGGCCGAGGAGACCGAGTACGGGCTTGCAGCCACACTGTTTAGGACAGACGTGACCCGGGTGGTCCGGTCTCACAGAGGCTCCGAGCCGGAAATATTTGGATAAACTCAAATAAGAACAGTGTCTTCCGAGATCCTTTGGGCGGGATGAAACAGTCCGGAATTGGAAGAGAGCGGGAGAGGCTGGTCTACAAGCATACTCAACAATCAAAGCTGTCCATCTGAATTGCGTGACGGTCAACCCTGACATTTAGTCTCGGGACACTCTAAGACTACATTTTGCAATCAAATAGTTTATATCTAGCCAATTTCTTGAATGCTTTATTTCTCAACTTCATTATTTGTCGAGGTTGTATCTTCACTTCCTCAGTCCACGATGATGGCACAACGATGAGCATTATTGCAACAAAAGCCCGCTCTTACGATTATATAGTAAGTCTCGCTTGAAACCAAACGCTCTGTATCGTCGATCACGATTTTCTCACTTGACATGTCGACAGTATCCAATTTATTGGATTTGCCACCCATACAATGAGGTTGTTGGTGTCAGTGACAGGCTATATAGTCAATTAGGCACAGCAATCAGCGCGAGCGCGCTCCGTTTTTGCTGGTGTAGTAGAATTGGCTCTGACAGAGGTATCCTAAACATAACTGAGTCTTCAGATATGGATTCTCGAGGTCATGTCGGCCCATTGCACTACTCCAATGATAAGAACAAAGGTCAATCTTCCAATAGCGGTCATGTTGGGCGAGCTCAAGTGGTTGGACAAATAACGTCACCTAAAGTCAATTCAATGACGACCGGCAAAGTCGGCAAATGAGTATCGGCCCAATTCTATCACTTGACCCGGTGCTCGCTCGACCCATTCTTTTTGAGATTTGCGTTGGGTGCCGAATTGACTCTCGCTTGACGTCTTCGAGATATTCTTATTAGAACATAAAGCTACCCCTTTTATCGCCTCTAAACTACGTTGTCGGAGATACGACACGCCCTTACACGAAGATTTTATCAGTTTCTCTCCGTGAGCTGTCCCAGAACGCAGAATGAGTCAAAGGTGAAGTTCTCGGGATGGTGACGTCGATGATGCTCGTGATGGTGTGTGGATCTTTGACTTCGTTCAACCCCGGATCAGCCGGAGTGCTTGATACAAGGACAACGAGCGGGATACCCCACACAAGCAGTCTCTTATTGCCAAAGAAAACGGCTAGATCTGGGAACCTACTTTACCTTACCCCCTAGCCAATTATGTGTTCAGGGAGGGAGGCGAACAAGACATTGGTGGAGCTTATCTCGATGTCTAATATAAGCTCTCGCAGTCTGCCACAACGGAGCTGGTCAGTTCAACGTACAGTGATAGGCCCGAATTCCACATTAAATACTGGAGAACCTGGAGAAAACATGTCTGCCTTATTACCGGACCCAACGTGGGGAGTCTGAAGTTGGACGCCACTCCCCCCCGAAGCCATCCTTTGTACGTCGATAGTCGGGCCGTTGGAGGTATCGTGAATGACGACATAGGCTTGACTATTGATATGGTTCTTTTACCTCATGATCAAGCGGTGGAGCTGACCGTTGCATAAATACCGGCCTCTCCGTTTAGAAACCATTTGGTCGAGGTGAAAACTTCAACACCAACCCTATCAATATCTGAAATCATGAAATTCCCAGGGTTGACGGTTTATTTCGATCAACATGATCCCAATTCGGAGAAGCGGATGGACGGGCATCGCCCGTCGCTCGCAGGCTTGGACTACTCCCCGCTCCCTCGAATCTCACGTCGATCTTTCATCATGGGCGTTCTTGTGTCCATGGGTGGCTTGATGTAAGATATGAGCATACTATTCCATCTAGTAGACCACTTCCAGTTGCTGATTTTAAAAATCTAGTTTTGGCTATGATACCGGTCAAATTTCCGGCTTTCTGGAGATGGACGACTTCCTCCAGAGGTTTGGAACAACCAATGCACAAGGCGTTAAAGAGTTCAGCCGTGTAAGGTCCGGTCTGATAGTTGCCCTGCTTTCAATCGGCACACTTATGGGAGCTTTGGTTGCTGCACCTATTGCAGATAGGATCGGGCGTCGCCCTTCCATCTCCTTTTGGTGTGTGATTGTGTCTATTGGCTTTGTAGTGCAAATCGCGGCCAACACGGCCTGGTACCAAATCATGATAGGCAGATATATTTCCGGTCTTGGAGTAGGTGCCCTGAGTCTTCTGGTGCCAATGTATCAAGCTGAGACAGCACCACCGTGGATTCGAGGAGCTCTCGTCTGTACCTACCAGCTCTTTATCACGATGGGCATCTTTCTGGCCGCCTGTTTCAATTACGGCACGTACATCCATCATCGAAACAGCTCAGCAAGCTGGAGGATCGTCATCGGCATCGGTTGGCTTTGGACTCTTATCCTTGGCATTGGCATCCTATTCTTCCCAGAAACACCTCGGTACAATTACCGTCATGGTAAAAGGGACAAGGCCCAAGCGACACTGTGCAAGGTATATGGTGCTACGCCCAACCACTGGGCTATCCACACGCAGATTGAGGAAATCGAGAGTAAGCTTCGCGAGGAAAGTGTCGTCAAAGGCAATGCTGTGACGCAGTTTGTGAGAATGTTCAGGGCTCCTCGAATGGGATATCGGATCGCTCTTGGAATGGGTTTGCAAATGTTCCAACAACTGACGGGTAAATATCCCAGCAGCTGGCCTTCCATTATTTTATCTCGCTGACGAGTATCCTCTAGGTGCCAACTACTTTTTCTACTACGGAACTACGATCTTCAAATCGGTGTCAATCGATTCCTTCATCACTCAAATCATTTTGAATACCATCAACTTCCTCGTCACTTTCATAGGTCTTTACTTGGTGGAACATTACGGCCGCAGGAAATCATTGATCACCGGTTCTCTTTGGATGTTTGTCTGCTTTATGATCTTTGCGTCTGTCGGCCATTGGGCCTTGGACCGCGATGATGCATCTCGAACACCACATGCCGGAATTGCGATGATTGTCTTTGCATGCCTGTTCATTCTTGGCTTCGCGACAACCTGGGGGCCTATGATCTGGACAATCATGGCTGAAATCTATCCTTCCCGTTACCGAGCTAAGGCCATGGCACTTGCCACGGCATCAGTAAGTAGCCAAACAAACACATTGAATGATGCTTCGGCAGCTTACACTATCGCGCAGAACTGGCTTTGGAATTTCCTTCTTGCCTTCTTCACACCTTTCATCACAGGTGATATCGACTTTTTATATGGCTTTGTCTTCGCCGGATGCAATCTCATCGGTGCTGCAATTGTCTATTTCTTCGTCATCGAAGGAAAAGGTCTCAGCATCGAGGAAATCGACACCGCCTATCTCGAACATGTCAAACCTTGGGAAAGCTCCAAATGGGTCCCGCCAACCCCTGCCGAGATGGCAAAGATTCGGCGACAGGCTGGAACTGAAATCGCCGGCACAGAAGAGGCGGCCGAAAGTTATCCAGTTGCGGGTGATGGAACAACCGGGGCAGTTAGCATGAATAAGAAAGCGGAAGAGAACGGTCTCGACCATTCCCACCATGAGAATGCGTAAGAAGGTGGATCAATTATTGAAGGGTAACAGGGCCATATTTAAACCAGGAAAGAAGAAGATATTCAGGTGGTGTGTGTATGTTTATATTTGTAGCTTACGAGGCTGGTCTAATGTGCAATCTAATACCTGATTGTGTCTTCACACCTGAGATGACACTTGTCCTGGGGACTCTTAGGCCTACGACTAAATTGATGCAAAATTTGAGATTTATCATCACTGCAAAGTAATTGCCATAGCGATCAGTTTCAACTAAGATCTAACCATAATGAGTCTGTAAAATAATCATACATTTGTCTACGAAACTGGGGCCAATTATTACCCAGTTATCCCCTCGACGTTGAGGATAATCAGTCTTCTACTATGGTGATATCTTTGCCTAACATCACATTCAGCAACGTCCCAGAGAGGCAGGAGATGGTCGGCTTCAATCTGATAACCGCTGCCCCTCACGCGTCGCATTGCATCATGAATATTCGTATCTCAAAAGTGGGAACAATGGAACTTTTTTTTCCTGTAAAAAACCGTGAATGGACCGCATGTGAATACCACTCAAGACGACGTTGGCCCACAATGATTGGTCGCGCGGCAACTGAGGTACTCTGGGAGTTTTGGTCAACCGTTAGAAAGAAGCTTTCCGGGAAGCCTCCATCTAAATATAGTGACATGATTATTCACAGCGCGCTTCTACTATTGCGATAAACAAACAAGTGAGGCCGTTGGTTGGCCGAATGCGCTGGTGACAAGTGCCTTGGGTCGTCACGGCGTAAAGGGGTACCGGCATTGTCGGAGTGCGTCATTATTTGCCTCCGATGGGCAGCTATCCCGTTGACGGCAGTTGGAGGATTACAGGCATGGTACGGTGACAGTGCTTCAAGGTAGATGTTGAGTGAGTCAAGGTGCCTGACTGGGATGCCTCCTGAGCCACTGCACTTGATTCGCTCATAAGCTTAAAGCGTGAATCCCCAGTCACTAACGTTAGTGCCGACTAAGATTTTGGCTCAGGTTTGAGCTTGGGACGGCGTCCTCAAGTCCCGAGATCTAAAATCCTTCCTATAGCTTCCCTTGCAGATTCACCATCCGCCCGGCAATCTCGCCATCTTGCCAAGGATGGCCAAAACTTGAAGCTGGCTGTCCTCCTTCCAATTTCATCACATTGTCATGCTGACCATGCATGCCACCAATCATTCGCCCAACTTTAATCGGCCCCCGCCCCTGCCAAATCTGTACGCGATCTGCGGATGGATGAAAGAACCCGGAGCAAGAGGCGGGGAGGCGATTGTCTGTCTACCTTAGTGTCGGTGGTTTTATCCAAATGCCCAATGTGAGGATGATGCTTGCTCAAGTTGCCACGCGGCGGCCAAGACTTCAAATTCTTATCGGGCTTCATACCAGCGTTGCCCTGTCGAAACCGTTGTGAACACAAGCACGGGGTTGCTCCGGTACCATGGAGCCCCAGTGGAAGCTACCATGTCTCAGGAGTGATCAGCATAGCCGGGAATTGCTGGTTAGTGCGCCCAGAAAGATTGACTTAGACACCTACCTGATTTGTTCATGATGCCATGGTCCTTCTGCATACTGTTACGCAGGGAGCTTTTGAACTGCCTGGCCCAGGCAGCACCGAATATCCCCATTCTCCAAGAAAATTGCATCCCTGCCCTTGTGCGATGGTGGAATTCCGATTGTGACCCTGATGGCTGCTGCTGCTCAACATGATTGGGGATGGTGCCATGTCAGGTGTCCATATCGCAAAATGTCACCCTGCCAACATTCCAAAGGGTCATACATTCCGAGGAACTTTGCAGCCTATCCTCCATTCACAAGCCCAGTATCAGGGTTATAAAGGCTCAGCCTTCCCTCCCTTGGTCGGCAGTCCCAGAAGGAGTTTTAGCAGCACAAACCTCCTCCCGACTACATCCCAACCTCTTCAAGATGAAGTCTTCTCCCTCAGTGTGGAGCGCAGTCGCCAGCCTTGTCGCTGGTGCACTTGCCAACAAGGAGATCCCTGTGGATGCTGAAAGGGCGGCAGAGTTGTACGACAATGGTGCTAGACATGAGCACATTATGCAGCTCAAGGCTGTAAGTACATCTCATGCGACTCCCTAGAAATGAGTTCTAATTATATCATTATAGAAAGTCTGGGCCGACCTTGATGCTCAAGGTGTATTTGACTCGACTCAGTACACCTCTTTCAACAAGGATACGGACTACGTAGCATGTGACAACGGCTACGCATCCTATGTCCCTGGAGATGCCAAGTACACCTTCAAGTGCCAGGACCTTGATCTGTACGATTTCAAGACACACGCAGAGCTTGGTAGCGCCTACGGTCGTGGTGCCGGGTCCTGGGGTTGGACCAGCCCAGAGGGGCGGGAGTTCGTTGGCATTGCCCAGGAAGACGGCACATCATTCTCTGAGGTGTCTAAGGAGGGTAAGCTGATCTACCTTGGAAGATTGCCTCAGTACACAACCGCACAGCCGTCTCTGTGGCGCGAGATCAAGGGCTACAAGAGCTATCTCGTCATCGGAAGTGAGGCGGTCGACCACGGTGTCCAGATCTTTGACCTGAGAAAACTTCTGGACGTTGATCCTGCGAGCCCCAAGATCTTCAGCAACGAGAACGACCTCGATGGCTGGTGGAACGAGGAGCTCCCATTGGGCAGATCCCACAATGTCATCACCAACGAGGAGCGAAACTACGGTGGCGCCACCGGATTCCAGCCCCGCGATGGTCCTCTCGCCGCTGGTCTCGTCTTCTTCGACCTGACGGATCCCTCCAACCCAGTTACCCTGGGAGGCAGTGGAGAAGATGGGTACGTCCACGATGCTCAGTGTCTTGTCTACCGCGGACCCGACAAGAAGTACGTGGAGCGTGATATCTGCTACGGCTACAATGAAGATTCTTTGACCATGTAAGTTCTAGCTCTATCTGACCACACTTAACAGCACGCTAACAATTTATCAAGCTACGATGTCGAAGACAAGTCCAACATTACGATTATCTCCAGGATTTCCTACGAAACAGCCCAGTACACTCACCAAGGTTGGGTCCTCGACCCTCAGTGGCAAAACTACATCATCCTCGATGATGAGTATGATGAGGTCGAAGTGCGAGACAACGGCGGCATTGCTTACCCAGTCTCATACATTTGGGACATCAGCTCTTTGGAAAACCCCAAGCTTACAGGCCAGTACACCGGCCCTAGGTCTGGTATCGACCACAACCAGTTCATCATTGATGGCTTTGCCCACCAGAGCAACTACGCCCTTGGTTACCACGTCCTGGATGTCCGCTCCATCCCTGATGACCCCACTGGCAAGAGCATCAAGCAGGTTGCCTACTTCGATATCCACCCTGAGGACGACAACCTCCCTGGAGGAGGAAATGTCACCTTCACCGGAACATGGAGCCACTACCCTTACTTCAAGAGCGGTTATGTTGTCATCAACACCATGGACAGGGGTGCCTTTGTCGTGAAGAAGAGCAAGGACGCCCAGTGGTAATCGAAGAGCTGGACCATGCACATAGCGGCGGCTTCTATCGTATCCGCTTGGTACTAAGTTAGTCAAAGGTAGAGGAATAGCCTCCCATATTTAACGAATAAGAAACGTCTAAGATGGAATTCTATCTTTATTGCACATGCAGTGATGTAGATCACTAACAACAGTAGCGAGTAGTAACGATCCAACCAATAGCCTCTTGGGCCTCATCAAAGAAGAGCAAAGTCAGAAGCACTTACGTACATCCATTGAAACGGATTTTTCATGTTGTTGCTTCAAGAAAATCCGCAATATACCCCATCACAACAATGCCACCGTATACTGGCCTTATACCAAAACCTCAATTCAGGAGAACTTTAACTATCCCATCCATCCTTGGCATCCGACAATAAGTGGATTTCAAACCAGAATTAATAGAGACTGGGCTAACCTTGGATCCTAATTGAATATTCCATCAACGCTATTCAGGGACGGGCAGAGTCTAAAGAGAAAAATAGAAGGATAGAGGACTACTTTATAGACTCAGAATAATAGTATAGCCATCACATTCGATATCACCTATATAAAGCGACTTCAAATATTTCCATCGGCTTTTAGAGATCCTAGAAAGTTACCGGCTTCCATATCCGAAGCCATATTGTCCACTTTCCAAATAAGCGGGGGATAAAGAATTCCTCTACAACGTTACAACGTTACACTTGCTGGTGGACAACGCACCACGGCTGATAAGTATTTAGGCAAAACGCGCCCTGAAAGAAGATTGCGACTCATGATTCCGGGTTCTTCGTGGTGGTTCGATTCTAGTTTTGTGTACCAGTTAAAGCTATTGAGTCCTGCCGGTGATTGGGAAGACCTGGGCAAGCCATTGGGTCAGCACATTCCCATTTCGTGGTACATTTTTACCAACTTCCAATGAAAATCTAGTAACACGCAAGTCGGCTGATAGTACACTATGGATGCCATGTGTGCTTACAAGAGTCCGTGCGAAATGGGGAAGCACAGTCGTTTAGCAATATGTGTCTGGATGTCTCGCAAGAGATGCATGAATGAATCAGTATCACCGTGGTCTTCCAAACATCGCTACCTCTTCGTCAAAACGAACCATTAGATCCCACGAAAATCCAAGTATGGTATAGCGACTTAGCTTCGGCAATGTGTTGCCGATCCAACGCCGCTATCATTTGATCAACCAATATCCAGCGAGGCGACTGGTGCACTAACTCATACTTACCGGGTGAAAGAGCAACCCCGCAAAGCACATTTGGCAGGTTGTATCTCGAGTGGAGCGTCTGCATGGATTAGAACGACGAGTCTACCCGGTCGGAAAGCTAATGGCTCGTGAAGCGGAACCAATGTTGTGGTAGGACGACATAAACTTTTGAGGGGTCAATAGCTGGACTTGAGATCACGCGCCACCAACAGAGTTCTAGGCCATGGGGCTACGTATTTCAAGGGACCTTTTGGCGTTGCATCCGGGCAGAAATCTGTCCATGTTCAGTCAAGGGTCCCTTCGCGTCGGTATATGATTGGGGAAACACAGAACCCTTATCTTGAACCAGAGAAGAGTACTTGAGGGGAAGGCATCCTCTCTCACTCATAGACACGTAGATAATAGATCTACGGATCACGCTTCTAGACTCCAACTACCTCACGGGCGATAATAGAGGCAAACAAATCAAAAATCTTTACCATGGCTCCTCCATCGCCCACCGTGGAGACGGTCGAAGAAGACCCTCGTCCAGCTCTTGACGAGGAAAAAACACCTTCGGGAGCCAATGTCGAAAAGTTCAGTGACCAGATCCCCCATGAGCTCCTTAAAGAGCTCGCTCCCAACGGAGAAGAGGAGTATATTCTCGACAAGATCAACAACATGACCGAAGACGAGGCCCTCGCCATCATCGAAGAGTCGGTCAAATTCTTCGCAGATGACTGGAACTTCCCTTCAGAGATGCGTGACCGCATGAACCGGCTCGTTCAGGGCCCCAAGCTATACGGAGAGTACTACGGGAGAGACCTGCGGATTGATGCGGTCATGATTCGGTATTCATCGCCGTACCCAGGCGTACGCTCGGTAGTTGAGCTGCAGGATGAAGATGTGCCTATCGAGACAGTCCGTGCCTATCTGCTTGGAATCGGATGGGCTGTAATTGGAACGTTCATGGTACGTGCTTTCGTTGCGCTTCCTCCCCTTTCCCAATCCCCGCCACTCTTTTGCATATGTTGTTGGTCGTGCAGATTTTCTTACCTCTCACATCCAAAGGCAGGCAACATTCTTTTCGTCGCGCTTCCCCTCAATCAGTAAGTTGGAGTAATATATTGCGACGTGACGGCAATCTTCTAACTCCTGCATTACTAGCTTTGAACGCCCAGGTGATTCAAATACTACTTTATCCATGCGCCAAGTTTCTCGAGTTTATACTACCAGACTGGGGGTTCACCATCATGGGGGTTCGCCATTCCCTCAATCCGGGTCCCTGGCACTTCAAGGAACAAATGTTTGCAACAATCACTTATAATATCGCCATATATACGACCAACGCCTACAGCATGATCCTGGTGCAGAAGTCTCCCATGTTCTACGGTCAGAAATTCATAGGCTTCGGGTACCAGATAATGCTGACCCTTTTCGTTCAGCTGATGGGTATGGGGTTCGCAGGGTATCTCAGGCGCTTCAGTGTCTACCCCGTCAAGGCTCTCTGGCCAACCCTGCTGCCGATAATAGCTATGAACAGGGCTCTCACTCGGCCGGAGCCAAAGGAGAACATCAACGGCTGGACGATATCCCGATACAAGTTCTTTTATATTGCTTTAGGATCTATGTTTATTTACAACTGGTTCCCAGGGTACATCTTCACAGCGCTCTCAACGTTCAACTGGATGACTTGGATCGCACCTCAGAACTTTACGCTGGCTATCCTGACAGGATCATCTTTAGGGCTGGGCCTTTTCAACCCTATCACGACTTTCGACTGGAACGTTGCCACTCAATCTTATCAACCGCTGTCACAACCCTTTTTCGCCATTGGCACTCAATATGTTGGCTCTCTTCTCGGAGGTGCTGTCATCTTGGGGATGTTCTACACCAACATGTTCAATACGGCATATCTTCCCATCAACTCATCCAGCGCCTTCGCCAATGACGGAAAGGTCTATGAGGTGCAAAAAATTGTGGTCAACAACAAGCTTGACCGGGAGCTATATCAGCAGTACTCTCCCCCCTTTTACTCTGCTGGCCAGGTTCTCACCATTGCCGGAAACTACTGCTTCTACCCGGTTTACTTCATCTACATCATGTTCAACCAGTGGAAGACTATAGGAGCCGCGTACGTGGACTTCTACAAAGGTCTCCGCCACGGGAAGGGTAATTACGAGGGTGCCATGGACGTTCATAGCCGACTTATGAGCCGACATCCAGAGGTTCCGGACTATTGGTTCATTCTGATTCTCGTTGCTGCTGTTGTTGTCTCTGTCATCTTTCTCAAGATATTCCCGCTCGATACTCCGGTCTGGCTGGTCTTCCTCGTCATCGGCATCAACCTCGTCTTCGCCGTGCCGCTGTCCTTCCTCTCCGCCACAACCGGCACAAACCTCGGTCTCGGGTCGCTCATCCAGGTCATCACGGGGTTCTTGCTCCCCGGCAATCCAAATGCCTTTCTCTTCTCGCAAACGCTCGGTGGATGGGCGCTTGCAGGATACGGAGACAACTACGTCCAGGACCAGAAGATGGCTCACTACTGTCTGATCAAGCCTCGCGCGGTCTTCCGAAGTCAGATTGGAACCATCATCATCACCTGCTTCGTGGCCGTCGCAACACAGAACTTCATCTTGGAAAATGTCAAGGGCCTATGCACACCCGACCAGCCAAGCAAATTCACCTGCGCAATGGATGGGGCGCCTCTTTACAGCAGTTCGCTCATGTGGGGGCTCTTGGGTTCCAACATCATGTTCAACGAAATGTACCCAATCCTCAAATGGTGTTTCCTCATCGGCACGCTCATCTCCATCGTCTTCCTTGTCGGGCAGGGCTACGGTCCTATATACCTCCCTCGCGTCCGAGAGTGGCTCCGAGGTCGTCTTCGACCGCGAACATTTGGGATGCTGGAACGAACAGTCTTCCCAGTCGTAGCATCGCTGTTTTGGCTGAACCCGGTTCTGATAATCCAAGGCATACAACATTGGGCCCCGTCCAACATGGCGTACAAGACTCCAGGACTGATTCTAGGTTATATTTTTATGTACTACCTACCAAAGCACAGAATGGCCCTCTGGGAAAAGTACAACTACGTTCTGTCAGCGGCTTTGACGGCTGGCGTCGCCGTGAGCGCACTCGTGATGTTTTTCGCAATTGGATACAATCCTGTCACTTTTTCCTGGTGGGGAAACACTGTTAGCAGGGCGGGTGTTGACGGGACCAATGTTGGTCGGTTGCCCATTCCCCAGAGGGGATATTTTGGCCCAGAGAAAGGCTCGTTCCCCCATTGACGGGTTCGCTTTTGGTTCGGGCATGCTGGTCTCCAGACTATGGAGGGTAGTTACAACAAGAGCATTTACTCCATAGCCTGCTGATAAGCAGCCAGAATATCACAGCCTAGACAGCTCAAGATTGGTGACTTGCCACGCGAGTAACATGTTTCTATGAGAAGGATAGTAGGAGTGCATATGTTCTCTCATTGTTATAACAGTAGGTGCTTAGCCAAAATAACGCCTTCTAACAGCAATCTCGCCCTCAAATATCAGCCCTTCTATTGCTAAGTATTTTATTTAGCACTTACCACTGCTTTCTATTTTGTTTATTGTTGTTGTTGTTACCCACGCACTGAACTCAATGGGCGTAGCTGTCACCTACCTAAGCCTATTGTAAACTTATCCTTGCCACGAGGTCAGTTTACCTTGAATCCATCGGTGGACGCCGAGATACTCTTTTTCCATTCAGCTTATCAGCCATTCAGTGCAGATACGACGATATAAACGAATACGAGATATCTCGTATTTTAGCAGCCACTGCTGACAAAGTCAAGGTATGAGCACGTGACGTGTGCTAAGCCCTCATTGACCCGCCGTACCTATCTTAGTAAGCTCTCACGTGACGAGACGCGTGAACTCAGCAGACTCCTCCGCCGGTACTAGGTAGCAGAATACAAAACTATCGGCTCAGATACTTCATAATTGCTTTCACGTCAATGAAGAACCGTGTAACTTTCGAATCAATTCAGCTTACCTAACTGAAGGAAGTTGACTGAAGGAAGCTGAACCCTTTTCTGTTTATTTTTAGAGTAATTCGTGACAGTAGAACTACAGTGACACGTAGGTTGGACCGAGGGGGTATAGGGTAGGTATTTGAGAGGCGCGTGTCGAAAGTAAACATAGGACCTTTGCGAAGGGGATTATTGACTAGTAAGACCTCTTCAGTGTATGTAGCCCCTCGAATATTGCGTCTTGAGTAAGTAACAGCACCAATATAGATATACCTAGTAGTTGGGATCTGATAAGGCGTGTCAGGCAGAGCGTCTGACGCGATTGGCGGGACGAGTTCCGGCTCTGTCCTCCTGAATGTCAGCTGTGCATCGGCAGAGCCACGCCACGAAACCACCAACTTCTTGCTACCTACGACCTCGCAAAGCTCGCTCCGCTCAAACGCCAACACCCCCGTATCCCATCGCCGCCAGTTGGGTGCCGCCCACTTGCCGGTCGTCGGCACTGACACTGCGACAAGAGTCCCGGCTGGGCTTTCCGGCACTGCTCGCGATGCCCCGCAATGACTGCCACCACCAGCTCTCCGACCTCGTCCACGACTCCAAGATCGACGCCGTCGTCAACGGCACCTGCACCGAACATGCCTACCACGAGCCGGGTCAATCCCTCCACGAGAGAAATAGGCGAAGAGTAGAGAAATGGGACCGTGAGGGGATGCTGGGCAACGGCTCATTTGGTGTGGTCTACCAAGAACGACTTCGGGGCAGCGACAAGGTCCGCGCGGTCAAGGAAATCAGCAAGAATGTGGCCGCTGGGGAGCAGTTGGATTATTACAGAGAGCTTGAGGCTATCGCAAAATTCTCCCACCATAAAGTACGCGCACTGCACAAGATGACTGCACGGTTGGTTGTTACGGATCACTGATTCAAGGTAGTACTCTCACTGTTTTGTTCGCTCAGATGACTGGTACGAGTCCAAAGACACCATATTTATTATCATGGAGTACATGGAGCTCGGCGATCTGCAGAACTACCTTACTCGACCTTTCCCGGAAGCTGAGGTTCAGCAAATCGTCAGTCAGTTGCTGGAGGGCCTGGAATTTATGCATTCCAGTGGCTTTATTCATCGCGACTTGAAGCCCAGCAATGTTATGGTTGTCGATAAAGGCCCGGACTGGTTCGTCAAGATCACGGACTTTGGCATCAGCAAAAGGCGCCAGCTGGGCGTCACAACCTTGCACACCATGCAACGAGGCACTTTTGGTTTTGCGGCTCCAGAGGTGCTAGGCTTGGACCTAGAAAAGCCGGGCGGTTCATACTCGTTTGCCGTGGACATGTGGTCCCTCGGAGTGCTGACTTTTTACCTATTCACGAATTCAATAGTTTTTTCCAACTATGGCGAGACTTTCATGTACGCCAAAGGGGCAAGCAGTTTACCCATTGAGAAAATGACCTTGCGGAAAGTATCTAACAACGCCCAACACTTTGTCATATCTCTTCTGGCACCAACACCAAATGATAGGCCGACGGCCTCAGTAGCGGTTGGGCATGCATGGTTGGCTACGCCTGCAACGCCAGACCCAACAACGTGAGGCTCAAAGCTCCCATGCCTGAAAGCAAACTGCAAAATCAATGACTAACGAGGAGAGAATAGCTTGGGCGACCTCGAATGGAAAGATGCCAGCATAAACACAGCACCTTCTGCTACATGGAGCTCGGAAAATGACAATATGCCCCATGTTTCTCGTTCCACCATGGATGCACTGGTAAGGATGGAGACTATTGCCCGGAACACAGAACGAGATACCGCATCCATGCAGGCCATCACGTTCTTCGCCCTGGTTTTCCTGCCCGGAACGTTTATTGGTGTAAGATTGTTCCTTTTCTCTTTCAAGCGACAGGTTTGTGAGTCAAAACAATTCTGACGCAGAACCCACAGAGATTTTTTAGTACCCCAATCTATGGTCAAATCGAGACCAGTGAAGCTCTTTGGGACTTCAACTGGGCGCTATTTGGACTTTTTGCCAGAATCTGCCTCCCTGTGATGTTCATAGTGGTTATTGCATGGTGTTTATACATCTGGTGGGCCAAGTTACGAAGATCAAGGCTAGCTAGCCAGCCCAGCAGCCTAGCTGTGCTGAGCACTTCTCTCATTGTGTTCTCTTTCCTTGCATTCTCTTTCATTATGATTTCTGGGGCTAAGAAGTATTTCAACTGTGTTGTGATTTGTTGAGAATTAACGTGCGGCTTAGGAAGTGTGAGCCAGCATCAGAAAATTTTGCATAACCCCGGCCGCAAACATCTGGCTGTTAGGAAATGCCCTAGATAATGATAGTATCAGGCTGCTTCTCAGATCTGGGATTTCGTTGTGGCAGTGCCAGTAGCGCCTCAACCGGGCACCGCAAGACCGGTGAGCTTTGGCTGCTCCTACTCACACTGTCTGAGGATAGCGAGAAAGCGAAGGCTACCCTCCCCCGGATCAGGAATAAGCAAAGAAGATACGTCGTTAAAAATCACGTTGACGCTAAGGCAAGATTTGATGGGATGTTGCGAGGGTTGCTGGACAGCTGTCTCGGACCTTTCTCTATCTCTGAGGGGGAAAAGACCTCCCATAGAAAGGATTACGGATTTCGCTTCGTAGAGACGCTTTTCGATCGCGATCGACAACTTGACCTGACTGTGACGGTGATAGAATCGATTAGAAAATGGAACCTGTTTTTTGACGCCAAAGTAGTTAAGATCCTTGATCATTTCGATTGTTGAATAATGGACTACTAGGTCCAAACTAGCAGCTTCAGTGAGCTTTAAATATGCGGCGTGCCTTTCCATTGCTGGTTTATGCACAAAAACCTTACAATCCTGGTTATTGGAAGGGATCATGAGGTTGGTCCTTATGGGTATTGTATGATGACAGGCTCAAGCGGAGGCGTGGTCTGCCCGGACTTTCACAGTGGGTGATTTCGAAATATGACTTGTTCATTCCTTTCAATGGACGACGGCGAACATGGCCTCGATATCTTATATATATTCCTAAAAGTATAGAGTTTCATGGGGATTCTGCTCGTCTTGACCTTAATCACCAGCATTTGTGTTTGTCCTGTTTTCGAAGCTCTGTGCAGAGCCTCTATTTACAAGCAAGCAAGCAAGCAATCAACTAGTGTGCCCTCTAATTACCTCGTTCGAACAGCAGAAAGAAGCTCTTCGAAAGCTCGTGAATCGCCATTGTAGTAGTCTTTGGCGGGGTTGATATATTCTTTATATCCAAAGTTAATTCCTCCTTCGCTCAACTTAGGCGTAATCCATAGTGCCATTACGCTTTCATCGAATGCTACATAGCGGTAGTTTGACAATCGAGTCTCTTTGCTTTCTAGGGACCGAAAGCTCAGAGAGGAGTAAGTGTTATCGGCTTTATTAATGAACCCAAAGTGTCGGAGCTTGACCAAGGATTTGCGTAGATTTTCAAACACGGTTTCCCACGTCCCAGAAAAGGTATACGCTACACTTCTGTCTTCCGGAAATCCAAAAGTGGTAGGATCGATCTCAACCCAATCATGCTTTCTCACATTCCATTCTTCTGATTGGCCGCGTTCAGAGAAGTAAAGATGCGTCGCTATATAGCATCTGTCGAGACGGAGAGTTTCGAGGGTTGTCTGAGCAAGTACCCAGTTAAACTGGCCATGGTGTGCGATGACAAAGTTTCCCAGGTTCAAAGTCTTGAGAGTCTTGAACTGGAGCCCCTCTCCATCGAAATACCCTGGTAAAACGCCCCAACATTCGTTGAAATAGAGAGTCAATGTTGTAAGGTGGTCAGAAAGCGGAGTCAACCAGTGAGTTAAGAGATATGGCTCAAACGTTTGTCGTTCGATGCAGTACACATCATTATCAGGCCCCTCCTCCCTACATTCTTCAGCAATCTGCAGTTCGACAGTAGTGAGAGTTTCGGTGACAGTCTTGAAAAGCTCAGACGTGGTGAATTCCGGGAGGGGGAGGTTTTGAAGATTCTCGATTCTGAGGGAGGCGATCCTGTTCGCCACGGACCGCTGAGCATTGTATTCTCGGATGGCCTCAAAGACAGCAATGAGCGTATTTTTTCTGTGGCCTATCTCCTCGACATCATCAAACCAGAACCTGTCGGTTTTTTCTGAGCCCAGGCACTTGTCTGAAAAGCGAAGCTCAACGGATTGGACATTTTTTATCTCGTTGAGGCGCGAGATGGCCGCGTTAAAGGAGGGATGTTCAGATTCACTCCAGTCCCTCATCGTTTGATCGAGGCGGTCCTCGTCCGGGGCGCTGTTGAAAATTACGCGTCGCGCTGTGTTTTTGACAGAGTTGCTGTCCAGCATGTTATTCCAAGTTTGGAAGTGCTCTTCTGCATCGTGCACCAGGTAGATGGTTCGGAATAGATGAGCCCTGGCCAGGGAATTCCACTGACGGCACACCAAGCGCGCTGTGGACAGTGATCGGATATCCGACTTCGTCCTCTCGGCGAGATCCCAATCTACCTCCGGGTGGATAAAGCCAATCACCCGGTCTAGAACCTCGACAGGCAGACTTTGTAGAACAGCCATGGCGTAGGGCGGGGTTATGTGAACCGCTGTAAATGCGAACTTGGGATCAATGAATGGAGATATTTTACGACCAGTTAGTGTGAGCCTGTGAGGGGCTGTAAGGGGCTGTAAGGGGCTGTAGCCTAACAAAAGGAGGTGGGGTTCCTTGTTTCACACGTAGAGTATATTCACGTTGAGTCTCAATCCTACATGAACAGGGATGACTATTCACCGCGTTCGATATTCATTTTGTACTCAATATGAATCGTTCAAACATGTTTCCTGTAACATAGGCATGCAATGTGGCAATCAGCAAGAAGCCCTGTTTTTATCCTCACGTAGGACTCATCATGAGCCAGAACAAATCGATCTGATTGGCCTTCAGGGCATCTTCTACGTTTGGTAGTGAACGCCTTCACATCCTACTGGTCTCATTTCACGACTGTGCTTTCTTCCTCCCGGACTCCATTGTAGCCTCCTTTTCTTGCTTTCATCTGTTTTAGGGGTTCTGTGATGGCGAAGGACTAGAACTGTTGCCAGGCAATTGCACGCAGTTTTAATTACTCTTCTAGTAATAAGTTCTCATGGCAGCTATTCCTTAATACCACGCCAAGTGCGCGTCGCAATTCTGGAGTTGGAGCATGACAACAAGGTAGTATGTCTGTTGATTCAGAGCCGACATCTTTTGGCCTAATCCTCCATCAGGTGTGACCGGTTTTCGCGGCTTGGATCAGTGCACTGGTGCTTGTGAAAGTCACGCATCCTGCCGCTCTGGGCTATCACTACCACACCTCCTGGCTGTCAGTTATTGTATGTCGGCTGATGACATGGGTTGAGGTGGATGCCATGATAGTTGGAAGTGGCAGATCAGCAAGCTTGTAAAGGGCTTTTCTAATTTAATTGTTCTCATCTGCCTAACGCGCCAAGTCGAACCTGCAGGTGGCGGCGGCGCAGGATGCATCAGGCTCAAGTTTGCAATACACCCCAGGCTTTTGAGGGAACAACCACCAATTCCCTTCATTGGCGTTCCGTCAATAAATCGTCTAAAATATGGCACACATTGCTGTCCATATTTACTTTCAGAGGCATCGCCTTCTGGGTACCTTCACAGCCGAGTATCAGAACATGTAGCCTCTGTGTGAGACTCAGATGAAACGCGCAGCTCCTCTCAATAACCATAATGATCTCGGATTTGTCTTACTGACAGGATCGGTCCCGCCGGAGAGAACAATGACCGTAGCCAGTAATTACAGGGTTTCCACAGCTTGGGTTGGTGGGTAAACGAACAACCTAATGCGGGCTGGTCTCGCCTGAGACAAGATGAACTAAATCTCACCGGCGAGGCGCTATGAACACTACGCGGAACTCATTATTCGCCTGCACTGGATACTAGATTGGGAAAGCACTGCTTCAGCGCGGGGGCCATCTTGTAATTACTCGTGCTGCCGCTCGTCACGGTGGCTTAGCTTTTGTGGAAGGTTAGGCCCCTAATAGCTAAGACACATCTCAGCTGATCCGCTCTCGGCCTAGTTGAGATTCCCATGGATTTTATTCAATGTTTTGAGTCAATTCTCTGATGAAGTGCTTTGAAATCTTATTGGTGTAGAAGCGAATTTGCGTGGGGGATCATAAGGGTCTGTTTTGGTAGGCATGGCATCATGCTTGTTCTCTTGAATATACGTTCTAACTGCCCAATTTGACCACTAAAATCGCAACCAGATCACGGGCCGATGAATCTTATGATGATCTTGTGTAAGATGGATTTTAAAAAAGAGTAGAGGCAGTATCCGTACACGTGGCCGGGGAATCCATTGTTTCCCGCCTTGCCCCCTGCCCTGATCACGCCCTCGCTCAGCTTTCCCATCTCGTCCAAGACAATTCCATTTGAGGAAAAGCCGAAAGCCCCAGAGAAAGTTAGCACTGCGATCACTCCAGAACTAGGAAACCGACAGGGTGACTAATTGCTACACGGCAAAGGCCCACAATACAAGCCGATCACATATAGTATAGCCCAAGGCTTGTTCAACACTTACCCTCATCGTATCGGAATAGTGAAGACGTATCAAGTCGCATCTACATGGTTATATGCTTGCGTCGAGTATAGCCGGATGCGTCTCGAGATGTTGTGGAAACAGCCGCCTCTCAGGCAATACATCGCGATCCTCCGAAGCTCGTCTACGAAACAACGCGCTTCGCTGCTCCTCGTCATTCTGTTCGCCTTTCAACTACGGCAGCGATTGGTGAAGTTCAAAGCGGCCGTATTGACCACCGACCCGAAGCGAGCGCCTCCAATTGAGGGCTTCGTCCCTGTTTCAGACCAGATCTATGTGCGAGAGCCCGAGCCAACAACCGAGGGAACGATAGTACCAGCCGACCATCCAAACGCTGTCGTGATATATGGCTGGGGTGATGGGTTACCAAGACATCTGGTGAAATATGCAGAGGGCTTCCGAGAGCTTTTTCCGCATGCAAAACAAGTTCTCGTGCTGTCGCCGATCAACAAAGCATTGCTCACCAAGAACGAGCGACGTGGCGATGGGATGATGCCCGTAATCGACGCCGTATTCCCCGAGAAACCGAGCTCCGACTTCAAGATCCTCTTGCACGTAATGTCGAATACGGGAGGGATCAACTATATTGCTACTCTCGATGCCTATAATCGACGGTACGGCGAGGCAATGCCCAACCGACTTGTGTGCTTGGACTCAGCCCCTGGAAGCTCCGATTTGACGATCGAGAATCTAGAAAGATGGTCGAGAGCCATGGCACTGCGGACGGCTAAATTATTTCCCTTGCCCTTTGTTGCGACACAGGTCTTGATGTGCATGATGCTGGTCTTGAATGGATGTGTACAGCGAATTTTGCTGCGGGAGAGCTCCGCAACATGGGGCCTGAAAATCGGACAAAGTGAAAAGTACGTGCGGATGGACACGCGATACCTGTATCTGTACAGCAAGGAGGATGACCTAGTCGGCTATAAAGACGTTGAGAAGCATGCTGCTGAAGCGCGGCAACGAGGGTGGCAGGCAGAGACTGAAATGTTCAACGGCAGCCCGCATGTTATGCATATGCGGCAATTCCCAGATCAATATTGGAATGCAATTTCGACTTCTTGGGATAAAGCTATCAGAGTTAGAAAGAGCTGAGCCAGGGGAGGCCAGTTTTCTGTAATGGTTCAAATATTTAATATTGGACAGCGTGTTTACTAGTAATAATTTCTTCAAAGGAGGACAGGCTCTTTGATACGTGTAACTGGATTTTCGTCTAAAGGGGCGTCGACGCCATTTTCCATACCTTTGATGGGAACCTATGAAAGCTGGCTTAGTTTATAGGTGTTCGTTGTCGTGATTCACTTGGGAAATTGGCGACCGCCCCAATGAGAGGCAGGGGAGGGTATTAACCTCCTATCAAACGGAGACTGACATGTGCGAGTGTGTGCCATGAGAGTAGTCTGAGGAACTAGGGAATCCTTTTGCTTGAAATTCTTTCAACCATCATGTAAACACTTTTCTACCGCTTATGCCCGCAATCTGTAAAAGGGGCGGGAGAATTGGAGATAATGCTCTCCATCGCGGTGACTAGGACACAAATGATTCTGGCTGAAACTGTTGACCTACCAGGTATTGGACTCGCGAGAGGTGCATCCCACGAGTTTAGAGTGCGTGAGTTGGCATACCGCAAATGATCAATACATTCTCCACAGATTGTTCAGCTCGGTGGTATCGACATTTAAAAATGGCGGATGGTGGTTAGATCATGGAACAATGCATCGATGGGTTATGATGCCACATGGTAAAGCGTTCGATTATCCACACTTTGACAGGCCTACCTTCATGCGACGAAATTTCTCCCATTCTATCCCTCAACAAACCATCAGATTACTCAAGCTCCAAAAAAAATTAAAAATTGATGGAACTAGTTTTAGAGAATACGCTTCAGTTATCATACTGGACTCGTAGCCGGTTACATGTTCAAGTACTCTTCCAAGCGAATATGTGATACGCAGATCACGAAAGGATGCAGGTTTAGGTATGCTCTTTCAGCATCCTCAGTGATGATAACTGGTTATAGTGAGTGTTTGTTCTTTGGTTGATGTGCTGGCAAACTTGGGTCTCGCCTGCATGTTTTGCCACCATCAAGTCTTTTAATTTCAGCAGAGTGTCTGATGGTAAATGCATAGTAAGTTGTGGGGAGAACTGATTCGCTGTGAGTAGAACATTTGGAATCCTGGCTGCAGTGAAGAGATTGCTGCAGGGGGAAAAATCAATGCTTAGCGAATTCGCATAGAATGGAGTGTGTTGTTCTTGCAGCTACACGGCTAGTCATGCATGCTGACTTGAAAGACAGGCTTGTGGAGCTCGAAAAGAAAATATACGAAAAAGTTTTTGGGACATGATTTGTCTATTAAAGCTGCTCACGATCCAGCGAAAGCCAAATATCTCCCACTCATCAATCAACTCATCAGCATTTCAAGGACCACCTTCTCTCTTCCACCCCACAACCTTTCAACCAACCGAAAAAATGTCTTCCACGTAAGGATATATTCATCAAATCATCATAGAAGTGCATTCTAACAATTCCTCATAGCGAACAGTTCACTGTCCCTCTCCCCACCGCCACCGGCCTTTCTCAGCCTGCTGGTACGTCAATTTCGAGCTATCTTTCCGCATTGAATCACTCAATAACATGATTCTAGGTCAACTCATCAAGGGTGCTGCTCACGATGATGGCAAGCTCCGCGATGCCGCCCTTCTTCTGGGTATCAAGCTCGACCTCGAGGCCGAGGTGCACCTGACCGCTCGTGTTAAGGGTGATGTTGTCGTTGGCCTGTACTAGATGTCACATCCTTGGTGACGAGTAGTAACTAAGATACAAAAGGATCATTGGAGGGTGGCGGATAGAGAAGTTGATCTTTGATCGATCTAAAAAAAAAAATCAATCTTATTCATATGTTGTCGTTTGACTCGAGTGCTTGCTGCTGAAATGAATCATTCCGTAATTTTCCACGCTATTTTCTCCTCGTTTTAAGCTTTGAACATTTGAAAGGGACAAAGTATGATTCTTGTTACTGTGTTTTGAATGAATGCCTTTCTCCTTTTACTTGGTAAGGTTGGGGCATTCGCACCTGCCGTAATAAAAAACCGAAAGGATTACTACCTTTATCAAGTGGCTAATAACGGACGACCTAATATCTACGATAAATGTCCTGATGCTCGCTTGGGTGGTGACATACCACTCAGCCAGGCTCCATAGGATCACGGGAGGCCTGAAACCACGTTGTACTAACTCAGGGTTTTATGTGGATCAGCTGTTGATCTTAATTTGTTTGGACAGGGTACACACTCTCACCTAAAACGTGGTGACGCCACTTCGGAAGGAGAGGGCCATCCCGTAGAGAGTAATATGGTAAGATATTACCAGCTCGGTTGAACTGAAGCGGGGAGTCGGATGAAGTGAGAGTACTGTGTGAAAACAGCTCCATGATGTACTAAGTACGCATTTCGTTATTTTGCTCAGGATTTTCCTTTTTGAATTCATCCGAAGACCCGGAGGCGCTGGACGCGACTACGATTGACGTTGGTCCGAGGACAGATCGATGATCTTCGCCTCAGTTCTCTTGTGGCTGGTTTAAATCATGTTTTTGGACAAGATACACTTCAAGTTTCTACATTTGATTCTATAAAGACCTAACTAATATTCTATACTACGATGAAGTGTTGAACTGGAAAAAACCTCTCGCTTTTTCTGATTATTTGAAACGAAAATTACAACGTCATGATGCCTACTTGGTCTAGGACTCTATCAGCCATCATGGCATTCGCATTTATATCTCTCCTACCTATTGCGGGCGCTAAGAGAGCGTTGGAAAACCTAGGAAGAGGAGTGGTAGCGGTCCGTTCCTCCGAACAGGAGGTCTTTATCTCATGGAGACTGCTTGCTCTTGACGATGCTGATATCGGCTTCAACGTCTACCGCGCTAGTAACGGCGGCAACTCCGAGAAGATCAATGGAGATATTCTGACTGGAGGAACCAATTTTGTTGATAGTACTGCCGATTTTGGAGTATCAAATGTCTATCACGTTCGATCTGTGGTTGACGGCAAAGAAACCGATGAAAGCCATCCTTTTACTCTTAGTGGCGACAGCGCCGCTGAACCACTGGTGCGATTTCCAGTCAAAGACACTGGCCCTATCCGCTACCTCTGGGTAGGAGACTTGGATGGCGATGGCGAATACGACTATGTGCTCGATCGAACGACCGACAGGCAATCCATTGAGGCCTACCATAGGAATGGGACACTTCTTTGGACTGTGGCCCTGGGGCCCAACAGCGAAAATCAGAACAATATAAGCCCTGGATCGACTGCAATAAGCGTTGGGCACTGGGATGGCGTCACTGTCTACGACTTTGATCAAGATGGAAAGGCCGAGGTCGCACTTCGCATCGCAAACGGCGTCACCTTTGGAAATGGCGAGACTTTTGAGAACGCTGACGACAATGAACAATTCATGGCTATCCTAAACGGCGAAACAGGGGCACTGCGTTCCAAGGAACGTATTCCCGATGACTTCATCGCTGACGGTCCGTTGGCCGCCCGCCTTGGTGTTGGGTACCTAGATGGGCAAACACCTCACTTAGTCGCCTATATGAAAAACCGAAGGGAAGACAAAGGGTTTAATCTCATGTACACTGCCTGGACATTTGATGGCGAAAAAATCAAACTCGCTTGGAAGTGGCTGCGACCCGAAACTGGTACCCTCAGCGATGGCCACAATACTCGCATCATTGACGTTGATGGAGATGGCAAGGATGAGATTCACGAGATTGGTTTCTCGCTTAACGGCGATGGATCTCTCAGATACAATCTTTCGGCTCATGGAGTTGTTCACGGCGACCGCTTTCATATTGCCAAGATGGACCTTGAGCGTGACGGCCTGCAGGGCTACGGAATCCAACAAGATAATCCTAGTCTCTTGATGGAATACTACTATGACGCTGACAAGGGCTCTCTAATTTGGGAACACTATGGAAGCGAAGTTGGAGATGTAGGCCGTGGAATGGCCGGCGACATCGATCCAAATTATCCCGGCATGGAGGTCTGGTCGTTTGAGGGAGTCTACAACGCTGCGGAGAACAAGCTCACCTCTGCTGAAGGAGCTGGTCCATGGCCGCATCTTGGTCTCTTCTGGGATGGCGATAACTTGATGGAGCTTTTCAACGATGGGAAGATTGAGAAATGGAACCCATCAACTCAAGGTGTTGACCGGCTCGTCACAATAGGACATTATGGAGGCAAGCCAGCCAATGGAGTCAATCCCGCCTTCCATGGTGATATTTTGGGCGACTGGCGTGAAGAGGCGATTGTTGTGAATGAGAATTACACTGAGCTGCTGATCTTCACGACGAATGTTGAGACTGATATTCGTCTCTACACGTTGCCGCACAATCCAGCTTATCGCAACTCTATGACTTTGAAAGGATATGTTCAGTCCCATCATGTGGACTACTTTATCGGGCATGGAATGGAGACGCCACCAACCCCCGATATCACTTATGTGGGCGTCTAAGAAATGGGGTTTAAGCTGGGTTACAGAATGTTGGTCACACGATAGAGGGAAGACGCTAGGTTGATTCTGCGTTATTTATCGAGAGTAATATGACCAATCTTTTACATAGTTAGAAAAGGTATCAAGTAAACGCAAGATTCTTGAGAACGGAGCGAACAAAGACATGACCACGCGTCTAGGCAAAGCGTAAGTGCGAACGTGCAGCGAACGGACCAAGCATCAAGATACTGCTCCGAAATGGAATAAATCCCATTACTGGGAAGTTTACCCTGTCTCTTCACGTCATTCACCCGAAAGCTGCATCTAACTATGGTACCGGCGTGCGGGGTCCCCACGGGGAAATACGTGACGGGGAAATACGTGACGGGGAGATTTTTGCGGTAGATTGACCTCCGTTGAATTTCGGCCGAAACCCCGAACATCTGGCTTATGGTCCATATCGTGATGGCAAGCTAGGATCTTCGGCTGATTGCTGTATGCATATCAATCTCTACTGATGTCTTATACGGGTACATGCTCGAGTTATTCAAGTAGGGTTGTTGATCATTCTGCCGTAGGATCAGCACTTCGGGTTGATGTTCATGCGACGGCCATTCCCGGGTTGTCCTTGACCATGATCCAATGTCGAACCTGGGTGTGTTCGAGGCCAATCAAGCAGGTACTGGAGGCATGTGAGACGCAAGCAGCTCTATCCTTTCAGCCAAAACCACCGCTAAGTCGTTCATAGTGCGCGACTATGGCTTTATTTCCTTCGAAGCGCGACCCTGCTATGTAACGTTCTAGCATCAGAGTACGCCGTTCCTTGTGTACTAGCGAGATGCAAATACTGCATTATTCGTAATTGCTGTGTCTTGAAGACCAACTTCTACCCGTATGTCACCCTAACGGGATATGCTTTATGGCACTGTTATCGAAATTTTCCCCACCTCCAGCTACCACAAGTCCAAAGAATTTGATCAAAAAGGGCACATTATTTGTGATCTGAATCGTAAGATTTGCTTTGGCATACATTCGACTCTGACTTATGTGAATCATCACCAAGGGATCTTCTGACTATCAACGTTCTGAAATGTTCCGCCGGCCCCGTCCCTGGTAGCTTCGTCAATCCTTTTCACAAGTGCGGCCGCACTTTCCTCGACCGTGATAGCACCCATATCCTCAGGACTAAAAGGAAGATCTTTAGTGTCTCGGCAACCATGTCAGTCTTAACAAAACCTGGATTGAGAACCATGGTAATGAGCCAATCTTCGTCAAAGTGGATCCTTCGCATAAACCAATTCAGAGCCTGAAGCATTGCTCATGAGTTCAATGTTGATCGGCCAGCTGATTGACGCCGCACGCTTTGCATTGGCGAGCCTGAAAGGGCGGGCTGTCGTGTTTATGACATGTGGCTGTCAAAGCTATATATTCATACTTGATACGTTATAGCTGAGGCTCCATAGACTGATTCAACCATCTAGACCATCATCTGCCCCCCTTTGGCCTCAAAGGAAACCTTACGTCCTTCATTATATGCTCGATTTGACAGGCTTAGCCAGAGCTGGTCCTGTTTGCCGATAATGTTCGCCTTCTAACACGTTGCTCAAGTATTTGCTGTCAACAGCGGCATGGCTTAGATCGCGGATCGCAAAAGGGTTCCCAGATCCGAGCAGACCAATGAGGCATCAATCATTCACCCTTGTCGTTATCACGGATAGGTCTGATGGGCCAACTTTAGCGCTTACATTTTCTCGAAATAAGTTTAAATTATGCCCATTTCCATGCTATAGGCCCTGCAAGGCGTAAGCAGTAGGTAGGTAGGTGGCTGCGGGAATGAAACGATTATCGCCACACCTTTAAATCACCTACTGAAGCGAACTTATTCAAATTCAAATCTCCCCTAGATAGGGAAGGGCTAGTCCTTCTATTTATATTCGATAATTGGCACAATAGGTGATCACGTGTTAATGTATTCAACTGTGTCAGCGTACATAAAATAACATGACCAGACAGCCAACAGCCAACAGAGACCGTTTTCATTCTAAAGCCTCACCCAATTGAATTTGATCGAACCGCCAAAGCTTCCAACGACCACGGCTGAAATGGAAGCGCCGCCACTCAATTACACGTTACTGCGTGAAGCATGTATGTTATGACCGTATAGAAGAAAAATCGAACAGGACTGACGGCCCAGCCAGGCTACTACGATAGCATGTATCATCTGTTTCACCGGCTCGGCATTCAATCGAACTTTGTCATTGCAGCCAAGTATGCACACACAGATGGCTCCAGCCGCAGCCTTTCAAGATCACTTGTCTTCGCTGCACTGCGCAAGGTGGTAGAGGCACACGCACGGCTTCGTGTTGCTTGTGTTCTCCGCCCGTCACCAAAGGTGGGAAGCCACCGCATGCACGAAGCCATGATCAATACCCTCAATCTCGACCAGTGCGTTGAATTCATCCCAGACGATGGACTAGGGGTAGACTCTGAGTTGCTCGAGAAGATTCATAATGAGTGGTTATGGACAGACGAGGAGCCAACGCGCCCTTGGTGGAAGATCATCGTCAAGGGAAACCACGTGGCGCTCATCATGCACCATTCTGTGGGAGATGGCAAATCCGGGGAAACCATCCACACTGAGTTCATGAACGCCCTGAACTCCATAGAAGAGCCTGCCGGAGAAGTAACCGATGCCGATAAATTGATCCATGGCGACCCATCCACGCTCGTGTTCCCGCTTGAGCCGACGAGCACCTCAGATGCCAAAACCTCCACGGCTGAAGCTGTATGGATACAAGTCAAATTCCTGCTAATGGCCTTATTCCTCGGCAGTCGAATTCTATTCAGTACACTGCCTCGTGCAAAGCCCTGGATTAGATCCGCGACGGCGATTGCAGAACCCGCCCAGCGTACGGTGACCCGAGTCGCCTCGTACCGCATTGAAGCATCTCGAATGTCGAGAATCCTCAGCGCGTGCCGTGAGAATCAGACAACATTCACGGCTCTTCTGTCTTCTATGTGTCTTGATACGCTTACCAATGACTTTTACCCGAGAGCAATAATGGGCTGTTCACAATTCGTGTGCGATATTCGCCAGTTTCTGCCCATGGCAAAAATTGGAGGCGGTACCAAGGCTGGCACAGTCATCAATGCGACGGGAGGTGTCCAGCTTCAGCACTGGCTTGCACCATATCGACGAGCCGCAGTCAAGGCTGGCTCCTCAGTACAAACTAAAAAGGCTGCATGGGATCTCGCGAGGGAATACAAGGCCACTATGAATCAGTCCCTGAAAGGGGGAGGGGGTTTTATGGTGAGACTATGGAAATACACCTCCTCACTTGGACCTGACCTGGAGTACATTGTGAGATTTGCCTTTCCTGGAGTAGCACTTGCCCTAGTAAACACGTTTAGCATTTCAAATATGGGCGCATATGCACCTGTAGCTATTGGAGACCATGACGGCTTTTCTTCAGAGAAGCCACTGAAGTGGTCGATTGTGGATATGCAGTTCTCAGCGAGCTGTACAAACGGGACCATTGGCCAAAAGGGGTTGAAGTTTAGTGTCGCTGGAATCAAAGGCGGCGATACCATTGTCAACGTGTCCTTCGAGGATGGTATTGTATCGCGAGAGATGGCAGAAGAAGTGCTTCGAGGCATTACGTCAAAAATGGAAATTCTCGCGGCACCGGAGTGTAGACGCACCGACAGCTAAGGCTCCATGAACTGAAAACGAGTTAGCTATTCGAGATTGATCTTAATCTTCTAGGGTTGCTCTCAATTAAGGATTCTTCTGTTGTACTGAGAACTCTATGGTGATGCCTAGCCTGGAATCTAATATTCTAGCTTTGAAGAAGGGTAGCGGAAACTCACCGACGTCAGAGCGAATCAAAATTTTTGAAGTTGCTCCTCGGTATAAAAGAGACAGCTGTTGGCGATTCTTCGTTTGGCACAGCACTCGATGAGACTACTGCACCTGGTTTGATGGACTTCTACTCTCAAGATCTATGCCAGCGCAAGACCTGATTTGATCAATTTTATACAGTGCTCTCAGTACATTTCACTGAGTTAGATTCCATAACGAGGATGAGTCAAGATCTAGCCGAAACTCTGCTTTGGATGGCGATAGAAGGAACCTAGCAAAAATCATTTGTGTGAAATAATTGACATCAATAATTTTTCAAGATTAGACAATAAATTTTGAAAGATAGATAATAATTTTTGGGATTTAGATAATACTTTTTGAATACTGGACAATAATCTTTGAACACTGGACGTTGACCCTCTCTCATTTATGATGGTTTCACCGGAGTTTACTCTCCATTGGCCGAGAAGGCCGTCTCAAACTTGCGTTTGATAGAATCTTGGGGGTCTTGTCCACAGCCATTCTTTCGAGCTCAATGGCGCTTTGCGCCTCAGTCTCAAGCTTCTTCTTCTCATCCCAATCATATATATATATCCCCAACGTTAATATACCAAACTACAAGATTGACTAGGGCGATGTTACCGTGTGTCTGCGGGTTTGGAAATGCTGCCCGCGATGGCCCATTCCACTTTCCATGAGTAAATTGGTCAATTGTGACTGACCAGTCGAATTCCGAATATTTTAAATGGGATGTGATCCTCTGCTGATGAGGGGACAAAACAAGACCCTCCCCCACCCATCCCGATGGATGAATAGGATGATGCGCTTTCAGAATTGTGAGACTGAGACCGAGAATGAATGATTGGCTGGATGGACAAAGGGCGGATCTTTAACCGACAAGGGGATTGAAGTCGGACTTTGCACCTCCACGCGGTATCCCCTGGGAACCTGAGGGCTTTTGCTCCTCAGAGCCAACGCAGAGACGCAACGATGGGTTCTTTGGAGCCGAAGATCAACAACGCAGCCGCCGAGGCTGACACTGACGAAAACGACACGGCCCTCGGGGCTTGCCAACAACGACAACGACGCGGTTACCACGGCATAAGCAAACGACGCGGCTATCGGGGCTGAATTGACAACGACAACGACGCGATTACTACAGCAAGGAGAAACCGACGTGGCCCTCGGGGCCTGACAACAACGACATGGCCATTGCGGCAAGACACCATCAACGCGGCTTGATGCCGATGATATGGCTACTACACTTACTACGGCAAGTAACAGACGACGCAAACATCAGGGCATGACGCCGAACGGCACAGCTACAACGACAAGACCAACGAGGTGGGCTCGCAGACGGGTTGAAATTGAGTCGATGCGGAGACCGCAAGAGGTCCAGAAAGAACACGCTGGGACTGAAGGGAGATAAGGACACGTGAAGGCATCGCCCACTCTGCCTCCGCAGTCGCGACGCTGGTTAAAGGACTCGACGGCACTTGAAGAATGGCCTTCTTGGCGGAGGAGCCAGCCGAGGGCGAATGCACATACACACTGTCTCGAACGATCGAGGAGGCACGGGCGAGGATTTTTAGACCTAGAAACGAGTAAATTACAGCCTGAGTACTCCTTGAGAGTCGACGGGGCGGAAAACTTACCAACCAACCAACCAACCAATCTTTGACCGACAACAGGAGATAGAAATAAAGCGTGGAACGGCAGGTCATATGTTCAGAAGTGGCTTTGGGTAACCACTGACTGCACCATCAGCAGGTCTTGGCGCTTGTGGTAAGTCAAGATGAGGCACATCGTATACAGAGTAGGGGCCTTTCCTACAAGATAAACTACTTAGGACCATGCATCCCATCCATAGCTTATTGTATGGCGCATTGAACCGTCTGGACTCCTGGCTCTTCCCGACGAAATTTAGCCAACAGCTTTTTCCACAGCCTCTTCTGACGTCTATACACCTTTTTCTTCTCTGCCCAATACTTCGCTTTCCGTCCATCACCAGGGCTCCAAATCATTAAAGATCTGCCTATCGGTTCTCCATTTCTACTACTACCTCGCTGCAGAATCCAATCGTTTAGGAGGAAATTTGTTTATACCTGCACCTGCCTTCACATACTGCTGCTGCTCCTATCAGCCAGAACAACCCAGGACCGGATAGGTAGTTGCACAATCACCGCGGCGCTCTCGGCATTTCCGGAGTCCGGCATCATTCGGACATCAACGCCTCTGCATGCCTAGCGTGTCGGAAAAGCGATCTGGTGGGTGCCGATCCCGAAGGATTGGGACTATATAGCCTCTTATCAGCGTCGATTTTCCTCGAGGAGCAGGAAGAGGGAAACCATCTCCTTCTTCAGCAAGACCCCTTGGAGCATATCCCGACCCCTCTTGCCGAGAGTCCCCGGGTTGTAAAGGAAGTTCACAAGCGCAAAGTCCCGACGTCTCCTTGTTGGTCGTATAACATTCTGTACTGCCATTCGATATCAGGGAGGATCAACCCCAATAACGGCAACAGGACTTGAGGTGGGTCACGTCTGCAATGAAGCTGAAAGTGTTCGACTTCCTATCTATCATTATCCACGAGGCGCTTCCATCTGCGACTCTACCGCATTCTTAAAGTCCTCGCCCCAGCTTTCATAACCTCTCAGCAACTTGTCTGACATGAGAGACCGCTGCAACCACGAGCCCAACCCTGAAAACGTCTCCCAGCCGTACGCCTCCGTCGCCAGCTTACCATCGACGAGGCGTTCCTTAGCTTCGATGAACTCGAAGACCCTCACGTTGCAGCTCACAAAGGACGGCAAGCCTACGTACTCCCACGCCAGACGATACCCGGTGCGCCCATCATCCAGCTCAAACCGCTCCACCGCGCGTACTAGCTCAGCGGCCGTGTTGGTCTTCTTCGCCGGGTCCAGGTCCATGTGCACGTCGGCGGTAAACTTGACACCTCGGCATAGGTAGCCCGGCCTGGAGATGAGGGCATGTAGCTCCGGAACGTTAGTTGTGTCGTCGGCGATGGGTGGGGTTTGGGTGATGTTCGCGCGCGGTGTCATCTTGCACCACTCGGGCCAGGTCGATGTGTCCATGAGCTTCTGGATGCATTGCAAGGGCGGTGCAGCGATGGTGTTGGAGTGGGAGATGGAGAAGGAGGTTAAGGCGCCGTTCTCGCGGAATGGCTTAACCAAGAGCGGGGGGCCTGCTTTAGGCGGCTGGTTGGGGGCGATGAGTCCTTCGCACAGCGACATTTTGCTGTTTCTATGGTGTCGATTCGATACCCTTCGGAGGTGTCTTATGTTAAGGTTTGTTTTACCTCTTCTTTGGCACGGAAGTCTCTCGCAGGACTAGTTTTATATTTTCAGAAATATACGGCATCGAGAAATGATCTTACTTCAAATTTGCTGACTCAGATTCTAAAATTGCTCCTAGTCATCATTTTGATTGTTGCCTATCCTGTCTTCGTATCAATTCACTAGCTTGAAGCCATCATCAAATTAGATGTGCTGGTGGACACCAGGGGAGCGCACGGTGTGTTGTTGTGAAGTTGGCCTCTGAATGACTCAGTACGTCCTGCGAATGCTCATATACGCCCTATGCTCAGGTCCTTGAAGGATCATCAATCCAGGTTGAATAAACAAAGATGTGCTAATGATGACCCGTGAGAAGTTCCCACTCTTGTGCCTTGCCCCTACTATCGCCCTCCCCTGATTATAGGGTCTTTTTGCAGCATGACAGAGGGGGCGGATAGCTCTAGGTAACTATCGGGCCCTCCGACGCGGTAGCAGGGCCCAGTTAGAATGAGAGGCCCGGCAATAGCATCGGCTTTTGAAAAGGCCAATGACTCAAGAGCCCTCGCACTGATGATGGACGCTGAGGGCGAACAATGAACAGGCCCCATATCGTACGTGTGGATCACGATCATGGGCCCTCCCGTCAAGGAAAGTTTGAGTCATTAGGTTGTCACTCATGCATTTCGTTAAGGGGTTGCACGGGGCTGGGCATCCAAACGTAACCCTGCTGAAAGCGTCCCAAGGTGGTAAACGGATGCCTGTCACCGTGGCAGCACACGTAGCAGAGCGCTAAAGAAAACTTCAGGCCGGCCGCCGCCGCCGCGCTATGGAGAATTAGGCGCGCGCCAAGGACGCTGATGCCTTTGATGTTGGTTCCTCGGATGGTGTCTATATCTCAGGGGCAAATGTCAAGAATCAAGATGATTGCCTCGCCATCAACTTAGGCACGAATATTACATTCACAGGAGGCACTTGCAGTGGTGGTCATGGGTTGTCCATTGGTTCCGTTGGGGGTCGCAGCGATAATACCGTCAAAACTGTTCACATCTTGAACTCTCAGGTTACCGATTCTGATAATAGCATCAGGATCAAGACGGTTTATGGTGCCACAGGCTCGGTTTCTGATGTCCAATACGATAGTATCACTCTCGCAAATATCGTAAAGTATGGTATTGTGATTGAGCAGGATTACGAGAACGGATCACCCACTGGTACCCCCACCGACGGTGTTCCGATCACTGGCCTCACAGTCAGCAAGGTCACTGGTTCTGTTGATTCAGGTGCCACGAACATCTACATTCTGTGTGCCGCTTGCTCGGGCTGGACATGGACTAACAACGATGTTACTGGAGGTGAAACGTCTTCCAAGTGCACTGATCTGCCTTCTGGGGTCTCTTGTTAGAGACTTTCATCTTTCTGCATGGAGAGGAGCCGGTCTTCGAATCAAGCAGTTGAAAGATGAGGTGTACGTTATGGCTGGAACCATGACACGAAACTACAGAATCAAATTTCCTTATTTTCATTTCTTAGAATATTTGAGAGTGAAAAGGATAGAACTATGTAGCAGTTTGAATCGTCGGATAGAGAAAAATGAGACGTTGAACGAAGGCGTCAAATACATCTGAGAAATTGAACCCCCACTTTGCCATTCGCATTGCTGAACATTTAACTCACCTACTCCTGGACTGGCAGAAATACCCCAGATTCTACCTCTTGCTTCAATGGATGATACCTCCAGCGACTAAAGTAGGCTGCAGTTTTGCCGGTGCCGCCATTACTCGCGGCAAACACGCCAAGAAGTGTACCTGATTTCAGGCGTAAGTCATAGCCGGCGTAACGTTCGATTCGTGGAAATGGAACTCACCGTGAAAAGGGCCTGATCCGCCCGATACAATATCCGCATTGGCTGAGCCCATCCAAATTTTGTCATCGGGTTTATCAACTAGAGCCACGGTAAAATTGTATGCCTGACACTCGTCCAGTGTAATGGTAAATCTGATATGTTTTCCAACCCAAGCCTGCGGGACGGTTATTGTTCTTGTGGGCAGGACCTCAATTCCGGGTTTACCCAGAGCCTCTGGCCTGAACCTGAACTTTTGCTCCAATTCTCTAGTAGAAGAGGAACGAGTATTAAGAACGCTGACGTCGATATGCTGGTACTGAGTTAGAAATACTGTAGCTCCTGCGTCTTTATCAGCATCCTTGGGGTCAAATTCAAGATCGACTGTAAATTGAAAGACCGAGCTCGACTGCTTCCGAGATATAAATCCCATCCCCTCTTCAAGTGGTTCAAATTGGGAATCCGCAGTAAGATTCACTCTTGATGGCGACACCTGTAGCGAGTTGGGATGACCGGCCGGAGACACTTTAAAAGGCTTTCTTTGGGTGGTCGCCAGAAGAGGAACTGCCTTGGAATTTGTGTCTCAGGATGGAAAGCTTCTTCGTCCCCTTCATGAGCCCAGAAGCCGTCCCCAGGAAGATCTGTGTTATTAGGCGGAAGGGGTCCGCTCATTGTTCCTTGAATTGGATCGATGATCGACCATCCACCCTCATCCCACGTCATTGGCGACAGAACAGTCTCCCTGCCCATAGGATACATCTCCCAGGCCGGGCCAGACCGAGTAGCCAGCGCCACGCACCACCAGTTTCCCGCGGCATCCTAGAAAAAGTCTGCGTGTCCCACAGTCTGAAAGAAAGCGTCCGTATTGTTGGCAGTGAGCATAGGGTTTCTCTCCTACCCCTCATAGGGCCCGGAGATACTTGTTGACCGAGATATCACCCCCGAGTGATTTGTTTCCGTGCCGCCCTCACCGATGCCGAGATAATAATACCCATCTTTGTTGTATATATGCGGTCCCTCGGGGTTTCGGTCGCCAGTGCCGTTCCATACGATGAATGTCTCCAAACACTTTGCCAGTGGAGATGTCAACTTGACGAATGAATATACCTCTGGCGACGCTCATGTAGAATTTTCCATCATCATCCCAAAAAAGATCCGGATCAATTTCCTTTTCCGGGTTCTCGAATCGAACCGGTCCGCTCCAAGCGGCGTCATCGTAGGGATCAGTTGTAGTTAAAAGAAGAATGATGGGCCCCCATCCCTCATGCCAATACACGTAGCTGGTGATTAGGTAGAATGTGCCATCGCGGTATCGAAGAGTTGATGCCCATGTTCCTTCGGTTTGCAATGCACTGTTTCGGTATAACTCAGGTAGCTGGTCGCCGCGACTGATAGCATAGCTCGCGTGCTTCCAGTGAACCAAGTCTTTGCTAGCAAAAAGAGGGACGCTTGGAAACGTCAAAAACGACGAGGTATGCAAAAGAAGGTATTGTCCCATTCTTTCACAAATGTACAGCTTGGGTCGGGGTTAAATGCTGGCAGGATTGGATTCGTGAATGTGGTATTGGCTGCATTAGACAAGCGTATCACGAAACCCAGGAGACAGACGAGCTGAGAGATGTTCATGGTCAAAAAGCTCGAACGGTCGATATTGATAAAGTCTATCGAAATTTCCTCAGACCAGGACCACGCCAGTGTCTTATTTCACGAAGACAGGATAAATATTTACCCAATTTACCCACCAATGGGCCGTTGAGATATTTCTAGAGTAAATGAAATACAATAATAAGGCAGTACTTGAGAATCACCTTCTCATGCTTTGGCTAAATACACCGGGTAGGTATCCCATAGCGTAGATTGCCAGAAACAGTCTATACTAAACAAAAGAAAAGAATTAAAGTCTCGGCTATATCACCTTCCAAGCCACTTCCAAACCAGCTACCACACCCATACTAGATACAAAAGATTTATGAGCTCACAAAGCCTGGGCACTCCTTGTATGGAATACCAGGCTTGCAGTCCGGCTCACAAATAGTATTGTTCGCAGGGACGACTCCAGTCGCAAAGTAGGTGGCGACATGATCCTTTACACACTTGCTGCTTGAAACAAGCAACGCACAGTGACCGGATGCCTCTTGAACAATCACGGCCGAGTCACCATGCTGCTGAGAAGTCACATATGCGCTGGACAGTGGGGTCGCGTGATCATATCTGTTGGAAAGGATCAGGAGAGGCGCGGACGGCGTGTCTTTGTTCTTCCCGGTCTTGTCCGGCCCAGGTGCGCCGAATGGGCCTCTGAAGGCGTACTTGGCGTCGTACTTCCACCCAGAGCACGCCGCGATTACGCGAGTCCAGGATTCGGCGAGTGTGGGGGAATGGCCGACGATTGCTTTGGCAATATTGTTCGCCCAGGTGGCGTTGCGCAAATCCGGGTCGATGTAAGTGTCGCTGCAGAAAACACCGGAGCCGGCTTCGTTGTTGAGAGCGAGGTCGGATGGTGGGTAGCTCGCGCCAGGGTTAACACACATCTCGGCGGGCTCGATGGAGTTGGCCAAGGAGGCCGGGGTTTGCATGAAACCAGTGAAGTTGCCTGTCAGAGCCAGCGCTAGAAGTTGAGACGCAGGTTCATACATCACGATGGGTTGGTACAACATCTGTCGAAGCACGTCGCGGACGGTATGAGACGTGATGTGCCGAACGCGGCCCTGATACACGACCGAAACAGGGTCATCATCGAGACTTTTCAACAGGAGGTCTACCTTGGTTCGGATATCCTTCGCACTCTTGTCTGTGTCCCCCTTAAGGAGACAGCTTGATCCGGCGTCGTAGCAAGTCTCGTAAAAGGTGTCGAGAACCCTTTCGGCATCGAGGAGGGCTTTGCCCATATGCTGCAATATGCTGGTTAGAAATCTGTACCCATTCAAGAACTGGGGGATCTTACTGTCTGGATATAATCATCCGCATCGACGATACCATCAATAACCATACGACCAACTCGCCCTGGGAAAAGACTAGCGAAGCTATTTCCCAAGAACGAACCATACGAGAACCCAAGGTATTGCAGCTTTGGAAGTTCGTCTGTGTTCTGGGATCGACGACACTTGAAAGTTTTCTTCTCAAGTTCATCCACGCGGTCGACAATCTCCAGCATGTCTCGAGCGACGGAAGCGGTAGCCATATAAGGGAATATACTGTCCGGTCCAAGCTCAGCACATAAGTTTGAAACCCCCTTTGCGGTTTCATAGAACATTTTGAGGCCGAAGGTGTCGGGATCTGCTGGTGACAGCCCACCCTGCTGAATTGCGTCAGAAGCCCTGGCAAAGTCGTTTCTGTAGCAATCAGCCGACGGCGTGCTCAAACCAACACCACGAGGGTCGAACCCGAGGATATTATAGTGCTTGTCCTCGTCGACAACACGCTGAAGATATGCTCCCTCGGAAAGAACGAATTCGGTGCCGGACCCTCCTGGGCCGCCGGGGTTGACAAGGATAGTGCCGCCAAAGCTGGGATCATCTTCCCGCACGGTGGCTGGAAGGGTCACAATGGCAATGGCGGCTTTGAGCGAGGTGCCATTGCCCTGGTCGGCCGCTTGCCAGTCAAGGGGGACCTCAAGACGAGCACATTTGTAGCCGTTGTAGCAGTCGTTGTATTGAAGGTCGGATGAAGGCTGGATCGAAGCCCAATTAAAGGTGGTTTCGTTAGAGTCCCTGGTCTGCGGTAGAGCCAAGATAGGCTTCAACAGAAAGCTGTAAAGCAGGGCTTGGCGAGAGACGGATTTGTACATGATGGAAGCACTGGAAGACTGAGAAGAAGATGTGATGCGTTGGAGATGATTTCAACTGCAGATTGAAGAGAGTCCAGTTCATATTTATAACTCTTCCTCATCCATACTATCTTCGACTTCGTTACACGATCATAGCAACGCAACATCTTCATTGAGAACGAGTGTCAGGGTGTCCCCAGATGCCAGTATTGCATAGCCAGGTTCCACCGTTGGCGAGATTCACCAAGTGGAGGATCGCCAGACTCTGCCATTGGCTGCGTCGCCAAAATTCGGTTGATCTTCTCCGGAATGGGCAAATTTTCCCCTGGCCAGCAATAACCAGCGGCCACCTTTGGGTGCAGCTCACGCCTCAAGGTGCTTACTTGGCCCACGCGTCAGAGAGCACACAGCCCCAAGGTCTTATTAGTTTCATTATCGCCCGTGTAATAATACCAATAGCCGATGAAGCCAATCTTTGCCCTTCAATCGTTCCCCACTATCATCCATGTAAGAACAAAAATAAAGCTTTTGGCGAGGAAGTTTGAATTGAGATGTCAGCTGCCATTGAGCTTGACAAATGTTGCTGACGCCTCCCTCCTATACATGATGTTGGTCTTCGCACATTTCAGTGTTTGACATTGAGCTACAGCGGATTGTTTTCTTTTTCGTTGCCTTCTTCCGTGTCCGGGCAAAATCTTACAGGAACGCCGGCATGAATTTCTTCCAGCGTCAGCTGATCAAGTTCATTTCTAACACATTCTCACGCCCACTCTATTCCAAGAGTTTCAATGCAGGGACTTTGGCCAGGAAAGACACAAGGGTGGACAATCGACTTTAATGATAAATAAAAGTGGCAGACTTCATTCAAGTCTAGGTTAGGAGCTCTGGCTGTTGAGCATCCTTGGCTAGATCAAAAAGTGTACATGGACCCAATCATGGTTATTTTTAACCGTACAGCGGTGGGTATCAAGCGTACCACCAGGGCTGCAGCGTCATGAGTTAGTAGGTCAGGGGCATATCAAAAGGAAATCGCCGGAGCAGGACCGTTTGTGGGAGATCTCCCGCTCCTCACAAGCCGAAAACTTGGGCCTTACGGCGTGAGGGCCTTCTGGGAATGTCACTTTGGTTATCATGGCTTGAGGTGGAATCCTTCATGTACAGGGAGTCATGTTCAGCTCTCACCAAAGGCACCATCGAGTGCTTACCATCACGATGCAGGTCAGCCGCTAGAGCCCCTGCGTCAAATTGCCGTGTATGTAGGTCTCATCCCGTGAGGCAGAATAGCGATTAGCGTCGCATCGGATCATTGAGACCGGCGCCTACACCTGCGACAGTTGTGCTTGGAGGCTGCTTACTGGCGCAATCTGATCAGCGAAGGATTTTAGTCCTCGTAGAGAAGGGACCTTGGAGGCTTTGCGTCACAATAATCTTAAGTTGAGGCGATTGATTAATTAATTGATATTAACCCTCGGTAGTCGAGAGCAATGGCAGTCCGTGTCTACTCACCGTTCTCCATCATTCGCTCGTTTTAATTGATACGCCTCCAAGGTGATTCACAATGGTCCAGCTCTCCTTCGTTTCTACTGCCGCGGCGCTCCTGCTGGCGGCCTTGCCCCTTGTCGCGGCCGCTGAGCCATTGCAGAAGCCCAAGCAAGCTGCAGTGCTCGGCAGCTTCACGTCGCAGGGCTGCTTCAGCACCGGCCAAGGCCTCAAGAAGCAGAAGAGTGTCAATGGCACGGTGAACTCGTCAGCTTCATGCGGCGCCGTATGCCTGGAACAAACGAAGCTTGTCTTTGCCATGACCGGCGACGCCTGTTATTGTGGTGATAAATACCCACCCGAGGTCGACATCATTGACGACGCCAAATGCACATATAAATGCACGGGCAACAAGAAGGAGGCCTGCGGCTCCAAGTCGGACAAGAGATACTCTGTCTGGAATTCGGGTGTCAAGCTCGATGTTGAGTACGCAAAGAAGAAGACCTCCAGCACGAAAACAGTCACGAAATCAGCGACGAAAACACCCACAGCGACCAAGTCTTCCAAGTCTACCAAGACTTCAAAGTCCACGAAGAAGACTCCTAGTTCGACAACCACCAGTCAGAGTGAGACGACCACGAGCGACAGCATCGTGTCTACCAGCTCCAGCGGTAATGTTCCATCAGGTACCAGCGCTGCGGCACAGACTTCGAATACTTCCGGCGCTGTCTCAAGACCCATGATTGGCGCTGGAGCCGCTATGCTGGCTGCTGCACTTGCTATCTAATATGTCATTTGATCAAACAGTTCTGTTCCTTCTTGTATGAGTCACAATATTGAGTGATTGACCTTCAGATAGGCAATTGGTGATGCAATTAAAGCGCAGGGCTTTGATGTGAAATTTTCAATGGAAAGGACAAAATGTAATGCGTAGTAATTGAATTATTTTTATGGCACTTTGTTCAAATGTGAGAGCGGCGCAGGAAATTGGTGAGATACGCAATACGAGAAATGAGGACTTGAAGCCTTGGACGACCGAATGCAAGAAATTGATTGGATTTCTCCAGAGCTGACGCCAATAATGACTACTCAGATGCCAGGACGATCAAAAGGCACCGTTGCGACGCTACATTTGAAACGTCATGTTCGATCGTGACTCATTGCCGCGGGATCCAACCACCACCAGCAGGACCTAGCTCTATTTACGCCCTGAACTCCATGCCCATATTGGCTCGATACGCAGTCACATGACCCGGAAAACAGTAAAGTCCGAGCAAAGCTTGCGATTAGGCTCTGAAGCCTGTTGCTGACCGGCATTCCTGTGCCGTCGCCTCTTACTAAAGTCCTAGTGGCCCGCTCGGCCGTCATCATGCAGTCGGCAGACTCTGGTCATGGTCACTCCTCGTTGTCACTGAAGGCAAACGGACAGAGAAACGGTCGCGGTACCCGAAGAAACGTATCTGCCTTGCCAAGGCCGCCGTGGTGGTCGTCTTCCGTCTGGTCGGTCCTGTGGCCGTCCAGATCCTGCGCCGTAGGACTGATCCCGCCGTCTCCATCAAGTCCGATCCTGAAAGCCAGGCCAAACCCCTCTTTTGCCGCCTTCACATGTACCTATGCTGAGCAGCCCAGCAAACGACCGCCATGTCCGGGTCGCAACCAACCCCCGACGCCAGCCCGTCCGGCGACTCGCCAGACACACATGGTGCTGCCGCCCAGGGCCTGAAGTCCAAGCGGATCCTGGCCTGTATTTTATGTCAGCAGCGCAAGATCAAGTGCGAGCGCAAGTTCCCGTGCTCCAACTGCATCAAGTCGAACGCCCAGTGTGTCCCGGCCAACCTGGTCCCCCGGCAGCGGAAACGTCGCTTCCCCGAGCGGGAACTTCTGGAGCGTCTGCGCCGGTATGAGGACATACTGCGGAAGAACAACCTCAAGTTCGATCCCATGCACAAGGAGGACCCTCACACTAAGTCATCCGATGCCCATGGTGACGATGCATCAGATGCCGGCTCTCCAGAGGCTACTGCCGACTTCCCCAATTCTTCGGATCGATTACCCGAAGCAAAGTAAGCTGTTACTGATGTCTTTTGTGTTAAATCCTCTGCCGAGTTCCCATTCAGCGACTAACTCATCCTCTTGCAGGAACTTTTGGAATGCCATGCGCCAAGGGGTACGGCCTGCCTCTCCTTTTTGTTCAATGCTCGTGTGCTAATTATTGATATAGTTTCACGAAGTTGACCATATCGGCGAAGTAGCCGCTAGAGAGGCATGGGATGAAATATACGAGGATAACGACCAGATCCTGTTCGGCATTCGCAAAACAGTCATCGACATTCCCAGCCTGCAGCCGGAGCCCGTTCAGGTCTTTCGGCTCTGGCAAATTTACCTTGACAATGTCAACCCATTGTTGAAAGTAACGCACACTCCTACACTTCAGCCATGCATTATCGAGGCTGTCAGTAACTTTGAGAAAGTCAGCCCGGTGCTAGAGGCTCTCATGTTTGGAATCTACTCCATGGCTATTCATTCACTTACTAATGCCGATTGCCAAGCAACGTTTGGCTCGTCGAGGGACGATCTCTTGCATAAGTACCAGTACGGGTGCCAGCAAGCTTTGGTGAAGTGTGGATATCTACGAACGGGGGACCGAGACTGCTTGACGGCTTTTTACCTCTACCTGGTGGGTGCCTTGCCTCTGTTTCTGATTACTGAAGCTAACTCCTACTATAGCTGTCTGTCTCCAAGGCCACAGATCCTCGATGCCTATCATCAATGCTCGGCGTTGCCGTGCGAATTGCTCAACGCATGGGTATCCATTTAGAGGCATCGAACTCTACATTTCCCCCACTAGAGGCTGAGATGCGAAGGCGGTTGTGGTGGTCTCTGATTCTCTATGACGCTCGAGTTGGAGAAATGGCCGACCACAAGAGTGCAGCACTCGCTCCCACATGGGACTGCCAAGTTCCACTGAGTCTGAACGACTCTGACCTCAGGCCGGAGATGAAAGAGTTCCCAGCCATGGAGCCAAAGTCGAGCGAGGCCATCTATGCCGTCGTCCGCAGCGACATTGCCAACTTCTATCGCCACACATCATCATATCTAGACTTTAATATCCCAGCACTCAAGGCCGTCGCCAGCGTCGCAAAAAACGACGGCCTGGGCATCGAGACGTTGGAGAAGAGGGTGGAGGAGAAGTATCTCAAGTTCTGCGATCCGGAGAATCCCCTCCATTTCCTAACCATATGGACAACCCGCCTGAGTGTGGCCAAGGCGCGACTAATTGTCCACTACTCCAAGGCATCATCAAACTCGCCCCCCACAGAGGCGGAGAACGACGCCGCCATTCTCCAGGCCATCACCATGCTGGAGAGCGACACGAAAATCATCAGTCTCCCTTCAGTGAAAGGCTTCGTCTGGATGGGCAACCTCCATTTCCCTCTTCCCGGCTACATCCATCTTGTGTACGCTCTACGGCAAAATCCTCTCAACCGGCATGCCGAACACGCCTGGCGAGCCATGAGTGAGAACAGCGCGATGCGCCTGAGCTATAGTAGCGAGATGCGGCACAAGCTCGAGACCAAGGCCAAGAACCCTCTTTTTAGAAATCTAACGAAAATCATCCTGTTGACGTGGGATGCCCGTGTGGCCGCCGAGGAGGCCTTGGGGCGGACCGTAGCACCACCCGATATCGTGGTGAGGGTGAAGGCGATCCAAGCTGCGCGTATGGAAGGCGAATCCCCGCAGAGCCAGACGGGATCTATTGATGTGGATGACATCAACATTAATGATATTATGATGAACATGCCGGGGGGGTTGGGTATGGACTGGCAGCTCGACTATAACCAGATGGAAGCAATGGGCATCGGGATGCCCGACCAAACGAGCTTCAATTCGAACATCAACCAGCTCAACTGGGCGACGATGGGCTGGGGTATCAGCAACCAGCAGAACCGACCGGGGTGATGTCGATCCGGTAATGAATCCCTGTTGAGGCATTCAATTATATAGTGTATATCAGTGTAGTATGACACTCCCCTCTAGGTAGACAATCTCCCAAATAGAGAGCGAGGGCGTTTTCCAGAACTTCATCAAGCCATTTACGCGTGATACAGAGACGTAACTTGTGTGCCAGGGAAACAAGTGGCACATGACATGATTGATATCCCATGCAGGTCGTGTTGCCAAGCTTTCTAGCAGGGAGGCTGTGCTGACCAGCCGCTAATTATTAGATTCATGCTGCGAGTCTCGAGCCAACAGCAAATCAATCTGGCTGGCTAGTGCCATCAATATGTGGAAAGGAGGTTGGGACGACCTATTCTGGTCATCATCATCATCACCATCAAGTCTTCACCCTCCGCCCATTCACCACTTCAGTCCGCGGCTCCCTTTTCAGCGCCAACTTGTCGACTAATTGTCGCATTTGTGTAGGTGTCTTGTGGGCGAGTTGTCCAACCCCTCACCTCGCTTACCGGCTCTTGATCCTTGCTCACATATCGGCGGATCCAGGGAGTGAACGAGAATGAAGAAATTAAAGAAGATCCTCAATGCACGGCGCGGTTCCAAAAGCGACGCATCGCTTGTTGGACGGGCACCTCAGCCCAGGACAGAGCCGGCAGCATCAGACACGGCCACGCAAAAGACATCCCAGGCTCATTCGCCTGCACGGCCTGGTGCGCAACAGCTAGAGATGCTCCCATTTGAGATCCGGCACCATATCCTTCTCGCTCTTGGCAATATCGAGGACCTTTCCGCTCTGGTGCATGCATCCCCAGTCTTTCACGAGCAATACGCACGCCGCCGAGGGTTTTGGCTATGGAGATATCTGCAGGCACGGATGGGCGACGGTATCATTGACGCGTACACCGCAGCCCTTTGCAGCAAGCCCGATTTCGACTGCAGCCGCCAAAACGTGCAGGCTTTCCTAGCGGCGTACTATTTGCGACGCTCAGCAGGGGTTGAAGAATTATACAAAGAGGTTAAGGCGGACGATCTCGCCACCATGACAAGATTCTACATCAGCGTCGTGCGGCCTCTAATACGTGAATACACCCTCTTTACCCTCGAGGAAGAGACGGTTCTAAGAGAAGTCGAGAGCAGGAGGGTTATACGGGCCATGTACCGCTTCCAGGTCTTCTGCTCCCTTTTCGGTCTTCCGCGTTCCGACGCGAGACCAAAGTTCACGCAGGACGAGCATCTCGCCCTCCTCAGTCACTTTGAGCCGTGGGAGACGGAGGAGATTCTCTGCATAAATGATTTCGCGGACAACACATATGAGCGCGTGTTTGAAGAAATTGATGAATTTGATTTCCAGCCCGTTAAAAAGTCCCTGTCTGGCCTAAAACAGTTTCTACAAAGCCCTCCTGGCATCCTCTCCCTCGGTGTTCCCGGTAAGAACTCCTCTCTATGTCATGATCAATTCTTTTTGGATGCTAACGTTTGTCGTTGAAAGTCGTCCGCCGGGGTTACAAAATTGGTCTGGCTGCTTCAGGGTTGACCCTCTTATTATCCTTTCTCAAAACCGGGGAGCCGGAGAAGAAGTGGCAGATGTTTACGGCCATCAAGGATACCGTCTTCATGGACGAGGACTGGGTGTGCGAAGCTACAAGCGATGCCGTGCAGCAACGACGACGTCAGACCCAGCCTTCAGATCGAGATGCTGCACAGGACCGCCGTGAGGCCATGGTCTTTTCCCACGATACTGTAGATTCGCCTCCTCTGGGATGGACCTTGACATGGAAGGAGACCTATAGTAACATTTATGGATACTACGTGCCCTCTAGCTTGCGGAGGTGGGGATATGTGATGTGGGATGCCTCACGCATGGCTGAATCTGGTGGTGTACGGGTTCTGCATCATATGTGGAAGGAGCACTACGGTGATGAGTATCACGAGAATGTAGTTGATCCCAGAGATAGCTTGTAGGGATAGTGCAATAAATTAGTCCTTTCTGAGCATCTTTCTTAGATCTCGTGACATGGCTCTATAGCGCATCCTGTTTAGAAGGAAACAAGGCTTTTCTTCTCACAAGAAAGCCCTTTAGGCCGGCAGGATGTAGCCTATTACTCCGAGGTCTCGGGATAGGTTCTTCACTATGAGATTCATGAGAGTACACTGCCTGTGTTGTGAGACTCCAGCAGCTTGCTGAAGCAGGAACGAACCTCTATGGGAGATGCAGATGTCGAGGTCGAGGTATGTTTATATAGGGTGGTTTTTGAGCTAAGGGACATGACACATGAAATAAGAAGCCGACTTTCAAACCTGCAGCAGCAAAAACTCAATTCATTCTTCACATGAGAACTTGACATACTGCCGTAGACTTTATTTCCAGGGCAACATGCATTTTTATGACTAGCGCCGTGCTCGACTTGAAAATATCACCACAAAAATCGAAATGATAACGGGGGCAAAGCCCAGTAATTAAATCGCGTCATGATGAGATGACCAGGGGTTAACGGCACTTGGGGGTCGGGAGCTAGGGAGGGAAGAGAAGCTATAAATGGGAAAGGCCGATGAAGAAATTGCGATGCATGTCAGTCCTTATCAACCAGAACCGTGGGCCCTGCTCGGAGCACGCGTGAGCACTCTACGAGATCGTGGGTCGTGTTCATTTCATTGCATGAATCGGTGAGTAAGCTGGTCCGCTGACCTCTTCCCAGCAATAAGGATTCATGAATCGGCAATGAAAGGAAGGCAAGGGTCCTGCCCTGCCGTTGCCCGTGCACGAGTGACTGACGAACGTTTTATCGGGTCAAGTGGATAGCTCTCTTCAACCCCCATCTTATACACCGGAGGTAGCGTATTTTCTGAGTTGATCGTATGACGCTCAGCACGGCGTTGAGCCTGCCACCCTTGTCCGGCAGGGATTTCAAGTCACGATACATACATGGAGGTTCGGCATCCAGCCAACCAGCGAAGAGTTGGCACTCTAGACCTTTCCCAAAAATGATTTCCTCCGTCTCTGACGTATTCAGGGCTCTCTGTCCGTAATAGTAGTAATACATAGTAATATCATATATCTTTTAATTGTATCTCGCTGACCGGTTTTATCTTGTTTTTTGCCTCTTTTTGGGAGTTCCTTTTCTCTTTTGCTTCCCCTTCTTTCGCTTTATTTTCAGCCGTTTAGCAAGTGATTTAGGCCGACACAGTGACGTTTAAGGAGGCCAAACGAGAAGAAATTGTCGGTTTTTGCAGGAAGAGCTATCAAGAAACCGTGCGCTCGGGGGCCCTGCTTCAACAGCAGGTCACTCTCGCCTAACATCTTACCAACCACGTCATACATTCCGATCCATACTGGCGCCATGAGAAGCATCAACTGAAAATCGAGACATCAAAAAGAGCGGGTGTTTCTGTCTCCAATCGCTATCCGCGACGAAGAGACCTCGCCTCTGTCACCACCCCCCATGCGATCTACATCCTAATCACAATGGCGGCTTTCTCGGAATTATCATCCGGAGCGCTCCAAAACTTCTCAGGATGCGTGGCTATGCTCGTGATAGCAATCATTTTCATTGCTTTGCGATTTTACGTGAGGTCAACTCTCCGCCAGCCTCCTTATTTGACAGACTGGCTGTGCTTAGTGTCATACCTCGTTTTCGTTGCCTACGCCGCCGTCATCTTCAATCGTAAGAGATATCCAAAAGTCAAGAACAAGGGGAGAATTACATCGTCTAACTAACTCCAAAGATATTTTCAATGTATCAAAGACCGGTGCATTTGAGGGGAGCGGCGTGGTTGCCGGATCCTCAGATATTGGCGGGTCTGAAGCCAAGGCATTCATGAAGGCAAGTTTGAATTATGCGTTGGTCACGGGAATCCAGCCATCTTGGAAGAAGAACATAACCAAATTGCTGACTTGAAAGATAGATGGGTCTCGCTATTGAGCTGATATTTACGCTGGACATTACGGTTGTCAAACTTAGCATCCTCGCTTTCTACTGGACACTATTCGGCGTGGAGAAGATTCAGAAAAAGATCATCTGGACGAGCACCGCCATATGTCTAGTCTGGTGGATCGTCTTCACCTTCCTAATCATCTTTCAATGCAGGCCCATCAATTATCTATGGGACACGTTTGGACAAGCAGATACTTGCATATCCACGCCGAAGCTACTGCTTGCCGTTGAATTGACCAATCTCTTCATTGATATCGGGATTCTTCTGATCCCAGTCTATGCCGTAAGACACCTACGGCTAGATAGGAATCGCAAGTTTTCCTTGTTGGGGATTTTTCTGCTGGGTGCTGCGTAAGTGTTACCTTATCATCTCACTCTAAGCGTATCTAAGAATCTAACATGATGCAGTGTCTGCGTGACAAGCATTGTCCGCGTCACTGCCATATGGAATCCGCCAAATGTGATGGCTAACTGTGAGTATCCATACACTCTTCACATTTATGAACCAAACTAATATATTCAAGTCCAATTCGCCAAGACGGTGCTATGCTCTACTTTGCAGCTCGGCATGGCCATTATCTGCGGCTGCTTACCAACATTAGGACCATTATTCACCAGCGCAGGCACACGAGCTCGAAGCTGGTACGATTCAGCGATAACGAGACATGCAGCTACATCCTCCAGTTACAAAATGACGGATGGTCCGAGCGGATTAGACCGGCCGTGGGCTAATGTTGGCGGCAGCCAGTACCGGAATACAACGAGGAGCTGGGCAGGGCGAGAGGAGGAGAGCTCTGACTCGATGAATCACCTTGATCCGTTGCCGCCGTCGAAGATACGGGTGCAAAGATCCATAGAAATATCGAAATAGCATGATCATATACAATCTTATAATGTACTAATGTAATGTAATGTAGTATAATTCCAGTCTTAGAAATCAACTCTTCAGATGCGGAAACATGGAAACCAAATTCGCTAATTCATCATTTCACGTCATACTTGTTGTCCCGTCAAGTCCCTTCCTCAAATATCCTTCGCCATAAAACTTTCCCATCAGTAGGATCCATGATGATGGCGTAATGTGTCTCTTCGTTCCGGATCTCGGGGTCCCTCACGAACTCGCGCACATCCGCCATGCTGATCGCCCTGGCGGATTCGCCGTTCTTCTTCTCAAAAGCATCAACGCTCTTTCGCCAGAGCTCGTCGAGGTGGCACTTGCGATCCAGGGAACACGCGACAATGTCGTCCATGCCCATGATGGTTGGGCCCTGGGCAATCTCTGCAACTGCGTCTTTGAGTTGCGAAGGATCCTTTTCGTCGGCGACATCATGGTTATAGGCAGTCAAGAAGGTGTCAGAGTCTCGCACGGGTCCCCGGCGATTGTCCTTGTCGACAACATAGACCTTCTGGGGGGTACAAAAGATCAGATAGGCCGAGGTTGACGGCGACGTCGTCAACTTGGACAATAATGATCGCACATCAGCTTCACTAAATTCATCCAGTTCTCCGGTCGGGGATGTCGATATGAACCTTTTCTCCTTTTTCTCTGCAGGCTTGTGGTGTTGTTGCGCTGGAGGGCCAAGCAGGGTCTGCCTCAGCAAACTGGAGATGGAATGCCGGAATCCCAATACCACCATGGCTTGATTATAACGGAAAGCAGCCTGATCCCACCAAGTAGACGAAGCGTGGTGAGGGCGAAAGTTGAGACTCATGCTCAGACCCTTCCTCACACCAGTCAAGACGCCCACATACCCGAGATATGTCAAAGAAGTGGCAATGACAGGCCCGCCACGGTGTCGCACAAAGTCGAGTTCGACCACAATATTTCGCAGCCTGTCCATGCCCCAATCCAAAGTCCGGAAATGAATCATCCGCGACGCACGCGATGATGATTTCGACGAGGCCCGTGTCCTCGGTGGAGACTTCTCCTCGGCGACGCGGACACCGCCGCTGGTGCACCCCAGCAGCAGATCCAGCAGGACATTGAAGGCGACCAGGATGTGCTTTGAGATCCCCGAGGCCCTGGAGATTCCAACGAGCTCCTCGGTCTCTTCCGGGCCACGGACGCGGCGCAAAAGGGCCGGAGATATGTTCTTGAGCCAGTTGCCCAGCTTCTCGCCTGCCAGCTCCACGAGAAGCTCGTCAAAGAGCTCATGCAAATTGCAAGAGTCGATCTTGGGCTGGAAATGCGGCACGATGTGGTCGTACCGCTGGCGGGGCGGCAGCGACAGATCCACCACGAACTTGGGGATCTCGAGTCCCTCTTCCGCCATCTTTACGGTCCGGCGATGCAGTTCTGGCGATGGAAAGGGCGACGTGAGAAATGGAGGAGATGAGAGGAGGTTTGATGTTTGTTGATCCTCATTGAGGCACTGCGAAACCTAGACACAGTCTGACCGAGTCTAGACTCCCGCCCTTTCTTCAGCCACACTTGGTGCCAACTCGGTGGATTATCTTGGTACGCGACATGGCCGTTCATAGGCCCAAGTCCGTGACTAAGCAGTAAATCAATGCAATCAATGCAATCTGGGCCTTTGGAGAGGCGCCACAGATCCACGGACTGTCTCACTAACGCGAGTCATTCGTGCCTGGGCCTGTCGGCTGGAAGTAAGCTTAAGAGTCAGGCTGGCTTGTCTTCAATTTGATTCTTTCGATCTGCCACCGCGGGGACAGGAAGAAGAGTCGCGTCCCAATCAAGACCGTCGGATTACGAGACTCTGGAACGTGTCATGCGATTCGATCAATTGACCAATTCCCCTTGCCTACCCTAGACCCGCAATACCGCATAAGCACTCTAAGATTATTGCAAAAAAAAAAGTAGAAAGCTCTCTCAAAAGAACAAAGCAGGCTTTATATTTCATGTCCTTCTTGTGTTATTATTTCCGATATTGGCAATGACTGTTGGTGGATTTGTTCAGAGACACTTGGAAGTAATTCAATGCATCATCAATTTGTGTTAGGTGAAAAGATCATCACATCCTTGGCATCAACGTCTTTTCGTACGGGTTGGACATAGCAAACTAACGATTAAAACCAAAAAAAAGGCAAAGAATATGGAGACGATGTAACTTCATTCTCGCCTCACAACTAACAACTGCTAGACGTCGTGCGAGATCGGCTTGAGATGGCATCACGAGCTTTTGCGTGCGTATGATGCAATGTGACAAACCCCCACTTTGTGTTGCAACAACACCAAAACCAGACCCTCAATGACACGCTAAGAGGCAGATAGAGTGCTTCGGATAACGTAGCCAAGGAATAATGCGGAGGAAATAGAAGATTAACGGCGCAAGCCCGATGGTGGCATTGGTAATGTGTGCCTCCTCGATTGCATATAGAAGAATGAACCCCTCCTCCATCACTTATCATACGCATCTCCTCAGTCCATATAGGCGCCTTAGCCTTGATCAATTTCGTATAATTCCATCATGGCGGACAAAAGTGAAACTGCCAGCTCTGGCAGCAAGAAGCAGATCATCCTCAATGCCTTTGTCATGAACACACCAGGCCACCTATCACCCGGTCAATGGCGACACCCGAGGAACAAGACTGACCAGTACACCAAGCTGTCGTTCTGGATCGAGCTTGCACAGCTCCTTGACAAAGCAAACTTCCATGCAATGTTCATCGCTGATACCTTGGGCCCGTATGATGTGTACAAAGGCCCTGCCAATGTCGTTCCCGCCCTCAGTTCAGGGGCACAGTTTCCAGTCGATGACCCCCTCTTCCTCGTGCCGAGTATGGCGGCAGCGACAAAGAATCTCATTTTTGGCGTCACAGCCAGTCTGACATACGATAAGCCGTACGCCCTGGCGCGACGTCTCTCAACGGTCGACCATCTCAGCGAAGGCCGTGTCGCCTGGAACATTGTCACGTCGTATCTGGATAGCGCAGCACGCAACCACGGTCTCAAGGAGCAAATCCCTCATGATGAGCGATACGCCATCGCTCATGAGTATTTGGAGGTTCTGTACAAGCTCTGGGAAGGCAGCTTCAGGGATGATGCAGTGGTAGCCGATCGGGAGACTGGTCAATATATTGCCAATGACGCCGTCCGCCAGATTCATCACAAGGGCAAGTACTTTGAAGTGCCGGGCCCTCATTTTTGTGAACCCTCTCCGCAGCGCACCCCGTTACTATTCCAAGCCGGTGTTTCGGAAGCTGGCAATGGCTTTGGCGGCAAGCATGGCGAGGCGATCTTCATTGGCGGACAAACCAAAGAAGGCGTCCGCAAGACGGTGGATAACTTGCGCAGCATCGCTGTCAAGGAGGGGAGAGACCCCAATCATATCAAGATTCTTCTAGGCCTCGGTGTCATCGTGGCTGCAACAGATGAAGAAGCATATGCCAAGCGGGCTGAACATCTGAAGTATACCGACGAGGAGGGTGCTCTTGCACTGTTTGGAGGGTGGACAGGGGTTGACCTTTCCAAGTACGATGATGATCAGAACTTCTTGCATAGCGACTCGCCTCGGATTCAGTCCATGGTCAGGAGATGGGCCGATACTGTTCCAGGGACAGACAACCTGCCATGGACAAAGCGACGAATTATCGAGTATCTGAGCCTTGGTGGCCTTCAAGCGAAGGCCATTGGTGGCCCCAAGACTGTCGCTGATGAGCTGGAGAAATGGGTCGAGCTTGGTGGTGTTGACGGGTTCAACTTGGCCCATATCACCAACCCAGGAACCTTCGAGGACATCATCGAGTACCTTCTGCCAGAGCTTAGACGTCGTGGGCTTTTTAGAGAACGAGTTGAGAAGGAGGGAGCCACAGCTAGGGAGGTCTTTATTGGCACAAAGAAGCTGCCTGATGACCACCCAGGAAGCAAGTATAGATGGCGAGCTGGCCAGGAACCCCCCGAGTACTAGTATGGATTATCTAGTCAATTGAGTTGGTCAAGTAACCTAGTTGCCGAATATGTCCATGGTGATAATTTGATTTCCTTATTCCACAATCCAGAAAGAGCCACAAGAGAATACATAATTAACAACAATTCTAATCCTGGGTATTTCGTGGGGGTTAGATGCTCTCCTTCATTAGCACAAAGCTGAACTCGGGAAGCCAGAAGTCATGCTTTTCTACACCGTTAATCTTCTTCTTGACAGTCTTGAGTATACACCCCTTGACTAGCTCACTATCCTACGTGGAAATGTGGTCGACTATTAGTTCTGGTTTTCAAATGCACTTGAGGCATTTGGTGTTGCAGCAAATGTCAGTTTTGTGGCTGCCAATTCTCTCATCTTCTTGGTGTTGCGTACTGTTTGGCTTCAGCTCAGGTCTTGAAGTTTTAAAGCCTAGCCCAAAGCTTTACTAGGTTGTGAGAATGTATTTACGCCATTCTTCCTTCTGGAGCATACGTACTTCAAAACCAAGCTAACATTGCCGATTGAATCAAGAGGGTAAGTGAAGCGCTACAGTGCCTTCGCAACAGAGAAAGGCTGCCGATAAGAAACTAGAGAGCCACACACGACGCGATAGATAAAAAGAGAGTAGAAAACAAGAAACGAAATACTTAGACGGGCTGTCATTTGATAGTAAAGACGACGGTTCTCCAAGGTGGAGTTGCGGAGGGAGCCAGATAGACCCAAATTGGAATGTTGCAAGCTACACCAGTCGGTTTCATCTCTCCATGAAGAGGCCACTCCAGATTCAGCAACCAATGAAGGTTCTTTGAAATTTGGTCGCAGTGAGAGAACGGAGTTGACTATTTTGGTCTTATCGCCGATGCAAGTGGCTGCTTCAAACAACTTTGCTCCTCGGCACCTTATCGTCAACAGTCAACCTGCCGTTTTAATAGGGACTTTTCGTTCTAGGGAAAATGAACAAGGACAGCGAAGGCGGATATCGGCCGTTGCCGGCGTGTCGCTAGATGAGTGTTCGTTGTTGATGGAGACGGAGAGATAATGACTTGAGGAAGAGGCCGGACCACGTAATGGCGCGCCCACAATGGCCGCGTTTGGCAGGTGTATAGCCTGTAGTGTGGCAAGACTGGAATCTGTAGATAGAAGCATCTGAATGTCTGTGACTAGGTATGAGGATAAAAGTCTATTGGATTGAGCAGTGGGGAATGTTCAAGCTTACATGTTAGCGTCTCGACAACCTGTTCCCTTTTCCAAGATGCTACGTTCGTCTGGAAGCTTTCAAAGAATCTGTAGCAGTGATAATTGGCGCGCAGGTTCGACTGCCATCCCATTGATGCCGAACATCCGGTATAGAGGGGATTCAGTAAGGCTTGCAGCAGCTGAAGGACCCTTACCCATCCTTGAGCCAATGCCGACCTTCCTATTCAGGCGTGTCTAGCTACATCCAATGGAGAATTAGAGTCCCTCGAAACCACGGGAGACGATTCAGAGCTCTAAGTCGTCAATGCGACGATGAGGGGCAACGTGAGCTTGATGTTTCGGTTCCTGCTCCATCCCACATCATGCGTCTCCCCATCCTGTAACGAGTATAAAGATCGGCCATGTCGCTCTAAAAATTAAGCTCTACTTACCTCATCATCCTGACCGTGTAGATCGGCGCACATCCTTATCACTCGATATGCTGTCCAAGATCGTTGTCGGGGCCGTCGCCGCCTTTGCTGGCAGCGCGATCGCTGACTCTGTTTCATGTCCTTCCAACTCTCCACTCAGCTGCTCGTCGTCATCTTCCACTGACACATGCTGTTACAACACCCCCGGTGGGCAGATTCTTCTCACTCAGTTTTGGGACACGAACCCTTCCACTGGTCCTTCCAACTCTTGGACCGTTCATGGACTTTGGTAGGCTTCGCTTTCGAGAATGAAATCAATTGGCCATGTCGCAGGACTAATATTGAACAACTAGGCCTGATAAGTGCGATGGCACCTACGAGGAGTATTGCGACAGCAGCAGGGAAGTGAGCAATGTTACCGCGATCTTGAAGTCGAAATCTCCTTCCACCTTGTCGTATATGCAGACTTACTGGAAGGATTATCAAGGTAATGATGAGTCATTTTGGGAGCATGAGTTCAATAAGCATGGTACTTGCATGAGCAGCCTGGAGCCAAAGTGCTATAACTCATATCAGCCCCAGGAGGAAGTTGTCGATTACTTTGAGCGTGCTGTCCAGGAGTTCAAGAACATCCCGACTTACGACTGGCTCAGCGCTGCCGGTATCGTGCCCTCCACGACCAAGACCTACACGCTTGCGCAGATCCAGAGCGCTCTCTCATCCAAGCATGGGCAGAACGTTGTCATTAGATGCAGTAGCGGTGCGCTGAACGAGCTCTGGTATCACTTCAATGTCAAGGGTTCCGTTCAGACGGGCACCTTTGTTCCCGCAGCCCCTGTTGGCTCGGGCTCAACCTGCTCATCAACTGGCATCAAGTATCTGCCCAAATCCGGCTCAACCTCTCCGACTTCCACCACCACTAGCGCCGGTTCTAATCCCACTGGGTCGCCCGGCCAGCTTTCTGGAACAGGTTTTGTCTATGTGACCACTAGCAGCGCTTCTTCTGGAGGGTTCCTGGTCAGTGGCGGAACTTGGTATAGAAACGGGGGAACACCTGCGACTTACACTGCAACGGCCAACTCCGATGGCTCGACCTTTACTCTGAAGACCAGCAAAGGAAGTTGCGCAGTGCAGAGCAACGCTTTGACCTGCAGCTCTTCAGTGTCTTCTCCAACCTCATTCGGGTATGATGGCACCTACTTGACATACAGTGGCTCCAATGCCTTCTATGCCACCTCAGTTCCCTCTGGGACTACCCAGGGAACAATTTATACTGCCTCCAAGTCTATCTCTCTCCAGCTTACCTGGACTGCTACATAAATAGTTGCATGGCTATTGAGAGTGTCCATTCAATGAAAAACCAACTTTTTCCTTACCTTCCCGGGCAATTTGATGCCAATCGTGACCCTGGGGAGACAATAAAACCCCAGATGGATTATTCGTCAAAAGCTTGTTTTTGGTTTATAGTTGCATGAAAAGTATATATAGATCCTTTTTGCGTGTCGCAGAGAATGTTTCTTATTAACGAATGTAATATAATGTGACTAAAGTCTTCCTTCCCCCATTATGTGCTAGTAGAAAACATCACTTTTCGCATCCTACTGATCTAGAGTATCATAGATTGGCGAAAAATTGTAGAGTTGCCCTCCGCTTCCTTATTCAAACTTCGCCATTTGTGGAACACCCGGAATAGGCTGAACCCAGTCTGCTTTGCGGCTCACCCAAAACTCCGCGTCGGGCTTTCTCTTGGTATCAAATCCATCAACTGTCCCAGCTTGAACAAGGGAGAAGGGCTTGAAGTCTTCTTTGTCGGTCTGCTTGGCAATTATGGTACCGCAGTCCGGGCAGAAAGAATACTCAACGATGATTCCACTCTCTTGCTTGAAGCTGCCGGCCTTGGGTGACCCAGAGGTCCATTTGAAGTCCTCGCGCGGGACAAGGAGGTTGTAAGTGAAGGCAGAGCCGGTGAGCTTTTGGCATTGGAGGCAGTGACAGACAGCCTATACAATCGTTAGCTCTTGCCGCCTCCTATGCAGGAGATACCGTGAGGGGCTGACCGTTTGTTTCGGTTCACCAGTAAAGGAGAATTTGAGCTTATTGCAGATGCAACTTCCCGTGAAAGAGGCCATTGTGAAGAGTAAGAATATAATATGTCCTGTAGATTGCAGCTGTGAAGGGATAGATGTGTCTGAGTAGCGGAGTGAAGAGCCTCTTAGGATGAGGCAGATCCTTGATATATATAGTTAGCAGAGGCCACGATGATGTTCTGTATTCTACTACGGCTGAGACTAGAGATCATAAGCGGCAGCGCCACTCTACGGCTGAGTGTCCATCATGCGTGAGATATGGGCATCCATTTTCACCCCCATCGCCGGGCGACCGGGTCTAGACCCAGGTATATAGATGTAGGGGGGGGATTTGAAAGTTTTGGCTTGAAAACGGCTGATAATGAGACCACGCTAGTTGGTGCTTACTATTATTTTGAGCTGTGAAGACATACCGAGGCCACTTGCTCTCCGCAGCTGAACTGGAAACTTTATCACGGCCTGCCATAAACCTTCGCCGTTGGGTCAGGCCTCGTTCAACTGCGCCACGAACTAAAAACCCTTCAGCACATAGAATGTAAGCGCCATTTCGTGGGGGATGTTATTTACAGAAAATTGTTCGTGGTCGACCCGACCAAGGTTGCCACAGATTCTAATATACCTCTCGGTCTCCAATACCAGCTCTGGTCTTTGGTAGTGGACGTGTAGGTGGAAGTAGATTTGACTACCTTCTTTGAGTTTGCCTCCCTCCATCCCCGATTTGGCTCTGACTCAGAGGCTATTCAGAAAACACCGCTTTCCCCTCCTGATCATGTGATGGCCAGGAGTTTTCTGCTCACGGCAAGCAGCGTCGTAAGTATGACGATATAGAGAGCTTGTGGAGCCATTCAGCACTACACAGCCAATTGTTAATGATCAAGCCTCCAACTACGAATCTACTGAATGCCTCTAATCCCCCGTTGAAACATTATGGGGCTCCTCCAGACGAGAAACAGCAGCTTGATAGAACAAGGTTAGTCCTGCCCCGACACATTTAGGATTTTGAGCCAGGTCGAATCCACGTGATATCAGCCTTCGCCACGATGCCGATTTACATAGCATAGGTTGGCGCCCTTAGTTGGGCGATAAGAATATATTCTGAAGGCGTAGCATCCTAGTCTAGAAGGCTGAATTTCAAACAGTCTAGCCTCACTGTTACCCTGCAATCTAGTTGACGGAGGTATTCAGCTGCTTGCTTCGCCTTACTATGTGCTTACTACCTGCGTCGTGGCAGAGTGCCTTTTTGCCCCTCTTGCTTATGGAGTGATTTTAGCTTGATGATGCTGTGACTTTAACTGCTACTGGAGCTAGTTGAGTCTTCAGTTTCCAACACGCCTCCCGTAAAGTCATTCCCAAGCTATCAAAAGGCAGACATTCAACTCCAATTCTCACCTAGGCTTGGCATCGCTTACATACCGATGCTCAATTGATAGGCATAATATCTTCTAACACTTGATACCGATACTTTAGTGAGTATTGAAGAAGGCCACGTCTAAGTTATCTTCTGGATTTTGCACACTCCTGGGTTCTTCTATTTTTCATCTTGCTGAGTTCATTCACTTGATCTTCTGTTGTATTATCGGGCATCCCTGCTATATCCACGGTTGAGTCACTAACAAAGTCACTGCCGCTTCTATCTCTACCTCTTGCTACTTAAACGTTACAGAGCCAATGAAAGCTGACATCGGCTAGCTCATCATAAAAAGGTTTCTATGTTTCCCATTGGGGATCTGAGTTTATCCCACTCACTTTGCGATGGATACCGTATGGATATAGATACTGTAGAACTACACGACGGAATTTCAACGGTGAATAACTTTTTCCAAAAGTAATAAAAGGGTTTGGTTTAAGTAAAATATAGGTGGCTGACCAAGGATGATTTTATAGAACGATGTCCTCACATGCTTTCTCTCTCCATTGCCACGGTAATCTTAACTCTTCTCCTCCGGTGATTGCTGAGCATCTAAGACTTCCATGCAGGCTTCTTAGCCGCTGGAGTAGGCTTGTTGAGTTGGTCCTTGGCGTACTTGACACGAGCCGCCTTAGCAGCCTTCTCGCGGTCAATCTGCTTCTGGTACTTATCTGCTGGGTTATAGCTGATGGTCTTCTCCTTGCCAAAGATCATATCACCCATCCCTCGCTTACCCTTCCATGCAGGCTTCTTAGCCGCTGGAGTGGGCTTGTTGAGTTGGTCCTTGGCGTACTTGACACGAGCTGCCTTGGCAGCCTTCTCGCGGTCAATCTGCTTCTGGTACTTATCTGCTGGGTTATAGCTGATGGTCTTCTCCTTGCCGAAGATCATATCACCCATCCCTCGCTTACCCTTCCATGCGGGCTTCTTAGCCGCTGGAGTGGGCTTGTTGAGTTGATCCTTGGCGTACTTGACCCGAGCTGCCTTGGCAGCCTTCTCGCGGTCAATCTGCTTCTGGTACTTGTCTGCTGGGTTGTAGCTGATGGTCTTCTCCTTGCCGAAGATCATATCCCCCATTCCACGCTTGCCTTTCCATGCAGGCTTCTTGGCTGCTGGGGTAGGCTTGTTGAGTTGGTCTTTGGCATAGTTAACACGAGCTTGCTTCTCACGGTTGAGTGCCACCTGATGCCTTGTTGCTGGGTTGTAGCTGATGGTCTTCTCTTTGCCAAAGATCATATCACCCATTCCTCGGGGCTCAAGCTCAGCGTCTTCAAAGTCTCTCTCGAACAACTCGTCATCAAATTCGCGCTCGAAGAGCTCGTCATCAAAGTCTCGCTCGTAGACTTCCTCGATATCAGCCCTCTCCAGGAGAGTGAGATCGTTGGTGTTCTCGTCAATTCCCAAGGCCAGTCCCTGGCTAGCAAGGCCAAGCCAGACCAGTCCGGCGAGGCTGAGTTGCTTGTAGCTGACCATTTTGATTGTAGGAAAATATGAAAAAGGGATAGAAAGATGAAGAAGAAACGTCGTGAAAGAGAGATAGCAGATAGAGAAACAAAATTCAAGCTGACAAAGGTGATATGTAGAAATGAAGTGTTGAGACTCAAGGAAAAGGTTGTTTTGTTTTTTTTTGGGGATATTCTGAGCAATCGTTCTGAAGAAAAACCGGGAGAAGAACCAATTATAAGTAACTAATTATAAGTAGAGTCTATTCAATATAGCAAGAGACAGGATGCTCAAAATAGAGTGAAGGATTTCTATGTGGTTCAAAACCCGGCAGAGAGTAAGACAACCCCCGCTTATCCCTTGCTCCGTGCTCAGTTGTTGCGGAGCTCTGCTCCCTGCAACCAAGATTCAAAATCAAATGCCGTCGCACTAATGCTATTACCGTCATCCTCGGCATTTACCGTCTTACATGTAGCAGATGGGCTACCAACATAGTCGACCCGTGTTTGAGGAATGCAGGGCTTCATACTCATCTATATTATTGCAACATGCTTTACGTTATATGTTCTTAGTAGGGAGATATTATAGAGAAAATACCTACCTGTTGATTAATTTGAACAGCTTCGAGCTCCTCATGTCAGGATTTAGTGTTTGTGATCCCTGAGGGTTGCATCTCATTACTGCAAGGGCCAACTGTCAGCTTGGTATCAGCAGGGGTACTGACTTCTGAGAAATACCTAATACGGTGGCATTTCGCGTCACCATCCTGGGGCCCAGCAGTCATGACGATCGGGACTGTTCAATGGGATAAAATTACCTACCCAACATAGAATCTAGACCGAGAGTCTGGACCAAAGTCATGAATGATATGCCGGAGACAGTAGGGATTTTTCCCCAAAGCGACTTGCCTTATTAGATGACTGATTGTCTCCAAAGGACCTAGTTATAGATCGCCACCACTGTCGGCGGCGGATTGCGGTGAGATCTATGTCATAACCCGGAGATTGTGTTAGATGCCAAGGTAAGCAGATGGCCTAACTAACTGGAGTCGCCCTTTGCTTCGGGTCAGGTCTGGTCATCTAACTTTCGGCTTGCTGTTCTCTGATTCGGAGCCGCAATTACCCGATTACCATTTGTCTAGCCACAGCGCATCTTGACATCATCTCGAGCTTGGAACAGGGAGAAACACCAACGACTCTGCTTGCCGAGGATACTTGATTAACTTGAGGAGGAGGATGTATCTCAGTAGCGCGGCCGGCTTTCTAGGCAGTTTCAACCAACCGTTTCTAAGGCCAGCTTACTTGCCTGTTCCTTTTCTCTCCCTCTCTTACCTTGATGAAACTCACTTGATGGTAGCCTCCAGGAACGCTCCATCCTCCGAGCAACACGGCTTGGATAGAGATATTTAATCGCCTATCTGCAGTAGCTCTATCTCCTAGCACAATCTTCAGAACTGTAGCGTGTAAGATGTTGTCCGTCAAACTGAGGCTTACGTTGACCGAACTATGTGACACATAATATAAATGGCGCGTGGAAAAATAATAGAAGTAAATTGAAAGAGCTATATTCTAAGCAGGAGGGATAGTTAGTCTCAACTTCATGATCTCGGACTTCGATCATTCTTGGCTCAGTCGACAATAGTTTCTTACAGAGTAAGTAAATATGAATTTCAATTTAAATCATGAATGTTCTCATACAAATAAGTTGCGTTGTAGATATTTAGGGTAGGTTATATTCCAGTGGGAGAAACTTTCGCTACGAGACTTATCTCACTCAGTATTTCTCAAAAAGCTGGCGACCTAGATAACAAGAACAGAGTCTCTTGACCTTGTTACGGGAATCTCTACAATACACCATATAATGATCGCCTACTTTAGGGAGGGGGGTTGTACAGTGAGTACTTGGGGAGATAACTAACACTATGAAAATGTGAGAATCTCTTTTAACTCCCTGCCTAGCGCCTACATGGACTACAAGAATGTCAGCTTAGCCTTTCCTTCCTTCAAACTGCTATTATTCGCGCTAAACTTTGTAGATCTACTGCAATCTCAATATACAACCCTTCGACATCCAAGCCGGCACAAAAAAGTTCGTCGAGTGGCAAGAAGTCCACGGCTTCGCAACCCTCTCCAAGACCAACGACTAAAGCCGCTTCCCGGCGACCATCAAGGGCCTAGACCTCGCCCGTCGAGCCTGCCGCTTCCAGATGATCAAGATCGTCAAGGAGGTGGATGAGATCGAGAAAAAGCCCGGCCTTGTGGTGGACGAGCTGTGCGGCGAGGTGTATCAGAGCCCCAAGGCATTTGGTGCCATCAACTACATCGACCTGCCTGTTGAGGAGAATATAGACATCTTTACAAAGACTGAGTGGGCGACCAAGGATAAGCTAAGATGGCAAGCAGGAGCTAAGACATCATTTGTAAGAATTGGCATGTGTTGGATAGGGATTGAGTAGCTTGTTTAATGCATTATGGTCCGCGTTATGGGCCAACAAGCGTTCGTCCATCCACCTTCGAGTTTATCTTGTTCATATTTAGCTTATTATGTCGTGGGTCTGTACAATAAAACCCTATACTATTCAGTAACCATGCCTCTGAGTGAAGCAATATCCACCGTCTTCCTGGCCATTACCCATCAAGTCTTCGTGATAATACTTCCCTCCACCCAGATAGTCTGATTTATCCTAAATTTGGCTGAGATGCGCGCCCCGTCATCAACTTCGCAGTCTCAACCATGATCTGACGTATTTGGCTCCTATCAGATGGAAATCGCTTCACATAACGATCTATGTATTCCACCGCGTCCAACAGATACTCCTCTTCCTCCTCGTTGGCAGCCTCATAGCTAACGTAAAGTGGGCCCATAAAATTCTCTGCCACGATAGACTCCAAAGATAGGACGTAAGGGAGACATTTCCAGCTCTCGCGACAACGCTCTCGCAGACGTTGATCAGCTGTTCCAGCGTCTGAAGTTCCAACGATCACGGCAGAGTCATAGAGTATGCGAAGAAGGCCGATTTGAGCCGATATGGCCCCTAGATATACCATGCCATAATTCGGAGATCTGAATTCGTACTTCGTCCCCAAGGGTGATTCCGGGTCCGGTTTCTCGACCATGGCGCCTTGTTTCAAAGTGCTGTTTTTTGCTGCCGCTACGATTCTCGCAAGCGCAACTTCTACTTCGGATACCCTGCGACACAAAGACTCGATGCCTAGCTTTGTTTCGGTCGTGTGGCTCTGATTGCTGAGCTGGTTGAACTCGAGCATGAAAGCATGCAGTTGCTTACTACATTCGACGAACTCGAATGTATCGTGTTTTGAGAACGGCCCCATGTCCACCTCGCTCATGAACTGCTCTATACCTTGGTCTATTGCCACCTGCCAACTGGGCTCATTGAAAAAGCTGCAACTGTCTCTCAGGGACCAGTCGTTCAACTACACAACATAAAGGCGTTAGGTGCATCGTCACATGATAGGAGGCCTTATTATGACTCACCAGTATGCCATACAGCTCATTCGCCACCGCGACATCCAGGTGGTCCTTTAGCTTGGGTGGTCCCTTCATCTTAACCACTTGTAAGATGCCTTTGGTGTGCACATTAGACGGGGTGCCTCGTCTGAACAATCGTTCCATGCGTTCTATCAGCGCCATTGCCGCCATCGTTTCCGGCTTGACAGCTTCATTTGAAAGAAGTGCCATTCGCAAACTTCGTAGCGCCTTGCCATATTGGGCCAGTACGTGCAGCTCTCCTTCGGGCTTATGGTTCCGGAAATCAATCAAGGCGGAGCAGAACAAGTCTACCGAGTCTCGTAGGCACTTGCTCTCCGAAAGACGAGCCGGAAGCTCCGGCAAATAGCTCATGCTCAGCGTAGTGATCCCCTGCGGGCCGCGCTCCAAGGTACTGACCAGCCGTAGGGCGATGTGATCATAGCGAGTCGTTGGGTTGGGCCGGGGCTTCTGGTAATCCGACTGATAGATGCTGTGAAACCAAATGGGACGATGAGACTTCTTGAATGTATTCTGCCGAGGCTCTCCTGTCGAAGATTGGCCGCCGGCGTTTGATGCCCTCGCGCCACGGGGTTTCTTGGTAACAAACTTGACCAGCGATGTTGGCCCCGGGCAGGGCGAGTTCATAACGGCGCATCGTGTGCACGTTGGCCAGTTTTCGTCACACTGGCAAGAGAAAAGTCCGGGTTAGTAACACGTACTGGAGGTCATGCCAGGTCACATATTATTACTTTTAGTTTGCGGTCCTTACAAGTCTGGCACCCTCGTGATCTAGGTCCGCTCGGCATTTCGACCAACAGGTGTCAAGGTTGGCAAAGCCTTGGGTGTGATCAAAGAGTCATACAGAAGTTTATGATGAATAATAGGGGTTTCGGATTGGTGAGGGAAAGCTGACCCCTGCTAACCCCACTCCGCTGATTCGTAAGCCCAAGTGTGGGTTGACAGAAGCGTCATATACAGCTGTATTGTAGCAAAGCAAGCAATGGATTTAAAAGCAATTGTGATGATGATGGAAGGAAGAAACTACCTACTGTTAGGTCTGACGGATTGTTCGCCTTAGTTAGTTTCAAAGTTAGTCGACCGATAGGCTCAACTGCTTATCGATATGCTGATAACCGATAACCAGGATCCACACCAAGTTGAGTACAAAGAATGTCTCTCAGGCTGGAAACCAACGCCAATAGACTCAATGGAGTTTGATTAGGCGCGATTTGAGGACAGGCAATGGCTGCGTCCGTATAAGTGGCAGATTTTCGTCTACCTAGGCACAATCCAACAGCATCTATCGGCTCAGCTACGATAAGACGGTCGCCACGCCGATGTGAAGACTGCGTATCCGGAATAGCGCCAAAACTGCTGACTGTTGGAATGATAGACATCAAACATGCCGGATGTGGCTATTAGAGCAATCAATGCGTTAACAAGCCTCATGCACTAGCGAGAGCCATTAGAAGTTCAAGACGCTATGTTAGCCATCCTCCTGGTTTGATCCAACTTTTTAATAAATTGGTTTGATCCTTCGCGCTGGGCTAGTTTTGTTAGTGAGTATGCAATGCCTCTCCATTTCAACACGCTTATTCACAACACATCAGCCAACGCTTCAGTCTAGTTCAGTCCACACTCCTTCGAGTGGGTTTCCTTATTACAGTCGCCGCTTTGTTGATATGTCTCACTAAAAGTCTAAAACGACTCGTCGCAGAGTTCCCCAAAGAAAGAACACACGAAACAAAAATGAGCTCAAGCGTTATTGAGCTACCCCATAGCACAGATGGAGACTTGCCCGGCTCGCACGAGCCGCCATCTTCCTATCCTGTTAGGAATAAATATCATATATGGGAAGAGAACTCTATTCTATGAACATGTTCTTGCACAGGTAGAGTTTTTGTATCTGGAAATTGTATTGATTTGGTTAGCTCATCAGCCAAGCGAGAACTCACTTTCAGCTATCACAAGCATTGCTACCCAATACGAGGTGAGGTTAAATCATCAAAAAGATGAAAGCCTTGATTCCACTGGTGGTGCAATGTTTCCTTAAAATTGCTGCTTTCAAGTAAGAAAACTTATGGATAACAATATTAAAACACAATGTCTCCCGTGAGGACAGGGTGCGTTCCACGCATACCCACTTCGCCTCGTATCGCATTCGGATGCGTATCGGATTCGGAGTCTCGTAGTCCAGCGGGCTCTAGCAATATCCGTAACGACGGCTTTTTGTATTTACTTATCTTGCATAGCTTCCTATCTTAACCCTTAGATTACTTTCCGTATTCGCACAGCTACCTTTCTTTGCTCATTTCGCTGGCTGTCCTTCGGTCAACCTGCTGTTTAACAATGGCGATATTTAAAACTCCCATCGGAACCGACCATGATAGCGACCCTAAACCGGAATTGTACAAAATTCGAGAAGACTTGGAACTAGGCGACGTCAAAAAGCTGCGTGTCGACGACGGAGTCGATGATGGGCAGACGATTGTTGTCAAGACCGAAAACGAGGACGTCACATCCACGAGCGACATCTGTCCCCCTAGCCCAGCTCAAGATTCCACAGGACCAATTGATAGCGATGGCCGTGTGTGGTGGGATGGCGATAACGACCCCGAGAACCCGTATAACTGGCCAAGCTGGCGGAAAATTACAAACTCTGTGCTGATCAGCCTTCTCACTCTGATGACACCTCTGGCGTCCTCCGTCTTTTCGCCCTCAGTCCCAGAGCTGATGAAGGAATTCAAGAGTTCAAACCAAGAGCTCGCAGCATTTGTTGTCTCCGTCTACGTCCTCGGTTTTGCGATTGGCCCCTTGTTCCTGGCCCCTTTGTCAGAGATGTATGGGAGATACTGGCTGTATAATATTTCAAACGTCGGCTTCGTCATCTTTACCGTGGCGTGTGCTTTGGCGCCTTCCCTTGACTCTCTTATCGTCTTCCGTTTCTTTGCCGGCTGTTTCGGATCCACGCCCATGACCAATGGTGGTGGAAGTATTGCGGACATGTTCCCACCAGAGCAGCGAGCGGGTGTCATGGCAGCTTTCAGTGTCGGTCCACTGCTGGGCCCCATCATTGGGCCTGTAGTGGGAGGCGTTCTCTCAGAGAAGAAAGGCTGGAAATGGGTCTTCTGGGTGGTAGCCATCATCAGTGGTGTCATAGCGCTTGCATCATTCTTTTTGATGAAGGAGACTTACGCGCCAGCCATCCTTCATAAGAATACAAAGAAACTCCGGAAGGAGACGGGGAATGGGAGTTTGCGTAGCAAGCTAGAGAGCGATATCCCTAAAAAGGAACTATTCAAAAGAGCCATCTTGCGCCCCGCGAGACTGCTCATATTCTCCCCGATTTGCACCATTTTTGCAGTTTATATCATGGTTGTATACGGGTATCTTTACCTTCTCTTCTGTTCTATTCCATTTGTCTTCCAGAAGAGTTACGGATTCTCCGCTAGCATCACAGGGCTCGTCTACCTCGGACTTGGTGTCGGCTGCTTGATTGGTATGGCTATATTTTCCATCGATAGTGCGATAGCGATGAAGAGGAACAAAGAAACCGGAGAGGCCCTGAAACCCGAGATCCGCATGAGACTTCTTCCTTATTCAGCGGTTATCTTTCCCGTTGGATTCTTTTTGTACGGCTGGACTACGCAGTATGAGGTTCATTGGATCGTCCCGATCATTGCGCTGGCCATTATTGGTATTGGTAAGTAGGACCCTCTGCATCGACCCACCGCTAATGATTCTTCAATAATGAGTTCGCTAACATGGGTCCTTCTAGGGAATCTGGGAGTTTTTATGGCTGTCAGCGTTTACCTTGTAGATGCATATGAACAATATGCGGCGTCGGCACTGGCAGCAAATACAGTGATGAGGTCCATCGCAGGTGCCCTCCTTCCCCTATGCGCACTCGACATGTATGACAAGCTAGGCATGGGATGGGGAAACTCCCTGCTCGGATTCTTGGCCTTGGCTCTTGTGCCCATACCGTTCTTCATCAAACGCTACGGAGAGAAGCTCAGAAACAGTTTCGACATGAGCAGCATTTGATTTACGTGGCTATTTCGGAACCAGGTAAAGCGAGGCTATTGGTAGCGACATCTCCTCGGTAATTTCTTCACATCAGCCCCATTTCACCCAAACTTACAATGCACGCCCATTTTGGTTGCTTTAATTTATCTTCCTTTCGATTGAAACTTTTTAAGTTGTATCCTCTCATTTTCTGGCTAGATATCGCTGGTTTTATCGTTATGCTGGTCTAGGCATATTGTTGATAAACGGACTGAAACAGACAGCTCTTGTTGGAATCTCTTAATGAAAATAAGACTCTAAACCTAGCAGAGTTTAGAATGGTGCCATTTTATTCTTGTAAAAGTGATTACTGGGATATTGATCTAAACGGTAATGGTTTTCCTTCTTGTTTTGCTCTTCTTATGCCACTAATATGCAAGCCAACAAATTTTCAATGTGAAGGATGGTAGCCAACTGTGACAGGATAATCCGAATGCGAATCCGGCCGTATTCCAATCCGCTTTGCCTATCCAATCAAGTTGCTCTCTTTTATCCACTCCGCTCATCTGCCCCGCCTAATGGAATGAGAGGTGGTTCATAAAGGCCTGTTCTTCACTCTCGCGAACGCGAATCCGACACCCACAACATCCATATCTCAGTCCCGCCGCAATGAAGCCACCATCCACCCGCCTGGGCCACAAGAAGTCGAGGAACGGATGTTTGCGATGTAAGGCGCGTCATGTCAAGGCAAGTGACTGACCCTTAATTCCAACTGCACCGTCACCTCCAACTAGAGCTGCATGGCTGACCTCGTACCGCTGCCGCCAGTGCGACGAGCAACGCCCTTGCAAGAACTGTGTTCGGTTCGGAGTTGTTTGTAGCCTGGTGCTTACAGAACAGAACGGCACCGTGGCGCCAGCTCCTCACAGCCCTCTGCTGGCAGCATCATCACCAACACCCACATTCTTGACTCATAATGAGTCCTCACCGGCGGCATCTCCTGTCACAGTAACAAGCATTTATGATCCCCATGCAGCGACCCATGTTGCGTTCGCGCCGCCTCCTTCTGTTCATACATCAGGATCGGATCATGTAGCCGTATCCCCTGGATGGACACAGGGAGAGCCGCAAGACTTTTTCTCGCCTAATTGGATACAAAGTCTACAGCTTTTACACCATTACGATACTGTTGTGTACAAGACTCTGAGCCGTGATCAGCGGACTGAGTCCCTATGGAGATATACGGTGCCTGAGATTGCATTCACCAATGTAACGGTCCCTCTACTACATTCAACATGGACCCATTAGCTGAACACGATGATTATGTAGGAGGCCTTATTACAGGCGGTACTTGCCTTGTCTGCACTGAATTACGCCATCCGCAACCCTGACCAGCACAGGGAGTTCATCATTGTATCTTCCCGTTTCCAGAGCCTGGCGCTCCAACATTTCTCCGCCAATCTTCATAACATCAACGAAGACAACTGCAAAGGCTATTTCCTGCTATCAACCTTTGTGTTTCTCTTGACTATGTGCTCAACCGCGAATGCTAGCATACTCGGTAAAATCATCTCCCCGACAGATGTTGCGCAGTCGTTGGTACTCCTGCAGGGGATAAAAACAATCATGTCTGTCAAATCCATGGATCAGTGGAAAGCAGATGGCCCGCTCTCGATATTGCTGGACGAGGACAGCATCTCCGAGCCGAAAGAATCGGGCCCCTATCTTGAGCGCTTGAAGCAGCTCTCAGACCTTGCTCGGAAACTGGAAGGGACCCTAGATCCAATCAATGAGCAGACATCTTGCATCCTCGCCATCGAGACCCTCCGCTCTATCCACGTTAGATACGGAAACGACAGCCCGTCATCTCCACGGCGGGTGTGGGTATGGCCAATGACACTAACACAGATGTTTATTGATCTCATCAGCCAAGGACATCCCGTGGCTCTGATTATTCTGGGCCACTTCACAGCCTTGGTTCGTCCATACGAATCTCCAGAATGGGTCAATCGCGGATGGAGCGAGGTTGTCTTTCAGGCGGCAGAGAGTTCTCTAAGCCCGGAATGGAAGAAATGGATCGAGTGGCCAAAGAAGTCAATTGAAGAGAGAATCAACGTTAATGATATGCCGATTCCTGAAGATTTCGAGGAAAGATAGCCATCTTCACGCACGAACCAGGGGCTAAGACCTGGCCAAGAAGTTCACATGCCGATTGTACATGTATGATCAACACGTGCAGTATGTTGATACCTTATTAATTCTTATCATTTTTTCCTGATATATGATCAACGAATATTGGAAAGCGAAGCTGGCGGAGAAGGATCAGCGTAACTTACACTGGGTTCAAAGCCAGTGGCATTTGCCAGAAACGGGCGTCATCGCTATCCGATATATCCAAGTGAGCTCTCTTGGTTGTTGCTGGTAATGCGCGCCGCCCTCAACTAGACCCAACCGGTTAATATGAATGACAGCACCCATCACACAGCCATTCCCTCCGTACTGACAGAGGCAAACTTCATCTCGAACCTTTTGCATTAGTGCTGATAACGCTGAGGATGGGTTACATCAATCCTCAAAGGGAGAACGTCGAAGGCAAATGGTTGACTAGTTCATAGAGCCGGCAGACACGGCAACTTATGTTCATCTAGACGAACGTCATGTGAATTTGACGCAGGGACCCTAGATGGGATACACATCTATAAAGACGGCCTCGTCCTGTTATGATTTAAACGATATTGAGGTCATTTCAAAATCTTTCTCCATACAGTTTGTTCTTTTGAGTAACTCCAATCAAGCATGGACGAAGAAGCTGCAATTAAAGCCCTGTCTATGCCCGACAGGCCGATTTCATTCGTCCCAACCAAGGCTGGCGAGATTATTCGCATTGGGGCCGTCATCTGTCGGATTATGGAGGACGGCTTGAACACCGGTATGACCTCCCCTCAGCAATGTCATGAATATAGGGGCGACTCCAAAGGCTAAATACGTGGCTAACTTAACCACCCTGATCAGATAACCGCATTGGCGCTGCCGAATTTACTGTTCCCCCGGGGATGGACGGACCTCCCGCCCACTGGCACGAGATGCATGATGAAACGTTCCTCGTCACGGCGGGGACGATCCGTTTTCATGCGCCCGAGGGCAAGATAGTTGATGCCCAGGCAGGAGACTATGTCGTGGTGCCGACGCGTGCACCTCATACCTTCTCCAACCCGGTGATGTGGAGGCGCGTTTCTTCAATACCTTCACTTCTGCTTACTATATCAACTACTTCAAGCTGATGGAGAAAATGTTCAAGTCTGGTATGCCGATGAACGAGGATACAGTTCAGCAGGCAATGTCGCACTTCGCCATGCTTCCAGCTGATGAGGAGAAGATGAAGGCGAAGCCGGCCGAGCGGCCTAACTGAGTAGCATCTCGTGAATTTGGAAGTAAGGAGAAATAGGGAGTGGTGAGAAACGGTTTATAAAACCATTCGATCCGGTCATTACCATGAGTAATACAATATGGAATGAACGGGCTTCTGCGATGTCCAGTGATTGTTCGGCATCTTGAATTATTAGAGTTGTCCCAGCATCATGTTCCAAGTGTATTTCCCTTATGACAATGAGCTTATTCACAGATTTCATCAATCAATAGCACCGACACATCTTAGAGGCTCGGTCTAGATCAATATATGTATGATATATGTTTTCGTCTCGCAATATGATCATATTCCTTTCTAAGCGTCTAATAAGGCTATGTTCTTGTTTTCAGCTTAAATCTATAGAATAAAGCAATGGATTAGAGACAAAATGTAGACTAGCTAGTTAGGTAGCGTGATTGAGTGTGCCTCTCCTTTGGTTGTCGTAAATAGGATGCTCAGTTCACTGCTCTTCAAGGACTCCCATTTCATGTCATCTACCATTTGGATGATCGAGTTCCCATGAGCGATGCACCCTGCTTTATCTTTATCTTGGATCCAACCCTAAAGAACAGTCAGTTCCAGTAATAAACAACGTGTAGGAAAGAAAGCTGGCTAAACTTGCGTAAATGGTAGGCCAATGTGTAATGTGTGTACCAAACTGCGCAGCCACTCTTTGCTTCTCTTGATCACTCAACGGTCTTTCTGTCAGATATGCATGTAGAAACGCCGGCATAAGCCCCCGACCGCCACGAAGATGATCTAGAAGCCATGCCTCTCCAGCGAAATGCGCAACATCCGTAACTCCATTGCCAAGGCGCGCCACTTCCCAGTCTATTACGGTGAGTCGGAGACTCTCCGCTAGAGTTTGGTGGGCAATGCCAGAGACGAGAATATTCCCCGGCCAAAGATCCCCATGGCAGACACATAGCTCATCTGTCTCCAAAAGAGCTCCATACTTGATATTCAGGCGCTCGCCGGGGGCTGGATCGTAACCATACCTCTCCAGGACGCTAGAGAGATTATTGAAATTCCACCTGTACATTCTCCTCGCTGTAGGGTGTTCAAACTTGCGCTTAATTTCCTCTGAAGTTGTTGAGTTATGGAGTCGGGCTAGCCATCGCCCAACAGCCTCCCCAATCATCTCGATATCCAAACCAGGATCTTCATAGACAGTATGTAAGGAGTCCCGACCCATGTCATCTAAAATCAGGACATGAGAATCTTTGTCATAAGAAGTCAAAGTTGGCAGCCGAATTATGGCGTCTTTCTGGCCCCCAGAAGCCAATAACCGAGGAATAATATCTAGAGCATGTACTTCCAGACCCATTCTGTACAGTGGAAAGGGCGTGGCAGGCCTTCCAGCTAGGAAGGGCTCGGCATGCTTGACGATCTTGTCCTCTCCGGAGAGCGTAGTCATACGCCAAAGGAAGTTAGACGACCCTCCAGAAATTTGCGAAACATGTTGATAGGCGATCTTCTTTGAGTCAAGATACTGGATGAGTTGGCTTGTGGTCGTTATTGCGGTTGTGGATTCCATTTGATTCTTGTCCGAAATGCTCCTATCTTCGTTTGTGAGTGTGGAATTGCGTCTGTATGATGAGGAAGTTTTGACGTGGACTTCGAAGGGATATGTTTCAATTTTGTGCGCAACAGGTAGAATACCGCCCAATCAGGCCCTGTTACAATGACTCACGATGATGTCTTGTCTTGTGTGATCTCACGTGAGGTGACTCTTTAACTTGCTTATCCACGATGATCGCACCGATTTCTACATACTTGTAACCGTAAGACAATAATTCAATCTGCCGTTCAGGCCTTTCCCCTTTCGATTGTGTTAGAAGTACAAGCATATAAACAAAGGATGTAAATAAATTGGTAGGATGGGCTGCAGGCATCCTAGACTTGCATTTGGGCAGCGCTGATGAATGAGCCCCTCCCGATAATCCTTGCAAAAACATAACGAACGATAAAAGATTAGGAGGGGACAAACTCAAATTCCTATGACAAATTTGAAAAAACAACCCTGAACTTCTCCTCTGATATGGCACTGGCGAGTTTGGCAGACAGTTGATCCAAGATCGCCACCGAATTACGTCCGTTCGTAAAGCGAACATTACTCATCTGGAGGGCTTCTGGTTCCTCGGCTAGGTTCTCACACAGCCATTCCAAACTTCTCTCTTCAATGGAAGCATAGCCTAGTCTCATAATATTCAACTTGTGGGAGCAAATTTGGGATACAACGGCGTCGAGATTATAGTTGAAAGTCAGAACACCGTGCTTCGTCCAACCTCCGCCACGCAATCCAAAACGGTCCATATTCAGGCTGCAATGATGTAGGCTGGGACTTGAAGTAGCAGATCCAAGTAGTTTGTCGACAAAGCCTTGGTCGAGCGTAGACCGGAATCGTCTCGTATAGGGAGCCTTTCTGTGGCGGAAAAAGGGGCCAAAGTGGAATGTTTCGATCCTTTGAAAGGCAGCGCCCAGTCCTTTCCAGTCGAATTCTTCAACTTGAGCATTTGCTAATGAATGGCCAGATAACGGGAAGCAGTCTATGTACATGTGACGAGGAGCAGCCCCTGCTTCGTGGCAGGCGATTGGGAGGTCCACGAGAAGTTTACTCAGATTGAACACGCCTGGGCCATTCGACAGTTTCTCAATGCTGTCCCAGTCATGCGGCGCGTCCATGAATTGGAGAAACTTGGACCGGCTTGCTAATGGCATCCGTGATCCGGGCACACGAGGGGGATACGGATAGCTGACGAGATGTAGGGAGAGTGGGTGATTGAGCCTCGCGAGGAGCGATGCCACCGTGGACACAAAGGTGTTGTCTGAAACAAGCCCTGACTGTGCTTCGTGATGTTCCTTGTACGTCTCATATGATTCTTTGAGAAGGTCCTGATATGATCTTTCTTCGTCCGACAAAACGAGTTTGGTATATGGCCCGACATTCCACGCACGCCGAAGTGTTGAAAAGTCAAGGGCATCGGATCCCTCTTGGTCCCCATACGGCGAGCGCGAGTCACCCGCTTCCTCTTCAGACCGCCCGTGGGTGTCGTAAATACTCTGAAGTTCATTCAGCCGGAAGTCCTTGTATCGCTGAAGGCTATTGGCCGTCTCGCTTGGCCGATAGGTGAGACAAATTTGTACCCCTCGAATGCCGTAGAGAATCAGAGGATTCGAGCATAGATTCTTGGCACGCTCTAGAGATGCCTGGTCGAGAGAAACGTGTAGAATCGGGCAGAGCAGTGGGCTAGAGGCGACATTCAATGCCCAGCAGGCCAGTCGTGCATTCTTGATAGTGCGATGTTCGTCACTGCCGAAGAATGAATTCAGGGCGGGGAAATCGATCTTGCCATTTCTGTTGCCATATGGTGGCTCGAAGACTGCGAATATTTGTCGAAGGATGTCCAAGGGCAAGTCAGCGATCCCGACAGCTGATGTGATATCTTGGCTGAAGCCCATCATATTGCCATACACAAGGTTCTTGGATCCCCAAACCGTGGCTCGGATGGGATTTTGAAGAAGAGGAGAATGAAAGACAGTTTACGTCACTGAGACGGCGGAAATTTATGCATACGGTCACCCTCTGGCCATCTGCAGGGAGACACATCAAACTGCAACCATGAACCACATGATTCACCTTCCGTGATATTCATTGGAGAGCTCGGGACATCGGCTAGGCCACCCATCCGGCCGGATAATGCACTGGCGTGACCAAAGGGGCCCCTCAGGGCAAGCTAATGCTGCGTCATCTGAATCATTATGCGCCGCCATTCAAAACTGGAGATCTCCATGGCTGAGATGGCTGACAGCTGTGTCAGCCAGGCCTCTGCTCAAGTCCATGCTAAAACACAAGCCCCTAATTGCCGCATCTATTCCATGCTATAGTCTGTTGTAGGTGGTGTCTAAACCTCCCATCATGAATCAGCAAGAAGATATGCGTATGAACAATTTAGAGATCGTATAAATAAAGAAATAGAGGCATAATGGGGCTGCATGACCACCAGATAGGCTCTTTGTCGCCGGGGTCCCCAGTCAGATTTTCGGCATACAAGGAGAACAGCATGCCGAATACGGACCCCAGTGTGTATGCTCATGCCAGGAAGGTGTCCAGGGCGGTGCTAGGACGCACGTCCTCAAAGTATGAAATGCTTGTTGCCCAAGAGGGGGATGTATCGAATAGGATTAAGGGTGTACAACATAGTAAGCCTAATACCACGGGGAGGGACATGCATGTATGCCTAAAAGAAAGCCCAGCCCAGCCCAATGCGCAGTACAGGCTGTGTATCTCTTGCCACTACCTAGACGTCAGCAAAGATATTTTACTTCTAGCAAAGGACAAGCGGGCGCAGACTTATCTGTCTCACTCTCTATCTCGACGTTCCAGGGTCTCTTCGATCTTGTCTTTGCGCTGGTACGAATTATCATAATGGATGGCCTCTCTATTGCCGGGAGTGTCACCGGCCTAGTCTCTCTTGGCATTCAAGTGACTCAAACGCTTGTCGACTTCTATTCAGCGTACAAAGACCAAAACTCAGATATCGCCTACGCCTTGAGAAAATTGTCGAATCTTGGCGGAGTGCTCGAGAGTCTGCGCGAACAAACCAGCCGCACATTCCATGTTGACGAAAAGAAGTTACTGAGCAGCATTGAAGATTCGGTGAATGGCTGCGAGCTACTCATCAAAGAGCTGCAACATGAGACAGAGAAATTCGAGAGAACCGGAAGTACCCAAGTCGCTGCTCGCACAGCTGCTTACAAAGCGACTTATCCCTTCCGACGAAGCACACTACTTAAGCTAGAGGAAAACATCGACGAGACCGTGGCTCACCTGTCGCTAGCACTTCAGGTACTAGGGCAGAAACAAAACAGCTCCGTCCAAGACCACATTGAGGAAACAAAAGAATTACTGGCGCTGATTCGCTCCGACCAGTTATCGTCGACAATCCGAAAGTGGTTGAAGGCTCCTGATACAAGTAGCAACTACAACCAAGCTTGCGCGAAATGCCATGTAGGAACGGGGCTTTGGTTTGTCAAAGGTGCCATGTTCGCCTCATGGCTTACGGACCGCAACTCATGCATATGGCTCACTGGATTTGCTGGATGCGGAAAATCAGTACTTTGTTCTACCGCTATACGGCACGTCTATCGACACCGAAGGTCCAGTCAGAAAATAGGGATCTCATTCTTCTTCTTCGCTTTTGATGACGATTCCAAGCAAGATGCCTCATCTATGCTTCGTGCACTTATACTACAACTCTCTAGCCAATTAAGTGGCGAAAACAAGTCTCTATCCCACTTACATGACACCTATAGCCCTTCGATCCCTCCTAATCAAGCCCTCTTAGACTGCTTGCGCCAAACAATCAAGGCTTTTGATGATGTTTATATCATGTTGGACGCACTGGATGAGAGCCCTCGAGATAAGCATCGAATGGACGTGCTTCAAGCGTTAGTAGATGTCTTGGAATGGCAGGAGCCTGGTCTTCATATTCTCATCACGAGTCGTGACGAAATCGACATACGTGAGGGGCTGAATATTCGACAGTCCCAGGTATTGCTCTTGAAAAACAAATCCATTGACAACGACATTGCATCATTCGTCTCGAAACGGCTCCGGGATAGCAAAAGGATTGCTATTCAAAAGTGGGCAGAGCATTTTGATCAGATAGAAACCGCACTTACGAACGGTGCGAACGGCGTGTGAGTGAATGGTCTCTAGATGTTGCTTCAGAAAAACCTACTGACTATCCGTAGATTCCGCTGGGTAGAATGCCAGTTCTCAGCACTCGAGTCTTGCCCCAAGTCCAAACGCCAGCTTGATCGGCTATTGACATCATTGCCACGATCCCTAGACAAAACGTATGAACGAATGCTTCTCAACATCGACAAGGAATGCATTGAGGACGCAAGGCGTGTCCTGTCCCTAGTGGCCTGCGCCAAAAGACCACTGACGGTTCTAGAAATAATTGAAGCTCTCGCAGTAGAGCTTGGTGACGCACCAAAACTGAACCCAGATGGTAGGCTTCTCGACGGAGATGAAATCTTTCGTCTATGTCCAGGCTTTCTTGAATTGGTCGCCTCCAGTTACAGGGGAGAGACCACCGTGCGGATCTCGCATTTCTCGGTCCAAGAATACCTCGAGTCGAAGCGAATGCATCCAATAGTAGCAAAGTTCCAAGTACACAGACCAGATGCTCATGCTGAGATAGCCTCGATCTGTCTGACGTACCTAATGGACCTCAAAGCATCAAATGATAACAGTTTGACTCAATATCCGCTGAGAGATTACTCCACGGAAGCTTGGCATCAACATTATCGCGATGCAGACAACAACCTACATCAGGTCGAGTACCAAGTCCGGAAATTTTTTCAACTTCCAGCAAGCGTCTCCAAGGCTTGGGCTAGAGACTATTCAAAAAGTGAGAGGCTGGTTTCCCCTGTGTTTTATGCCTCCTACCTCGGCCTGACATCACTTCTATCGCATCTGCTTGAAGAACGGCGATCTATTTGCTCCGTGTATCGCAAGACGTTACCGGAAATTGATACTTATATCAATGCACACAATGGGCGACACGGTACAGCGCTGCAGGCAGCATCAGAACAAGGTCACGAAGCAGCAGTTAGGATGTTGCTTCGAGAAGGCGCCAATGTCAACGCCGTCAATCCACAACATTCAATTTACCGTCGTGCCTTTCGCTCCAGGACGGTGTACATAGCCAGTCTTTACGCAACTGCTTTGGAGGCTGCATCGGCAGAAGGACATGAAGAAGTCGTGAGACAACTGCTTAATCACGGTGCCAGGATAGACATCATGGAACAGAGTGCGTTGTACATGGCGTCCAAAAATGGCCATGAGGCAATAGTTCAGTTGCTACTACGAAAAGGCATTGAGGCCGACGCAGCAGGGAGATTTAGTAAATCCCCTCTCGAGGCAGCATCGTCTGGAGGGCACCAAGGGGTAATGCAGCTACTTCTGGATCATGGAGCCAACATTAACGCAGCAAGCAAGGATCGGCAAAACATGAACGGGCAAAGCGCTCTAGGGGCTGCATCTTCGCGAGGCCTGGAAGCAACGATCCAATTCCTTCTCGAAAGAGGGGCCGACGTCAACGCAAACAGAGGAATAGCATTAGAGGAGGCGCTAAAGAGGGGTCATGAGGGTGCTGCCTGGCTCCTTCTCGACAAGGGGGCCAGAATCGACATACAAGACCAAAGCGTACTGGCCTTGGCATCCGAGGGTGGCCACGAAGCGTTAGTTCGTACATTGCTTGACAAAGGAGTTGATATCGATGGAGAAGAGGGCGATGGCAGGCCTTTGCAGACCGCTTTGAGAAAGGGCCATGAAGCAATCGCAGTATTGCTTCTTGAAAGGGGGGCCAATGTCAACGCACAGGGTGAATATGATGCAACCGCGTTGCGAACTGCTGCGGAAAGAGGTAACAAAGGAATGATGCAACTACTGCTTGATAAAGGAGCAAACGTCAATGCACCAATCGGTGGGTGGTTCGCCGAAACCACCCTTGACATAGCGCTGAAGAAGGGAGACCCAGCAATCATTCAGCTCCTCCTCGATAACGGAGTTAATATCAATACTCCCGATGGGAGTGCCTTGCGGGAGGCATGTCGTAGGGGCGACAAGGCTCTGGTCAAGTTATTGATTGATAAAGGAGCGCGTATCAGTGGGATGGGCGGTTTTACACCGTTGGAGGTGGCGTCAGAACAGGGACACGACGAAATCGTCCAGCTACTTCTCGACTGTGGAGCTGATGTCAATGTAGAAGGCGGTGCCCTGGATGCAGCATCATCACGAGGTCACGAAGCCATAGTCCGGTTGCTCCTTAGAAATGGAGCCAAAGTCAACATTCGAGATAAATTACTTCCTGGGGCGCTGTACATGGCATCATACAAGGGCCATGAGGTAATAGTCCGGCTTCTCCTTGACGCAGGAGCCGAGATTAACGCTTTACACTTCTCCGGGAGAACTTCTCTACATGTAGCATCGCAAGAAGGTCATGAAGCAATAGTTCGGCTACTCCTTGCCCGAGGTATTGAAATCAACGCGAAGACTCAACATGGGGAAACTGCGGTGGGGGAAGCTATAGCGGGGGGGCACAGAGCCATAGCTGAACTACTTCTCAGCGAGGGGGCCAACATCGACCTGAACGATAAAGACGATAGGTTAGTATTGATAAATGCATCACGGCATGGATACAAGACAATTGTTGGATATCTCCTTAGCAGCAGGCCTGCTAACAACGCGCAATTACCTGATCTGTTGGGTGATGCCCTGCGCGCAGCATCGGAGAACGGCCACCAAGAGATAGTTCAGCAGCTCATTGAAAATGGGGCTGATGCTAATCTTGAAAGTGGTCTGGATCGTCTGACTTCCCTGGCCGCTGCTTCAGCAGCCGGCCATGAAGCAATAGTCCGACTCCTACTCGACAATGGAGCTAACATCAATCAAGGAAAAGAAACCGCGCTAGAAACAGCAGCAAAAAAGGGCCGCCCGGAAATAGTCCAGCTCCTCCTCAGCAAAGGGGCTAAGATTGACACACAAGTGGGAAACAACACTCTCTGCTACGCTTGTTCAAGGGGACACGAAGAAATAGTCAGGTTACTCCTCGATAAAGGGGCTGACCTCAATGCGCGTAGCAATCGCGATGGTCGCGGTGCATTGGACGTAGCACTGGCTGCAGGCCACACTGCAGTAGTTCGGGTACTTATTGACAGAGGCGTTGATATCAATATCGGATATCCTGCTATTCGATCTCCTGAAGATGGTTACTCGGAGAAGGTTCAGGTGCTCCTAGATGCGATTGCAATAAGATATAACCGATAGCGATTCAAGGCTTTAGACAGTAGCGAAGAACAATCAATCACAAGGTAATTAAAAGTGGTATAAGTCTAGAGTGAAGTAGACTAGGCAAACAAGTAAATTACTCTCTAGTTAAAATTGAATTTCTGAAGCTGTAGATCAGGACCATGCCCAGCCCAAGTGCTTCGATCTATCACCAACCGCAGGAAGATTAAGCAGCTTCATGCATACCACATGTGTCGTCTTTCATTGGCAGGTCCGTGATCCTGACTAAGTAGTCTAGATCTCTAGGAGGCTGGACCTTGGGTGAAGCCAATCGCGCCCAGACTTGCAAACACAAGAGAGCCCAGCAGGCGAAAGACGCCGGCCGAAGCCAGCCCTTGTTTCGAGAGGATGATACAGTCCACAAATCCCAAGTAGCCGCCGATGATTATCAGGAAGGTGTCGAGAGTATCATACCGCCGCTGGGCGTAGAAGACGAACATCAGAATGCCGAGACAGGCGGTGCGAGCGCCACCGGCCTGCCAGACGGGCCACGTCTCGGGCACGTGGGTGATGCGCTTTGGCAGACCGTAGTGCAGCATAACACTGGCCGTGCTGCCGTTGATGATGGGCCATATGGTGCCCCAGCACTGAGCGGCCGCAGTGAAGAGCGCGGGAAGATGGCGGTATTGGAAGTCGCCCAACATGATGAGCGCTCGTGGTGACGGATGGGAATTGGTGGACAACGAAACTGGCGAGAAGATTCTGGGGGGGGGCGAGATATTGGGAGCGGCTTCAAATGTGTGACTTCTTTGCGATCCTATGTTCTGTGGCACTCAAGCTGGGCGGCATAAGTGTAGGCCTTCAGCATCAACAACTCGATAGCTTTATACTCTGCACATGAGATGATGATTGCCAAATATGGTCTGCGCAAATTCGTTCCTATTTAGGTATCAGCAAGGACATGGATGGCCCGTGTCCCCGCTCTTTGATGAGATAAGATCAAGCTGACATACTACCGTTCGAAGGAAGCTAGATTCTATCTGCGGCTCTGGCTCAAGAATAGACCAAAATGGTGATCTAAAATATTCTAGGTAAGGTATGTGAAGGTAGTGGTAGATGTGTGAAGTGCTAGATCTCCAATACATAACTTTGGGGCTGCAGCAGTTGTGCTCAAAGTACGGATATCATGAAACTTCATCCCATGGTTTAAATAAAAGCCATCATCCTAAACCCAACGGGAAACAGATTAGAATGTTGGAAACTAGTGTACAGTTTTGAATCGCTAGCTTCTGAAAAGGTAACCTAGTAACGATGCAATAATATGAATCATACTTTATTTATCGCTGCTTATAACAAAAAAACCATGTCATTATTAAATCAAACTATGAGTTTGAGCTATTTCACAATATATTAGTCGAAGTTCGTCTCAAAAAGTCTGTCTGTCAACATTGAGTAGTAGAAAAACACGTCAAAGTTGTTTAATCATGACTTCAATATGTATCAAGTAACCATGCACGTAGGTAAGAATAATAAGTCCTAGTAGATGATGAGCATGGCACAACTTCTACGCCACCATACAAGAAAGAGGCCCAAGAGTTCGTCTTCTCATATCCTAATCTTTATATACGATCCCTAGATGGTCCGAACTGTCCCGACGGTGGCTCAGCCATGCTTTGTATCCGGAAACTTTAATCAGCTTGGCCACAGAGTTCAAAGCCCAAACCCAGCGGCTATGACGTCGATTAACCGTAAGTCCATGCGGTACACACCCTCGACAGTCAGCTTATCTCTAAAAGCTCATCAGCCGCCCTTCCCCTCGCGCCATCTTTTTCCGCCACATTTCATCGAGGCATCCTTTTCTCATATTAACCACCGTTACCATGTCTGAATATACATCGACGCGCGAAGGGTTCCAACGCGCCATGGAATGGAGTCTCTCAGGCGATCCAAACGAAGCCAAGGCTTACGCGGAGGCTCTGTCCACGCCCAATTTCTACCAGGTCATGAATGGGAAGCGCTTTGCGTTCGACACCTACGTTGAGGACATCGCGCAGTGGCGGGCCAAAGTCAGTGACTATAAGCCAGTCGTGTACGTTCCGTTCCCCATAATACATCACTTCTCGCTGTGCTCACTAACCGCAGGCATGAATTTCTCCGTGACGGCGATCTCCTATCAGCTCGCATGACAGGAACAATCAAGGTTGATGGCATGCCGACACATTTCGAATGTTTCATGTTTGCCAAGGTGGACAGGGAGAGCGGGAAGATGGAGTACTTGAATGAACGATCTGTCTGGGGACCTGCTGGTGAATCTCCTATCTATGGTGTTTAATGTATGTATTGCCTTGCTCTCTAATCGGCGTGAGAGGTCAGTTTATTTATCGCTTATCAACGACGAATAATCTGGATCCAAGTCCAATTCAAATCTCGACATGTAGTTGTGCTCTAGCATCGAGACTAAATGAAGGGATGTGTTCAAGCAACTTCGTATTAGAAGCCACCTCTGCGCCTGACAACTGATGACTGCTACGGACTTCTAGAGTCATACATGAGATAAAAGATTTGGGCATAGCAAGTATTTCAAATGGTTAAGCAATACGCCATGAAGTATATATGCCACCTATTCAGAAGAGCTCAATCTTCAACACCAGATCATATACATCCATTGCCAAAGCTAGATGCACTGGGAGTACCACTGGTTTGAAGCGGGTCAAGTTCCCTGACTGTAGCAAGTGGCTCCGGTCCAGCCCTCACCACCACACTACCCCCAAATTCCTGCACAGTTCGTGCCAGTAGCAGTAGGCTGGGTCTGAGCAGTAGAAGTTGTTATCGTCTGAATACCACCGCCGCTATCTCCACTGCTTCCTTCGTCACCGCCAGAGGAGCCAGCAGAGAGGGACACGCTGTATCCAGTGGTTGTGAACTGGGCGTTGCTACCTACAAAGGGCTCTGTGCCAGCGCCGATTGAGTAGAGACACTGAGAGCCAGAGTATCCCTGGGTCTGTGTGAGGTACTTGATAAAGCCGTTCAAGTCACCGCTGAAGTTGTTCTGTGCAGACTCGGCGACAAAGCTGAACACGGTCATCTGACTATTCGTGCCCTTCCAGAGCTTCCATGATGCTCCGGCAATAGTGACGGTAGCGATAGATGAGCCGGTAGCGCTGATGGGACCTGCACCTCCTATAGCGCTCAACCATATCATAATCTCGAACTCGGGGATGGTGCCACAGTCAGTGTTGGAAAAAAGATCGTAGGCAACATTGGCCACGACTCCGGATCCGGTGTAGCTATGAAAAGAAATAGTCAGCCTCATGAGAGTGGTATAATTCTCGATTTCGTGTAGTGAACTACTCACGTCCACTGCCATTTGGAGGGGATAGATGAGATAGTTGAAACTCGAGCAGCAGACGCGCTGAGCACAGCATTGGGATACGACTTCACACTTGTCCCCCCACCGCCCAAGACCAGGTTGCAGACCACTTCAACAGACTATTGCTAATCCCATCAACAGTAAGGCACTGAGAGCCGCTTCCGCTGTCCTTGCCCCAAAGATTGTTGTAAATGGTGTAGCCGCCAGTCTCAACCGAGTCCCACTGACCGCACAAAGTCGTAGCTCGCTTCTCCAGAGGCTCTGTCTTCGTCGGCTCGACATTACGGATGTTGGATGGTGCCGCAGCCGCCAGTGCTGTGATTCCAACGAAAGATAGCATGAACTTCATTCTGGTTGATTATCACGGTTCTCGCCAAGTGTTGGTTAAAGGATGGATTTGGTGAGTAAGTGTACTTCTTCAGGAACGGCCTAGTCCCGTCGCTCCAGGAAGGCAGATGAGCAGGAAAACTCACATCGCGTGGATTTCATCCGATTTTATAACAAATTACTTTTCTTTTTGTTTTCCTCTCCAATCTTCTCAAGCATTTGCTATCCATGTAAATGCGAGTAGGTGGTCCGAATCGGGAGACGGGGATTCTCCCTCCAGAGGCCAGGACGGGATAAGCCGTTCAAGGTTGGGAGATTTCCGTCAATATCAGATGAATGTCCCCATCTAGGAAATTATGAGCTCCAGCAGCGGTGGTTTCCAATCTTCTTACTGGCTCGAAGTTCTCCTTCCCAGGATAGGATAGCACCACTTTCTAAACCGTAGCGCCAGCCCTGGCACATATGACCCTGTCTACTCGTGCCTAGGTACGTTTCTAACTACTAAGCAGCCGATTGGGCCTGCTTACAAGATGCGAAACAGATACGAGCTGCTACCCTGGTGTTTCAGGAAGGCCTTAGAACCTTCTCGCCGGGTGATGAATACCCAAGATATCTATGGTGTGATAAATGAGCTAACTAGACTTCGAACGGTCAGCGTGGTCCGAAGAACTATTCAAGTGCGATGGTTCTATAGAAATAAGGCCATAGCTCGTTGTCGAAGTCAATAATCTTCTAGTGACAACACTTACATGATCTACGACCAGTGTCCCCGCGACCTTGACATCGTGATCGTCGGCGGGCCGTCCAAGAACCATCGCCCTCCTGCTGCCGATAGGTTCATGAAGGACGCCTGGAAACAGACCCCCATTTGGTTGACGGTATCTACTGGAAGCATGTGGTTGGCCAGCTCGGGTGTGCTCGATGGCATCGAGGCGACCATCAACAAGCCCTTTCATACAAGTGCCAAGGAAGCCCATAACAAGGTCAAGAAATAGGTTGATAAGCGCTCCGTGAGCTCACTCAAGCCGTACGAGGGTAAATCCTCCCTTAACCCAGCTGTGTGGACAGTCGGCGGTGGGGGATGCGGCTCGTCAATGCCAGTTTGTGTCTATTTCTTGCATTCACTAATGTTCGCTACCTCTTAGGCATTGATATGGTTGTAAGCTTTACCATGCAAACTTCAACCACAGCTTGGTAAAGTTTGCGATTACAGAGGGCACAAGATATGAGCCTGGTCTACAGGATTACCAGGATGATACCCAGCGTTGATGCAACATTGCTATGCATGCAACACATCAGCAGCATAACGCGAATGTCTTACATGGCGTTATGCCAAGCCGTTATGTTAGTAGATAATCCGTATAAAAAATCAATAGACGCTATTCAAGCATAAATGATCAATAGCTCAAGTATATTCAATAGACGCAACTGTCTTAGCTCTCGATCTTCACACCAATACCAATACCACCCCAAATAAACCTATTCCACCCTCCACCATCTCCTTTAAACTCACCATGGCATCGGCAGCCCCCCAATCGACTACCCAACTGTCATCTCTAAGCTCGGGCCTCGTCTACACCCTCGCAGCAAGCCGCTTTGCCGCCGGCGCAGCCTGCGTGTTTGCACCCTCTACCATGTCCGGCGTTATGCAAATGGAATCTTTGCCTGGTGTCACCCTTCTGACCCGTACCTTTGGTGTTCGTGAGGCTGCGGTCGGCGGTCTGACAGTACTTACACTCAATAAACCTGAGTCTACCAAGGACCTGCGCCGTATCATTTGGACAGGCATTGCCGTCGACACCTTTGATGTCATCAGCTGTCTGATGGTTTTAGCCTCGTCTGACGGCACAGCCATGGATTTAGCGGCTGCGAAATCGACGGGTGGAATGGGATTCTGCTGCATACTTGTGGGCTTGTACGCCATCAGGTCATTGGGATCACTGTAGAACCAACGGGTAGTTTTGAAAGGGAAGAAAGGATTGGAAATGCTCGAACGTGTTATCCCCTCATTCTCTCTTCCTTACATGTGTCATTAACAGTAGTCCACAAGTTAAACCCCTTC